TCCGAATATCTTAGATGCAAAGCCTGCCTTTGCTATCTTTCTCGTGCCCCATATCGTGCCCCATATCGCTCCAACAGCCCCAGTTTATCATTTCTACCCTGCCTCCCGTCCCAAGTTTCCGTTCAACCGGAGCATTAGTGGCCGGCTGTCTTGTCAGGCACAGTCAATGGATCCCCTTAAAATAGAAACAAGAACCATCTTGATCAAAACGCACGCACTCATATTATCCTGCAACGTGGAAACCCCAATCCTACCCTACTCGAAAGATTGATCCTTACTTCGTTATTCTGCATGGGCCGATTCAAACCGACAGACTGAGCTTAGCTCGTTGACGAACCTCAATCCCTCAACTCATGAACATCACGTTACGCCTTCACGGATCAAAGTCGAAGTGAAGCGGTCGGCGAGTGGGCACTGATTCACGGTAGGAGACTCTAACACGCTCAGTAAGAACATCCCTATTCGGATCAGCGTCATCATCCGCACTCTCGGGCTATTTCCCACCGTTTAAGCGCCAAGACTCAATTTGTAACCTTTGACCCCTTCATGCAGCTCGTCTCCCCTCTCAGGCCACTCCTCACTTCTTTCTCGGTTTTCACGGTTGCCAAACCCTCCAAGGTATGGGCGCCGCGACGCCTCAATAAAAAAGTGTCACGGCACAGTCTAAAACACTCCCAGCAACCGTTGCAAATGGCGGGTGGTGGCTGGAGATGTACGTTTGGGAGGAGTGAAGAAGCAGTGCCCTAAATGACTGTGCCCGCGGCATACTTAACTCTTATAGGGTCTGGGGCCTATAACATTGATATTCTTGGCATTGTAGAGCTTCGAATGGCTCACTGGACGAAAGTTCCTTTCTCGATCACATGTATGTACAAGGAGGCCAGGGTTCTGTACTCGGCATCGCGGGGTACTAAGGTAATCTTTACCGACCTGCTTTTTAAGACCTTGATACTGACATATAGAAAATGCCAATGAAGAGTTTCTACTACGCCCCGCAATATCATGATGAACAGTCGCCTCTTTTTCTCAGCCAGGTTGTGATGAGCATCGCTTCTCGATGTTGCCAATTCTCACTACTCCAGCGCTTGCTTTTCCTCATTCGGCTCTTGAATGTCTGCCTGTTTTTTGCTGCTGATTTTTATTGTTACCTCCAAATCTGACTGAGATATCTTCATGGACAAATACTCTGTTCCCAGTGGAGAGCGGTATTAAGGCGCAGTTCTGTTTAAATTACCAATACGGCCAAGGGGGAGGCTGTGTTTACCTGGCGCTCGCTACCAATCACATCTTCCCAAATGTCATCCCTTTCAAAACCACAGTAACATCGCTGACGACTCGGTCAGGTCGGTCACGTCTTGGCCTATTGCGAGCTCTGTATCAATTATCTAGTCAGACCAGCATTTTACGTCTATTTCTCATTTTTGCCTCATCTATCGCGAGCTCCGTCTTCCGGATCTGGGGGCTAAATGCTTACACTGTGGCAAGAGAATCACAACTCACACCCTTGAGTGACACCCTTGAGAATGCGCAGCACCGATAAAGTGCCGCGCGCGTGTGAGTAGTGAGCGAGTGGGTTTTGTTCCTGTACCTTTTGATTACCATTCATGGCTATGCAATGTTGCGTTACATATCGACGCTGATGCTCCAATCCGGAGGTGGTTCAACACCAACTGAGTCCATAGTTCTACCTCAGCATTCCCAAAAATCTTCTCACTGAGCTTATACTGATCCTTGCTTCAACGTCGCCATTGATATCTCAAACGTCATGATGCTTACCGATCCTTCGTTTCATCTATCTTACGCTTCATCTACCAAGACTGGAAGTTTACGAATGTCCATCTTCACTATTTCAACCCTTGCCATGTTGCCGCGGTCACTCCGAGGAGCGAAGTTCCATCAAGGGTATATGGATAGCCCGACTTGCGAGGCGCTGCTGTATCTTCGTGTTCTCTTCTTGAAACATATATCACTTACCAAGTCGAGTCGTCGTCATCAGTAAGTGTCAATAATCACACCTTGAACTTTAGGCCAAGCAGTGGACCAATAGGGACTTTAAGGAACTCTGATCCTCCCGTCATGTCCTTTGGGCAATTGGCCCAGGAACGATCCCTCCAAAAGACCACAATACCGCGCGAAGGGTCCAACCTACCCCAATACCGGGCCGGCATGCATGAAAGCATTAGTGATAGGGCGTGGCGGCTGATTGATGGAGCTATCCATGACATGTCGCCTGCAAGTCACAACGGACGGATACATATCATATGGAGCTATTGCTGCTTCACCGCCTTTGGAAGTCAAGCGACTGGATAACAGGCCATGAACCATCATATTGAAGAAGATCTCAGCCTCAACTCGTATTTTTCACGGCGTTTTGAGTTTATTTTTAGCTTCCCTCTTCCCGTCCGTCTCCATGTGCTTGCCCTTCTTTCACAATCCACTTTACTCCAAGTCTGCTTTAGTAGCTTTCAGACAAAGGAAGTGCACTTTTACATATCTAGCAAAGCTCTGTTTTCTTCGGGTCGCTTATACTTCCTCAACCACGGCCAATATCTTGTCCAGCTCTTGTGAACCGAAACAAACCTGTCCGTCTAGCGGCTCGGCTCCACAAAGACACCAAGCTCTATTCATTTTTCTTCGGGGCCTTTAAGGAATAAACACCTCTCGATCCGCTGTGGATGGGTCCTATCCGAATGAGAAGAAAGAGAAGTCAATACCCTTGGGTATGTGAAGGTGCCGCCTGCTTGTCAACTCGAGACAATTTTGAATGACATCGTTAATTAGGCTGGAATAAGACCGATTTGAAGAGCTATCAATCCTTTCAGAGCTGGAATAAGTCCGCGTGCTCTAAATGATCAAAACCTTCAAAACCCGAAGAACGGAAAATACCCAGTACTGTTTTGCAATAAGTTCCATCTACCGCGTCCCTCTACTCCGCACTTGAAAGGTCGATTGCCAACTAGCTTCAAGCCGAGAGACTTATAGAGGAGCTTTCAGTCCGCTTGCTACCCGACTCCCTGGTATTTTTATTGAAGGCGGTGAAGTCGTCGTTCCATTCATTCAAACTGGTGAGGTACAGAGCTAATCTTAGCGCTGGCCTCTTCAAGCCGCGCCCCAGAATATTAGTTTCCTGGTGTTGGAAGCAGGAATAGGAACCTCGTCATGCTAGGTATTAAAGTTGGGGAAGATCTACCGACGAAGGTCTACCGAGCTTCACCTGTTCCTAGTAGTGAGCAGCTTACGGCAACTCGACATTGTCAATTCCAGACCCGCGTTGGCTCATCCCATATCAACATGGACAGACAGAAACCTAATCACGAAAAGGAAAAGGAAACAGCTATCTACGCATATGGACAGAATACTCTCCAATGCTTCTCTGCTTGCAAAACAATCAAGTTTCCGAAATTTTCTTCAACCTTCATCAAGCTTGGGTTCGGTCACTCTAGCCTCCTCCCCGTCAGGCGCGAAATGCCAAAACGATTTAGCTTTCATTCCAACATCTTAGTTCTCTCTCCGCCCGCCCATCACACAAACTACTCAAGCATCTGCCGGGGACAACTCCCCCGAAGTCCCGTCCAATCCCCCGGTCCAAGAGATAGGAATTCAATGGCTAGCAGCCACATACCTCATCTACTTCTTCTAAAACAGTTCTGCTTCTCAAGCCTCAGGTCTTCCAAGATCAACCAAGGCTAGTCGGCTATTTCGGTACAGAGAAAGTGACCGGTACAGTAAGGTAGGGCAGCTAACCGAGAAACCACTACTACAACTTGTAGTGACCATTTTGGCCCCGGACTTTCCCCCTCGTTCCAAGAATCAAACTATTGTTAAGTCACATCTCTAACTTCCGACCTCGACTTCGGAATCGGAATCGGAATCGGAAGCTAACGAAAGAAAACGTGGCTGAAGGCGGTGACGAGAACAGGAATAGCCAGTATAAAAGTGGTACGATCTTCTTTCTTCGGTTCGCTTAGACTGGAGGATGGAGATCCTCTTGAGGAGTTTTTGAAGCTATCGTGAGAATAAATGGAGAGCTGAAGATATGCTAAACGCGGCAGAGATACGAATTACAATCTACTTTGGAGATAACCCTGGGTGATCATCAGTATGGTGAATGGATTGCAGCCTATGAGCAGCTCGCGATTTGCAACTTTCAATTTGGGTTTCTGGATCTACGAGCAATGGTAAGGAGAGGTTCGCATAAGAAATTAATTCAGTAGGGAGAAAAGCTAAGTAATACAGGGGCAGTGAAAACCAAGCTATCTTTTGAGACTGAAGACCAGAAAGCACGTTTTGGGCATCCTCTAACGTTCAAGCTAAGCCAGCGATGAGGGTTTCCTTTGTGAGGGAGACCGAGCAAGTTCTGACTTAAGGAGAGTGATCTCGTGAGCTTGTCTGATAACCTATCCATTTATCATGTTATTCCTGGCTGCTTGGGCAGGACATTGCTAACTACCTACCTATCTACGTATCTACCTAGTTGTTGTTGTTTGCTGTTATCTACCTAATTCCAATCCTGTATCCCTCCATCCATTCATCATCCACTGCCCGTCCCATCATCCATTCATCCCATCAGAGCTCACTAGCCGGCAGCTATCGGATATTCCCCATCAAGCAAGAGAGGACTGCAATGAACAACCTCCATGGTATAAGCACATGATCCAGGAATCCTCCACGATCAAATGCTTCTAGTAACATGTAATCCAGCCAGTGATATGCATCCAGCTGCCTACCTCTCCTTCGCTCTCTGTCACCCCAATAGCAATATCTCTACTCGTGTAACTGCCTCTCGGTGCAGTCTTCTGATAAGAAAGGAAGGAACCTGCTTAAAATCAATGCCATGTCGCAATGCTTGTTTTCATTTTGCCCCCGCCCTGATTTCATGGAACGAAATGATAGCATGGAACAATAATTTCAGATGCTGGCGATAGGGTGCTCCCATGATTCCCAAATTACGCCCCTATTGTTGCAAGTGTATCGCGAAATGTCCAGAGGTATGATCGATTTCATAGATTGTAGATCGTGCGAAGGTTGTTGGCATCCGGTGCTGAAATCTGACTGCTGATGAACACACCGAAGTCAGGTACAAGCGATTTGTAGAGATCAATAGTCTGGATTCAATCAGTATCTGACGCACAGAAGGGACGAAGTAAAGAAAACTTACATGCTGAAAGATCTGCTGCAAATCGGCTGTCAAAGGAGTATTGAATGCATCTGTCATTTTGTACCGAGAAACAGCAGTAAAGTATCGACCAAGATCCTTCTCCATTGCTTGTGGATTGCCCAGAATAGTGAGACTGAAGCCTTTGAACGCGGTTGCCTTCTCGAGCGTATAGTCAACGCTCTGTATGCACTTTAGAAAGGGCTCCGAGAAGGTGGACAGATGGGGTGCCATGATTTCGGAGTTTTCTAACCCTAGACGCCCGAGAGCGATCGCAGCATTTTCAAGTACAGACTTTGGGACTTCTGGATTTCCTAGGATTGCCAGATATCTCTCAAGTAGCTGTGGAACGTACGGCTCCATTCCTTTGCCATGCTGAATGGCAATCTCTCCAGCAGACCAGCATGCATTGTTGATAACGCTGAAACCTGTTTCGATTTGTTCATCCAGAATGGAGTCCAAGTCAAGCTGTTGGATGAGTAGGGGTAGCAAGGTTCCCAGGAAAGGCTCCAACTGCGGGAAGACATATTTTGCGCAGTCGCCGAGAAGTGCATATGATGATTGGCGCACATCATTCTCTGGATCCTCCATACAGAACTGGAGCAGCTCAAATAGGCGTGGCTGGGAGCCGGATACGAGCTCGGTGGACTGCTTTTGCTCAAGTGCCTGAATTATAGCGCTCAAGAGGTCCAAGCTCGTTACGAGAAAGTCCTTGTCTGGAGTGTCTAAAATTGGATTTCGAACAGAGGCAAGGTACTCTTCCAGGTTTTGATGGATGATCTGAATGCATCTGGTAAAAACGGGTTGCGCAAATGGGGCGAAGGACTCGGCAAGGGCGTTCGCAACGTATGATAGACACTCGAGGAGCGGGAAGAGCTCGCGAGACTGGTCAGAAACCTTATTCCACCGGTGGATGAGGGCGGGCATCAATAATTCAATCAGTTGGGGCTGGGCAAGGCCGTGGCCCACATGTTCGGCCAACGTCTGCACGCAGTCGTATAGGATGAACATGTTTCTGTCCTTGTATTTCTCGAAACACCGGACGAACTGGCGGATGATTGGTTCACAGTAAGGGGTGATGCTGGCACCAGCTTTCTCTTCGAGGTGTGCGAACGCTGACGCACCAGCTTCCTGTACCCGCTTGTTCTGATCCAGCATCTTCGTCAAAATGCCCTCCATCATAGGCTCGAAGTATTGGCTTCGTAGAGCAGGAGTGTTGAGATTAGCCCCCCAAGAAGAATATCTTCCCAAGGTCCAGCATGTGATTTGTCGAACAAGGGGCTCGGGGTCGTTGAGCAGCGAGATTAGATATGGGACTAATTCAGGCAGGTGTGGCGTTACAACATCAATACAACCTTCTGCTACTGCTCCGAGTGCAAGTACAGCAGCCTCTCTGAATGGCCATTCGTCGTGCTTCAAGTTGGTCATGAGGTAAGGCAGAATTGTCTCGAAGACGGGCGCCTTGAAATCTGATGCGAACACGTCGAGAGCAGCAGCAGAGCATTTCCGTAAGTTCCAGCGATCTTCTGGATTCGCATCGTCGTCATCGTCGTCGAACTCTTCAATTTCTCCTTCGCTCAAATCGTCGTCCATTCCGCTCAACTTCTGGTAATTCGCTCCATTCTGTTCTCCTCCTTCCTCGTCACCATTTGCAAGTGTTCTCGCACTCTTGTTTTTCGCAAATTTTGGCTTGATATCCTCCTCACGATCATCCTCTTCGGCATCGTTTCCACCACCTTCCAGCATTGCAATATCCTCGTCGCTGTAAACCATACTTTCCAGAAGAACAGGGATAATCTTGTGCAGGTAGGGAGCTAGTGATTTCCATAACTCGTTGTGTTCTCCAACGGTCAGCCAGAATTCAGCCGCATCACAGGCCAGCTCCTCGTCTTCAATCTTGCGCTGTTGGGCGAGCATGTACTCGACTAAACCCTCGATATGAGGTAGAATCTTGTCGGGTCTGATTTCAACAATCTGAACAAAAGCTCGGCACACCTGTCTTCGCACATCCGAGGATGGATCGTTTGCTAGTTGGAACAAACAGTTCAAGAGAGGGTCTAAGGAGACGAGAAGAGCCTGAGGCTTCTGAGGGATGAACACATTGATGCTTCCGAGAGCTAACGACCGAACTTTGGGCTTCTCGTTGGTCGTAAATGAAATCAGCTTGGGGATAATGAACGCAAGGGGTCGCTGTCCGCCATATTCCTTGTCCAAAATCTTCTTGTTATCCTCGCAAACTTTAGCCAAAGCAGCCATTGCACCCTCTTGTGCTTCAGGAGTGACCGCCCCGCTGTCGTTGCCAATCAATGCCAGCAGTTCTGGAAGAAGTTGTGGCCAACCTAGAATTCCACCTCGACTGACGATCTCCGTAATAACATTTCCAGCATAGCTTCGTATTGACTGATTCTTATCTTGTAATGCTAGAGGTACTGACGAGCGAACGAGTGCCAAGCTATCTTGGGGAATAGCTTTGTAACCAGTTCGGATATTGTTCTTCAGCATGACAGCTGCAGCAGATCGAACTGCATGGTATTCTTCTGGTGAGTAGTTTAATCCGGGAGGAGCTTGCGAGCTTGAAAATAGATACGTAAGGTAGTTGTTGATATCTGGAGAGGATTTGGCTTGAGAAAGCATCTATTATGGGGACGCAAAATCAATACATGCGACTTTCTGAGTATGCAGAAGCTGGCCTGCGATTATGGAGTAACTCACAATTTCAGCTTGCTTCTGCGCGGTCTTGTTATGACCACTAAGAGAGTCTCTTAGGCATCCTGAGAGTTGCCGCAATGGCTCTTGTTCTGGTTGCCAGGCCATAATCGACCTCTATCCCCAAGAACCCTTCGTCTTCTGTGGTAGTTCAAAAAGTTTCCCGATATGCAGGTGCGCTGTTCAGGTATGGGATCCGCCCTGGGAAAGTCGCACAGGTTGTTCTTTACTTGTGGGACATTAGAATTTCGCCGGTTGACGTCTGTTGGGCAAAAGGTAATCAGCACAGCGCGAATACATGATTCAGCCGGTACGACTGAGCATTTGCGAGCGCAGCAGCTGTTGGTATTGAACTCACAGATAGGGCAAATATTGCAGATCTGCGTAAGGGGTCAGGAATGGCGGGCGTTGTGTGGTAGGATCGATGTTGTGGCTACGTGAATGGTGATCGTGGGGTTATTTGCCAAAGTGATTTGTCGGTTGCAGGGCGAAGAAATGGCCGTCGCGGATAGCCACACACAAGGACGTGTAAATCTCTCTGATATGGGGGTCGAAGATATTTGAATTCAACGTCGAATGGTGGTAAATTCGAATATGTGGAGGGGGAGGGCAAATCGGGATGTTGCGCTGCGGTCGCCCACGTTGCTTGCGCAAAGCGTCGCTTCGTTTTGGTGGGGAGGTTGGAATTTGACTTTTTCTGAGCCTTGTCTTCCTTGCCTCCAGAACTTGCAGGGACCACTTCAGCCTCGAGGTGAGATGTCCAACGTTTCAAGGTGAATGCCAGCAGGAACAGTTATATATTAGACGAGAAAGAAGAAAATGAAATGACTTGTTCAGTTTCAATTTGTATTATTCAGAAAGCATGTGAGACAGTTTGGGTAACCCCAAAGGGGGCCCGACCTCTTACAGCCCAAGAAACAGACGTGGAGTTTCTTGGGAAGTTCGTCCAGCTTATTTTGATGTCTCTGCTATGGTGTTCTGGACTTCAATGCACAGTATATTCTTGCAGGTTTTACTTAGACTCGAGTGTTCGGTAGTTTTAGAATGTCATGAGACTTGCCGTCGGGTCAAGACAGTGCTACAAAATCATGTAGCTGTCCACAGCACCACCTTTAGAAGCCTACCCAGGTTTGGAAATTGTCATTTTAAATAGTTAGAACTGCCTTTCTGAACCAAGGGTGTGATTGCAATACTGGAAATGCTTGTGCAACCCAGTAGACATATCGCCGATGAGCAAGGGAAGCTGAGGTTACAGAGAATGCTCATATGCTATAAACTGATTGATTCCGTCCGAGAAAAGTGATTTTACTATCGTCTCGGCGTGACCTGAAAATCATTGCATGTCTTGAATTCAGATCATAGTTGGAATTACACGGCGTCATATCCCTTATCTGATAGCCTGGTGTCTAGATGTTTGTAGACTCCCACAGCAGGTCAATCTTCCACAGAAACGTTCCATGATGACGCCGTTCAAGTTGTACAGAGATTGAAATGAGATTTGTGGCACGTGGAACAGAATGAGCCTCGATGAATGTGTCCACAATCTTAGTCTGGATGCACCTCCTCAGCCATATCTGCCAGGCATGTGCGTTGCACAGTCTTGGGAACTCGAGAAACCGGGACGGATAGCTGCTGGACCCTTTTCTTGCTACTGTCGTCACACCAGTAGCCGTCGATCCGGCCCGGGTGACACCCAGATACGCAGCGTTGAAGCTTCTTCGTTGTGGAAACCGTGTTCAAAATCCGGAACTCCTCGTTGAGTTTGATGATTCGTTGGCCAAGATAATCATGGCCTCTTCAGCTGCCATTGACCCGTCTACCTTCAACTTCGTCCAAGACAACCTTTACAACCTTCTTGAACCCTTCCATCTCCTCCTCCACAGTGCCGCCTAGCCCAGCACTCGCAAAGCTTATCGAATTACCAACGTAGACAGCCTTCTTTGTCTTCCGCGCGAGAAGTTTAGCAAGACGTGTTGTGAACTCCACGGAGGATTCGTAGGTGTAAAGAGGGGTGGAGAGAGTTTGGCCTGGATTCAGTCTCTGATGTTCTATTAGCATGTGTATTCATTCTAGGTGGGATAAATAGCTCATTACATCGGGAAGGGCGTAGACAAATGATCCTAGTGGTACTGTTGAGGTGTCTCCATTCATAGCCGTAATCAAGAACAAGAGGATGGAGGTAGCCTGGACCGTAAGATGGATGTGAATTCTTGTATCTGGGGCTTTTGGAAGCGGGAATGATAATTGGATAGGCTGCCCTGACACGCCTGACGCTGGATTAGCCTCTTTTGCCATTTTCAATACGAATTGAGTGTGGACCGAAGATTTGGAAGTTGGAGAAGCTCAGAACAAGCTCCATGAGCTTCAAATTTAGCGCGGGGTGTCTTGAACCCTGACTCGCCACGTGACAATGATAAATTGGTCAAAATCTGGTCCAGATTCTCTTCTCTTCTGGCAGTCAAACTCAAAGCACATTTACTCCCTTTTGAGAAGATGTGTACATCACCACGAATAACAGCGCTGTGATGGGGTGCGCGAAACCTTGCTGTACGTGCTCTAGAAGTAACGAATCACAACCATGAAACCCATTTCGCTCAGGTTTTCAACTTCGAGGACATCAAGAACTCACGATTCTCACACATATTCTAGGAAATAATGTTCATCCATATTTGGTTAGGAAACCAAGATTCAGATTCGTCATTTCGATACCAAAGACACTAGGAGTATTGCAATCTCTTGTCCTCCAATAACTTTGGTTCCTCAGATCTTCGCGTTCTGGAACTTCTCAGCAAGCCAGTCAGCTTCATCCTTACTATCCCCAAGCCCAACTTGTCGAAGCTTCTCATCAAGCCATTTCACATCTTCCTTGCTGTCTCCAGGTCCTCCAGCCCAATGTCCCCAGATACTGGGGAATGGAACCATAATTCCCACTCCCTCTTTCATGTTCTCAACTTCAATCTCAGAGTCCTCAGGTCTATGCTCGTTAGCTTTATGTTCTCGCCAATGATGTTGAAGTATATAAACATACGGGAAATACAAGTCTGTCTTTCCTGGAAGAACGAGGGCTTTTGCTTTGATAGCTTGCATGGCAGCTTTGAAATCCCCATTGTATGGTTCTTGTTTGGAGCAGTCCCCTGATTGCCATGTGTACAACATGACTAACAAGTTTTCGGGATCTTCAAGGAGTCAGCATATATTTTTGTCGTTTCATTTGGAGTACATACCTTTAGATAATGCCCAGGTCTCCCAGAAGTTCTTCATGAAATCCTCTAAGTCCTTGAAGCCAAGCACACTTTCATAGAGCTTCTCACGATAGAAAGCTTGACTGAAACCCCACCCAGCATAAACACGGCCAAACGCTTTCAACCCAGCCTCCTTCTCTTCTGCGGTCCAAGTGCGATACTCTTCTCCTTTGGGGAGAACTCCGTCTTCGCAAGACCCAGCAGATCGGTGCTTCTTAGCTGAAAGCAGGGCAGATTTCACGCCTTCAAGAAAGACTTGATTATGTAGGGAGGTTTTCGCGGCACCACAGAATGGCACGATAATATCCATGAAGTCAGGATAGCTTGTTGCCCATTGGTAGGTTTGTCCTGCTCCCATGCTCCAGCCTAGTACGGCTCTTGCATGCGTGATGCCAAGATGCTTCGTGACGAGAGTGTGCTGAGCTCTCACGTTGTCGAAGAAAGTGACTCTTGGAAATGGGCGAATGTTGGAATTGGACGGGGAAGTGGATTGTCCATTTCCAAAGAGAGCGGTGATGACAATGAAGTACTTCTTTGGATTCAAGACATGATCCTCTCCAATCAGCCATTCGTTGTCCGCGATAGCTTCAAGGCATTAGCAAACTTTTTCCAAGGAGATGGTTCGACTTACAGCCGGAGTACCACGATGGATATATGATAGCAGGAGACTTCGGATCACCAAAAGTCTTGAATGCTATCTCAGCATCCGGGATGCTTTGTCCTGACTGGAGTTTCCAGTCTCCGAGCTTGAAAGTTTGGACGCCTGCCATGATCCTTCGATGATTCTGCTACCTTGCTCGAAGAGGAAGACTATGTTATATCTACTTAGCATTTCTAAGCAGATGAAGAAGGTTTAGCTGGTTTGCAGCATTTCTATTACCAATTGTGGACTTACCCCACCTGAGGTTGCTATGGTTTTGCTAAGACCGCGGAAATTAGGACAATGTGAGGTCTACGAGGCCTGGCAACGAAATTCGGTCTTCTTGCAAAGATGTTGATTATGAATACAATTAAGTTTAATGTTCAGAATGCGACATGAGCATTATCTCCAGAATATATAACAGAACGTAGGCTTTCCTATTTGGGAAGTGTAGCCCCTCACTTTGCTGCTCCTTATCAGCTCTCGATAAGCGCGGGGTCAATTCCGGCCTCCAAGCCATGACGTTTTTGATTCGAGAAAATAGAGTAGGAAGTGGAACACAGGACAGGTCTGCTTAGTGATGAACATTTATTCGCAGTACCCATAATGCAATTGCGACCTGTAACACATATCCACCGCATACCCCGTTGCCGGCAAGTCTCCCACTTATGCCAAATACCAAATACAAAACTTGACTGATATTCAAATAGACAGCTCTTCATACCCCTCTGTCGCAACCCCGCTACCCGCAACTTCTCCAAGTCAACACTCACCATGTCTCGAGCCGACGCCGAGAAACATATCCAGAGGAATCCACACCCGGATTTCAAGAGTGTGGAGGCAGAGCGACAGCCATGGGACAATTCACTTGCATGGAATGTCAAGCAGACCATCAATCCTGACTGGAAATACGGCGATGGTGCCAACGACGGAGGCGCAAGCCTGAAGATCCCACATGTGGAGATTGATCCCTACGAGAGCGGAAGACCAGCGGTATTCAATTACAAGCTCTTGATCTCTGGAATCATTCCCAGACCAATTGGATTCATCAGTACACGCTCGAAGGACGGAAGCAGTACCAATCTTGCGCCATTCAGCTACTTCTCTGTCATTAACCATGACCCACCACTCTTCACAATTGGATATGCTGGTGGTTTTGACAATGCGAAAGACTCGTTGAAGAATCTGTCAGAGACGAAGGAGTGCGTTATCAATATCATCTCGGAGCACTTCATCGAGGCGGCCAACGCTTGCAGTATCAATGCGCCATATGGAGACAGCGAGTGGGCGTTGAGTGGCTTGACTCCTGCACCGAGTTCGACTGTCAAGGCGAGCAGAGTCAAGGAAGCCATTTTCTCGATTGAGGGAAAGTTGGACTTCACCAAGGAGTACGAGAGTCGGGCTACGCCGGGAAAGAAGACTGGTGTTTTAGCAGTAATTGAGGGGACGAGGTTTTGGGTTAGAGAGGATGCGCTTAATGACGATAAGAATCAGGTTAACCCTGCTGTAAGTTCCGCTCGTGATTTTTGCAAATCGGCTATTAATATGAAATAGGTTCTCAAGCCAGTCAGTCGACTAGGAGGTATTACTTACGGAAGAACGACTGAGGGAGCAGAAATTCCTAGACCGGACTTTGAGGAGACGGTTGTCAAGAACGAGGAAGCGAAGAAGCTCGTCAAGCCAAAGGTCAACGGGCAGTAGTACCATCCATATGAGCCGGAAAATAGAGTTTATAGATTTGGTCATGCATTAGAGGGAAGGCAACATTAGAGTGGCATCGAATACCTTTCTAGAACATTAAATATATTTTACTATTATGTTTCTTTTCGCTGGGAATAACAAAGCTCCCTGTTGACACCCACTGTCTCGGGTACCCCATGTCGTGCCTCGGCCTCGGCTTGAATCTGACTGTCAGCTACATACCCCACAGCCATCCATCCCCGGATTATTAAATTGGGCTTCGATTTCATGTTTATAGGTCTCATCCAAGTTTGCCTATTCTCGATTGCCATACATCTTCACTACATATCAGTTCAATTTACTGCTTTCCCAAATTTATTCAGACTAATAGCTCAATCAGCCACGCAAGATGTCTAAATACGACACCGAGCTCCAAGACTTCCCCAACATCTTCTCCCTGAAAGGAAAGGTTGTCGTTGTAACAGGAGGCTCTCGTGGTCTTGGACTCCATGCAGCATCTGGGTACTCCTCCTCTGCAGCAACTAATCCTGTATATTCCTAGCTAATACAACATCCTTTCAGATTCCTCCAAGCCGGCGCATCCAAAGTGTACATCACCTCCCGCAAAGCCGCTGCCTGTGAAGCAGCCGTGAAAGCCCTCAACGCCCTCCCCAATCTCGCCCCCGGCGCAAAGGCCATTTCCGTACCTGCCGACAGTGCGAAGTTCGAAGGCGTCGAGCACTTGGTGCGCGAGGTTGCGAAGACGACGGATCATGTGGATATCTTGTTTGCGAATGCGGGTGCTACATGGGGAGAGGAGTTCGATACGCATCCGGACTCGGCATTTGGGAAGGTGATGGATTTGAATGTTAAGAGTGTGTTTAATACTATTCGATTGTAAGTCTGGCCCTCAATTGCAGGTTGCGTGGTGGAGGAGGGACAGAGTGCTAATTAGATATTTTGGACAGGTTTGCGCCAATGTTGCAGAAGAACGCATCTATCCAAGACCCGTCAAGAGTTATCATCACAGCTTCCGTAGCAGGCATTGGAATCGGTTCTTTGGGAAAGAATGCCACATTTGGATATTCCGCTTCCAAAGCAGCAGCTATCCATCTCGCAAAGAATCTGGCTGTTGAACTTGGTCCGAGACATGTTCTGGTTAATGCAATTGCGCCAGGATTCTTCCCGTCGAAGATGGCCAGTGGATTGATTGGGCTGAGTGGTGGCACGGAAGCTGCAGCCGCGAGGAATCCGAATAAGAGATTTGGCAAACCAGAAGATATTGCAGGACTGGTGGTTTTCTTGAGTAGCAGAGCCAGTTCGCATATTAATGGTGCGGTAGTCACTGTTGATGGAGGGGAAGTGTGGGCAAGAGGGGGAATGAATTCCGGGCTGGAAGATAAGCCTAAGCTTTGAGCTGGATGAATATTTGTAGCATTGTTTATTCTATACCGAGCTATTTACTGTAGATCTAGGCGAGTAGAAGCATAAGGAATACAGGGTATCATCGCTTCCTTGCAACCCAGTGGGTAGCCATGTATGTGTTTTGTAACATGCTTTCTACATCCTGAATATATGGCGCTGCAATTCCTGACTCTCTGTGCTCAATGTCAAAGCCAAATTTCTCGATCAATGCCACCACTTCGTCATCTGTCAATTCTACAGCACCTGGGTCTGCTATTCCTGTGTAAACAATTAGCGGTGCAACACGGCGTGGTAAGCGAAATCATACCTTGTGCCTCCTGTCCACTAGGAAATTCTTTCTCGCGCCCATGAGTCCCTGGGGCATTGTTCTCAAAATGCCATAACAAAGGCCCAATATTGACAAGTAAGCCTCCTTTCTTCAGACAGTTTTTTATCACTTCGATGTACCGAATTACGTTTGGAGCCGTATCTAGGAAGAAAACCGTAGCCACTGCATCGAACGAGTCCTTCTGGTCCTTGTCTCCATATAAGAGTAGAAAATCCGAAGCACTCATACTCATCTCTCCAGGCTTCTCAACGGCTCCCAACGCCGCAGCAGGATGGATGTCTGGCACGAGCACGGACTTCAAGTGATTGATACGAGTTCTGTGATTTGAAAAAGAGTGAACCCAAGGGAAAAGTGTATGGGCTTGTGCTTTCGGACAATGGTTTAGTATGTAAGAACTTGCGATCAACTGGTGGTAACTGATCTCATTCCCTTCAGTATCGAAACTGGCACAGCAAAGGTCGAAGACAAGTCGACCGAGACCTGCTCCTGGAACCAAGACTTTTAGGCTTCGGCCGGGGCGAGATTGTTGCTCCCTTTTAAGAGCTTTGATAACTGGACCGTAACATGCTTCTCGCTCAGCTGCACCTTCGGCCGACCAATCGCGGAAAAACTGTCTCAACGTACTTCTTGCTTTCTCCAAATCATTAGATGTAGCTTTGCCACGCCAGTCACTCTCTTTACTGTCCGCAGCAGTGATTCTATCTGGGATGCCAAAGGAAGTAACTCCTGACTTCCAGATAGCTAATGAGAGATCCGCATTGCTATCAATGGCGTCGTCGACAGCGTTCAGAGTGTCGAGGTAGGAGAATGGAGGAGCGGCTAGGAGTTCCAGGTGAGCTCTTGGGAGAGCATAGAAGGATTGTCTCCTGAGATGTGTGGTGTTGAAATGAGCGACTCGTGCATATTGGCTGCATGTGATGTAAGTAGACGATCTCCGTGACAAGCAAGACTGTCAGGACATGAGATAAATAAGACAAGCACATCGTTGGAGCGACATAAGATCTTCTACCTTACATATCACAGAGGAATATCCTCAAACCAAATACTTGAGAGATACTAATTATAGAAAAATAGAGGAAACAAGAGAATGTAAAAGCAAAAGTAGAAATAATAATGGTTGTTGACTTACTAAAAAGAGCTCAATGCTGCAAGTAATACCCTTTGTTCGTCAGGATCCTCGATGGTCTCCTCGTTCCCCTCCCACTCTGGGGTCATGATGCCTTCAACAGGATCAATTTCCAATGTCATTGCATGTTTCTATAAATTTGAGTGAAGAGTTTGAAAGGTGAACTCACTTCTTGAGACTCGCTTCGTTGCCGCTGGTTCAGACCTGTACCTCTACCTGTACTGCTGCATCAACACAACACTAGACCACATATGGTCCATCACTAGCGCCGCACCCCTGCTCGACCCTCCAAGTTCAGAGAGTAACCAACAAACGCCGCTCCCTTCCCTTCCTTTCATTCTTCGCTCTTCACCCCCAACTCGCTTTTCCGCCAGCCCGACCATCGCCATGGCTTCGCAATACGTCAAGGCGCAGGGCGTCACTGGGCCTCTGTCGACTGCTATGCCAACGGCCCAGGAACTCGCAGCCAATGACGATCTTGTTACAGAGTTGAAGAGACAGAACAACTACGAAAATCCAGAAGAGACTGCGAAGAGGTATGGCCACATTTCTGCCATGATAAATATTTGATCACCTACTAATAACATCTCGCATCTAGATCGGCCGTTCTCAAGTCCCTTCAGTCGATCACCGAGGAGTTTGTGAGGCAAGTCACCAGAGCCCAGGGCAAGCCGGAGGCGATCGCAAAAGCCGCGGGAGGAAAGATCGAGACTTTTGGAAGCTTTAAGCTTGGTGTCATAGGTCCTGGATCTGATATCGATACTCTCGTCGTCGTTCCTAAACATATCACCAAAGAGGAATTCTTCCAGAAGTTCCCAGAGGTACTGGTCAAGATGGCGCCTGAAGGTGCTATCACGGAACTAGTCCTCAAACCAGATGCTTATGTACCCATCATGACATTCAAGTACTCTGGAATTGACTTGGATTGCTTATTTGGCCGGATCGCAGGACTCGGTCAGATTCCAAGAGACCTAAAGATTGTCGACTCGGACTTGCTGCGTGGACTGGATCCTATAGAAACTCGCTCACTCAATGGTGTGCGTGTGGCAGATGAGATGTTAAGTTTAGTTCCCCAGCCAAACGTCTTTAGAACAGCCCTGCGGACAATTAAGCTCTGGAGCGCCCGGCGTGCAATTGCTGGTAATGTTTATGGCTTCCCGGGAGGTGTGGCGTGGGCAATCCTGGTTGCGCGCGTCTGCCAGCTTTATCCTAAGGCCACAGGTTCAACAATCATTATGAAGTTCTTCAAGATCGTAGACAAGTGGCCATGGCCTCAACCAGTCTTGTTGAAGCAGATTGAAACCGGCAAGCTGAACCTCCAGGTCTGGAATCCAAAGGTATGACATTTCGTTCTGCGGGCCAAACCAAACGCATGCTTACTTTTCGCAGAACAGCGGTACTGACAGAAGACACATCATGCCCATTATCACTCCAGCCTATCCCTCAATGTGCACTACACACAACGTTACTCGATCTACAATGGCGGTCCTGCAGAATGAGTTGAAGCGCGGTGGTGATATTGCTGATCGGGTGATGGCCGGCAAGGCGAAGTGGAAGGACCTTTTCGAGAAACATACATTTTTTACCAATAGCTATAAGTACTACCTATGCATTATTACTGCTAGTACCACGAAGGACATGCAGACGACATGGTCGGGTTGGGTGGAATCGAAGGTCAGATTGATAGTCGGCAGGCTTACAGAGCAGACTTCGGTTGCGATAGCCCACCCATTCAACAAGGGTTTCAACAGAGCCCACAGGTGCCGAACCGAGGAGCAAGTCGATGCAGTCAAAGGTGGAAGTCTGGAATACTATGCCAAAGACATGGGGACTGCAACAACTGGCCATGGTCTAGCTGCAGGTGGTATGGTGAAGGATGGCACTAGCAACGGAGAAGAGGAGAATGAGGACGACAAGATCACAATGGTATACACGACAACTCACTACATCGGACTGGAGCTTCACGAAGGTGAGTTCAAAGCGGTGTTTTCTGGGCCTGCAAACGCTTGGTATGGAGTGTGCCACCCATCTGCTAATATATTTAGGTGCTAAATCTCTCGATCTTTCCTGGCAAGTTGACGACTTCAAGAATACATGCGCCAGCTGGGACTTGTATGACAGCAATGTTAGTGCATTGCATGTTGCTCATACGAAGAAGTAAGTGTGCTTGGAGGTATTTACAGCAGTAATTGACCTCCGTTACAGTTACGATCTCCCCGAAGATTTGTTCGAGGACGGCGAAGTGAAGCCTACGAAACCACAGAAGAAGAAGCAGTCGAACAAACGTACTTCAGCCGACGTATGTAGCTTCTCCCATGCCTAGTTGGAACTGACCACAGCTGGGCGTTATATTTTCCAAAGACCTGCACTGGTTGTGGGTTTGGCACAGGGCAGAACTAACTTCTACTAGGATTCGGCGCAGCCAGCATCAAAGAGACAGCAAACTTCGGTAGTTGCAGCAGGATAAATCTGTGCGAATTCACCCCACCTTCTTTACCTCCTCCCTCTCGTTGACCAGATGTCTAACGGCAGGCTTTGGACTTCCCTTCGCCATTACAACTCGATTGCCACACTCGCATTCCAAAAAAACATTCTGGACTACTAACAAAAGCAGTTCCGGCAGGCATTGGAGCTGAGAATTGCTCTAGTAAGACCTTCGTCCCCTTCACACCCTGTTTTGTTTCTAGGGGAATCTTGTGACCAAAAACTTTGATACACATACAGGCGTGAGATGATTCTCAACCTGGCGCATCCATGATAGGCGTTCATAGACAGCGAGGACTTCGGAATGACATACATCGTCACAAAGCGACAGGCGAAGAGGCGTTGGCTATGGATGGCTTAGAAGCCCGTGTAATCTAGTTACCAATAAATGATTTTTTGAGACTACGGTCTCTTGCCAAAAGACAAGAAAAGCCTCCCTTGAAACCATGAAGAACAATGAAGATCTTGGGTGTTCTATCCTTTCCAAAACTGAAGGAGTCGAAGCTGGGATGGGAACAGCAGCTAGAAGGCTCGCCTGTTTGTTGTTTACCAGGTCTCTGGAGCGAAGGGGAAGGTGTATTTGGGCCAGGGTCTGATGACGCTCGGCGAAGCTACGTCAGAGCCCAGACCGAGGACTACTTCACAGGCAGCCTCTTGGCATCAGCCAGCACTCGACTAATTACTCCTTTGGACCACATCATTCTTCTCTTCTGTTCACATCTGCAAGAGCTACAAATCCATAATACAGACCATCGAGGTTGATTTGTTTCCATTGCAAAGAACGAAGCCATCCAAGTCTCTCCGCCATAAATGTCATCAGTCGTTGATAAGCGCTAGCTCCAAGTCCCCTCCAACGAAGCTTCCCTGTGATCCAACTCTACCTACCTGCCCATAGCCTCATACCTATCCTTCACCGAAACTGGCGCCTCCACCACTTCGACCAAGAGCTGGGCATCCTCATCATCGCCAGAGTCTCTTCCGCTACCTATTCCCACACCCTCGACAGACCGCGCGCGACAGACTTACCACCTTCCCTTTCGATACACTTCCATACTATAAGCTTCGAGCGCAGTCGCGGATTTTCAGCTTCATCGTCAAGCGCCAGAAACGACATCAAGAGAAAAGAGTCGCAGGGACACGGATTGTCGATATCCTCCGCAGGCGGGGCAGCAGAATCTTTGGCGTGCCGAAGAACAATGAGACTGGAGGACGATCTAAGCTGACCATGTCTGGTTTGCCTGGTAACGGCTCAGTTGAGGTTGGTGGCGAGAGAGAAAGTGGCTCAAGGAGAAAGAAACTGGCGGGATATCTGAAGGCTGCGAATGATTTAAGGCAGTCATACCAACAGTCCTACTCGGAGAGATGGGGTTCTGCGAACGGGGACTTTGGCGATGATACCAAGGGGATTCCGGGATCTTTCCCGGATGTTGCAATAGTGTCGCATGGGGACGAGCAACTCATTTTGTTTCCATCTTATGCAAAGAAGCATGTCAGGCAACAGCCTCCTGATCCAGCCTCAAATCCGGTTCGGAGAGATAGTAGTGGGAGTGAGATGAGCGCTGATGGACCTGCTGATGCAGAATACTGGGCTAGGGAATGGCAAAAGTTTGAGGATGATAGAGCAGTAGTAGATGTTGATGTTCGAGGCTGGATATACTCCCCCCATAGAGGACCAATGACAAGGAAGAACAGGTTGTTGATTGGCCTCGCTCGACAATTGAGTGGAATTCCAGCACCAAAGGACCCGAATAGAGACAATAGTCCAGATGCTGCACCATCATTGATTGCAAGGCACCAGGAACACGAGGCTCGCCGCGATGAAGAAAGGATTGCTCGTGAGGCGGACGAGATCTTGAGGAGAGGTCGAGGAGAAAAGAAGGCTGCGGCTCAGGGTCGATACAGTGAGAAGCCGAGGGAGGACTCGGACGATGAAAGCATATATGGCGACAAAATCAGATCTGGGACACATACTCCGCTAGGATCAGCTGAACCACCGGGTCCTGGACACCTTAGCAAGCGACAATCATGGAATCAACCTTCTGACATGACAACGACGGAGTTGCTGGCCGCAAACACACATCTCATGGCACGGCTGAAGCCATTCTTGACGAATCCATTAGTATCTACCCCTATTACAGTATTTTTCTATGATGAGAAGACTTCTGTGTCTCGTACGGTCACGACCAATGACGCTGGTCATTTTATTATGAGAGCTGCTCTAGACTTTGTCCCGACTCATGTGAGAGTATTGGCCTCGGAACATCTCTCGGCAACGGAAGAAGTCAAGATAACCCAGCCGAAGGGAGTCAGTCTTATCAGTGATGTTGACGATACTATTAAGCATTCGTCCATCGGTGGTGGGCCAAGAGAGATATTCAGGAATGCCTTCATTCGAGATCTAGCAGATCTGACAATTGATGGCGTGAAAGAGTGGTACAACACCATGTATGACATGGGAGTTGGGGTTCATTATGTTTCAAATTCTCCCTGGCAGCTGTTCCCGGTTCTGGTCAGTTTTTTCCGAAAGGCAGGTTTACCACCTGGATCCTATCACTTGAAGCAGTATAGTGGAATGTTACAGGGGATATTTGAGCCTGTGGCCGAGAGAAAGAAGGGAACCCTTGAGAGGATCATGAAAGACTTTCCAGAACGTAAATTCATCCTGATAGGAGACAGTGGAGAAGCAGACCTGGAAGTCTACACCGATGTAGCTCTTGCACATCCTGGCAAAATCTTGGCTATTTTCATCCGCGATGTTACCAGCCCTGGGAACCAAGGGTTCTTCGACTCTTCTATGGGACCATTGAGCGGTGATCGACGAAGAGGTCGAGCTGACCCATCGCGAACTGAATCATGGGATAGTCGCAAAACAACATCCACAATCTCGTTGGATTCGGCGGAAAGACGCCCCACCCTCCCACCAAGAGTTGCTACAGAAGTAGCTCCCCAGACCAGCACTGGCCCAGCTATGGGCAAATTGATCGATTTCGACGATGAGCCTCAGCAAGTAGATATACATGAATCCCATAGAAGAGTCATGCCCAGATCTGCCTCGGATTTTGAGGGTCTAGACTCCCCAAGGAGGAAATCTGCTCCTGAAGGCATAAGCCCTCGTGTACCGCCTCCTCGTCCTGTAAAACCTGCAGGACTACGAGGTGTATCAACCTCCGGCTCATCATCCGAGCCTGCTCTGCCCAAAACGAAGGGTTCTCCACCTCCACCACCTAAGCCTCGTCGGCCAAATGGCAGTCGAGAGGGTACACAATCTCACCCACTCTCCCAGGCAACTAGTTCAACAGATCTGAAATCACCCGAAGAGGATTCGTATCTCACAAGTGCACGCAATAAGGTAGCTGCAGCTTACAACTCCCTGCCAGAAGTCAGATCTCACCTGCCTGGCTATTCTCACGGCCCACTCTCCGAAAGTTCCTCCCTTTCATCACAAGAGAAACCACCTCCACCCCCGAGACGGGGAACAGGCTCAGTCGGTCCAGCAGCAGCGGCTATGACAAAACGGATGTCCTGGAACAGTACTGACACATCAGATGACGAGCGGCCGAACAACGGTGTGCCCGTCAACAAGAAGCTCGACTTGTGGCGAAGACGGTGGAAGCGAGCCAAAGACATCCTTGATGGACAAGGCGTGCAGTTGCGGGCTTGGAGGACTGGCAGCGATGTATGCTTAGAGGCGGTACAGATGGTTGAGAAGGCGATGCGAGATATGAATGTTGAGGGGTACGGAAATGATGGCAAGGGCAAGACGGGAGAGGGCGGTGGAGAGATGAAAACGAAAGATATGAAGAGGTCAAATAATTAATCACCGATAATAGTCTTCGATGAATTATACGTATATACATATTTATCAAACGATAACACTCTACATCCGTGCTCCACACCACCAATTTGGGTGGGTATTTTCTTATCAATTACCTAGATAATAATCGTCAGGGATGCCAATAATCCGATACATACAATTCATCATGGCATGTGCCAGTGCCTCTCCACGTTCCAAGGACACATCCTAATTCCATATATCAGGCGCAACACGACCCACAACACTCGCAACTATTGCAATTCATGCCTAAACTCCTCGCTCAACGGCGCTCCATTCATATCCACCTGACTCCTCCTCGTCCCCCCACCCACAGGTCTCCTCGCAATACCCCCCGAACTCGACTGCCCGCCACCCATCTCCTGCACCCCAGGCGGAACATTCCAACTCCCGCGATTCTCACCACCTAACTCATTCACCTCGCTATGCGTCCCTAATTCATTCACGGTTCCCATAGTAGCAGCAGCAGCAGGAGGAGGAGGACTCTGCATCACCATCGGGGAATGCGATTGCCCTTGTGGGGGGGAGAAGCCTGAACCCATGGGACTGACGCCGCCTTGACTGCTGAGGTTACTTGCTCGCCGTTGCGTCTGGTCTTGAGCGAGTTCGCTGTATTGGCTCGGTGGGCTGGGGATGAGCGTCGATGAAGGATTGGTATAGACTGGTGGGGGAGATTGAGATGGTGGATATCCATTAACACTCGATTGCGTATTAGTATTCTCCCCGCCGCTCGACAAGTGTCCTCCCAAAGCAGGTCTATACACCTCCTGGGTTCCCACCCCAGCCGTCTGTTTCTCAGGATATACACCCATAGCTGGATGCTGCTGCTGTTGTTGCAGCTGCTGAGAAGCGCCATAAGCAGTAGCGGGCTTCATGGCCCCTCCTATTTCCGCTACATTGTTGTTGTTCATGCCGTATGCAGTCAATGCGCTCGCTTGCTCGTTCTGTATACGTGCTTGAGCAGCTGCAGACTCGGCACGCTTTTGCTTGCGTTTGCGTAGGCAGAACCAGAGGAGGAAAGCTAGGAGCGCGAGGACTGCGACGCCGCCTACTGCGCCGCCGACGATGGCTCCAATGGGCTTTTTGGAGTGTTTGTTTGGCGAGGGCGTCGGTCTGGGAGATGAAGAAGGTGTGCTTGTTGAATCGGAGCCGCCTACGAAGATAGTGGGTGTGGCAGGTGTGGATGTTTCGGTGGCTGTTGGATCAGGCGTTGCGAAGGACTCATCGGTAGTGGTCGTGTCGCTGGAATTGAAGCCATCGGTTTCTATGCGCGTGACGATGAGGCCGTAGGCGCTGGTTGAGCAGCCAAAGTTGTAGGCTGTAAATCCGGAGCCAAAATCGAATCCGAAGAAGCCGCAGTATGGCTCTTCCGCGGGACTGTTATATTGTTAGAATATTTTGGACATATTGACGACAGTTGGATATGGCTTTGATTCTCACCAGAAAATCTCAGACTTTGGCGGAACTCCTGATTGAGGATAATTCCAACACTGGGTGATCCAATCGTATGCTATACTCGTCTGTCCACATCCCTCATATAACCTGCCATTCACAGTCTGGAAAAGACATGTCTGTGAATTAACACATTGTGGCTGCCCGAACCCCCCAGGAATTGTCCACTCGGTACAAATGTTCGTCAATGCCCTCTGCTTCAATTTCTGCTTGACCAACTCCACCGAAGGAGCAGCTGTAGGCTGGAGAAAGACCTGTCCGTATCCATCTGCGAGAGTCTGTGTAGGGAATGCGCCAATCGCGAAGCCGCTCACTGAAGATGCCAGCGCTGCTATAGCTGTATATCGCAGGAGTGAGGCCATGGCCGGAAATCGATCACGACACCAAAAGACAAATTCAACAGTTCTTGACAACAATTGATGACGATAAGGATCGCACCCAAAGGAAAGAGAGCCGAAGTCGTACATGGGCATAGCTTACCTATGTATGGAAATGAGCTGAGGGGACGACTTCTTCCATTCGCTGGCTCATGACTCTCCCCGACGCCATGTCTTCAGCTGGGTGGACCGCGTTGTTCTTAAAAACGCCATCTTTCATCCCAATGCGGGACATGAGGCTCTCCCGTCTGCAAAGTGGAGGTGATTGGAGACTAAGTTGGAAGGATTCCAAAGGGCACCAGCGGAACCTATCATCTCTCACACTTGAGAAAGATAGACAAACAGATCCCCGTTCTCAGGACAAGTCCCTGGCTGCACTTGCACATGAGTTGCACTTGTGCAAGGGCAGGCTGCTTGACGGGAGCTGGAAATAGGCAAGCCGCCATAGTGAGGTTTTGGGGCAGTGAGACATTCGCTTAGCGAGCTGAAAGCCCCCTGAGCGAATCACAATAACACCTTCCTTGGCATCTCGCTGCGGGAGCGTGGTGGGTGGTGCCAAGATGTTTATCGACCCAGCGGGGCTATGGAGATCCAATAATCGTTTATTGTGTAGATCGAGAGCTTGGATGAGGGGTCCAGCGCAGCGGGACAGAACAACTGATTGATTTTGTTCCGAGGTTCGCGAGGCTGATTTGGAGTCCGGGTTCTCTTGGGGACAGTAGATACCTTATTTGGACATTGTGATGGCTTCTAGAAGCTTTTGTGGACAGTCAGATGGGCCGTGGGGCTAGCATAGGGCTGATTTGAGACTGTGGCAGGCTGACGTCGGATGGGCTTGTCAGATCTTCGCAGTGATTCCCTTGTTCCGGTAATCTATGTATGCTTTTCAACAACACCTGAGAAAAGAAACGTATTTCCAATCATCTTGACAAGTCTTGGGTATTTCTATATCATGTTCCTCCATCCTGTCCCATCCCAGAGAACCCGCTCTCGCTGGACGTATCTGGCATCAAAAATGAACCAGTATACCAACTATCGTCCTCGAGGAAGCTCATCCAATCATCTCCAGGAGTGCTGACCATACTCGCACTCATCGAATTGGGTGTCATCATACCCAATGGATTTTTCAACTTCCACTCCCATTTCATGCCGTCGCCAAACTCCATTTGCACAACATCGTTCATCAGTATTCTTGGAACGGTGTCTTCCTCGCCGGTCGTGCGTAGATGAATTTTCTCTAACTCCCACCACTCCTTAATCATTTTCACACCCGACTCGCTGTCCCACATTCCTTCTCTTCGTGGGCAGCGACTCAAGAGATCAATAGCGAGCGTCTTGATCTGCTGATCCTGACATCTTATACAGACATAGTACAAGGGTCCCACTATCCCCAAGTCTGTCGAGAAAGTAGCGGCCGTCTTGCCGTTCTTGATATCCTGCTCTTCAGTGGCAATCAAGGATCTACAAAGATTCGTGATGATTCTGAATTCGTCCGTGTGCTTTCTGAATAAAAACGAGTCGTTCATGGCCGCAGACAGCGGTCGAGAATCGGTAGCATCGGGTACCATCGCGGATATTATCTGGGCGGTCAGATGATGGATTTTCAGCAATGCTGCTCCTCGAAGCTCGCGATTGTCGAGGGAGGCAGATTTGGCTCGCATAAAACGCTCAAATGCGGAATTCCAACGTTGGTTATCTTCTGCATACTTTTGGAAAAGGTCAAAAGCTTCAAGTGGCTGTTCGCACATGGATAGGGAACCTTTGGCAGTTAGTGCTTTGTCTCATCGACCCTATTCGCCATTTACATACCATCGCACAAGTAAGTCATTCTAAAGAGCGAATTGGCAACTACATTCATAGAGTTCCTCGCTTCATCAAGCGTCTTGAAAACTTCGGGTATTGGCATCGTTCTCGAGCTCACATGAGCTAGCTCGACAACCATTTTCCTCCGCTCTGGTGTGGGCCGTGTGTCTATGAACAAAATGGCTTGGATACTAAGCCGTAAGAACAGAGGTGCGATTTCCGTAGTAATTGCATGCTCGTCCGCTGCAGATTTCGTTTTCAAGTCGCGTAAGATCTTGAGTCCGCTCTGTAGATGTGCCATGGCCGATACGAAGTGTCCCCTCAAGGAGTCGAAGCCTGTATTCATGAGTCCCCTAGATTCAGAACCAAGCTGTCCGATGGCCATGACTTACAGACGAACAGAATACACGACATCAGAGCCGTTATCGGTGCTTGAGTCCCATCTGCTAGCGATCTTCTCAAATGACCAATTGCTTTCACATATTGGTTTACTGCAAATGCATGTCCTTTGCTGACCTCGCCTGTGCCATAAGTGAGCTTCCGATTCGCAAATTCCTCATGTATAGACCCGATGGCAATAACAGCATGTCGAAGACTAGGCTCCGCGGCGCTTGCTTGCAGGACAAGCCTTTCCCAGAAATCAGAGGAGTAGAACCCTGTCAACTCTGCTCCCGTTTGTGATATGAAGTATTGGAATCCGCGCTTCTCTTGGGCACTTCCAGGGAGGAGAGCTGGCAATCGCTGAATAAGGGTGCCGGAATTGGAGTGGGGATTCGAAAGAGCAAATTCGGGGAGGTAGCCATCGCATTTTCGACCGGTACTGGTGCAGCGCTTGCAGTGGGGTTTGGCTTCGTCACATTTGATTCTGCGGACTCTGAGTAGGGTCAGTAGCTGTAGCTGAGGAGTTGAGGGATCCTTACTTGCAGGTTTGGCAGCCCGTCCTCGTCTTGGGACCACACTGTCTCCTTCGTTTCACTTGAGTCTGGGTTACTTGGTCTGCCATCTTGCCTCTGTCTCTTGAATGTCTTTGGAACAACAAAAGGGGGTATCAAGTTGAAGCTTCTAGAATGAGTAGAGAAAGCACAGCACCATGAACATATAGTAAATGAGCGATGAAGAGAGGAATGGGGTAAGATAGGGAAAGTATGCTTAAATGACGCCTATCATCAACAGGCTACAGACGGCGATCCATCTGCGGCACAGTCGAGCTTTGAACCTTGCATTTGTGAAGCTTCGCGGCAGAGCAGAAGCTTGCATGGTGGACGCGATTTGGCTGAGCCACTGTTGCACCTCTTTTCAAGGCTGAGCAACAGGTGAAATCCAGGATCACCAAGAGCGACGACACTGATTGGGACAAATAAGAGTGAGTGCTACACGAGCTGACGAATCAGAGACCGTTGACAATTTAGCCCAGCTTACGTGAGCATCAGCACCCCTGTCCCAGGGTCCAAAGTCCTATGGTGATCATACTTTAAGCTTAAACTTTTCTATTCCTGGGAACAGACTATCGGGCCACCAAGAGGTTAGAAGTTGACAGTGACCTTCAAGCAGTTGCGAGTATCTCGCTTCCATAGGTACGCCTAGTCGGGAGCGAAAACAAAGTTCCTCATATGGAGGATTACGCCTTGTTTACTATGTACACCACTGCAGAACCACATGTTATTAACCCAAGACTTACTCGAACCATATCTGAAGGTATATCAGGGTCCCGAGTTTTCAAGATTGATTTTGGGCCAGGAAACAGCTGCTACTCGCTTAACACCAAAACAATAACAATCTGCTTTTTAACATCGCTCGGCTGAACTCGGCGAATTTGCTACAACACTTTTATATCCCACAAGCAGGACCATGCACATGTCCCTCTTCATCACCACCCATTATCATCTCAGGATCATCCCATTCCTCCCACCCATCCTCAAATAGCTTCCCCAACATCTCCACCCTCGTCTTTTCCCCAACGCCCTCCAACCTCATAACTCTTTCCCACTCCCCCATCTCCGCATCACTCAGCAAACACCCATCCAAAGTTCTCGTCAAACCCTCGACATCTAATCCCTCCCCGATCAACACAACCTCCTGCCTCCTATCACCCCACTCACCCTCGAAATCTCTTTCAATCATCTTAGTCAGCTCTATGCCTGCCTCGCCAGCAGGAAGCGGCCATTGCTCTCTGGGAACATTTGCAAACCATTGCAAACCTGGGGAGAACGTTAGCATAGCTCCGGCTTGAGACCAGTCACCGGACTGGTTCGGGCGTGTCGCGAGCCAGACAAAGCCCTTAGAGCGGAGGAGGTTGTGGAAGAGAGGATGGGATTTTTTGTTTGCGAGGCGTTGTTCTAGTGGGATGTCGGGATATTGCGTGAGTTCACTGGAATCCTCTGTAACACAGGTGCCTGGTGATGTGACTGCATCTGAAGGGCTACCAGAAGCCGTGGGAGATGCGGTCATGGGCGAATCTTGTCGTGGAGAAATGTGATCCTCGGATATTGGTGATGCAGAGTTGGAAGCAGGTCTATGTGCCGAGATGTATTCGTCGCCCTTGTCGTCTTCTTCATCATCTTCATCCTCTTCATTCTGAGGCTCAAGAATAACAAATTTATCATATACAAGCTCGAAAAGTCGTTTGGGTTCAAACGGACGACGAGCTCTGTACACGAACGAGTTGATACCATACCTATGACCATGGTTAGCATGCGGTTGGATGTTGCCTCCTAAAATTGGAGACGTTGGAGCAGGGGCTGCAATTCCTTTGCGCAAATACTTACTCCTCAGTCTCAGGTTTAGGTGCCAACACCTTCCTCTCATGATTGTCGATCATACTCATGTCATGCACACTTTTCAGCCACCCAGACGACTTAATACTCGTCTCCTCACTATACCTACCGGTAGAAATGATCTCTTTGACATCCAGTGGAATAGCGCCAAATGGGTTCTCAGATTGTTTGGATGGTCGAAGAGAAGTCTCCAGGATCTTGCAGCCTGGGTTGAGTGTCTTAATGAGACCACGGATGCGAGATAGGGTTTTGTCGTCAACCATGTCGATCTGTGAGGACACGTATTAGCTGTATTCGACCAGAAGCCCAACATTGTCTCAAGAATTGTGAAAATTAAGGGTTTGCGGGAGAAGGGGACGTACCTTATTCACAATAATCACATCCGCAAACTCAATCTGATCAATCATGAGATCCGTCACAGTCCTCTCATCTTCCGGAGTCTCCACCTCCGACGCAAACCTCTGATGCAGCAACTCAATAGTCTCGAACTCCTCGAAGAACCGAAACGCATCAACAACAGTAACAGTTGTATCAATCTTAGCGATCGAGTTAAGCCCACCATTATCAGCACTATAAACATCAACTTCAGCAACGTCCTTTCCACAACAATACATGCGAGTAGTGAAAAAGAAACTCACAGTTCCCCAAGAACATCCTTCTCCTCCTTACTCCACGCCATTTCTCCGCTCCCACCTCCATCACCACCCTCCGCCTCCACCATCGCCAAACTAAACTCCTTCGTAAAACTCTCCGCAACCTGCTGCGGCTCGCTGATCCCCGTACTCTCAATCAGCACATAATCATACTTCCCATCCTTAGCCAGTCTCGCCAGCTCAAGCACGAAGTCGCCGCGCAAGGTGCAGCAAATACAGCCATTCTGCATGGCTACGAGCTTTTGTTGGGAGGCAGGATTGGTTGAGGAGGTGGAGGAACGGATCAGGTTGGCGTCGACGTTGATGGCGGCCATGTCGTTGACGATTACGGCGATGTGGAAGCCATGGTGAGGGGAGTTGAGGATGTATTGGAGGAGGGTGGTTTTGCCGGAGCCCTTGATTGAGTATTAGCAGTGGTCTTGGTAGAAAGTCTAAGAGTAACTTTGGAGATCTTAGGAAGCCTACCAGAAACCCGGAGAGAAGTGTGATTGGAAGTGTCTTGAAAGTCCCCGTGGGCTCAACAATGCTTGAAGTTTCCATCTTCGCAATATCTTGCTTCTTGCTTCCCTTGGTATTGTTTTTTTTTGCTCTTCTTCGCAACTGGTTGTGAGTCCGCCTCTTACTTTCGTCGCAAGCTTCTGCTTCGTTTTGATGTCATTCGGTTATTATTTTTCTGCGTTCAAGTATTGATAGTTGTTGCCGACACTGGAGAAAAGGAGATATTGTTTAGAAAGTAGGAAATTTTGGTCTTACAAGTCTGAGGGAAGTATTTCGAAGTCAAATTATATGACCAGCAAGTAGATGCTGAGGTATGTCAGGTCTCTGATAGGCCCACGGATCGGGGAAGTACGGTATGTAAACACCTTGTTGTCTTTCGATGTTCGCTTAGCCAGTACGTCCAACAACCTTGTTGGTATCGGCACTGGCCTGTCTTTAAAGTTTTAAATCCAGCCTGGAACACTACATATTGGCTGGTATTGAATTGCACCTGTGGCCTTTGTATGATAAGGAAAGCAGTGATCTCACATGATCCGTTTTGACTCTGGGCAGCAACTTACCGCTTTCTTGATGCCCAATTTCATTCCACAAGGTATCAATTCCTAGCTCTACAAATATCTACCGCTTCTTCCCAAACTTCCCACCCCTAGCACCCCCTTTCGCAGGCGGCTTTCCACCTGCTACCTTCTTTTTGCCCTTACCGTCCTTCTTTATAGGCGCAAGAGCTCCCTTTCCATCCCTCTCCGCTCTTCCCTTCTTCCAGACCTTCCCCTCAGTCCTCGCTTCCCTATCATCCAATTTCTTTTTATCCTTATTACTCAACTTCCCAGGCTTCTTTTTCAAAATGCTCTCCACGCCATTGAGTGCATCCCGACCAACCTTCTTCGCCGTCCTCTTGTCCTGCTCGCTCTCAAACCACGTACGTTTTGGTCTGCCCTTGATTTCTTCCTCGTGCGTCATGATGTTTTCTCCCTTACGGACTTGCATCTCCACTTGTGCGAGCTGCTTATCCTCTTTCTCTTCTTTCAAGATCTCGTCGATCTCATCTGCCATATCCTCGACCTTCTGAGCCCATTCGTCGGCCTCAGAAGCTTCGATTACTCGACTGACGATCTTGGCTCCTTGAGATCGACCACTCTTCACAGCGGCTTTGACGACTTTGCGATCGGGTTCAGCAGCGAGTGTGCAGGCTCTGCCTTGGCGGCCAGCACGAGCTGTTCGTCCGACTCTGTGGAGATAGATTTCATGAGATTGAGGTGCTTCGTAGTTGATGACGGTGTCCACGCCTTTAATGTCGAGACCTCTGGATGCTAGATCGGTGGCTAGTAGGAAAGATGCTTTCCCGTCTCTAAAAGATTCTACACTCCTGATACGCTATAGAATTGTTAGATCAATGTTTAGCTTGCGGCACTTGTATGCTTACCTGTTCTTGGCTCATGCTACCGTGCAATTCAGTAGCCTTGAGACCAGAAAGTCCAAATATAACTCTGGCTCTATGCGCCTCCTTCTTCTGACGGAAGAAAACAATCACCCTGTCGGTATAAACATTTGCACAAAGATACAGTAGGTATCCCATCCGCTTAGTCTCCCTTCCAGGACGTAGACGAATGAACTCCTGCACCAAAGTCGTGACAGTCTGCTTCTGAGAATCGACTAATAACCTGACGGGTCTGTTGAGACCAACACGAATCAGGTTATCGACAGAAGATGTCATAGTAGCAGAGAACAACATAGTCTGTCTCGATTTCGGAATAGTCGTCAGAATCTCGTTCAACTCGTCGGCGAAACCAGCCTCCAGCATACGATCAGCCTCATCGAGAACCAGAATCTCAAGCGTATCGACAGTAAAGCTTGCTGAATTGCGCATGTGATCAATGAATCGACCGGGTGTGGCGATGATGACATCTGGGCGAAGCCTCAACTCTGCTTCTTGAACTTTGAGACTGAGACCTCCGACTGCTAGACAGAACTTGATATCGGTGTGACTTGCGAGCTTCGTAGCGACGGCGTGACACTGGATAGCCAATTCACGAGTGGGCATGAGAATGGCTACTCTGCTGGTTGGGACTTTCTTGGGGCGGTACAGAAGACGTTCGAGAACGGGAACGATGAACGCTGCAGTCTTTCCGGAACCAGTGACAGCTCCACCGACGACGTCTTTGCCCAGTAAGGCCACAGGGATAGTCTTAGCTTGGATAGGTGTTGGCGCAGAGAATCCAACAGCGGCAAGACCTCGAAGAATTGGTCTGGATAAAGACATGCCTTGGAAAGAAGAGTAAGTGGCAGCTTTCGCACCCTTAGCAGGCTTCTCTTCTGGCGCAAAGAACGCTTCTCGACGAGCTGCCTCCTCTGGATCTTCATCCTTCTCTCCTTCATCAGATGAGCCGTCCGACTCCATATCATCAGGATGAGGAGCCGGACTCGCAACCGAGTCTGCGTCCGAATTATCCTCCTCATCTTCATCATCCTCGTCAGCAGACCCGTCTTCCTCCTTCTCATCTCCAGATTCTTCCTCGTCGGATCCAACACCCATACCAAACCCATCTTCCGCCATGAATTCGTCTTGCGCATCACTATCCAACTCTAGATCAAGCTCGTCGGCGGAGTCCCCTTCAGAATCACTACCGTCGACCGCTGCATCTGCATCTGCCTCTCCCTCCACCTTAACATCAGCATCCTCACCAATCTTCCCCTCTCCCCTCTTCTCCCTCCTCCTCGCAATAATCTCATCAATATCCACCGCCTTCTTGTCACCTCCCCTCCTGTTCATACCAACTCCCAGCCCCTTCCTCGCACTCTCAAAGCCCCACCCCTCAAACTCCTCCATCGCACCAAGTCCCTCCCCACCATCCTCCAACTGAAACTCGAAATCTGAATCCATCGCTCCATCATCCTCATCTTTCGCACCCCAGACACCCTGATCGCCTTCCTCTTCTGAATCATTGGCGCTGGATTGATTTTTGGCTTTCTTCGCCTTCTTAGCTTTCTTCGACGACGATCCTGCAGCTGCCGCAGCTTCGAGTTTCCGCTTCTTGGAGGACGGCGGCGGAGAGGCGGGGAGTTCTTCTTCTACTTCTGCGAGGTCGTCTTCATTGTCTGAGAGAGTAAGGATGAAATCCTCCTCTGCTTTTCGCTTGGTTGAGGGCAGCATGGTGGATAGGGGCGCAATTGGGATTTGTGGTGGTGGTGGGCTTTTGGAAGATTCTCTCTGCTCACTGAGGATTTGAGCTTGACTTGGGAACTTTTTTGTGTTTGAGGGCGGTGCGAAGGGGCAGATTCGCTGCTTTTGGAATAGTGTGGGCTGGATGTGGGGTATCTTTGGGATGATGTTGAACGCCAGATTAAGAGGAAGTTTTCTTTTGGTAATATCTACTAGCGAATCTTGTAGAGAATTGGCCATGGCTGAGGAGTTTATTGATTTACAGTGAAGCGTCAAAACCGAGAATTTAGTCGTGCTTGCAAGCAATTGAAGCATGAATCTAGTCAAAAGGCTCAAAAGAACAAGAGAGGCCTCAACACGAAAAGTTGCAGCTAGAGGTACTCTAAATCAAGTATGAATTTTTTTTTTGTGAGATCTTTCCATTCATAAACATTCGTATTGACCCTGACAATAAGTGCAAAGAATGGTATTCCTCACCATATGTCGTTTTTCAATCCGGACTTTCATTCGAGTCAACTTTTTGAAGTCCATACTAGCAACCTACCGATCCTAACAAACAATAAAAGTTCCGAGAAAGAGGAGTCCGTATCTTTCAAATCATAAGCTGAGAATAGCTTTACAAGAAAATACCAGTGAATGAATAAAGTCCTTAATGGCTCATGTACTTGAGACCATCCGGTCCCTCATGATTAAACTCCCAGTCTCTGAAGCATCATTGCCGTTACTGTTCTTTCCGCTCTATCTTGGAATTTCGAAAGACAATCGGGCCAGAAAAAGGTGAATTAAAAGCCTTACAATGATACTGCTTCTTTTCATCTTGACAACCATAGATAGAGCTGTAGCGTGGGCGTACGGACCGAACCAGTTTAACTTCACATACAAGGGGAGTATCAATTTTCAGTTTAACTTTATTGAGCTAGTGTACAAACGGAGAAGCCTCAAGAATAGAAGAAGAAGCGAAGCTGAGTAGAAGAAGTGACTAGTGATGAATGGGCATTTTGAAAGCAAATATTTCCATGAGACCGTCCTCCATAAAGGCAAAGAACAATTTCCAGGGTAGCAGGCCAAGTCGATGACAGGCAATCTCGGCGTCAGGAATTGGTGTAAAGTGTGTGAAATAATGTGCAAAAGAAGAAAAGCTAATGAAGATCTCCAACGCAAGAACCAACGAAGATTCAATTCAGATTGCCCAACTGCGGATGCAAAAGTGGCTATCATGAATGAGGCGTGGATGTTATCAGAAAGATATGCGTCCGAACATGAGACCAACTGTGTCCAAATGTCCCTAGTGTGAGCCGATTACATATATGGATCAAACTCACCCTCCTGTCGAGCCTCATAATGGAAAATGGCAAGATCGAGGAAGTGAGCCATGCGACCCGTGGTAGTACTCCGGCAAACCGACGTCAAACGTTTAGGATGCTCCTTGTCTCCCTCTCTGAAGACCTTCTCCTTGAATAGGAATTTGAGAAGAAACTTGGTCAGCCATGCGATGTTGGGGTCATCCTTGTGCTCAACCGGGATCTGGAAAAGGAGTTGGTGGAACAAACCAGCACCCTCAGTTTCGTAGAGCTTGTCAATTGATGGATTGATCCAAGCGGTGGCATTCTTGTAGGCATAACCAGGATTGAGGATATGGATCAGACGATCAAGAAGGTTACGTCCGACACCCTTGCGAGTGTATTCATTGTGGACGTAGAGTTGGAGATTGACCGTGGCGCGAGACCGGGCTACCTTCCCTGCAAAGCCATAATTGAATCGCTCTGGAAAGCAGAAACCGATGACTTGCTCACATGCAGGCAGCATGATCTTCTGTGAAGACCGACCTTGAGCATCCACATCACTTGGTTGGCGACCCTTGATGGCAACGAGGAATGGGAGATTATCATCCTTTGCTTGCTTGATGATCCAATTGCCGTCCTCTTCGGTGATAGGTTCCTGATCCTCTGGGATGTTTGAGTTGGAGATGTACCAGTTGTAAATTGCAACGACATCGGTGGCATCCTTCTCCTCAGCAGGGCGCATGTACATACCAATTGTAGGAGAGAACGGGTTTGGCTCATCCTCCTTGGCAGCGATTTCGCGATGGCGCAACTTGCTTGCCTTGGCTTGACGCTTCACCTGTTTTCGATTGTCCTCAATAGCAACTGAGTAATTATTGGCTTCAATTTCGGCAGTTTGGAACTGTCTCTTAATCTCTTGATCAGTGGTATTCTCCGCAACATCTATTAATCATTAGAATCTACAGAGCGTTAAGAAGATTCGAGTACGTACCTGGAACAGTGTCTGGGCCTTGGAGGATCGGGTCAACAAAAGACACGTTGCTGATGGGGTAGACGCCGCTCGTAAACTTGTCATCCTCGATATCAACCTTGAATTGACCACTGGGGAGAGTCTTTTGCCATTCCTTGATGTACTCGGGGATGAAGCTGTCATCAAAGCTGGGCCTCTCATCCTCCCAAATTGGTACTGGGGCACGACTCCCGTCCCACTCAAAAAATTGATTGACCATGTCATTTCCTTGAGTGTGGCGAGGGTCTTGAGCATGATCGCTAGAGAGCTTACCAAGACCAGTGCTGCTGATGCGATCATCAGAATAATTGTTCTGATTGACAGTCTTGAAGCCGGTCGTCAGAACAAGGGCCTCATTGGTAAGAGGGGACGTGTTTGAAGAAGCCTGAGGCTGGACATTGTTGATATCGGCGGAGATCATAGCAGCGACAGCATGCATATTGGGCAAACCTTGCCATTCAGCTGCCTTATTCGGGACAATATCTGCTTGAGCACTAGATTTAGCTGGGGCAACAGTGTTGAAATTAGTTGCAACATTGTCGATCTTGACAGGAGCTTGAGCGACTGGATTCTTATTCTCGATCGACAGCGTTGGACCGCTCTGGACGATTTGCTTGGGTTGGGAGGCGCTCTGACCAAGCTTCTGAGCACCATTGAAAGTGAGCTTTTGGTGAGGGTATTGAACCTTTGAAGCCATGACCTGAGCAGCTTGAACCTTTGCAGCGCGCACATTAGCAGTTCCATGAACGCTATTGACTTGCGCAGCTGGTGTTACCGAGGAAGGACTGGCCCCGTTCTTGATGTAGGTCTCAAAGTTGGCGACGCTGTTATCATTCAGCTTCCAATGAGGGTTATCAAAAGCGGTTTTGGGACGTTGCCAGCCATCTGTAGGAAGGGTTTGATTTGGTGACTTGGAAGCCTCAGGTGGAACGCCATAGACCTTGGACTTTGGCTTATTCATGTAGCTAAGGAAATCATCGGTATCGTTGATGTTCTTAACAGGCTCCTGGGACCAATTTGAATTGGTTGACTCTTTCGAAGGCGAAGATCGGGGAGATCGGACAGGTAAAGCTTGGGGAGATCGAACAGAGTTCAACGGCTCCTCAGACTTAATGATGACCTGCTCTGTAACCTCAACCTTTTGAGTAGGCTTTTTATGGCTCAGCCATTGCAAGAAGTCGTCTTGGCCATCATTCATTGGACGAGATGGGTAGCAAGTAGGAGCCATGGTTGTTCCAACGATCTGAGATGGTGTGGTGTTGTTGTGAAATTGTGTTGTAGAAAGTTGGGAAGTTTGAGAAGAAATACCTCGGAGGTGTGGAGATGTCTGGTGAATTGCCATTTGTGGTGGTGAAACCTGGACAGAACCGCGAAGGTGAGGAGGAGTGGATTGAACTTGGGAAGGGACAACTCTATAATTTTGAGGCTGAACCAATTTCGAGACGGTAGGACTTGTAAGCTGGACAGGCCGATGGAGGTGGGGAGGAACGACAGTCTGCTTTTGGCCTTGACCCAGCTCCAGCTTTAGGGCAGCAGGAATTGCAGCCGGAACGGAACCGCGAAGGTGAGGAGGAACGTATTGACCTTTTGGAGGACCGGTAGCATGGGCTTGTAGGGTAGGAGAAGGACTAGCAGATTTGCGGCCTTGAGAGTGGGGAGGGGCGGAGCCTTGAACTTGCTGCGAGGCAACGCTACCGCGAAGGGAGTTCAAGTCAGACGGCGACACGACCGCAGTGGTCTGACCTTGAGGAACAGTACTCTGAGTTTGTGGCTGGACCGACTTGAAGCCTGGCCTGAGATGTAGAAGATGTGGTGGGAGATAGCCTGATGGTTGGCTTGGTTGGGGTCGGGTATCAACTGTTTGAGGCAGTGTTAGCTGAGATCAGGAAGCTAGAGAAGGGATTTTACCCGGAGCAGCAACACTGTGAGCTTGAGTTTCGACCAACGTGACGCCTGGCTGGAGACGTTGCTGTGAAGGGGCGGAGGTTGAATATTGCTGAGCTGGCGGAGCGACAACTGCGACTGGAACGGCCTTGACAGCTTGTTGCCCGGCGATCTTGTTCTGGAGCTCCGAAGAGACAGCAGCTGGGGCAGGTGCGACCGCGATGACTGCAACAGAGATCTCTGCAGTGGGAGGCGGAGTTGCTGGAGGCGTCGCCAATACACCTGCAGAGACGACTGGAGCCTCGGCTTTGCGCTCAATTGCTGCCGGTGGCGATGGGCCGATCTTTATACCTGCCTTCGCAGCCTTGCTGAAGAAGTCGCGGGCTTCCTGGCTCATAGCGACCTTGATTGGAGCGGTTTTGACGCGCTTGTTATATTGGGGACTTGCCCACTACACGATATGTTAGCTCTGACACTATGGGAAAGAAGCTGGATAATGAAACGCGGGCTTCATTGGAGCATGAGTTGGGGTGAAATGCGGTACCAGATCGGTCTGCGGACCAACCGGGAACAATTCTTACCTTGGAATCCCGCAGACCACCGCGTCCCATTGCAAACAGTCCGTCAGCGACAGTAATAGCAAGCTCTTCCTCGGCAAGCTGTTCCTGGGTCCTAAACCCAAGTCAGATATCGTGGTATCACTGCGAGGGTTGGGATTGGAGACCTACTTTGGCTTCATAGGCTCCAGAGGAACATATTTAGTCTTTCGTGGCGGTGGTGTCTTCGGCGGCGTCTTTGCGAACCGAAGCATCTTGGCGGTATTGATTGAGATTGCAAGTCTGTAATGAGAGTTGCAAATGCAGTTCTACGTGTGGGGTAACCCGTGGAGATGTTTGCGAGTAAGTTGTGCGAGTCTGAGGATCAAACGGAGACCAGCGGAGGGCAAGATTTTACATAATTTCGTCCTCTAAGTGCAGCGCTAGCATACCAACCTCCTCCTTTTTGAAGCACAATAAAGAGGGCTTAAGCGAGTGAAAATCGTTGCTGTCGCCGCCAAAAGCGGGATGGAATCAACTGCAAATGCCCAACGGAAAGCGAGATCGGGAGATTGGTCGTCGCCAGTAAAGTTGACAGCGGCAATTCAAGCGGAGTATAGAAACGGTATTCAGTTGCACAAGACCTTGGATACAGTTTAATCACCAGGTCTGGGTGCACCGAAGCCCGCTGCGAGGCTGCGATACAATATCGGGGCGGTGGGGCACTGGCGGTTTGTTGACTTTGATGTTCTGAATCTCTTGCGACAATGTACTCCAAATACACAATTCAACACATAAGCTGAACCGCATCCATAGTTTCGGATCAATGATATCCGAAATAGAGACCAACTTGATCGTCATCGAGATGATACCGGTCGCTAATCGATTTGTGTACTTCAATGTCGCCAGCACTCTTGCGACAACGATTCCAGTAATTGACGTCCTGAAGCTACCGTGCTAGAACAGCAGAATACGATGTTTGATTCAACATTGATCCTGCAAATCAGATCAGAACATACTGATTAATGGGTAAGGCGTCCATACACTTCAATCGTGATATTATCAAAGTTTTCCAGAGGCCAGGACTTTGGGCTTGGATGTCCAGAGGACCTCAAGTCATTGCGAAAATCAGACGTACCCCAATAGACTCTGGACACCAAGATTGTCGAAAGAAAAGCCAATGGCTGTTCAAGCAAGGGGCAGAGGGGCTGCATGCAACTCGATGCCCCAGGGCCTCCTGTGCGTTGGCCTCCAACAGGAGTGAGAATTCAAATGTACAAGACTCAAGGATCAAGTTGGAAGACAGAATTTTCTATGAAGTGGAGCGAGTAATAACACCTTGGGTGTGTGAGGTGTGCTGCCCTCGAAATTGGTAGGAGCGAACAGCAAAATGCACTTGTTCTGATCGCAGTTACTGCCTACTGCAGGTGGATCAAATAGGAACCAATCGTGAGCCAGAGAAAGCCATAACTGTATAAACACGCCTTCAAATTCAATGCAGGATAAAGCTGGGCAAGTTGGCAGAAGTGCCTAGAGAAATGGATGAGGCTCCTAGGTAGGTAGGAAATGGACGTCGTTCTAAACCACGTGACCAACATAAGTGACCAGTCACTTGTTTGTGGTGTTGTTGCCGAAGCCGTCCGCCATTTCTTGTCCACAACAAATTCATGACCCGACAAAATGCTGTCAATTCTGCGGAAAGCAAGATTGAAGGATAAGGAAATGAGAATTTTAATGCTGTGAGGCACTTTGCCCATGTTTCTCAGAGAAAGTGCTAACAAACAGGGGCAGCGGCCTCGACAATGCAGGGAAAACAACAATTGTGAAAAGGATCATGAACGAGGACGTAAATACCGTGAGCCCTACGCTTGGCTTCATTATCAAGACTATTGATTATAAAGGGTAAGGAGCCCAAGAACGAATATCTCTACACCATGCTGACTTTTTGCAAAGCTACAAGCTCAACATCTGTGAGACCTGTCAGACCAGTTTTGGGCTTTGCTGACACTTATAGGGGATGTCGGTGGCCAAAAGACACTCCGGTCATATTGGCGTAATTATTTTGAGAAAACAGATGCCCTGATCTGGGTGGTGGATGCGACTGATCGATTGCGTATCGATGACTGTCAGCAAGAGCTTCATGGCTTGCTGCAAGAAGAGGTTTGCATTTTTACAAGTTCGTTCAGACACTCAGCTTACCCAAGAGACAGAGATTATCCGGGGCAAGTTTGCTCGTGTTTGCAAACAAAACAGACGTGAATGGGTGTATGCTTGAAGAGGAGATCCAGGAGGTTCGTCATGTAGTGTCGTCAAAGAGGCGCACGCTAACTCGAATGCTGCAAGGGGCTCCAACTTCACGGGATCAAAACACACAAATGGAAAATCATACGGTGCAGCGCCATCACAGGAGAGAATCTTCAGGAAGGTCTAGAGTGGGTTGTAGAAGACGCGAAAGCAAGGCTTTTCCTTTACTAGAGCAGCGCATTGTCCTCAGGGAAAAAGAAGGGAAGTTAACTTTGACTTTGCATGCTGGCATGGTCTTGGGTGGGCTTGCAAGGAACCGCGTTCCAATGTCAGCTCGCACGACAGCAGGTAAACAGAAGCGGCGGGAAGCTGGAGGAGGGATCCTGCAACATTTTTGGATCCACGGTTGGGCATATCGCGATCTATCCCGGGAATTAGCATGATGGCCAAAATCTGACAGACCTTCAAATAGCATTGCAGTGGGCCTCTTGAAGGCCCAGGAGTGCTTGAAACGAAACTTTTTGGATGACCGAAGCGAAAGGCTCTAGCCCAGGTCCCCAGGCCGTCCCATGCAAGATCGTACTTGCTTTACTCCCTCCCTCAAAACGCACTCCACCCGCTGGCGGATTAATTGTGACTGGTCCTGTGCTCGAGCATGGTTATGGGTTTGACGATTTTGTAAACAAATACTGTATCCTACAAAACTCCCTCTTCCAGCAATGTCTTCCCAAGAAGCCCAGCAAGGTTCCGAGGACGTCAATGACTTCCTGTTGCGCATCAAAGAGCTCTCCCACAGAAGAGATTCCGAGGACGAAGAGCGCAACCGGAAACTGGAGGAGGAGATCCTGCAAGGCCGGGCAGAAAGACAGGCTCGGAGGGCTGGTATTCAATCCCACTCATGTACTCTGGGGCGCTCGCTGTGTGACAGATCGTCTTGGTTTGGGGTACCTGGCTGACACTCAGATATTCAGAGCGCGCCAGATCCATTTCCCCTACCAAGTCCTCTCCTGCTAGTACGCCGACTGCATCGAGAGCATCTGCGGTGCCTATAAATGCTCAGTCCCAATCGTCGTCCCCAAAAGTCGAACCGAAGGCGGATACCGAGCCCCAACGCGGGATGGGGGTTAACGACGACGCGATGGACCGATTGATGGGCTCAACATCTCCAACGAAGGAAAATACTTCTCCCTTTGATGCTGATCGCGTCATAACCGAGTCGGACTTCAAGCGGAACGTCTCCGTAAAACCTTCGCCCTCAAGTGCCATGCCCTCAAGAAATTCACCCCTCTCCTGGCAACGACGTCCAAATTCCCAATCCTCTGATCGCGTACAGAGCCGCCCCCTCTCTATGCTCGCTACAGAAAACGCTGCACGATCACCTCGAGCCACGCCCGCGCCTGAAGTCTCGCCGACCGCAGAGCCCACGAGAGAGCAGATCGCACAGTCACTCGCCTCGAAAGACCCCGCCTGGTTTCGACAAACTGCAGACAGGGGATTGAATTCGCCAGCATACAGGAAGAATCAAGTGGAGGACGAGGAGAGATCGGATCACGGATCGAATTCTTCTCGAGTACAAATGCCAGGGATGTTGCGACAATCCTCAGAACCAGACAAGGTGGGGGAGGAGGTGGCAGATCGACCTAGCTCACCCTCCAGGAGCAGTGTTTCGTACGGCAGTGGCTCTCGTGCGTCGTTCCAAAACAGTGGTAGACTTCCTGGTATGGGTTCTCCCATGCCAATGAGTCCGGCGCAGAGACTCGATCCCCCCACGGAACCTAAGTCTGAAGGTCGTGGTCTTGCCATGTCTCCATCTCAAGGTCGAATATCGCCGGACAGAATGGACAGGCCACCATCTCCAACGAAAGGCATGGGTGGATTCGTACAAAGTGCTATGATGAAGAGATCTGATAGCGTAAACAAAAGATGGAGCGTTCAATCGCCTCCTGGCTTAAGCAGGGGCAATTCTATGGCCAGCAATCGCAGCAGTGTTATCGAGCCTACCACAGCTTCTTCACTAGGCAACATTGTCAATCCTACAGTCCGAGAACAGAAGCCGAGTAGCTTGAGCCGAGAGACTTCACCACGCCCTAATTCAAGGCCTTCGTCAAGCCATAGCAATACCACCCTCATTCAAGAGCGACCTGGCACTTCAAACTCGATGAAGAGCACAATGACAACATCGACCACTAATGATGGATTCGTTAAGCCTGCTCTACCACCCTCCCGAACCCAAACACCTCTAGGGGTCAAAACCAATCAGCCTGAGGATTCCGAAAAACCCACCAGACGTGAGACAACACCACCTACAAGCCCATCGAAGACAATGGATCCAAGGCGATGGAGTCCCACAAAATCCAGTTGGCTGGAGAGCGCGTTGAACAAGCCAGATTCTCCAAAGCCAAAAGCTGTACCACCACCTCAACAGCCTGCTTGGATGGCGGAAATCAACAAGGCAAAGCAGAAAGGAAGTGTCGATCTGGGTAGAAATACGACTGGTGCTCCAAAGCATGAGGTCAACATTGGTGGGTTGATGAGATCTCCGCCCCCTGGTGGCATCACGAAACCTGTGAGTATAGGAGGCCTCCCAGCTGGATTCGCGGCAGGAACAGTATCTAGGAACAAGGGTGAAAACGCCTCTCCTGAAGCCAGAGACTCTCCAAAGCCAAGCTATTCTATCGACTCTGCTGCAAGATCATCGCCAGCAAATGGAAAATCCAAACCCGAGACTCCTCCCAAGAAGGATTTCCGTGCGAATCTCAAACCCCGTGCACAACCGGCAGACACAGGCGGTTCCAACGAGCCGGAGTTCAAGAATGTATTCGGCCAACTACGACGTACCAAGACCCAGAATTATGTCGCCCCTGATGAGCTCAAAGCCAACATTACCCGCGGGAAAGCTGCTTTGAATCTTACTGGTGGCCCAAAGAAGACTGAGCGTGTCGATGAGTTCAAGGATGCAATCTTGAAGAAGAAGGAAGACTTCAAGAAGGCACAGAGCGAAGGAAAAGGAGTTACCAGATCTGCTAGTGGTGGAAGTCAAGACGCTCCACTACCAGAAGCTATTGCGAAACGTAGAGCTTTGGGCAGATCTGACTCCATCATCTCGGAAACAGGTAGCTTGGAGTTGAAGCCTCGAGCTTCGGAGTCTCCAAAGCCAAGTCTCGTGAAGGAAGAGAGCGCACCCGGTCGGCTCCAGAGCAAGGAGACTCCAGCCAGCAAGCTCGCTGGTCGATTGAATCCGGGGCTTGCTGGATTGTTAGCAAGAGGACCGCCTCCTATAGCCAGTGAAGGTCGATCGTCCAGTCCTGCTCAGTCTCAGCGTACTGCCAGTATCAGCACTTCCACTTCCGAGCCTGCTGAGCCTGGTCCTCAGCTCACACATATGACAAAGGGTCGTGCTCGTGGTCCTCGAAGAAAGGCTCCCACGAGCACCCCTTCTGCTTCGAGTACTACTGACAGTGTAGCTGAGAAGCCAGCAGTCGTAGCAGAAGCTCCTAAGCAGTCCTCTCCGATCGAGATCAAGACCACGCCGAAAGTACTGGATCGCATTCAATCGCCGGTAAAAGACTCGGATCGTGCTCCATCTCCAGCTAAGGATCTTGGTCGCGCGCCCTCTCCAGCCAAATTCGAAGGCCGTCCTCGATCTCCGACCAAAGTTCTGGATCGTCTCCCCCAATCGCCAACGAAGGATGCCGACTCTCCAGTATCGCAATCATCTTCTCCTCGCAAGTTAGATATGAAGAGAAGATCACAATTTCTTCAGGATGCTGCGAAGCAGGACCTCAAAGCACAGTTGGACTCCCCCAAGCCACTGTCTCCTACGAAGAAAGCTAATTCCCCCGAGATTCCTGTAAAACCAGAAGTACCAGAAACTATCGTCAAACAGGCCCCTTCGCCGAAGCCGAAACCCAGCACACCTATCAAATCACCTTCTCTATATAAATCTTCTGTTCGGTCACCCGTCACATCTCCAGTCGAATCCCCAGAAACCGCAAGATTCCGTCCCCAGCCACTATCACCAAAAAAACCTACGCCAGTCGAGCAACCGTCCTCGTCGCACAAAGCAGTGGTTCCTTCTCCGGAGAAGGTTGATCGCGAACATACTGTATCCGTTAAGAATGCTACATCGCTATGGGGCTCATCTTCAATCTCAGCCGATACTCCTCCACGTGCCCGATCTCCTATCAAGCTCCCAACTCACGAGGATGAGAAGGCTGCCATGGTCGGCGCTGGCTTGCGGCCTGCCAGCCCTGTCAAATCAAACGCAGCTATCGGTCTTGGAATCCAAGCTCGAGCTCGCCCACTTCCTACCCCACCAGCAAAAGGTCCAATGTCTCCACCTCCGAGCGCAGGTCCTAGATCAGCTGGCTTTTCCAAGAAGTCTTTGGATATATCAGTACCTCAAGCATCCGAAGCATCTCAATTGCTAGGTGATTTCTTTGGAGGGAACCGTCAACATTCCGAGTATTCGGTCGACACAGCTGAGCTTTTATCCTCACGGCCTGATGCAGGTGACAGGATTGAGACCCTGCGGGCTTCTCTCTACCAATTCTCGAACGATGGGAAGAAACAAGAGGTTCCTAGCCACCAAGAGAGAATTCTCTTCGAAGGGAATCTCTATCTCTGTAACCATACCTTTGAGAATGCTGCAGGAAAGAAAGTTACCGAATCATATTTCTGGCAGGGTGACAATGTTCCTAGTTCTGTTGTGGACGACATTGGAATATTTGCCCAGAGAGAAGCTAGGAGTGCCGGGGGGAAGCTGATCAAGATCCGCCAAGGCAAAGAGACTCCAGAGTTCTTTCATGCTCTGGGTGGAATTATCATTATTAGAAGAGGCTCGTCTAATAAATACGACTCGCTCGCTCCTCACATCTTGTGCGCCAGAAAGCACTTTGGACAGATAGCTTTTGATGAGGTTGATTTCTCACCCGCTAGTTTATGTTCTGGGTTCCCGTATCTGATTTCAGCGCAATCCGGCAAGGCGTATTTATGGAAAGGAAAGGGCAGCGGAATCGATGAGCTCAGCTGTGCCAGGCTGATTGGTATGGATTTTGGTCTAACTGGCGAGATTGAAGAGGTTGAGGATGGTAACGAGCCCGCATCATTCTTGCAAATCTTTGGGAACGGTGCCACCATCCCCCAGTCTGCTGATCATTGGCGCATGAAGCCTAATTACAACAAATACTGTGGACGGCTGTTCGTCGCGGACTCAACAGCCAGATCCCAGGTAAGCACCCTCCGGGCCTGTTTCACATCAGGACATACTAACGAAAACAACAGATTACTGAAATTAGCCCTTTCTGCCAAACCGACCTCTCTGCTACTAAGATCTACGTCCTCGACGCCTTCTTTGAAATCTACATCATCATCGGCTCCAAGTCGCAATCCCAGTACCCCGCTTTCCAGAACGCCCTCAACTTCGGTCAAGAATACGGCATCCTTGCTGCCGGTATGGAAGACCGGCCGTTCGTCCCAGTCACTACTGTTGTTCTAGAAGGTGTGCCTAAGGATATGAAGAGCGTTTTTAGGAAGTGGATAGACCGTCTATCGATTACGTTGTATAACCCTCCTGAGGGAGGACTGCAGCGTGGAAGGAGTCTGAGGGTTGTGCCGTTGACGGCGGCGTTGGAGGCAACAAGGAGTCCGTGATGTTGATGCGCGCGTGATTGGTGAGGCATGTGAATGTTTATGGTTGATGATGATGCATGCTTGCTTGCTTGATGGTTGGATTGTGGTTATTGTATCTGTTCGTATTGCTTCTGTACATACTAGGGAGGTTTCTCTGTGGGACTGGTGTCGCCGTGATGCTGATGCCGGGTCCATGGATAGTAGCATAATGATCGATCGTTTATACTGTATTTTCCTTTGGTTTAGATCACTTTTGTCTTCACGGAGAAAGAGGCGTTGATGCAGTGCCAACATCCTCCAATACAAAGCTCGGTGATGTTGGAAAGGTGGTAGATACATCTCCTGCATGGTGAGTTGGGAGTCCCATCTTGCCGAAACCGGAAGTGAAGGTCTCGAGTCGCCCATATACGGAAAGAGCAGGCGGACGGGCAGAATCTCGCTTATTCTTCTTCAGGAGCCCTTCAAGGTAGCTTTCTGCCCTCGAGCAACAACCATGTCCATCGATGACGACGCGTAGCACAGCATCTACGGGAATTGTGTGTATCAAAGACGCGTAGTGATTTGGAGGAGGTAAGTCTCTATTCCCTTGTTGATTCGAGGAATTTCGGGCTGATCGGATGGCAGGCAAGAGACACCCTCACTGTGTTCGAATGGGAACCATACAACCATACAACATGGCGACGAGTACGAAAGAAAGGCTGATCGCAGATGTGGGAAACGAAGACCGGCATGAAGACCCGTATCTAGTATGTAAAATTTGCTTCGCTACTCCCTGTCACCATGTCAATGTGCTAACAGCTGATGGTAGTTTGACCTAACCTCCTATTTTAGAATTACCCCATGGGAACAATCTTCCAGCACCGATGGCCAAGAGACAGTTTCCGACGAGCCCGAATTCACCCTTTTCCCTAGCCTTCCGATTGAGCTGCGTCTGAGGATTTGGAGATATGCCCAACCTGAACCTCACGTTGTCGACATCATTTTCAACGAGAAATCTCCAGATAAGAGTATGTCGACGGCAGCTCCACCTGTTCTGCTATTTGTCTGTCGGGAATCAAGAGCAGAGACATTGAAGATATATAAGCTCCTCTCGCGAAGCATGAAGTCGAGCGCCACAGATCTTTACCGCCGCATCTACATCAACCCATTGGTGGACACTCTTCACTTCGCTGATGATTGGAGGACTGCATCTCAAGATCTCACCGCGTACATTCCACTAGAAAGCATCGTCTCGTGGCTGAATGAGGATCTCATCAAGACGCAGAAGCACCTAGCTTTAGGTCTTGCAATGCTAGATGCCAATATCCAAGCTGCATCTCATCCAACTGCCTTCTCAGCTATGGCTAAATTTCAAGCGCTCGAATCTCTGATGGCAGTTATTTCCCCGAAACGCCGACAAAGATGTGCAAATGAGATCGTCGATCCCTATGGCCTGAGGCGACCCACTCCACCACTTCTTGCTCCTGATGAAGATGCACGGTTCGCTATCTACCTCTCTCCAGATGTGCGATATGCAAAGCCAGTGTCGGAGGGCGGAGATCCATATTACACTGAAATTGACGAAGTACTGAATCTTCAAGGTGGTGAGGATAGGATGCAGGAGCTCGAGGATTTGCTTGAAGAGATGCAAGATGAGCTGGAAGCGGTCTATATTGATCATCCAAAGTGGAGAATGCCTTATACGGGCGTTGCAGCTTTGCATTGAGATTGATGGTTCTTGTTTGAGAGAAGATGAGTGGGTAGGGGTATAGCTGAACATACTGTGCAGAATTATGACGTGGCCTATGGTGTACGCATTGCTGAGAGTTATGGCAAGCTTGCAGATCTATTGCATGTATCAACACTAATTGAGAGCTTATTCAAGTCTTCACCACAGTGGCAATGTAACCAAAGTTTGAACACACCTCAGAATGTGGAGCAAATGATTTGCTACATCTAGATCTCCTCTCTATTGCTCGACCAGCGTTTCTCTTTGGATCTGGTAGCATGGAAAAGCAGAACGTTCTTATGAAGAACGTGTTTCGAGCACTCTTTGCCATTTATCATTACCATCAAGCCTGCTTCTGTTCCAAACAACCTCCGCAGCATATCCAGCTCGTCGCCTCAACAAGACAAGTTCTCAAAGACCTATCCATCCGCCAGGCATCTACCAAAACCAGCCCTTCTTCCTCTCCTCCTTAACGAGCACCTTCTCCACAATAACACGCTCATCCAAACCCTTATTAATAATCTCCAACGCCTCCTCCCCCTTCGGAATATCCCTCGTGATATTCTCATACCCATCCTCGGTAACCAGTACATCATCCTCGATTCGCACCCCGCCAACAGGATAATACTTCTCGAGCAGGGCTTGGTTGATGTATTTAGAGATGCGCTCGTTTTGTAGCCAGACTTCTTCGATGGCGTAGCGGTTGAAATAGCTGGGAGATGTCAGTTACAACCTCAGATAAGATTGTGTGGGGTAGGACTGGGTGAGTTGGAAGTTAGTGGGTGGTCGGTGGGAGAGAGGCTTACATTCCAGGCTCGACGGTGATGACCATGTTTGGGGCGAGAATTGGTGCTGCGAGCATGCTGGGGTTTTCGGTCATGAGGGAGAAGATGTTCGATTCGGTTATTTGGGTTGAGCTGAAATTCTTGCTTAGGAGGAGATTACCGCCATCTCCAACGTCGTGTGTTTCGAGACCGAGGTAATCTGCGAAGGTTAGCCGACTGATCTATGGCAGTGTAGGATAGGTCACTTACGTCCTAGCCCATGCGGCAAGAAGGCAACAGATGCGCTTGCAGAACGAATCTCTTCATACGATCCATTGTGCAGAAGACCAAGTTCCATCAGACCTTCTGTTGCAATATCGTGAGCTCTGGCGTTGATCTTCCTGTAATCGGCATTCGGCTTGACCATCTCTATACACTCTTCTTGCATTCTCGCAACAAGATCATAGATCTGCTTCGCCTCGACACTATACTCTCCAGAAATTGGGAACGTTCTCGTGACGTCGGAAGCATAGCAGTTCCATTCACATCCCGCGTCTAAGCAGACCAGCTGTCTGCCCTGTAAAGATTCGTTATTCTCGCTGTAGTGGAGAGTGCTTGCGTTTGGTCCAGACCCTGCGATGATCCCATACGCTTGCTGTTTTGCTTGGTGGGCAACGCATGTTGCCATGAACACGGCTTCGATATCAGACTCGTTCTTCAGTGTTTTGAGATATCTGAGGACGTTTACGTGAGCCTTTGCCGTAATGGAGCATGCTTTCCTGATCATCCTGATCTCATATGAGCTTTTGATGACTCTAGCTGCGTCCATAGCTAGAATTAGTCGCGTGCTGTCGAATCTGACTTTCTTCTTGCTTTCGGGCAAGGGTCTGAATATTCTGGAAGCGAAAGGCTCATTGTATTTGTGAAGTAAGAAGACCGTTGGTGTCTTCTCAACATAAATGAACTTCTGAACGTAATCATCGAGTCTGTTGATGTAGTCTACGTGGTCGAAATCATATTTTGCTTTGACTTCTTCTCGGCTAGGACTTGAGCCGTTGTAGATTACTCGGAATCCACTGCTTGTGGGTGGTATCCAAGCACATAGTTGATCACGAGCAAGGTCAAAAGTAATGATACAATCGGAGTTTGGTAGACCACTGAGGTAGTAGAAGTATCGACGTTGGCGAAAGACTACGGGCTCATCTGAATCCTCATATTCTTTTGATGGGGTTCCAGGTAAGAACAAAAGACCGTTCTTGGCATCGAGATGTTTGGCAACTGATCTGGCATGTCTTTTGGCTAAGAGGTAGATATATGTTAGTACTTCTTAGATCTGACCAAAGAGATTCATAAACGAAAGCGAGCATCGCTGCATGGATCTGGCGCGAAGTTCGAGGAAAGCCAAACTTGAGGATTGGATGGAAAATGCATGGTTCAAATCTGACTAAATAGGACAGAGACATACCTGGATATATGTCAGCTCGTGTCTTGCTTATAGACCTGTAAGGACGAATTAGCGAAGAGAACAAATTCATTTATGAGGGGTGAGTTTACACGACATCCCCAATGTCTTCCACACCAAAGCTCCAATCACTATCTCGTGAAGCTGGTCTCTCATCCATCATATCAACTTCGCTGGATTCCATCGTATCCTGGGACCCAAATAACTTCGAAAAGCGTCAAATTGGTTGCAGTTCGAGAGTGGGTAATGAGCGAGGTTGGATTTGGCTCGGCGCAGGGATGTCACGGGCCGGTGGCTTTGGGGGAACAAATCATGTGATTAGTCTCGGCAATGTGTTCAAGTTCCTTCGTACCTAGAATGTTCCTCCCTTTCGTTACACCTCCTGAGCTGTTCTACGTTGCGAATTCTTCCAAAGATGTCAAGAATCTTGCATTCGGACTATCGCATTAGCAATAGTGAAATAACTTAGACATTGACTATACTATTAGCTATGTCGAACAAAAGTCGAATACCCTAGGGCTCAACGTACGGCCGAGGCTTCGGAACATCAAGGTTGGAGGTTTGAGCAGCTTCATCAAACCGTTTGACAGGATAACCTTGATCTAATGTCTTTGAGAGATACGCCATGAGATCCGAGATTCTCGGACCTGCAGGAGTCAGCTCAATGTTCAGAACCAATCCGATCTCAGCTGTCGTGGTAGATATGCTACACGCAGCTGACTTGACTTCGGTGTGAGTGGTAGATTGCTGACAAAAAATTCCGACTGAGGGTTAGCGAAGAACAGAAGAAATCGACCGTCTGTGCCCTTCTCTCAAGCATTGACATCTACTAGGAGATATCGAAGTATATCACCATGAGATTTTGTGTTGAGAATCGGCAAGTGCGGTTTATTTGCTCAAGTCAAGTCCGCTGATTCATGGTACTCAAAGTCCGGCTATGAGGCACGATATTTTGATTATCAATTGGTGCTCTCGAAGCCACTGCTAATCAAGATGCTCCGTAAAGGAACATGGAAATTCTTTTGGCCTGTTCTACCGAATTCTTTCTAAATGGTGTATTCTTTGCAAAGTTCCCCCTCTACCTCTACTTCCCTACACGGTCTCATGCGGGTGCTTCTTTCTCTGTTCCTCATTAAAACAGTCTGTTTTCACAACCAAGCTGTTCTGACTTCCGTCAAAGCTTGCCCTCACATCCCTCTGCAAATAGACCGTCCGCTCGATCTTGATATTTCCTCCCGATCCTCCAATTGTGTTTCTCTTGTTTGCGGCAGAGCTTTCTGAATCAATGTGGCTTTTATTCCCTCCTCCAATTCCACTCTTCATTGCAAAATTGCCGTCGTAGTTCGCATCGGAGAGGTTGTTCATTTTTGAGCGATTGCCGCGAGTGCTGATGTTCGAGAGCAAGCCAGGAAGTATGCGCGTGATGAGAGGCTTGATCGAAGGTAGAGAGGCGCAGGCAATCGCAACATTGATTTCGATTCCAGACCAGATTCCTGCATTCACACCGTCCACTATTCTGTGTTAGTTGGCGCAGGCACTTTCGCATAGGGCAGCTTACATGTGGTGTCTGTGGACACAGATATTTCGTACAGACTCTTCAGTCGAATGACACTGGTAACACAGACAAAGGCGCCAAACCCAAAGACAAACATAAGTCCGATCTTTTGCCTTTTAGGTAGTTGCAGTTGTTTCAGAAGCGGCATTGGAATTGAGAAGATCATGATGTCAGTCGCGATGTTGAGTGCCGCGTTTGAGAACCAGAAAGCTGTCTTTTCCATGCAGTGTACTGTGATTCCGGTATTCCAGAAGTTGGAAACTGGTATGCACATGAAGGTCGATCCTACGCGAGAGTCTCGTTAGTGATGTTCCCCCAATGTCTCTCGAAGAACGATTGGCTTGGTGTTCGCATACCAAAGACTGCCCAGCAGCCGTAAACAATCAAAACTCCGATCATAATGTTACAAAGCCTGACAACTTTCTGCGTCGTAAATATGCGACGGTATTGACAGACGATTGATATTTTCGTTAATACGAGCGCGAGATTGTAGGTTGGAATAGTTGCCCACAAGCACTGCGCACAGGTTATTGATACGCTCGATCAAAAGCTAGATGCCTGGAATGCATACCTGCAAGAACTTGGTAAGTGTCGCTTGCGAAAGAGACAAAAATGGTCGACCGAGACCATTTTGAATCTCTAGATGCTCATTAGAGACTTTTCTTTCAGTTTCTCTCGATCGCGAAGTTTTGACTTACGGAAAAAGATGACTATACAGAAGGTAATGGATGCAACCTATCGCGAGTCAGTCACTTCCTCGAAGACTTGGAAAGAGAGCAGACCATTGCTCCTGCCATGAGATAATCATCTTCAAGAACAGAACCATCAGCTTATCTTCTATCAATTAATTGTATGAGTGAAGTGACAAACCTGCTCCAGCATTTTTGATCAACACAATGCGTGTGTACAGCCTGAGACACACGACCGTAAAGGCTATTGTGGTGAACAAGAGACTGGTCACCACCGCTGGGACGCAAGCAGGGACGACTTCGAACATGATTACCACTGATATTTCGTCACTCTGCGAAATGATGAGTGGATTGAAAGGTGTGGGGAGAGCGATGAACTTATTGTTGATCGATGCCTCATCTGACTCTCAACTGACGTGTCGAGGGGACAACAGTACAGCCTTCTTCACCAGTGGGTTATGTCTCGCCGATTCAAACACACCCCTTTCTACAGGTATAACATGCAGGTACGAAGTTTCTGGCTCCAGTTATTTTCAAAATCCTCCGTATAGGTCAAGGGTCCTGGTGGTCTCATTCGTCTCAATCTAGAAGGAGCTCCTCCGAGCCCTGCGAATCAGTTCATACAGCTTAATCCAATCATCCAACCCCGTTCTCTCCTAAGGAATCAACAGAATCCGCTTATTTCACGTATGCATTAATAGTTCCTCCTCGTCCCAGAATTGTTGAGCAGGGATGTGGTCTTCCTTGTTGAAACGTCGCTCGACGGCGTAATATTCCTTCTACAAGCCCGGATTATGATTCTATAGGCTGATTTACAGGTTATAATCCTTGCTCTTTAAATCTCGGGCCAATGGGTGGGCATGGGTTGACATTTTCGACTCATGCTCGATCTTCTATGCTGCATGAGCGCGACGGCCGAGTGGCAACCGGGCTCACCGGTGTCACGACTCGCCAATTCGAAAGTTCAAATCTGGGGTCAAATGATCGATGCGTCGTTACTTTGTTTTCAAGAAAGTTGTGTCCGTTAGGTTAGCACTCAAACATTGCGAGCTATAACTTAAACTCAAAAAAGTACAACTCTGAGCTTAATTTCAACCACATCATGAAGGCAAAATCGAAACAAGATCTCTGGGGAATAGCTTGACCCCCACGAGAATGCAAGGTCTGTTTGATGAGACGAGTTCCCATAAGAGGTCCATGGTTTCTTTTCCAAAGGATGCTACTAATACTGGGCCACTTCCGGCGTGGAGACCTTGTTTTTAAACCCCGGTGATTCTTCGCTTCTCCATCAGCCAGTCACAGGAGAAGCTAGCTTTCTTCAACGGCCCAGAGCGGAAGGCTTGATTTGCCCCATGCAAGAACTCAATTCATGCCCCCATGTCAGTGTCTGTGCCCCGGACGCACAGCTGTGGAACTGTTTGATATTGCGCGAGTGCGGCATGAAGTGGCCGGCCCGATGTTGCATTCCCCGAATACCTGCTGGCTGTTGAGTGGCTGGGGAGGCTCCGAGGTGTCTCGTGCAAAGAGGGTCTTCTTTCTCGTACGAGTAGACTCGGTCGGCCTGGACGTGAGACCTACGGCAAGTTTACCAGGCACTATGAATATTGACTACTTTGACATGTTTTCACGTCACATTTCAACTTTTTGAATTTGCTCGCTAAAGCCAGATCGGATTGTCTAGAACTGGTAACCAGTTCTGTAGGTTCCTAAGCTATAGAGAGTGCAATTACAAGTAACACGATGACACGATATACCATCGAGAGCCAGTGGAGCTATCTACAGGCTAAAAGTTTTTACGACTTGGTAGAATATAGATCTTCCTCCTTCTCTGCCGGTGCATCGATGCGCATGTTGAACTCTTTCACTGGGTCGACTAAGAAGATGGCGGCTTTGAAAACTGTTAGATTCCACATCGGGAGAAAGGAAGATAGTAGTGACTTACCAATGGCAGCAACAACTGTGAAGCAGCCTGCTGCGACCCAGACATATCTGAATCCAATACTGAATGCCTCAAATAATCCGCCAACACCTGCACCAATGATCTCCGGGGTTACACCTGGAATGCCAGGTAGAGAAGCAGTGTCGCTGTGAGCGAGAGCGCCGATGAAATCTGGTAGAGAGGAAGGTGGAAGTCCCAGAGGTAGAACAGCTCCGGCAATTTTGGACCCGAGGTTGCCAGAGAATTTTCCAGTGAAAATGGCGTTGTCTAATATCAAAGTGATCAGTTCAAGTTTAAGGGAAAGGATTCTAGTCAAGGGCTTACAGATTGCGAGACCAATACTTCCACCCAAAGACCGCACACCAATCAACAAACCACTGGTGATGGAAATCATCTCTGGAGGAGTGCTCAATTGTGCAGCAGTGATGATTGCACATAACGCTATTCCAAGACCAGCACCAAGTAGTACTGGATATCCCCAAACGGCATCGGAAGAACCTGGAGTGCTTGTTGCCATACAGATGAAGAATGCAATCATGAAGCAGAATGCAAGTACAGTCGGGAACCGAACCTGCCTTGTAGTGGAACAGTACACACCGGCCAGGACAGCAGATAATGCGTACAGGATGAAGTTGATTCCATATCGGATACCTGTTCGCAGAGGATCGGTCTCGTACAACACACTGACCTGGAATGCGAAATAGTTGTTGGCAGCGAAGAAGGAAAGTCCTTCAACGAACACACAGACCAACGCAATCACGAAGTTCCATCCGTTCTTGAAGAGATCGTGGTGGAACATGCCATCTCGTTTGAATTTTGTTTCGTAAACGACCAAGCACAAGATCAGGACGATACCGATGATGAATGGGGCGAGGATGTGTGCATCGGTCCAGCTGAACGGGTTCTGAGACCAAGAAAGTCCCATGCTGAACAAGACCAATCCAGAAGTAAAGAGGAAGTATCCAACCCAGTCGAGTTTTCGCAGTTTCTCGCCATTGGTAAGTCCGATCTGGGATTTCTGTGGAGGTGGGTTGTAGAGGACGGCGCTGGACAGCGGTTAGTAAGTTCCTCGCAAGAATTGATCTCTCGGATGTTCCACAGAAATATAGGAAGAAGGAGAACACTTACCAAAGTGCAGTCGCCACGAAGTAGAATGCAAACGACATGTACCAGTAATTTCTGAATCCACCAGGATTGCCGTTTCTTGTCATGGCTCCTCCAACAAGCAATGCAGTCAATCCACCGAGAGCTGCGGCAACATTGTCTGCCGCTTGTGCGTAAGGTCGGTATTTTCGTGGCAAGACTTCAGATGCAACGGCGTGCAGCAGTGGCTGGGCTCCGTATGATACTCCAGTAATGACTTCACCTGCAATTGCCATGTTCATGGACGTAGCGCGAGCAACGATGATGGATCCGACGGCACCGAATCCGGTGAGAATAATGAGAAACCATCGTCTTCCCCAGTAATCAGCTGCTTGAGAAACTGGAGGACTCAGGACAGTGGTGAGAATTGCGACAGAGGATGTCAACCAAACACTTTTCGAAGAGCCACCAAGGACGGCAGAGATGTCTTGAGCACGCTATGTGGACATTAGACACGTCTCGCAAAGCATGAGAGATGCGAATACTTACAGCTCCAGCGCCAACAACATTGATGAGTTGAGCGAAGTAGATCAGGCAGACCGCGAAGACAACCAAAAAGGTCTTTGCATGCAAGTGTGGAATAGGCTCTTCTGTATCCTCGATACTGGATATTGGCTCGTCGTGCTTTTCGTGGTCAGGCTCAGATGATTCCGGTCTTTCAACATTCCCAGTTGGCTCGTGGTGAACCTGTGTGGCAGCTTGGGCAGCCCCATGCTTTTCCGCGATCTCGTCCGCCATCTTGCTGTGCGGTATGAATTAAAACAGAAAAGTAAACAATATACACGAACGAGCAAGACCAAAAGAATGACTGCCAAAACGACAAACTCAAAAGCAGAAAGAGTTTATCCTTTCAGTGAAAAGAATCAGATCGGCAGAGGAATCGATAGGAGTCCTAAAAGCAGGACGTGGGTAATCTCATTGGTATTGACTGCAAGCTTAGCATCTCCCAAGAGGCGGGTCCAGAAATTTCGCACGACCGATGCACACCCTGGCCCAGCATCCCAACACACTGCATCTGTGCTGGATCTGGGGAACCACTATCATCCCCTTGTGCTCCACCAAAGTGTCAACTCGATTCGTGCATGGAACTAAACAGCCTGGGATCCGGAGCCAACAGTGCTTTTGGTTTTTTTGTCCGTGTAAACATGGACCCCAGTCCTCTCATACCCATACCATGCAGAAGCGAGAACCCCCACGACTACTACATATCCACTTGCATCGTACGATAACAGAATCCACATAGAGACTGGCTTTTGTGACCAGGGCAACAATGAAAAGTCTTTGAGACATAAGGAAGGGAGGGGCATGCAGGGACCAAATATACGGCACAGTTTCTGTTTAGGTTTCTCCGCCCTTGATGTTGGCATCCTGAATCATTGAGGCTTCAACGAGGGCGGCCGTCTATAAATTTAGACAAGGGATTCAAGCAGGGTTTTAATCATGGCAAAGTGAGAACACAACCATAATGGGCAGATGGCCTTCGTGAAATATACTTGGCAAGCGTGTATTCAAGGAACAGATAGATTGGGGGTCCAAGATTGTAAGGTAAGGCAATATCAACCAAAAGCCGCAGATTCTCCACGGAAAAAAAAAAACGAAAGACGTTGAAGCAAGCAAAGCCAATGGGTGCGGGTTCCACTAAGCGGTCCCCATAAGTAACACAGACCCGGGCCACCCCGTCCCCTGTAATGGCTGAGTGTCCGCCGGAAGTCAAGTCCCGGAGGCGAGGACCCTTGAATTTAGTGAAGATCCTGGTCTGGGCGGAGGATGAACCTCAAAGCAGCGAGATGCATGAAAGCACTCGGTGGAATATGGGCATGTCTACTGCGAAAGGTCGCGGAAGTATTTTGAGGTGTTGAAGATTGCCGGGCTGGTACGACAGGACAGTGGCGTATATTTTGCTTCGGGATATTTCCTTTTTCCCAGTACCACGTTTCCAGACACGGCACATGTTGGTTGGTTATTGTTCCAAACCAACAGTTGCGATCCCGTTGCAACCCTCAATCTTTCTTCGGAAACTTTTCTTTGAACCAAGGCCCAGGCCTTACAGCTGGGAATGAGGCGTTAATCGAACCATGGTCATGGATTAGCTCGGAGATGGTCCCCTTTCCAGCCATTGCACATCAAAGCTGCATATGGGTCGCAAATTCATCTAGAACCCTGCATCATCCTTCAATAAGCTCCAGCTAATTGCTCGTGCTGCAGAAGATGTGCGTCTGCCGTCTGGTATCGCAAAAGTCTCTAGAGGTCTCTCCTTTACACCAAGCCATTCACAGTCGTCGACGCCATGTCAGCCCAAGCCAAGCCATTGAACATCCTCATCGTGGGTGCAGGTATTGCAGGTTTTTCAACCGCGATCTCATGTCGTCGAGCCGGTCATAATGTTCAGTTATTCGAACGCTCGGCACTCAATCATGAGCTTGGAGCAGCTATTCATGTTTGCCCAAACGCCTCACGAGGACTACTAGCATGGGGTATGGATCCTGTGAGAGCACGGTTCGTAACGTGCAAGAAGAGCTACAGGGCTCATGGAAAGACTCTGGAGAAGTTCCATGAGGCGGACGATAGCTATATCACGGAAAAGTTTGGGTCTCCGTGGTACTTTGCTCATCGTGTCGATCTCCACGAGGAATTGAAACTGTTAGCTACGCAGCAGGAAGGAGAGGGGAGGCCTGCAGTAGTTCATTTGAGATCTGAAGTAGTGAAATATGTACGTCTTGTCTCAGAATATGACAAGTTGATTGAAGCTGAGTCGTGACTCGAGGACACCGAGGCAGGTACTGTATACCTTGCCAATGGCAAAACCTTCACTGGAGATTTGATAATCGCTGCGGATGGTGTCCATACAGGGTGAGTTTCTTCCACTCCCCATTTTTCCGTCTGGTACTCAATTATTTGAGCTTTCGAAGAGTTGGGTAGTTCTTGCAAAAGCCAATAAAGCGTACTGACTGATAATAGAGCTGTTGAAGCCATCCTCGGAAGCCGGAATCGTGCATGGCCAACCACCAACTACAACTTCGCATATCGCTTTCTCATTCCCACTGCAGAGCTCACCGCAGACCCAGAAACAGTTCAGTTCACTGAAGATGACGATGGAAGGATGAAGTTCGTCGTTGAGGAAGGTCGCCGTTTAGTCTGGTACCCCTGCCGGAACAACGAGATACACAACTTCGTTTGCATCTTCTACAGTGACTCGCAGAATTACCACGAGGGATGGGATACACATGTCGATCCCACAGCTGTTCTCGACACATACGCAGGCTTCCACCCATCTGTGATGGCTGTTTTGAAGTAAGTGTTGTGAGATGCTACGCAAGGGCGTCAGAATTAACAATTCTCAACAGGAAAGCCAAGGATGTCAAGCAATGGCCACTGCTGTTCCGAGCTCCAATATCATCTTGGCACAAAGGCAAACTCGTCGTCGTCGGAGATGCAGCTCATCCCATGCTTCCACGTAAGTGATCATCATCCTACTCCACTTTTTAGAATTCGTACTAACTTCTGGGCTGAAGATCAAGGTCAAGGTGGAGCTCAAGCAATCGAGGACTCTGTTGCATTGGGAATCGCTCTAAGTGGATGTACACCTGAGACCCTGGAAAGCCGATTGAAGATATTTGAGGAAATAAGGATGAATAGAGCAAGCGTGATGCAGATCTTCTCGAATGCTGGGCAAGATGAGCCAGATCGTATTAGAGCAGAGGCTGCGAAGTTTATTCCGGCGGATACGGTTCCCAGTAAGTACTTTCTACCTTTCTACATATTGCCAGATGCTGACAACATCTTGCCAGAAAATCCAGAAGAGTTCTTCAAGTATAATTTCGGGTACGATATTGTGAGGGACAGTACGCAAGCAGTGCAGAGAGCGGATGCGAGTTGGAAGCTCCCTGAGAAGTTCTTCGAGAACACACCAGGGGCAGGTGTGTATCCTTAGGCGACAAGAGACAATAATTTTGTCTCGAGAATGGAAATCATCTCAAAGCGTGTAGTACCGGCCAGCCATGATTCAGCTAGACATATGAGGCTCTGAACATAGGATTTGGCGTCTCCAAATCTTCTGTAGCTGACCCTCCATGTGTCGGTAGCAGTTAATTTGATACAGTTCAGCACGATTCCGATTTCAGATTTGCCTTCCCAGGATCAGTACACATGTGTACTCGTCATGGAAATCACAAGAAGAACCCACACTCTATTTTCCCAACGAACCAGTAGTTGAGGTTTTGGGGGATTGCGTAAAAGGACGTTTGACATCAGCTCTCAAAGCATACAAGCACAAAACAACCGAGTGGTGAGTCGCACTGAGAGCAGCAACCAAAACGAAAGACCAAGTAAATTAATCTTTATCTGCCGATATAGCCGGCCACCACATAAGGATCACCATATCATGCTTTCTGAATGTTCATAACTTCGTCCGTCCGTCCGTCGTTATTGACATCCATCGGTCCATCCGTTCGAATACCATCCCAGATATCCGCACCCATACATGTCATATCATTCATTCGTAAATCCAGCGAATCTAGCTCCCCAAGTCCTATCCAAAATCGCTCTAACTGATCGCCCAGACGGGCGCCTTAACCAAGACCTGTCGTCCCCTTACCTCCACAGCTACAAAGCCCGCAAAGCGCACCTTCTGAGCACCATCCTCCGTAGGCAGCTTTTTGTTCTCGATACTCGTCTCTCCGGACGCGGCGCTGATACTCGGCTTCTTGCTATTCGCTCCACCAGAACTACCCATCATCGCTGACAGCATTCCCGACTTTGTTTTCTCTTTCCTACTCTTACCATCCGACTTCTCCTCTTTGTCGTCTTTGTCCCCACTTCCCGTGCTGGCTGAATCGGCATCAGCTGTTTCGGCGCCTGGGTTATCCAGCGCCGGGATTGCGCCCTCGACTTTCATCATCAAGGGTTGGATCATATCGCCTGGCATTGGATATGAGATTGAGATGTCTCTGCTCTCCAATGGAAGATTTGAAGCTATGCTGACTGCCAGCTCAACAATCATGTGTGCGCTGTCCTCAATACCTGCGGGCACTGGCTCTTGCAGGTAGTTGATCAGACTTGCTGTGAGATTGGTGGTTGCCATACGAGAAAACTGCTTCTTGTACTCTTCACTTTCGGGCGAGCCAAGTACGTCTCTGAGACCTTCCAAAGTGGCCAATCTCCATTGAACCACCTTTGCAGTCAATGCTTCAGACTCCTCGTTGTTGTTCAACGCAGGTGAGAAACGACGGATGTTCTGCTCCACTGCTTTCAGATTGGTGCTCAGATCGGCTTCAAGCCCTGGGTGAAAGGTTCGATTGAAGATTTCATCAACCAGAAATTTGGTTATGCAGGCCCTGCCCACAGCGGTCATTTCTTGTTTTCCAATCTTCATCGCATCTTGATTGACTGATTGTGACAGCCACGCAGGAACTGTCCGCCAGTCCTTTCGAATATTGAATGCCAAATTAGTTGTAGCTCCTTCGAGCCGTTGGAACCTTGTCATATATTCGCTGTCGTCAAGGGATGTTCGCGATTGTGATAGCCTCTGGTTCGCAAGGGTATTCTGTAACTGCTCGACCTGGGACGTCTTTTCAAAATACAGTCCCTTTACTTTCTTGTATTTGGCCACTAGCATAATTAGTATAATCACAATCACCTTCCACGGCTTGACCTACTTAGCTCTCTGTACATCTCCGTAACCTCTCGATCTCCTGGTGCAGGAGGGGGTGTATTCCGCCCCTGCTCTCCCCCACCGGTATTGCTATATTCTCTTTGTGGCGGGCCCCCTCGATAGCCAGGTCCTTGCGCAGAGCCTGCTGGGATAGAGCTCATTGCTGCAGCCGAGGCTTGAGTATTTGAAAACTGCCCTCTGCTGTAGTTTGGTGGTGGCCCATCCCTCGACTCTGGCTGTCCTTGCCCAGGTTGCGGCGCCTTCGAATCGCCCGTTCTCCGACTCGCAGACGTCCCACTAGATGTTGGCATGTTGTATTGTGAGAGAGGTCGTGGACCTTGGGGAGCTGAAGATGTTCTGCTTGGGAAGTCTTGCCGTTGAGCCTGATAACTTGTTGGTGATTGCCCGTTCGACTGTACAGAGACTGGACGCTGTTCTTCTCTTTGGTCTGCCGGCTCGTAGGATAGCTGCGAGACAGTTTCAGGATTTTGATGTCGGTACTGTTCTCCAGTGACGAGTGAAGTTGGGGAAATATTCACTTTCGGCTGATGAGTCTGGATTTGTGAATGATAGTAGTTTTGTGAGCCCGAATCGGTATGCTGGTGGTTATGTTCGCGTAAGTGCTGTTGCTGATTCTCGTATTGGTGAGGTTGCTCGTCGTTCGGAGAATAACCCAGTGGCTCGGAATCACCTTGTACCGGACGAATTGTATGGTGATGCCCTTCTTCTCTCACAGCGCTATTGGGAGCACTGTGATCAGATTCCCTTATGAGGTATGGATCGAGTCCACTGTCGTCGTCGTGACCTTCTTGCGGTGAGGGCAAGTGCGATCTCGAATCCTGTGCCGACTGCCAATCAAGCTTCTGCTGTTCCAGAGAAGTTCTCTGTGGATTTGTACGGAGGACAGGGGGGTTTTCTTGACGCTTTGAGAGTCTGCGAGCAAGCCCAGTGGTGTTATTGTACGAAGCTTGTTGTGTTGCAGGGGGTGTCTTCGAGTCCAAATGCTTGCTCGATCGCATACGATCAAAGAGACTTTTGCTTTTCTTTTGCTCGACCGCAGGGGGTAGTTGCGCCCCTCCGTGTCTCTGTTGATTTCGAGAGTTGAGAGCTAGATCATCCGTACTGGACGAAGAGCCACTCGGTGGTTGATGCGGGTAGGCGCTATGGTGTCTTGTTGATTGGGACCTCGAGGGAAAATCTCCAGCCCTCTGCTGTGTCCGTGGATCAATGTCTGGTGCTATGGTCTGCGCAGCGTATGGTCCTTCTCGCGATTGTTGGTTGAAGGGTTGTCGTTGGGGAAGCTCGTCTGTCGAGAAGTTGGAGTTCGGGATGGGGGAGGCTGAACCAGAACCATCACCAGACGGAGATTGAGTTCCCTGAACCTGGCCTTGGGCTGCGGGATCGTTCAACGCCTGCTTTGAACGATTGCCGTGTTTGAATCCGAATGGCATCTGGTCTTATGCGAATCGTGGCCGGAGCTCACGATAGACCTAACTCAGGACGAGGGGAGGATTGCGAGGGGCACTGCGCGCGCTGCACAGCCAGGCCAACGAACCTTGACGCGGGAGCTGTCTGGGACAGTGGGGCCAGAGAGAGAGAGAGGTCTGCTGCCACCAAAGCTCAAAGGCACACTGCTGCTGCTGCTGCTGAGATGACAGGCTATGTCAGGGACAGTCCTTGGGCGAGCCGCTTGAAGCTTGAAACAATTGCCTCTGCAAGGTGGCTCGTTGTATGAAGCTGCAGCAAAGCGAATGTTTGGGAGGAGATAATAATAGCAATCGATTGAAGGCTGGCTGTCGGTCGAGAAGCTGGCGGGAAACCTTGGATTGGCAGCGCAGCGGACTGCAAGATGATGGGACGGGGAGACAGGGAAGCATTGGGGCTGAGCAGGACAATCCATTCGCCAAAGACGACCAGAGCTGCAGCTGGATGTGCGTCTCAGGGGAAAGCTGGAGTCAAACCATCTAACGAAGTAACGAGCTGCAATGCAACACTGTGTTGGACATCAAGTGCTCGAGCGGACAACTTTCATCAGCATTTTGATATCTTAACCTTCAAATTCTTGAAAGAGGGTGGCATCAGGAGTCTCGGAAGTGTCACCGTACCCCGAGGCCGTGAGACCTACAAATACAACATTTGATAGGTACAAACCTTCGACCGAGCCGGTGAGGAGGGGCAGGCAAACAATCAGGAGGGGTTGCTCAAGGCAGCTTATATGCAGTGCAGTATGGGTAGATTTAGTTCCAACTGTACTCGTAGTACGATAGGAATGTCAACAAGCGATGGCTCAAGATGCATCGAAGAATTCGGACTGACGTCAAGCAGATATCTCTGTACTCTCTAGACATTTGCCGCTGCATCCCAGTGATGTGCAGTTTAATGTCCCTGGTAAACTTCAATATTCCACCACCTTGTAAGGTAAATTCAGATATCTAAGATAACCTTTATGTCTTGTGCGATGAACTCAAACAAGCTCAAGGGCTTGTTCGGCAATCCTACTCTGGCCCTCCTCTTCGTCCAATAATGTCTGTCTCCCAGTTGTACCTGCTTCATCTTGACGATGATGACTAAGTTCAGATAGATTGAATCAACGAATCTATATTTGGAATGCAGTTGTTCGCCACGAAAAGGTGGAGCCTCCCGCGTTCATGGCGATCATCAAGCTTTTAGGACAGCTTGCGCTTCCATGCTGCACCTCTGCGCCTCTGTCCCAAGTCTTGACGCGGGTGTAACTTCAACATTGATCAATTTTTGGTCGAAGGATTCAGATCCGTGTCATCTTGACTGTTGGCGTGCGATTATTGGAATTTGTATACTTTTCATTCGTTGAAGTCGTTGCAATTGCTTTCAAATCTGGGTCTCCGGAATTCCCTCAACCTCCGAGTTTGCTTCCACTTTCTGTTTGTATTTCGACTTCAGATCTATCAAATTTGCAGCTTATATTCCTAGTTTTTCGAATGTCAACTTCATTGTGAAGAAATGCAGTTGAGCAAAGTACAGTCGGGAGACTTGCACTTCGTATTCGCAACATTCCCATCTCTTTTCGTTTCGAAGCAGGTACCGGCGTCGAGAAACGCCAGGCCCAAGAATGTTTTACTTTCTTGAATGGTCTACCAGTTTTCGAGTCGGCTGAACCACCTGAAAAGCCGAGATTTCAGCGCTTTCCAAAATCGGAGAGATTCGTACTTCTGAAATCAAGGATTTTGCCACATCGCCACAGCGATAGAGTGCGCCTTCGAACATCCTACCCCAATCCAGGTTCAAGCATGATAATACAATGAAAGCCAAGCCATATTTTTGATATTTTCAATAAAACGATTTGGACGTAGGGCACGCTCGGCACACCTAGTCCAGCTGCAAGTGCGGTAAGTTACTAAGCCAGATGCTTGGTATTAAGGGTCCAATTCTGTGGCTGTATGCAAGGAAATATGCATCCGAGGGGATTCCAATATCAAACTCTTTTGGGGTCTGAACCTTGCCGACCTCAAGCGGAGGAATAGATCCGTCCGGTAGACGTATATGCCAATGACGGGTCAAGCCCAAAAGATTGAGAAACAAGCTGTGTATGCTCTTGGAAGAAGGCCGGACATACGATCAATCTGGGTTCGTAAAATAGCCCCTCTTGAATCAATATCTGCGAAGAAAAGGTGGAGCTAGATGGCAGGTCGGGGTGTAAGTCGCCCTTGCATCAGACAGTTCCTAGAGTCCAGTACCGGTTGCTGAAGCTGAAAAGCAGGTCTCTTCTGGCTGAATGATCGACAATGAGATCTAAAATATCGATAACTCCTGAACAGCAATGAAATAGTCATCTTCGAGTCATCCGCCAAATGCCCTCATCATCGAACCAACTTCGTCAGTCACCCAGCTCTTTGACGGAGTTCATGGCAGAGGCACATCCAATCCGCTCGCTCTTGTCAACAGGGCCAATATTTGGGACCCAGGTGACCGTAATATCAAGTGACCGTAATATCAAGTTTTGTAACCAAAAATGCATAGCCAACATCTACAACCTGTCATAGACCGGCATTTGGTAATGCCCTCTTTCGGATGTCAAAGGCATTGTGAAGAGCTCTCTGCACAACTCTTGTTCTTGTCACCCGCTGATCGTAAAATAGACAGAGAGAGCGGCGTACTTACACTTCCTCGATGAAAGATGTTCTGACCAGAAGAAATACCGAATATTCAAGGGTTGCCTTGTAAGTCAGTTCAAGTTGGCTATAGCCTCTCGCTTAAGCGGGTTTTTCCAACCCTGAAAGTTCAACACTCGTCGACGTCCAGTACGAAGATGGGAAATTACGTCTGAGCAAGACTTTGTGTCTGTGTTCTATGATGGCTCCGGCATAACATCGTCCACCCATGCATGTGAAGATGTTGTACCGCTCACGTTATGCGTGGCACATGACACAAACACGTGGACGATGCAGAGATACCCGCTTTAGTCCCTAGATCTGCAGTAGTTCTCAGTAAGATCCAACTGTTACTGATCCATTTATTAGCGATCAGTATACACTCTGATATGACTCCTAGATCCGCTCTCCTGAGTGGTGTTGAAGCACAGTCCCGTGACCCTCTGTTTCCCCTTGGCATCCAATCTCGTTTCCTCGGTTCCCCGGTGATCGCATCTTTCCATCGTTTCATTTCAACCAACGACATCCATCATTGCCTCATACAACGGTCCATATGACGAGCTTTCATCCAAACAAAGCTGATCTTCAAGTACAAGCGCCTCGCACAGATGAGGCTAAACTTAAAAGTAAGGGGTCATTCGGCCCTGAATAATGCAGGCTGTTCCGAACCCATGAAGGCTGAAAAGCAGTGCTACTTCAATCCACTTTTTGCTTTGCGTCTCTCTAGATAAATATGTATATATTTGCTGTTTTTCCGTTTGTCTTCGTGTTTGTGGATACTTTTTTGTAAGAAGTCTTCGATGTGTTCAAGCTGTCCGAATTGGCATTCATTGCTGCGGTTATTTGCATATTCATCCGAGTGTCACTCCGTTGTCGGTCCTCGATTGATCTGTTTTCAGAACTGAATGTTGCGTCATTGACGATCCCCAACGAATATATAAAGACAGTCTTGAGCGAGAAAATTTCTTCTACCTGCCATCTACAACTTCCTTCTTCCAACCACGAACCTCCTCGCACGATATCTGTCTCATACGCAATACCGTCAAGTGCAGTCATCGGAAGCAATCATGCTCGTTTTTCAATTCCTCCTTGCGCTTGGCCTTGTCATGCTTGCCCACGCCAGAATGTCTACCGACTTCGTCACCCATGCCGTTGGTGTCTTTGAGATCAAGGACTTTCTCGTCTTCAATGTTGTCTCTACCGAACTTCGTGATCCCTCCACTAGAGCCACCAACCGCACTATCTCCTGTACGTTACTTCTCCAATTTCCGGGAAGGAATGTTGCTGACCAGATTCTAGTTACCTTCACCGACCCAAATGCGAACACTACCATCCAATGCGGAGAGGCTTGGATCAACAACAACACTCCGTTCAACTATGTCTACTGCGGCAATGGTCCCAATGCCAAGTAAGCTGCTTCATGATTCTCTATGCATTGAACACATGCTGACTGCTGGACTCAGTGGGTTCTCGTCGTTCCGATTCAAGACCTACACCCACGCTGGCAAGTTCGATCTTCAGCTCACCCACAGCTTCTCCGACCCAACGTATGTACCCCTTTCCATCAAGATCAAAGGCCTGATTTAACATGACGCAGCCACTACCCACCACCATACAGTTTCGTTCAATACTTCGCTCCCGCTTCGTTCGAGCTTCAATGCAACAAGCTACGCAACAACGCCCGTTGCATCCAAGGCGGTCCAGTCCGCGGCGTCATCAACCAAATCTCCAACTAAGCCAAGTCCTATAGATATATCTAGTAGTCAACCTGCTCTGCTTTGCTTTTCAACTTCTTGGTAGCGCATTGGACACTGTTTAGTGGGAAGGAGTTCTACTTCTTGCTTAGGGCGTTCTTTGCGTTGGTTGCGTGGTGGATATAAAATGGCGTATGTTTGATGGGAGATTTTGAGTCGTTCAGAACTGAAAGTCTGGTGGAGGCATTTCTGGGTCCCACTTTGGTATGACAGTAATGCTATTGCCTTCTCTATCCTTGCATTTACTGTGATCTTTTTGCGGTGATTTCTTTATAAATTTTTCTTCTTAAGCATGTTACTTTGCATAAGCCTTGTTATAATCTATTTTCTTGATGTCGGTATAATACCGATAAACAAATTGACAAAGTCATATCGATATACGCAGTGTTACAAAAGTGTGGTTCAAAGATGTGTATTCAAAAGAGTGTCTAAGGTGGCCCCGGTTCGCCTCTCAAGGGGTCCGTCACCCTGGCCGGGATTGCCGGTCCCCCTATTTGCCCGCCTATCTTCCTCTTGCAGGGACCTACAGAGCAACATAATTGCCTAACGTAATAAAGTTATATCTTCATTCCTCTTCTCAGATCGCCTCTCCCTCCACATTCTTTACTCGATCTTCTCATGGAGGCGGGGAAAGCCCCAGTAGAAACAGAAGAGTGGAGGAGTAGGAGAGCGTGCGGACGACCTGCCCAGTATCCAAGAACTCGGGATTCCCACGCAGCTGTGCTTGGTGCACTGAGCAGGTGAGGCGGCACGCGCCCCATCCCCAACCCCACGAACGGCTCGAACTCTCGGAACCTTTCCCCAACTTCCCCTCTCTTCCGTCTCATCTATCTCATTTCATTTTATTTTATTGCCTTCACTTCACTTCAATTTACTTCACTTTGATTCGCGTATTGTCACGCGAATAGTTCCCGTCACAATTCACTGCCATCTATTTATAAGAACTCTTTGTCTGCAATTCGCTTCACTTTGGTTGACCAACATGGACGCACCACCTGCACCTGCGCCTGCATCAGCGGACAGCAATACAAATGCACACAACACCTCGAGCCTGGCCATCAATCCCGTCCAATCCGAGCTGCCAGTCAAGCGACATCGAAGCCAGCAATCTTGCGAGCATTGTCGCAGGCGCAAAACGCGCTGCGAGTATTCCGATTCTACAACTAGGTCATGTCGACGATGTTTGAAGGAACAGAAGCGCTGTGAGTTCAGCGCCGAGAGATACAAAAGGAGAGGTTCTCAGGCAAGAACAGCCAGTATGAACTTCTTGGACCATACTCCCCTTGAGTCTTGCCGACTGATTTCATCCAGACCGCAATGGGACCGATCCTTTGGTGCAAGACAACGTTCCAGACTTTCAGTTGTCCCCTGATCAGCAGGCAAATGTCTTGGTCGATCTAGGACAAATTGATATGCAGTCTCCCCAACCTTGTCACCCACTACAGGATGCAAGTAGTGCGGCTCCTGTAACCATACCTTTACCTGGACAAAGTGGTGATGGTATGGCAAATCTCAAGGACAGTCTACCTGGCCGGGATGCGAAAAATAGACTGATCTCGACCCAGCTTCACAATGCCGCCGATGCCTTAGACTTACTTACATTCGCTGCAACTGAGGAACAATACCTCGACAATGTAAGCCGCTCAGATTTGATGGGCAGTGAAAGCATCCGTAACGGTAATCAACCAGAATACGACAAACCATTGGCTAGTGGGGAGAACGGAACACTCAAATGGAAAAACTTTCATTTGATCAGGCGCGGCATCCTCTCTGAAGATGAGGCCATCGAGTACGTACGATACTTTTTCGACAAACTATGGCCGCTGAAACCGGTCATACCAGCCTACTATGCGGACCCCTCGATGTACTCGACGCTCGCAACAGAAGAACCAGTGCTGCTTACGACTATGATCGTCCTGGCCTCACGGTATCATCAGCTTCCTGGCTATCATGGAGCAATTAGGTCTGAACGCATTCACTGGCACACGTGGCGATCGCTCAAAAGGAGCTTACAGTCAGCGATGTGGGGTTCTATTTGTACAAGGTCACTGGGCACCATCGCTTCAATGCTACTTCTAATGGAGTGGCACCCAAAGGCAATTAACAATCCAAGCATGTTCGCAGATGACGACGACATCAGTGAGTATGACGGGATGCATAAAGATCCCGACATAAGGACAACAAGTATCGGGTTCAATCTTACCACAAAGCAAAGACATGGCATGATGTCTCTCCTAGAGAATCTCAATATCTTGTCCTCCGCCTACAGGAGCAACAGCGTTTCCTGGTAAGTCAATGCCTCCATCTGTCCATCATGCTATGGTCATGTGAGATCCCTGCAGCCAGGGCCCTAGAAGCTCATTTGGATTCTAGGATGCTGCTCTCCAATGCCATTGCGTTAGCTCAAGAAGGTTGCTGTTTCGAGACTGAAGTGGAAGGCCAACCATCATCGCAATCAGAGGCAGCAGCTGCACAAAAGGTTTGGAAGCGAACGATCTGCGTCTTCGTCTACCTGGCAGACGAGCACATGGCATTGAGACTCGGTCTGGAGCCGCTGCTTCCTGAAAAGTCCCGCAGAATCGTCAAAGATCGTTTCTCCAAAGTGTTTGCCAGTGCGCTCCCAAACAGTGAACTCTGGGAGAGTGTCTTTGAGCTCACGGATGAGATAAGAAAGGCTCGCGAGCTGTTGAGAACATCGAAGCAGCCAAGTTCGAGGCTCAACAGTGATGAGCTTGTGGCCGAACTCGAATACGTCAAGAGAAGTTTGGATCGCTGGAAACGTCAGCACACCTATGCCGGTCACGGTATGTCTTGATGGTTAAGTTTGCTACGCTGCATGGAGAACTGATTTTTTTTACCAGACGAGAATTCTCCACTCAATGCTTGCTTGTCCATTGAGTTTTACTACGCCGTAATCTATAGTCTCTCTCCAGCCGCATACGCCACCGCCACAAGTACGGACCTTAGACAGGCTGCTGTGGAAGCTGCCCGCGACATGTTGGCCTTGGTCGTGAATGTATTAGAACCCACTGGTGTATTGAGAGTGCTCCCAGTCCGTTGTTGGCTCTTCGTGACGACAGCAGGGCTGCACTTGCTAAAGGTTCGCACAATCTCATTCACGTATCTCCATGATTCTTATCTTTTGACAAATGCTTTTTAACCAAAAACAGGACACAGTTTCGCAAAATCCAAATTTCACGGAGGCACATCAGGACGTCAAGATTCTTCGAGCGACTGTGCAAGCTTTACATCAAGGATCGCCTGACGACGTACACACTGCTGTGCGATTCTCCCGATTCTTTGGCGTATTGCTTGATGCGGTACTTAGACCTTCCACAGCGCGCTCGCATGCCGACAACGAAATACCGCAATCTGATCTGCCGATGCTTGACCCAGCAGACTCTGCTAACTTCTCCCACTTGAGCTCAGGTCTTGATCTTGCGGCTCTACCGGCCGATCTGGAGAATTTCTGCGATTCCACGTGGTGGGACGAGGCCTTGTACTTTAGGAGGGTCGTCTGACTTGGTCTGCTTGTCTAAATCTTCCCGGTCATTTCCAACGCGCTGGAAGGTGTGCGCCACGTATGCCTAGTGGCTGGAACTGCTTGCACGACAACCGTTCGCCAATGCCAGGAGATGTAGCGTCTTTTGAAACAACCTAAACGCCCGTAGTCCTCGCCGAATAGAGCAGTTGCAATCTGCACTGAGAGAACAATTGGACCGTACTATCACATGGCATTCGCGTATTGCAATGCCGGTTGCACAACAAATTCGATTGCTGCTATCAAGAACGTGGCAGAGGGGGGACGATGCATTACACTTCGGACTTCAGGAACTTGCCCTGTTTACTACCACATTAATTGGTCCTTGCAATGATTAGGACCTAGAACGTGGACACATGACATATCTCATGAACTGTATACAACACCATAGCTGAGCGATTCTAGGATCGCTCTCTCAGCAGAACACCTTCTCTCAGCTCTGAGAGATCACAGCTTTCTCGCAAGGGTTTGCAAGGGAAAAAGTCTTGTGTATTGTTCAGCGCTACTGTAAATCAAGCTCTCCAGATATCACCTATCCTCTGCAGCTAGACTGAAAGATTACAAGACAGATGTTCTGCTTCGGACCAGATATTTTACTCGTGTGTCTTGTGCTAGAAGTAGACCGTGAAGCTGGCATGATCCAAGTAGGGCTCACCATAACAAGTTGTCTCTCCTGAGATTATCACTGTTACAAATCCTTCACACGTTCCACGTTGACGAGACCCCCAATTCCGACTCCCCTAAGTTTATCAAGAACTCTGTGTCCCTTTTGTTGATACTATCGAAGTAGTATTCTCTTTCTTTCTGAACCTCCGGGTCTGTTCCCTTCAGTCGCAAGAGATTAGCAATGGCTGTCGGACTAGTATATTCAAGGAAGACTTTACGACGCGTCTCGGCATAAAAATCAAGCAATGCCGAGGACTGGCCATCGATAAGTATTTGCTTGAGGACCCGGACAAGTAATGCTGCATCCATGAATCCTGTGGTCAGACCAAGACCACCTGTAGGATTCGTAAGCTGCAAGAGGAACGCTGTTAGCAAAACACAGTCTCGTGCCATGTGAAGTCAACTTACATGGGCTGCGTCTCCTGCAAGCACAATGTTCCCTTTCCTAAATGTGGACGCACATCGTTGATGAATTCTGTATGGTGACAGTTTGATGATCTTTGCCTTCTCAGTGTTCCCGGGCAAGACGGCTGCTAATCTTCGCTGCATCCATTTTAAACCTTCTGCCTCATTCCAAGAGTCTGTGGAATCGCCATCAATGAGCGTTTCTGAGGACGCAATGCGCCAGAAGGGACCTTTGCCGAGTTTTGCGACTACTGACCAAAGTTCTGGATCCACAATGTAACTGGCCGTACCCCAATCGGATTCATTTTCTAGGTCATATTCGATGTTGGCGGCAACAATGCGGAAATCTTTCCAGGTGAATCCTTCAAGGGGAATGTCGAGGAACTTTCTGACTGAGCTTTTCCCTCCATCGGCTGCCACCACAAATCGGGAAACGTGTGATTGTGGCGTACCATCAGGTCCATAGAGCAGGTGCGTCCTCACTTGGTCTTTAGTTGCCTCTTCTTCTAGTTCGACAAAGGTAGTACCAAATCGAACAGTCACATTTGGATACTTTTTCAAGTGACCAAGGATGATGTTTGACAACTCGTGTTGACCAAGGTGAACGGCAAATTTGTCAGGATCACCGCCACCTAGAAACGCTAGCACACCTCCATCCTTGGGTTTTCTCCAAGAAACCCCCACAGTGTTTTTGAACCCAGCGTTCACCACATCATCATGGATTCCACTCTTCTTGAACTCGTCAAGAGTGACCGGAAAGTATCTGTGTCGTTGTCAGCTGCTTCCTAACGCCAGATCTCTGAGGCAAGTGGCATACGCAGCTGCTCTTGGGGTTTGTAGCACATGCGATTCGCGTTCAAACACATGGGTCTCGATACCTGCTTGGCCTAGTAAGAGAGCCGCGTACAATCCCACTGGTCCGCCGCCAATGATGGCAACAGCACTTGAAGTTTCATTCTGCTTGTCGGTGCTCATGTTGGTGGCTGCCTTTGCTGCTCTTCCCGTGGGGATCACAGAACGGGCTGGTTGAGATGCTCCCCATTTTGAAGGAAGTCTGGGAAAACTAGGGCCTTCGAACTCGCACCACTACCATCTGATATCGTCACTGGGCACTCGTGACGGAGTCGGCTCGGCGAAGTGGTGAATGACCTTGCGCAGAGCACAAGGCTGAAGGAGCTCGAGGATCCAGCGGCATTTTGCAACGAGGCCATCTGCGAGAATCAAGGCTTTGGCTCCGAAAAGCCGACATCAAAATTGCCGATAGCAGATTCGGGCTCGGGACGGAATTTGGGCGGGACGGAATTGCCGACTGGAACACTCTATTTGCTGGGGTTCGAAGCCCTTAGCGAGCGCCCCGCTTAAAGTAAACAAATCAGGTGGTGGGCAAATGCCGCTATCACGAGTTAGAGTTCGGCTCGAGTGCCAGGTCGAATCCCTTTCAAGCCCTCTTCAAGCCCTCTTCTATGTGACTCTGTACTGTATGTATGCTCTTGATACGGCCACAATAACAAGAATGTCTCTGCTAACCCTTGATCCAACCCAGCTCAGTACTGTTCAGAACAAAGTTGTCGTCATTACAGGAGGCGGAGATGGGATAGGGCTTGCCACAGTAATCTCTTTCCTTGGTAAGTAACAAACTACCTGCGCCTCTTTACCGCAATGGCCTGATAATTGACCTTCAATTCACCAAAGAAAATGGCGCTAAAGTCGTTGTGGGCGATTTGAGGTCAGAAAAAGTCTTGGAGCAAAGTTCGAAGTTTGGTGATCGTCTTCGCTTCGTTCGATGTAATGTGGCGAGCTATCAGGACCAGCTGAATCTATTCAAAATAGCTCAAGAGACCTTCGGATCAGTAGACGTAGCGATCGCCAATGCCGGCACAGGAAACTTTCCTGATCCTATTTCATCGATCGAAAACATTCTCGAAGAGCCTTCACTCCCCGAGGTCGACGTCAACCTGCGTGGTGCATTGTTTACTGCCCGAATCGCTGTGTACTACATGCGACAAAATGGGTCAGGCGATCTGATCCTCACTAGTAGCATCGGAGGCTTCAAAGAGACGATTGGCTTAACGCCATACGTTGCCAGCAAGCATGGCGTAATTGGCATCATGCGAGGCCTGCGGTTAACATCCATGAGAGATAATATCCGAGTGAATGTTGTATGCCCATGGATGACATGTAGGCCACACTTCAGCCCCTTTCCCAACCAGAAGACTTTGTTGACTGATTGAATAGTCACCTCCATGACCAAGGGAATCGCACCAGCATGGCAGCAAGAAAACTTGCCCTATAACAAGGCGCAAGATGTGGCAAATGCAATGCTGATTTGCGTGATGGCAAACCAGAAACTCGGTGTTTCTGATGATGGTCGAAAGGATCCCTTTCATGGCAAAATCATTTTTGTCGGAGGAGGCAATTCATACGAAATTGAGGACAGATTACAGAACCTCGAGCCAGATTGGCTGGGCAGGGAAAATAGCAGAGTCGTAGAGCTAGGCCAACAGTTTCTGCACAATGGGGAGACTTCTTGGCAAGGACCAACATAGCTAAGTTAACAGTGTATTTTTTACCATTGTAACCAATCAAGCATCGGTTTCATCTGATGGGTACCTCGGTATGTAACGTATGTTTCATGCATCAGCTATGTTTAATGTGATGAATGTTTCCACATGGCTAGATGTCTGGGGAAATGGGATCCTGCGGGCTTGACTTCATTGTGGATATACGTTCTTAGACCGACATCTTCGGACACAGACCGACAGCTTGTCCTTCACATATCGAGTGGGGACTCAGGAGATGAACTTCAACACTTAGCCATTATGAAGTTACCAAAAGAATCAAATAGTAATTCTCCCTATTGGTTCTCCCTGTTGGATGCATGCCTGCTGTATCACTCTTTCCTTCCTAGGTCGAAAGGTAAACGCAAGCAGTAGCAGGAGTAGTTCTGAGATTCTCCATCTGACCTATCGAGAACAAGAAATAAGATAGATCAACAAGAAATAAGATGTGAATGTGACCGATATATTGGTTTCTGGACACCTTCTCCTTGCAAGGTTTGCGCCTTTGCTGATATGACCCAGCTACCATGATCTAGCTACAATGAATGATAATAACCACCTGGTCTTGATGTGCAGACTCGAAGAGAGACTTTCCAATATCCTCTATGTTTGAACTACCTAAGCAGCTAGATTCTCACTCTGTTTTTCCGCACTACCACCAGCATTTTCATCATGATACGTCTCCAGCTGCTTTTGGATCTCGACCAGCTCGGCCTCCACAGGAGCATCAATATGTGCCTTGAATTCGCCTTTAAACTCAATAAGAAAACAAGCGACTAAAAGAGTAAGCTCCCATCTGTGATTTGAGGATCCGGGGATAACGTACCAATAACACCGGGGACGCACAACAATGCGGCGGCGATCCAACAATTCCGGAACGCAATATGATAGGCACCCATAAGCGCTCCACCAGCAGCCTGAATAATGCCTGGTGTGGCTCCTGAGATAGTCGCCAGAGCTGCAATGTCGTTCGTTGTTAAGGCGTGAATCAAGTCTCCAAGGGAGGAGGTTGGAAGACCCAGAGGGATAGTTGCAGCTGCAATTCTGGCAGGGACCTCTTTTGACATGGCGCTGTTGAATATGGCTGTATTAACAGCAAGTCCGATAACGCCGCCAATAGGTCGAGCGACGATATCAAGACCCGAGGCCAATGAAATCAAGTCAGGGGGCGTGCTCATCTGTGCGGCTAACATAAAGGTAGGAATCACGCTGCCTAGGCCGAGGCCTGCAAAGACAGCATACCCCCAATAATTTGCTGCCGGGGTTGACGGTGTTGTTGTCGCCATCAGAACATTGAACAGAACGATAAGTCCCAATCCGATGATGCCAGGAATCTTAACTGATTTGAACTTGGCCACATAGAGGCCAAAAAGGATGGACGCGGTACCGCCAATAATGAACAACATCGAAAATGCGCTGGCGCTGAGCAGAAGTCTGGCTCCCTTGAAGATGCTGTACTGCATGGCGAAATAAGTGTTGGCTGTGAAGAAGGACAGCCCGTCCACCCACACAGCAACGAGGGCAATGACAAAATTCCTGTTTTTGAAGAGATCGTGGTGCATAATACCTGCGGCCGGTCAGTTAAAGACTTTCCTAGCATGGAACCACGGATCAGTAGCAGAGGGAGCTTACCATCCTTTTTGAAGCGCCACTCGTACACGCCAAATGCGATCACCATGACCACACCAATAACGAAGGTGGCAAGTATGTGTACGTCGGACCACGAGTAAGGATTTTGCGACCAAGACAGTGCAACACTAAATAGTGTCAACCCTGGGGTAAAAAGAGCATACCCAAGCCAGTCAAGTTTTCGCAGCTTCTCTTGAAATGTGAGTGACACTTCAAGCTCTCTTGGCGGGGGATTGTAGAAGAGGAGACAGCCAAGGAAGGCAACAGCATAGAAGCCAATGACGACGTAGAAGAAAACCCTGAAATTTTCGACCTTGCCGCCGTCCAGCAACGCACCACCCATCAACAGAGCAATGAGACCACCGAAACTAACGGACATGTTGAGTGTTGTCAGGGCCCAACCGCGTTGCCTCCTGGGTAGAATCTCTGAAGCCACAGCATAAAGAATTGGTTGAGCACCAACATTCATACCGACCAAGGTGAACCCGGCGATTACAGTACCGACGCCTTGGGCTCTGGACACCAAAATAGCGCCAATACACCCAAGCAGTGTCAGGACCACGAGAATCCACTTCCTACCCCAGTAGTCTGCCATTTGGCTGACAGGAAGGGCTACAGCAATGGTAAGGACATTGATAGTTTGTGAGAACCATAATGTCTTGTCAGCACCACCCACCACCTTGGCAATCCCCGATGCCAGGAAGCCCGAGCCGACGATGGCTGTAATTTGGGCGAAAGACACTATATTGATGGCCTCCAGACAATTGTGAGTTACGTTACATAAAGGTCTTCAGGGAGCGAAAACTTACCAGCAGGACGATCCATGTCTTGAGGTGGACTTTGATGAGTTCGCCGTCCGGCGCAGTGGCCGTGGTACGTTCTTCAATCTGCACTATCTTCGCCATGTTCAGGGTATAGCGTAATCTGATTGAAGGAGCAAAGCAGGTAGTTCGGTATAGTCAAAGTACAATCCTTGGATTGCGTCAGTGTGCTGGACAAGCTCCCTCAATCGCAACACTTGTACTCGTGAGGGAGTCCTTTCGAGGGTCGGCGACAACGTGAACTTTATCTCCCACGCGAGAGCAGTGGCCATGCCAGGAAAGGAACAGCATGGCCGACCGAAACTACGGAAAGGAACGAACATCGCAAGTTCCCAGTTGACTGGATCCGAACATCTGGGGTTTGTGGAGTTGGCGTGGAGGTTAGCGCACTGACAAGGGTCCGACCCCAGATTTCGGATCCAGCCGTTTTATTGATTGCCTGCGGAGTTACCGACGTTGAAGTGGGAATCCATGCCCCGAATTGCCGACGACTTCCATGACGCTTCAGTACTGAAATGCCGACAACTCGTCCCACGACTTCCCAGAGCCGAAGTGTCTTGCGTGGACGGAGCAGGGGACCCTTTACCTCATACTTACCTTGGCTTAACTCCGGTGTGCAGAGAGTTTGTCCCCGAGAACCACCCAAGAAGCATGCTGTGACTATTCAATTAGCGAGAGCCTCAAGAGATCAGTAGTGAGTATAGACGATGAGGTTAAGCGATGGCAACAAATACGGAGAGCTCTGTTCGCCTCGAGGCTCTCTCACATGATTATTACTTCATGATTTCATCAAGTCTCCTTTGTTGCCTATAGTTTCATGTAAGCACCCGTAGTCACAGTCTTAGAACACTAAATCTTCTAATACCCATTTTATCTGAATGATTGACAGTCTGACCCGTCATCTCCTGTATCAACAGGACTGTAAGGGAAGTCACGCGATACTCTAGTGAAGCAGCTTGGCAGGCTACATGATGTGATTATTTATCCTAACTACTCGTAGTACGGGACTCTTCCAGTAGATAATGGCATTCATCTCTACTCTTCACGCTCTCAGCCCAGTCTATCCACTCTCAGGCATTACCTCAGTGACGATATTCCTTAGATACCTATATGCTGCGGTATCAGCTCGATGAGATAGCCGTCCTAACCAGTTCAGTAAAGGATTTTTATTCCAAGTTTTTGATCAAGACTTACTGGATCCTTGATGAATGCGATGTTTTTTAGAATCTCCCTGAAAGAATGGTGCAGCTCGGTATCGGTTCCTGGCACCGAAACACCTACACCCCGTTCATTTTCCCACTTGGACACCTTGATTGAGTCGAGGGTGGTCTCTTCTCCAAGATCCTTGACAACTTCAACCCCGTGCTCTTTGAGTCGTTGGAGAGCTGCAGGAACATCCGGGACAGTAAAGCCTAGGTGACCAAAGCCAAGATTTGGTGGATCGTTCCCATTCTGGTAATACCCTTCAGGCTGCTTTTCTGAACCTTTAACGTGAATCAATTCCAAGAGTCCCTCTGTTTGGCGAAGTACCTCCAAGGTCTCTTTGCCAAACTTTTTCGGGTCGGCCCGGTGTTCTGGGGTTTTGGGGTAGCCCACGTAATACGCATCGACTGGTCCGAGGCCAAAAGCGAAAACGGTGCGCATACCCATGAGCTCTATATAGAAATGGAGGGATTTGGCAGGATCACGAATCCTCAGCATGGTATGATTTACTCTGTAGCCAATGGTCGGGTGATTGGGAGGCAGAGGGTCTTCATTGTTGAGCCCATTAGCCAAAAATTCGCCATAGGGAAGTGGGCTACCCAGTGCCGCTTTCTGAGACGCCATTGTTCCAACTTTCAGGAAGTTTTTCAAGTTTTATGTAGATAGAAAGACTTTTGTTATCCTACAAGGTCGATGATGGTTCTTATCGGGATCCCATACTGCTCTGCCATCGGTTTGAGGCGCAGTGACCCCTCATACGGAAATACCGACGACGGTTCGGGTCGCCCAACGCGGCAAGTGGAGCCAACTTGGAGGAAACAAAATAGCTTCTGTACTTACCTACCTCGGCAGGTAGTTTGTATCCAAGATGCTTATGAGGTTGCAATGGACTCCGAGGTCATTCGCAATGCACCTACTTCGCATGCTCAGCTCAATTACATTAGTAGTGTATTGGAATTTTGACGAGATATCAAGTCACAACAAGAACCCAGAAACTTCCTCGGTTAAGTGTTGATTGAGTTTGCCCGAAGGGTTGACTATGCTCGTTGCCAAGACCTCTTACTTGCAGACAAGGGGTTTTGTGGCGCGTTGGAAAGCTCACTCTCTAGGGACTAAAGAATGCAGAGTTACAGAATTGCTCAGGTTACAAGTTAGTAATGGCAATAAGTGTGTGCGGAGAAGCTCAATGGAGACAGGTTGGTAGCTAGTGGAATGGGAACATACTTCTCGGCAGCTTCTCCCACCATCCGCCGCCAGATTCCGACAAAGTTGCCGACCTGCAGAGGCCCACTTTCCGGGCTTGAAATGCCTTCATTCTTGCCTACTCAAGAGTTTCCCAAGCTGTTGCCGACGTAGAATGGTGGGGTAAGTAGCGTGGGGGAGAGAAGAGACCAGTCTTCTCGCAGCCAGCGAATGATAAGGTCTGCTGCCGACACTCGGAAGAACCACAACTTCTTCTCAACATGGCTAGGCCATACCTCACAACTTTCATCGTAAAATCAAGCATTGATCTTAACCTGCAACCTATTCCATATTTTTATTTTGCTTGGGACCTAGGACGCTGGCCAACGCGATGAGAGTCCTACGAAACCCATGCAGACTTGGACGCGATGGCCTATTGCTGATGCGGAATGCGGCTCCAATGGCTTTCAGAACAATGAGAAAGAAGTCGGCCTCAGCCTTTGATCATCAGAAGACCTCCTCTATGATCGGTTCTAGCGCTGCTACAGGGCTTCTCGCGGGCATCGCAGGGGTTGCCCTCAGCTTCAAATACTTTTCCCATAACACTCAGGATTCGTTGCCGCAGGAGGGCAACTCACAGGTCCAGTCTGTTCACAAGTATCCAAAATACGGTGATAAGCAAACCATGCAGAAAGCTCTCAAGGAAATTCAGGCCGAACTTGGAGACGATGCGGTTAGTGTGGACGAGGACGACATCGAAGTTCATGGCTATTCTGAGTGGTCGACTTCCAACAGCCCGATGCGCCCAATGGCAGTGTTATCACCCAAATGTACGCAGGACGTCTCATTCATCGCAAAAATATGTACCAGGTACAAAATCCCTATGATTGCATACGGAGCAGGGTCGAGTGTCGAGGGACATGTCAGTGCTCCTTTCTCGGGTTTCACCATAGACCTGTCCAAAATGGACAAGATAGTCAAATTCCATCCAGACGACCTGGACATAGTTGTCGAACCGGGTGTCAATTGGGTGGAGCTCAACGAGCGGATCAAACCTTCAGGTCTATTCCTACCCCTCGACCCAAGCCCTACGGCACTTGTTGGTGGAATGGTCGCAACCAATTGTAGTGGAACAAATGCATTGAGATACGGGACAATGAAAGACTGGGTCGTCAATCTCACGGTCGTTCTTGCGGACGGCACTGTCATTCAGACTCGACATCGACCGCGGAAGACATCAGCTGGATACAATTTGAATGGACTGTTTACAGGCTCAGAAGGAACTCTGGGCATCATCACGCAAATCACGCTGAAGTTAGCTGTTATCCCGTCGCATTTTGGCGTTGCTACAACCACATTTCCCACCATCAATGATGCAGTTGGAGCCGCGACGGCCATGGTGCGCAAAGGAATACCATTAGCTGCTCTGGAACTGATGGATGAGACACAAGTGACAGTGATCAACCAAACAGGTGGCGTAGGCGGAAAGATGCTGCCTCAAGAGCCAACATTGTTTCTGAGGTTTTCCGGCTCAGAACGAGCAGTCCAGGAAAGCATGTCGCAAGTGAGGGATATCTGCAGAGGCCATGGCAACAATAGCTTCCAGGTAGCTACCTCAGAAGAAGAGATGAACAACCTGTGGTTGGCCAGAAAACAGGCATTGTGGGCTATGCTTGCAATCCGACCTGAAGGTACTCAGATTTGGTCCACCGATGTTGCCGTGCCATTGTCACGTTTAGTCGAAATCATGGAGCGCTCGAAGCAGAATGCTTCTAAACTTGGTCTATTCTCGAGTTTGCTGGGACATGTAGGGGATGGCAACTTCCATCAGGCTGTAATGTACAATCCTGATGACGATCTGCAAGTCGCCGCTGTCAGAGAGTGTGTGGATGACATGGTGTCCAATGCATTAGCCATGGAGGGAACGGTATCAGGAGAGCACGGAATAGGGCTGGGGAAGAAGGATTGTCTGGCCAAAGAGCTGGGCGCTACCACCATCAATGTAATGAAATCTCTGAAGCAAGCGTTGGATCCGCACTGGCTCCTGAATCCTGGAAAAATATTCGATCCTTGAAGCTCGGCACAAATTCTCAATTAGAGTGGTACACAAGATTGATCAAACCCTATCGCCAGTGTCATGAGAGGCCTTGATTGGGAGCCGGAAGAGGGAGTGTCTTGTACGGCCAATGATCCCAGATGGTCCAACTCCAGTAGCATGTACAGCTGCCGTGTAAGAGGTTTGCTATTATAAAGTTTCTAAGATGAGACTTCCTAACGCCAGCCACGCCGTTGATCTGTAGATGAAATTGAGGTTAATCAAAATCTCGGGATTCAATAAATCTGTATATTGTGGGTTGGCTATGTCTGAAAATTGGCGTTGCTTATGATATTGCGTTCCATCCTGGCAGAGGTGCCTGCATAAGTACGAGCACGCAAAGTTGCCTCGTCTCATACACAATGTTATCGCCAAGCAAGATATATCTGTGTCACTCACCGACATCTAAGCATGGCACGGGAAGTTGCATCCTGCATGTCAGAATCGGAGAGACATGATGCTATTCCGAGTGACTCTTGTGGTCTTCCCGCCCGTGTTTTATGTGCTGTGCCGTTGGTGGTAGGCACCAATCCACTGAAACGGGACCCTGAATGACTATTACATTTGAACGATGTTGCTTCCGCTGAACCTTCTTGGTCACCGGATAGATGCTGATTCATCCTTTTCCCAACTGATATCTCTATGTGACTCGATACTCCGACCCAGCTTTTCTGACAGGTCTCGCCGATATGACTTCTTGGGAGGGATATTGCACCGTGCTTATGCCTCTGGCAGTATGGTTTGAGGTAAGGTATGTCAACTGTTCATGTATCTGACTTCTTTAGGCTCATAACTGCCTGAATTATGGCACCTAGGATTGATACCCTGGTTGGAATGTTGGAGTTCGACCTTGATATCAAGCATTGTCGCTGATGTCGCCAATTTTACCCACCTACCCAACCAATTCCAGGCAACATACATGTGCGTGTGAAGGAACCTCTTACCATCAGCTGTTCTTTTGGACTTCTAAGAGCTACTGACGCCTTGTAGGACTCAACGTCCATAATCATCCGATTTTTTCATTCTCTTGCCAGCTACTGCAGGCTACCAGCTCCCTGATGCCTATGAAGCTTCATCCAACTTTCGGCTGTTCTTATCGTTTCCTTGGAGCCACTAACCTTTTGATCAGTAGGATCTAAACCCCAAGATTCTCATCAAACCACCAATTTTTGTCCGAGCTTACATACCGGGCTTCTAGTATTTTGTTGTGCGCCTCTCGCTCATTAACCCTTCAACCCTTGTGCAAGAAGGAATTCAATGACACAAATGCCCATCGAAGCCGCCAAAGATTCGCACAAAAGTGACAAAATACATAAGACAACAAGTTGCTACCTCACCTCTGTTGCCTCCAGCTTCGTTCCACATCCGAAAGTGCCGAAGGTTTTCACGGAGTCACAGACACCGTGATAAGCAAGATTTCAGCACCGAAACTCTCCGTCAAGACGCCAAATCCTGTCATGACCGAAGAACATTCCAGGCAGCTCGCTTGGACATTTCGCGCCATTTTTTGTCAGTTCACCAATGAAACTAGCACTTGGAAGATAAAAGTATAGCAAATACTGCAGTCGCTGATGCTTCCTACGACTTTCAAGCGATTCCAGGCCGCGTGAGTACAACTGAAGCCTACAGAAATTGTAGCCACGTCCAGGCTACCTTCACTAGGCATCCCTATATACGAACGCATCCATAGATCAAGTAGGTTGATACTCCTGAGTCAACAATATTCTCAGCGTCTTCGGCGATTTTCACGACTTACGACAGGTATCGGAGCCTAGAATTTGGATGGACATTTAGCTGGACTGACTCCTCCGGCCACTTGAAGCGACGCCAACGAAAGCGATGCTGACCCGGCAACAGGCCTGACTTGAAACCAGTAGTATCCACCGAATAAGAATCTCACCCCTAGGCATTTAGCCACCAATACGCGCATGTGAAGGCACGTACTCTTGCCTAGCGAGCAGCTCGGGATCGCGTTGACATGGTCACTTGACCTTGGCATGTGATCAACTCGTCACTTTGTAGTGCTTTCAGGGCATCTGTAAAACGCGTTCTTACATAGCCACAATCTTCAGCAGATGGATCATATTTTAGCTGACAACGTGTCGACAATGTCTCCAATTGACAAATCAGAGGATTGTTTTTCCCGTCAGTATTTAAGCGAGATCTACCGCACCCCTGGCCTCCCGTCCCCGCCGACCCAAATTCGCCACAGCCCAGCACCGCCTCAACTGTTCGCAGCCATCACGGATTGCGTCCGCACTCTTGTTTCTCCAAGGCGTTCTTAACGGCTTCTTAAATTGCACGATTAATGCCCTTTTTGGCATTTGGAATTCACATTTGTATGTTTCACACTCACACTTGCGAGTTTGCTGGTGAATCTGCCTTGGTCGCCAAGGATCTCGCTGTCGGGCTCCGCCACACTTGCGAGACCGGCTTGGTGAGTCACGAACCGAGGATGAGGTGTGGGCGCTATTCTACCACATTCTGGCCCTCCTCTTCCACATTTCGTTCAATTCCGTCCAATAGTAACAAATGTTATGGAAACTAGGTATCAAGGATATCGTGCTTCGTTGTATATCGAGTCACATCTCGTGATTCGAGCACCTCATCGATAGGAATGACTCTACAAGTCTCGATATAAAGTCTTTGTTTGCGTCCTCGTCCCTTTTCCACCTCTCCTTCTCTCCTCATCGCAGACCTCCTCACTTCCTTATCCTTTTTGGATACCTACCCCTTCAAAACACAAACTCTCATAGAATTATACTTCATCAGTCGCTCAATATGGTCACAATGAACGGGTACACGGTGACTCCGCATCACCGCCAAAACCGGCGTCGTGAGCGTCCTGGCTCAAGAACTCGGCGGACCATCACTCGCAAAGCCAACGTCCAGTACGATGTTTACGAAGGCGTGCTGGATGCCTGCGATGCTGAAGTTCATCTCCCATCCGACAAAGCCAGACCATCGCCTCTTCTCCGTCAGAACTTCGACCAGAATTGGCAGAAATGGAAAGCTAGGCAAGCCGAAGAGAAAGCTCTCGCGGAGATGGACAGGATGCAGTTAGAACAGGAGCAGTTGCAATTTGAAATAGGAGACGACGTGAGTCTGATACCTGATGATGCTATGCGTCGCGTCGTGTTTAGTCTCTTCGGGGATATGGATTACATCGACCCTTGACTGGCACTCGCACTTGCACTTCCCACCCACTCATCATCATCATCATCCTTTTCATTATGATGGAGGCGTTCATGGCATGTCTTGAAAGGCAGATGTATGCTTACGCATCCCTCGTCAGGAGCTATATCGTTTGGGCATCCTCTACAATGACAATGAAGATCTTGCCCAAGACTCCGATTCAAACACAATTGCTTGCGATGTGCCAATCGAGCCGTCAGTCCCAATGTTCATCTTTCGGCAAGGCAAGCCCAGACTCTCTCGACGGCGTTCAAACTGGAGTTCTCTACCACTATATCTCTCACTCTCCTCTCTGAGTGACGATGCCGACATTTCGCGACTTCTTTCCCTTTCACCATTCCCGACGATTCAACATCGCCTCACTCAAGCACCTACAACCACATCCACGGATATTCCACAGTCCTTACCGACATCGGCGTTGGAGTTTCCCTATCACGATGTTAACAACGATAATACCCATTCCATTTCATCTGCACAACAACATCAACATCAACACATCCTTGATTTCAATTCCGGAGACTGGACATTCATTCACACCCCACACCACGCGGATCCATCTCCAACACCATCTTCCGAACCAGAGACATGGATCCTGATCGACGACTCGTAACAGAACCGCCCCATTGAGGTCAACTCTGAGAACCGCTAGCAGCAGCACGGCATGGGTGTGTGCGTGCGTGTGTGTGCTACGCGAGAGGAGCAATGGCGGCGGTTTGGTCCTCATTAATTCAGCCCAGTGTCATCTGGGGAAGTATGCGTCTCCAAAATGGAGAGACCAGAAAAAAAATGAAGAGACCAGAAGAGAAGAAGAGGATGAAAATGAGGAAGAGACCGGCAGTTGTGTGCTCGCGGCAATGGACCGTTGGAGCTCGCTGCCAGGAAGAATAGAGAGCAGATTCCACGGAGGGTGGAGAGGAATGGTGAAGCGTGAGTGCTGTGTGAATAGTGTTCAGCTTCGAGGTAATTTAATGAATATACCCTGGTACCACCAAAGTTTTACTGTCGGCATATGTGATGATTCTGTTTACGTATTTTTAAGCTGTGAAGCCGTGAGATCCATTAGTTGTGTTTCTTGTTATCACAGCATGCATGGACTTGAAATTCTGTCCTTGTTCCCAGATTGAAAGATTTGCTTGTATTCTATTCTGAGTACAAACTGCGATCGTAATAAGCCAGATGTCCATTATACAGACACCATTCTCTTCAAGTGAAGAGAAAGATCTCAAGTCTTGCCTTAAGCTCAGTAGCAAACTAAAGATCTACTACGCTCGTAAAATAAAGTCAAGATAAGCCGTATTCAAAGGGGGAAAAGGGGCTTCACGAATTTTGTCCCATTCGCCATTTGTGTCCGTGACCATGTTTTGCACCTTGATTTGCGGCATAATCCAAGCTTTTGACTTGCTCCTCACGCCCATCAACTGCTCCGCTACTCCATACAGGATACAAGCAATTTCTCAGCCTTTTTCGTCTCTGAAGTTGTTGACTTGGTGAACAATCTGTTTACAAACCGAACAGGGGGCGTTATGTTCCGTGGTTTCTGTTTCGAGATGGCCAGACTCTGACGTGTCGTCTCTGGTATGTGTGCAACCTTTCCAAGGGATATCCACCAATCTGTGATTTGTCTCATGGTCTGCATTTGGGCTCGAAAGCACGACGGAGTATGTAAGAAGACTTTGAAACCTGGATAGGACGGTGAGATTGGGCATCAAGTTGATGGCGACATACTTGAGAGACTTCCAAATGCATGAACGGACATTGGTGAGCATATATTGCTTCATAGCCTCACAGCGAGATTCGCGGGTGGTGTGGAAGAGAACTGGAGCTAGTGTGGACGAAACAGCACGAGAGGTCAATTGGTTGTAGTGAAGCACGACCATTCGAGGGCCAGGAAGACTGAGATTCCAAATTCTGAAGCGCAGCTCCGCGGGAAGATTTGGAAAGAGGTGAAACTCCGTTGCAGGAACGGCTTTGGAGAGAATGAGTGGTCTGTCAATGATGCCTGAGGAGCTTTCATCTCGGTTGATGAGGATGTCGATACCGTTCTTATTTTCATGGAGGAGAGAAAGAGTTGGCGTGGATTTGGCGATACGAGCAAGCTTCTGATGTGTTTCCTTGACAAATTTGCGCTACACTGTGTCAGCTCTCATCTTTAAAGAGCATAGTATGGATGACTTACGTTGCGGCACGGCTTAAATTCAGGAGCATTAGCTCTCAAAGATGATGTGCGCGGCTTGAACTCCGTTGCCTCAGCTCTGAGAGTAGATCGAACCATCTTCAATGAAAGAGCTATCACTTCGGAAGAACCTCGAGTGTCGGCTTCTTTAGTCTTCTTGCTCAATGTACCTGGGTGAGTATCCCGACTCTGTGTTGGAGGCCAATTGATCGAAGAAGTTGCCATCGTTGAGGATGTAGAGTAGATCGAAGCTGTGAAGTTCGTGATCCTGAAATTGCGAGGTGGTTACAAGTCCTGGCAGAAGCTAAGGTCGAACGGATGATATGTTGCAGCTATGTGAGTCATTCACCATTGACGTTCGTTGTGAAAGTGGTGAATTGACATTGAGGTGAACAGATTGTCTGATATCCTCGCATTCTCTTAGAATTGCCTGAAGACAAATCCGATCTCCTTCTCATGAAAACGTCTGTATCTGATGTTTGTATTTCAGAAAAGACACGACTGCGACATTGCACCTTTCTAACATGTAGAGCTGATTGAAACCATATCTACAAGCGCGAGCGCCTAGATACATCTGGTAGTAGGGCTCGCTGGTTTCAAAGTAGTTGTTATAGAATCACCCATGCATGTCTACGGTAGTACTAACATGCAACATTCTGATATATGGCAAGAAGAAGCTAACGGGATCAATATTTGATTCAAGCAAAATCTATTAGCAGTTCAATGTTTGTCAATAGTGCCTCGCTTAATCTGGACCTATCAAAGCTACAACATAACATCAAGGTCCCAACAGCCACTAGATGGCCACAAGACCTCAGTCGAAGGCCAGCAGTGCCGGCAAAAGTAATGGACAGTGGTCATTACTTTTGCTTTACTATTAGTAGTAGTCAGGGAACCGACGAGCAGCGAGATGATGTCATGACAGGAGGTCCTAATTGCCCAGAACATGTAAAGTAAAAAATAGTAATGGAGATCATATGATACCCCGATGCGTACATAGTCTGAATCCTTCGATCCCAAGGGCTTTTGGGTAGCGAATATGCGTCAACAGTGGACTTGGCAGATTTATCATCTCCGCTCATTACCTGTCACAGAATATCCAACACCTCAACTTCGATATTAGGTATCAGGGCCAACAAGTCACTTATCTACTACCAGTGCATTCAGAATAGCAACCCGAGCTCTACGAAAGGCATAAATAGTCCTTACTTCTCGAATTCGGTTTCAGGTTCAGCTTTCGAGTCCACTCCCCCCCAATGTCTCGCTTATGGAAAGGGACCATGATGAGCTTCTAAACGTTGTAGGCACGAAAATGCGAAATTTCGGGGCAAAATGCTGATAATTTGCTGCATGTCGTATCAACGTTCAATTCTTTACTTTCTCGTTGGATTTACTATTAAAGCACGTAGTAGAGGCCAATAAAGTATTCGAGATTACTGCCACTCCTGTAGCCTCGGCATTCAGCCTCGTGTTCCGGCATCACCTCTTGCGCTTCAGCCAAGCAGCGCACCCGGTCAAACATCCCCCCATCACCCCTCTGCAGCCTTCCACGTTTCCATCTCAATTGAGATGCCCACCGCGCATCTGGAAACATGGCTGCAGCCAGACGAGGCCAAGGGCCATTGAACATCGATCTGCCCAATGGCGGTTCTTTGAGTCCAGACCTCCCACCTCTCTCGGCCCTTTTCCTCATATACTTCGATATCAAGGCCGGCTATACTATTGGATGGAAACGGTCACTGCCGGGGGTTGAATTGGAAGGAGTGGTAGAATACAAAAGCTTGCCCTCGGGATTGCATACGGTCAAGGAGGATTTGATATACTTCGTTCACGACAATCATGCGGGACTCAGCGCATTCATCAATGCGCCAGCAGCGGAGGAGTCAAGAAATGCCCGGATGATTGCAGTAGGGATTATGGTTCCTTTGAGTTACGGCAGATTGGGGAGAAGCTGGAAACATACGGAGCAATTGAAGGAAATGGCCAGGTAGACGAACCAAATCATTGGGGAGATCAAGTAGCTTACTCTGGATAGTGAGTTGATTGTCGACACGGAGAAGACGGAAATACTCGAGAAGTATTGGGAGGAACATAAAGCACATGAACCATGTCTCCCCACAGAAACAGACTCCCTGCTGGATTCACCCTCAAGCTTGAAGTTTAAACCAGTGCGAGCGATTTCGGGGAAGCCTAAAGGACATGGCAGGAATCGCTCAGCATCAGATGGGACAGCATTACTACCTCCTGGCCACACTTTGTCTCCATATCATCCAGCATGGAGCCTGCCACGTTTACTCGAGGCATTTGGACCTTTGATATTTCCTTTACATAGAGCAGCTCTCTTGCGCAAGCGGATATTGATCACAGCGCATGCGCCTGTTCAAGAGACTTGTGATTTTGGTTTGAGCTTCCATCGTGGAATAGAGAACAATTGCTGACCATTGACAGTGTACGATATTTCCGTCCTGTCCAACATTCCCCTTGCAGTCAACGACCTCCTAGCTTCAACTGCGCCTCCCCAGAGGCTGCGCCCTCTGTTCTCAATCGGTGTACATGATATCCCCCTACTGGAAGAAGATCTCCGACTATCCAAAGCAGCAGCCTCGACACCAGGCTCAGACGAACCAGAAGCACGAGACGAGCCAGGATGTGGCTGGATAGCCTGCACAACGGATAGTATCTTGGCTATGAAGAGTGCACTCTACGATGTTTTAATCACAATGCCGCCTCTATATTCAGAAGACGCCAACGAGAAAGTCTGGCCTAAGATCGAGTCTCCGCAAGGCGTGGAAATGAAAGCCACACAGCGAGATCTCCGTCGTTATCAGACTCTGCGATGGGGTCTCTCACGGCATGTATCTCCACCTCCTAGTCCTGCCGATAGACGTAGGAGTAGCTCCGAGCTCGCAGAATCAGAAGTGCCACGGACAGCATCATCTAGTACTTCTTTGCTTAGAGACATCCCCATGCTGGATCTCCCAGATACAGATCACATCGTAGAGCCCTCATCCTGGTCTGCGCTCGCCTATTCAGGTTTCATGTGGTGGGCTTCAGCGGGGGAAGAGCGTGGAGAGTCGGAAGAAGAAGCAGACGCAGACGCTTCTCTCTTGTCCGGCCTTGCACTCTCTCCTTCAAGTCCATCATCTTCTCGACCACGGTCTCAATCCACACTGTCCGTGGCAAGTAAAGGCAAAGGCGGGGCTGTAGGCGAAGATCTGAGTGCGAAGCAGGAAATGGCAATCATTGCTTATTTCCATCGCTTGACGACTCAAATCTTGACGACGTTGAGTGATATTGTTGATGCCACAGATTCGGATGATGAGCGTGAAGATGAGCAAGCAGCTCTTCATCAGACTGTGGAAGAGGTAGGCGAGAATGAGACTGGGCCGGCAGTGCATGTAAGTAGTGATGATGTGGTGAGGATGGGACTGGATGTGTGGTCTACAACAGACCACCAATTCATCCAGGAGGTCGCGAAGGAGTATTTTGGGCGACGAGCTTACGTGGAAGGACGGAATGTGGACGTATGCGGCATTCGGATTTGCTAGTTAAGTGGAAGAAGTATCGGGTTCGCCACTTTCTGTACAATTTAGGAGTGAGGAATACATGTCTGGGACAAGATCAAAATGAATTATGTTCAGTTCTCGGTTGTTCTACATTGAATGAAGAGCAAATCTGACGCTTTCCAATGTTCTTGAAAATTGTCCGTCTCTCCCACCATAATCGGTTCCTCCATAGGAATCTCACATCGCATGCACAATATTTTCGAAGTAGACAAACGCCTTGCTCCATGCCACTCCATATTTTACAAAGCCCCAACAAACCATGCTGCCAACCAGGAAAGGGAAAAAGCCAAGTACCGTGATCATTCCTCGTCAGTGTCTGTATCCGTCTCACTGGTATCATCGGCTACTTCTCCATCCGTGTCACTCTCCTCATCACTTGACTCTTCTTGCACTGGCTTCTTCTTCTTCTTGGGCGCTGGGGCACCAGCGATTCCTCCGGTCTTGAGAGCATGCATTTGACCAGCAATGGAATCTATTTTGAAGTTAGCAGTATTCGCAATATAGGTCTCGTGAAACATACCCTCATCAGGCTCGCTGATTTCTTCTTCTTCCTCAATCTCAACTGCCTGGCTTGCATCTGCTACAACAAGCGTAACCTCTACCTTAGTATCAAATCCGAGATACGAATCACAGACTAAATTGAAGACGAAAGTGTAGTTGCCAGCGGAAGGAGGAGCTTGGAATTGTGCCTTGAGTGTTTGCATGTTGAAAGTAGGCTTTCCACTCTCGTCATAGATAGGCTTGTCGAATGTCGTGAACGTGAATGGTGGTACGGCAATCTTTCCTTGCTTGCTGTCTGTGAGGAACACGTGCCATCTGGGGGAATATTCGCGAGCGAAATATGGAGCATATGCTAAGGGTGGTTGGACGGGCTTTTCTTCCTTTGCTGTCTTTCCATCCTTGCCTTTTGATGGCCTGCCATTGATAGCATCGACATCATCCTCGGCTGGGTCAACATCCTCGAGATCAAGCTCGTTGACTTCTGGGACATTGGCACTTCCTGGGGGAATGAAACGACCTTTGACAACAAGTGATACTAGCGAGCCTGGAGTAATGAATTTCTCGCCAACAACCTTGAAAAAGGCCTTTTCAACTTGGAGGCGGGGTAATTGCCTGGCAACGCTGGTAGCAGTCTTGTACTGAGCCTCGGTGAGAAGACCTTTGCCAACTGAAAGTCTCTTTCGATACGCCTCTGGCAGATCCATGTATTGCTGAAGAGACAAATGAGTTTTGGCATCTCCTTCAATAGCTCTGGCGATTGATTGTGTGATATGTGGTAACTGCAAAAGTGGTGATCCTCCTGGGTAGATTGCTTGCAGTAGATGTTGGGTCGTAGAGTATGATGCCATGATAGGTCCAGTTGTTGTAAACGCGAGGGCGATGACGGAAAATGCAGAGCTGAGCGATTGAGCAATGGGAGCAACATCAACCTTTGACTGGTTCAGAGCAGTATCGTCCAATTCAACGCGACCAAGATATGCCCAGAGTAGTCCTAAAGCCTTTCTTCGAACACCACCATCTAGATCCTCGAGTTTCGTTCGATCCTTAGTTGTCAATCCAGCAGCCAGTGGAGTAACTTCGCCCTCTGCTAGGATCCTCGACTCCAGTTTTCCAAGTCCTGAATCTGCCTTTTCTCCTTTCAAGATCTCCTGGAACTCCAAGCCGGTTGTCAAGGCACTGATAATTCCGCCTTCAGTCATACCCTCTTCATATTCTCGGAATAGATTATTGGCGCTCTCAACCAAGACTCTCTCCTTGGACATTCTCTGTGTTCCATACCACCAAGATCCAACCAAGTATGGTAATAGGACGCCCAACAGAGCTGCATATACCAGGATAACATACTTTCCATTCCCGTCGGTGACGATGAATTTAGGCAAAGCGATTCCAATGCTGTAGCTTTGTTTCCCGTCTGGATGTCCGAATTCCTGGAAATTTCTCCTTATGTCCTCGTCGGTAAGAGCCTTGTACGCCTTTGTGAGCTCGACGAAATAGTCATTGAGGGATTCTATTGTTTGGTTCTTTGCGGGGTCTGGTCTGATCTTGTCTGGGTGGAATTTCAGTGACATGCGTTTGTAATGCGACTTGATCTCTTTTTCGGTTGCAGACTATTTCCAAGTTAGCGAAAATCCACAGAGGATGATCCAAATAGCCTTACATCTTTGATGCCCAAGATATCATATGGATTCCAGATCTTTGGTATGATTCGCGCCGTTACTACGATTAAGTAGGCCATAAAGCCCATGATGGCCCATCCCGCCACAACAGCAATAGCTCTCTTCAGCTTTCTCTCCTTCCTCCTCTGCGCCTTTCTCTGACTATCGACCAAGTCTGCATGTTCTGGACGGAAATCCGACTTTATTCGTGGGGCTGTTGCACCGGGATCGGAACTTGGCTTGAGGACAGAGTATGTCAAGGGAATTGTGACGATGCCGACCACTGTCAGAACGAAGAAGGGGAAGAATTGTCCCTGTATCCCATTAGCATTTGGATGTGTTTCATAGGGTACTTGCATACCTGGTCATCGTACGAATAGTCTGTAGAGCTCATCTCGAAGGTCTACTTGGTCTCGCGGACCAGCGCAGTGGGAAGACTTGCGCACACGTTGCTGTCAGTTTTTGCAATTCGCAGGAGACAATAGAATACCCAGCAGTCAAACTGTTCAAAAATAAATCACAGCGAAAAGCGCGGAGTGAACGAAGATGGTGAAAGAAAGACGAAAATTAAGGTCCCGAAATGCCACTGTGGCTCGTCACTCGCGCACGGAATGGACAGTTCTCTCCAAAGTTCGAGTTGGGATTAAACGCCGCTTTGCCGCATCAGGCGATTCTATATGAATCACTGGCACCGCCTTCGCCAGGAGCCAATCAGGAGCCTTCATGGCTTCCTTCAGCTTAACGAGCTTGAACTCACCACTTGAGATGTTGTGAGACCACCGAAACTCGTGGATCGAAGTAATCAATACGATTCACTGGCAAGAAAACTTGCTACGTGTCCTCAAAAATGCAAATTCCAAGTCATATACATGTCATTTGTTTGCGACCCGAAATATGCTCCTCTATCATATAGCCATAACCTGTTCTCAAGCGCCTTCCTATGCACCATAATTATCCCAATATTCAAGCCTCGGCTGGAACCGAATCCTCTCCTGGAACAGGCTTTACCGCTCTGTCCCCCTTAGCAAATATGTAGTTTATTTTACAGTTGTCTCCCTTCAAAACCTCGACTAGGACCTTGTCATCCACGACCTTTCTTGATTCTTCAACCTCTAGAGTTTCGTAGCCAAACACATCTTCTGTCTCACCTCTAAAAACTGCGGTGTCAATATGCCTGTACATCATAAGAGCTTGCATCTTCCCTTCCGAGTTTTTTGCCCTCTTCTTCTTTTCCTCCTCTGCGATTCTCCTCTTCACAGCATCGACATTGGCCTTGGTGCCAGGAACTATCGCATGGACTGGTGGTAACAACGGTTCATCGTCGCTATCAATATCTTTCTCTGAAATAGTTGAAGGTGAGCATGGTTCCGAGACGACCGAGGGATGAATGGCCAGATCTTCTCCGATACCTTTGCATTCACAGCCCAGTAGCTGATGAGTCTGACAACCATCGCTCATATCAAGCCTGAATAAGTCTCTTAACTCCTCAGCAGTGAAACTTCCTTCGCTCTTCTTCCCATCAACAACCGAATCGGCTAATCCCGTCTTAGTGATCTGTCGCTGGAAGATCTTCTCATCCATCCCTCCAGCGAGCACGAATCTGTATATCTTCACTGGCCGTTTCTGCCCGTCTCGATGAATACGAGCCATAGCTTGTTGATCCGTAGCAGGATTCCAATCAACATCGAAGAGAATCAAGCGAGAGGCACCGATAAGATTGAGGCCCACCAGACTTTGCAGAGAGCAAAAAGGCAAAGATCTTGCCTGCATCTGACCTGTTAAACTGGTCGACCATGCCTTGTCGTTGCTTTTGGGGAGTTTTCCCATCGAGGCGTAGGAAGGAAAGAGACAATGACGTCAAATGCTGGCCGATGAGATCCAGGGTAGAGGTATAATTTGAGACAATAACAACCTTCTCATGGGTCTTTTGAGAGATGCCTTTTAACAACTGGTCAAGCACTCTGAACTTGGAGCTTGCTTTGACGTTGGACTTGTTCATCAGTTCTGCAGGAATGACATCCAGAAGTGCAGCTACGACTGGGTTGGTGGGAGCATCCTCTTTGCTCTTAAGTAAGCTAGGGGCATTACAGACCTTTTTCAGGATTGTGATGAGCTGGAGTGAAGATTCGCTTCCGCCCAATGCTTTTCCGAAAAAGGGCGAGCTGATGATATGCTGATACACCTCGGCCTGGGCCTGTGTGGGCTTGCAGAAGACAACATATTCTGTTTTGGATTTCAAATACTTGGCGAGCAAATCTGCAGTGCGTCGGAGGATAAACTCTTTCGTTAATGCTGACTACAATGACGAGGGAATTAGCCATGACCATACCTGCAATGTTCTCAGAACATTTTGAAACACTTGAAAGAGGAAATAAACTCATACCAATTCTTCGCTTCTCGCAGTGCCCTTTTCAATATCTCTGTCCGACGCTCCTGGCTGTCTGCTTTTCAATATTGGGCCTTCAAATTCTTTCTTGAAAGTGTTGTATTTTCCCAAAAGACCAGGGTTGATGAAGTCAACCATGGTGTAGAACTCTGAAAGATCATTTTGCATCGGTGTTCCGGACAGGATGACTCTTCTGTCGGTGTTCAAGTTGAGTATGGCCTGAGCGGATTTGTTCTGGGCAGTCTTCAACCTATGTCCCTCATCGGCAATAACAATATCGATTCCAGCCCCTTTCTTCAATTCCTCTTGCACTGTCCTCAACCTCTCATAGCCAATGATCATTACACTGTAGCTCTTGCCATGCGTGAAGTCTGTGATCCTTTTCTTGCTCTGGGCATCTTCGACAAAAACACCGATCCTTTCATTTCCAAGCCACTTGTTAAACTCCTTCTTCCAATTTTCTATAAGTGTTACGGGACAAACGATCAGGGCCTTCTTGATAACAGGATCCGATCCGTAAATTGGATTCTGCTTCAAGAGTGTCCACAGCAAGCAAATCGTCTGCAGAGTCTTCCCAAGCCCCATTTCGTCGGCAAGCAGGGCTCCTCGGCCATCGTAGTCTCGCAGTCCCATAACACATTCGTAGAGGAACTGAATGCCCGCGCGCTGATGTTCACGAAGATGCCGGCCAAGGAAAGGATCCAGGACCACATCCACAAGTTGCTTTCCTTTCGGACAAGCCGCGGGCTTCTTCATTACAAGTGCTCCAGGGACATTGGGATCATGCCGGGGCGTGGGCGATCCATTTTGGTTCTGCGGCATGATAGTTGTTGATAAAAGAGGATTCTTGAACTGTGATTTCATGGCGTCGCTCTTTTGGGTGGCATAAAAGTTCTTGGCAGGGATCTCCTCAAGCTCTAAACCTTCTTCCTTTTTCTTGCCTACCAATGGCATTTTACCCTTTGGCAAAACGATAGGTGCTCTCTGAGGGGCCGCAGGAACCGAATTTCGTTGAGCACTATTGTTGAGAAAGGGCTTCCCAGCCAGGAAGTCCGCTTTGCTTATGAGCGAATCGACTTCAACATCTTTCCCTCCAATACTTAAAGTACTGCCAGGGAGAAGCGGGTCATTGTACATGCACCTGCCCATCTCTCGGCCCGAAATATCCTGTAATCGAGCATAACCGCCGTAAACTGACAGTACTCCATCTCCGTCCCAAGTTTTGTGTTTCTTCGTAGTATACTTTCGCCTGCCGAGATATGTATTAGCGTGTGCATAAACTAGAGGAATCAGACGTACCAAAGCACTTGGTAGTAGCTCTCTGGAGGGTCGGATGTAGCTTCTGAAGCGGACTTCAAATATTCAGGATTTTTGACCGGTATTAATGGCTTTCGCGGAGCAAGCACACCGGAAGACACCGACGCAACAGCTTTTTTTGGAGGGGAGTCTCCAATACGACGTTCGAGCAGTTTCCGTTTCTTCGCTGGCCGTGGTGGGGATTCGGGCACAGCATCATCATTTGGAACAGGTCTAGCGGCACTCTTGAGCGCTGGTGGTTTGAAGGGCTTGAACATCGCCCCCTAAGTGAAATGGTGATTGTTGTAGAGTAAGGTAGGGGCTTGCATGTTACGAGGGAGGGACGCGACTTTAGACGCGGCATGATTGCCTTGGCGCGTCTCGGTGTCACATGACCAACCATGTCTGAACAGGGTGTTCTTGCTTGAACTTTGTGCAGAAGCCGACATTTTCGTCAGCCAGATTCATCCAGGAATAAAGGGTTGATAGCGGCGCATATTGGTTCTGTCCCATATGTACATATATTCTCCCAAGATGATCTCTCAAGAGAGCTACAGCTTGTGATCTCGTCAGATCCTGGTTATCGATATTGGCATTCTATTTACCAAGGCTTCCATCCAACAAACACTTTCCTAACGTCAAAAGTACATCAGTATGCGGGTCCACTTTATGTTCAAGTCCAGATTGGCGGCAGGTTCACGATTCAGACTTAGTCTAAATTACTTCCGTTCTCATTGTTGGGAAATCGAAGTTCGCTGGACTATGTGGCGGACAATTGTACTGCTAGTCCCAGGGATGTTTCGACGATTGCTCTCCTTCTATGCCAGAGACATTTTAACAGATCTTTGGTCCTTATACTGTAGGGATATAATTGGAAACAGAAGTAGCAAAGCAATACCGCAAATTTGATAGGCTTCTGTGAACCTCATATCCTAGAGGTTAGAAGAAAGTCGTCACATAATTTCAGGACTTGCAATTAAACCCAACGGCGAGTCGGGCCTACCAGTTCATCGAAAGTCGTTGGATCTTGGAATATGTCTCGAAACCCTGTCCCAATTCAGGACCGGTAGCGGTGTGGCAAAAGTTGAAAGGACCAATCTGGAGTTTGTACCGAATATGTCATGGGTGGTAAAGAATTAGGGAGGCACTTGCAGGACAAAGTATATGTGGAATATTAGTCACAGTCTTCTTTTTTCGTCAAGCTTTCATTCTTATATCTTCTTCACAGACCCGGGTTCATATTTAAAATTCTCTCTATCTGCGCTCTACTGCAGCATGGAATCGAGACTTTCTCCCAGAACACCCTCAATCTTAACGATCCAGCGATGAGTCTCCTTCTCCACCACATCATCGTCATCTTCTTGCAACTCGCTAATGAAAGGCAGCATCTCCGGTAACATAGATAGCCATTCCTCGCCCAATCTATCAGTGAGCTCCTGCTCACATCTCACCGCTGCTAACCGGACACTGGCGATTTCGGATCGCATGTGCTTAAGAATCGCTCCGTTCAGCTCCTTATGGTGATCAGAAGAATCTGCTGCGGCGGCAAGCTCCACCACTGCGGGTATAAGGTCGAGCACCAATGGTAGAGTCGCAGCGTTCTTGAATTGCTCGCAGAGAACAGGTGCAATGACAGAGAAATGAGATGGCGATTGCCAGAAGTCATCCTGATCATGTTCAAAACATTTGGTCAAAGTTCGAAGGACGTGAGACCACAATTCCTTGGACACTTCATCTTTTGGGTTGACCGTTCCAAGAACCTCGACAGCGTTGTCCAGTAGATAGGTGGCATAACTCGTGACGATCGATTTGAGGTTCTCGAAGAACACTGCCATGAATCCATATATGCTTCGTAAGCGTAGAGCTCGACCTACTTTGTCCTTCTTGGGCAGTGATGATGCCCATTCGATCAAGTTGGAGAAGATCGGTCGGAATGTTGCATCGTTGAACTTATATATCATCTTGATGGCGACATCGTTGACATCTCCCTCAATCTCAGAAATTGCTTCAGTTGTGAATCGTTCATCGCCGGATATAGTCCATTGTCTCCGAAGATCAAAAGCATTCTGGAAGATTTTGGCAAGGATTGACGAATATTTGGTGACAACGGTTTTTGGGTGTTTATCAACAGCAATGCTGAGTACTTCTAGGTACTCGTGAAGCGCCTGTTGCAAATTAGCTATATTCTCACAAATAAAATATCTGCTACTTACCAAACTTCCTACTGTTGATGCTCGCACCCAATCTTTCTCCAATGCTCCGAACATGCTCTTGGCGTCAACTTGCTTTGCCAATAGGTGCAGACACTGCATACGGCTGTCATCTGCTCCATCGGCGAGATCGGCCTCGGCAGAGACGTTAGATATCTCAAAAAGCTTGTCCAAATATGCTCCAGAGACCATGTATGGTAAGTGATGAGCCAGAGCACTCATGAAAGCGTATCCCGCACTGTACAATTTTTGGGAATCGGCATTATCATGCACACTTGATTCCATGTATTCCAAAGCTTTAGGAATAGCCACCGGGAGAACCGAGACAATGCCTTCTCTGAGAATTTCGACCAGCGAAGCAAGGCACAATAGTGCCATAACCCTAAGGCGATTGTCTGACTGGCCAAGGCAGTGAACGCTTGCAATGGTTTCAGCAGCGGCTGAAACAGCTTCCAAATCTTTCTTGCCATACTTTTCGGAAATCTTGTCGACACAACCAACGGCAGTATGCTTGTACAAAACATCTTTGGACTCGCGGATAATTGCGGTAAGCTGTGGTAGGAAGCTGAGCATTGCGACTCTCGAGACAGCATCTGATGCACTTTCTTGGTCGATGCGAACTTCTAAAGATCTGAGAACTTTGCGGCGCAGTGCTTCGTTGGGTCTGTCGAGCAAGCCTTCGACGGATTTGACGAATTCACTTGTTGACAATAGGCCGAGAAGACTCTCCAGGACATCACCGCAGGCACTGTGCAAACGCTTCTGATCTTTCAAGGTATCTGCTAGAGCCAGGATATTCTCTAGAAGCGCTGAGTAGAGGTCCCGAACTCTGGCGGCATCCATATCGTCACGGTTGAGCAGCTTGCCGGTCTGAGAAATGAGGCGCTTTTGTGAAAGGAGATGGGGCAGCATAGTCAGCTCATCCAGAGCAATCCTCTGAGGATCCGAGTTGCCATCTTCATAGGTTCCCAGCAAGACGTTGGAGTACAACGGTTTCGATTTCAATACATCGCCGACCAAATCGAGGTACTTGACAGCGGATTGAAGTTGAACTTCGACTCCAAATGACCCAGTGAGGTCAGAAGCAAAGGATTTGATGTTTTCCGTGACGCCATATTTGTCGACAAGCATTGCTAGAAGAGCGAACAAGAAATCCTCGGCTCCCAAAGTCTGAACTAAGGAGGTGAAAAGACTCTTTCTCCGATGAAGAGGAATATGCTCGTATGCTGCAACGAAGCTTAGAAGTAGTTCGGCTGCACCGGTGACTGGATTTCCCTTTTCCTTGCGCAGAGAACATATCAAAGGTGGAATGACCTCGCGAATTGTTTGGCTGATAACATGTGCAGAGTACTCATCGTTTTGTCTCAGCACAGAGCTACCCATGAAAGTGAATATTGGCATGACGCTGTGGAGAACAAGCTCAGGGGCGGAGTCTGCGAGAGATGCAATAAGTAGCAAAGCTGCATTCTGCACCTGGGGACTGGTTGTCTTCTGGACACAGTCGACTAGCAGGTCAGCTCGGATGGCAGAACGGTCTAACTTGATGCTTGAGTCTGTCTTGTGGGCTTTCAATATAGCAAGAAGGCTTCCCAGTACCAATCCCTGAAGGTAAGCGAGTTCTGACGAGACTTGAGCTTTAAAATGTTGCAGTTCGGCTAGTACATTGAACAAGCCTCTGAGAAGCTCGGGGTGTTTGCCAGCTTCAGAGCTATCAACGAGTTGCAGGACGAAAGTAACTTTCTTAATGGCGGCATTGAGCTGTTTCGAATCTTGAAGTGGTGTGCGTGCCACTTCTCCGTGACTTGTTCTCCGCCTCTTCGTTGCAGGGGGGTTGTCTGCTAGCATTGCGGCCGTCGGAAGTTGATCCAGGAATGATAGTAAGATGTCAGTCGAGAGAGGCGTGGTGCGTAGCAGATCTGCGGACCCAGTTGATAGAGATTCTCGAAATTCATCAGCTCCTTCCGATGAACTCTGTGACGCATCCATCAGCATCTGCGCAGTGCTAATTCGGGCTTCTCCTTTCAAAGAAGACCACATGGATCGAAGTCTCTTGAATACAGCGTCCAGGAATTCTGGCCTGGTCGAGACGACCTCTCCATTGATAATGCTGGCTAAGTATTGTAGACCATCTTTGTCGTTTGCTGCCACAGTCATGAGTAATTGATCATCAAGTTCTGCCCTGTCAACTTGTTCTTCTTGACAGCGTCCGGAGATTTCTATTGATGGTAAAGCAACCCATTGCTGAAGAGCTGGGAGTAAAGATTTCGTCCTTGTCATCCCTGCTATACTACGAACCTGGTTCAATGATGCGAGAAGCCGTAGCTTCACTGTAAACAAGGGAGTATGGACAACGTGACTGGCCAGGAAATTCAGTATAGCGATCCGGCCAGCTTGTGGCAGCCGTCCAACATCTTGCTTTTTGGGGGTCTCGACGTTCCGAGCGCTATTAAGGAACTTTTCGAATATAGATTCCACATGCTTTCGGTCCAGTATACATTCTTCGAGGCCTGGAATGATCAAATCGCTTAAAAGCCGAGCGACAATGTCCATGGAAAGCCAAGCCAACTCCTCAGTATTATGTCCAGCTCCATATAAATCATCTGACGCCCACCGACGTGGCTTGTTCGCCGACTTCTTTTTAGCTTCGGGAACGGAGGGATGTATCTTGCTTATGGTGGTAAGGAGTTCCGAGGCCGCCCGACGTACTTTGGTTGCGGCATCCCCTAGCGCTGCAATTGCATATGGAATAACTGCTTGGAAGTCCACCGTGGAGGCTTTGCAATTCGAAACACACCGAGTCGCCATTTGGAGCGCTGAAGCTCTAGCCGTGACGGGATATGGACCACACCATGTTCTCATGTAGAAGCTGAGATATATGGTATCTTCCAATGCGCTTTCTCGTCGAATAATTGGAATTTGGTCGAAGGTATCGAGGTCAGTAGCATTGGATGCAGAGCTGATGAATGCTCTGCACAAGTTTGGGTATATGTGAGATGAGCCATGTGACAAAAAGGTCGGCTCGTTCACGGTCTTCTTGGGCAAAGCTTCAAGCATGGCAGAAAGGTTGGGAGTAGCTGCATTGACGCCGGAATCTACCATCTTAACATCACCTGATGGCGAGGTTGGTGCCTCAATGCTCCGGAGAGTGGTTTGTAGTTTTAACTCAAGATCATCCATATCGATGTCGGTGTCTCCTAGCACTCCTCGAACTACAAAGCCCATATGCCCAGATAGCTGCGTGAGAGACACTAACAGGGAAGCAAGATGCGATCGCAAGTCTTGGTGTGAGGTAGATCCCTGGTCAATTTCGTTGGCTATTGAGAGAAGAGCCTGGACGACTGTCGAAGTCTGCGCATCACTCAGTAGATTTTGTTCAAGGAGCTGTTGGATGGTCGAAAGAGGAGGAAACTCCGAAGTTCTGCGTACTCGGTCCACCAATGCGACACAAAATCCATTGGCAAGCTTATCTACCCTTCTTTGTTTTGAAAGTTCTTGGAGAAGACGCGGCAAGTTTTGTATCTTGATCAGCTCCTTCGTGGTCTTCTTTGATGTTGACTTTGCACTTCGATGTTGCGCCAGTATGGAGAGGCACACAAGTCCCGGTACAATTGTCTCCTCGGTCCATCCTAGAACAACTGCTTCCATCATAGCTGTCAATAATTTGTCGTCCAGTCCACCTTTTGAAGCCATAATGGAGAGGATCATGTAACACCCGACGCGGAGATCAGGAGCCCGCTTCATTGCTAATCCTTCATTCAGTGTTGGAAGCAGTCTCAAGATGACTTCCTGCTCATTCTGTAGCTGCACTCCTTGCCTGCCTGACCGAGCTTTGTCCATCATTCCCGCCACCGCTTCGGTCATTACACCAGCCCAGAAGGCCAGAAGAGCCTGGTAATTTTGTCGAGCTTGACATATCCGCAGTACATAGCTATTGAGAGCTGAAGCGAAGGGTACATTATTCGTGGCGACTTGAACGATTGTATGTCTTGGGGGTGACGTCAAGGACCGTATGTATGGCTGAAGAAATTTGTATTCTTGTGGGAGTCTCTCTGGTAATATCGAAAGCAGTGTCGTGAAGATTGGGAGTGTGTGGTACGGAAGGAAAGTCAGAAGTAGGAACGAGGTGTTTTGCTCATGAATCCTGCAGGAAATGTTAACATAGTTCCGTACATGGTTCTGAGCTCGAAACTCACTTGAACCTCCGCACAAGCCATTCTACAGCTTTGATTGCTGGAGTCAACCTCAATCGCCCTCCAACCAGCCCCAGAAATGCCTCTAAGCGCTTGTCCAGTTCCGAATTTTGTACAGCAGTCATTTGCGCCCGGTCTTCCTCTTGACTCTGTTCGCTGAATATATCTCGCTGGAACTCTAGAAATCTCCCATCCAATAGACAAAGTTCCTGGAATCCTTCATGGCATAATGTGTATAATGTGTCGAAGCTCTGTGAGGCAGCTATCCTAGGTTCGAATATCAGCGACTTGGAGTGTTTGGCCTTTTGCGCCTTGAGATTTAGAGAGTTTTCGGAATTCGCCGCAATTGCAGACAGCTGAGCTGCCAAAGAAGTCGCCATCGTGATTCCTCCTTCAGCGACCTTCAGAAACTCAGATTGTGCAAAATGCTGGCATTCTCATCTGTCTTATCGAAAAATATCGTCCCTCACTTTTTTCTCGGCTCGGATAAACTTAACAGTGGAGCCGGTGCTAGCGTGGAGCAAGGTTGATACTCACGTGATTCAAATATATCCTCATTTCAAGTTCCTGAAGTTGCTTCGCCTTTCAACAGTTGCGCAAGAAAGAGACGACGAGTAATTGTCATACGGCAATGGAATAGTACTAATTGGGTCTGGGGTTCTCACCATGTCGGTACCCACGGCCAATATCCCGAAATTCGGGTCTTTCAGACCAAAACTGTCCACGCCTGCTCCAGAGCCAGAGAAAGCCAAAAATGAATCCAAGACAGATAGCAAACATAGGCATCGTAAAAAAGATGAGAAAGAATTCGAACGTCGGCACCACAAGAGACAGCGCTCCAGGAGCAGAGACAGACGCTCCACGAACCTCGAGGAAGAACCAACAGATGCCACACCAAATCTGAGCTCCCCAGACTTTTTTATCGTTGATCGGAAAGGAGATGTGAAAAATCTCGTCTATGGAAGTGTACATCGGTACAGCGTACCTCCATTCTATCGATATGGCTCTGGCTATGTTTTGGGAGCTTCCGCGAACGTAAAGATTGATCGAAGTCAAGGGGAGGACAAGGGAGTTGTTTTAAGCAATTGGCGAATACCTAGGTCAAGAGAGAAGTATATTTTTTCAAAAGTTGAGAGAGAACGGCCAAGACTTTTGAAGATACGACCTGAAGTATTAGCAGAGACTTCGGGAAATATGGATTTAGATTTTGTACCTCTGCAAGGACTACGGGGGAAGAAGCCCAAGCGAAGCCCTGGAGCCGAGAGTTCAGACAATGAAGAGAAGATAGATTACCGCTCCATCTATGGGAAAACAAAGGAAAGTGGTCAGCCAGCTGATGAGGATCTTCAATATGCCACTGAAACCGATTCGTCTGGCTCTGATGCTGGCCGAGTAATTAAACTGGACTCTTCTATACGACAAAAGAACGTCGAACTGTCGCGAAAAGTTGAAAAAGTCCCACAAGATATCATGGCATGGCTTGCTTTGATAGACCACCAAGATGTTCTCATACAAGCAGGAGATGAACGCCATCGAGTCACAAGCGCTGAGATTAAAAGTACGGCAGAAATCAAAATTCATATGTTTGAGAAGGCGTTGGAACAAACACGTTCTCTAGAGGACCGCGAGTGGCTGCTTCTTGGCTTGATGGCAGAGGGAACAAAGATCTGGGAAGTCAAGGTCCAGTCAGATCGTTGGGAGGAGATCTCACAAGACAACATCGACAGTCTCTTGCTTTGGACGAGCTACTTGAATTTCAAGCAATCCACTTTTACAACATTCAGATATGAAGACGTGCGAGAAGTATATCTCAACAGAATCCGCCTCCTGCAAGGCTCGATTGAAAGTGCCACTGGGGATTCCTGCATCGCGCTACATCAACAGCTTCTCTATGTCATGCTCAGACTTACGCTATTCATCAGAGAAGCTGGGTATTCGGAACTGGCTGTTGCGATATGGCAAGGTCTTCTTGAGATGAACTTTAATGCTCCAAGTGAGCCCCTAGCGAAGAGTGCGTTGATGGACTCTTTCAAGGATTTCTGGGAAAGCGAGGTGTCTCGGATTGGCGAAGCTGGCTCCTTAGGATGGAAACACTTCGCAGCCAACAGTAGCGATTTCGATGTGAGCAAAACTTCCACCTTGAGAGGCTTGGAGCTAATTAATTTGTAGGTCCCGGACACACTAACCGACGAAGTCAATGATTCTCTGAGCAATACGGACATCTTCCGAACCTGGAGCGCAGCTGAAAGGATCCGAATGAAATGTTCGCGAACTCCTGCTCGAACTATGGATGAAGTCGTGGAAGACGATCCCTACCGAGTCATCTTGTTCTCTGATATTGAGGATTTCTTGATCAAGCTGCCGTCGAGTTCAGAAGCGCTTCATGGATGCTGTGTTGAGGCATTCATTCTCTTCTGTCGTTTACCACCGCTAGCTACAACCGAATCCGAGTTCACTTGGAAATGTGCAAATGATTCTTTCATACGGAATGAGTTACTTGAATGGTCGTCCAGCTGGGTAAAGGATGAATACTTGTCCTCAAGTCGTAACGATGCACCCGATGTCCCAAAGGCCTCCATTTTACACAATCCATTCCCGAAATGTGTGAGCACACCAGACCTGCTCTTTGGAAACACCCTTGCCGGAAATGGTGCGTACTCTCTCTTCATTTCCTCTTTGAAGTTCAAATGACGTACTAAATCACGATCAAGACTATTTCGGCACCCCTTCATCCCAAGAATCTCTTTTCTCATCTCGTTACTCTGGAGACAATGGCCCCGTCTCTATGCTCTGGATCCGCAACACCCTCTCACAACTCGTACAAGTCCATTTCACAGAAGACCTCGGAGAATACTACCTCGCCCTTGAATACCACCACTCACCATCTAGCATCAAAAAGGTTGCCAAAGGTCTTTTAAAGCAACGCCCTTCGAGTCTACGCCTGTACAACGCGTACGCCATGATCGAATGGGCACGCGGGAATAAGGACATCGCAAATGGTGTGTTCACCGCTGCGTTGAATATGAGTTCTTCAGGTGCTATGAACAAAATGAATATCGAGGAAAAACCACCAAATGATGCCATACTCCTATGGCGAAACTGGGCCTGGCTACATCTCGAAGCAACAGACAATACTTCAGCGGTCCAAACCCTCCTCTCCATCGTAGACGGAAAACCGGATCCACCGATCAGCCTCTCTCCCACTGCACTATTGAGAGTCAGACAGCATCTATCGTCTACACGGGATTTCTTGTGTTTGGTCGGAGATTTTGGCAGGGCGGTGCTTTACACAGAATGTGAGTACGCTTCGCTAAGCGAGCCCCTTTCCCAAACATCAACAAAAGAAAGTCAAAATTGATACTAACATTCAAACCCTCAGGCCTCGCCCTCCTAACCTACCTCACCTCCCCACCAACCTCCGAGCCACAATCCCCAACCCAAGGATCCATCCTCCCCACTCTCGATATCTACACCACATTCAACCGCACCCTCCTCTCTCGCACGCACTCCTCCTCTCAAGCCAACGCGAAAATCAACCTCCACATCCTCACCCTCCACCAATCCCTGACACGCCTCCTAACCCACCACATCGCTCTCGGACCCTACCGCCCCTCCCTCCTAACAACCACCATCATCTCCTTGCTCAGCGCCTTCCCTTCTCCTACATACCCAACCCCAACCCCACCCTCCCCCACCCACACAAGCACCCCCCTCCTCCACCTCCTCACCACCCTCCAAATCCCAGGCCTCAACAACCTAACCTCCCCACTGTACACCCTCCTACAAACCACTCTCCTCACACCCCCGCACGACACCCTCTCAACGCGACTCTTCTCCATCCAATACGAGATCCAGTACGGCACAACCCATTCCGTCACCGCCGCATTCGAGAAAGCCCTCACGTCCGAGAGAGGCGGAAAGTCATCCCCTGGATTATGGAAATTATATCTGCTGTTCTCTATTTTTGGACTTGGTTCCAATGACAACAGGAATGAGAAACAAGTTAGTGAAGGATTATCATCACTGCGAGATAAAGATAAAGACAAGGCTAAGGCCAAGGCAAAAGCAAAAGCCAACTCCAAAGTAAAAGACATCTGGTTCCGTGCTCTGCGCGCCTGTCCCTGGTCGAAAGAGCTGTACGTTCTCGGAATGGAGGAGTTAGGCGATGGGGAGAGCGGGGTGACGTATGAGGAGTTGAGGGGGACGTGGAGGGTGATGGGCGAGAAGGAGTGTAGGGTGCATGTTGATCTTGAGGATGCGTTTGAGGAGATTGGGGAGCTGCAGCTTGAGCTTGCTGCGAGGGGGGGTGGTAGGCTGGAGCAGAAGAGGGTTGCTTATAAATAGTAACTGTAAAACAATTTATTCATGGAACAGCATCACGCTCGCAGTCATCCATAATCTATCGTTACAGTATCAAAACTTCTATTCTAATCATCCTATCTATCTACTTCTCTACCAAGTCATCCATCTCAGGTCATCTTCGGACTCTGCAACGGACTCATTCTGAACCCCTCACGCTCACTCTCCTCCCGATCCTCATCAAGAGAAACTCTAATAAGCGGTAGGCTAACACTCGACGAATTCCCATGATTCCCCAACATGCTCCACACTCCTCCACGTCCTTTCGAACTCAACCTCACAGGATCAAGCCCCTGCAACGTCTCGTCTCTGCCAAGCAGAGGTTCCGTATCCTCATGACTACCAAACGGATAATCGGGTCTATCATTACTCGGTCGTCCAGCAGTGAGACCCTCAATTCTAGGCGGGATGTATAACTCCTCAACCGCGTACTCGAATCTTCGTCTCACGAGTCGTTGATACCACCAGCCAGTGTAGCAGACGACTACCATGAAAACAGTTGAAATAGCACCCATCCACATCCACCAATACGACGCGTTGCGAGCTTCTTGCGTATCAGTCGCCATGTTGATAGCTGGATTGACTTCACTGATGTGCCACCATATAGTGGCGGCAGCTGAATGACAGACACAATTTCTGAAAATGCCCACTATCTGCAACAACATGCCTCCAACTGCTGCAACCAACGAGCCGAACCAACATAGAGATGATAGAGCCCAGTATCGCCAGCCGGTGAAAAGATACTGTAAGAAGATTCCACGATCATCATCTTCGAGCGCCGAGCGGATTAGTGCCAGGACAACGCTGAAAACCTGACACAAGCCATAGATCATGATACTCAGAGCTCTGCAGCCAACTCCACGGGGTGGCGTCATGTAAGCCACAGTTCCACCAGCCAAGGGAGGAACTATGACGAGAAGTAATGCTGGAATAAAAACCTTTAGAATCCATCCCCGCCAGGTAAATTCCATCGTCTTCCGAAAGGTCTCATCTTCATTCCAAGCTTGTGTTCGTTTGATCCATTTCATCTTGTTCGTACCTCTACTCCAAAGAGATACTGGTTGGAACTCGGTCTCATAAGTGTTGCTCCAACCCAAGATCGAATGGCTGAATCGATCCCATGTCCATCGGTCTTGTGGTGTTCCGCGAATGTGGAACGAATGACTAGGTCTCAGGCACTGTTGTCGATATCCGCATCCTCGATCAGTTCCAACGATTCCGGCAGCGGTATTTGGATTATTGCTGGCTAGGAGACATCCACTGATGATGGCAACATGAACAATAATCTGTCATTGTTGATTAGTATGTTTCAACAGGATATTCCGAGCTGCTCGGCTATGGACAGTGGCAATTTGATTTGACAATAGTGCATGAGCGGAAAGTACTCACCATAAGCTCAATACCAAAGGACAGCGAAATAGCCGAGTCCTCATCACTCGGATTCTCCAGGAGATCCAAAATGGTATAAATGAACGGCGCAAGGTAGAAGAGCACTGGACTTCCCACAGTGCCACCAAAGCTGGCCTGTGATCCCAGCAAATTCAGAAGCCGGAACCTACTACTCTGATCACCTTCAGTTGTATCCAACCCTGGAATCGTAATGCTTTTCGGAATGGACTCCTGGGGATTGCCCTTGTCCAAAAGCAGGTTTCCACACGTTACTGTGACGAGCAATTCCCTCTTCATCCTCAGCTTTCCTTCATCCGAACCATGACCCAAATCCCTCACGAAGTTGACAATCCGATAGTCGAGATGTGCTTCGTAAAGGCCTCCAACAAGCATGTTTCCCGCCCCCACAATAATAACTGCAATCCATATGATCGTATCGATAGTCACAGGTATAAGGATAACTGTGAAGCATAATGAGCTCACGAATAGTAAGACGAAATTATTGAACCATGCGAATCGTGTTAGGTTTCTCGGCCACTGGAATTCGAATAGATTCGCGAACTCGATCTCCTTCCGGCGTGGGATACTCATGCTAAAGATGATCAAGGGCATGATGAATCTACGAGAAAGGGGGCATTAGCAAATTCCACATGACGGGCGCATCGAGTAGTGGGGGGAAATGTTTCTAAGTGTTCTTGAGCACTCGAAAGTGATAAGCTAAGGCTCCATGGATTCTCACTGTGCAATGGGAGCAATCCATTCGTTCGCTATCGTAGCATTTGATAGTTGTATCCCACTGCATCTCGTCTTGCAGAACTGATAGGAGATGTACAGTGGTTCGGCGGGTGGCAGACCAGGGAGGTACGTCTGGCCGCATGTCTGGTTGTCAGGGACCTATTCGGACACTTTTTAGCTACAGTGCTTTGCAACAGGTAAGGCACCAATATTTGCTTGCCACGTTGGCAGTGATCTTATGGCCACTCTGACTATATCATCCTGAGCACTGGCATTCGAACCAAGCTTCTGTCCAGAGTAAACATGAGAAGAATACAGGACTTACCAACCCAACAAAAGCCCCTTCGCTCTTCGCCAGATTACAACAAGTCTTTCCATCATAACCTTCCACCCTTCCAAACCCAAAGATCATCAACAACAAGAAGAGTCCCACTATGGCTTTAAACCTCGCCATCTCCAAGATCCTCCCATTCTCTTCTCTTGTGCATCGATGGAACCCGCGGGGTCAAAATGCCTAGAGCGGTAGAGACGGGGAAGGGTAGAGGCTATGTACAGACGACGTGTTTGGAGTTTGAATGAATTGGACGAGAAGGGGGAGAAGGGCAGAGCTGGAAAGGGGGGAAGAAGAGAAGAGAAGAGAACCTGGAGGATGGGATGGGGAGAGGAGATGCCCGGATAAATCAGAGAATAAACCATTGCTCGAAGATCTGGATGCAAGAACTTGCAAGATTTCAGGGAAGGTGCGGTGCAGTACTAAATGCAAGGTAAGGAAGTAAGTAGGCCATCGGTACTTCGCCCTTAGTCAGAAATGGGGCTTTGAAGAAAGAAAAAAAGCAATGTATTTTATCTCCTGCAAGATGTTCACTTGCCCTATGATCTGCTCAAGGACTCCCGTCACCCAACTGAGGGAGTAGATGAAGTAGGAAAGAGAGATGTGCTCCAAACACCAGCAATCTCAAATGCTCCCAATTCAGTTTCCGTTCCACAACGCCTCATATGCATCCATCAATCAATCATTTCGTGCGTGCCAGTCATCATCTAATTCATCTCGCATCATGCTCTCAGTCCACACCGACGGTATCCGTAGCAATTCTGCCAAATCAAGCATGTCCTCTAGCCGAAGACCGCAACTCTCTTCCTCCACTGACGCCACCAAAACCACCTTCAAAGAAATCATCCATACCGCCAGGACCCAAAGGATTGCGCTTACTGGCCTTGATCTCCAGATCAGCGCCGTTAATGTTCATGTGCTGGATGCGGCGGCGAGCTTCAAGCTCGTATTCCTTGGCTGTCTTGAGGGTTGAGCTTTGAAGGTTGGAGCGGGGTGCTGAGGGTACGGACGTGAGGAGCTGTTTGATTAGTGTCATTTCCCACATACAGCAGAGTATTATTTACTTACTCTGTTCTGGGTATCAATTCTTGCATCAAGCTCTCTCCGCTGGATCATAGCCGAAAGCTCCTTCTCAATTGTCTTTCCTGGGGCCGCAAAAGCTTGGTTCAGACTGTCCAGTGTAACGCAAGAAAACGGAATGAAGTACTGAACGATACTCTTGCTGCGAACAAGCTGGTAGATGTCATCGACGTGCTTCTGGAGATGGATGTCTAGCCAGTAATCGGTTTTGTAAGCCTCAAGGACACCCAAACAGGCAGAGTAGCGGCTGTTCACAAAAAAGGAGATAGCTCGTCGGATGTGAGGTTCGAGTTCCAGGTATGTTCGGAAGTTGGAGTTCTCCAGGACCTTGCTTTGCAACTCGTTACGATCCATAGTCGCAAGGGCACATAGACCTCCATAGATGGCGACGTCGTTCGGGCTGATGATGGTGTTGCAACTGAGACCCATACCGGCATCTGCAGCTAGGAACTGGATCGCGGCGGTATGGTATTCACCCTCATCCAGTCGTGCAAGTCCCTCCGCAGCGCAAAGATATGGCTGCAAGAATTTATCCTCGTCGACCGCACCCAGACTCTTGATTTTCTGCACGTTGGAAGAGACTATAATCCAGTTCTTCTGCTCGATGCCCACTTCGATAAGATGCCGACTGGTATCGATGATATGCTTGTTCGTACTGACGTCCTGTCTCATGCGCCCATACGCATCTGAGGCCTTTTGGAGATCACCAATAGCCTGGTAGTGTTTTCCGCAGTCCTCATTTCCCATACGAATGCTCTCCTTGATCAGATTATTCTTATAGCCCTTCAGCTCTGCCTCAAGCCGTTGAGACTCTGCCTGATTTGCACGTTCCGTTCTCTCCATCCAGTTAAGGTCTTTCTCCGCCTCAACTTCATTCGGGCCGATAGTTTCGAGGTGATTCTGTGCATCCCGGTACCGCTTGATATCTTTGCCTTTCTTTGCCTCCCGTACTGCGAGCTTGAGAGCTTCGACTCCAAGGACGGAGGAGCAGACGCCGATGAGGAGGAGGCGCTCTAGTCGTGTTCTACCTATGTGAAAGTTAAGTTGGTGATATTCTTGAGACGGCTAAAGCTCCGAGAATATGCTACCTTGGTAATTTGCAATATAGGACTCCAGGTCGAATTTGGGTTGTTCTAGTAACAGCTGTTAGAGTTGACCGGCGTTGAATTAGAGATGGCTGTTTGTCCATACCATGCACGACGATGCTCTTTTTGGCACGGCTCTGGGTTGGGGAAGCTGGAGCCGTCTGATTAGGTGGGACTGCGCTGTACATCTTGGGCTAAATGTTATGGCAGAAAGGTGATGGGGTTGTTCGAGTTGGAATCGTGGGGTTGCTTTGAAGCTCGAATGTAGCCTTGAGGTGCTTGGCGCTAGTTTTGCCAAGACTTCAAGGGCATGTCAGTCTTCTCATCCAAAGACAACAAAAAGAGTCCTGGACTAGAGATGTGGGTGAATTCAATTTCACAAAATACTCAGAGAACTGCGATGATCAGGAGGGATATCAATTCTATTAACATGTATACGCCGTAACAATCAAGTCCAGCCAGACTTAATCCTCGTACGTTGCATTGACACAACCACGTCTCGCGTTGCCATATACATCATAAAGTCGTGAACACATTCAAGCCGAATCGACCCAGCCTTTGGACGCCTGTCTGTCATTATCCCGTTGATACCTATCTGTATCTCTGATCCGCCATCATATTGCTCCAATCCTCACCATCACCAGAAAAGATCCTGTCGAAATTCATGTCTTCGTTTGTTGGCACGCCAGCGTGATAATTCATTTCATGGCCACCGCCCATCATATTTCCAGGTGCCATGGAACCCTGCATGTCATAATTGGTCTGTGCTTGTGATAGGTATGGTGGTAGGGGGCCGAATAGTTGGCCTTGTAGATCATCGTACTCTTGTCCAGGGCCGCCGTTAGGAAGGTAAATTGGGGGAACTTGGGTGTTGCTCATCATCACATTTTCTTGCTTGATATTTTCAAATTCCATCATGGGTTGGTTGGGGTATGCGAATGGGTCGTTAGATGGAAACATCATTGCTCCGAGGTCAGGGACCCCAGTATTGACGGCGAATTGTGGTGGGAGCGAGTAGTGTGGTTGCATGCTGCCCGTCGAACTAGAATCTGGGGTGCCGATTGGAGACATGTCTGTTGACGGGGACATAAACTCGTGGTAGCTGTGTCTGAGGTTCGGGTTCGACTGGAAGCGATTGCTGTCCAAAGAAGTCCTTGGGTAATTGGCATTGTGAGCAGGTGCTTGCATAGGAAATGTTGTGGCCCTTGAAATGCCCATAACAGGTTCAGGAGGATCTCGAGAAAGGTGTACGTTCCGAAGTCCTGTTGGATTTGGTAATGGAGCAGGTGCCGATCGCTTTTTCTTCTGCACGGCAGCTGCCATTGTACGTCCCTCCTTTAGCCTCTCAGGTAACTGTTCGAATAGTCCCTGCCATCAATTAGTCACAGCTTTCAGCGAGCGTTGGAGAAGAACTCACCCTCAATGCCATCGAACATCTATCAGCTGCTTGGCTCCTCTTGGCAAGGCCGTTCAGAGCATCTTTTCCGTCATTCACATCTGCGAGAATCTCGGCAGATCCTGGCTTGTCAGGATTCTCGAGAACAAAGTATACAAGAGACAAAATCGCGAAGAACGTAGTGTACATCTGCGAAGATTAGAATCGATCCAAGAAAATATCTGGCAAGTAGCTCCAGAGTCGAACTACGGGAGACTGAAGAAATACTAACTGTAAACCAGTAGGCACCAACCAGCAGGCCCCTCTTTTTCATCTCGGCCGTGATATGAACAATGTTCCGCGAGACACTAACACACGCAGCAGCACAAGCGTACGATCTCTCGTCAATGGTCCTGCCAGCACATCCTTTTTCCGAAACGTAATGAAGGAATGGTCGATATAGCATCATCTGAACATGGGCATACGATAGGCGCAGAAGTTGTTGCACACTTTTGGGAATGGTTAGTGAAAATCATGAATGAGTGCTAATGAACGTACCGAAGCACTTCTGGTGGGCCCTCTCCTCCTGGTCGCAGTGCCATCGGCAGTTTGTCCAACCACTGAGCTAGATCGCGCTCTATTTCTCTAATCTTGGCATGACTGATGACATATGAAGACTTCGCACTCCCTTGAAGAGACTGCTCGAGACCTTTGGTAGGGTAGATATACTTGATTACCTTGTCCAGTGTAGACATCAATCGAGTATGTGCGTTAGAGGCAGCGTAAAGTAGCGAAGTCTTTCCCGGAGGCATAGCGAGAACACCTTCTTTAGTAATGTACTCGTCATCTACCTCAATGGGCAGCTCTTGATCAATGTCATCATAACTAAGCATTTGAGGGAATCCCAGCATCGCTGAAACGTATGTATCCATTTTTCGGATCACCCAAAAGACCCTGCGCCTTGTTTCGCGTTCAATGGGATTGAAATTGCCAGCAAGACTTCGGTGGATTCCCATTCGGAGCCCTGATCTCAGTGCAACTCCAATGTACGAGTAGCACGTGCTCAGATTTGACGACGATTGGAGGAAGAGAGTCATAAATATGATGGCCTGTAATGATGTGATATCACGACAATCTGTAATATCAATCATGTTCCTGGCCGCGCGGAAATATTTTAATCTGGGTAAATATTAGCATTGATTGGAGATGTGGCGGCAAAGACAAAGTAAACCTGAACTGCAACAATGCCATGAAAACAATGTTCGGTCAGATCCATACTCATTGGCCGTAAACTAATGTTTCCATAACAGACTGAACGACTTGACAAGTTATGAAATAAGATAACGCACCCTTCGTCAATACCAGACATGTAGGTATGCTGGTCTCCTTCATTTGAAGACTGTCCTGGTTCGGTGTGAAACATACATCCAACGGCCAAAACGGTATACAGAAGTGGCAAAAATCGATTCTCAGCATCCTCAAAGTTTTCTGGGGAAACATCATACATTCTGTCAAACATTTCATAGAAACTTGGCTGGTGAACAAAGCGTAGGAGGGCACAGGCACAGTTGAGCGAATCATCACATAGTGCTCTTGCAGTCTGCCGGCTTGGAAGATCTATCGTGTTGGCCAGGCCACTTTCCATGGGACTGTCGGTCATTGACCGAGGTGATTCAAAATTGGGAATACCACTCGGCTGAGGCATCCGAGGGAACAGCGGGCCACTCTGTTCACTATTTCCTAGAAGGCCACCAAATTGTTCACGCATTCGTCGGACGAAGACCGTCCCAGATGATCCTCCATGGAAGTCCCAATGACCACTTTCGTCAAGGTCAAGCTGTCCAGTGGATTCAATCATTGAGCGTAGCTGCGCATCATGTTCAGATTCATCGGAAGCATCGCCGGACTGTCCCAAATGCTGGTTTCCCCTTGCGGCTTGACGCCGCCGCTGGATCACTGCATCAATATTCGGGTCGTTTAGATCAACGTTCGGTAGAGCTGATCTGAGTAAGGTCTCTGCACGTTGCAGACGATTCTCTAATGCTTCGATATACTGTGGCGCAGGGTTCCTCCGTCTGTTGGAAGGTTGGTCATATGTACAGTCTGCGGCAATTTAGCCAAGCCTCATGACAGAGTTGAGTCGCGACACATACCATAACTATAGACAGTGCAATGGGTACATGGCTGCTTCCCATCACATTTGATTTTCTAGGACTAGGATTAGCAAGCGGCCCAATGCGATCCAACGCCACCTTCCAGAAGGTAGCTTTTCGAGAGACATGGGGGCAGCATACCTTTCTCCGGCACTCATCACAAGCACGAGTTACTCGTCGGCGCTTTTGGAGAGGCGCAGTATTCTTAATGGGTTGAGATGTCGGATTTGGCGACGTCGCATCTTGCGATTGCCATTGCGCCGCAGAGCTTGGGTCGTCTTCTCCGTCGAAGGGTTCGGGTGAGGACTGGCCGCTAGTATTCGAAGGAGCTGCTGCTCTAGGAAGAGAGTTCTGAACAAACATATCGCCAGCCATGCGATTCGGGCAAAAGTAACAAGAGCCGGTCTGTGGCTCGCTTTAGATAAGATAGAGTTAGAAGGCACAAGGAGCTGTGGATCCGGCGATTGTATTGATGAAGGCCCGCTCGATGACAAATGTACTGGCCTGGATTGGGAATGAGAATGAGTATTGACACTGATCCTGAGGCTCCCGGCTTGCAGGCAATGATCAATCAGTACTGAAAGTGGGTGAGCGAGGGGATAAAGAAGCTTATAAAGAGAAAGGAAGTCCGTAGGTAGGTCTTGTATGTAAGGTAATGGACTCGGCGAACGGTATCAATAATAGTTTACTCCGACCCCTCTAGCTAGGATCAAAGTAGAAAGGCAAGGGAACGTGACGTCTTGACCTTGACCGGCCTGTGCATGCAGTTCAGTGGCTGATACGGGGAGGTGTTTGCGGCTTGTAGGCTTGACTTGCGCCTTGCAAGTGGGCCGGGGGAGTCTTGCGCTGCGCTGTGCTGTGCAGCTCCTCCAACAGCGAGATCTGGTCGTGGCTCGGAAGAAGAGCGAGGCTACATACAGTACGGTAGAGGCAAGGTTGCTGGTGGTAAGTAGACTAGCTCTGTGTATCGAGGGTGGATGGGGGTACGGAATACTGGGATTGCTGGGCAGCGTCGAGTGGGTAAGGTATAGATAGATTGGGATTGGGAGAGGATTGGAAAGGATCGGAATGAATAAATAAATAAATAAGTAGATGACTTTGGGTCTGGCAGTGGTGAGGCAGGAAGGCAGGAAGGCAGGAAGGAGGTAGGGAAGTGGAAGTGGAAGTGGAAGTGGCTCTTGGGCTGCTTTGCTAAAATTTGGCGACGTTACTCATCCCCTCGTCATTGTTCTCGATTAGGGGTCCCGTAGGGAATTGTAATCTTGGCATGCAGGAAGAGGCGCCCGCTACTCTTGCCCTACAGATCCCAGGGAGTGGAATTGTGGACCTGTGGACCTGTGGCTCGGAAGTGCAGCTCACTTGTTCTCACGGAGAACTGCTGCCGATGTGATTGTTGACTCGTGTGATTGCTGTACAGTACTGCAGGATCCAGAGCAGAATTGGAAAGGATGGAAGAAAACCGGAGATAGATAGATAGGTGGCAAGGAACAAGCAGAACCGGCACTTCGAAGTGGATTAGGCACGACGACGCTCGTGGAGGGGAAGATCTGCTCTGATCTGCTCTACGTAGGTTGCAGCAGTGTCATCGCATGAGTTAGAGTAGGTACAAGTAAACATCCCTCCCCAGGAAGAGCAAATGGAAGAGCAAAGAGCATTGGCGTTCCCCTCCAAGGCTGAGAGGAGCGGGGCAAATTGTGCAAAATTGTGCGGCCAAGCGCGCAGAGACCACAGCCGGGATCGGGGGCTATTCTCATTTGAGGAGAGCGTCCACGTGATGCCGTGGCTGAAATGCCATGGACTCTCCGGGTGCCTGGGCAGAGGGTGGTTGGGGCTTGGAATACTTGGAATGGCTTATGTCAGGTCAGGGTAAAGTCCAGCTCTCGCAGATATGGTTGTGGTTGGCATGTGTGAGGTGTCCTTGATGTCGTGCCCGAGTGCCATCGCTGTCCTCGTTTTGCTCTCATTGAAATCTTGGTGGCGAGCTCGGTTTCAGCAGAAAATAGAGGCCTCGTATGCTCTCCCGCTACACGCAATCGATTAATAATCGCTTGTCAAAGTCCTTGCGCTGTTGACGATGAACCTGGAAATCAGATTATTATTTCTAGTGAGGTACAGTACACATACTCTAGCAACCCCTGGTCCGTCGGCCGGTGATAATAATTTGTCCAGCACAATGCCAAGATATCCGACTTAATTCCGGACGGATATCACGGAATGAAAGTGGGAACGCGAGCTGAAATACTGGATGAGTGGATCAGAGTAAGCAAAAGCACCAGAAAGAGTCAACATCCAAAAGTGGAGTGGAATCGCGTTCTAGGAAGGCTTCCAGAAGCCGCGAAGAAGCGGCGGAGGTCGCATCGCTCGCATCCTCGCACTCCTGCACACTTGTGAGTCGTGACGGCACTCCGCAGCTCCCAACCGCTCCGTACCGTCAGAGGCCCAGCACCTCCAGCACAGCCTCCTTTTCCCCAGAAACTCAGCCATGATAATGGATATCGAGCCACGCCCATGGGACAAATGACCTGCATCAGATTGCCATGGGCCATGGCCAGCCGTCAAGATAGAGTTAAAGTTATTTTGGATCGAGATGTCTAGCTAGATGCGTCCATGCTTGGGCCACCGGGCGTGGTGCGCGGTCTCTTATCTTATCTCTTCTGCAGCAGCTTTCCACGCGAGCCAGGGCGTCACGATCACGGCAGCTCGCGAGCACACACGCACACACGCACACACGCACACACGCACACACGCACACACGCACACCTCAGCACGCAGTAGTGACACTGATCACCGATCACTCACCCACGCCAAGGCAAAGGAGGGGCCTTCAAACACCGACTTGACTTGACTGCTGCATTTTCTTACAAAACCCCCCATGACTATTACAGTGAAAGCGAAAACTCTAAATGTTTCTTCGTCATTCAGTGTTTCTATTATGTACTGTTTAGTTGACTTAATAGTTCGAGGGAGTGAGTACTGGTACTGTTGAGAGTCGCTTGTTTGGTGCCGCTTTTTATTCCCGATTTTTGCAAGCTTAGAGCTTCTCCCCCTCTCAAACACTCTCGTCCCATCTCCTCTCTCTTTCTTTCCCATCTCCCCTCTCCCCCACCAGACAATCCTCCGCCTGATCATATATATCAACGCCTCTTCCACTCGTCATCCACGCGGACAATCACGCCATGGTTGCATGAACCTATAAAGACTCACGGATAGGGCGCTGTTCAAACTCATCCCGCGATATTGATCCCAAAACATCAATATTGCTTCTGTGAAGGTTTGTCGTGTGCCACGAACCTTCCCAACGAGCACTGTTCCACGACAAAACTTTCACAACGACTTTTTTGTGAAACCAATCAAGCTCCCACGCTTCAATGATGCTGCCCTGGACCTGCAAAGATTCCTTGGGGAGGCGTCTCGGTGGGGCCGGTACATCGTGGGGCGAATGAACCTTCAGAGTTTCTCTCCTTCTGACGTACCCGGCTCCTCTATCACATCCATCTCAACACCACAATCGCTGTTGATGTTACGGCATCGGTGCAATATCCTTGCTAAAGAGGACCACATCGTTAGGTATATTGGATAAGGATCTGCTGATATGGCCAACTTTGTTGGTCGTGCGCGGGAGAGACAAGCGTTCCTGCCGCCTCTTGTCTTATTTTCACTTTCCTCTACCGTCCCAGGTTTTGTCCAGACCATCAAACTCGTTCCTGCTAGTCCTCTAGCGCCCGCTTGGGATCTACCTTTCTTCTACTTAACCTGTTCATTCATCCTCTCTCATCGAGATCTTCAAGCATCCAAGGTCATCAAATCCACGTTGAGTAATATCAACATAGATTCGGAGAATTGTCCTGAAAACGGCCAATTGATCTAGAGCAGGTCGAGCTACTTGAAATACAGATTGCCCCCAACCCTCCTTCTACTACTACTATTTGAGGTTAGGATTAGACATAATGTCTACCAAGCCCATCTTTGTTGCTACCCATCCGCGGGCATGCAGCACAGCATTTGAACGAGTTAGTCCCCGTCTACCCAATTGACTGTTTCTCCATAAACTGACGACGTCGGTACAGGTCTTTATGACTCGCCAAGATACCCTCACATGTGTTCACGAACCATTCGGCGACGCCTTCTACTTTGGCCCCGAGAGATTGAGTCCGAGATACGAAGATGATGAGAAGGCTCGCGAGGAGAGTGGGTTCGCAAACAGTACATTCAAAACCATATTCGAGAGGATTGAGAGAGAAGGCAAAGAGGTTCGATATTGCCCCTCTCTTCCGTGGTTCATTCATACCCCGCACTAGCACGAATCCGGTCAAATATATTTCAACAACAGCCAAGCAAGTGCTTCAGTGCTGCAACTCTCGCTGGTCCTATATACAAGCACGGAGGATGTAGAAGTTTCAGACAATATCACAAATTATCCATAATTATCAGACTTTGCATGCTTTTACCCGGAATTTTGACCCCTCTATGACCTACATCTCAACTATTGGCTGCCATATCGTCGCACGGGAACTCATCTCATACAGGGGAAACGACTTTTTATCAAGGACATCACTCACTACTTGGTCCCTCCCAATGGAAAGCAAGCAACCATTGCTCCATCTCTTGGTGGACAGACCGTCAAGAAAGGCGTCGGAACAAATGGCGAAACCAATGGTGCCGTAAATGGCCATACAAATGGCCTTACCAACGGGCATACCAATGGCCATACCAAGGCTCCATACCCGTACGACACAGCTGCCGAGCCCGGAAATCCCACCGTCGTCCCAGCGGAGATCTTGAAGCAATTCCACTTCACCTTCCTCATCCGTCATCCACGTCACAGTATCCCATCCTACTTTCGCTGCACCATTCCACCCCTGGATGAGATTACCGGCTTCTATAACTTCATGTCAGCCGAGGCCGGTTATGATGAACTCCGCCGAGTCTTCGACTTCCTCGTCAAGGATAAACAGGTCGGCCCAGCTCTCGCTGGCAAGCACGATGACCTGATGAATGGAGAAGTCAGCATCACCGTTGTCGACGCTGACGATCTCTTGGATGATCCAGAAGGTATTATTTCGGCTTACTGCAAGGAAGTCGGTATCGACTATACTCCCGACATGTTGAACTGGGATACCGAAGATGACCACAGGCGAGCAAAAGATGCTTTTGAGAAGTGGAAGGGTTTCCATGAGGATGCTATCAACAGCACGTCGCTTAAGCCGAGAGATGCTGCCCATGTGAGTCTCGCGCTGCCATATCTCACCTGCCCATTCTCGCTTGTTTTCTTTCTTACTCTTGTCTCCGAATGCTTGATTGTGGATATTAATTTAAGGACGATACTGATGCCATTGCCCAAGAAAAAGAAATCCAAGACTGTAGAAACCGAAGATGCGGAGTGGCGCGAGAAGTATGGCGTCGAAGGTGCTAAAGTCATCAGAGCATGTGTAGAGGCTAACATTCCGGACTATGAGTATTTGAAGTCTTTTGCTATCAAGGTTTAGGACTGGTATGGTATGACAACTGGTGGTATAAGGTCTTTGCTTTGACAAATTGCTACGTATTGGTCGCGTGCGGTACTGTATGCCATTTTGATAACGGTTGATGGATGAAACCCCATGAAAAGGAGAGACCGTAAGAATGCCTAGATTGGACTTTGGCAGGTGAAATAGTCGGCTATTCAATTAATTGGATCATTTTATAAGAGCTGTGCCATGTGGTGATTACACAGAAACTTACAAGCCACATTTACATGAATGATATGCCGTAACACCATGGTATAGCCCAGGAATGACTTCCATCCCCGAGCAAGCAAAACATATAAACAGGTAGCAATTCTACTCTTTCTCAATGCATGATCCAATACCAGGTGTACATTTCCCACTTTTCTATAAATAATACAAGCGCCGACCATGCGTCACGGCATTCCTACTCCATTCCCATCTCAGGCCTGGGCAGGTTTGTGCCATCTAGGAGTACACATACACACATACATTTCCTTTCTCCCTTCCCTCTCACACTCATACATACATACACAGCATGCTCATGATATCCACAACTCCCAACAAATCCCTTCTCAGCCTTTCTCCCCCTCCCTTCCCTTCCCTTCCATTTAAGCCTCCTCATACTACTCAAGATCATTCATTCTCAATCCTCTCAACATGCTCCCCCGCCATCATCATCTTTCCCTCTCCTCCTACACCCTCTACCCTCTACGCTGCTTGCGCGGCTTGTATCCTCGCGGCTTTTCTTTCCGCCCCTTCCTTCTTGACTCGCTCGTACCATTCGGGATCGTTCTTGATCCGCTCGGCTTGCTCGGCTTGTCGCTGCTCGTATAGTGCGCGCGCTGCTTCTTTCTGCTCTGCCTTGGCGAGTCGTCGGGCGGCGAGTTCTTGGATTTGGGCTTCGGTGAGAGGTTGCTTTTTAGGCTGCTCTGGCTTTTCCTCTTGCTCTGAATCTTGGTCTTGCTCTGGCTCTTGCTCTTGCTCTTGATCTTGCTCCAGGTCCAACGTCCTAGAGTTCTTTCCTCTGATTTTTGGCTCTGGAACCTCAGGCGGAGGCATCAACCCATGCTCAACATTATCCGCCCATTTCTCCGCATACTCCGCATCGTGCAAATCCCCCCAGAGAATCTGCACATCCACGCCCTCGCCCTCGCCCGCCAACCCAATATTCTGCACCCTCGGCACGATCCTCATCCTCTCCGCCTTCTCCGCCGCCGCAACAACGGGATCATACCCTTCCTGACCCGGCTTCAGACTCTCCTTCTTGCTCTTCACGACGCGCACCTCCTTGGCCGCCAGCCTGTTCAGCACGGCCGCCATGTCGGCCACGCTGTTGGCCTTCTGGTCGCAGATGGCTTTGTTGCGGGCCTTGAGCTTGCGGACCTTGCCGTCGGCGCCGAGGCGGATGTCGTCGCCCCATTCGAGCTCGTGCCGTTTGCGGTACTCGCGGAGCTTTTGGAAGGCGGAGAGCCCGATGGCGCCTGAGCCAGAGGGGAACTTGATTTGGGCGAAGGGGTGCCAGAGGTCTTTGCGGAGGGCGGCGGGGACGGATTTCTTGCCGTTGAAGGGGAGTTGGGAGATAGCGGCGTTGTTCTATTAGGGGGATGGTGGATTAGTATATTTGTTACAGTGTTGAAGAAGGAGATGGATGGTTGAGTGGAAAGTGAGAATTGTAAGGATTGAAGGGGTCAATTGGAGGGGAGAAATGATGAAAAGGGGAAGAGAGAAGAGGAAACTGTACATTCATAGACCGTGTCAAAGAGTACACGACATGGTTTTTCTGCAGGTGGTTGAACACGAATATCTGCTGGCCATGTTCTGGTCTAGGGGTCTGTTTTTTCTTGATCCCGCTCGCTCTTTGCGCTGCAATTGCGGCCGCTCTTGCTGTCTTTGCTGCTTCGCTGGATTCCGCTGCTTGGGCTGCTCGCCGGGCAATTTCCCCTGCGGGTAGTCTGGGGACTTTCATGGCGTGGTATGGCCGTGGAGGACGGCTGTGGTGGTATGTTGTCTGGGATATTGAAGCTTTGAATAATTGTATTGCTGTATGGAGTTAGCGCGGTTGGACTTCACTGGCTGGGCTGGAGTCCTTAGGCGTGACCGCTGTTTCCCAGGCCACTCTTTTGGCGAGGCTGAGGTCACTGTGCGCTCATTAGTGGGCCCACCAAGGCGGATGGTGGGGTGAGGATTGGTTGTTCCAGGACTGGGAAACAGCGAGCTCTAGCAGCTTCTAGCTGGTACTGGAACAAATCAACTCTCTCTTTTGTGTCCTTCCAGACAACACCAGATACATCTCGCCACCTCTGGATGATAGCAGCATTTTGGCTATATAATCATCGCCTCTTTCACTGAATCGCCTTCCAGACTCTTTCTCAAGCAAACTCAATTCAATATACTGGTTGAACTACCAAATCCACACTGAAAGTGGTTCCAAACTTGGTCACTTCCAAGATCCACGATTAACGGCCTCACAAAGTTCACGACAACACACTGATCACACTTTGATCAAACAGACAAAATGACTTCGAACATGAACTTCACCGATAGGGCGAGCAAGGCTCTGTCCGATGCCATGGCAATCGCAGAATCCTATGCTCACCCTCAACTACTACCCCTCCATCTCGCCTCCAGTTTACTCGACCCTCCCATCGACGAGTCCAAGGACCAGCAACAAACGGTCAACGCCTCCCATGGATCTGCCTCACAATCACTATTCCGACAAGTCGTCGAGCGGGCTCATGGCGACCCTCAAGCCTTCCAACGAGCCCTCAATCGAGCTCTCGTCCGACTTCCGAGTCAGAACCCTCCACCAGACCAAATATCCATGGCACCCTCTTTCACGAAAGTCCTCAGACAAGCCAACGAGTTACAAAAGACACAGAAAGACTCTTTCATTGCAGTCGATCACTTGATCATTGCTCTGTCGGAGGATCCTACATGCCAGGCTTCACTGAAGGAGGGCAATATCCCGAACGTTAAGGTGTTGCAGGATGCAGTCCAGAGTATCCGAGGCACCCGCAGAGTCGACTCGAAGACTGCAGACACAGAGGAGGAGTTTGAGAACCTGAAGAAGTTCACCATCGACATGACTGCCATGGCAAGGGAGGGAAAGGTTGACCCTGTCATTGGCCGAGAGGAGGAGATTCGCCGAGTCGTCCGAATCCTGTCCAGACGAACCAAGAACAATCCAGTCCTGATCGGAGAGCCCGGTGTGGGAAAGACAACTGTGGTTGAGGGTCTGGCACAACGTATCGTCAATAATGATGTTCCAGACAACCTCGCCGCCTGCAAGTTGCTCTCGCTGGATGTTGGTTCGCTTGTTGCTGGCAGCAAATACCGAGGAGAATTCGAGGAGAGAATGAAGGGCCTTTTAAACGAAATTGAGCAATCGAAGGAATTCATTGTTCTTTTCGTCGACGAGATGCATCTTCTCATGGGTGCTGGGTCAAGTGGTGAAGGTGGCATGGACGCTGCCAATTTGCTGAAGCCCATGCTGGCCAGAGGACAACTACATTGCATTGGTGCAACGACACTCGCCGAGTACCGCAAATATATCGAGAAGGATGCTGCATTTGAAAGACGTTTCCAACAAGTTCTCGTCAAGGAGCCCACCATTCCCGAGGTCATTTCAATTCTCCGAGGTTTGAAGGAGAAGTACGAAGTTTATCACGGTATCACCATTTCAGATGGTGCTATTGTGGCTGCAGCTACTCTAGCTGCTCGCTATCTCACTCAGAGACGACTTCCTGACTCGGCTGTAGATCTCATCGACGAGGCTGCAGCTGCAGTCAAGACCGAACGAGAATCACTCCCAGAAGCACTCGACAACCTCAATCGTAAGCTTCAACAACTCAAGATTGAAATCCACGCCTTATCACGAGAGAAGGACGAAGCTGCCAAGGCTCGTCTCGCCCAAGCCAAGCAGGACGCCAGCAACTGCGAGGAGGAACTGAGACCTCTTCGTGAGAAATACGAGAGCGAGAAGAACCGAAGCAAGTCCATCCAAGAAGCCAAAGTCAAGCTGGATCAACTTCGTGTCAAGAAAGACGAAGCTATGCGAATGGGAGATGATCAAAAGGCTGCAGACTTGACATACTACGCCATCCCTGAGCAGGAAGCTTTCATCAAGCAATTGGAGAAAGAGAAAGTGCTTGCAGATCAGGCTTTGAGCGCCAGCAACCCAGATGGCGGCGGATCACTGATTACCGACGTTGTTGGACCAGATCAGATCAACGAGATCGTTGCTCGCGCAACTGGTATCCCTGTCAACAGGCTCAAGGCTACCGAGAAAGACAAGCTCCTGCAGATGGAGAAAGTTCTGTCCAAAATCGTTATTGGTCAGAGAGAGGGTGTTAAAGCGGTTTCCGACAAGATCCGGCTGCAAAGATCTGGATTGTCAAACCCGAATCAGCCGCCCAGTTTCCTCTTCTGCGGTCCCTCCGGTACTGGTAAGACTCTTCTCACGAAGGCTCTTGCCGAGTTCCTTTTCGACGACCCAAAGGCTATGATCCGACTCGACATGTCCGAGTACCAAGAACGCCATACCGTCAGTCGTATGATTGGTGCCCCTCCAGGATATGTCGGTCATGATGCTGGTGGACAGCTTACCGAGGCTCTCCGCCGAAAGCCTTTCTCAATCTTGCTCTTCGATGAGGTTGAGAAGGCTGCCAAGGAGGTCCTTACCATTCTCCTCCAACTCATGGATGATGGTCGTATCACCGACGGCCAAGGACGTGTCATCGATGCCCGAAACTGCATTGTTGTCATGACATCCAACATTGGAGCAGAATACCTTCAAAGAGCCACCACACTCAATGGCAAGATCGACGATACCACCAAGGCTCTCGTTACTAAAGCATTGGAAGACTACTTCTTGCCCGAATTCCTCAATCGGATCAGCGAGACTATTATCTTCAACCGTCTGTCCAAGAACGAGATCCGCAAGATCGTCGACGTCCGTCTCAGCGAAATCCAGAAACGCCTCTCTACCAATGGCAGAAATGTCATTATCGACTGCTCGCCCGCTGTACGCGAATGGCTCGGAAATGCTGGCTACCATCCAAGCTACGGAGCCAGACCTCTTGCCCGACTCATCGAGACTGAAGTCCTCAACAAGCTCGCTGTTCTCATCCTCAGAGGCTCAATCAAGGATGGAGAGACGGCCAGAGTCGTCATGGATAATGGCCGTATCCGCGTCCTTTCCAACCACGAAGAATCTGACTCGAGCAGTGACGATGAAGAGATGGACGATGCGGATGTCACGGAGGCATTGGGTGGTGATGAGAATGAAATGGAGCTTTATGATTAGAGAAATGGTTTTGGAAGATCATTTCATGAATGATGAGATATGAGAGTAGTAGCAACTGCATGGAAAAAGCAGAGGCGTTTATGGCGTTCTGGTGTTACTAAGGTACTCTTTGATACCTGTTGTCTGCATTATTTACACCAAACAAAGACTTTTCGGTCTGTTAAATAGAAGAATACAGTGGAATACATACTTGAAAACAATTTAGACCTCCTGTGACATGCACTTGCAAACTAACATAATTCTTCTAGTACACTTTTTCTTCTTCATACTCAAGTAAGCTAGAGTAAATCTCCTAGCACCAGGACTAGCTGTCTCAGTGATCGCTTCCAAGAAATACGAGACCTTGCAACCAAAAATAACACTGTTTTCACATCCCCTGATGTACTGAACGATGTACAACCTGCTCATCATCGAGCGGTAATGATGACCTTTATGCATTCCGCAAACCGGGTTTGCTCAAAATCTGGTAGCGAGCTCGTAACAATGGCGGTGGCACGTGAGTGAGTGAGGCTGTTTTCGGGTCAACGTCAGCCCCTTCGCAAGACTCGGATCGTGAACTTAAAGGACGTATCTCCACTGTCATCAGATGCGTCACAGATAGAGTTCATGTGCCAGATTGCCAGCTTGTGGTCCGGTATCGTCTGAAGCGGTCGCATCTTTAATGAGATGGATGGGATGAGTCTGCTGTTGCTCCATTTGGCTTTTCTTCGTCTCGTTTAATGTGGAGTTTACAGTTTCACGTCAACCCATTTGATGACTTGAAACCTCGCCTCAGCAACAAGCCCAACAAACCCACCCCCTCGCCGCCAAGTTTGAAACCTCATCATGATCTTCCTCGAATGAGAACGCCCAGGCTGCCCAGGCCAGACAAGCATCCCAAGCATACGCCGAGCCGCGGGTATACCCCTCTACCAAGATTCGACGCAGATCGGAACTTGAGGCACATCTTACTTGGTGCTGTCGTATGATCGCCCGCTTGCCTCCTTTTGTGCGTGTTTGCGCTTCAAGTCAGGTTTCATGCTGCTCTCGGATCACAGAATTGCGCCTGGGCAAAGCTTCGTTGTGCTTGTGTATCTGGGCATCTCTGGGCGATGGAGCTTTCACCCTGGTTGCTGGGAGCACAACGGACGAGTCGGCGTGAGAAGGGCAAGATGAGACGGGGAAACCAATCGATCTTGTTCATGCGAGTCGGAGTGGCTTCTACTTCTGGGCCGTAGCCCGTTTGCAATTCTCCTCAGTTGCGAAGTCTAACGGTTCGTGCCCAGAGAAGCTACCCAGATACATGAGCTATTCGTCTGTATATAAGTGCCCTCCCCCTCGAGGAGTAAGTGCCTTTCTTCTTCAGCCGCGCTCTACAGTCTTCAAGTCCTTCTCTCATTCTACTCATTCTACTCAATCACATTCTTTCAACAGTTGATCTGTTCATTCAAACTTATTCTATTGTCTATATTTTACATTTTTTCGATCTTTCGGCTTCTTCCCAACCCAGACTTTCAAGATGCAATTCTCCAGCTCCATCCTCGCTTTCTCCCTCCTTGCCCTTGTGGCTTCTTCCCCTCTTCCTAAGAAGGAGAAGGCCGCGGCCACTGATGCTACTGCCGCCGCCGCCGGAGGAGATGTCCTCACTGCTTCCGCCTACAACGACTTCCAGATCTCTGGCCCAACAGCCGGAGACGCCGAGTCCAAGGCAAACGCCCTCTTCGCCAAGATCGACATGAACAACCTCGCTGCCGTCTCAGCCAACGACCTCAAGGTCATCAAGGGTGTCCATGATGCTGCTGAGGATGCGGAGGTCCAGGCTTTCAACCCTGCTATTGAGGCGGCGAGTGGAGATGCTGCTACTGCGCTCCAGGTATGTTTTTCATTTCTCTTATCATCCTGGTATCATCCTGCATTTCAACTATGGCCACTAATTATTGTGCTTTCCACAGAACGGCAAGATAGAGAACAAGGTCCTCAAGCTCACCGCAGAGGTCCTCGGTATTCAAGTCGAGGCTGCCCAGGGAGGCGATGATAGCGATCTTGCCGCTGAGCAGACCAAGCTCGCAAAGAACATTAAGCTTGACACCGCCGCGGCCGGACAGGCTTCGACTCCTGTTTCTTTTGACGCAACTTCTTAGATAGCTCTTGCTATCACGATGGCGGTTAGAGGTGCCTTAGTAGGGCTTAATGATCGAGTGGATGGTGAGGAAAGGGGATATGGGGATTGGAGTGGTTGTATTTATCTGGTGGGGAGTGGATTGGGTTGGATTGTATGGGAGTGAGAGGTCGATATGTATTGGATGATGGAGATGTGCATTGTATAGTTGATGAATGCCATTGTTGACTGCTACCTACTGCAATGTGCGAAACTTGTGTTGTGACGTCCCCGCCACTTCCCTCTTAACTTTCAGAAGCTATGAATACCAAGTGCCTTGTCACCACGATATACCTCTCCTTCTGTTTCAGTACTCAGATCTTTCAAGGATGTAGCTTAAATCAACGCATGAATGTGGGGGCGGGCCTTAAGCTCTCCAGGGGTGGTATTCTGAATAGAGTTTAGTTCGTCAAACAGGAGAATCCGGGGATTACATCAGCTGTTGGAAGGGACCTGTTGGGACGATCCTACAACCCGGGGCCGCGGACATTATAAGTCTTCTACAGTTTCAGTAATCTTAGGTATCAGATCTTGAGTAGACTAAAGTCGTCCTAGTAGAACGCGGAATGATTCGTAGGCAGGATAGACAGCAAGTCGGGTGTTTGGTCTAGCTGAGTCGGTTTCGCTTCGGTGATCACGTGGTGTTTACAACCAGAATCTACTGTCCATTTTCGTCGAGGCATGGCGTTTGGCCACTGAGGAAGGGTTGTCAATCGTTCTTCTTACAGGTATCATTGCCTATTGTATGCTTGTAGTATTGTCTATGGGTGGTGTAGTGGAGTTCTATCACTTCTCTTCAGAACCACGCGCCTCATTGGTGAGATGGAACACAGAGGCTACAGATAGCATAGACTTAAAATTAGGTGACAGAAAAATCGGGGGCTCCACTTCGAAGCTTGCCATGAGATCTTAATCAATTTATTTTTCAAAGATACCTCGTCTTTTTCTGAATAGGCTCCACGCTCAAGTCGATTCATGACCTGATGTACATTTCGGCTGACTGTTTTCTCCGCACGTGGGGCGACTCTGATTGTCTGTCCCTCTCTTCCAATGAGCTCACTCATGCAGTTCTCCAGTCCACTGTTGACTGCACTACGGAAGGTACTGAGCTCCGTACGGAGTAACGATAAGCTACGAATGTTGCTACTCGTTAAATTGTTTTTTTCTCGGCCGCTTCATGATTGTTGATGCGGATTTATGGCGCTGTTAAGATTAGGCGGAGCTAACGAACTGTACGTAAGATAAGGGCACAACTTCACACGTCATAAAGAAGCAGCAACATTTCTTCTCGAAAGTCTATGCTATCTCATCAGAATTTTTATTTTCGCAATATTATTGTACCGTCAAAATGGCACCTTTTATCACTCTCGAAGAACACTATATTTCTCGCTCGGCGGTCACGAAGGCGGGGGCCGACGATATGTATGCGCTGTTTCCACCCCATATCGTCTCCAAGCTCGCAGATCTCGGAACCGAACGTATCAAAGATCTCGAGAAGGGAGAAGTCTCCTTGCAAGTCCTCTCCCATGGGCCAATTGATGCATCCGCAGAAGTTTGTATCGGAGCCAATAATGAGCTCGCCGCTGCAATTTCCAAGAATCCCACTCGCCTGGCCGGATTCGCACTACTTCCAATGATCGACCCGAAGGAAGCGGCAGCTGAACTTGAACGCTGTGTTACCAAACTTGGATTTCTGGGAGCTTTGGTGGATAACCATCTTGATGGTCAATTTTACGACGATGGGCGATTCTGGCCCATTTTTGAGAAGGCGGAAGAGTTGGATGTCCCGATTTACATTCATCCAACTTTCGCTTCAGATGAGATGTTGCAGCATTATAAGGGAAATTATGACGACAAGATTGCTCTGGCTTTGAGTGCTTTCGGCTGGGGTTGGCATTCGGAGACTGGATTACATATCCTGAGGCTCTTTTCGAGTGGTCTTTTTGATCGGTATCCTAAGCTGAAGATTGTTATCGGACACGTGAGTACAATATGTTTACTTTTAGAGGAGACTCTGACTGACGATACATTTTAGATGGGTGAAATGCTTCCTTTCCAACTTGATCGTTGCGTGTCGGTATCCGAAAGATTCAACGCCACAGAGCGGGGTCTTCGCGAAGTCTGGCAGAACAACATCTGGATCACGACATCCGGGATGTTCACCCTTCCACCGCTTGCTTGCTTATTGCAGACGACGTCAATCGATCATGTTTTGTACAGTGTCGACTATCCTTTTTCGCCGAATGAGAAAGGGAGAGAGTTCATTGATGTGATCAAGACGAGTGGGTTGATGAGTGAGGAAGACTTTGAGAAGTTTGCGTATCAGAATGCGGAGAAGTTGTTAAAAGTGAAAGCTACTCCGTGAATTCAGATTGGCGTCTTTTAAAAGGAGGGTTGTATCGGCGATAACAGATGGTTTCTGCGTTCTAGAGCGTTCATTTTGGAATAGGATCTCCTCTTTTTTTTCAAGTACTCAGAAACTATGGGCCGTTTGAGGGACCGCATTATTGAGAAATTGAGACCTCCTGGTTATAAGGTTTGCTACAGAGCCTGTATCTCAGGATTGCTCCCAAGGAGTTGATACATCGAACATACCTTCCTTGGCACTCGCTTAAACTTCCAAGCCCTTGCTGTTGTCAACAAAAGTCAAATCGCACCTTCCATAGCACGATAGCAAACGCATTGTCCCATACGTTCAAAAAAATAAATTCACTTCTTCCTATCTTCGCAGTTCCCGGCCTGTCTTTTGGCCTAGCTTCTCCCGTTGACCCACTTCCTTTGCTTATCTCAAGCCGCTCCTTAATCGACCTCTTCCTCTTTCCTTTCTTCCTTACCACGACAGCACCGTACGCTCAACACCTCCCAACTGCTAGGGCTCAACTCTTACACTTTCAATATCTAAAAATTAACAGGCGTTTCTTATCATTGGGTTATCATCTCTTTAATTCTTCTGCTTTGCCGTTCAGTTCTCACTCCACCAGTTGACGGCGCAATAGTTCGTCCTTCAGTCCTCAATTGGTAACTTGCGTTCAACTATTAGCTCAGTCTCCTATGATTCTCACTTCAATTGAGACACAGCTGCTGCGATAGTAAGCATTGACACACACGTTTGACAGGTATTCCTCCAACGTCTTTTCTCCACCTGAGATATCTTGTCTACTCACTTTTATTGAACCTCTCTCTTTGCATAGAGACCACCTTTTGCATACTTTTTGCCATTCACTAGCTGACTTCGAGATCTAGACAGCTTTGCTTCCCGCTCATGATTGCCCCATCACCATAAATCTCCTCAACCAACAATCCTATTCAAATAATTGCTCACTCCTATCGACAGGACGCAATGGCACCTGCAGCTAAGAGCGGCAAGGCCACTGGTGGTAAGCGTGGTCGAAAGAGCAACGACTCCGACAAGGCTGGTGAATCTGCACAGAAGAAGCAGAGAGTATCAAAACCAACAGGCAAAGCAAACGACGCTATTACTATCGACGATGATGAGAATGCACCAAAACCCGCCAGTGTCAAATTCAAGCAGAATACTGCTCTCAAACCCATACCCAAGCCTAGTGGAAATTGTTTTCCAAAATTTATGAATGGAGACGTGGTTATCCAGCTTGAGAGCAATGGTCTGAGGCAGAGCTACATCCTTCACGCTCATACGCTTGGACGGATATCGTCGTGGTTTGATGAGATGTTACGTCTTAACATTGAAGAGATCGAACCTGACCCCCACATGCTTGCAGCGGACCCCAATCCATTTCAGAGACAGCTATATGCGAGATTTGAGTTGGAGACCCAAGCAGGTCCAGGGAAGAATCAGCTTGCTAGGACTGTAAGTCATAATCTCCTTGATTCTAAGCTGGATGTTATGGCCTCGTATCAAGTAGGCGTAGATACTAACACATGGGTTAGACATTGACTTACCTCGCCGTGCCTGAGCCATCAACTGAGCCAAACGAAGCCACAGGACGACTGCAGAAGGCCATGGAAATCGAGGATGATCCCGTTGTAGACGCAACGTCTTCTCCGAGAGATATACGACCTACAAGAGTCAAAGAAGCCAAGAGCAAACCACGTACGCCTCAGAAGCCAAGTGTTGAATGTGGAAATGAATCACCCAATATCCAACTAACTCCACTTACTGAAAAGAAGTCAAGTAAAACTTCTCCAGTCAATGTTTCCCCGAAGGTTACGCAAGACACAACTATCATCAAGAAGGAGAAGCTTGATGACGACGTTATGGCAACAGACGCTGGACAGACACCTGTTGACGAAGCGGAAGAAATAGCACAAAAAGTTGTACACCAGATATCCGATGGTCTGCTTCCGATGAGTCAGTATGAGTCCTGTGCTCAAGAGGCAAGCCTAGGTGCCGAGGGGAAGCCAACTGCCAAGCCAGAGGAACCTTATCAAGGCAAAAGCACAAGCCAGAGACCAAATCTAGTTGTTGACGATCCTATGGAAGGAGTTGAAGCAAGTAATGGCCAAATGACGATGGAGACAGCATCAGCTGTACGTTTTAGCTCAAATTGCGAAGAGCTTGCCGAGATTAAGCAGTCCGTAAATCCAGATGTTACCCAGAATAATAGATCTGAGTCTGTTATCAAGCATGACAGTCCTCCATCGGATTTTAATGAGAAAAGCAAGGAGGACCATGATATGGAGCTAGAACACTATGGTCAAAATACCATGGCAACCAACACCTCAGACTATGATAAGATGGGAGTCACGGAAAGACCTGTTGTAGAAAACGAAAGCCACACTGAGATCACGGGCGACGGAGTTCCTATGGATAGGGAAGGTCCCATGGATGTCAACTCTGCTCCATTCTTGGAAGCTTGCGTGACTAATCAAGGAGAATGCTCAAATCTGGCTTCTGCTTCTGTGCATGACACTATCGCTACCAAGCACGAAGCAGTCCCCGCCACAGCGCCTTCTGAAGTTTTTAAGGAAGAGGTTGACATAGAGGAAAGGGCTTCCAACGGTGCTGCATCAACTCGAGAGCTTGAGGATGCAAGCAGAAACGAAGATTCTCTTGCCCCTAACCAGACTGTCATGGACGAGTTCGTCAGAGAAAGCGAGCAATTGGATAAGCCTGTTTATCCAAGCCAGGGTGCCAGTCTTGCAGCGAACCCTGGAAATCTCGACGTTCTTAACTGTGCCCAGGATATGAAAGACGAGAAAAGCAGCGAGTGTCAGCACTTGTTCCCCTGTGCAAGACTTGACGACAGCAAGACCAAAGCAGATACCGACAAGCTTGACCATCGCCAAGAAATTTGCGAGAAGCCGGTCTTACAGAACGATGGTACTAGCAATTCCGGTATTACAGATTTTCCACAATTAGATGGCTCCTTCGATGAAAAGAAGGCTGCACCGACTTCGGACGTGAAGGCCAATTGCCTATTGCCTTCAATCGAGAACATCCAGAACATGCCTGCAAGCTTTGTAAACATTGGAAAGTCTACCGAGTTCCATAATGAATCTATCATGCTGAAAGGGGCAGAACTCGACGTCAGTACTAAGGTCAGATCTGATTCCGAAAGAGACGCCGTCAATCTCCCGTCTGACAATGTTCAGCCAGCCACCAACAAAGTACAGGCTTCGTTCCCATCTCAAGCTCCACATGTGCAGATCGCCCACGACGAGAAAATCAAAACAGCTCCAGCCACCATGGCCAACAGTAATGGCGCAGATGTCCTCCGAGTTTACGATAATCTCTTCCGCATATACTACAATCTTCCTCCGCGTATCGACACTGAAAGTATTAATAAAGCCCTTATGCAATCGGAACTTCTTGTCGATGCTGCCCGTTTGTACGGAACCATCTCTGTCGTTCGACCCTACATCAATGCTGCCTTGATGAACTTTGGCCGGCAGCTTTACATGGCAATTATGAAAGACCCACCTCGCTGGCTTCACCTAGCATTCTTCCTAGAATCAAAACCAATGTTCAAGGAGGGTGTTATTCACATCGTGGCAAACCATCCATTCTGGCCATGGCCGACCTTGAAAATGGACGAAATTCTCTCACCTATTGGCGAACTTATCGAGAATAAGTTGGATATCTTTCTAGAAATGAAAGAATCCGTCAACAAGGCCCTCTTTTCAAACGAGGTCCGCAACGTTGAAGTATTCTCCCGTACTTTAAACAATGACGATTTTGATACTTGGTTTGTCGTTCAGTACTGGAGAGACTGGTTCGCTCGGTCTTTGGCTAAGGCAAACAAAGCATCGGACGTCACCCAAATGTGCATGCGCTGCAAGGTATATCGAGATATTGGCCGAAACGGCGATGCATACCTCCCGACGATTCTCGTCCTTGATGCTGTTGAGGCTTGTCGTTCGAAGGACCTGCATGCCAAAGCGAAGCGCCAGGGCATAGAGCGAGACCTGAGGACTTTGAAGGACTTCGCCCAGAAGGCAGTTACACCCCTCTGTGCGAACTACTCAATGCTGTCTGTTGAGGATGCAGGTATCGATTACCTCACATGCATCAAGGTGGAGGATGATGAGCTGCCATGGATGAAGCAGTCCAATGGCATCCAGATGATGCAGTCCAGATGTCAAGAGGACATTTGACGACTATACTACCTGTTCCAGATGCTAGACCAGAGGCAAGACTTCCAGGTCAAAGCTGCCTGGGCGACGGTATTACAAAGGTACTCTCAGTGACCTTGTACTAATACAGAGATCACTGCTGCAGGTTTTTGAGCAGTATTATCCTGATCGGAGATATTTTAACCGCCTGCACAATTTACTTGCTCTTAAAACTCATGCGGGCGCTTCAAGTGGCTTCAGCACAAACATTTCAACAAAACGACCATAGGGCAATCATGCAAAAAAAGGCTTTGAAGCCATCTGCTATCATGATCTGAGGAAGCAGTCAGTCAGTTGCTTCAGTGCAGATTTCAGCGAAAAGATGATGGGGAATATTCGTACCTGTGAAGCGATAGCTTCCAGCTCAAGATAACATCTATTATTAGAAGGCCAATATGTCAAATAGAATCCTTCATTCAAAACGCCATCCATATGCAATTGTGACCCAAACGCCTTGCTAAATGACATTTTCCCTCCGTACCAGATCCTATGGCCTCTTGATTTCCGGACCAAATAAATCATCAGCAGATGACTTCTCCTTTTCCAGCTTCCTCTTCTTCACAATCTTCTCCTCGTCGCCTTCATCTCCTTCCCTCTTCGCCCTTTGCAAAGCCACGAGATCTATCTTCTCTGGGTTTCTGCACTTCGTCAACTTCTTAGCCAGCCCTTTCAGTTCCTTGCGCTCCGCCGCTGAGGAATCCGCGTTAGGCCCAACACTCCTGAGCATGTCCGCACAGCTCCCCAGTGTGCTCAGTACTTTTCTCTGCAGGTCTCCAGCTGAGGGAGGGAATTTGCATCTTATGTACCACTGAATCAATTCCGAATCGGCAAGCATCAAGGCAGCCATCATGATCTGACTTGGCGTAAAGTGGAAATAGACATCCGTCAACAGAGCACTAGTCTTGAGATATTCCCTTGCTTTGCCATGCGCATCTTTGACCCTCCTCTCCATATTACTTGGCCGATCTCTAGAGACAGAACCTCCACCTGGTAGTGCAGGAAAGTCTTCTCTTGATAGAGCCTGTAGTTCCATGACTGCCCCTTCTAGAGCTCTAAAGGGATGTCGAACATCGAACGTGAATCTCAATCCTTGTGTGAGCAGGAATTCAGAAGCAAGCACATCCTCTGCTTTTGTGTTGCCAATTTGGTCTGCGAATTTGGTGAGCCGGAAGTAGTGGTTCTCGGTCTTGGTGGCGAAGAAGAGGGCGGTTTTGAGGATGTCGGTGGGGTGGTAGGTCATGAGGGAATTGGTGATGTAGAAGCGCTTTATATATTGGACTGCTGTTGCCTGTATTTACAAATTTCAGTACCATATTCCTATACATCCATATCATGCATCATTTTGTAAATGATCGGCAAGCAAGCATACCTTGACATCAGTAGGCACCTTCAAATGATCCCCAAGCTGGAGCGTCTGCCTGCAATAGAACGTCACGAGCTTCAACTCCTCCTCCACCGTCAGGCAGTCTACCTCTCCCTCCGGAATAACCACACCCCCATTCTCAGCTTCGCTCGTATCTGCCGAAGAGAGATTCCGAGCCTCTCGTACGCGTCGCACCGCTTCGCGGACGCGGTCGGCGGCGATGCGGTTCGTGGATGAGCGAAGCGCGAGGAGCGATTGTGGCGTGTAGGACCATAACCGGTATTGTGTGGAGGTGCGGTACCGTTCGTCTTCAGACATTGTGAGGGTATTAGATCAGCTTGAGAGGGTGGAGAGTGGTGTCATTGCTGGGGGTGAGGAATGAGGCGATGTTGGGCTTGTTCGCGCGGGCTCGTGATGTGGACCTGAAGTTTGAGGCGTCTATCACAAACCAAGCGGGATTTTGAGTATGGCAGACTTTATCCTCTTCAATTGTTCTTGGAATGATAATTCCTATATTTTTTCGATTCTTCTCTATGGTCAAGCCGTCACTCATTCACTGTTATCTGGTCGTAGTTTTGTCCTTGTTTTCCTTGCCCTCAGTCCTTCATATTTGATTACTACCTACTTAAAGATCAGCATTGGATTTAGATATTCAACATATCATGAGTTCTACCAGACATTTCACTCGTATGCCGTTGAATAAGCAGCATCTGAGCAGGCGCTGACTGGGAAAAGTTCCTTCAGCCATCAAATTTCCGGCACACTCTATGATCCATTTCCTGTGTCAAGATATTGCTCCGTTAGAGTTTTGGTCGAGGTCAAGTGATGGCAAATCTCTTTCATTCCGGTCTATCCGCTTCGTGATATTCCTCCAAAAGTCTCCCTTGACACATTTACAAAGGCCGCGTTGAACCTTGTTTGATTGCTTCTCCCTTTTGTTTTTGAATCTGTTAAGATGGAGTTGCGTTGTGCTGCTGATGGCTGTTGGCCTTCAGTAATGTAAGAATTGATGAAAGTCAATTCCGTGAATAGCGACGTGTGTCTACAAGTCCTATCTCAAAAAGCACATTGGCCTGCCGAAGTCGCAGGAGTTTGACCAGGGTCTTTGTCTGACCGGTAAAGTGTAGTCGCTCATGTCGATCTCAAATCGAAGTTCACGGACTTCGGAATGCTCAGAGCCCACAATCTCATGGTGACAAACTATTCAGCATCGATATGACAGTTGTTCCTCCAGGTCCACTACACTTGTTCAAGCTCGCTCCTCGGATTATAAGTACTCGGACGGGCAATATCCTCCGTTCATGGGCAGTGTTATACTTTCCAGCTTCTTGTTCCGGCTAGGGTCCCCTGACTGATGACGGTGACCTGTCAATGGTTTTCCAATATGATCAAATGATTCTACTCTATCGAGTCCATCTACTCCGTGGGGTTTTGATGAGGGCCGGTATCTCAGGCCCTCGCCAAAGCCGTTAATGAAAGGATTGCGCTGATATTCTATGTGTCACTTACTTCCTCGCATCACCACACTTTAAATAGATACTTCCTTCTAGCTCTTATATGTCAATTTGATTTGTAGAAAAGAGTAGTTTGATTTTTTGATTAAAGCAGAGCCTATTGTGGAAACAAGTATATGAAGGTTGAAAATTGGTTATTTTTAGTTGTATCTTGCTTATTCAATTTCGCCCGGCCCTCATTAAAAACCTCACCAAGTATGCATGCTCGAGGCATGGAATAAATAAGGAAGACAGCTGGCATTTACGAGCTAGTTCGGAAGAAGCAGGTATCATCGATAGATCTGCAGCTAGGAAGCTTCCGCAAAGCTTGAACTATCCACCCCACTCCTCTGAGCTGGGAAGATATAAATCGGGATATATTTCTCTCAATTTATTTCCTTTGCAATTGTCTTTCTAGAAGGGTTCTTTCTTTCATGATGACTTTCTCAAAAGTTTCGCTTTTGCTTTCTGCAGCTTCTCTAGTTTTCGCGCAATTCGTTCCAGCTCCTAAAGATCTGCAACATGCCACTGGCTATCTCGGCTTACCAGTCCGATACAAGGAAGTTCCTACAGGAATCTGCGAGTTGGATCCGAAGGTCAAGAGTTACTCTGGATATGTAGATGTCTCTGAAAATGAGCATATTTTCTTCTGGTTCTTCGAGGCGCGGAACGTGGATCCGACTGAAGCACCTTTGACGGTGTGGATCAATGGAGGACCGGGATCTTCTTCGATGATTGGATTATTCAAGGAGAATGGACCTTGTAGAGTGGACAGTGATGGGAAAGTTTATAATAATCCTTATTCTTGGTCGAATGTTAGCAATATGATTTATATCGACCAGCCGACGCAGGTATGTTGCTAGATCCAAGTTAGAAGACAAAGAAAACTGATCTTGTGCAGACGGGATTCTCCTACAGCATTCCTGTCAATGGATATGTTGACCCAAATTAGTAAATTGGTCTTCAATCCATTGTCGTCCACAGCTAACGACTTCTAAGCAACGTCATTGTCTCCCTACCCGATGCAACCTGTCCCGACTATGCTCAAAAGTTCGGAACCTGTGGCACCTTCAGTTACCCAAACCAGACCCTCACCGCAAGCACAACTGGTAATGCAGCGCCAAACTTCTGGAAGACGCTCCAGGGATTCATGGGAGCTTTCCCACAATATTCTCGTCGTGGATTCCACTTCGGAAGTGAGAGTTATGGTGGGCATTGGGGACCAATATTCACCGAGTATATCGAGGAGCAGAATGCGAAAAATATTCTCGGGGCGCACAAGATCTCGTTGGAGACTGTTTTGATTGGGTATGTAGAAGTACTCTGCTTGTGTTGGGCAATCAAAAGATCTGACTTGTTGGTAGAAACGGGTGGTTCGATCCTCTGATTCAGTATCAGTCTTTTTACAATTTCACGTATGTATTCAATCCCGTGACAGCTGCTCATGGGTGCTAATCTTCGCTGCAGCGTCTCCCCAGGCAACACTTACGACTACTCTCCATTCAGTCCCAGTATCCAAGCTCAATTCTACAACAATCTGTACGGACCAGGAAATTGTGTTGATCAAATCAAAGATTGCGCTGCTAGAGGGCTTGATGCGATTTGTGCAGCAGCTGTGAGTACTTCAGCACTAAGCAAGACATGTAACTAACATGTACAGGACCATTTCTGTTCTGCTACTGTTGAGTCCATCTATGACATCTACCTGGGCAGAGACGAACTCGATATACGAGAGCTGAGCCCGGACCGCTTCCCATACAGCTTCTACATCTCATATCTCAACACTCCAAAGGTTCAAGCTGCGATTGGAGCATTCCAGAACTTCTCAGAGTCCTCGGGAGCTGTGTTCGATGCTCTCACTGCAACCGGAGACGACAACCGAGAATATGGCACTGTTTCTGCTCTAAGGAAGCTCCTTGCCCAGAATCTGACAGTTATGCTCTACGCTGGAGATGCAGATTACAAGTTCGTCTCCACTCTTCCATTTCTTAATACTCGCTAACACTATTGACAGCTGCAACTGGCTTGGCGTCGAAGCCGTCTCGAAAGAAATCAATGCCCCCAACTTCTCCTGCGCCGGCTACACGAATCTCACAACCAGTGACTCCATCGTACACGGACAGGTAAAACAAGCCAATAAATTCTCTTTTGTCCGAGTCTACCAGTCCGGCCATGAAGTACCTTTCTACCAACCGCTCGCCTCGCTAGAGATGTTCGAGAGGGCGATTAATGGCTTGGATATCGCTACCGGGAAGGAGAAGCCAAGGGAGGGTTATGTAACGGTAGGCCCTGAGAAGAGTGAGTATAGGGAGGGGAACTCGACGATTCAGTTTAAGGTGCTGCCTGCGGACGCAACGTATAATTATACGACTGGGGCGCCGAATCCGCCTGGGCAGGGGTCATTGAAGAAGAGGGGCATGGGATTGTTGAGTAAAGAGAAGAAATTTAAGTCGCGAGTGTAAATGTGGGTGGTAGTATGGTAGATGCTGAAATTTATATTTTGACACATGGGATGGGCCAATATGTACGGATGTTGGTTGTTGAGCACTCTGCACATCTCATTTTCAGCTGAGAAACGGTAACACAAGCTACTTTGGCCATCAAGGAACATGAAAACCCGTATACATCTTCATGACATCAGGAAGCATGCCTCCATCGTTAGCCAATCTCTTGCCATCTCATAGGTCCCACGTGATCATATATCACATGAACTCAATCGTATGCGATCCCATTTGCCACACGACCTTTGCGAGAAGACCTTGTGTAACGAACCTCGGCACACGAACTACCTAAGACACGAATCGCGGAATAACTGGTGACCGACTCACGATACTTCGCTTGAAGAGGGGCATTCGGACATGGCTCGAAGGGGAAAGGACCTGTTGGAATTTGATTTTGTTGAGGACAAGGACCCGGACCCCGCTATTGAACGCGTCGAATAGAAAGCCAAGCAAAAAGCACGAAGCGGAGAAAAGAAGGAACAGGGCCCGAGTAGCTTCACTTGACTTGAGAGAGTAGTTGAAAGTGAAGATATACTTTGACTAAAGTACATTGTAACACGAAGATGGTCGCTCGAGGCTGTGTTTACGTATCGCCCCCAAGGACGAGGAGGAGGAGGAGGAGGAGGAGGAGGAGGAGGAGGAGGAGGAGGATGCGGCTCCAATCAGCGCTTATGCAAGGAACTAAACCCCTACTGTAACTACCTTACCTTATTAGCGAAGCGAGAACGCCCCGCGTCATCATTATTCAACACTTTTTGCTGGCCTTCCCAAAACATGTCGTCTGCCCGGTGGCCATGGGTTTGTATCGTCAAGCTTTCCTTTCGCCCTTTTTCACTCACACTCACACTCACACTCTCACCCTTCCCCATCCCCTTCCCACCCTCTCTCTTCCTCACATGTCAAGGTCCCTGGCCAGCTTGTCCTTTCTCCACAAGCAAAGCTGCTGAGCTTACCACAGACCTCGGTAGAAATTGGCTTTTTATTTATCTAGCAACCTTTGCCAGTTCCCTGTTCTGGGAAGCTTGATGAAACTTCAACACGGCCAGCACCTCCGTAGCAAAAGGTTGTCCTTCGAAGAACATTCCACTCTACTCTACTCTACTCTGCTCTGCAACAGCTCTTCTTCTTTACTGTACGCAGAAGCCCTTTGCGCCTCTGCAGTCTTTGCGCTACTGGGTTTACACTTAATTTCTTTCGCGTCCCATTGACGAACTGAGAACAGGCATTTCTCCCGTCCAAAAGTCGCGTGCCCACATCCCCAGCTTCGACACATTCCAGAAAGCGGATATCCCACAACCCAAAAGTCTAGAACGCACAGGAGCTATACCCTCAAACACTGAGTGAAGATGTCTTCTCCAATGGTGCACTTATCCGTCCCCAACTCCGACCTCTTCCAGTTTCCCCCAAGCAACGAGCCTCGAACTCTCCCTTCGCCGCCCGCTGGCTCGACACTTTTCGCTCCGCCATTTACGATACCCAGCTCGATCTACAATTCTGTTCTAGACATTCGAGTGCCAATCACGATTGCCAGCGTGTACGCCGTTACCGTTGTTTCTGTCAACGCATATAACCGCTCGAGAGGGAATAAGCCATGGGCGATCAGCAAGACGAAGCCATTCTTCTGGTTTGTTGTGGCACACAACATCTTATTGGCAGTATACTCTGCCTGGACCTTCATTGGCATGTTCGGGGCTCTGCAAAGAACTTTGCCCAGATGGACAGGCGCTGAGACTTTGACGCCTATGGTGGACAGCTTGTGCAAAATGCACGGTGCTCGCGGACTTGGAAATGCGGTTGCGTACAATGGCACCCTCTCACAATGGGTGTCGACATCGTCATCTATGCTCCTGACTGAGACGGGACAACCAGACCCTACAGATGTTGGAAGATTGTGGAATGAGGGTCTTGCTTTCTATGGCTGGTTCTTTTACTTGAGCAAGTTTTACGAGGTTCTGGATACTGTTATTATCTTGGCCAAGGGAAAGCGAAGCTCGACTCTGCAGACTTATCATCATGCTGGAGCTATGATGTGCATGTGGTCTGGAATTCGGTACATGTCTCCACCAATCTGGATGTTTGTTTTTGTCAACTCGGCAATTCATGCTCTCATGGTACGTATTCCGTCCTTCCGCTTGGGAAACATGCTAACGAAATATAGTACACTTACTACACTCTGACTGCCTTCTCTGTCCCGATTCCCCAAAGCCTCAAGCAGAGTCTCACAACCATGCAAATCATGCAATTCCTAGTCGGAACCGCCTATGCATCTCTCCACTCCTTCCTCTCCTACGAAATCCCAGTGCAGGTTGCAGACATCGAGGGCTCAATCAAGACCGCCGCATCAGCCGCCAGCTCCTCAATCGCCTCCGCAGCAACCTCAGCCGGGCTCGGAAAGTTGGTTATGAAGTACCTGTACCGTGCAGCTGGAGAAGAAGGACTTGCCGAGAACGTCAACGCACCAGCGCCAACTGCCCAGACAACATCCGCTCCTAGCAGCAACGGAATTCAATACCGCACCGAGTACCAAACGGTCCCGTGTATCGACACCAGCGGACAGACCTTCGCTATCTGGTTGAACGTCTTCTACTTGACTCCACTGACATTCCTCTTTGTCCGTTTCTTCGTCAAGTCCTACCTCCGACGGTCGAACCAGAAGGGTGGAAAGGCATCCAAGCACAGCGCTGCGGAGTCAGCTGGAAAAGATGCATTGAAGGGTATTGACCGCGAGCTGAACGGACGTGCCAACGGAACCCCCAACGGTACACCCAACGGCAAGGCGAATGGAACACCAAATGGAAAAGCAAATGGAACGCCTAATGGAAAAGCCAATGGACGTGCCAATGGAACTCCCAATGGCACTCCTAACGGAAAGGCAAACGGTAAGGGGAATGGGAATGGGAAAGCATTTAGCTTGTAATGGAGCACTAGGATGGGTATGTAATGGAGAACAATCGAATGGGGGATGGGTATCGTGCCGTATGAGCGAGCATATTGAGCGATGAGCGAATTGATGGATAGCTTCTTCTGTTTGTTGGCATGGTAGAAAAAAATGGCATAGCATAGAAATAAGATATCAAAGTGTGTTTGTACGGACGCAATGAAAGTAATGATACCAGTCTAGTCAGTTAGTGTTTAGTGGAATTGGACTTCCCTGTCAAATGCAATTCTTCTTGGACGTGACATTGACTGGTTGCAGCATGAGAAACACTTTATCGTATAGTATTGATAGGTAGTTGATTCCATTGACTAAACTACATGTCAACCCGACCAGAAGCAAGTCCTTCTACACTTCTCGTCTGATGCAAAGTCAATCTCAAATTTAGCAAGAAATACTTTCATTCTTATGCTGGTCAAATCTCCGTATCGAGGACACTCAACCGAAACTCAAGCAATTGCCGCTTCGGCAACCTCACCCAAATACTTCCCCAGATCGGCAAACCTGCCTCTTCAATACCCGAGTATCGGCAAACAAAGGAGGTCACCCGGAGACGTACAAATACTGTTCAGCAGAAAGACTACGTTAGCTTAACACGGGATGGCCGAAATATTACATGTGCATGTCCAAATGATAACCAACCGGCCGTTTTATCGGCGATTGAGGAAAAAATATTTCTTAGTTGAGCTTGCCAGGCCAAGTAGCTGCCGCCCCCTGACCCCGCTATCGTCATGGAGGGGTTGCAAGCCAAGGGTTGGATGAGGTAAGTAGCTTGATGTGTTCTTGGATCACTTTTCTCGCCTTCGTATCGCAGACTCGAATTGCTATTTATACTTGATTCCCGCGTTTCGAGTTTCTCACAGCCATACTCTTTATTTCTGTTCAGTACTCAATTGTTGTCTTAATACCTCTCTTTGCCTACAGCTTACTAGATACCTACCCCGCCATGGCAAGCAAAACCTACAATGTTGGAGTGATCGGATATGGGTATATCTTCCTCTTCCACAAGCCCTACAATAGAGAAACAGCAGCTAATCTCCAAACAGCATGTCCGCCAAAGTCTTCCACATCCCCCTAATCCTCCGCACCCCGACCTTCACCCTCTCCGCCATCGTGCAACGAACCCCCAAACCCACCGACTCCGCCGCGAAAGACCACCCCTCCGCAAAGATCTACTCCTCCGCAACCGACCTCTTCGCCGACCCAAACCTCGAGATAATCGTCATAACCACCACCCCAGACACACACTTCGAATTCACCAAATCCGCCCTCGAAGCAGGCAAACACGTCATCGTCGAGAAGCCCTTCGTTCCCACCTCCTCACAAGCACAGCAACTAATCGACGTCTCGAAAGCCACAGGGAAGCTCATCTGCGTCTACCAGAACCGGAGATGGGACGCTGATTTTCTCACTGTGAGAAAACTGATCAGCGAGGATACGATCGGCAGGGTGGTCGAGTTCGAGACGCATTTCGATCGGTATAAAGCCGTCAAGCCGGAGACGTGGAAGGGCACGCTGGGCATGGAACAGGCGGGTGGAGTGGTGTATGATTTGGGGACGCATTTGATTGATCAGGCGTATGTGCTGTTTGGGCTGCCGGAGAGCGTTACGGCCGTTTTTGCGAATCAGAGGGATGATGGGGGGGAGGAGCCGGATAGTATTACGGTGCTGCTTGGGTATGGAACGGGGAAGCCGCTGGTTACGGTTAAGGCGGGGGTGATGTGTGTGGAGACTGAGCAGTTAAGGTATTGGGTGAGGGGAACGAAGGGGAGCTTTAAGAAGTTCCATTTGGATGTGCAGGAGGATCAGTTGAAAGCTGGTATGATGCCAGGTGATAAGGGATTTGGTGTTGAGGGCGAGGAGAGAGCGGGGACGTTGGTTGTGCTTGGGGAGGATGGGAAGCCAAAGGCTAGCGTGCTGAAGAATGTTGAGCCGGAGACTTATGTCAAGCTCTATGAAGGCTTTGCGAAGGCTGTTGCGGGAGGGGGAGAGAAGGAGGTTCCTGTGAAGGCAAGTGAGGCGCGGGATGTGTTGAGGATTATTGAGGCTGCGAAGGAGTCTGCTAAGAGTGGGAAGTCTGTGAGTTTGTAGGTGTAGCTTGTGGTAATCTTCTACAAACTTGTAATCACAACTAGTATTTACGCATTTTATTGGTAATTGTCTTGTCCAAAGAACTCGTAGTCATCAAAAGTACATTTCTGACACTCCAGGAAACAGTTCACAAGCTTGGGGCCCAAATTCCTAAGACGAAATAGTGATAGTAGAGCACTTTGGATAGAGGAGTTGTTGAAAGTAATGGAAGATGGAGGGTTGCAGTAAGCCCAGAAACGGGTAGGCAGTTTGAACCCACATGTAATTGGAAGCCATATTAGTCAACTGGAATCAGGTAGCATGGGTTGTATGATCCCCGAGAGACTCTTTTAACCATATGCAGGGCATGTTGTTCTCTCGTTGTGATGTTATGGGGATATTGGAATGAGATGTTCAATAGCAATTATGGGAAACATGGAAGACATAGGCTGGTCCGCGAATAGTAGAAATCCAGCTGATAGCGAGATGGACGTCAATTGAAGAATTACTGTATATGTAAGGTCCTTGGTTGACAATGTCTCGGTATGTTTTGGCATCAGAATAAACGAAGAAGCTGTGTTTTGCTTCGGAGATCGAATTGAGTTAGCATGGAGGTCAATTATAGAGTGTTCAGACCCCCATTTCGTACAATTCGACGCTCATGAATGTCGGATGTAGCTCCTGTGATCTCTCCAGCGATTCTGTGACCTTCAGAATTTGGACAGTCGAGTAACAGTAACACAGAGCAAGAAAGTCGAGCCGTAAGAACGGGGCTCGCTAAAGCTCCAAACAAGGAAGCAACAACGACACGTGATCACGTGAATGCCGTCATCCAGCGTTGGAGAGCTGAGCAAGAGCAAGTCGAAGCCTACTTTTCATCTATTCCAATTCCTCTGCACAATCACGATTCCAAATGCCATCACAAACCGCTCCTCAATTCTCTCACAACGACACTACAGCTTCACCGAAAATGGCAATCCAGCAGCGAACTTCCGGCATCTTCAGCCGCATCCAAAGCCTGGTGGACAACTACATTGTCACCCCTTCGGCGCGCGAGAAGTATTACAGCAATATCAGTACATTTGCACATGAACAACCTCTTCTTTTCGTAAGTTGTTACTAAGTTACAATTCTATCCCATCAGCAGTACCATATAAATTCTCGAAGCGCAAAACTAACACGCTCTAGACCTTCCTCCTCTCCCAACTCATCCTCTCATTCACCCCCATCGCACTCTTCCTCTCCTTCTCCCTCGGCGTCCTCTTCCTCTCGCTCATCACCGCTCTCCTCTTCTCACTCTTCTGGATCGGCGTCGCGCTCCTGGTCCTCGTACCTACGCTCTTCATTACCGTCAGCCTCGCGATCGTGGTCTGGATCTGGGCTGTGAGCAGCTTCCTGATCGCGAGATGGGTGTATAATGTTGTGCCCGTTAGTGTGAGGGGACAGACGGAGGTTGCGCTGCCGAATGGGAAGACGGCGGTGGTGGAGAAGACGGGGGAGGGGTATGGGGATGTCAAGGGTGAGGTTAGGGGTTAGGTTGGCGAATAATGAATTGGGGTTGGGATTGAATGGGGACTGGGTTGGGCTTAGGAAGGCGTGGAATTGATACCAATGGCGTTTACGGGTGGAATGGAACATAGGACAAAATGGCTATACTCAAGGCGAAAGGGCATTGAGGGAAATGGAGGATACCATGCGTAATAAGAAGGAATACAGGACAGGACAGCCATGAAATGTCTATAGATACGGATGATAATGACCAATCGAATATGAATGTTTAATGACAAACACTTCTAGGAACAGATAATATCTCACTCGTCACAGTCATCACTCAAAGTAATAGTGCGTTTAGAAACACAATATACACGCACGGTATGTCCCGCACAGCGTATCAGCTTAAATCCTCCTTCATAGACACCTTCATCAGCTCTTTACCATCATGAGTATACCCCCTAACCATTGTTAGTACGCACAGAGTCCTGAGTGTGTAGTGATAATCCAAGGGATTGTTATCTATGAGTTATTGTTGACTTGTGTTGCGCTTTTTAGCGAGGATATCCGGGATATCAAGGATATCGAGGGTATTGGTGTCAACCAAGATAAGAGAGCAAATGGGACGACATGGAGACATGAAAGATCTTACATTTTACAAGACAAGGTACTCTTTCACATTCGCACATAGCCGTCTCCATACATCGAATCTTGGAGTAAGTGAGAACTTGATTATCAGGTCTTCTCGGTTGAGTGCTTTGAAGAATTTATATACAAGATTCGCATCTAAGCCACCCTTTACAGAATTTGAGCAAGCGCTTCTTCCCTGGTGTAATTTGTGTTACGCCATCTGGAGACGTAATCATCATGGTTGACTAGACGAGTCAGTAAGTATCTCAACTTAGGGGTCCAAGAACTTACTGTAGCCGCCACAAATCCTCCTCTTTCCTGTGAACGAGGACCGACCATGCAGAACTCGCCAATTATCAAAGACTACGACGAAGTCAGCACGACCATACTTGAGTACTCGCAATCTCATTTTAGGGAGTACTTACTCAACGGTCTTCCTGGCTTCAACTGCGCCCAATACTCCATATTCTTCCTCTTCAAGATCTCATCCCATTTTGCAGCCGCCTTGTACCACTTCTCTGCACCCATATCTCGATCTTCGCTCAGTGCCACGACACCTCTATCGTCATTATTCCACCTGACCTGCATCAGTCTCGGGACTCCACCTTCTTTCAGATCACCAAAGTTAAGCACAGGCATCTTTTTCGCGGGCGTGATGGTGATACCCTCATTGCCGCTAGCGTGCCAGCTGATGGGCGTCTTAGAGAGGATCTCATAGGAGGCAGGTGATTCTTTGAGGAGTGTTTTGGCGGCGTTGAAGCCGTCTACCAGGAGAGACGCACCGCCTGATCCTTCCGTGTGTGAGAGGAGGTGGAACATTTGGAGGCCGGCCGGGTCGGTGAAGTAGGTTGTGTCTGTGTGAGCTGGGAGAGCGAGGTTGGTATATGCTGTGTCTTTCATGGTGAGATCGGCTGTGAAATCATAGAAGCCACCTAAAAGTGTGAGTGTGAACCGTTCCGAAGTCTGGAGATGGATTTACCGTAATGAGTTACTCGTATAAAAGAGATGTGCTCTAGGAGCTCTTGTGTTTTCTCAGGGGAGACAGGACAACCATCTACGTAGCAAAATCCGTATTGTCTCTGCTGAAATTAGCGCTAATGATTTTGTTCGTAGGTTCTAACCTACAATCTTAGCCGTCCATGCTCCAACACCTTTATCATTTGCCATGATCTCATCATAATGAACGGAAGGCGGATTTGCTTCAATCGTTGAGTCCCAGTAGGTGAAGCTACTGTTTCTCAGTGCTGAACTCATAGGATTGTTCATTCTACTTACGGATCTGCCTTCGCTTCCTTTTCCTGTACAGAAATGGGCACACTCGACTTCCTCCTATGTTTCAAGAGCCAATCCCATTTATAAGAACTGACATGTCCATCGTTGGCCCCTACTCTATCAGCACAAACTGTTCGATAAAGATATGCAGGCTACGATGCAGGACTCACATGTTATTCGTAGACCGTCCTTCTCGGTTCGTACTTCCTTTGGTTGGATATCTTGAGAAATCTATCCAAATCAACTTGAGTCCCTTGTCGCCGAAATCAAAAAACATACAGAAAAAGTATCAAAAGCTCTCTGCATAGTATCCTGATTGACACACTTCTCACAACGGCAATTGTCCCTAATTCTTTTAGTCACGTGCACCACATCCATTTTCAGAGTTCTCTGCTACCATACCTCAGCCAGAAATTCGGTCTATAGACTGTCAGTGCTATCCTGTCGGAAGAGAACTGAAGTACTTACGCTACATTGATCGACGAAGTACTCCCGGTCTCCAACTGAATCGGCACACCCCATTCTCCCCAAGTCGGCAACCCCTTCTCATCATGTCTATCCAAAGCACTTTTCTCCTGTCTCAGCACTCCGCCCACTTCATATCCTTCACCCAGCGCCCAGTGGACTTTTGAGATTTGCTTTTTACTTTCTTTGTGACCTGATTTTCTACCTGGCTCTGCGTGGGAGGACACATCCGGGGTAGTGGATGTAAATGGCGGGGGAGGACTCTTGGTGGTCGCCTTGGTGGATTCTGTTGCGATGAGGCGCCGGGAGATTCTATTTATTGGTTTATGGGCGCAGCATAGACGCTGCAGTCGTACATTCATCTTGCTTTCTGCTGTGACACTAATTTATGATGAAGCGCTTTCTTGTATGTCTGGTCCGAGGAAGCTCCAAGTCAGTCCCACTTCTCGGCTATTGGAACGCTAGTTTAGGCATACTGTGAAGTTCAGGTAACAAACAATACAAATGCCAAGGTCTTAAATAACAGTCACGCAAGGTTGAGAGAAATGAATCAAAAACAACATAGTTGATTTATCTACCTGGAAGTAGCCTATGGGAGTCTAAGTATTAAAAGTCATGCGCCTATCCTATCCAAATATGTCGCATAATATCCTGACTTCATTTATACAATCCGATCCTATCTCGATATAATCTAGAACCACTCTCCACCAACCCATCTGTTGAGGAAATCCAATGATGCCTCTGGCTGATCCATGGGAACCATGTGGCCAGCACCGAAGATCTGGAGGAAGGTGAAATTGCCGCTGTTCTTGATCTTTCCGTACTTGTCACCGTTGTCAAGCTTGATGTCCTTGATACTGGCCTTGTTGAAGTCTTTCTGTCCTGGCCACTCAAGAGCCTCGGTCCAGGCCTGGTTACCGAGCCAGTTGCAGATGAAATCAGCATCACCGGCGTAAATCAAAACTGGGATTTGCTCAAGGATGCCTGGGACGAGACGGTGGAAGGGTTGCATCCAGTCACCTTGGAAGAGGAAGTTTCGGTTGATATCGAAGTTACAGCTGTCGTAGCTGCTGACCTCAACGCCAAGCTCCTTTTGGACATCAGCCTTGTTCAAGAATTCGCTGATCCAGCCGAGAGCGGAGTAGCAAAGGTTGTTGGAATCCTCGCATTGTCCACGGATATCATAAACATTTTGGCCAGTTCTTTGGTATGGGCCAATCATAGCGTTGTTACAGTAGATGCTGGCAGGGACGCAAGACCAGACACTCTCGCTATCATAACAGGCTTGGATCATGCTTTGACAGCGGGGAAGAGCATTCTCCATAGCCTGGCACTCGCTCTCGTCGAGAACAGCTGGGTATCCACCCTTTCCGCAGGCCATTGGCTTATAGTACTCATATTGAGTAAGGCCATCGGTCAAACCATTGCCAATGAGAACAGACTTCAAGTTAATATTACGCTTCTTGTGTGCGAGAATCTCAGAGGTGAAGACTGGGATGTAGTGGCCAGCGTAAGACTCTCCGGCAATGTGGAAGTCTTGCTTCGCGTACTCGGGAAATTGCTTGAAGAACAGGGTAAGGAGAGCGTAAACGTCCTTTCCAGCAGCAATGGTGTTGCTGACGGATCCACCACTGTAGGAATAACCAACATTGACTGGTTGGTCAAGGAAGATGACTGAAGCATTGGCGTTCCAGGAGTATGGGTTGCTGTGAAGCTTGAGGTTCTTGTCGATGGAAGATGGGCCAAGTTCGAGGAACAAGCCAGTAAGAGAAGAGCATCCTGGTCCACCGTTGAGCCACAAGATTACGGGGTCGTTCTTTGGGTCATTGCGAGATTCAAAGAACCCTGAAAATCAATTAGTAGCTGTCTTGAGGAAATTGAAATATTCATTCTTACAATAAAACAGATGCTTGTCATTTTCGTCATCATCAAGATAACCACTGTACTGCTTGACGGTATCAACACCAAGCTTCGAAGGGTCAACATGCTTGGCCCGCAGCTTGTATGACTCCAGCTTTCCATCAATCTCTCTCTCCTTCTCTCCGTTGGCGTTCTCGACCCAAACGCTCTGGATATCAGAACCCTTGACAACATAGTCCCAGGTATTGTCTGGCTTCTTTGTGTGTGGCTTTGGTGCTGAGAAGAAGGATGCCTTCTCCATCTCTTCTGGGAAGTACATTGTGACCTCATCCCAGATGGCCTTTGCCTCAGCAGTCATCTCACTCATCGACTCTGCGAGATGGTTGAGGGACTTCGACCAGGCATTGGCGATTGGCTTAGCAGCATCCTTGAGAGGGTTCTGTCCCTCCAAAGGGTTCTTGAGGATCTGCTGCTGCTTCGTGATAGCTGCCGAGGCAGCGCCCAACAGGACGGTGGATGCGAGGAGCTTCATGCTGAAGTTCCGAGTAGACAGGGAGAATAGGATGCCGGATCACTATTGGGATCTTAGCAGTATTGTGGTGATGCTTGATTTCGATTCCAGATCGCCCCAAATTGATGCTTGATGGGAAGAATGGGGATGATGGATGGAGTGGAGGGAAGGTTGGGGAGGGCATGAGCTCTTGTTTCAAGCGGGCGTTGTCATGGGTACGAGCTAGCTGCTGGGGCCGACGGTTACGTATGTTCGGCGCAGGCACCAGGCCACTGACGATAAGCCATATCTAGCTTGCACGTGTGCGCCTCTGACTCGCAGAAAAGGTAAATGTGCCCGCGACTGCTTCTGACTTTGGGATGGAATTTTGGCCTATTGTTTATTTGGACAATTACCATCCAAATGAGTAATTAGCAATGAATTATATATGAACTTGCCTTTAGTAGGATCAAGTTTTTCCATGAAAGAGGGGGAGGGGTTCTTTCTCCCCACAAAAGTCTTAGCGAGGTAGTAAGTCTGATAAATACTTCAAGAAATGCCCCTCGTAGGAAGAAGTTCACAAACAAAACAAATTCATGTCGTCTTGACCTCTTCAAAATGCCTATCAACCAGCCTTCCAACCAGATTAAACTGACAAACGTGTCGCTTGTGCGCCTAAAGAAAGCCAAAAAGCGCTTCGAAATCGCCTGCTACAAGAACAAAGTCCTCGAATGGCGGTCCGGAATTGAGACAGACCTCGACAATGTCCTACAGATCAACTCCGTCTTCCTTAATGTCTCGAAAGGACAGACTGCGCCCTCAGCAGACCTGGCGAAAGCGTTCGGAGCCAAAACACCGGTGAATGATATTATTCTCGAGATCTTGAATAAGGGAGAATTGCAGGTCGGGGAGAAGGAACGTCATGCGCAGTTAGAGAGAGTACATAACGAGGTTGTGGGGATCGTGGCAAGCAAGTTGGTGGATCCGAAAACCAAGAGGGTCTATACTACTGGTATGATTGAGAAAGCTTTGGAGATGCTCAGTTCGCAAGGTTCGCAAGCCCAGAATGCTGGGAGTGGAACTGGGACACCAGCTACAGGAGAGGATGGAGAGGCGAAGCCGAAAGTTAAGGAGCATGTTTGGACTGGAGTTATTGCTACGAAGAGTGCGAAGAGTCAAGCACTGGAGGCGATGAAGGCTTTGATCGCACATCAACCCATACCTGTTGCGAGAGCGAGGATGCGACTTCGAATCACTTGTCCCACCGCCATACTCAAGCAAGCGGCAAAAGGCGCCCCCAAGCCTGCTGATGAAGAGGAAGGAGAGGAGAAGACCAAGGGAACTGTCAAGGACCGCATCTTGAGCTTTATTGAGCAAGTAGAAACTCAAGATGTCATGGGCTCGGAATGGGAGGTTACCGGCTTCGTGGAGCCTGGAGCATTTAAGGGACTTGGAGACTTCATAGGTAACGAGACCAAAGGCCAAGGACGGGTAGAGGTTCTGGATATGGCTGTCACACATGAGGATTGATCTAGTTCTTTCATCTGAACTTAGCGAGCGAACATAGAGCATGAACGGCGTTTCGGTTCTGGCCTTCCAAAATGATCACTTTCAATATCACATTTCTGCCAAATGACCTTGATTTTGATGTTCTTGAATGTTTCTTCAGTCAACTAGATGTGGTAGAATACACCCAGTTTTTGCTTCATGCTTGAAATGCAAGAAAGCCATATGCACCGCGTGAAACCGAAAAGCCACACTCCATCCAGCCAATTTATCCCATGACCCACACGCTTAACCACCCTTCTTCTTGGAGACACCGACAGTCCGACCGCGACGACCAGTGGTCTTTGAGTGTTGTCCACGGACACGGAGTCCCCAGTAGTGACGGAGACCACGATGAGCACGGATCTTCTTCAGGCGCTCCAAATCATCACGAAGCTTCGAGTCGACACCGTTGGCGAGAATTTGGGAGTCCTTGCCATCGACGATATCGCGTTGACGATTGAGGAACCAGGATGGGATCTTGTACTGGGTTGGGTTTTGAATGATGGTGACGATACGCTCGAGCTCTTCGGAGGTGAGTTCACCGGCACTGGGCTATGTTAGATATTGTAAGGGATCGATCGAAGTATAGAATCCGTACCGCTTAGTCAAATCAACGTCGGCCTTCTTGCAGACCAAGTTGGAGTAACGACGACCAACACCCTTGATCTTGGTGAGCGCGTACATGACCTTTTGCTTTCCCTCAACGTTTGTGTTCAACAAACGCAGGATCTAGAAGCTGTCAGTCCATTGTTCACATTCGTGTTGAAGTATTTGGAGGTGGAGGTCGAGATGCGGAGAGGGTATTTCGAGATATTTATCGCTCCATGCTGGACAAGGGACAGATTGGGAGGTTGCATACGTATTGGAAGTTCGACTTCTCGCCCCTGCAGATGAATATACGTTAGCTATTGCTCCAAAATCGTCGTGTAGGGCTCGAAGAGTATGGTAGAGCGTGCAAATCAACGGGTTGACCGTTTTGCGCCATTCCAACGAGCAAGGCACCGTCTCCATTCCATCTCCACTTTCCACGCCTGTCCATTCATAGAGAAATTGTAGTTATACATACGTGACGAGAGACATGATGGGCAACTGTGGTCGTTGCTCTTCCTGTCCTGAGGATTTGTCGATTGTCGTCTGGAATTGAAGACGAGATTTCGCAGAATAGAAGGAAGTGCGCACTAGCGAGAAGGCGCTAAGTAAAACACGGTTAGACCACTAGCCACCCACTAGCTTAAATTGGCCGAAGGCGGGACCTCACAAGAAATCAACATTAACTGTCAATGCATCTCAAACCCTCAAGTTGAATTGGAAATGCAATGGTCGTTGATTTTAACGTCCTCACAAGTTCAAATGACGCTGAAATGATTTCTGAGCAATAACCATATGAATTTGACAGATGTACCAATCTCCACAGCCCACCATAACTGACCAATAATTTCAACTTCGCTGCATCAAGAATTCTGAAAACATTCAAATACTGCGAAGCACCATTCACTTTTCAATCCCCGAGTGGCGATGAGAACTTATCCAAGGGTGCCTTAAAGGTAAAACATGACCTGCCAGTTGATATCAAATGTTCTGCTAACATCCAAGAACATTTAAAATCCAACCCGAGATCTTGCAAGTTGACTCGTCAGCCTCGGGAGGTCTCCCAGAAAGGAATGTTCCATTCTCTCGATATGAACAGTACGAACAAGGACGATCGTCAGATTGTAGACCTTGATAAACGATACATTTTGATCTCAAAAAGTATAGAGACATTGGAGGCCGAACCGGCAGAATAGTAGTGCACCGTTTCTGATCTCGACATATGGCAACACTCTCAGCTCGACACCTTCAAACTCGCCATCATAAACTCCTCATCAGACTTAGAGACATCTGTCAGACTATGCTAATGGCTGGCCTCGGTCGCGGAACCCTTTAGATGCCTAGCATCTCTGATCAAAGCGTTCCTGCAAAGCACAATAAATTTAGACCTCAGAAAACAATCCCGGGATTTGTCTCAACTATTTCAGGACATTTGAATGCAATGATTTTTTATGCTTGCCAATGACTTAGGTTGTTGGTCTTCTCCTCCCAGTTTCAAGTGGTCCCAAAGTGGAAGTCAAGCCACATACTCTCACGTGATAAACATCTCCAAGCCACATCGCTTAACCGCTAGCGCAAAAAGTTGCTCCCACTGGGACCAATTCTACAATTTGCGGCAGGAGCATATCACGACTTTTTCAATTTCAATCAACGACCAACGACCAACGCCAAACGTCAAGATGGTAAGTTACCCCAAAGACTCTCTCGCTCGAACCTGTTTCTACGGATTGCTTCAATCGATGTTCCTCGAGGGTCTTGCTGCATGGAATTTATGCTGGAAGAAGATAAACGGCACAGAGGCAGCGACAACGGGCATGGACGACCAGCAGCATTATGGAACTGGAGAGGAGATAGAGCTGGATCTGGAGCTGGAATGCCAGTATCGACATAGAACCTGTTATGCTAACGTATTGTGTTTGCAGGTTCGTTACGCCGCTACGGAAATCCACCCAACAAAGTCCGCTCGTGCGCGTGGAGCGTACTTGCGTGTCTCATTCAAGAACACCCGCGAGACTGCCCAGGCTATCAACGGATGGAAGTTACAGCGCGCTGTCAAGTTCCTCGAGAATGTCCAGGAGCACAAGGAGGCCGTCCCAATGAGAAGATATGCCGGAGGAACTGGTCGCGCTTCGCAGGGTAAGATACGCCCTACCCAGGACATGGAGGAGAAGATAGGGAAGAGGATTCTGCTGGGAATGTAATGTTGACATGATCTATGATGGATAGGAAAGCAATTCGGTGTTTCCCGTGCTAGATGGCCAGTAAAGTCTGCCGAGTTTTTGCTCGGTCTTCTCAAGAACGCTGAGGCAAACGCGGATACCAAGGGTCTCGATACTGGCAACCTTGTCGTCAAGCACATCCAAGTCAACCAGGCCCCAAAGCAACGTCGCCGAACATACCGTGCCCACGGTCGTGTAAGTTCTACAACTCGCTTCCGAAAGGATACTTAAGAGGGAAGCAGAGACTGACAAGTACTTCAGATCAACCCATACATGTCCAACCCATGCCACATCGAACTCATCCTGACCGAAGGCGAGGAGGTTGTCCAGAAGTCGAGTGCCGTTGAGGGTCGCGAGGCTCACTTGAGCTCGAGACAACGTGGTGTCCGAAGCCGCAAGGCCATCGCTGCTGCATAAAGGGGTTCAATTTGTTTTCGGTTTGGGCTTGGCATCATGAGGGTTTTGCGAAGGGTGTAGGGGGGAATCCTTGGAGTGAGCTGGCTTTTCTTATTAGATGGCTGTAACTTCAAAAACTTAGCTGGTCACCCTTGGCACGCAAAAACAATTCATGAACACCAGCTGTCTCTGCTTCTGTGAGGTTATTGGGATTTGGAGTCTTTAGGCTTCTGGGCGTTCAAGTATACTGTAATGCTGGTTTTCTATGCTACGTTCAAGGTGTCACACAAGCACTGATACCATACAAAATCCGAGAGAATGCCAAGAGCACTTAGATACCCCGATATGCAGATGCAGATTTTACCACAGCATCCTTCCCAACAAGTCATTCCCAAATACTATACCCTGACTCACTGTATCCTTTCACACTCTGAATACATTGATATTCCGACCCTACCAACTCCCACCCACATACACAGATCCTCCCAAATCAATCAGTAGAAATGGAAATCAACTCAGCCAGCATCTAGCGAAAAAAAAAATAGTCGAGCCAAATGGCTTATTGTCATCTCCTTAGCTGCACCATGAGGTGACCTCGACCTTAGCCCTCCCTCTACGCTCAGATGGACCTGAGAAAGAGAGTATGTATATCTGCTTATATGATGATGAGAAAAGAGCCAAGATTGACACAGTATATCTTGATTCGTCGGTATAGAATAATTAGGGAATATACCAAGAGACGTCGTGCAATGCTACTAGGTAGTCATTACAACTATCTCCCCTCCAAAACTTGCTTCACTTCCCTTACCAATAAATCCCCTTTACGTCTCCCATACCCTCCCTAGTCCAGCAGCCATAAAGACAGTCAGTCAACTTACCTCAATGACATTCCGTACAAACACCACCATCTCACAGCAGAAAGCAGAAACAACATCTACATTCACCGCCAATGTCTGTGCAATGAGAAGCTTATTCTTCATTCACTCATTCATTCATTCATTAATCAACCATCCACCGCACCGCTCCGCAGCAGAGCATGATATATAGCATTACCATCATAATATCTTCCTTCCTTCCTTCCTTCACTGAGCTCAAGCTCGAGTTCCTTTAACTCTGTCTGTTCCCTTCAGACTTCCTGCTTTCCCTCTAATCATACATACATACATATATACATACATGCATACAACGGATACGGATCCCATAAACAAGGACAGGACGTAACACTCCCGTACTTGTAGACTCGGCGGAGAAACAGCACCAGGCTAAACCAGGCCAAGTTCTTTTGGTACTAGCTAGCTAGCATTGAAGGGAAGTGAAGTGAAGCCAGCCACCGTCGACGTCGTTGCCTCATATGTTCCAAGCTCCAAGCTCCAAACTCTCAGCTTCAAGCTCAAAGTGCATAGTACAAAGTAAATGCGTGCTTTTCATAATGCTTTTCCTTTCATAAAATCATCCTTCCCTTCCCTTCCCTGTCCCCAATGAAAAGGGCCGAATCCTGCCTTCCCTTCCATAAAGACCAAATCAACGCCAAGCAGAGAACCCTCTCACTACCTATGTAGTAATGCGCCCCCAGGCCAAGTCAGAAAAAACCACGCTATGCATGCAAATAATCAAAACATAATACTTAAAACAAGGGCATAAGAAGATGATTCATGATGGATGAGGCAGAATATGCCTATAAGCCAAGCATACCTACCAACCATGCGCTGGCTGGTTTGACTCCAGAGACCAACTCCATGCAGGCTCAAAATGATTGCCTGGATGGTGGCTGAACGACCTCAATCGTGCCATCAAACCTCCCCAATCCAGCACTCATGAACCCATCAAGCACCGCGTCACTCATCAACTCCGGACGCGACAGTCTCCATCCAACGGTCATATCCCACGCATTCTCCAACGCAGCAGCCTCAGCAGGATCAATGTGATTGATGATGGCCCCTAGAGTGAATGCATCTAGTGGCTTCATCATATGCGGATCTAGTTCAGTGATTCGCTTTGTGATGGGTGCGGGATGGGGTGGTGGAGCTATCATTGGTTCGAGGGCTGTCTGATCGAAGTCAAGGGGGATGCGGACATAGCCACAGGATGTGAAGGAGAGCCTGGTAAGTTTCGAACGTACTCTTGGCCTAGGCTCAGGACCTATCTCTCTGGCATATCGGATATCTTCGAGCGTTTGGCCAGGAGTCAAGCTGTTAATGATCTCCACCCAGGAACCAGCACGGGGAGGGTCAAGCCAGTCTACATTAACAGTGTTAACTGGCGCAACCACTGGCGGGGGAAGCTGAAGCTGGTTCTGGTTATTTAAAGGACCGTTGAAACCACCCTGCATACCCTGGAGATTGACGAGCAGATTGTTCGCAGCAGCTTGACCAGCAACAACCTGGGCATTTTGCGCCATGGCAGCTGCCGTAAGCGGGTTTGGGTGCGCACTTTGTGGAACCATGGCTGTCAATGAGACGGAATCAAAGGAGATGCTCTGCAAGACTCCTTTCCTCATCGGGCCCAAGAAGCGACTGAGAATGTGAGGGCTGATCCAACAATTCTTAAGGATCAGGCGTTCGATATAAGGAAGATCCAGAACCGGATGTTGCTGAGATCTGTTCACCATATACATGGCGTTCGAGACCACTGGAGCTGCCAAGATGTGTTGATTACGAGCAAAAAGTCCCGGTGCATACTCGCCTCCGCAGAGCCACTCAAATTGAAGCTCCTTGATATGCTCTCGTCTACCGATTTGTTGTGTGAGCAAATCATAGACTGCAGTCACTGCATTCGAGGGAGGAATCCGAGTATCTTGCACCCAGCTCGTAGCTTCTTTCTTGACCTCTCGCCAATCTGGAATAATGGCTAGGGTAAGACACTTCAAGTTCGGAAGGCTGTCCCAGAAATCTTCTCGGCGGAGGATTGAGAGATGTTTGCTAGGAAGACGTGCGATGTTGAGCTTCGCAATCTCTTTGAACGTGTCATGGTTGTCCATGATAGCAATAGCCCACGATTGCATGAAAGCATTCTGGGCCCATTCCATCTCCAATAACATCTCTCTCTGGGCATTGGTAAGTTCATTTGGTTTGAGTGGAAACATCTCCTTGTGCCTTGTAGCTTTTCTGCTGCTAATAGATCCCAAAGAGTAAGAAGTTTGCTGGACATCATCATCAACATCGGCTAAATCGATGAGATCAGTATCGATATCTGCAGAATTGACGCCGACTTCACTGAGCTGCTGCCGACGAGACCTCCGCACAGAATCGATTAGTGGTGAATGGGCACTATTTGGCAAGCTACTGTTTTCAGGTGAAGCTGTCGCTGCTGCCCGCGTCTCTGCTTGCAGCATTTGTACCGCAGCATCGGCGTCATCTTGCGAAATACCTGCTTCCAGCACCATGCGTAGAAATACGCCATACTCCGACTGTGAATCCGATAGATTTGACAGTGTAATCGCTTTGACAGCTCCTCTTGGTGGTCCGACCTTGGGCTCCGGTACAAATTTTGATGCGCCAAAGACAACCGGCTTCTCCCCTCGTTCTGCTACTCTCTGGTTGATATCTGGGCCGGCAAGCCAACCTAAACCACCGTCGATCGACAAACCTAGCTCTTTCGCATCACTGATGTATTTCAAAGCCTTCGCCATAGTTCTGGTCTCATCTGCCGTCTGTTCGAGCCCTTCCAGCTGCGAATATCTGTTGTACGTCTTGAATGGCCAGCGGTAGAGACCCCAGAATGACATTATGACTTCCTGGTCAGATTTCCGAGGCGGGCTTGCCAATTTCGCGTGATCGATTTCGAAACTCATAGCAAATCTCTTGATCCATCTTCCAAAACTGTACATGTAAAGTTAGCTTTGTTTTGCAGTCTGCCTAGGATATGGTCTACATACCCTTGAAAGACCCGCATGCCCTGGTCCTGTAACATAATAGAACCTTGCGGCGTATCATTCGGCCCCGTAGTCTCTGGTGTAATTCCATATATCTCTGGCCTGAATGGTACCACCACAATTCGAAATAGAGCCTCGGACACCTTGAGGTCAAACTCCTTGTTGATGAGGCGCATATTCTGGACTCCAGAGCGTGGGAGGTATGAGACGATCAAGGTGAAGAGTTCGACTGGAAGCTGGTTTGGTGGCCATACTGGACCTTTTGGTTCCGGCTTTGCTACCAGCTCATATGGTGCTGAGAAGTAGTCAATTCTCTCTGGTGCGGGTCTCCTTAGGGGTGTACTCATTGCGAAGGAGTGAGTGCCTTTAGTTCTGCGGCGCTTGGAGGGAGAAGGAGAGTCGTCGGACATCGTCGTACTAGGTATTTGGCCGAGTTATTTTGGTCGCAATAAAGGGGAATCGCATAAAGGTGAACTCGTTGTAATAGAGGGGTCCCGGTTTGACGACCAAATCTTTCCCAGTGTCGTTGCCGACGTATATTCTAATATCGCAAGGCCACGCGGAGTCCGACCAGCCAGATGAAACAGAGGTATTACCAAATGTGAATCGAAGTGTATGCCGAGGCTCTGAATATCAAAAACCAACCCTACAGAGACCTGGGGTCGGATGTCGGGTGAGGCTGCCTCTCTGCAGCCCTTTTTTAGAAGCGCTAGGGAAGTGCAGATCGCGGGGCTTGGCAGAAGGTGGGATGCGCGGGGCAGAGTTCACGTGAAAATTAACCTTAAATCGACAAGTACAACATGAAGTCGAATTTGTTTCCAGAACATGCTTCGAGGTGGAAGATTGAGTTGACGAAGAATGAGAACGGTAACAGTAGTACGGGTTTGTGCCATTCGTTCGCGTTTTCCTGGTTGTATCTGTTTGCGTGTTGATTCAACACAATCAATATAGGTGGAAGTAAGTGAAACCAAGGAAGGTGCGGTGGGAAGTGCTGATACTAGGATTGCTTGTCTGTAGTAATTGTAGTTAAAATGATAATTGAACGGCTATTCTACCAGTAGATTTTGAGTTGGGTAGACAGGTATTCATTTATTTCGGCTGATCACTTGTGTAACCTAGAGTCAACTACCGACATGTCTTCGGCATATCCCAAATAGGAAATTCAGAACTAGTCGGCAACCTTTTCATGTTGGTGCAGCATTCCATCAACTATTACGTGATAACACGAGTGTATAACTCAATTCTGCCAGAGAAATGCCATGTCATTATCTTATCAGGCGACTTCCACTTCTAATATTCAAGAGGTGCCTTGGTGTAAGGTATTGACTATTGCTCTATTCGCTTCTGAGGATCCCGAGTGCTATCTAATAAAAGTCGGTGTTCTTTTATCTATAGCGTCAACTGTCGTGCTTATGAATACAGTCGACGTTTTTACGCAATCTCAAGACATAGAAAAGGGTCTTACGATTGAGGATCCAGGCCAGATACTACGCATCTCTCAAAGCAAACTTGGATTATGAACACTATGGCTTCTAGATAATCAACACATTCTATTCAAAACTCAAAACGTAAGTCACCAAACAATGCCACAGTAGAAACTCTTGAATCGCTCAAATAAAACGCTACGCTACATGAAAGCGCCCCGAACGCCATCTCTAACCGTCTCTGGTATTGTAAGGTATTCTCCATCTATACGCCATCTCTATACGCCCCCAGTTTGCAAGTAATGTCATCATGAACATGGAAAGCGTAGCTCGAAAACAGACAAGCAGAATTCCTCCCCAAAATATAACACAGTCTAATAATGTTGATCATCTCATCGCTCGAATCATCACTCCTCCATCAGACTTTCTCAACTCGTCTTCCGAGCATCTCCATGTTAGCATCCGCCGTGCACCGTGGTATTTTTGGTCGAGTACCTTCGGATTCTGCGGAGCCAAAGCTGGGGGCTCGTGATATTTCCGAGGCGTTTCGCTTCAGTGATGGTGACCACGCCGTGATGATATCGCCTGCGGCGGGACGACTCGTGTCTGGATCATGGGCTTCAGCCTCGAGAGAAGGGCCGTCGAGTAATGGGTCATATGTCCATGAAGCTTCGAGTCCAGGCTTGAAGGGAGTGACGTCTCTCAGCTCCGCCCATGAGATTGTGTCGTGGGCCATGGCGATGTACAAGTCGAGGATCTTGCCGCTTTCATCGTTGACGGCGCAGTTTTGTTGCAGGAATTCGGCGTCGTAGCTGCTTCCGATCAAGTAGTCGTCAAGTTGGCGGAGCATTGGAAGGCCTCTCAGGTTCTTTGCATCACATAGTCTGGCAACAAGTGGGTGCCAGGGACGCCCGTGAATGATTTCCCCGAAAGTCTCGTCGACGGCATTTTTGAAAGAAAGACTGTCGGTATCTGGAACTACGAGGACTTGATGAAGACCTGCGGGATGTAAGCATTATGGTTTGATGATAAAGTCGAAGGATCGCAGTTGGATGAAGAAAGAAAATCACGAGTTCTCGTACCTCTAGAAAGACAGCGTTTGTACGCAGCAGTATCCTTCTCAAACGGAAATGGTTGTGCTGAAGTAGGAAGAAGCGACACATGAACTGTCCAGGACTGAGAACCGGATCCAACAGAAGACACCCTCTCACGGAACGATCGAATACGTGATGCCTCGTCGGCCATCACGAGATGTAAAGGGAAGCGAGACTCTCGTAGTGTTGGACTAGGACTGATATCAGACTCCTCGGACTTGGCAGAGTATTCCGTGTTATTTTCCATGCTCAAAGAAGGCGGTGTCGAAGCCTTCCTCCGTCGACTGACCATGGTGGTATCAAGCGATGTTGACTTTTCCAGAGCGTCGACCTTATCCTCAAGCCGCATGGATGCATCGTCCATTTCTTCCAGGTGGTTTCGAATTTCTTGTACACCATCCTCCAGAGCTTCGATATGGTCCTCGTAATATGGCGTTCGTTTGTTCAAAGTTCCTATCTGATGGAATAAGCTGCTCTGAGCTCGGTAGACGCTCTTGAACTCTGTCTCAGTTTCTCCTCTGGTCCTATCCACAAGCTCTTCCAAGCGACCGAGGCGATCCACGAGGCCACCTCTTTCACCGCTTCTCTCCCTGTCCAGTTCCTCCTCGAGCATATCGATCTTCTTCCTCAAAGCTTCCAACTCCCGCCGTCCGACCGATGCACACTCCTTCTCAGAGATATGATAACATGCTTGATGTCCACAATCGCAAGTACTTCCTGCAGGAATTGCTCGACTCAAGGCAAAACCCACACAGGCACAACGCAGTCCTTTGACCTCTGGGTGCAACATAATGTAGCGACAGCCTCCTTGTGGCAGATCTGAGTCGTTGGCTCTGGCCTTCTCACGACGCGGAGGAGAGAACATGCTGCTCATGGTAGCCAGTTTTTCCGAATCGATGGCTCCAAAGGGCAATGGAATACATGAAGGGTCAATCGGTAGGGACTGGGAAGTTTTAGGTGGTCGTAAGTGTTGAAGAGTTTTGCTGGGGAGTGGATCTCTGATAAATGCAGATTGGGGACCTTGGGTACCTAGGTATGGGGGGTGGGATGTGGTGGGGGTCGGCACACCCAGACGCGCCGTAGCCAAACTCTAAGAAATGGGACCGGAGCGGGTTCCTGGAGTTTAGGATCTGGGTGTCAAGGGACAGCCTGTTGGGCCTTTCTCTGGGACTTGTTCTCGTATCTCTGTCTCTCAGCTAGGAGGAGGGGGAGAAGTGAGTGGTGGCTGGCATCGAGGATAGGACTGGCAGCGAGCGAGTCGAATACTTTACAAGAGGGCGGGTAGGAGAAGGGTTTTGGCGGGAGCAAGGCTCGCGCTGGCCGATATGGTACATGGCGTGCAACGGGGGTGGAAAGAGGTGCGGGCGATGTTTAAGGTCTTGATGCAAGTTTATCAGTAAAAGAGGTGTGAGAGGAGGGATGGGAGGTATGGGACAGGGTGTCTGCGCTGTGGTGGTGGAGCGGTATCGAGGATGGAGCTGGTGTGTGAGGATGAGAGCGTGGAGGTGGAGCGGATCACCTACGAAGGTACTCGCACTTCTGCAGCAACAGCAGCAGCAGCTCCACTGCTGCCCACCCAAGTAAAGCCTGAGTCGTTCTCCATTATTGCCCTGCCCTGCCCTGCCCTGCCCTGCCCTGCCCTCGTCTGGCAGCAAAAAGCAACACCGTGCTGGATCTCTGGGCTTGGGTTGGTGGAATGCCGCCCTGTGGTTTGCCAGAGATAAGAGATCAGGGGTGGCAAGGGTGGGAGTAAGAGGAAGAGGAAGAGGAAGAGGAAGAGGAAGAGGAAGAGGAAGAGGAAGAGGAAGAGGAAGAGGAAGAGGACGAGCTGGTGTGGCACGATGGCGCGATGGCACAACTCAGTCAGGGGACTGCCGGCGGCACATTCCCGCAGTATATCGCAGCCCAGTGGCCGTACTTTGCAGTATGACTGCACCTGCACTACACATTTCCTGCATCCGCTCGCACGTTGGAACCACAGCCCAAATAATTCCACCGCCTGTCCTCTACTAGAGCGATTCTCGTACCGCTGTTCCATATACTTGCCTCCAAGTCCCTTATCATAAGAGATGACTGTGTCGAAACATATGCAGTGTGTTCCAGCATGCTAATCATACCACCAGCCAGTCCCGTCCCGCCTGCAGACTGTGTTTGTTGGAGCCCCGTTCCATTGCAGCAGTAGGCATGTGAAGATGTACCCTTCCAATCGATTGTGCAATTCTTGGTTCGAAAGGTACAAGGTACATGCCCAACTACCTCCGTACGTATGGAATCTCCCGTTCCCGTGTACAGGCACGTCGTACAGTCAACCTCTCAAAAGTGCTCACGTCAAGAGGCTGTACCGGAGCGGCCGTCCCCAAGCAAGTTCGTTGCAAAATCTATGACTAGTGATCGCCGGGATCTAGAGAAAAAGGAACATCGTGGCATGTCATATCTGCCTACATGCCTGGATGACCTGGCAAGCATCCATCACCTTCGCAGCTTCGGTACTAGCGGTGGTAGTGGGAACGGGACGATCCGCAGCGTAGCCTGGGGCTTGGTTCCTGGGGCTGACTACCTACGACTACTTCCAAAAGCTCCACTCGAACATCATCGACTCCAAACCACTACTAATAAGGTACTGTATCTGTTTCCAGCCGTCATGTTCGTCACCATTTCACCAAGTATGTCAACTTTGAGTAACGAAAGCCCCCACGCCAACGGGAAAGTGCTCAGACATTGTCCCAGTCGAGAAGGTCGTCAAACTCCTCCCACACGCGAAAGAGATGAATATCTCACGAAGCAGCCTCTTGCAAGCATCTTCCTTTTTCTGTATTGAAATCCAACGACAGAATCAGAAAGGCAAGGTGGGGGGCCTCACGAAATGCAAAAATGCAATGCCATGAATAGTTGGTTGGGAAATGCAGCTAACCTTCCAGCTCAGACACAGCCATACCAATTGCCAAAGAGAGTGAGTGGTTCTGGTGAAAATTGCCTTTTCATCGCCGCTGGCGCTAGTTAATTGCCACGAGATGAGCTCTGTTCTAGAAACCCGTTCTGATCGGCGATTCGTCCCATCTTCGCATCGTCAATTTGATGCTTCTCATAGGATCGTCCGGGATCTCCATCCAGCCTCATCTGAAAGTGACAGAATTGAAGTGGAAAATGATATCTTGACATGTGGTACAATTGTGTTCATAGCAGGATGCTTATCTTTGCTATGCAAGTAATACAATACTTCGGTACCTTCTTGTCGGTGAGACTGTGGTACAGGCATGTTCCCTACTATCAGATTGGAAGTCCCGATTCGTCCCTGGACACAAAAGTCCGTGCTATGTGATTGGGTAGGGTCGTACAAACAATCATCTCCTGCAGCAATCTGCAACACTGCAAGATAAGTATGGCGCCACATCTAAAGGGAAACGCTGGAAGAAGTCGCAATGCTAGAATCAATGAACACAAATAGTCGCATGAAAAGATAAAGGAGCATACGCATGAGGATAGCAGGCATATCCTCAAGGTCGGGGAATCACGGACGGCTCACCCATACTCCGTAGACATCCCGGCTGTCAAAGTTGATCCGAAACTTGGCATGTGAATTTGGAATTGGGCCGTCACAGTCCCGAGACAGGGCAAGCAGAAATAGACAGACAGGAAAGAAGATTAGAGCATTTCACATGTGCCCAAGCATTCTCTTACCGACACTCTGGCGCAAACATGCTCCCGCCTTGCGCGAGCAAGTAACGGTTTGGCAGCGGGCCTATCAGACCAGGCTTGAGCCCTGCATGAGTGCAATCGGGCTCACGAATCACGCAACGTGCGCGGTTGTCACCATAGCATTAAATAATGCATCTGCAGCGTATGGGAACGCGTCGCCGAGCTTCGCCATCCCATCACAACGCTCTTTCTAATTATCCGTCATGGCAAGAAGATGATCCGGGTGACACCCTGCCTATGGAAGGCTGGGGCGCCCTCTCTCCTGGCTGTTGTTGAGAGCAAGCACCCCGAGAACGAAACAAAAGTGAGTAAGGCCGAAAAATACAGCCATATCTCTATCTCACCCCACGGGAGGCGAAGCTAGTATGACAAAATTGACAAGAGGCCTGGTCTATCTCCCGCGGGGTGGCACAAGACAGTCAATTACCTTCTGTCATCCTTTGCTTTTTGTCGCGGAACAGGAACAGCTTTCCGGGAGGGAGGCAAGGAGGCCAAGATTCAAAGTCACTCGTACAAGACCAGCCAAGAAATGAAATGATCAAGAGATAAGGGCGAAAAAGGTTGTGCAGGAGAAACACACGAAACAGAAGTGAGATAGCTGAAGTGGATAGGTGGTCGAGAAGTCGTCCGAATATCAAATACCAGCTGGCCCAGTCAACCGCCACGTCTAGATGCAGCTTCAACGTGATCGATGTCCAACGGGCGGCAGTGTCTGAATAAAAGGGGGGCGTTTCCGGAAGACACTTCCACTCGTCTCCGGTTGCCCTGTCCCTGGCGGGTTATCTGGACCCCTTGAAAGCTGTTAGGTTGATCTTCACTTATCAGTGCCGTTCTAAGACCGCTGGGTGGCTGTTGCGCACTCAAATGATTCCGAATCGGGCCTTCGTGTAACCGACTCAGATAAGAGCCTGGCCTGCCTTGCTTATGTGCTCGCTGAGATGCATCTGGGTCTGGTGGAAGTCTCAGCTCAAAAAGCCAGGTTCGGATTTCATCTCCCAGAAAGTGGTGACAGCGATGAAAATGTGCGACATGGCTGGTCTGAGGTCACGATAGGTAATGATATTAGCAGGGATCGGATTCTGGATGGATCCTCCCCCACGTTTGCGCTGCGATTTTGCGTAATTTTCGGACTGGACCTTCCGCCCAGCTTCTTTGAGGTCTTGGAGCCATGGGAGGAATAATTCGTACGCATGTTGCTGCCGCGAGGTGACGGCCAATGTACTTGTTGCAATGGGACATTTGATGAATTGATTCGGCCCAAAGCCTCGTCGTCCAAAACGCGAACGACGAACGCCATCCGGGATATCTCCACGTGACCGATACAGCTGGATTGTCTTGACCTCGAAGCTCTATCGATGCTATCACGCAGTTGTTCCCAGTCGGCTAGCCAAGATGGTTGATCTTTGCAATCTCTGCTGTTAAACCCAGATTTTCGACGGTTTCTCATGCTTCGAGTCATGTGATATCCATTTCTGTGCCGCCCCATCCAAGCTTTTCTGTGAACGGCGAGGACCTGCATGAACAGCTCAACATGTGCTGGTAGATTTGGAGTCTCGAGCCGCGGTAGCTTCTCCGGCTCGTCCTATTCGACATCAAATTCTGAGCTTAGACACTGGACGGGGCCAAAGTGAGCAGACTGCTTCGAACTTTATGCAACTTTTTCATCGAGTCACCTTTCGTTAATCAACGACGAGGTTTGACTGCAGGAGGCCCACTATTCAGAGTCATCATTCGAAGAGGATCCTTCGCTTGAGGATATTTCTCTCGCTTGCAAGGCTGGAGAAGCTGCAGAATGTGCAAGTTGCATGGGGCAACCAAAAGATTGGATCAGAAACCACAGCTTGGAGAATGAGGCACACCAAACAGAAGACGAGAGGATATTCACATTTTCCCATTTGCTTGAGCAAGCTTCAAGCGAGGCCCCGCGTTCCAGTCATCCTCATGCAGGTCAGGTCAAAGCTGCTCGTGATCCAGACTGCTCTATTGTGTTGATTGGATCACCTCGCTGGTTGCACTAGACGCGGGGCGACCTTCCACGGCGCTTAAGCAAGAACCATTGTGAACTTAAATCCCACGAAGTCCTCAACCTTAACTTTGCTCGAAGTCAAAGACTGCAAGCCTCATTTCCTCTTCTCTTTCACGGTCATTCTGGAGTTCTCTATTATATGCTGCATTTGCTGTTCTCGCCCTGTTGCATCTGTTCCATCCTGCTTTTCGCCCACATATCTCAACCAGCAAGGCTGCGAGACTACCAACTCCCGCTGCCAATTCAGATTCATATGCCTCTCAAGTACACATCGTCTCAGTTTGTAATCGACGCTCAAAATGGGTGAATTCCATGGAGCGGTCTCGTCTCTTTTAGACGCTTTTGCTCGTGGAATTGGAATTATTAAGGCTCAGAGGAAGAGGAGAAAGAATGGTCATATACCTATTGATCAGTCGAGTAAGACTGCGGAAACACAATTGAGCAAGTCTTTGAAGAAGAGTCGGACAGAAGTCAAGAATGCTTACGGGAAGGACTTGAATCGATATGGACCTGGGTTTGCGGAAGGCGATGGTAAGCATTCATCAATTGCACAACGCTCAGCCTTGTCACATTTCATATCAGATCATTTGATTCCGAGAAAAGAGATGTTCGCTTTAATATGCATGGTCAACAAGTGCATAGCCATCATATCTGCAAATGTCAATTTCGTGGAGAGGGTTTTTGTCTACATCCAACAAGTCACATGGATCACGTTACTAACTTATCCCAGCCGAAGCTCGCTCCTCCCTCCAAGCAATCATGTTCCGTCTCAATGCCGGCTTCGTCTCCGTAATCGAGCGCTTCACTAAAGGTCGCTCTAGTCCAACAGACTACCAAGTGCTCCTCAACCTCTCCAACTCCTCTCGGTTGGAAGCCATTACCACTTTCCAACAACTCTCCTACCGTCTCTCTCGTTCCTCCCTCGCTCTCCCGCTCAGTCCCCATAGGACAGGCCACAAAGCTTCAGCCACTCACCGTCGTAAACAGAAAAGCGTCACTTCATCGTTAGGGCACTCGAAGCGTCCTCATACCCGCTCGAAAAGTGCTCCCGAGTTATCTATTTCTAGCACGCCTCTTGGGCCAGCGACACCAGAGGGATGGATCCGTCCCAAAGCTAGCAGGAAGTCATCCACAGATTCAAGATCCTCTGGATCCTCAACTCCCAAACAGCGAAGCTCTCCTAAGCCTCTCGCTCTCCCAGCACCGCCCGCAATTCCCCGTCCTGCTTCAGCAACCCGCAGGTCACCACCGCCACCTCCTTACCAATCTCAACTTTCTTCCCCCAGCTCCATCCCAGAAGCATTTATACCTGATCTGTCACCGCCACCTGTGCAGAGACTGCAAGTCCGAGTATCCAAAGCTGATAAGCGCAAATCGTTCATGTCGTTCGCGTCAGATAGCACGAAGCTGGGTGAGATTCCCGAGCATAGATGGGGAAGGAATGCGATTCCACAGGGTGGACAGTTTCCTATTACGCCTTATTATCCGGTACAAATGTATCAGGAGCCCCAGAAGCCGAGGTCGAGGTTTATGAGACTGTTTAGAAGGTAGATTAAATGGAGAAGACTGGTGGGATGGTGCGTTGTGAATCTTTGGTTCTGAGGTTTGATTTTGGGGTTTTGAGTATTGAGCTTTGGGTTTTGGGTTCGTGCTTGGATTGAGCGATTGAGTGAGTGGGTCTGGATTGTTTTGTTGCTTGTTTTGTTTGCATGTATGGAGTTGGAACATGGGTATACCTGGTACTGAATGATTTATGAGTTATGATCTATGAATATGGATATGGGTGGAAAAGTTTTGTATTTCGAGACAACATAGGGCAACAATGCACAGAAATTTGCCTCTGTTCCTGTCGTGAAAGTTTGGTGCAGCTCTTCACTCGACCTCAAAAACTCGAAGAGGTTTGATCATGTCGGAAGGCTGTATGTGGGGGCGGCACTTTGCAGTCCAGCCACTGAACCTCAGCGAGGTCACATTTGATGCAGTTACATCCAAGTATTTATGGCGAGCGCATAGTGTGTTTAAGAAAACTGTCTCTGCACTAGCATTCGCTGCACCCTATACTCGTGTGGGTTCGGTTTGGGTTAACATGGGCGAGTAGAATCCACATCCCAACTTCAAGCTCGATCACTATCGTCAAGACGTCTTCAAGACTCCTTGAAGACCATTCTCTAATCTACAGAGAATAACACTGCAGGTGTCGTGGAGCCATCTGTGGTTTAAATATTAAGGGCTTCTCAAGTCTTGACGGAGACCTCGACTGGCTTCTCGGCGGTCGGGGTTTTGTGCGGTTATCCCAGCCAAAATATATAACTGCCGATGATCTCACATCGAGCTCGTTCTCTTCATTGAGTGTCCAAGTTTCTTCGGGATTTCGTAAAGAGTATTATATTTGCAGCAGATCAGAGAGGGTGAAGTCTTGGGTTCGTCAACTTGTCAGACAAATTGTCAATACTGGCGAAATCTCCTGATGAACAGTCTTGACGGGTATATGGGACTCTGCAAAATAGAGCGAAGCACCCAACTCCACCACTCGATGGGGAAGGGTGAAAAGGTCGTGAAGTCTCGTTACAGTATTGGAGCCAACATCTTCGGAGAGCACGCTCAGTCATACTCATTTCTGGGATGGATTCCTCGAAACTGATAGCATATAAGTCAAAGTAGGAAGTCACCTCAAAGCCTACGGTGATCACTTCGGCTGAGTATTTGGAAGTGATGCCAAGAAACGAAGTCCTCAACACCATGGCCAGCCTGCGTTGAGGTGATGAGGCATACCAAGCCCTCCCCATCAGCCTGTACAGAATCTTGTCGACACGTCGTTAAAATAGCCTGAACTCTAAAATTTGGCTTCTAATCATGGTCCTGGTGACGTATTTAGTACCAACTTTCTCGAACAAATATGAGGTCAATCGAGAGCATTAGGCTTATCGCGGGCACGCCAGCGACAACGACCTTATATTTAACTGTCGTTACTTCTCTCTATCCAATCATCGATATCATTTCGCTCACACGTTTGAAGATTGCAATACTAAGACAGCATAGTGTTCTACAATTCTGTAACAACTGCGCCAACCACAACATGGACCCCATCACGATGTCACATGAATATATCAGGAAGTCCAGAAAGTCCAAAAACTATTCCTTGATCGATTTTGTCGCACTAGAATTGGCCTTGATCTTAGATACAATTACTACGAGCAGTCATTGCGCTCGGCTGACCATCCGTTCACCTTTGTTGACATCTCTTGGGCTCCTCAAAGCAAACCTCAACCTCTTATCACTCACCACCACGCATGATTCGAAGTTCTGTTGCTACACTGAAGCCTCTCATAATCATCCAAATGCTCCTAAAGAGCTTGATTGCACAAAATTCTCATCAAACCCCGAATCTGGAGAAATGCAACCCAAAAAGTCCTACCCGCTCTAAGCGAGCTTCTTTTTGAAGGTTTTTGGCTGAGAACAATAGGATCTCCACGTCATCTGCCCCCATACGGACCCACGTCCATTTCACAATATCAGGACTCACAATAGGAGCACAACGCAATGGCAAGATGGCTGCGAGAACTTCTCGTCGCCAGCTGCTGGACAGCATTGGGCTACAAAAGAAGATTTCTCCCTCCTCCCTCCTCCCTTCTTCCTTTCTTCAATTCTTCCTGTCGTTTGTTCTTTCAAAGCTTCAAAGACACACACAAACACAAATAAAACATCTTCCCTCATTCCTCAAACACATTCTCACAATGTCTTCAATGTACACCAATCCTTACGAGTGGACTTCCCGCAAGCAGTACTCTGACAAGTCCCTTACCCGAACTGGGGAGATTCGTGCTTTCCAGGAGCTTTATGGATACTATCCTCCTCCCGATGCCCGTCTTCCTTCCATCGAGCAAGATGATGAGTTCATTCCCTGCTCCAAGTCCTGCCCGATTTCACTTGAGGACGATGATGAGATGGATATCAGGCTTGGGGAAGATGATCTCCCACTCGCTGTTGTTCACAAGTACTATGTTATGAATGGTATCGCTCGGAAGGCCCCATCCGGTAAATCTCTCCCCTTCCAGCCTCAAAAGTGCTTATTGACATGATTCTAGCTATCACTACCGTCAATGAGCATTCAAAGGAGAGAATCTCATCTCCTCCTCGCTATCACCCAAGCTTGAGCGGAAAGTTCTTGGTTTCTGGTCCCCCTCCACCACGTCACTTACGTCCTTCAGCCGATGGCAAGTCATCAAAGCCCAAGGCAGTCAAGCCTAAGGCGATCAAGCGAAAATCGACCAAGCCGAAGTCTTCTCCAATTAAGCCAAAGTCGTCAAGTTCGTCATTTGCAAGCAACAAGCGCTCCTACATTGAGTCTGATGATGAGGAGGATTTCATTCATGAGTCTTCTTACTCCAAGAACAAGAGAGCTCGTACTGAAGATTCTTACGATGGTGATGATGAAGATTTTGTCGTTGATCGTCCATTCAAGCCAGCCACTCAACCAAACAAGGCCAAGAAGGTCAAGAAGGCTCGCACTTACGCTAAGAAGGTTCATCCAACAACTTCTGGAAAGCAACCAATCACTGCTTCAAAGCGTCCGTCTGAACTCATTCGACCTGCCCTCAGATCTCTTCCACCTTGCCCTGATATCCAGAACATCACCAGCAAGAAGGGTGCCAAATGGGTTCAGTATGAGCATGATGCCCTCTACTTCCTCGTCGTCCAGCAACGAAACAAGGAAGTCACTGGAGATCTCAATATCAAGCCTTTGATGGACATGAATCTCTTCAGTGTCATGGCTGAACAACTCCAGTCCTTTAACATCTTTCGCACTGAAGGCGCTGCCCGTAACTACTGGAACAGGTATGGTCGTGAGAAGGCTCAGTGGGATGAGCGTATTGACACCTGGGAGGGTCGCAATTTGGTCACTTGTTCTCAAGAGAGCAAGGCCAACAACTCTGCTTAGGTGGGTTTCGGCGGTGGCTTTACATTTTGATGGAACTTGGTTGTTTCTGGAGTTGGTGGTTGGCGATTGTATATTATCTTCTTTCCTTGGACAGCTTTTTGTTTCTTGAGATCCAAATTTGTCATGGAGTTGGTGGATGTATCATACTCTTCTCATGTGTTTCTTCGATCGGAGTTCCAGAATGGTGGTCATGGCGTTGGTGGTTTGCGAATATCTCCTGGTTCTTCTCTATTCGTGGCGTGTACTTCCAGTCTTCGAGACTCAAAATTGGTGGACATGTATACTTGGTGGCCTCGCGGCATTTGTGTATCAGTGTTTCGGTCTGGTTTGGTTTTATGGCGTCTCCGTCTCGTCAACGAGAGTGACTTGAAGCATCAACTTTCATGATGCGTATTCTGACACACGGAAGGACCTGGTGTGCTTCTTTTCATCCAATACGTATCTCCACACTGTCTGTCTTGAAACAAAAGATTCGGCTTTACAATGGAATCTTTTCTCAATGGTCAGTACTTTCTTGCAATGTGATAAACTAGATCCTAAATCGTGTGACCCAGGTGATTGATTTCTTAAATCAGAGAATTTGCGGCTAACGTCTGAATTGATTCCTGTACTTTTCTAGAATTCTCCAGGTTAATGTTGTTGCGGTGAACCATTATGTTACATAAGTTTGGCAAGTCCTGGAAGGTGGCAAGCTCGAAGTAAACACGACCTGCATGCATTAACCGAGACAGTTCACTACTTGGGTACCTAGCTAGCTAGGCATGTTCCTAACGGTACCAATTTCCTTGACTTGGAAATTTCATAGAAACTTCTCCAAATCTAGACTTTCACCATCATAATATATAAGATCGAACATGTCGCGTTGGAAAATTTTCAAGCCCTGTTATCTAGCACGTCTGTCCTGCAAAACACACTACGGTAGTACGCTAGAGTGTCCCCCGGCTTTCTCGACGCCAAGGTTGCTTGGTTGCACCACAGTGCAGGAAGCTTCATCACAGCCTCATCATTCCCAACTCCACCACTACTTCTCCGACTCCAAAGACTCTTAATTCGGATTTGACACTTCATGATTGTGGATTGAAGTGACGCGCTCTTTCCATACTTGCTTTTCACTTGGTCATTCACTAATTTCCCCCATTCTTTTATTACTTGAATTCAACGCCAGGAGTACTTAATAAACTGGACAGCTCACAGCAACCACCACAGCAACACCAAATCAACTCCCATACACCTTCAGAATGTCTACACTCGACATGGATATTGAGATGGACATCGACATGGGGTTGACCGACGACCTGGGTATCCCAGACGTCGAGATTCTTCCAGATACTACGTCCTTCGTGCGCTCCAACCCACCTCAACATCATTTGCGCAAAGCTGACATATTGCACAGTCTGGTCTGCAAGAGCCTCAACCAATATTGAATACCCCCAACGATACCTCCGATTCGAACGCCCACGAACTCGCTCCCCACAAGGTTCATCTTCGCGGTTTGGATAATCTCACAACCAAAGACATCCGAGCCTTTGCAACCGAGTACTACACAGAGCAGCGACCTGTACACGTCGAGTGGATTGATGATACATCGGCAAACCTAATCTACGATACTGAGGATACTGCGAAGGCGGCGCTGGTGGCATTTTCTTCGGTCGAGATCAAGGATGTCTCGCAGATTCCGCTTCTGCAGACCATTCCTGCCAAGGCCTTTCCTCAGCACCCCGATACACGTCTAGAAGTCAGATTGGCTGTGGTTGGAGATCGTAAGCAAGCTGGCGCTCGAGAGCGAAGTCGATTCTATCTCTTCAATCCCGAGTATGATCCGGCGGAGCGTCGCAAGCGGAACACCAGAGGACCAAGAACTTATCGAGACCGTGACGATGGAGGATATCGGAGCCAGCGCTACGATGACGAGGAGCAACAAAATAGAGAGCGCAATGCTGATTTTGACGCTTCTCTGTACGATGATGACGAGGCTTCAAGGGCACAGCGTTCGGGTGGAAACCACAATCGCAATAATTCATCCTCCAGCGGCGAGTCGCGACGGCCACGGGCCCCAAGACGCGAGAGAGAGCTATTTCCTGAGCGCGAGGCTCGAGGTAGTGGGCGGCTGAGAAATAGAAGTGCATCTCCACTCCGTGACAGAGATGGAAACCAGGACTTGGTCGAGGATCGGATCGTAGAGAGAAGACGCCGTCAAGCTGCAGCCGCTGAAGCCAATCGACAGGCAGCACAAGCTATCAAGGCGAAGTCGAGAGACCCAGCTGCCCCGAAAGAGCTCTTCCCATCAAAGTCCAGCCCTGGCCATCGTCGTTCCTATGCTCTGGATGCTTCTGACCCGGCCGACAATACCGCCGACCTCTTCGCCAGAATACCAATACCCCTCACCGATGGCAGTGCAGATAGTCGCCCACGAGGCGAATCACTTGCTTCGAGAATCACTGGAAAGGCCTCTGAGGCTGAAACCTCGGGTTTTAGCATTCGTGGAACGGCAATGGCACCTCCTTCGCAAGTATTCAACATCAAAGGTGCAGCTCGTGTCAAGGAGTTGTTTCCTGCTACTTTGGGCGACAACAGTGGTAAAGAGCTCTTTTCCGAGCGTTTGGAAGGCAGAGGTCGACGAAGACAAAAGGCGGAGGATCTCTTCCATTGAGCGGATGGCTCTACAGTACATAGAGGACTTCCTTCACTCAACAACTCAATCGAGGCAATCACAGTCTATTCTACCACTTTACTCTACTCCACTCCCGTGGGATCTCAAAGGGATATGTAAGATTAGGGCACTTGAGAGCGAGCCACAATACAATGGCCTTGCACATTGCGGCAGGCAACACGGAGGATCGATAGAGCCCCGCAGGGTGTGTTAAGGCCTATTCCTTATTGTCTCTGCTTTTCGACGACATTTGAAACGGGCTGAAAGGACTGGCGGTCAATGCCCTCCTTCTGCCAGTGGTTTCTGGTAGCAGCTTGACAGGACTTGGTCATCTATGACCTTGGCGCCCAGAGCTTTCTCTCACGATAGAACTATTGCCACTGCTAGGTCAGAAAAGTGATCTCTGCAGCCACTTCTGCTCATGTACAGAGCACTACGGCTTGAAATGGCAGAAGTTGCGAGCATATTCGAAAATAAAGCAATGATTTCTTTGGATTTTAGTCTATTTTCATGATTATCCAGGTTGATTTTGATTTCCAAGTCATCACTTTTGCTAGCTTTGATTCAATATTGACCTTGCAAGTAAACAGACGACATCAATTAGTCCCAAAATCGTAGCCTCGCTTGTAAAATCTTACCATGTCCGGTCAACATCAGAAGACTCCCACCAACGCGCCTGCCTTCTTTATCTCGCTCATCTCCTTCACACTGTCAACGTGTGCATCTGCTTTCCACATCAACAACCTACAACACCATGGCAGACTGGTTGAGACCCGTTTTTGGACGCAGAGCACAAAGTTCATCAGTCGGCGAACGCCCAAGCAGCTTTTCCGTCGATGAAAGCGTCGTCGACAGCGAAGATGGCAATGTCTCAACTCCAATACCACGCCTTCGACCTACCTCACGCGTTTCGTCGTATATTGGTATGCGGCCTCCGACACCACCAATTCCCCAGACACCTGATACCTATTTCAGCCTCAAGGATCCTGAGAGCATCTACCGTACGTGCATTTTGCTTTCTTAGAACAATTGTACTTACCCTCATTTCAACGTATGTTTGCTTACCAGTCCTATAGATGAGCCTTCAAGAGATCAGATGGCAGAGATGCTGAAAGTTGTCATGATGAACCAAAGCTCAACCACATCTGTCCCTGTCGAGTACAATAGCTGCATATTGCACGTCCTAGAAGCTTATAATGAACTCCGAATAGAGTTGCGGCTGAGAGAAGAAACTATCGAGGAGCTAAAGCACACCCACACCAAAGATATCAAGGATTTTGAGATGCTGGCTACGCAATGGGAGACTAAGGAGAAAGATTACAAAGCCGAAATGAAGAAATTGGAGATCCTTCTGAGCAAGACGGATGGTGGACTGGAGCAGGTCAGTCTCGCCAGGAGTAAGAGTACAGTTCATGGCGCGCAGAGAGTGGGAGATAGCATCAGAAGGGATATTGGAACGATCAAAGCGCGCCATGTCGCTCGTAGTTCAAGAGGTAAGTTCCCCCTTTTCTTTGAGAACATCCCCTGACTTCGAACAGAGCATTCAAGTACGAATGGAGATGCCCCAATCGATGCTTCTACTAGTCACAGATATCGAGGTATGTCAGCTGTAAACTTATACTGGCAATATGCTTACCATCTGTAGCCGACAGATACTTCAAGACCAGAATCAAGACCGACCCTCAAGATCCGTCAACTGTTGACAAGGAACGTGAGCCTCCATCCCGTATTCTCCAGCCACGAGCTTCAACAGGCACACTCCAACTGTATGCTTCGCCGGCACAGATGGAAGAACCAACGGGACAGAACCAATCTGAGACTATAGATCTTGCAGCTCTCACAAATCACCAGCTCAAAGTTTCAGAGAAACAACGGGCACAAGAAGAGTTTGGAGTTGACTTTGGTTCATCCACGGAATCGGAATCAAGCACAAATACACATAATGAGACCTTCTCGCCAAGAGCTTTGTCAAAAGGACTTGGCGTCGGGCTCAGAAAACCGCAACTTGACCTTCCGACACGCAAATTACCAAAAAAGCCATCAACTTTGTCTTTGAATGAGTCTTACGCATCCCACTATGATATCCTTTCCAATGAGTCACCTCAGCAGATGGGATTTTCGTTCCGTCCTGGCGATGACGCTGAAACCCTTGCACAAAGAATGAGAACCGGCCAGATACCCAGAAGACCAATGAACTACGCTCGCCCGCAAAGCCGCAAGGATAATAGCTTGGAGGCAGAAGATGATGAACTTGCTCAGTCGCGGAGACTAGAGCTATCACCCTACTCCAAAATCGATCCCAGAACCGGCGCTGGCTTGCCACACCGACCTTCTTTGAAAAGTTTACCTCGCCCCCGAGATCTTCAAGATTCCGATGGCCTGAAAAGAGATGATTCCAGTGGTAGCTTCGTTACGGCTTTACGAGATAATTCTGGCAGAAGCAGTGCCAACGGCTCGCAGAACAATAGCCAAAGACGCAAAAGGCTGGACAGGAGTACCGGGAGTAGTGAGGCAGTGTCAGCTGCGACGAAGGCTTTTGGTAATGCTGCTGGGGCTAAGAGACCTTCTTTACAGAGGAAATCTGGTTCCGAGCCGGTGGATGGAGGTTCTACGGATGGGAATTTTTCGAGGACAAAATGAAGCTGGGTGGCTGACCCGCTGACCGATCCAACAGGCTGAGGTCCACTCTCAAACAACAGGATCAAGCGAAGTAAAGCACGAACATACTTTGTACAAAGTATGACCTGAATTAAGATGCTCTGAATGGATTTTCTTGCTCGAAATCCGCTTTCTGTGCTGACCAAGTACTACATTCTGTTTCTACAAAGTCTCAAAGTAGCAAAACTGTTTTTGTATCAACCCACTAGAAGATCTCTATTCTGTACTGAAAGGCTTTAGACTTCCCCGCTGAATGTCTGCTGAGGCTGTTGAAAGTCATATTGAAGCACTGATTGAACTCTATAGACTGTATGTATGCGTGTTAGCTTATGAGAGATGGCTATTTCCGTGTGGGAAGGCACGAAGGCGAGCTCCTAGCTGCGCGAACGTACTTCCATGCGTTTACTTTTCACATTTGCAGGTCAACTTATCTTTCTCAACCCCCGTCTTCCAAAACATCTGCGGTCACTCTCTAGAGTAAGACCATCAGGGTGTCCAACTCCTCTGTTGGTATTGCGATCTGCGAGGTCCGCTTCGACGTACTAATTACATCTACGTACAGAAAGGCTTTCGGCATTATCATTCGCGAAGTTGGGCTCAATTATGAAATGGCTCTCGATGGGTCAGTGCGTCTCAACGAGAAGGTTATTCGAACAAAGGAATATGCATCTCAGTGCGTGACATACGAGGCTCAAAGGCGTATGGCGGGATCTTCGGTACAATTGTGCCTGGCAGCTGCGAAAGAGGCGAGCGATTGAGTTTGCACAGTGTTCAAGTCTGCCAGTTGTGAGTAATACTTAAATCAAGTATTAGGGTGTATCTAACTCGAATTTAAGGGAAGCCGCTTCTAGCACTCAAGTCACTCTCATTGTCGGCAAGCAGAATGTTCATATTGTGGCGCCACGTTGTCCTAGCTTTCTGCTCCAAATTCTTCGACAATGCGTGTTATGGACCCTTTTCAGAATCTCAATTCGATATTCTCAATCTTCCGGAAGAATGGCCCAGAGGCGACTGCAACATTCGTTTTGTGGGCAAAGACAGGGAAAGTGTACAGCAACCTGCATCAGGAAACACTGTGGGCTTACGGGAAACGTTTCTCAAGCGAACTGTTCACCAATGAAGTCATGTTTTGTATGTATGCAAGAGACAAGAATCGGTCAATTCTCGCAGAAGAAGCCAGGCTGGCATACTCCGTGACAACCACGGGCTCGAAGCTACGAACTTACATTCGGAAGTTGGTTGCGTTCAAAAGACCCTTGGAGTATGCGCCAGCCTCAGAATCCAAGACTATCAAAAGTGAAGACAGGGGAGATTTATATGCGAAGGTGGCGAGTTGGTTTTTGATGTCATGGTGGCAGACAGAGCTTCTTTCGCCCAAGATCTCACAGATGACGATGCGCTGGCACCTACTACTATCAAAATCAGAACCTGCTTCTTGAGGAGGTATCTGGGATGTCTGTAGAAGAGCTTATTGAGTCAAAGCGGAAGGAAGGAAAGCTCTAAGTAGATTATCAGTTGCAGGCAAGGGAGCATGAATGGTTGGCACATTAGCATACATCTGCGTTTTCACGGGATGGTGCACTCTCCAAGTTGGTGAGCATGTTTTTGCTGTAGTTAAGATTGAATGTCTCTTTAGTGGTAAATAGTGGAGCGGCACCAAACGACACGCCAAGTCGCATTACATTATCATGGCAAGACAAGAGGTGAATCGGCCAACTCGATCAGCTCTCGACTTGCCACAAATCAAACACCTAAATATTAATATCTCGACTACTGGACTCAACATTAGTAGCCTAAGATCTTCGGAGAATCTCAACTCATCATCTTGCGCATTCAACATACTCTTGGACTTCTAATGAAGGACCCGCTTCTGGAACCGCTCCCATTATCTTCTTCGGCTCACCTCGAACTCAGCGTCTCCTGTGTTCTGGTTGACTTCCTACCAGGAGAGGGTACTCCATATTAGGCTTATTTTTCCTCCATTCAACACCTTCTGTGAGAACGAAAAGCAAGTTTGGCCATCTTCCACGCTAAGAGCTTCGGGACAAGATGGCAGCCACATACCAAAGCAAAGCGCTGAGCACAAAGACAGGCGACTTTGAGTGTAAATGCAGCTACTGCCAGTATCAAGAAGGGGAAATTTGCCAAAGAAAGTGGAGAATGCAAGAACACGGTCGCAAGGTGACCTGCATGTAAGTACTGTGATCTCATATCCTCGCTTACAATAACAACAAGTGCTAATTCGAGATAGCGTTTCGGAATGTCCAGAGATTGTCAATATCCTCGTCAGTCCCAACGAAGATCTGATGACTTGCCATAGAGCAGTCTTATGCTTCTACTCGGAGTTCTTCGATGCAGCATTTTATGGAGGATTGAAGGAGGCCACAGAGGGAGTGATTCGATTACCAGAAGAGAGTAAAATCCAAGTAGCTGCATTTCTGGGCTGGGTCTACTCGGGTCAAATTCATAGCGAAGAAAGCGCAGAGGAACTCTGGATGTTAGGCGACAGACTTCGAAGTCCGGAATTTGCGAACGAAGCGATGTATTTCATGATGGATATGTATGGAGCATCCAGCGTTGAGGGCGGAAGATGGCTCAGTCCTGCCAGCCTCGAACTTGCTTTCTCTGGAACCATGGATGGCTCTAAGCTCCAGTTGTTTGCCCGCGATCTTATGAAGACCCATGGCCCTCTTTGCCCAAGAGCTGTTGATGAGAAAGCTTGTTTTGATAGCTCAAAAGCTTACGAGAAAGATTGGCACGAGTTCATCAACAAAGGTGGGGAGCTTGCTGTAATAATGGCAACAGAAGTGGGCTTCTTCCATGACTATATGGAATTTGAGAGCGATGCTCAATCTGAACCGGCCAAGGCAGCACCATATGAAGCACCAAATCATGTCAAGTACATGCTGACCGTAACATCTCGGGCCCTCGAAGAATTCGTTCAAGGCAAAAAGAGATCTCGGGCCCTTTGAGGAAGAAGGGAATCGACTATGACAAAGTTGATTTCTCAGACTTGCTCGGCAGCAGAAGCACCATTCCGCACTCACAATACCGTCAATGACTTTGAATATCTGAGAGCCTCTAGTCTAGTCTATGGCCAAACATGATACTCCTTGCTCACACTAAGTCTGGATCGGGGGGAGGGCGGGGGCCGGTATTGGGGTCTTGCATGCCTCACGTCATACTGCCTCCATCGGACTTCTATGAAGAAAGCTCGACTGATGAGAACGCTTCTTGGTTCTTTGCGAAAAACAAGTGGATAGACTGCCAGAATCAATGCCATCATGTGAGTCGGGAAGACTTTCCTTTTGGAGGTCTTCTGCTTTCATTGAGTACACCTTGCAAATTAGAGACCACACATGTGACCACTTGATTGCGATGTGCAGCAGTGCTAGTTTTACGAACGTATTTGCAAAAACATAATTGGTATCATGAAACATTTTTGACGAAGCTATTGCGGTTGTTACGATTTGTTTCATGCTACGCGTAGCATTGGCTTCAGACTGAATGTGTTCTCTGCACAGGTGTCTAGCTACCCACGCCACACAAACATAAATAGGGGCTCGCTTATGGGCGCTCTAAAATGGCAAACCAAACAAATCCGAAAATATGTTCACCTAATGAGGAACTTTTGTATCAACAAAAAAATGATTATAACAGCAAAACTCACGGACTGATCGCGATGAGGCGGATGAATCCGACCGTGAAGCGACCAGTCTATTAGAAACCATAAGCTTGTTATGATTTTAGAGAGGCATCACCGTGACGTAGAACGTGGGTGCTTGTACATGGAGATAAAACTTCTTATTTGACTAGACATTGCAGCTTTAAACTTGAGCCTTATCTGTTCCGTAGGCTTAGCGGCTATGGAATTGGCGTGGGTGAAAGTGACCAGAACATGAGAGGTTAGAAGGTGAAGGACTGGACCTAAAGGTGAAACTGAGGCCGAGAATCGGCGGACTTGTTATTACTTGGCACAAAAAAGAGATCATGTCTGCTCTGCTATAGTACTCCGCCATTTATCTAAGGATAATTGATAACTTGGCTGTCGTCCTCACTGTCCAACATTTCTCTCACGGTGATAGCAGCACGATCTAGTGCAAAGCACTGCCTTCTCTCCTTGCTTGCAATGAACTTTGGCGCCTTGGAAAGCCCTGCACGAGATTATTGTTGATACTGATCACGTCATGTTGAGCTAAAATCTACACAGATCCTTTAACGAGTATTGTACTTCTCTGCCAGAGGCGCTTCCCACAAGAAACGCGCTGGCGCCATAGGTCTCCCACAAATCCAATCCTCTAACATAACCATCACAACATAACAACGCCAGACTCTCCGACAGAAGGTGTTCCAGCAACTGAGAAGAAGAGATCGTTGTTGAAGACCTTGGGATAGCAACAAACCTCGAGCCATCACCAATTTAAAGTCACCCACAGCTTCAGCCCTCTCTCTTTCAAGCCTGAACTCCTGGAAATGTCATCTTCCTCATCTGTATTCTCAAGAAGCAGCTGTTTCCGCAGTCGTGAGCAAAGAACAGCCCCGATCTCCATTTTGGACTCTCGGCAGCTCAACTTAGCTCAAGACTAGCCTTGGCAATACATAGCTAAGATGGCAGATCGTCATGAAGGCAAACCTTTGGAGACTGAAACTGGCACATATCTGTGTCAGTGTGTTCGTTGCCGCATAGGTGGATCTCGGTTTTGCCTTGGACAAGAACGAGTTCGAAAGCACTGCACATCTGTTGCCCGACTGTAGGTTCTCCTCTCTCACCCTCGAAGCATTTACGACGCTGACCAGAGTCTTGAATAGTGTATCAAACTGCGTCGACACCGTTGTCGTCTTTGTGGGCGCGGAAGAGCGTAAATTCGTTTGCCATAAGGCTATCTTGGGTTTTAGCTCGGACTTTTTCGATGCTGCCTTCTATGGAACTATGAAAGAAGCTAACGAAAGTACTATCTCGATGCCAGAAGAAGACTGTACTGCCTTTCAAGCCTTTGTTAGTTGGGCATACACTGGTCAAATCAACAGCTGTGTGTGCCCCGAAGAGCTTTGGGTATTAGGAGACAAATTGCAAAGCGCAAGGTTTTCCAACGCAGTCATGTTTCATATGTTTGATGGATACCGCGATGAAGATACTTTCATCAGCACTAAAAGTGTTGAAATTGCATTTTACGAAATAGCAGATGGCTCGAAGCTCCGGAAATTCTTGATGGACTTACTCAACGTTCAAGGTCCTTTCTGCAAAAGGGTGCTGGAGTCAAAAAAGGCAGCAGGCTATGTCAGGGATTGGCAGCGTCTTATACAGAGTGGTGGAGATATTGTACTACAAATTGTCCAAAACGCTTCTCTTATCGATGACTATTGGGCTAATTGGGATGATGCTGAGGAGGAGATACCAACATGGATGGAAAGTCAGCACAAATATTTGCTTCCGATAACCTCCCGACCAATCGATGATTTCCTCCAAGGCAAGAAGAGATCCACGCCACTGTGAGAGGAGAAATTGGAGGGAAGGATTTAAGGACTTAGGCGAATGGGGAGTTTAGGGCGGAGGCTTGAGAAGAAGGATTACATCCACCACCCTAGCTATCTCGCGAACGACGATTTCTCTACAAAAAGAGACCAAGGGCTGGACTTGGGACTCTTTCCTGTTAGCCTTCCCAAAACCGCTTCCTAGGAAGCGGCAATTGGTAGAGACAATAAAATGGAGTTTGAGGTCTGGTTTGGGATGAGGCAGCCACGATTGGGCTTTCCAAACAATATAAAAGCTCATGCATCATGCATTCTCTTCTACTTGGACCATTTGGACGTAGCTACTATACCCTCGGAAACTATCAGAGAGAATTTTCCTTGAACGTGTTTTACTACTAATGGATGCTCGACTGATGTGCGTAGGATCCAAATCAACGAGAAGAAGGTCAAGTTTGGCAGTCCTGATCTTGTATGCAGGACAAATATCCCGTTATTGAAACAAAGGCGATGTGTTTACCCCATGCGAATTTCCGCTTGAAGGGAGGTGCTGTTAGTATTTCGTTTCCACTCAAGGGAAGTTTCTACTCCCATGACACACGTTGAAGCATAATCTTCTTGGGGGTTTTTTATTCTTCTCATAGCGTTATTATTATCTATATTATTGGCTCAAACTTTCTCCATAGCCAGTATAAGAAGATGTGGCTATTTGTTGTTTGGTTGAATATCCGGCATCGAACCCCCCTTTTATTTCGCTTGCAGGCTTGGCAAGTCAATAAACATGGCGAGAATCATGACGAGACCGAGATACTCAAGTCACTGAAGGCTTTTCCAGTTCTTGGAGTCAAATGCATAGTTCGAATTGAAGTGTTTTTACGAGAGGCGCCGTTATTGAAGTTTGATATCAAAGTGACTTCTCAGCGAAATGGTACAGCCTAATAAACGTTCCGTTGATGAAGCCATGCAAATCTAGGTTATGTATTGATCTGGCAGTCTTTGGCCGTCGTGGTTCAAAATTGATACGCTTAGTGATTTGAAGGTAGATTCAAGAGATGGTTGGATGGAGTGGGTTGGATTGGGCTAATTTCTTTCTCTTGCTCACTAGTCTGCATACTGGCGATACCTAATGTTCGACCTCGAGGATAATTATCAGTCACCGACGAGGAATGACTTAAAATAGAATCAAATGGGTACGGAGGTAGTTTGACACAGAAAAATACTTTATGACCAGACTGGGCTAGAAAAGGTGAACAACTAATTTGTGTTCTACCTGCCTCGCGGTGCAAGACACAATCCACATGCGAGAGTGGATTTTGAAAAAGCCCTGTGTATCAGTCTGAGCCACTTTATAGGCTCCGACCTTCTTCTAGAACTTGGAGTAAGAAACAAAGACTTTGCACCTCATTACTTCCCTTCCAGACGATCACTCCCACTCTCACGTCGCAGCAAAGACAAAACCACATTCCCATGAGCAGCACTTCGCAGACGCACCAAACTATCAAGCCGCAAGACATGGCGAGCGATACCCAGATCAAGTTCCTGAGTAAGGATATTGAGGCAAGAATGTCTAAATATCGGTGCCTCTGCTATTCGTGCTCCTACCGTCCTCCCACAATGGAATGCTCACGAGTTGCTAGACTAGCCCTCCACGCTGAGAAAGTCCGCCAGCTGTAAGTTGTCTTTATCTTTGGTAGAAGCCCTGCAAAGATACTGAAAGAAGGACTTGACAGCTTACTCAACTGTCCTGACATCGTTACAATCTCAGTTGGGCCATCCCAAAAAGAGCTCACTTGTCATAAAGCACTGTTGGGTTTCACCTCTGAGTTCTTCGATGCGGCGTTGTACGGCAACTTCAAAGAAAGTCAGGTCAGTATTATACCGCACTGTTTGAAAATAACCAAACCTTTGAAGACAGATTTTATTTTTCTCGGAATTGACCTGCAGTTCTCGTCTATGAATGCTGACGTTATGAAAATAGACAAACATCATTCCACTACCAGAAGAGAATCCCAACGTAGTTGCCGGCTTCCTGACCTGGGCCTACACCGGACACATCGAGTCGTCCTCCACCGCAGAAGAGCTCTGGGTCTTTGGAGACCGTATCGCCAGCCCCAGATTCATGAATGAAGCCATGCACCTCATATTCGCCATCTACGGTCGCCACGAACGCTGGCTGAGTGCTAAAGGCGCGTTCGTTGCATACAACCACAGTGCTCCAATATCCAAACTCCGGAGCTTCGTTGAAAATTACGTTGATATTCACGGCCCGCTATGTGAGGAAGCGATTAACAGTGAGGCTTTCCATCTCGGGAATCATGAGTATGAAAGGGATTGGCAGGCGTTGATCGAGGAAGGGGGAAAGTTGACTGTGGATATTGCTCTGGGTAATGGTGTTCGGCATCAGGGCTTTGCCTGGGATGAAGACTGTGTACCTCCGAGGTTGGGTTTTGAACAATGGGTTTACATGGTGCGCGTCACGACACGTGTGGTTGAGGACTTTATCCAGGGCAAAATGAGAGGCGTTCGGGAGTAAAAAAGATTGTGGGCACGTCGACGTTGAAGCTTTGGTGAATGCGAGCGGCACTGAGCTTGAAGCAAGCAGACTATGAGGAAGGTAGCGGCTGTGTATGGCAAGCAGAGAGTTTCGGACCGAACAGTCTATGGTAGCTCGTACTTTCCACAGAATGCAAGCTCAGCAGATGACATCTCAGCCATCCAATGCTCTACGAGAGCAGTTTCTTACTTCCTACAAGAATGGTCTCTTGTTCGTATCTGTCCGTAGCCGCTCAAAATGAGATACTGTTGTTTACAGGAGCGAAGCGTAAATTCCGACGCATTTTCATTCTAATTGGCACTTCTCTTGGTTGCTGCGACGAATAGGTAAACAATAGTGTCCTTCAAGCGAACACAAACAAGCTAGTAAGGTAATGGCAGCTACCCACAACTTATCTCATAGTTAGGTGTTTGAATTTACCAATTAACAATAGATAGCCAGACGCTGACGAACAATATGCACAATTATACTTTTCTTTTATTGAATAGTAACGCACTAAGAAACTAAATGAACAATCTCCCTTGTCAAATATCTACTTATTCCTCTCCTCCCCCTCCAAAACCTTCCCCTCCATCTCCTCAAACGTCCCCAAAACATCCCCATACCTCCCCCAAACATCCCCCCTATACCCAATATCCACCTTCTCAACAGCCTCACTCTCCCTCCACCTCCCCCCAATCAACTCCTCAAAGCTCTCTCCCTCCTTCCTCTCAATTGCCCAAACAGCTTTATACGCACCCCCCAACGCACACGCATTCCCACCAACATCCAACTTCCACACTCCCTCCGCCCCACCCAGCACATCACCAATGATGCGCGCAATAGCGGGGTTAAGCGAGCCGCCTCCAACGAGATATATCCTGCCTGGCTGGGGAGGGAGCCCAGCGGCGGGACTGTGGACTAGTTTCTGGGAGCGGAGACGGAGGGAGAGGATTTGGGATTCCACGATGGCGCGCGTGTCGGCTTCGTGGCCCCAGTCGGGAGATTCTTGGAGGTCGGTGCCGGAGCTGGAACATGTGTAGCGCCATGTTCCGGCGCGGACGTTGGGTACGATTTCGGGGAGGGGGAAATAGAGACCTAGTTTTGCTTTTTCTGAAGGGGATGATTGTCCCAGTGGGGGTGTGTCGAGGGCGACTTTGTTGAATGTTGACCAGCTGTCGGCTGTTGAGGATTTAGGAAGTGCGTCTCGGATCTTCTCACGTGCTAGGCCGCCGTTCTTGTAGCAGAGCATGAACATGTACAAGCCGGCTGTGGTGGGGTGGTTGAAGAAGTGGTATGCTGGATCGGGGACGTATTTTGGTGTGGACATGAGGAAGGTGGTGGATGTGCCGAGCGAAACGATGGCGTCGAGGGGGCGGAGGGGGAGCGCGAGGATAGTGGAGGGATTGTCGCCTGTGAAAGGGGCGATGCCGCAGTCGGAGGGGAAGTTGTAGCGTTGGACGAAGTAGGAGGAGATGGAGCCCATGCTGCCACCTCCGTCTTCGCGGACGTCTCCTAGTTTCTGCTTGAGGGAGTCGAGGCCATCTTCTCCGGCAGCGAGTTTGAGTAGTGGCTCGCTCCAGGATCCAGCTTTGATATCCCAAAGATTCATGCCGCACACATCGGAGACATCGAATGGAGCTATTTTGCCTAGGAAGACAGAAGCAAGAAATGAGGAGACGAGAGTTATCCGTGATGTTGCACGATAGACCTCTGGGTGGTTCTTGTGCATACGCATGATTTGAGGGCCAGTAAAACGCTTCAGATGATCAGCTGTGTCGAACTTGACTTGAAGGAAGAACACTTACATGATGAGCCTTACTTCCCGTGACTTCTGCAAGCCTTTCAGCAGAGCCAAATTCCGCATCAAACTTATCACATTCCTTCTGCGTGCTCCCATCCTGCCAATTCGGACTGAAAGGATGAGCGAACGCAGTCTTGGACAGCTGATCAACCAAAGTTCCCTTCGGATCCAGCGTCGCCAGTGACTGCTCAGCAATCTTACTCCAATACACACTCCCGTGCTGTTGACCAGCACCAGAAATACCCTTGATCCGTTGAAAAGGCGTCCCTTTCTCTTTCAATCGCTGCAAGACCAAGTCCACGGCTTCCAGCCACATGGCCACAGGAGCGTAGACTTCTCGCTCGGCTTCATTGACGTGTACGCCTTTCTTGATGCCATATTTTGAGAGGTCGGCATCGAAGTCTGTTTTGGCTTCATACAGGACTTTCAATTCCGATGTTATGACAATTGCTGGAAAGTGTTAGTGAGATGTTCGAGGAGAGAAGGGGCTCACATGACCCCACCTTTTAGTTGTTGTGTGGAGAGGTCGAAACCGAGATATAATGGGCCGTCTTGAGAAGACATTATTAAGTACTGGGATGGATTTACAACTTCTCTGACAGGAACTGTTTGAAATTCCAACCGATCTTTGTGTGGAAACAGAAATGTTTGTTGATCTGGCAAGAGGAAAGATTTCTTGGTGGGGTGCAGTCTGGAGGGGTGATCCACGGCATGGGTTGACATTAGGCTAAACCCCAACTGTGGCTTGCTGTGGCACTTGAGCATAAACATGCGCACCAATGAGAGAAGGACTAGTAAGGAGGAGCTCAAGATAATTCACTGGAGATGGACAAAGTCTATGGAGTGATATCCTGATATACAGCATCTACTGATGCAGGTCCGATTAAACGCCATCTTGCTGTGCAAGTCTTCCAAGAGTTCCAAAATTCTCTTCCATTCCAAATGTAAACGCCCTTAAGAACCATGCCAACTCCACGAAATGTCTTTATCGTATGTACAGGCGAATCTATTGTATTTTCTTGCCATTGCCATTTGTATGTGAGTGGTCATGGTCATGATCGTGATCATGGTCATGCTCTTCGGGCTCTGGACCGGCTCGTGGGCTGACATCCCCACTTATGAACTCGTCGAACAAAGTTGACGAACCATCATCCTTTGGCACGAATCGGATCTTGATACGGCGGACACCTCTTACTTTCGATCCGACCGTTTCTCTAACACCCTCTTCGACTTCTCTGACATCTTCAACGGTCCAAGATTTTGGTACTGCGAGTTGTAGATCGACCAGATAGTTCTGTCCGGATTTGACGCCTTCGACTTCCCGGAGCTCGATTTGTGTTCCATCTCTAAGGGTCTCGAAGCTCTTTGCTGTTGCCTTTCTTACGGATGCCTTCACTTCGTCGTCGATACCCTTGTCTGCTAATTCGTAGAGTGCCGAAACGGTATTTCCCCAACCAGCTTTGATGACCAGCAACGAGATCAGGAAACCTCCGACTGGATCCAGCCATGCTGCCTCGTGTAAGAAGTTTGCGCCGAGAATCGCGAATAGCGTTACAATTCCGGTAAGAGAGTCGACTCGGTGATGGATGGCATTCGAGGCTAGGACGGAGGATTTTCGTTCTTTGGCTACTTTCATGGCTGCGAAATGGTTAGCTTGCGGAATTGGATAGCGGTTTCTAAAGTACTTACTCGCTTGGTACAGCCATTCCTTCAAGATCACTGTTCCTGCAGCAAGCCAGGCGGCATGTATACTCGGTCCTACGGCACCATGACTGTGACTGTGGCTATGTCCGTGTGCATGCGCAGCAGCCTCTGCAGCAGCATGAGCGTCCAGGAAGAAGTGCGCATAGAGAATCTCGCAGCTGTTCAAACACATGAAGCAGCCTCCAAACAGCAGCATTCCACTGACTCCCAAAGACCCCAAACTCTCCACCTTTCCAAATCCAGTAGGAAAGAGTGCTGTAGGGGGCTTCAAGCTCCAGGAAACAGTTGCCAGTGTCAGAATATCACTGGCCAGATCTGTCAAACTGTGCCATGCATCTGCGATCATAGACTGCGAGTTGAAGGCATATCCACCGACTCCTTTCGCAATGGCCATGCCCAGGTTGGAGTAGAGACCGATTCTTGTGATCCGCACGCCTGCATCGTTCTTATTCTTCGAAGTGAGGTATGTATTATCATGGTGATGATGATGTGAGTGACCGGCGTGCGAGCGCGTCTGGGTGGTAGTGAGGGCGGCCATTGGACGGAGGGGGGCGCTGAAGTAGGATGTGCTGGCGAAAGATTGTAATTTGGGAAAGGAGTGTTTCGCGGGTGTGCTGCCCTTTAATACAGAACTGAAGGAGAGTGAATCGAGGGCGGAGGATTGGAGCACTCTGCACTGTTGTTGTGATTGATGTGTCCTTCTCAAACTCAGCCTCAAGAGGAGTGTGACAGGCTTTAAGCGCGATGTCGCCCCGGGAGTCGAGGGGCAGCGGAAAGGCATTGAGAGCTGCAAAGGCCGGGCCAGAGACGAGGACAGCAGGACGAGACCTCGGACAGGTCAAGCCTGCGTTTGGGACGCGTGTATAGAGACGCGGGCATGAAAATGAAAGACGCCGGGCGAAAATGGAAGTTCTATAAATCTAGGGAATGCCAAGGCAAGGCAGTGGGAAACGTACTCGTCTCCCAATGACGAACAAAATTATTTCGACGGCGACGGCGATGAGGTGCTCGGGGGTCTCAGACGGGGGCTTTCTAAGTCTTTTTCGTCTCATACCACGCAGTGCAGCCACTTAACCCTTGGCTATTTCGAATCGAAGCTTTTTAGCAGCCCTGACTCCTGAGAGGAACTCCCGTGCTTTTCTAGGCATGGTCCAAGGGCAAAAGGTTCCACTCCAGTCATCCCACCAGCCTACTTCTGGTCTGAGGAGCATTAATGTACCTAGGAAGGTATTGCAGCAGGGCAGTTCAGGTGGATGTGGTGAGCTCCTCCGGCCTCCTCCTCGGCCCTGCCCGAGCCTGTTACGCGCCTCTTTGCCCTGCACCATACTTCTTTCTAATGCTGATGTTATTATTTGTCGGCTTTGCCACCCGAATTCTGCAGATGCTTGCTAAACTTACTCAGTTACATGCAGCTCAGCTAACTCGGGACGTTGACAGAACCTAGGGCCCTCTAACTTTAAGCATCTAAGCCGCCCGGAAAAGTGGACGGTATAGTGGACGAAACAGCCGCCGAAGAGGGACACGAGTACTTGAGTAATGACGCGAATACCTTCATCAGCCGCCGCCGCCCTCAACAAGCTCCAATTTCAAGCTTCTCTGCGAAGTTTCAGCGAGTAAATACTCGATGAAAAAACCCCCATTCATGCGAATCCCCTACACGGGCCCCTTGCCAGCTCCAAATATAATTCCACGCAACGCTAATACCATCAACGGCGCCATCGCTGCGCTCTCGAAGTTCCTTACTGCCCCACCATCCCCCTCGCTGCAAGATGGAGCTGCGGACCCGGCCTCGACGGTGATATTGTCAGGAGCTGGCATCTCTGTCGCTTCAGGACTGGCAGATTACAGAGGTACGAATGGAACATATAGGGTGAACAAGACATATCGTCCCATATACTATCACGAGTTCCTGGCAAACCACGAGGCGAGAAAGAGATATTGGGCTCGAAGTTTCCTAGGTTGGACGAATCTACACAAGGCCAGACCAAATCCTGCACATTACGCCGTTAAGCATCTTGGAGAACTAGGGCTTGTACGGAGTGTTGTCACACAGAATGTCGACTCCTTCCATTCAACTGCGCATCCAGAACTTCCAACACTAGAGCTACATGGCTATCTGCGGGCCTTGACTTGTGTCACTTGTCACAATGACCTGCCTCGAGAAGCTTTCCAAGAAGCTCTAGCAAGACTGAATCCTGCTTGGGCAGCCTTTCTGTTAGAAGCCATTGCATCGGGTGCAATGGATACTGAGAATCCGGACGAGAGAAGGGCAAAGGGTATGAAAACCAATCCGGATGGAGATGTTGATTTGCCCGGAGCACCATATACAACCTTTCGATATCCAGCATGTCCACATTGTCTGGCGAATCCACCAATTGCTGGGGACGGGACGCAGACAATTGTTGAAGTTGACGAGGAAGGCGCTTGGAAGTCAACAAGTACTGCTGGAATTCTAAAGCCTGCCGTAGTCATGTTTGGAGAGAGCATAGCTACCCGAGTCAAGGAAGCTGCGGAACAGGCAATTGATGGATCAGGAAGACTTCTAATCATGGGAACTTCCTTGGCGACGTATTCTGCATGGAGACTTGCAAAACGAGCCAATGAAAGGGGTATGCCCATTGGAATATTGAATCTTGGTGGAGTGAGAGGAGAAGATGCATTCTTTCAGAAGTTGCCTATGGGCCAGTCTGGAGAATCTGGCGTTCGTATCGAGTTGCCAACAGATAAAGTCCTGCCGGGACTTGTTGAACAACTGAAGCGTACTGGCTTGGCTCACTCCAAGCCCCAAAGATCGGACGATGTCCACCAAGAGCACTCTAACAGCAGGGTGTTCAAAGATATGCTATCTTAGAATAGCTGTATATTTTGTACATATTGTATACAATCCAGTTATAGAAGTCTAATAGAATCCAGATGGAGCATTTGACTTGGGCTTTTCGGCAGGTGGTTCTTTTGGCGTTGGAACTTGTGGTTTCGACGCTGTATTCGCTTCCTCGAGGTTTCGGCCGTGTTTTGGTTTGCTTTTTCTTGATTCCTCCCAAGCTTGATCTTCCCTCTCAATCTCTTGTAAAACTAGTACCAGTCAGAAACATTTTTCACAGAGAGAAGTAAGGAACAATACCTTCTTCCCACTCCTTCTCCCTGACAGCATCACCTGTCCCCAGTAACCCCTCAACATCAACATCCTCCCCGTTCTGTATCCTCTCAATAATCTCTTTTAACAATCCGATCCGCGCATCAGCCCTGCGACTGAACGCCGCAAAGTCATTGCGCAATGCGATCATCTGGATTGACATCGATCCAATGAGCAGGAATATGGCTATAAAGAAGGTCGCGGGATTCCATTCCTTCGATTTTACTTTCTTTTTGAGAGCGGCTGTTGGAGAGCTCTTTCGGAAAGGCTTTGGGATCAAGCTGATCCAGAATGATGTTTGCGCGATATTGGGTGCTGCTGAGTAGGGCCGGGCAAGAGGTGGAAGGGCTCGTGGCGGGATGGGAACGAGTGCTGTGCGAAGAGCAGGTGGCGCGAGAAGGAATCGACGGAGCATTGTTGGTTTCATCATTTTCAATATATGATACTGGACGCAAGTAATTTTGATATGGTTCCTGGGAAAAAGCTCGGAGGAAGTTCACCAGCTTTCTTGAAGACGGGACGGATTAAGGTTGGCGCCGATCAACTTGTTACCATGCCAACCGGTTCAAACATCATCACGATCCACTTCGAATAGTCAAAGTCGCGATTCTGCAGAACGAAGAATATTGCTCTTTGCATTCTGGATCCATTTTGTATAATGTCTAATTGCCAATAGCACTGAACGTTTTTTTTTGTCAGTGATCATTATCATCATGGCGTCCTTACAAACAACTGCCGACTCGATTCGGACCGCTGTTACATCAGCATCAACATGTTCACCCGCGACAGTTACCATACTCAACGAGCTCTTATTACCGAAATCAGAGGCCCAAAATACGACCGGGACGACTGCGAAGAAACCAGTAAAAGCTACCGCTGCTTCAAAAACCAAACCGGCCAGGACATCCGCAGCAAAGACGAGGACGAAGAAAAGTGTCGCGGAGACGGAAGTTCACGAAGATGGAGAGCAATTATCACCGAAAGAGAGATCAATTCTGGCGACGGAGGTCATCAATGCCACCCTCAAATCCCTAAGTGAAGCAATCAAAACTCCTGCGCCAGCAACCGTTCGACGACAAGCATCCTCGAAAGACTTAGTAAAATCATCGGCCAGAAAAGCACTTCGACGATCCAATTCCCTGCCTCAGTCACCATTACAACCACGGTCACTGAATCGAGTCACAAGTTCTCCAGATATATCGTCCCGGCATAGCAGATCTTCTTCCTCGGCTTCAATAACTTCGTCTGGACACAGGTCGGTCGGTGAATGCGCCAGGATAGCGTTCTCGTGTCTGCGGACTTTACAAGCTGCCAAAACGCCTGGGGTAGATCTGCCGCCTCTTCAACTTGAGAATGGAATGTCTGTGTTGGTTGGAAAATTGGTATCTTTGGGATTGGACGATTTAGCGATCAAGGAATTGAGGATATTGAAGAGACGATTGGATCCTGTAGATGGAGTGAAGAAGGGATCGGCGAAGGCAACTACAGCACCAGTAGCGCAAACATTGGCCGAATTGTTAGACTTTAGAAAGGCGGAATTTACTGGAGCAAAACTTGGTCTTGTCATCACTACTCAGCTACAGGTGCTGCGACTCATGACTTCTTGCCGGAAACCGAAGATTATCGAAGATGGATTTGGGATTTTGCACACCGAGCATTCCTCATCACCAACACGATTACTCCTCCTAGCAGCCAAGGACTCTAAGGACCAGAAGCAGACGGATAAGATCGTTAGACAGATGCAGACACTTTCGGAAATCCTCCTATCACTCTGCCCCAGCATTTCTACAGCCGATGATGCACTTGCTTTGGAGAGTCGGCTCAGTGTATCTCCCGAAATCTCGATCCAAGTACAAACTCTGGCTCTACACAATAGATATCTCTGGTGGGGCCTTGCAGGACACAAAGGCGACCAATCCAAGGAAATCCTCGACCCATTTCTACGATGTCTATCTGCCTTCGCGCGTCGCAACCAGAGCGGCGCATTGAAGACTTATCAAGTAGCTTCTCTGGCTATGACAGGCATCCATACGTTAATATCGGACTGTTCAGATTCCCGACCACGTGCACTGAGGACGACTCTAGCCGGTATATTCAGGTTGCTGAGTTCGCTCTCGAAAGAGGCGGATGTTATGAAGGAAGCCGTCAAGTGGACTTTGGAATGGCAGAAAACACTTGATCCGAGTGTTGACTCGGACGCCAAACGTTGTTCTGTGCTGGCAAGATTGGTTGCGTTGAAGCTTAGAGACCCTTCCAGTGACCCCAAAGATGAAGAATCATTACTTTCCCTATTGGAAGAACTGGAACGACCATTCAAAGGAGAATCATCAGAAATTGATGAGTTGATGACCGAGATCTCTGGAGTGAGACGATCTGCTATATCTGTAATTGCTCAGTGCAGAGCCGGGGCAAGTTCAGATGGTCAATTGTCGGATGGTATGCGTCAGATGTGTGAGCCGGTAGTGTTACTCCTGCCACGATTGTCTCTCAGGTATCTTGGAAACCAACCAGACGTCAAGTCTGCCACCAAGGACATACTTCGATACGAGCAAAGGAGGCAATTCATCACCAAGTCGGCTCTTCATGCTATCGACTCGGCACTGTTCCTTGTGAAATTGCTGGTAGGAGAAGGTCGAGCAACGTGGGAATTGGTGGATTCGAAACTACAGGACTGTTTGTTACTCAGCGACCGACTTGATCCGAGTTCTGGTGATGTCGTTGTTTACGATGGATCAAGCTCAGCATCATATCATGTCAGGATATCCAACCTTTACTACACTCAATACCTCAACATGCGACGGAATCCAGAAGGTGTTAAGGACGGTCAACAAATGCGAGCCTTACGTAGGTCCATTGATAGTATTCGTCAGAGATCTCAGCAAGAGCGGAGGATGGCTCAATTCTCGACGAAACTCGAGCGGATGGCAGAATACTGCAAGACAACAGCCCGTTATGATGAGCTATTCCAGACCCTCCAGACACTACGGGACGAGCTAATCAGCGACGGTGCGCTTGTCCTGGCTGTTGAGAAGGCTGCTACGAGATCTCCTAAAGATGTTTGGGGCGAGGATGATGCAGCATCAGTGCTTGGACGAACTATACACACTCTTTTGAAGGTCCAGCTACGATATCTCAAAGCTTCAACATCAACACAACTCGTTAGCGAATCCTGGACTAGCGAGGAGAAGGGGGCCGTGCTTGAACATCAACTCGATTTATTTTCCACTCAATCTGCCGAGACTACTCTTGCGGAGAAACTCCTATCCACCATCTTCAGTGAGCTTCTATCACTATATGACCACGACCAGTATCCTATCCGCAGGCTGAGGGTTCTCGTTCGTTGTTTATCCCTCGAAGCCGAGCAAAACGACTTCGTGAAGGGAATCCTCGAAAAGGAGCTACAAAATTCGGAAATTGCAAAAATCGATGCTCGTGGCACAAAAGACGAGGGTCTTCAAACCTATCTTGGTCATTACAGGAGTCTAGCAACAACGACAATAGAGCTTGCTCAGGATGCACCTAAGCTGGAGATACTTAAGCAAGGTCTCGCCACATGGTTCTCAATTCGGTCACACTGCCCAACTCTCGCCGAATTCGAAAAACAGGTCGAGGATGTTTCTGGGCTACTCGCCCACTTGAGTGTAATTGGAGATTACTTGCAGATGAAGGGGCTAGAGACAGTCAGAGTTTCCGCTCTTCGATTGATCGCTGAGATCAACGAATTCGGAGACGGTGTCTCGGTTCCAGATGACCTTGTCCTCAGTTTCACTTACTTGGGAGCACAATGGCTTCAGCTTGGATATTCCGGAAAAGCTGGATTGGCGTTCGATCGAGCCATGGTATACGCCGCTCGCAATGGCGTAACAACATATGCCACTCTTCAATTACACCTCTCGCATTGCCAATACCTGCTAGCCATTGGCAGCTTCGACAAATTGTACGTTATATCTTGTGTTGGGCAGGTACTGAGCTAACACACAATAGGGAAGAAAACCTCGCGGCTGCTCAAGCGATGTATGCTGAAGAGAAAGACCCTATTCCGAGGCCAAGATCAGTCACGCCCTTGCAGCAGAGAACCAAGATGAACATCTTGATCTCTAATGTTTATATGGTTTACTCTGTGTTGGCTCTTGAACGAGGCTCAGCCCATGTAGCGCTTGGCCATGCAAAGCAGTGTGTGAGACTCGTACGTCGTGCCTGGACTAATGTCGAGGAACAATCACGTCGGAAATCGAGTACACCAGACCCTGTCCCGAAAGTTGATGTGGAGAAGTTAACGGAAGATGTATCTCAGCTGAGCATGTCGACAATTGTTGTTCCCACAAAATCGATTGGAGACCAGGTTTGCTCAGGACCTGACTTCTGGGCTTTAATCACACCTCTTTTCCGAAGCCTCAACCACCTTTCAACTATTTTTGCTCATCATGGCATGTTCCAGGAAACGATCTACTACGCTGAACAAGCACAGAAGCTTGCTCGTGAAGTTGGATCCGAAGCACATCTGGCAATGGCCACTGCCTTCCTTGGTAGCACTTGGCTGAAAGCTGGTGTTTTGGATCGTGGTTCTGAGCTTTTGATGGAGGCGAAGAAACTCTGCTCTAAATTCGATAAGAGCCGGGATACAGCACTTCTAACTTATCACCTGGGAAACATGCATGGTCTTCTTGGAGATCGTGACGAAGAAATCTCCGCGTATGGAGAAGCCGAGGAGACAGTCAAGAATATTGGTATGGTGGATTACATCAACAGTCTGGAGAGGATTGCTACTGCCTCCGATGCATCGGATGGGTTGGAGCAGAAAATGGCTCAGTTGACAATTAGCAAGCGAAAAGTGCCTGTGGCAAGAAAAGCTCCAGCTCGCGCGAAGGCAGCAGCACCCAAACGCAAGACGACAACCAGAGCGAAGTCTCCGATCGAGGTAACGGCATCGGTAGCTGAGGAGTGCCCCCAGCTTGTATCCTTAACATCCTTGATTGCTCGACAAAAAGCGCGTGCTCTAGTATTCACGAAAAAGTTTGTGGAGGCTCTTGCAATCCTGCAAGGGCTAGATAACGGCCACCTTTCGCAACTCGAAGCAGTCGATCATGGCCTTGCAATGGCCAAACAATTCCTTTTTCACAGCTTGGATCAGATGAACTCAGATCCGGTATACTCTGTGTTGCAGGATTCCACGATATCCTTTCCATCTGTTGCGGGTTTGGCAAAGACTGAGAAACATGGCGACAGGCTTTCTGTAGTCAAAGTCTCGCCTCCAAGGAAAGGCGCGAGGGGAGTTAGAGAGCTTGCTGGAGCGAGAAGTCCAGTCCCGGATAGCTTCTTCGATAAGTTACGTCAGGCTCAGGAGCATTTGACAGAGATCCAAGCCATGGCTGTTGCTGTCGCTCCGATTTCTGTTGTGCATACTGCATCTGCGCTGCTAAATAGTGTTGCAATTCTGCTCTCAGCAGCGGGCCAGGTGAAGGGGAGGTCGCTTGCTCATCCTGGCCTTGCAAGTTCCTCAATAGGTATGTCTGTTTTCGAATATGTGATCTGTTAATGCTAATTTGGTCTAGAAAACGCGAGAACATTGGCCCTGAGACGAGAGCGCAAGGCCATAAGAGGAGATCCCGCACCATCGAAATTGGATGACTTGACCTGGCCAAAGCTACCGACCAGTGACTCTAGGCGCACCAGCATCGCACACAGTTCTGACCTGTCCAAGTTCCAGCGAGATTATGTAGATATTATTCCCAAGCCATGGACGGTCGTATCCATTGCCCTCAGCGACAGTAAACAGGAGTTATCGATTACGAAATTACAAGCCGGCCACAGCCCATTTGTTCTTCGCTTACCACTCGGACGACACAACTCGATGGACGCGGATGAAGAGGTTTTCGGTTTCGAGCAAGGCCATGCAGAACTTCTGGAAATCATCGAGATGGCGAATGAAAGTGCTCATGATGCTGTTGGGAAGACAGGGCGAGAAGCCAAGACCGCTTGGTGGGAAGAGAGAGAAAGTCTGGACTTGCGACTGAGAGATCTTCTCGAGAACATCGAAAAGGTGTGGCTGGGTGGCTTCACTGGAATCTTCTCCCAGCACGCACGACGACCAGAACTGCTTGCTCGCTTCCAGAAATCTTTCCAGAATATCCTTGACAGACATCTTCCTTCTCGACGCAAGTCGGGGAGAAAGGTCGCTGGGCCACGGATTACACTGGACTCGAGAATCTTGGATCTTTTCATTGGACTAGGCGATGCCTCAGATGAGCAGTGCGACTTCTCGGAGCCTTTGACTGACCTCCTGTACTTCGTTGTCGATGTCCTACAGTTCCATGGTGAACTCAATGCGTACGCTGAAATCGACTTCGACTCTATTGTGATTGAGATGCATGATGCGCTTCGTGCTTACTATTCGGCGGTGCACGCATCTGGCCAAGTTGATGAAGGACGACATACCATATTGATTCTGGACAAGGCACTTCACTCCTTCCCATGGGAATCTCTACCCTGCATGGACGGCCTCGCAGTATCTCGCCTTCCATCCCTTGGCTGCCTACGAGAACGAATCCTCACCCAGCAAAAGGACACCGCTGCAGACGAAAACGCCCCAGAAGGTCACTATATCTCCCGTTCCAACGCTTCCTACATCCTCAACCCCGGTGGTGATCTCAAACATACACAATCCGTTTTCCAAAAGCCCCTCCAATCCCTCAACCTCACCTCCAACATCACCAACCGTGCGCCCTCCGAAGAAGAATTCAAAGAGACCCTCGAGAGTAAAGACCTCCTCCTGTATTTTGGTCACGGCAGCGGCGCGCAATATATCCGTGCTCGCGAGATTAAGAGGATGGAGAAGTGTGCTGTTACAGTCCTTATGGGATGTAGCAGTGGCGCGTTGGTCGAGAGGGGTGAATTCGAACCATATGGAACGCCGGTTAACTATATGCATGCGGGATGTCCGGCGCTGGTGGCTACGCTGTGGGATGTTACGGATAAGGACATTGATCGGTTTGCGATGAGGACGTTTGAGTGGTGGGGGTTGTTTGAGGGGGAGGGTGGGAGTGGTGGGTCGAGTAGTGGTGTTGGTGGAAGGAAAGGGAAGGGGAAGGAGAGGGAGAGGGATAAGAAGGCAGAGAGTAAGGAGAAAATTGGTGGCGGGAATGGAAGTGTGAGTCTTGTTGAGGCTGTTGCGAAGGCAAGGGGGGCGTGCCATTTGAGGTATTTGAATGCGGCCGCGGTTTGTGTCTATGGTGTTCCGGTGTATTTTAGATGAGTGTGGTGGGTTATGGGTTCCTGTTGGATTACTAGACTTGGAGTTTTATGGGGAATGGGGAATGGGGAATTGGAAAGAGAGGGAGGAGAGTTGAATGTACACTTCTTCATTACTGCAACTTTCATTTCTGTTGTTGTGTATTGTGCTTTTTCTTGGGCACCTTTCCTTCCACGCCCTGCGTATATCGCTGTAGCCACGGATGTTCCCATGTGCTTACCCCAGTGGAGGACTGATTAACACCAAACTTCATCTGCTCTGATTCGAGTCACGAAAGTGAGGTTACAGGAGTGTAACGGTGTTGCTATGTTACGCTGTTAAGCAGTCCGGCACTTGGCTCAATCTATTGGCTAAAACTTGGTTTCATGCAGAGCCAAACACCTATGTGTTGTTGATCTTCGAAGTCTTGCTTATCAATTGACAACAAATCGATAGGATCCTCAAGAAATCATTGTTTGCGCTCTTGATGGTAAGCTAGCATTTCGTCGTTGGGGATTGGTCGACTTCGGTTGAATGTAAATAGGGGCTTTCGGATAGATAAGGAAAGGAAGGGGGCCGATAACAAAATATTCGAGGCTCGGTTGTTGACGTGAATTATTGTCATTGATCACGTCCTAACAATGTAATAATGAGGTAAATATAATAATTGCAGTGGCTTTCGATCACTACGGATCTATGAGATCAAATGAATCAAAATTACCCCACGTTTGGCGACTTGCCATTACTGCTTGGTAACATTTGTTGACGTGGTTCCTCAGCCTCTCCAATTGAGAGCGGGGACAAGGCTGAGAATCACTGGGTATTGTAAATATTATCCAGAGGGCATCTGAATATATCAATGACATCAACTGTAAATGAACTATGAAGGACATTCTCTGAATGGTCCACAAAAGGACTCGATACAAAATACTGTCCCGGGAGATTATCTGAATGAAGGTGTCCAGCCATCCTTTGAATTTCGCTAATCTGAACTGTTGAGTCTGTGTATGTGTAATTCACCCCTTTTCAATATTTTCACAGCTTGGAAGCTTCTAGAATATTTGTTCTGGGGCATCCTGAACTCCCATTGAGTTTTTCCAATAGCCCGGCAGACCCGGCCTCACCCCCACAGTTCGAGGCAGATTTCCCCAATGAGAGCACCCGAGATCATTTTGATTGGAAAAGAAGAGAATCCCAAAATCCAATTGACGCCTGTTCTGCTCCTGCTGCACGCTGCACGCTGCACTGCATCAAACGCTGCTGCTGTCGTGACCGGAGGCTCCAGCCATCCATCACCTTTAACACGCCCTTTTTCCAGCTCCCTCTCCTGTTGTTCTCTTCACTTTTCTGCACCCATCCTCACTGTTTGGTTTATTTTGCATTGCTTGCTTGCTTGCTAGCTTACTTGCTGCTATTGCTTCTTGTGCCCTCTCCTCGAAGACAGGTCCGTCCAAATAGAAGCAGAAATATCAGTTCCCGGGTGCATGGGTTATTGAGCGACCCAGCCTGCCAGCCTGCCAGCCTGCCAGCCTGCACGCTTCTCGCCCACCCGACGGCAGTCTTCCCTTCCCTTGCCTTCCTTGCCTCGCCCTCGCATACCACCCTCAGTTTGGCCAGTCCACCGCAAACGCCGACCGAACACTACACACTAAGGTATCTTCGACGCTACGCAACACCATTCGCGGGAGCTACGATTCCAATGAACTTCTTCTCCAAATCCCCCAAAAAATCCTCGAAGAAGACCTCCGACAGCGACAACGACGATTCTGCCTCATCCCGGTCGCGGTCCCCCACAAAGAAATCTACGACACCCTCATCCTCAACCTCGAAATCTTCCAAGCCGAGCCGCGAAGAAAATTATAAGCACGGGCAAGGATCTTCTAGAAGCAGCCGCAGCTTTGCAAAGGCCAACACAAAAACACCACGACATCCTTACGACCCGAATACCCACCCCTTGAACCTGCCACCGGACCAGTTGCGGAAGCTTTCTGCGCGCGCTTCTTCAAATATGTCGGAACCTGATCGAATGGACATCGACAGTGAGGGCGGCCCTCACGACGCTCCCACTTCACCCCCACCACAAACAAAAATGCCCGGTGCCTTCGACTCTCCAAAGCCGAATGGGACTCCCGCTGCTTCAAATGGTGAAGGTCCGGTTCCTCCTCCTCACAAATCTAACCCTACGAGTCCTGCAGCTGCATCTCCCCCAACGGCAGAGGAGGCAGAAGCATTTAAGGCTGCTGGTAATAAGTTCTATAAAGCCAAGGAGTACAAGAAAGCCATTGAAGAGTACACCAAAGGTATGTTACAAAGTCGCTGAAATATTCGCAGAGTCAAGGCTGACATAAATTTTGCTGTAGCCGTTGAAGCACAACCAGCATCAGCCACATATCTCAGCAACCGAGCAGCTGCCTATATCTCGAATGGCCAGTACATAAATGCGCTGGAGGATTGCACCAGAGCTGACGAACTGGATCCAAACAATCCAAAGATTCTCCTCCGCTTAGCAAGAATTTATACCAGTTTAGGCCGTGCCCAAGATGCTCTCGACACATACGCCAGAATTCAACCTCCAGCGTCGGCAAAGGATATTGCGCCTGCTAAGGCTATGCTGCAGCACATTGCTGTCGCAGAGGATGCTCTGGAAAAGGGCACGACCGGTTCTATGGCGTTGCATGCTCTTGACCAGGCTGAGAAATTGCTTGGGTTGGGAGCGCAGAAGCCAAGAAAATGGCAGCTGATGCGTGGAGAGGCCTATCTCAAGATGGGCAATGTCAATGCTCTGGGCGACGCTCAAAACGTTGCCATGTCACTGTTACGGAACAACAGCGCGGATCCTGAGGCTCTGGTACTCCGAGGACGAGCTCTGTATGCTCAAGGCGAGAACGAGAAGGCCATCCAGCACTTCAGACAAGCCCTCAACTATGATCCAGACTTCAAGAATGCCGTCAAGTATCTGAGAATGGTGCAAAAGCTCGACCGGATGAAGGCTGACGGAAATGCGGACTACAAGGCTGGACGCTGGCAGGCGGCTATTGATAAGTACTCTGAGGCTCTCGAGGTTGATCCTTTGAACAAGGGAACGAACTCGAAACTCCTGCAAAACAGAGCGCTGTGCAAAAACCGACTAAAGGATTACACCGGAGCGATTGAGGATTGCGAGCGTGCTATTGCTCTCGATCCTTCATACACCAAGGCCAAGAAGACCAAGGCAAATGCCCTTGGGCAATCTGGTAACTGGGAGGCAGCTGTTCGTGAGCTCAAGGAGCTTCAAGAACAGGATCCTTCCGATAGCGGTATTGCGAAGGAAGTCCGGAATGCGGAGTTGGAGCTAAAGAAGAGCAAGCGGAAGGACTACTACAAGATTCTCGGTATTGAGAAGGATGCCGATGAGAACCAGATCAAGAAGGCGTATCGCAAGGCGGCTATCATTCACCACCCTGATAAGAACAGAGATGATGAGCAGGCTGAGGAGAGATTCAAGGATATTGGTGAGGCCTATGAGACCTTGAGTGATCCTGAGTAAGTTGATATCTGTACTCCTTGTGTATTGATCAAATGCTAATTCGAATGCAGGAAGCGAGCTCGATATGATAGTGGCGAGGACCTGATGGATCCAATGGAAGGATTTGGCGGTGGTGGTATGGGCGGTGGCATGAACATCGATCCCGAGATCCTGATGCAAATGTTCGGCGCACAGATGGGTGGTGGACGTGGAGGAGGAGGTGGCGGCGGTTTCCACAGTTTCGGAGGAGGTATGCCAGGTGGAGGACGTCAACGAGGCGCTCCCCAAGGTTTCCCTGGGGGCTTCTCTTTCCAATGACAAGATAGCGAGGAGAGTCACGAGCCTTCATCTCAGGACTCAGACCATGATACCCAATCCAGGAGGACCGCACCAGTAACCGCAAAGGGGGACCGGTTCGCTGATAACGATCTCTCAGATGCTCATTTACAGCGCCTTCGCAAAGTGGGGATGGGGCTCTTGCTCGCAGCTATCTTTGTTCCTCTTGACGTGCTGGCTTTGTTGGCCATCCTGGGTGCGGGGCTTTACATTCTGCTCAGAGTGCTTAGAGCTGTTCGCTATATGTGGCAGATGGTTGGCGCTTCATAATCATCATAATCATAGACTGGGAGGGATAGATCACAAAGGTTCTCACTACAGGCGTTCAAGTGGTCCTCATTTTGGCTGCTCACCTACTGGATTCTCTTTATGGGTGGGCTGCACTGAACAGATAATTCAATTTTGTGTACAACTCTTCAAACTAAACTGTGTTGGATGTGAATTGCATGTTGTAGAACTCAATTTTGCTCTCAAAATAGTTGAATGAAGGCAATGTTTATGAAGCTTTTGACCAGACTTCGCTAAATTTCAAGGACCACGGTAAATGATCAGAACACGTCGAAATTATACCTAGGCATAAAAGTATTTAGCTTCTGTCTACCTGCTTGAGCACAAGCAGAACAGCGCCTCCCTCAAAACCCTTATATAATGAAAAAAGCAATAGATGAAATCAAGATGAATAAGTCTCGTGCTGGGCTCGTGGCCGCACGCGACTCCTCACGTGCTCGAAACTCTAAAATGGAAGGCTGGAGGCTTGGCATCTGCCACTCAACCCGGTGGTGGGGTGTGTTCAGGCACTGACTGAAATTATACCGCCAGCATCACAGCCCAATTTGCTGTCGCCTTCGAGTCTACCTGTGAATTTCTGCATTAAAAATACCCAAACTCGAAAAGCAGTTCACGTCTAGTTTGGCCAAATCCTCTTACCAAGGTCAACAATACAAGAACAAACCCTTCAAAAAACGTCACCGCCCCTCCCGCAAAAGAATTATGACACGATAGCCACCCTCAAAGAGCATGATACATGCGCCAAAGCCTTCTTTGAACAACACAGCAGCGAGTTCAACAACCGTCTGCTAACACACTATTTGCTCTCGATCTGCCACACTTCTAGAGTGGGCCGTCATGGACACTCAGGTACGTTTGTTTGACCGCCCCATGCACCGGGTTTTGTTTTATGGCGGGGTGCATACTTCCAAAATGGGGACAACTCCGCATGTAAAAGACTTTGAGATATTTGGAGCTCGGGCTGACAGTTCACGTTTTCGATTAACAGGTCGAAAATGCCATTGAGATAGCATGGAATCCCGCCTCTGACCAAGCCCTCAAAGCGCAAGCCTTTGACTTCCTCAACCAGCTTCGAACGGACGCCTCTGGTCGTCAAGCATGCGTTACCCTCTTCACTCGAAACCCAAAATGCTCAGAGGTCGTTCGTCTCGTCTCCCTGGATGTCGTCAACAATGCTATACAAACGCAGCAGCTTGATGCTCAGAGCTTGAGCTACATCAAGGAGACTCTATTCGAATATGTGCGGCGGACATATGGTTCTGGAAGCCAGGACCAGGTCGACCCCGCCAGTTTGCAGAACAAGCTTACGCAGACTCTGACTTTCTTGTTTATGGCTCTGTACAAGCAAGGATGGGAGAGCTTCATGGACGATTTCCTCAGCCTGACGAGCCTGCAGAATAATGGATCAAGGGACAATATTGTGGGCACGGTTCTGTACCTTCGAATCCTTGGGTCGATTCATGATGAGATTGCCGACGTTATTATATCTCGTTCGACTGTCGAGACGAAGCGGAATACCGAGTTGAAGGATATTATGAGAGCTCGGGATGTTGACAAGGTGGCGGCTTCCTGGGAGGAAATCTTGAGTCAGTGGAGAGGTCAAAATGATGCTGTGGTGGAAATGTGTCTCAAGGTCATTGGAAAATGGGTTAGCTGGATCGACATCTCTTTGATCGTCCACCGTGGTACTCTGAACATTCTCTTCGGTTTGGCTGGCAGGGTCAACCCCTCAAATGGAGAGGACAAAGTTCGAGACGCAGCTATTGACACCTTTACCGAGATCGTCGCCAAGAAGATGAAGCCCGCCGACAAGATTGGAATGATTGTCTTTTTGAACCTTGGAGAAGTCGTCTCTCAACTTATTGCAAGTCCAGCCTTGCACGATTTGCGGACCACGTCCAGCTATGACACTGATCTAGCAGAAGCTGTTGCGAAGCTTGTCAACAATGTAGTGTTTGACATTGTGAAAGTTCTGGAAGATACACAGGCCGAAACTGCTACGCGAGCACAAGCAGAACAGCTCATCCAGTCCTTTCTACCGCTCTTGTTACGCTTCTTCTCAGACGAGTATGATGAGATATGCTCGACAGTCATCCCATCTCTTACCGACCTCCTTACATTTTTGCGGAAAGCTCAACCACTCCCACCAGTATATTCCGCCATGTTGCCACCAGTTCTTAATGCCATAATCCAGAAGATGAAATACGACGAGACCTCTTCTTGGGGTAATGAAGATGAGCAAACAGACGAAGCGGAATTTCAAGAGTTGCGAAAGAGACTGCAGGTTTTACAGAAGAGTGTGGCTGCCGTCGACGAAGCCCTATATGTTGAGATCCTCAGCAATGTTGTCGGAACGACGTTCCAGAATCTGGAGCAGCAAGGCGGCCAAATGGATTGGCGTGATCTTGACTTGGCACTTCATGAGATGTACCTCTTTGGAGAATTGACCGTCCCTAATGGTGGTTTGTACGCAAAGAGCCAGCCATCTAGTGTTGCAGCTGAGCGTCTGATCATCATGATGTCGACAATGGTCAAGTCTGGTAAGGGTCGAAGCAGTTGGGTATTTGTACATTTGACTAACACACGCCAGGTATTGCAACATTCTCACATCCTGCAATCCAATTGCAATATATGGAGATCGTTGTTCGATATTGCTCGTTCTTCGAAAACCAAGTCAATTTCATCGAGCCTGTCCTGGAACAATTCGTTCGCCTTGTTCATCACTCACATATCAGAGTCAAGACTCGTTCGTGGTACCTATTCCATAGATTTGTCAAGCACCTCCGGGCACATGTTGGAAATGTTGCGGCGACTGTCATCCAGTCCATTAGTGATCTCCTGCCTATCAAAGCAGAAGTTCCTTCAAACGAGACTGCGGACGATGATATGTCTTCTGATGAGAGCGATCACTCTGCTGATGCTGCCTTCAACGGACAGTTGTACCTTTTCGAAGCAATCGGTTGCATCTCCTCAACAACTACCACTCCTGTTGAGAAGCAAATCTTGTATGCGCGTACTATCATGGATCCACTATTCTCAGATATAGAGAGAAATTTGGAACCAGCAAAGGCTGGTGACGCTCAAGCTATCCTCCAAATCCATCACGTTATCATGGCTCTCGGGACCTTGGCTCATGGATTCTCTGACTGGACACCTGGCAGCACATCGTCGGCTCAGAATGCACCAAAACCAGAGGTCTCTGCAGAATTTAGCCGTGCTGCAGAAGCCATTCTGATCGCCCTTGAAGCTCTTAAGAGCTCCTTCGATGTCCGCACAGCAGCGAGAGCTTCTTTCTCCAGACTTATGGGTGTCTTGGGAGTGGGACTATTACCTTTCCTTCCTCGCTACATCGACGGTCTACTTTCTGAAAGCTCTTCAAAGGATGAGATGGCTATGTTCTTGCGTTTACTGGATCAAGTTGTCTTCGGGTTCAAGAAGGAGATCTTTAATGTGCTTGACTCACTTCTGACTCCTCTCTTGCAAAGAGTATTTGCTGGTCTAGCTGAGCCGATCACTGGAACCGACGACGAAGTCCAACTCGCTGAACTTCGTCGTGAGTATCTGACTTTTGTTCAGATTATTCTCAATAACGAACTTGGAGCAGTTCTCGTCAGTGCTTCCAATCAAGTATTCTTTGAATCCTTGGTAGCGTCTGTTACCGGCTTGGCCGAGACTGTAACCAGCGGAACTGGCAATCTTGCTGCTAGTAGATTGGCTTTCTCTGTCATCACACGCATGGCAGACCTTTGGGGAGGCCCCAACATAGCTAATGTCGGACCTCAAGCAACTAGTTCTACCATTCCGCCAACTCCAGCATTCGATGGATTCGATCGATTTCTCATTGAGCGATTCCACCCCATTTGCTGGGTCGTTCTTCGCGAGCCAGCTTTCCGCCCAGCGACTGATGCCCAAGCCAAGCAAGTTCTCAATGAGATCGCAGGCTTAGAGCAGATGATCTACATGAAGACGGGCCAAATGTTCCTCGACCACCTTCAGCAGTCCTTCTTCCCAGCCATGGGTTTCAACGGAACCGATTTTATCAAATCGATGACCACCTCCGCTGATCGGAAGGGACTTGCAGGATATCTCCAAGGTTTCCTCCGTCAAAGAGGTTAAGAGGTGGCAACGGGGGCTAGAAAGCACGACGAAAGCAAAATAGATATGAGATGATATGTGCATTTGGAGGCGTTCAATCGGTCTTATACCACAAATATGTTGTGAATGGATGGATGGATAGGCATTCTGCTGCCATTGGAGATATGGCTTTAGCGTTTCAAACTCTACTACTTCTACTTTTCAAACTTGCAGGGGTTGGAATGGATGGGTTTCACAGGCGACTTTAGAGACGATTTGGGCCGCAGCATCCAATATGAGAACTGATTTCCAAAGCCCAGTCTTGCGTCCTATCAAGTCGTTGTGTATTTCTGCTCGTGAGAGTGACTTTCAACAACGTCTATGTTTAGTCTTGCATCTCTACCTTCTTTTCCACACCAACTCATTTACTCAACCTCTTCTCCCTAATAAAACAAGCACACACCAATGCCAAACAAATAACCCCCAAACTCACCGCAAAAGCACTATTCGTAGCCGCCTGATAACAAAGCCTCACCACCTTCCTAACCCCGGGCTCCAACCCCTCAATAAACCCCAAACTCCTCCTCACCCCCTCCACAATCCTCTCCGCCTCCTCCCCACTCTCCAGCTCCCTCCTCAACCCCACCCTCAACCTCTGCTGCACCACCGTCGCCGCAACACTAACCCCAACCACGCTCCCCAGCGACCGAAACAGATACGTGCACGCCGTAGCGATCGCCTGGTCTTTCGCGTCCGCGCTGGCTATCACGTTGATCAGGGTAGTCGTTATAGTGGAGCCGCCGCCGAGGGCGGATAGTCCTAACCCGAGGATTAGATAGCTTGAGGAGCTGGTTAGGAGGCCCGAGCAGAGGAAGATGATCAGGCCGCCGAGGATGCTGATTAGTAGGCTGAGGAGGGTCAGCGTGTAGTAGTGGCCGGTGGATTGCATGATTTTGCCGGCGCCGAGACTACCTGTTACGGAGCAGATCATTACGGGGATGAAGCGGAGGCCGGCGGAGGTGGCGGACATTCTGTGGTGAGGGGGAGGGATGTCAGTTTTTACTCTGCTTGGTCTGGTGTACTTTGTGGGAGTGAAAAGTAGGCATTTTTCGAAGGAAAGGGAAATTATAACATACCCGTCCACGCCTTGTAGGTACAGTGGGATGTAGAATATGATGCCCATGTGAGCGGCCAGAGTGAAGAAGTTGCACAGGTAGGAGGCGAGGAGGGTGGGTGTGAAGATTATGTGGCCTGGTGCGAAGGGGTGGGATGCGATACGCATCTCAGTGTAGAGAAATGAGCCGAAGAGGGGGATGGAGAGGAGGAGGGTGGTGAGAGTAAGGGGAGAGGTCCAGGAGGTGTTGCTGCCGCGGTCCTAGATGAGGTTGTCAGTTAGTAGATTGTTATTGGAGAGAAGTGAGGTTCATAATGTGAAGAGCGAACTTACCAATCCGATCAGAAGGGAAGATATAGCGAGGATTAGGGTGAAAGCCCCGAGGAAATCTATGCGTCGGAGTTTTGACAACCAGTGTGTTGAGTCGACTGGTGGTAGGTGGAGGACAAGGGAGACGATGAGAGAGGCGAGCAGGGTGAGTGGGAACTGAATGATGAATGCCCTGGATGTATTAGTTCCTCGGTGTTTGGATTCTTGAAATACTGTAATGGGTATGACGGGTAAGAGGCAACAGATGGATGCGAACAAGATGGACGAGATGATATAACAAGATCTTACCAGCGCCATCCTATACTATCAGAAAGAATACCTCCCAATGGTGCACCCAGCGATGCTCCGAATGCGTAGACTATGTTCATGTAGCCTTGCCATGTGCCTCTTTCCCGGAGGGGGATAATATCGCTGAAGAGGATGCTGACGACTGTTGTCATGCCACCACCTCCAATTCCTGTTGGAGTGCCAAGTTAGTCCTGGAGGTCTAGAGCTTACTGGCGATGAAGTTGAACGCCAAAATACAGTATACGTACCTGCAAAAGCCCTAGCTGCAACGAGCTCATTGAGGTTTCTTGCAAGCCCACAGAAGAGACATCCTAGCCCGAAGATAGAGTAGGCGAAGAGTAGACATGGTTTTCGGCCGAATATATCACTCAGCTTGCCATAAAGTGGTTGGAAGCTTGTGAGTGTAAGAAAGTATCTTGTTTATATTAGCATTCACACCAAGCAGCAAAAATGGAATTGACTCACGCAGTTGCAATCCAACTTGTGTTGTTTAAAGCCTGGAGATCACTTCCAATCTTGCCGTATGAGCTGACAATGATTGTTTGGTCGGCTGCACTTAGCAATATCTAAATGACAATTGTTAGAACAAATGCTTTTCCATTAGATTGTAAAGAGATCCCTCTCAAAGATGGCAGCTACTTACACCCAAAGCCACAGCAGGAAACAGTAACTTCATATTGATGTCCGGGTTCCCAACAAACAAGGGATTATCGTCTTCCTCTGCCTCGCCCATCTCCTCATCAACTGCATCATCATCTCCATTCTTAGAAATATTACCGTTGACATTACTGCTGCGGCTTTTATCTGCATCTATTGAATCCTTTGATGTGACGGAGCTTGACTTGCTTTTGTTGTTGTGGCCATTTCCCCTCAAAAGTGAAGTCCGTTCTGTCGGTTGAGAAATCTCATCATTTGAATGTGCCATGTTGTTGTCGCATAGATCGTACCAGGAATGTTAGGCGATGTTACGTTTGTGACGACATTCTCTATACTTGGAACTTTCAATAACAAAACTTCGAAAATAGAGAAGATGACGAATGAAACTTCAATCTTGAGATGTTTGCTGTGAAATGAAGTCAGTGCTTTGAAATAGAGTGAAAAGCTCCCCTGTAAAGTCAACTTCTAGCGTGCCGCCACGCATGCATCCCACTTCCAAAATTCAGCTAGGGTGCAATGGTACCGCGCAAGCATGACACGGCTAGGAAGTCTACTTCCCGTCCCCAGTTCTCACGAAATAGGCAGTGGTAGACTAAGGGTCCTTTTGCCGACAGAGAGCGATGTGATGGATATGATAACACAATGGACTTGTACGGTACCTGCAGTGATGCACCGAAGTCGAGCTGATTGATATGTTGGGTAATCCCCGGGCCGATATAAGTTCGGGTTCGGAATTTGAGGGAAAACAATGTCGGAGGTAGCCAAGACGGAGCTGAATGTGGATTATGATTGGAGACACGTGAGGAGATATTGGAGCGGTACTTTTGTGATGGCTTGCACAGTTGCGGTCAAAAGTTAGATTGCACTTCCTATTTGCTCTTATTCCCGCGCCCATATGTCGTCCCTGTTGTCCTACGGAATCACAGAAGTAAGACGGGAAATATTCTGTCCCAAGCCAACGCCACGATGCATCCTAAACTTATTCAACGTGTTGCCAGTGAGCTGTACCATACCCATAATTCAGCTCGAGTATTGCCTCAAAGAAGATAGGAGCCATTAACTGCAGCTCTAAAGTGACGCTCATGGCACTACACCTTTTCCCTGGCTTTGGACTCGTTACAAGGACACTGGCATTCCGGCACAGGGCATTCGTTGTGCCTCTGGAACCAAGCAATCGAATGGTCCATATGCTGAACATGTTTACATTTCAAGCAGAAAGTCGGGAAGTTGGCCATCCGTCGAATCCTGTTGTCAGTTGACATCTCGGGACGGTCGGAGCGAGGCATTCCCACAATTTCCATGCACACGGCACATCGGGGAAGGTGGCAGCCACATTTTGGACAATTCAGTCCTGCATTGATACCAGATGATATGAGCGGATTTCGTTTATCCATGGTGGTAGATGATGAGAGTGGTAGCGGACCGGCCGTGGCGCCAGAATTCTCGAGGTCATTGGCTGTGTTCGCATCACAGTTTAGACAACGAATGGTTATTTGACGAGGTGGTGGCTTGATGACTGGGGTGTCGTCTCGCAGTCGACTCTTGATTGTTGACTGCTGTTCAAATTTGACCCGAAGGATGTACTTTTTGTGACGCTGGAGAAAGTCTTTGTAAGCTTTGCGCCAAGCATCGCAGCGAATGTCGTTAATGTATCTGGGGTAGCAAAATGACATGACTAGGATAGGAGTCTGATAGTCCATGAACTTTTCGACGTATTTGGCAAAAATATCAACCATGTTATCAGTGATACCGGCCAACACGATGCCTTCGATGTCGCCGGTATGAATGGCTTCTTCCATCTCCTTGACCAGCCATTCGGTCAGCTTCTCATCCGGAAAGTTCCGCAAAGCTACCCAGGCTCGGTCACGAAGAGGTAGAGATGTTGCATCTGCGATAGCTCTCCAATTTCCGGTCGTGATATAACCATAGATAGCACGGAGGTATGGATCCTCGCCCATCTGTGGGTGGTTTTCGAGTGCTCTGCTCCATTGAGTGTCATCCAGGTCCAGAGCAGCATTGCTCTTCAACTTGATGTCGAGAGCCATTGCGACGAAGAGTAGATCAGTTCCGCCATTCTTCAGGATCTCGACTGCACGTTTCGGAACTCCTTCGAAAAGTGCCCACGCAGCTGCAGTAGTATATTTGCCAGCTTTCTCTAGTTCCGTCAGGTCTTCCTCGAGTTGCTCAGGCGACTTGAGAAGACCACATATTGCTAAACACAGCTGTCGGTGATGTGGCTTAGAAGTCTGCACGCCGTCAAAACTGGGACGGCCAGCTCTTCTATTGATGGCCGCAATGAGGCGCTCCCATTGTGTTGTGTCAGGAACCAGAGAGCTATCTATTAGACGAGAGTGAGAATTCTCTCCTGCTAGACATTAGCGACGAAATACCTAAATACTTTTGAATTACCTAGTAGATTCATCCATATGGTGTATACGCCCATGTAGCTTAGGTCAAGAGGCATTGATACCATTCCATCTTCACGTGCAGCTTCTTCAGCGCCAGCGATCCATTCCCATACATCCTGAAGCCATGTATCATCTGCCACAACACTCTTGTTGATGTTTGGATTGAATAGGTAGCCATTGATTGCTCTGCGTAACATGACATGGTCCAATTGGTCCCGTGTGGTTTTCGTAGATGGGTTTCGGCTGACTGCAGTATAGTGAGATTTCTCGTAAAGCTCTCTACTTGAGTAAGTTTTCTTCGGATCCGATGTTTCAGCACTTGTTTCTGTCCCAGCTTGTCTTTTGCTCTCTTTTGGCTCGAGGTTGATTTGTGTGAAATCATCACCGAGTGACTCTGGAGCACTGACTGTGCTCGCTGTCCTGCCCGGTGCTGGCTCCTGAGGCGCAAGAAGATCGACCACAGGGTCCTCGGGAGATTTCAAGGACTTCTTGACCTCCTCGTACAGAGACTCAATAATTGCTTTCTTTGTGAACTTTTCTGGGCCAAATACAGCAACATCGGCTTTGGCTGCAGTAGAATAGAGCGGGCCAAGAACCTTTTCCTGCTCCACTGGATCCGAAAATCGCATGAGATCCAGGTACGGGTCACCATCTGCGCAAATGCTGAGCAATATTTCTGGTGGTGTGGATTGATGAACTTACCATGATGCGGTGGCTTCCATGGCATCAGCTGAGATAGCTGGCTTGCTGTCTCAGCTGGCATCTGCAAGATCTCGAATTCACCATTCGCTCTTAGAGCGATGACTCGCCCTTGAAGCTCTGATGTTCCAAGATTCAACCAGTCAAAAGATACAATTCGATGCTCGTATTTCCTTCGATGATTGTGTTCGAAGAATGGGTACTCAAGATCAATAGACTTCTTGATTTCAAGTAGCTCTGGACTGTCAGGTACATCATTTGACGATCCAGGCTCGATGAACTCCTTTCTAGTTTGGAGAATTTGAAGTTGCCCCGCAGTCGAGAGCACGCCAAGAGCTCCCCTCTGCTCCCTGGAAAAGCGAAGCTGCTTAACATATGTGGTTTTGTCAACCTCGATGGCACGATCCAATTTCAAAACAGCGCCCCAGGGTACCTCTTCTTGATCGATAGATTCCAGATACATTGGAGAAGCAGTAGAACGACCTGCAACTCGACGATCCCAAATGACGAGTCCTGGTTGATCCAAGCTGGAGGAAGCAAAGTAGTTGGGATCTGTATAGTCAATGGCAACATTGTTATTACATCTCGTCTGGAAGTTTATCACAGCCGAATTTGGATCTTGATTGTCAGTAACATAAAATAGACGAGGCCGAACATGTACTGACCTCGAAGATCATGAATTCGGACACTTTGATTCTTGACTCCTGCAATGAGTGTTTTCGGTTGGTCTTCAAAGAATCGTATGCTTGTGATAGAAGTACTGCCTTCGAGTTTCTTCTTGGGCTCTATGTTGTTCATAGGCGGTACCGACCATCCTTTCTGTGACGAATCCCAGCCCGCCAGCCGTTCGTTAACATCCCATACCTGCAGGCAAGAATCGTTTCTGACTCTGTCCAGTCCAACTGCTAGAAGTCCAGTGGTGTTGAATGAAACGGATTGACAAGGTCTCTGCAGCTTCAGAGGCAATGTGAGACAGGCATTTGAATTGTCATCAAGTCTCAAAAGACTGACTTCTCCATGAGCGGTACCGACGGCAACAAGTCCTCGAATCGTTGGAGACCAGTCATAAGTATTGACGGCTGGAAGCTCGGTATGTTTGGAAATCCTCTTGTACTCGAAACGGCCCGGCAGAGGTTGAGCATAGCCTGTAGCTTCAAAGAGGTGACATACTTTGTTGTTCAAGTTGAAGATCGTAAACTCATTTCGAGATGGGTTTGGCGACCATCTTATGATGCCTTCATTTCGATCCATTTTCCAGAACCCTTATGTACGACTGACTACCTGTGCAACGGCTCCTGTAACTTAAAACAATGCAAGTTCCCTTCGGATCCTCCTCTTCAGCTGCAGAGGGTGGCTGAATACGGAATTGGCATCTCGTTATGGTCCAGCTTTGAAATATGCATTCCTTGTGTATTAAGAAATAAGGTGGAAACTTTCAATTTGATTGATCCGGCAGTCGCCTCCTTGTAATTGTAAATCATATGAGAGAGAACGACTGGAGAACGAGATACTCGATTGCTTGAAGTCGAGTCCAATCACGTGTTTTACATCCCTTGGCGCCAATCTTTGCTCTGCCGACGCTAATGAAAGTTCCAGCCTCGCTGAGCTTGAGAAAAAGTCAAGTACCAAACGTCTGGCTCCGAATTCCAGTGGTATCCCTCACAGCAACAGTATGGCGCCCAAGAGGAAACATCAAGAGACGGAGCTTGAAGAGGCTGTTCACCCTTCGCGACAATTCCAGGTCCCAGGAAGTCAGCCAAAGCCTGCAAAGAAACCTCGCAAGTTCGAGCCCCCAGTCTACAGAAAGCAAGCACATGCGTCGAGCGTCAATGCAATCAAGAAGAGGATACGAGATGTCACAAGAAGGCTGGAACGGTTGGAAAATGCGCCTGCAGATAAGAAGCTCGAGGATGAGCGAGCTCTCGCAGCATATCAGCAGGAATTAGCAAGTGCAGAGGCAGAAAAGATTAGACAGAAGATGATCAAGAAATACCATATGGTCCGATTTTTTGGTATGTAACTCATCTCTCTTGTGCCGAAATATTCTCTAAATTGTTATAGAACGTCAAAAGGCCACAAGACAATTGAAGAAATTACGGAAACGACTACTGGAGTCCACGTCTACGGAGGAAGTCGAAACACTGAAAGCTCAAATGCACATCGTGGAAGTAGATCTCAACTACACACAATATTATCCTCTCAGCGAGGCTTACATTTCGCTCTATCCACTTTCGAAAACCGGTGACGAGGAGGGAGATGATATCAAAAAGGAGAAGCCGAAACCTCCAATGTGGGCGGAAGTGGAACAAGCTATGGAGGACGGAACCTTGAATCGATTACGGAATAGAACTTCAACTGCTCCAGTCAAAGTATCCAAGGCGCCAAAGATGGTGGAACGGAAACCTGCGAAGCCAAGATCGAAACCAGAGCCTGCTCCTGTCGACACAACTGGACTAAATCGGAGGCAGAGGAGGAAGTTGTTGGGCGTTCAAGATACGAGAGGAAAGATCAAGCCAAGGACGAAAGAGAATGGTGACTCGCAACTTAACGAGGCGGAAGCTGGCCAAGATCATGGTAGTGATGGCGGGTTCTTTGAGGATTGATTTGAGGATTGAATGAACATGATGAATTGGCCAACAAGCATTGCTAGGAGTTTGTATGATACCCATTTTCGAGACAAACATGGCTTGAGATCGTTCCGTCTGACATCAGTTGCTACTGAGTCGATGATGCTATGAGACATAAGTTTTGGCCCTTTTAGTTTTATGTGAGCAAAGTTGCTTCCTGTTCGTCATGGTTTCTTCTTCTAGCTTTTGGAACTTCCAGGGCTTGATTCATCCAGGTGGGTGTAGCATAGCAGAGGCATCCAACTCTTCCTCGTTGTGGTTGGCTATCTTCAAGTGGTGTTGCGTTCAAAAACATTTTCCCCATGTTGCCTTTGTTGTCAGTTGCAATGAAAGCCCAATTTTCGGTTTGCCTTTAGGTTACATCAATACATTTTAGAAATAGTACACACTTCCTTGCGAATTCATCCAATACTCGTTCTGCCAGCTTGGCTCAAAAGTCTCTCATTGATATCAGCAATCAATTAGACGAAATTTACGCGAGATTGGGGTATTCACAGAACCGTCTGCTGCATGTATGCTAAGGAAACCATTGCCCAACTCTTTTGGATATATCGTGCGAAGATATAAAATGTGCAAGACTCGTCGATACAGGTGAAAGACACTTGCCACTGTTATTTCTACTGAGCAGGTCAACAGCGAATTCCGAAGCTTTGGCTACAACTCTCTTCCGGTGACCAAAACGGACAACGTATATCCATGTGAAAAATGCGTGTTGGACCGTACATGGATCATCCAGAGATCTTCAACATTACTCAATTAGAATGGAGGCTGCTTTATCCGAACTGAGTGATTCGGTAACATTGAAGCATATCATCTCTGGCAAGTAGGATACCGCTTGGCTTCGTTGGACAAGGAGAACCACTAGCACATGGGACAATCGTGAGCAAGGATATTAAAAGAGGATCCATATGAATTATCATATTCCAGCCATCTCTCTGTGGCTCATGCTCAAAGGATGTAGTGATACGCAGAAATTAACCCGCAAATGAGACAAACGCAGCTGTACATGTGTTTGAGAGAAAAGGCCAAGGAGAAACTCAGAGGATCCGGGTGGGAGGACCAGTGCGCTTTTGCCACAATGAATATGACAGCAGAATGCGAGTTTCCATTTTATCTGGTCCCCTGCATACAGTTGCGGTGTAAACCCGCAAGCTTGCCACTTTGTTGACTTTGTTGTTTGTCCACCGACTAACCCCCAAGCTAAAACAAGAACGATGAGAACTCGTTCAGGAATTGGCAAGTAGTTCAAATTTACCGAGTTCTGCTTCATAAGTTTGCACAATGTAACAAATATCTCGTGTTCTTTACGTGCGTGGTGAAGCATAGGTATGCTTTTGTTGACCATGAACCTAGAACGGCACATTCCGACAAGGCTAGCTTCTCGCTTATTGTAGGTGAAGACCCCTGCTGCTCTCCTGCAACAACCCGACCTCCTCCCGAATCTTCCTTTCCTCTTGAGCCTTCTTGACAACACAACATCTCAAGATAGGAGGTACACGCAACACCATCAGCAGTGTTTGGTCGTTGCATAGCTGTTCAGCTGCAGTCGTTCCTTTGATTGCGAACTACGCGTGTTCCCACTCTCATTCAAGTAATTTGCTCAGCCTCGAGCCTTGTCACGCCTGTTCAACTTCGAAATTTTGAAACTCCCAAATCAATCAATCTCTACAATGGCGGAACCAGCTGTAGCTAGCCCAGCAACAGCCATCTCTCTGGAGTTCAGAGACATGGATGAGTTTGTGGCTGAACAGGAGGCCATTGACAATCAAATTGGGCATCAAATTGCCAAAGCCAATCCTCCCGCTCGAGTCAACAACCACGGCATGCAGGACCCTCTCGTTTTAACCGTTGAGAATGATGCTATTCGTGATATTGGAGTTGGGAATTGGATTGGAAAGCTTATCGGTAAGTCTGAACCTCAATGTCAATATTTATCACAAAGACACTTAACTAATTTCAACCCAGAGTACCGTCAAGCCAACCCAGTTGAGGCTGCTGATGGTGGTATCCAGTACACGGAGATCACCCTGCCTGGAAGGATCAGTCCTCGCTTCTCCTGCACCGTCAAGATCTCCGAAAGCGATGAAGTCTTCGGATGCAGTGGTAACTACGGTTTTGGTCCGATCGTGGCCTCCTTCAGCATCAAGAAGGTTGCGAAGCAATTCGCTGCCAAGCGCGCCATCGATTTCCTCATTAAGAACAAACACATGCCCAATGACGGGTCCGTCAAGTTCCCTAAGCCTCCATCACCACCTCAAGGAGCAAAAACCAACACAGTCCCAGCTGGTGAACTTGCCTACATCACCCAAGTCCCACTTCTCTGTCGCCGCCTGGGCTTTAACACTCCTACCTACAAGATCACCTCGGTGATCCCCAATGCCCCTGTTTGCGACGGCTATGCTGACTTTGGTAACGACCTACGTGTTGATGGACCGGTTGGAAAGGTTACGAATGTGTTTGGAAAGAAGAATGCCAAAGAGGCTATTGCAAGAATTGTGGTCTCGTTCTTGAAGGATGTTGAGCGCCAGAGAATGGGTGAGCAAGCTACTGATGATAGCGAGGAGGGGGAGAAGAAGGAGAAGGCTGATGATGATGATGATGATAAGAAGCGTAAGAGATCATCTCCTGATGTTTCAGAGACCAGCAACAAGGCACCGAAGATCCAAGATATCTGTATTCATGATGCATGATTCGACAAGATTATGAGAGCTTATGAACTGTTACGAAGGATATGAAGTTAGGAAATGAAAGCTGCTCGTACATTTGTATAATTGATAGACCTTGGAAATTCTTAATAACCATGTGATACTCTAGGAATACCCCAAGAACAGTGTAGCTTTTTATGTTAGAACTAGATTTCATTGTTGAAATGAAATCAGCTCTGAACCTCAACATTGTCATCTCCTGTTTGTGTCGTGAGAAAGCGACAACCACCTTGCCTATCACACACACAGAAATGTGACGGTTCGTTCGGTGCTAGAGTCAAACACTTGAGAGAGGCTGGTATTTACGGTGGATGTGGGCATCGTTTAGAGTGCTGTCGTGAGGAATTGGAGGAAACTGAAGTATTGCAACTGCAATGGCTAAAGGGGCCTACGTAAATGAACAGAAATGCGACATTTCACAATATCATACACGTTGCCACAGCTCTGATTAACTTCAGTACGAAGCGAGCAAATGAGGTTTCAAAATACCTTCCAGGACTGTGGCGCAAACCACGCATATCTCATTCCTGGAACGAGTCTCAATAGTCAGCTAGGCACGAGCACATATCTTGTCTCCAATAAGTTTTGTTGGAGTAATACTTTCAGCCTCCATCAAGCTCTCTCTCATCATATTCTTTGAGGTGTGAAGCTATAAAAGCCATAAAAGCAAACCCATCTAGCGCCACTGTTCCATCACTGCTGACGCCGCATGCGGTATTACATGGTTCAAAAAATGCAGCAGTTCAAAGCAATTCATATCTTTTCGACTTAGCACGCGATATTCATCTGCAACTACATCTTCCATCAATGCTTAAAAATACAACCGCAGACAGACGTATCGAGGCAGCGGTGGGAGGTCTTCGGATCGAACGCGCCGGCGTCCAAAACCGTGGTAACAACCCAGGGGTCTATGTCAAGAGTTAGATATATCCAGTCTGGTAGAGAATAACTTACGATCAAAGTCCTCACAACACTTCATCAACAGAATGTCCCACTTACGCCGGGCAACCTTACCAATAGTATTCAGAACACTGGTGTTGGTGGTGCAGTCTCTCAAGATCATTGCATCCCAAGGATGCAGGCTGTCAGTCACTATTAGTGAGGACATACAAGAAGTTCTGGCAAAACCTACTCGCAGGTAGAGGCGGGTCCTTTGAAGATGCGGATGTTGGTTGGGGTCGTGGATAAAAAGCCCCATTCGAAGCCTTGGCCTGGTGGAGCGGTGATACTGACATTGATAGTCATGAATGCCCAATGAGTTTTGTCGGAAGGTGGGAAGTCGAATCCGACCAGCTTGCCACCAGCCGAGGCAATCATCTGTTTGCACTCGACATCCTCTTCAACCTGCCATTCAGTTTGCTTCCATTTCTCTCCGGCTTTCATATGATACTAGTGGAAAGGTTAGAGAAGGTGGGTGAGCCACTTGGTCATATCAACCTACAACTTTGCGAAGGAAGGAGGTCTTATCGTAATCAACGAACGAGACCGGGTATGCATTGAGAAGATCAAGATCCCGATTTTCGATGGGTGAGTCTCTGAACCAGGCGGAGGGATCAGTCCTCATCTTGCAGCGTGCAGCCTCCCATTTGTGCATTGGTCTCGACATCTTGACGATTCCTACGCGCGACGGACACGGTCAGCTTCGGTCCAATATAGGAGGACGATTCTGTCGCAGATGGGGACTGGAATTGACGGTATACCGCGTCGTCTTGGATACTTTGGTGTGAGGTCAATGGATTGAACAGGCGTGTGCTGCCAGAAGGTCAGCTCGAAGCAAAGGCTGCGAAGACGAGTGAGATACGTACTGCATGCCTCAGATGAGTATTACGACGAACTATTAAGCTCCCAGCTTCGCTCCAGTATCTGAAAGTCGCTTATTGGAGATAAAAAGAGGAAGAGACAGAAATAAGAGGAGGTTATCAGATACTTATGGCAGGAGTGCGGCAGGCAGCCAGCCGTAAGCGAGCTTTGTTTTCGTGCCTGCTTGTTTGAAAAGAGAAAGCCCAGCTCGGGAAGGAGCGACACAAACATTCGTAGCACGACTAATGAAATTCTTCTAAGCTCTTCTCAACAATCATTCTTGTTAGAGTTGGCGCTTTGAAATCTTTTAGACTTTTCTCTACTCTTTGTCTATGAGAGCTATAGGTCCGCATCATCATTGTACTTAGTAAGTGTCTCATGTTCTGTGTCGTCTTTGAACCTATCGAGACTACTCAACCCGCCCTAATTAATCTCATCAAATATGCGGCATACCTATCAGTATCAACAATCGGCTCTTGTCTTAAAGTGGATGTCTTGAAACCGAAAGTAAACACTACCATTCTGCTAGTATCCTTGCAAATTGTTCGAGTAGCTGATACTCGTGATGAACATGACCATAGTCCAATGCACGAGCCCAAAGCACCTAGAAACTCGAAGCAGACGATATAATAGTTTGTTGTATGAAACTTTCGATGAAGGGTCATCATGTTCGTTGCGAAAACAGGGGCTTGCTCGTTTAACCTCTTGGCATTGGTTGTCCTGCTTATGGTTTGTCAGCAAATGTGCAACCTCCCTCTTCTCTTGTCATATCATTCTCTCCAGCTCTTTTGACAGCAAAGTTCAGAATGAAAGCTAAACCACCGGGTCTTCAGCTCCATGGCTCAGATTGTACTCCCGTTTGAGGTCAAACGACTGATCTGTGACCATGTCGACCTTCCAACCATCAAATCGCTTCGGCTGGTATCGCACTCCTGGGCAGCTGTTGGAATGGAGCTACTCTTCCTCCCAACTTTCACTATAAAGTCCTCTGCAATCGATATCTCCTGTCTGATTAGAATTGGCAGCTGCCCAGGCGTTGCTCGCCAAGCTGCGAAAACCATTCGCACTCTTAGCATCTGGAGCAATGACTGGGACGTTATCTGCCTACGCTCAATCGTCTGTTCTCGTCATGTGCATCTGAGCAACTATGAAGTACTTGATTTCGTACCGGATCAGGATGAATCTGAAGCTCTCGATGAACTCGATGCTCTGATTGAGCAGAGGAAACTCGACGAACGTCAAGGCGAGAGTGTTGCACTTCTCACTCAAGCACTCAAACAAGTGCCGCGCCTCCAGAAACTGCAAATCACATGCCCGAACCCTTTCAAGCATCCAATGTTACGCAAAGTTTGGGAGGAGTACGATTTGGAAACATATCGGCATCCTTCATTCAAAGCTGGACCTCTCAGACTCCTCAATATCTTCGCCGCTGCAAAAAAAGCTGGACTGGATATCATGCATTTCCAGCACGAACAGTTCAACTCAAATTACTTTTCCGGTGAAAATAACACCAATCTCGTCCCCTGGGACTTCTCTCACCACACTCCCGCGCTTCGATCTCTAGACATTGTCATCAATGATCTTCAGAGCAATTTCTTCGTCCTCACAATCGCCTTGAACAAGAAATCACACAACTATCACGACCCCCTCATCTCAAGCCTCATCTCCCTCCCCCCAACCCTCCAATCTCTCTCAATAAGATACGAGTCCATCGATCGCCTGCCCACCAGCCTCCTCACCTCCTCAACCCCATCACTCACCCTCCACTCCCTCTCCCTCACCGGCATCATCCTCTCCCCCACCCCCTTCCTCACCCTCCTCAGCACCTACACCCCTTCCCTCCAGCAACTCAACCTCACGTCCATCGAGCTGCACCCCTCCATCACCACCGACGACCCCACCTACGACTGGAAGACCTTCCTCTCCCACCTGCGCGACACCCTCGGAACTCAGCTACAGAAATTCCAATTCGCAGGCGTGATCAAAGCCCCGCTCCCAAACGGAGCAATCTGGATGTTCTGGCCGATCTACAGAACGGATGGGGAGGGGCGTGACTGGGAGGAATTACCGCCGCCTGTGAAGCCGACGAGGCATCCGAATGCGAGGGAGAGGACGAGGGAGATGGAGAGGTTTGTGATTGGCGGTGGGGAGTGGCCCATGAAGGCGGAGGATGACATTTCGAATTTTGTGACTTGATTACAGTGCGCTGTTGGCGTTTGGTTGGAGGGATGGAGGGCTAGGATTGCTGGAGTAGGGGATGAGTGACTTGCCTCTCCTCCGAGAGAGAATGAAAGAATGACTGAACAATTCCAAAGCGTGTTTAGGGACGCACCAAATTTAGAACGCCGCACTGGCTGTTTGGCTTTACGACTTACAGTCCACCAACAATCTCTTCCTGATCATATTACATCACATCACATCTCAAATGCAAAAGACGCACAAGAAGTCATACCAGACCCAAAAACCATGTTGTACATTCATTCGCATCTCATCGCTTGGCATCGCACGCAGTGCATGGCATCATCGTCTTCCTTCTCCCATCAACAGAGTCATGCCCTTCTCATCACCCCAAAAGACTCATCCCAGCCATCTCTATCTAAACAGCGACCTGGAAAGGAAATGCAAGGCCATGACAGAAGCAGTGGAATTTGCGTAGAGTACAGTGTAAGCTCTACCACACATTTTCTCCTTTCCTTTTTTTTTCGCCTTTTCCGGTGTTCTTTTGTTCCCGTGATGGCCGTGAATCCGAGTCGGAATTTAGGTTCGTAAAAGAGTAAAACAGCAAGACACAATGGCAAGTTCTATGTACATCATAGCCACGTGTATCGAGTCCTGTCAGCAAAGGCATCCATAAAAGAGTCTATCCGTTGATCGATCGAGGGTTCATGCCGTCATTGGTAACCGTGACTTTCCCACCCATTTTGCACTGCTGTCTCGCCCTCCCTTCAAGCTTCCCCTTCTCCTCTTTCTTACATACGGGTATCTCGAAAAATGCCCCTGTTTCAATCCATTGCCTTCCTTCCATCCACCCTCGAATGCTAGCAAGACATGACCATGTAATGTAATGTGTGAAAAATGCAGCATACCATCGACTAACAGCATAAGCAACCCAGGAAACACCCTGGTTTCCCATCCCTCTCCTTTCCATGACTCCATACAAATATATCAGTACAATAAGGGTATCATTTTCTTTCTTCGAGATCATTGGTAGTGTCTCTGCTGACCAGGATCCAGATCATTCACATTTGGCTGCAACGACCTCCGGTTCAGGCTCGTTGTTCGTCCGATCTGGAGGTTGCCTAGGCCGAAGGAGGATTTTCGCTGTCCGCGATCTTCAGCTAACCGTCCTACGAGGCTGTTCGTGTCCCGCTCAGGTGTAGATCGGTCTAAGAATCTCCTGCCACCAAGACTGGATACTGGAGGCGTGGGAGCTGGGATGCTGTTTGTCAAGCTTGTCGACTGGTAATGTCTCCGAACTGGGAGCGACGACTGAACAGACTGAATCGACGAACTTCTTTCCGGAAGTGGTTGCTGTGATGTGTACTCTCGTGGAGAGTTTCTGAAGCGGCCGATTTCGGTTGTTGCTCTGGATGGCGCACGGAATCTGGTGTCATCGTCCTCGTCAGGTTCTTCGGTACCTCCACGTCGACTTCTGAGAAGTAAGGAAGTACGGCGCCCTGCCATTGTAGACTGCGTGGGAGTTCCGACTTCTGATGGAGCATAGCGAGGACTTGGCAAGGCACTGGTAGCTAGGAGACTGCTTCGACGAGCCTCCAACCGACTCAAGGCTCTTGGGCTGGACTTGACCCGATTCAGATCCGTGGAAACGAGCTGACGCTGAGTATTGTTCGTTTCTATGCTGGGGAGCTCAATATCGCGGCTAGCAGGTCGTGATACCGGTTGAGCTACGACAGGCGGCGCAATCTCGTTCTTCCCTTCAGAAAGAGCAAGACAAAGTTCTGTCAAGCTTCGACACATGCTATCGGCTTTTCGTCGGACCTGTCGATCAGATACAGACGAAGTCCCCCCGACGGTTGATTGAGCGCTTGATATTGGCCCTGGCTGTCCAGATATCCCCATCATTGATGAGATAGCAAGAGCATCGGATGCTGTAGCCTCCAGCGCTCGATAAAGCTCAGGGTTGAGTAAGGACTTTGACTTTGCCAACGCAGAATGTAGAAGTGGATGGGTTTCTGGAGGGGTAGGCTCGGCGGAAGCTTCGACTGGTGATACGCTGTTACCACGGCCACGCTGCTTTGGTGAGGAAGACATTGTAGTGACGGTGGTTGTAGCTGTTGGAGGACGGTCGTGGGATGCTCTCGACATTGCGGCGCCAGATGTAGGTGGTAGCTTTCCAGTCAACTCTAAGCGATGTATGCGTGATTTTAAATCTTCCAGTTCGTCCCAAACCGTCGATGGCGCTGTTGTAGAAACCGTTGATTCCGTACCTTCCGCTGCACGAGGTGTCTCAGGAACCTCATGCATATCCGTCGTGCGGGAGACTAGCGGAGATGAGTTGTATGTTCGAGGTGTCGTATATGATAGATTCGATTGCCGATAAGACGTCCGCTGTGGCAGATTGGCTTCTGGTATTGAAGGACGACGACCGTTGTGGGAAGGCTGTTCAGGAGAGATCTCTCTGCCTCCTGTGCCCCTTGGTGTTGTAGGACTCGAGCGAGAGTTGACCACGTTATATCTGCTCCTATTCAAATCCTCTAACGCCGCAGGGCGATCCCTGCCCCCTGGTCGGTAGGTCAAAGCCTGTGCGATGCTGTCTTGTTCGTCCATGGGTCGTGTACCATTGACAGAACTGTCATTGTCGGAGCCGCGACGACGAGATACTGAGGGGTGATATGAAGTCGACGAACTGGAGGGAGGAGGGAGAGATGCGCGTTGCCCAAAACGAGACTAGGGATGGTCAGTAAATGAGATCAGCCACAAGCCGCACATGGCTTCTGAGCTTAAAGACGCCAGTGGAACTCGTAAAAGAGAAGTAGTGGGAACTGTATCACGGTTGTACGTGAACTGGAAGAACGAACCTCGGGGAATTGTTGGAAGGACGATCCGGAGGGGGCTCTCGATCTGAGGCTATTCGCCCTGGCGGGCCCCTCGCCATTAGTATTATTCAAGATGCTCTTTGCCTGTAATTCCTCCTCGCGCGCAGCGCGCAGGAACAGATCGCTGCTCTCATCGCTGTTGTTCTCGTCCTGCTGCTCTGATTGCGACGGGGCATGGTACGTGTTGTCGTCGCGCCCCTCGAGTGCTCGCAAGGTAGCGTCTTGGTCGTTGTACGATGTCCGTCGTGAGGCCATCTCGGTGCTTTTGCGTTGGGAAGAGAGCTTGAAGCCCCGGATGGGTTTAATTAATGGTCGTCCTGGTCCTGACGCAGGCTCTGTTTGAGAGCGCGAAAGGGAGAGTCGTGGTTCTCGAGAATGTGATTCGCGAGGCTGTTGCTCGTCGTCGCCGCCAGCGAGGACCTGGACCTGACCGCCCTGTCCCTGCTGCTGATGTTCAGCCGAGTCCTGAAGCGCCGTCATTGATTGTTGCTTCTGCTGCTGCGTCACCCAGTCAGTCGTCGAGCTGGTCAGGTCGACTTCCACCGGCTGCTGCTGTTCGAAGAAATGGCCGCGATTCTGCGTGATCATGGATAACGGCGGATACGATCCATTATTATTTTTGCCAGCTCTGTTTGCGCGAGGATGGGCCTGTTTCGGGGTTGCGCTCACACTGGAGGGCGCGTCGTTTACTGGCCCTTGCGGGGAACGCACCAGCACTTCTGACTGTGTCGAGGGAAAGGTGGACTGGCGGTTCATTCGAGGGGCATAATTGTGGTCTTCTCGAGCAGCAGAAGGGCCAGTGGATGTCGTTGTCAACTGTGCGCTGCTTGCAGACTTGTTTCGAGTATGTTGGCCATGGCCGTGCTCCGGTGGAGATATGGATATGGGAGAGAGCCTCTCATCGTCCTCGCTGCTGGCTTTCGAGTCGAAGAACAGAGTTTGGGGGTCCGGCGACAAAGAGCCGTGCGCTGCTGAGAAGAGGTCAGTCTTCCTGTAAGTGGGCAACCGTGATGCCGTAAAGTCTCGCAGAGCATCTATAGGGACATCCATACTGGTGATGCCTTTGGGAAGAGACTCGGAAAGTGGGAGTGAGGAGAATCTTTTGTGGTGATGGGCCTTCCCCCCCGTATTATTGCCAGCCATGCTCCAGCTGTTCCCGTTGCGTGCGGTGCAGTGCTCGCTCTAGATCATCAAAGCGCTGCTGTCCCATGCACGCCGAAATGTGAGTGGTAAGGTAAGGAACCGTACGGCAAGGATACAGAGAATTGTTTGTTGGAACTCGAAGATAATTCGAGTATTGAGGCACGATGGCAGGGACAGGCTTCGATCCTACTGCATCTTTTGGCAGAGGAGCCGCATATGAACTGCAGTAGCTGGGAGCCTGCGAGGATTTACTTTGCTAAGAGATTCCGTAGCGCTTCACTTATTTGTCTGCTAATGTCATAGTAAAATTTAACTTCCTCCCGGGTTGCGGGGACCAAGAAGGTTTGGTTTGGTTTGCTACTTTGCTGCCCGAGGGTAAAGCAAGCACTTCACGGCTGTGGTGGTAACTAACTGCATGGGTTCTACCTGTCTCGGGAACTCTTCACAGCTCGTGCCATTCCTATTATTCTATTCCACTGGATGTGAAATGCCCGCGGTCCCGTTCCGACCAACCTCCTCGCTTCCGTCACCGTTTGAAATATGATATGAAATATGGCATGGGTCAGCATCCCACAAAACAAACAGATACTTGCTGCAATCTTTGTTGATTGTTTGTGTGCGTGGCTTGAAGTCTCTCAGGGGTAAAAGGGGACGAACAACGACATCATCTAGTAAGGAGCTTGCATTAGAAGATTGTTCAACTAGATATTAAGGGGACTCTAAGAAGGGACGGATCAGAAGCCAACAGGTCTAGCAGCTGCCAATCGAGAGGGGGAAGCCTCCGAGGTGCTAAGTCTTCCAAGACCAATATCACTCCGCAAAAACAAGCGGTCGACTGTGGATGACCTCAAGTGTTCCGTCTCGGGACGATTGAACACGGCGAATGATATAATGGGATCTTATACCAGTAAGATGTGCTACATATTGCTGCTGACGCTGCAAGAGACAACAGGAATGTCGTGATGAAAATACCCTGGACTGCAGCACTCAGAGTCTCAGAGACATCATTCGCTGCATGTCTTACTTTTTCCGGGGACATGTGGTTGAAGAAGGATGTCTCTGCATCTTGCATCTGCATATCTGCATGCTGGTGGCAGGGGAGAGGGGTTTCAAACGTGCACCTGCATCCCAACCCGCCTGCACTTCGCCACTTTGTATGCTTTTGTTCTAAGGAACAGACTTGGGACCAAGGGATGTTTTCAGACGACAAGAGTTCAGCAAAAGGAATTGGAAGGTCTATTGTATATTTCAGGCTGCCAGAAGAAAGTCGCGCACCAACAAGATTCAAATGCTCGAACGATCTCCGCAGCTCCTTTTTGGGCAGTTGGTCACATGACCTGGTAACCCAAATCAAAGACAGCAAGTGAGCCACTAATTGATCCTAGACGATTAATAGTGTTTCTGTTTCAAGAAAGTACAAGAAAGTAGAATAAAAAGGTGCCGATAGGATGCGAGTGGTTCGGTTTCTGATGTATTGAATGAACAGATATGTCTGTGGTGTTTCCATAAGTCCTCTCTGGCCAATTTTGACCAAGTCAACCATCAATACGAACAAACTCCATATCCCTAAGCAATCGCCACAAAAGAACCACCCTCAACATATCAGCCAGCCTTCTCGCCTCACTCCTACGAACATCTATCCTCACTGTGAGGCTTAAAAAGTTTCAGACAGTAAAGCTCAATCCCCTCATTATCATTCACCTCCCCTCCTTGCCCGTCATCATAAACCAACACAACACCCAGCACTTACCCAACCAAGCATAAAAAACACTCCACAATACTCTCGATACCTATTCAGCTGATCTACAGGTACATATAACTCATAAAAGCCACAATTTACATAGGAAGGATGGTTCATAATCTTGGTTCCCAGGCTGAGACTCGGAAGATGGTGTTTGAGTGAGGGCTGAATAGAGCCCCGCATGTGAACCCCATGAAGTTTTCCATTTATTTCATCAAGAGATACCAGAGAGACCAGACTGGTAGAAGACATCCTGGACCCCTTCACGCGGGTTGCGGGAGTTTGGGATGGGGTTACGGATGCTAGGGTGTCCTGAGTTGTTGTTGGGATTACGAGAAGCAGGTTGAGCTGCTCTTTTCGTCTCGCCATGTCTGTTATGTACTTCTCGTGCGTGAGAGTTTGAGGTGATAGTCACTCAAGGGAGACAGACGTCAAGAGTTCAATGGCTTGGGTATGGCGGCACGGATACTGTCTGGTGATCTCGCTACGACAACGTCAATACTTCAAGGCGCGATGAAGAAAAGTCCCTAAGCATCAGCACTCCCACCGTTCTCATCTAAGATAGTGTCCTTGCCTTCGAATTGGTATGATAGTGAAGGGTTGTTCGCTTCGCGGGGAGTGGCAAAGATAGATCTTGCATGTAGCAATTCAACACATCTGGAAAGTCTCTTCAGATTATCGCCAAAACTTACGGCAGGACGCTCTTCTGATACTGGCGCTGAATATGAGTGGTGCTATCCTGTAAATGACCTGAAGTATTTGCGATTGCCCTTTTTGACAAATATATATCTATGAGATTCGGAGTCGTCCCTTCACAAGTGTGAAAACAACACAAGCGAGAAAGTCAACATATGACATTTCCTCCCTCCTACACCTGGTCCACCGGTTTCGGGTTACGCCCGTACTCGTCTATTATCCTCCGAGATGAGATCCGACATAAACATCCGAAGAAGGAAAGGTTGCAACGCACCAACCTTCCTCGTTGAATTAAATATCCCGAAATAGAAGTTTGAGACATGCTCATCGATGCTTGTTATATTGGGAAGGGTTTCCCCGGAAATCTCGCAAATTAAGAAGAGAGGAAACTTAATTCCATATTCCGACAATTTCCAAGAGGACATCTTGTTTGTACGAGGATCTTACTGTTAATAATTCAGCCTCACATATGTCGAACAGCGCTAGATGCGACAAAAAGTCCTAGCCAGAAATGCCACGTGTGATATGCAACGTTTTCCTGGTTCAAGGCATAAACCAAGTTTGTTTATGCGGGTTTCGAGACCCCACTGGTCACCAGGGCATGGCATGTCCTGTTCTCTCAGCCTCATGGCTTTTCTGATGTCTCACCACCTCACCGACTCTTTCCTGGCCAAAGCGTACCTAGGTAGATGATGCTGAGAACAATCGGGATGGATATCGATGGCAAGATGAGACGAACGCGCCACAACAAGCAATGGATGAATAGCGGCTTTGTTGATGTCTTTTCCTCTTACTCGTACGCCCGTATATCTGCCTTTTCTATTTCGAGCAAAATCTTCTCTGGAAATATATCGGTAAACTGAAATGATGTCCAGCAGTATACCAAGGCACGTGACGCTCTTCCGCCCCCAAGAGAGCGGGCCACGGTCTTCTGGTAATGCTAATCCCCGTCAAATTTCCGTTTCCGAGTCCAGCAAAAGTTAGCGTGTTTCAGCTTACTCTGAAAATAAAGCTAGTCGAAAATAGCCCTTCCACTATGCTGCCTCGCTGCCTGGCGTCTGACCAATGCATACCTGAGGCCAAGACTGTTCTCTAGAGAACCAGAGCAGAAGTGGATTCACAACAATCCCTCGCGCCTCCAGACCGCACAGCACAGCATCATATCCAATTTTCTCTTGACTTCAGTACCTTCTCCTCTTAATAGACCTTCTTGCCCAGTGATGGTTCTCTGACATTGACCTTCCTGCCTCAAGGCATCTCCATACGAACTCTCCGTCCGTCGTCAATAATCCTCCCGAACGGCATCCATCCCGTCCTCATCAACGGTCGCAAACATCGTCCTTCCCGTTTTTTGTCCACCCACGAGACGTCTGAATTTGACATCCAGATCAACCGAAGCAGTGAAGCGAAGACGGCGACTTGTCCGAGCAGACTGCTGTTTATCCATTTGGAGAAGGGGTTAGAAGTGTTCAAGTGGCGGCCATTCATCGCGACCTCGAAGGACCCAAAGAATCAACATACCCACCATTTTTCGCAGACTTATATAATCCATAATACTCATCATCTCTTTCAATTCGCCTACCTATCTTTTCAAGCGTCGCATCGACCTTCTCTTCTGTACTCTTTCGTCCCTGGTGGAATACGTAGAGACCATCGGGTCATTGTTTCCTGTCACCAACAACACCTCCACAACACAACATAATATCGCATCGGCTTTGTTGCGACAAGTACAACAACGGGAGGCTTTGTGCTTGAAATCCCCGAAATTGAGTCTGATTTGCTCGCTCTTCTTCGCTGTCCCGTTCTGGGCTTCCTTTTGCAAGGCATCTTCTTCCCCGGCGCTCATTCGCTCGTCGTTGGCGCCCACACTTGTCGGATTGGTCTATTTTTGGATGGTGCGTCTGGCTGGCCCTGTCTGACTGGTTGCGGGCGAGCTGACACTCTTTAGCTGAGCCAACAATAATCCACCCTGCAATCGACTCGCCAACACCGTCGAGACTCTACTCTTCGTTCCGTTTCTCCAAACTTTGAACCTCATCGTCGACTTCACGAAGTGTCCCGCCTGAGTGCTGTCATTCGCAACATCCAAAGGGCTCAGCGAGGCGTAGCTCATCAGCGACGAGGAATAACGGGGGCTGCACATTGACGACTGCGGCACACGCTCGCCTCCACTGCCCTGCGCGAGTGGATTAGGTTGGTTGTTGGGCTGTTCTTGCCGACAAGACGCATCCTTCGTGGCGGTGATTACCCTTCGACCGTCAAACAACCTCGACAACAGCCTCCAACAGGCAATTCACGATCGTACCGACCTTCTTTTTGACCGTTAATATTCCAGGCGCGTTTGTAAGGGAATCTGCGGCGCTAAGCACCAAGTCTGCCATCAATTCAGCCAGCTCCGAAGCGCCGCATAGCGCCAGGTAATTACTCCTCTTCCTCTTTGTTGTTCTCCATCCCTCCTGCTGTACAGGAAGACTCCCTTCCAGAGTTGGTCGAGAGATCCCCCAGAAGACTCTTGTGAGGTAAACCGGAGTTTGTGTTCTGTCGCTAAACAGAGACAATGCAATCATAGAACACAGTTTCCACTATCCTCAGAGTCCCAAGTACTATAGTCATGAACCCTCTGTCAAGTCTTTCGGATGCTAACGGTCGTACTCTGAAGAGGCCTTTTACTGCTGTTACAATTTCTACGCCACCTTCTCCCAAACGAACCTCGACCTCGAGTGCGATTGGAATCCCGTCGAGAAAACTTGGGCAACGCGTGGAAGGAGTTTCGGTGAAGGGATCGGAATTTGGAGGGCGACGGAACTGTCACTTTCCAGTTATGCCGTCAGCTGCTGGCCCAAGGATGTACGAGAATCACATACCATCATTCATGTCTGTTTATGACATGGATGCGACGGTGATAGAAAGCCCAGGTCTGGGGCCACTCCCCAAGCTATCGAGCAGCACAGCACACACCACAAAGCAGTCGTTATTACGGCCACAAGCGGATGACCAAAGCACGCAGATACATTCACACCAGCATCGGGAAAGTACGTCGACGCAAGCATCTGACTCGACAGACTCATCCCCTACCACAACTATTTCCACCGTAGACTCATCATCGTTGTCAGATCCATCTCCAAGCTCGTCTCCTGAATCACCTATCACCTTGGTGCCGTTATCATCGTTTTCTGGATCTAGCTTTGGTTTGGATTCCTTTCAAAGTTTGAAAATGGACGACCTCAGTCCTCCTCAATTACCGATTCAACGGCCCATGACTTCACCTTCGCCCAGGAAAACGAAGAATCTCAAGAGCCTTGCCCTCAATCTCAGTCCCAGTATAGAGACTCTGCAAACTTCGGAACCATCATCGCCGTCATTCATCAAGCCACCAACACTGACGGGAAGACGGAAACCTAGTCTTCTGAGCCTCAATACTGGGGCGGCAAATGGCTTTTCGTTAAATGTGGAGCCACCTGGGTCTCCTGGGATACCGACAATGTTGCAAAGAAGAGGATTAAAGCACTCAATTTCTTCTCCCCAGATACTTTCAACACCAAGTTTCGGGCCCAACGGCGGAATGACATTGGGGGAGAGGAAGCTACCACTCGGACCTTCAAGGTTCAAGGAATCCAACCTCGCCATGAAGACTTTCACTATTGATGAAGACGCACAGGAAGCCCCTACTGGAGTTCAAATGGCTACCCGGGTTCCAGGAGTTGCAGTTGGTGGCGATTCGTTTGACAGACCCCATTCGGGAGAAGATGCCAAGTCACCTTCGTATCCAGAAGGACCCATATTGATGCACGAACCTAGCGTTCATCTTTATTTAGAACCAAAGGTCGAGGAGGCCATGAAGTTTGATGTAATCATCAACGTAGCGAGAGAAGTCAAGAATCCGTTCAAGGTTGCGGAGGAGAAAGAGGCCGCGGAGAAGAGCAAAGCACAAGCGGAAACGCCAAGTGCAGAGACTCCATCATCACCGCCGGCAGTCAGTGACACACCGCCAGACACGGCGATGTCAATGTTATCATTCCAAACAGCTTTCGAGGTTCAACCGTCGGGTTCCACAGAATCGTCACCGACAACGCCTAAGCCCAGTGTAGACAAGACGTTACCAGAGTACATCCACGTGCCTTGGGACCATAACACGGATGTTAAGGACGAGTTGTGGGACTTGTGCGAGCTTATTGACAACAGAACGAAGGAAGGCAAGAAGGTCCTTGTTCACTGTCAGCAGGGCGCAAGTCGTTCGGCGACTTTGATCATTGCGTACCACATGTACAAAAACCAGTCGCTGGGTCCAAACGAGGCATACTCTCAGGCGCAGTCAAAGTCACGCTGGGTCAACCCCAACATGTCGCTACTGTTCTCCTTGAACGACTTCAAGAAGGTCATTGAAAAGAAGAAGTTGGAGAACAACACGGTACGAAAGCCCACTGTCAAGCACAGGCCGACTTTATCTGTCGATGGTGTTGAAGCTCCACCGACCCCAACGAGAGCTCGAGGGAATTCGACACCGAGTGTCTCGGCCCGTGACAATGCTCTGGCCAAACCGGAGGCGAAGAATGATTCTCCAGTTGCGACAAATTCAGCAATCACAAGGTTAGGAGGGTTTGACTTCGGTTTCGGAAACATGTCGATCAACAATGAACGACCGCAGCAGGAAAGTAACGAATGGGAGGATCTATTGTCTCCACGACTGGAGGAAATGACCAACAACCCCATTCAGAGCTTCACACGCCCGTATGTGCCCGAGCCTGAAGCGGATTCCGTACCCAGTCTCTTCTCACCCCGTGCCTTCGAGTTCCCACGGTCATCATTCTTCCCGCCACAACGAGCACCATTAGCAGTGGACGAGGACCCTCGAAGTCCCCCAACCAAGGGTGAAGCGCCTATCATACGCTCGATTGATGATTTCCTTTAAATGAACCAGCCAGAGAGACCATGAGCAACGACCGAGAAGAATAATTTTGACCTGACCTGCTGGAAGACGACAGGGCTGGCACGACTTGATTGATCGCGAGCTATACCACTTTATTTGAGATGACCATATATTCTGTCCTGTCCGTTGAGGGCAGTGACACCGATCTTCTGTTTTTGGAAAGAAACCCTACCAAACCGGGCAATATGGGACTAGGGAATTGTGATTTTTCGGCGTTCAGAATCCACTCACGTCCCATCACATTCGTTTCCATCACTGCCTTCTTGGATGAATGGATGGTTGAATGGATAGATGAGTGAAAAGGCGGGTTTTGGTTGGAAACAGGCGTTCTTGCTGCGACCCGAACCGAACTGAACCGAACCGATATCTGATGCATAGTTGGCGTTATCTTTTTTCTTTGTTGAAGGGGTTGAATGAGGAGGTAGCAGTGAATGAGACAAGGGGTTGCACGGAAAGGGAATGGGCAGGCCGATTATACGAATCGTGCCGGTATAAACGAGTGTAAAATGTAATGAATACTTGGAGAAGTGGGAGGGGAAAGAAAGAAAGAAAGAAAGGGGAAGGAAAGACGAAAGAATAGGCAGGGAATAAGATAAGATGATTATTTCCCGCCATAATACCCGTGTCTTCTCCTCTGTATTTTGGATCTGGTTGTGAAATGTGAGAGTGTGAGAATCGACTTTGACGGAATATGAATGTCGCCTGGCGAATTGTGAGTCAATGAGTCACGATGAGCTTTTGGAGAGAGGCAATCCAGGGAGCGAGATGGGACATGCCAGCGAATAGTGAGTGTGTCGATCATTCAGAAGCGGCAGTAGACATCCAGCAGGACTTTTGATATTCAGGAATTCTAGGGTAGAGAAAGGGTTGGGACAACGGTCCTTCTTACTTTGCTCCAGGACTCCCTCCAGGACTTTAGAACTCAAGTTCCCTTAAGCGACCCGTCGAGCCTGGACTTAACCTCCTCCCTTCCCATTTCGTGGGTGAATATGGAGATAGAAGGTTTAATAATGATGATAATGAGTGACAATTAAGAGATAAGCATTTCCTTAGTGCTCAGTGCATCCCACTCCAGGTAAACTGATATCTGTGTGGTTGTATACCACAGAGCTATTGAAGCGAAGCGAGCGAGTGAGGAAAAAGGTCAACAAACCACAAACGGCCAACCGCAAACAGTTTGCATTCCACCGGCTTCCTACATAATATCTGATAGAAGTTACTGCTTCTTTGATGCTTGTTTCTATTTCTTATAGATCTCTAGATTTTATATTTTGGTATCGCCCTCTCGTCAAATGGAATGCCAGCGGATATCCTACCCAGGCGACAACAGTCGCATCAAACGCCTCTCGCACTATGCAAGCATAACATGTAAAGAAAATTCACCACTCCTTTCCTGACCTATCATATGTACAAACCCCCCTAGTAGTCCTGCTTCACACCCTCTTCTGCAACCACCCAACCAGCCCACCAACCAGCCAACCAATCTACAATTCCTTCTTCGCACTCCCCTTACCACTCATGCCCTCCTTCTTCGCCCTATCCTTCGCAGCCTTCTCTCTCCTCGTGATAACACCTTCAGCACCAATCCCACCAAACACGAGCCCCACACCCATCCATTGCTTGCCGCCCAGTCTGTGACCGAACCAGACAACGGAGAGGATCATGGTGAGCATCTTGCGGGTTACGGTTATAGTTACGAGGAGGAGGGAGGAGAATGTTGAGAGGGTGTAGACTATTTAGGGAGTCAATAGCACGCGCTTGAGTGAAGGGGAAAAGGGAAAGACAAGAGAAAACTCACAAATAAACACCTGCCCAACAGCACCACAAATCGCAAACCCCAGCACATCATACCACACCCCCGGATGCCTCGCCATAAACCCCAACGCAGCCTTGAACTCTCCCCCGCCCCCACCAGCCGCGAGGTCCATCCCCAGATACTCACCCACGCCCGTGTGCACCAAGTACGGCGACAGCGCCAAGTATGAGAACGTAAGAAGCGTGCTCATGATGTTGTTCGCGCACATCATCTGTGGTCCCTTGTATGGCTGGAATGTCTGGAAGATGTAATCTTGAGTGGTATTCGTGAGGCCGTCAAAGAGGAGGTTGATTCCGAGGAGGAGTAATCCCCATGTGCTGTTCCTGTCTGGGTTGATTGCTGCTTTGGAGGGTTTGGAATGCGCTTTTCCTGAGCCGGCGTGTAGAGTGAAGACTGCTACTCCTGAAGTAACGGCCAATACAACGAGATATTTGTATAGCGGGTATCTTCGCTGGAATAGCGTAATATGTAGGAACATAACCGGGAGCAATTTGCAGCTCTTTGCGAGGATGAAGGTGATGTAGTCGATGTGTGCTAGGGAGGCATAGCCGAATGGAGAGGCGAGGGAGGATGTCACCGCGACGAGGAAGAGCGGGATAATGATGCGGCGGTTGGGGAAGATGGGTGCTGTTGCGGTGCCCTTGGTGTCGTAGCGGAGGTAGATATAGCCTACTAGGGCGGCGAAGAGGGATTGCACCGTGTTGAGGAAGACGGGGAATTTGAAGAGTTCGGGGGAGGATGTTGGGCCGTAAGGTGTGGTTGTGAGTCGTTCTTGGAGGAGTGCCCAGGTCAGACTTTGTTATATTAGCATTGGTCTTGGTAGTGTTCGTGCTTTTTGCTTGGTGTTGTAGAACCGTTCCACAGCTTCTCATATTACTTACAACGAGCCATAAATACCACCGACAGCAATCAAGAACTGCAATGCGCCAGCCTCTTTTACTCCTGGCACAACACTCTCCAGTACTTTCTCAGCTGCACTCCCGTTCAGCGCCCCATTCCCATTGATAAGTTTATCCGCATTCCTAGAACTGCGGCTCGGTGTACCGTCTATTTTGCTGGTATATTCGGACGATGGCTCTCTCCTCAGGGGAGTAGCCTGTTTTGATCTCGCCATTGTACTTGCTCTGTTAGAAATAAACAGACGAACAAACGAACAATTGCGAAAGTCAAAAAGTCGAGAAACGGGCAAGGAATTGGCAAAAGGAAAGAGATTGTTGCAACCTGAATTGCAATAATAGAAAATAAGGGAAGCAATGGCGTGAAGTGCAAGTTCCCAGCTAAGTAAATAGTAAATCACTCGAGAAGGCTGAGGGACAAGCTGGCCACAATTCTTAGGACCGGGCTGAGAGTACCGCTTTCCCTGATGGAGTGGTAATTAGGCGGTGAACCGCGGCATCAACATGAGTTGAACCTGGACTGGCTGCCGCGGCGCCAATGGAAAGATCCAATCCTGACCCCTGGTGGATCTGACACAAGGTTGTTACGAGTTCTTCACTTCCCTTTGTCTAGTCTGTTACTTGACATTCTCTCTTTCAAACTGCTCAATCAAGCAAGCTAATTCGAAATATATACCGCAGCAGTCCGCAATCCTCAACATATCAACTCAATTCCACGAATATAGATTGCGGGCTGTATCTCGTACCAACCCCACCATCCGTACAACATCCCATCCATACCAAAAAAAAGAGCCACCCCCCCCCACTTCGATCCGACCCCTCGAATCCCGCCTTCAACTCCAATTAACCTCTTCTCACTTCACCAATTCTCCAAAGCAAACCCCTTCTACCCTTCCAACCTCATCCAGCACAATAAACTGCAATACCACACAACACATTCCACACACCCACCATGTCCGGCGCCGACTCCCCCGCCATCCTCTCCGCCTACGACGCCGTCCGCTCCGACAAAGACCCCACCAACTACCTCATAATCTCCTACTCCTCCCCCACCGGCGACGGCCTCACCCTCTCCTCCACCGGCACAGGGGGCCTCGCCGAACTAGCCAGCAAACTCGACCCCTCACAAGCACAATACGCGTACGTGCGCGTCGAGTACGCCAACGACACGGAGAGCAAGCGCGTGAAATTCGTGCTGGTGATTTGGATTGGGGAGGGCACAAAGGTCATGCGGAAGGCGAGGGTGAGTATTGAGAGTGGGGCTGTGAAGAGGGTGTTGGGTCATCATAGTATTCAGGTTGATGCCAGGGATAAGGGGGATTTGGAGGAGGGGGATATTGTGGTGAGGTTGAGGAAGGCGGGGGGTGCGGATTACAATGGGGGGAGGGGTTAGAGGACCCAAGGGGTTTGATGTGAGGTAGGCGGAAAGGTGAACATAGGGAGGAGGAAGTTTGAAGCGTGGGCGTTTGGGAGAGGTGGTTGATTGGAGCATTTGCTGGGCGTAGTTGGATATGTGAAGCTAGAAAATCTGTCCACTAGACCACTGCCATTGGATATATGAATATCTTGTGAACCCTCAATTTCTGTCAAGTAAATATTGTTGGGATCTGGGACTTTGCATATTGGCACTACAGTAGAATCACATCATAGACAAAACTATTTTGACTTGTTCATTGCTCATATTGCCTAGTCTATGAACAAATCTGCGTACACCATCTTTCTCCTCAGAGATCAAGATGTCGATATGATCGCACGAAGACCAGGCAAACGTGAGGCGAATAGGATCGATTTGCGGAACGTGTTGTGACTTGATGTGAGGGAGCGAGTTCTAGAGTCAAGAGTCGAGACTTGTGTAGTCCAGGCCAGGCGTTCTGGTATAGTGTGTTGATGGAGTGGGGCAATGTAATTTCGTGACTTGTAGGAGAAGTAAGGTCATAGCCGCATGAATGACGAGATTAGGACGATTCTCGTGCGTTCGAGGGAGGACGTCGGAATAACAGAGAAGTCGAGCCAGTGTGTCGGTGTCTCGAGTTGTTGAATGTCAAGGCGAATCGTCTGAATCGAGTATCGAGGGGAGTGACAGTTGAAGAAAAAGGCGCTACCTGAAGTACACACCAATCAAGTGCCGCTGATGACCGTAAATTCGTAAAAGTCCATGTCGTAAAAGAGAAGGAAAACATCGAGGAAGTGCCATGAGTGCTTTTGGTAGAAGAGAATTCGTTCATTAAAAAAAGTCGCTGCAGACGTCCAAAGATTCATCGCAGTATCAGCCTTGCGGCAAGTCAGATCTGGAAGAATCGAGAGTTATGGTCCGCATGGAAATGAAACGTGTAGAAAGCGAAATAATCTTCACATCCTAATCCTGGGCATTGCCTTGGCTTCGGCGCATCTTCTCAGCCTCAAGGTTCTCGTACAGCAAGTAAAGAGCGGTCTCGTTTGCCTTAGCACTCCCCATAATGGTGAACATACGCTCACCAGTGTCGTCATGGGGTGCCTTAGCGATGCTGATGCGAGCTCCGGAAGTCTTGCGGATCTCACTGATCTTGCTACCAGCTCGGCCAATGATACAACCAACCATGTCAGAAGGAATGCTGATGTTCTGGGTCTGAAGCTCCTCTCCATTCTCATCATGGGTAGGGGGTCCACGTTGCGCAGCATCGGAATCGGAGCGGCGGTTGTTGTATGATCGGGGAGCGCTCTCGCTAAAGTCGTTGCCATTGCCGGTGCGCATGACCCGGTTATTGCTGTAGTTGTCACGGCCATTACCAGCGCCTTGTCCCATGCTTGGTCCTCCACCTGGTTGGGTTCGGACAACCGGGTTGTACAACACGGTACCAGTCCCTCGTTGCCAATCATCCACCAAGCACTTGCAGATTTCCCAGATAGCCTTTTGAATGCCCTCAGGGTTGCCTTGAACCTCGACGATGCGCTCGGTTGATTGAGGAAGCATTTCCTTTTGTGCGACCATGCGAACGCCGGAAACATCCTGGATATGCTTAATCTTGAGACCTTGGCGACCGATGATCGTACCCATCTGGTTGTGCGAAATCAACAGCTTGATTGCTAGCGAACTGTTAGCGTGGATCTCGCCAGTTAGTCAATAATAGCTTACGGTGGGTACCAGTAGTAGAAACTACACCTCCCATGCCCATCTGCGGCGCGCCCTCCAACAAAGCCTTTGCGACAATAGCATATGCCTTAGAAATAGCCTCACATCCTCCAGCGATCGTCAAAACACGATCATGGACACCCTGGACGACCTTGCTAACACCAGCCTTGACTCCAGTCTCGTCACGGAGATCCGCGACATTCTTGCCGCCCTTGCCAATGATTACACCAGCTTCCTTGGAAGAAACAATAGCACGGAGCGTGAGTTGCGACTCGGCATACTCTTCTTCGGTCTTGGGGAGGGGCTCGCCATCAGGTCCGAGGCGTCCCTCGTCGTTGACGTTGAGGTTGTTCATGCCATCAGCGAGCTCGTCGCCATTGGGCGCATTGTCTTGAGAAGACATGTTGAGATGGGGAAGTTGTGGGTTGCTTGCGTGAGCAATGAGTGTTGTTGTGGAAGAGACGTTGATTGTAAACGATCAATTAAGACCTTTCCAATGTCAGCGAGTTGATCAAAGCGTGAATTTGAGACCCAACGGTGAATATTAGGTATCTGGGTGTATCTCCTGAAAGAAAGCGGCGCGTGAAGAGTAGAACATACCGTATTGAGTCTCTGGTAGAGTGCGCGGAATGTTTTGCGGGAGCGTTGAGTTTGAGGAAGTGGGGTGGGAAGATCGGATGCGGAAAGAAGAAGTCGCGATATGAGTGTCGCGAAGCAAAAGGTGATGAGTAGGGGTGGATGGGGAAGGGAGAAAGGGCGAAGGGTAGGGTAGGGTGGGTAGGGCGAGGTGAGGTGAGGTGAGGTGACGGTGCAGATACGCAACTGTGATTGTGGTGGAGAGAAAAGGTGGAGGAAGAAGAGGAAGAGTCGCCGTCGCAGGACAGGACAAAGGGTTTTTGATATTATTGCTGCTAGCAGTGGTGAATTGGGGCTAGTCACCAAAACGGACTAGCTCCGAGGACATCGCGGGGTCAGTTAGACGAGAGGAGGCACCCGGTAGCACCAAGAGACTGAGGACTGAGGGACTGAGAGACTACCAGATGTCCATGACTTGGGAGCATTGAAGTCACTGGCTGGGTGCAGGCGACAAGGATTCCTCACCTCAGTTTCCGGCTGGCCTCTGCCTCTGATAGCCTGGCATCAGAAATTTCGAGCTTGTGGGTTTATGGGCCCGCTCTGAGGCGGCCGTTAGGGAACGTATCAGAGCTGCAGCGCCTCGTGGGACGGTGGGACTTCGCTGCCTCTCCCCTCCCCTCCCCTCCTCGCTGCGTCTGCTCGCCCCAGTTGTGAAAACCGCCTGCAGCAGCACATCTGCACAGAGCAATCACTACAAAGTCCCGGGTACGGGCCTTTCATTGGCTAGAACATCCCAATTTTTTAACCAATTGCCTCAACAATTGACAATTTAGAGTGCCGGAATGCATCCGGAGACGAGTAGTTCGCTCGCTCTGTCACATGGTTTAATTGTGATGGCCTGAGAACAACTGAGACACAAGTGCCGGATTCGAGGGAAGAAGAGACATGTCAAGGTAGGTAGCTCAAAACCCAATTGACCTGAGTGTGTTGATTGATGCTCTTGCTTGCTACTACTCTAATCCAAATACGGCTTGAAAGAAATGATTGGAAACGAGGCGGTGTTCACAATTGCCCTGTTGACAGAATTGACTTTAGAATGTGACATAGAATGGTGTCTTACAAGCCGAGCGAGTATGCGGATGAGATGTGGATTGCATTTTGCGTGGGTACACCGCATGTGCTTCTGCAGTAGCTAGCCTTGGAAAAGGACTGCAGTGCAGCAGCGCCAGACCCTCTCGCCACACACTACATGTTTGCCTCGTTTTCTAAGCCACTAGTATCCGGTACTCCTAGGAAATGTGATGGGATATGGCACTCAAATTGATGCACATCATCCGATTATTGTTCTTGAGAGATGTAGTATCTGAGCATGGCCAGCGATGTACACCAGAGTCAGTGCTCAATGGCATTGCAGAGTTGGGCTAACATCTGATCATATATCTATGAACTTGCCTTGCTACCCTTCATAGACCCCATGTTGAAGACCTCTTCGGAATCCTCTAGCAATGGCGGTCTCGAATTTGACTCCCCTCCGTCATCGCCAAACAAAAAAGCTGCTTTCTCACGATTCGGACCTGAAGTTGGCCGCCTCCCAGACTTCAAAAATGGCGAGACTGATTTGGGAGGTGATGATTTGGTAGAAGAGCTTGAAGGAGTATCTGGCTCTAGCATCCATGAAAAGCTGGACTGTGCAATGCTTGATCGAGTCGGTACTGGGGCCTTTGGTCTCGAAGAAGATGTCTGTTCCCGTTTCTCAGCAGTTATTTCTGGGATATTTAAGGTCGGAGTTGACGGTGCATGATTTGAAAGAGTCCCTTCACTTGGCGCAGCGCCGAGCGTCGGATTGGAATCTAATGATCCGCTCTCTTCTTTCTCTGTAGACTTTTGAGTCTGCATGTCTGGTGTCGACAAGGGTGGTTGTTCCGGTGTTATGATTTTTGAAGGAGTTTCAGGTGTGGGTTGTGGGATTGATGTGGGTGCCAGAGGATCTGAGGTTGGGGGTGCGGGATGTGAATCTGGTAAAGGCATTGTAGGATCCTCCAAGTATACTTTGACAAATCCTACTTTCGCGATTGCAAGATCCATTGCCTGGACGTATTTGTCTTTGTCTCCATCTGGCGACATTGATACGGCTCGAAGGTCTGCCATAGCTTGCTCAAGCATGCGTGCCAGTTGCTGGTTTCGAGCCAATATGGCCGTCACAGAAGCTCTAGGGTTCGGAACAGATCTCCCTTCATCGAGTGACCATCTCATCACGTCTGAAGTTCTTCTAGGTCCGTTTCGAGATGCTTGAAGACCCTGCATATTCTTTTTCACCTCACCAACTGCGTCGCGAACCGCCTGGTTGATACCGAGTCTTTCTCCTCGCTCGAAGACACCTTTGGCGGCACCTTGGAAGATAGCTTCGACTCCACCCTGCTGCTGTAAGAACCTTGCGGGCGATGGAAGTGGTGATTTAGTTCTAGATAACGTGGGTTTTGGACTCAGTGATTGGCCGAGGGGTGTTCCAGGTCGCGAGCCCGATGTTCGTAGACTCGGTGTCTTCCCACTGTATTTGGTGATAATTTTGGCGCCACCAGCAGCACTGAAATTATCCCGAAGATATATAGCATCATTCACAAATGTATGTGGGCCATTTGGAGAGACTGGAGGAGGATACTTGAGCAGTAGCATCAAAGCGAATGAGTAATTTGCCTCAAGTACTGGAGAGTGTTAGATCGTGACCACTATTGGTGGAGCCACTTACACTGCCATCTGATTCTCAAAAGCATGGCTACACACACCATATCAACCAAGTCTAGCCCGGGGTCTTCGGCCAGAAGGGTGTCCCATAGAGCTAGTAGATCATCGAACGGAAACTCTCGTCCAAAGAGCAGCCTGATCCATCGGCTACCATACTTTTAGTAGGTCCCTTCAATGTTTGAACAAGAGTGGACTCACATCAAGAATATCTGGGGTAACACTTCGATGTCGGTTAAATGTTTGGCGAGTTCTGGGTCCAACCGGGCCAGGTAAACCTCATGTATGCGTTTACTTCGCTCAACAATTGGCGAAGCACCTTGCTGAGGGGTCACAGAACCTGTTAAACTAAGTCTTTTATCTGGTTCTCCTAATTCGTAAAATGATTTCGCTGTGCGCATGATCAGCGACAGGAGCGTGAAGGCATCATGCTCAATGTAAGCAGGATCCAAAGTCTGCCTCATTAGCGAATCCGATTCTGCCATGGATGTAGGTCCTTCGTGCCCATAATCTATAGCATCTTCTTCTACTACCCAGAGAATAGGAGCTAGCACTTCATGCATTCCTTGCCGATAGCCCACATCCTGGTTGATTTTGCAAAATATGAACAATACATCTAGCAGGATCCTCTGTGTCTCAGGCCGTCGAAAGTATGGTTCTTCCGGCATGCAGCGTTCGACATCTTGGAAAATCTCTGCCCGTATCTCCTCGTCCTGCCGCAGGGTATTCCACGGTGACTTCATGTCTCAGCATAATCGAGTAACATAACGATCTCTAGCTTGATTAGGACTTTCTTACATGTTGATCATCATCCAGAGGATCTAATGCCGACCCTAGCTCATCTGGATTCTCGATATATCGTAAAAGGTGCTCTCTGAGAGAAGTATAAGCACTTCGGGAATCATCTAAGGCTCGTGACCAGCCCGTGATATCAGAAGTCTGAAAGAGCAGAAAAGTCTAGGTAGAGCACAAAGTTTAGCTGTTTGCTTGATTGGGAATAGTAAGACAATATAACATGCCTTCCAGCAGACCGAACGGAGCCCGGATATGCATGGACTGTTGTCACTCTCAGCCTTCACCGACTTCTTGAGGCTTGCAGCATGGCTTGTGGTGATATCCCATCGGGTTCTGAGACATGGTTAGTAGATAAGACACAGTTTTGAGCAGGTGGGACTCGAGCCTTGATTCCTCCAGAGAACGCATTACCACGGGGAGAAATTAAAAAAAAGAACGAGAAGTGTTCAGGATAAGGAGCCGTCTTGATGTTGGTTTGAGGCTGGAGATATGCAGCACGGGATCATCAGCCCTGTCTCCCCTGCCTTGCTTGTCCAGTAGCACGCTAAGGAATGCTGGTCCAGTTAATCCCTGGTTGGCGGGTCCGGGCACTCAGCCTTCTCTCCTGCTCCTTCAAGGTCAAGGGCGACGAACCTTGAGCCGTCTGGCGGACGCCCCACGACGCCATCTAATACACGGCAGCCAGGCAGGCGAACAAGAGGTTGGTTGCGTGTTTATTTTGCTGTGGTATTTGCTCAAGGAATCTGGCTGGGCTTTGCAGATAGTCCAACGAAGGGCGCGAGTTCCAGAGTTGCCGCAAGCAGTCGCGCTGCCATGATCCACTCGATGATTTGAATCCCCAAGAGGATTAATTTCTCGCTGCCACGCCATATATCTCATTGTTGCCCGCCATGTCTTCCGATCTCCTCGCCGAATTCGACAGCTTCTACAACCCTTCGCCAGATAAACAGTCTGCCACGACACCAGCATCAAACGATTTGTTCTCTCTGAGTGGTTCGAATTCTACGGCGACATTTGGAAACGGAGGAACACAACAATGGCAAGCTCCAGCGAAGCTGCCGGTGGATGATTTGTGGGGGGATATGAGTAGTTTCCAACCTACTGCCCCGGCACAACCAATAGCTACAAGCCAAGAGGATATATGGGGATCATTCGAGGCTTCTGTGCCCCAGACTCAGATGGTCCAGCCTACATCTACAGTCCAAGCAAAGTATGCAGGATGGGGCACAACATCTGGCGAGATCAGACCAGTGGGAGTTAGAAGGTCTACACTAGATATGTTCTCCAGCAACATAGAAGACATTCCGGGTCCAGTGGAAATGCCCAAGCCAGTACCGAAAGCTGCTCCCAAGCCTGTTCGGAAGCCATCATATGGAAGAGATGTCCTTTTTGATGCTGAAGCGGAAGCTGAAGATGACGATGAGTTTGGAGATTTTGAGACTGTTGCGGCACCCGAGCCTGTATCACAGCCACAGCCACCTCCATCTCAATCTTTGACCAATATGTTTGGTGCAACTAGTTTGAAGGATAAGCCATCAAAACGGCCTGCAAACTTGCTGTCATCAGGTCTGACTGCTGGTGGTTTACCATATCCACAAGCACCTAAATCACCATCTTTTCAAGAGAGGAACCCATTTGGTGATTTGGCTCCAGTATTGGCAACAAAGCAACTTTCAAATGTAAAGAAAGGATCCAGACCAAATTCGGCCTCACCTGTAACTGCGTGGCCAAACTTCGCACCTCCCCAACCTGACCCTTATGAGGATTCCCCAGCACCAGACAATGCCGAAGATGACTGGGGTGACTTTGCAGACAACCTGGACGCACCAGTACCAGCTGTCATATCACCACGGCCAACCACCGGAATCGAAGCCGACGCCTGGGCCTGGGACAACGCCGACGGCGTTCTATCATCTCCTCCAGCAGAAGTAAACGAAGCACCACCGACCAACATCCCCCCACCATCAATCATCCTCACCCTCTTCCCACCACTTTTTGACCTCCCCCAATCAACCCTCTTCAAAGCCGTAGCCGACCAACCCTTCTCGCTAAAAAATCGCATCATCTCCGACCCCTCCACCATCTCTTTCCTACGAGCCTACCTCCTCATCGCCACCGTCGCAGCTCGCATCATAGCCGGCCGCAAGCTCCGCTGGAAACGCGACACGTTGCTCTCACAGGCTATGAAGATCGGTCCCGCTGCAGCAGGTGGTAAGGGTGGTATGAAGCTCACTGGCGTTGACAAGTCGGAGGTTGTTCGCGAGGATAGAGAAGCTGCTGATGTGGTAAGAGTGTGGAAAGAGCAGCTTGGTCGGCTCAAATCTGCGGTGGCGGTTGCGAATACTAGTTTAAAGGACACGGCTACGCACCTGGCTATCCCGGAGATCTCAGAAACGATGCATGTCAAGACTCAAGAAGGAGGCTTGTCAGCTCCTAAGCAATGTCTTATTTGTGGGTTGAAACGCGAAGAGAGGATTGCGAAGGTGGATGTTATGGTTGAAGATAGTTTTGGGGAGTGGTGGGTTGAGCATTGGGGGCATAGAGCATGTAAGAACTTCTGGCAGGAGCATGAGTCGAAGTTGAAAGGCAGGTGAGGCCTCTGATTGTGTTAGATCTCTGCCAATTGTTTTCCATATTGGGTAGATGTGAGCTTGGGTCAGTATCCAGCCATACCCAGTACTTCGCTTGAGAAGAATTCAGAATTCAAAGACATACAAATACCAGACAAGATCCCGATTTCAATCTTCTACTCGTCCAGGATCTTCAAATGTCTATCATGATCTCTCTTGTTCACTCCTTGACAATATTTTGGGAAGGACCTGGAAGTCACTTTGGCAAGTGGATGCGATGAGTGAGTGAATGGTTGTCACATGCTAAAGTCAAGAGGTAAGCATACTTCTCTGCTTGATAGAAAACGTTGGTATTGAAATTATATTCGTTCGTTATCTCTCGTGATAGGTAGCGAGCAAGGTTAATTACATACAGAAGTCCCTCGATATCGAATGCTTCATCGCTGCCCCTCTCAGCTTGGTCTCAAATCCCCTAGGCCCCATTACAAAATGCTGCAGATAAAGCTTTTTCTCTAAGCTAAACCCTCCAAGTTCTGGCCGTGACGAAGATTTAATTTATACCCATCAACCGTCCACCTTCTTCAATGCAAGCATGATCTTGATATCGGGCAGCAATGGCTTCAAAGCAGGACAATCATCACAAATCTCATAAAGAATCTCATCCGCCTCCCACGAAGCTCTCTTCCAGTCCGAGTCATACTCATAGGTCGCTCCGACCTCCAAGTCTGCCAATTGGGTGGCACTGAAACTGTTATTATCCTCCTCTCCGTACCTTGCCCAATGGGGTTCTGGTGTCCAGTCCGGGTGAACCAATATCATGTCATTGGTCTCAGACTTCGAGTTTCTCTCTAGTACCAGCTGCAGGGTCTTGATGCCCACAAAATCTGCAATGCCATGCATGTTGTTGCAGAAGTACCGCCAGAAGGTTTTGTACTGGACAGCGATGTGACGGATCTGCTGGAAATCCTCTTCCGCGAAAGTGTTTACCAGTGTACGAGCAATGAATATCCGCTTCTTGTCGGTGAAGCTACCAAAATACAGAGTGTCGACTGATAAGTCGAGGTATATTGTTGCAGGGCTCTGAGCTGTGCCGAGACGTAGCTTGTACACTTTCGAAGCAACCTGACGGGATTCTGCACACGCATGAAGCATCGCGGGAATAGGCGCATTGGAAGTGAAAGTCGTCAGGCCGAGGTCATCATTCGAGTATGTGCCTGAAGGATAATGGATCTCGGTGTAGAAGATTCGAACTAGGCGACCAGCTGGTAAGGCGTACTTCCAGATGCGGTTGCGGAGCTCGGGTGGGAGTCTGGAAAAGAAGTGAAATGTCTTGGATTTGTTGGATGGTACAAACGCAGGCCCTCCGACACGGAACTTGGATTTGTAGTGGTTGTCAGGCTGTGATATTTAGCAATGCATCATCAGTGACTTAGGGCGCTTACATCGCGGGTCACTCCTCTGATGAACCATCGCTGATTGGCATCCTCACGAGACGCCATTTTCGTCTCAGAAGTCTGATCTGACGCCAAACTCATTACTCCTGGTCTTGGTTGACTGCCGTAGCTTATTTTGTGGAAGACGAAGAAGATGAAGCTCGTCGAATAAGGTTGAGCTGAGGGAGGAGAAGTCAACAGTTGCTAGTCGTTAAGCGAGACTACTTTAGTATGTCCAAACGAGGCAGTCACTCAACAAACCGCAGGCGCGTCTGCTTCACTATGCCATCAACTTGCCTCGCGTCTCGTTCTCAACTTGTCTCCTTCTCATAACTGAACCTTTAGCTGCGCCATATCGCGCACTGCGAAGAAGGCAGCGTTTTGATCTCATGCTCTAGCCCGCGGTGTGTAACATTCGGTTTACACCTCGTAAGAACCAACGCAGTGTCGAGCAGATCTTCTCGGCCATACTGACACAGCAACCTTCAATCAAGGCCATCATAAATCGATATCTTAGCCTTCAGCGTTACTTGGCCACGCACAATCCATCGCGACTGCCATTTCTGATTGTAGAGCTCCTTCTCACTCAGACAAGCAAACTTGGGACACCAATCGATCTAGAAACACCGATCCAGTTTCACCATGAGCGACTAATTCCAAACTCAGCGCTCTCCATTGAGCCAAAACCTTGATACTGGATATTACGGTGAGTTTAGTTTTCGTAGATATATTCAGACGGGACTGATCTCAGATAGAGCATGGCAGAGCCTACAACCCTTCCGCTGGTGGTGCCTACGCGTATGAAGGTGAGAAGGAGTAACCAGTTCTCAAATTCTTGGCCCTTTGGCTCACAAACAACAGGCTCTGCCTACTCAGTCCCACGATCAGCTCAAACTCAGCATTTGGATGAGTCCTACGCTGCGCAGGACGCCGAATATGATGAAGGAGAAGAGTACGAGGAAGGCTACGAAGAGTATGATGACGCCGAAGGATACGTCTACGACGAGGTCGAGTACGAGGAGCCACAAAATCGCCGGCAGCGCCGCCGTAATCGTCGCCGACATGATGGAACACGAGGACCTCGCGCTCGTGGACCGAGACCTCGCAACCCGTATCGACCATTGCTCGATATCCTTCAACCTGTTACCACTGGCGCCGATCGAACCATGAGTATGTCTCTGATCGCATTTGAGGCTTTGTTTGAGAGACAATTGGGTGGTTATATTCCCGGTTTTGCTTTCAGGGACAAAACCGGAGCCTCTATCACAGGTTTGAAGGATCTAAACTGACAGAAGGCCACTATTGTCATCAAAGGCAATCAGACTCAAGTGGCTGAGGCCTATTATCTCTTAGTACAACACGAACTATGTTATACCACCCAGAATAATGCTGAAGACCTTGGCGAGGAGGCTGCTGAGGAGGTCGAGAATGTGTACCATCCTCCTCACCGCCGCAGAAAGAGAGGTTGATATAGAGAAATTGTTTCTGAGTAAGTTTTGGTGTTGTGAAAATAAGAACGAGAGGACCAGAACGTTGCCGGGAGCTACACACTATGATGAACTGGCATTTCTTCCTCAACAATACTTTCTCGGGTGTTTTGTTTGTCTTATGTAAGGATTTGGGTTGTCAGACGTGTTTCCCCTCGGGTTTGTAAAGAAGCCGGCTCTGACATGGATGAAGAATACAGGGTGGTGAATGATACTGAATGTGGCATATTGATTGGGATAGCAGCAGGCTGTTGCTTTGAAGGCTTCGAAATTGTCCGTAGGAACAGTAGCAACGAATGAAACTGGGCGTAGCGAGGCTGTTTGTCAAAATGTTGGATCTCTCCTTTTGGATGTATCGCGTGTCTCAAATTCTGGTGGTGCCAAATCTCCACTAATAGAGTAGTGAAACCAACATGACGAAGCTACGTATATCGGCAAGGGATGATTTTGAATCACAGTTTAATAAAATCTACTTGTTCTCTGTGTACTTCTCAGTTTTACACATGAATTGGAATGCTGAGGTCCTCGACAAGTTGTTTACCCGGATCATGCTTTCCTGGACTAGAAGAGCTTGTGCAGAGATATCAAACCTCAGATTAAAAAATACATAGGTGTATTTATCCGTTAATATGTTTTGACCCCTGAGAGATGCAACCGAGATCAACGGCACAACAAATTCGAGAGCAACGCTGTCGTCCGAGGGCACAGCAGATTGCCAAGACGGAGTAATGCCATTTCGTCGCATTTTTCAGAAATTTCTTTCACAACACCACTAACAAATACGACTGTACCCCTGAATATAATTCTAAATTGGTCCCTGCGTGCATAACATAAGTGGGTATGTGACTCAGTTGAGCTAGCCGACCTGTGCCGCAACAATCAAGCTTAAACATAAGGTGAAGCCTTTCTCTCGCGTCTTTTCTTCTTTTTCCCTGTTCACGATCCTTTGTTTTGCTTCACTCGTTCAGCAAGCATCGCGCCACCACCGTGGAGACGGTCACCACTTGTCCATTCGCTCAGAATAAATAATTTTCACTCACCATGCAGCTCTTTTTCCTCTTCTTGTGCGCGTTTCTGGCGCTCACAGCCTCAGCTGCTCCGTATATCGTGACCTCTTACGTTGTCATATCCGTGGAAACATTTACCTACTATGGCAGCACCGAACTCTACACCGAAACAAGTGTAGTCGCAAAGCCCACAGCTTCAGTATCCGTCCTGTCAACCTTGACTGAATCTGCTGCGTATGCCGATGTCACGGTGGTCTACGAAGTCCTCCAAAGTGGTCAGCCAACTTCCCGCACGTACAACACTGGTACCGACGAAGTTTTGTACACCAGCTATGTGGTTCCGATCACATACTCTGCGGATGCGACATGCAGTCAAGACTGGACGTATTCTACGAACGTCCCAGTGTCCCTACCAGCAGTTATTAAGCCCACCCCGGTTACGGCCACCACTTCAACTACCACACATCCGTACGGATATGGGTACAGCAAACCTCAAGAGACCTTTGTCGTGGCCGTACTGAACGCCAGCGATGTCGATGCAGCTGAAGTCGCGTCGGCGAGCAGTGCCTACGCACCATCCTACATTAGTTACTGCTACTACACACCAACTACAACATGCTCCACTCCCACCGGAACAGCAGCACAATGCACAACAACTTTCGTCTACGACTCTTCATCCTCCAATCGAGGCAGCTTCTATGAAGACCCCTACTACACAGGCTACTGGTGGACACCCCTGATCCTCATCTGTGTGCTCGTTCCTGTCGGCTGGTTCCTGCTCTGGTTAATCATCGGCCTCTTCGAGAGCTGGATGTCCTTCAAGGGTCTCATGCTCGGCCAGCACCGCAAGAGAGGTCTGCCATACGCATGGTGCTGCATCAGCATTATCTTCCTGTGCTGGACAGGACCGACATACAAGGCGAAGAGTCCGGAGGAGCAAGCGGTGATGCTGGAGAGGTGGAAGGCGATGAAGGCGGGCGAGAAGTTCAAGTTGTGGATGAAGTGGGGGTTTAGGTGGAAATATCCGACGATGTTGGGTGAGGAGCCAGAAATTGCGAAGAGAGCGCTGAGACAGGGTTGTTTGTGATACCTGAGCTTTTTTGATGTGTTGATGATGTATTGAGCATGGCGTTGGGGCTCTGGATTGACTGTTGGTACTCCATCAGTTTGGTTGAAGATTAGGAAATACCTATAATAGATTAATTTGCGATCATTAAGCTTCCAGCCTTGAAACTTTTTTTATTATTTCTGTGTTCCTGACAAGCAGGTATGAAGGTGTATTGTGAATGTCAGATCTGTCGACCTCCCAGGGACTGTGAAGTCAAGGTCTACAGTAGGACGTTCGACACGTGCAAAGCAACATGCTCTTACTTCTCGCAAACGACCCACCAAGCCTTCCTCCGTGGTTATTAATATCCTTACCTCAATACTAGTCACTTGTCATCAACATAAGCATATCATGTATCCACTAGCGCGGAGATCGGCTCCTCTGGTACGGGATGGATTTGTGTTTACAATAGGCGAGATCCTGAACTCAAAATAGGGGGATCTGAGGTCAGGCGCGCAGAAAGTTTATTTCATGGACCTCGTCGACAATTACTATTACTCATGGATGAAACCTTCCACGGTTATGTGAGCACCACCCGTTCCAGATATCAAATCGATTTGCACCCACCCCTACATATCAAGATAAAGATTCTGATTTCCCATGAAATGTTCACCTCTTATGCCGTTTACTGGCCTTGCTTGAACTTACCCACCAGAACCCCATCATCAATTTGCAGGCCTAAAATTGATCTTCCTTGATGCTTGGATGTCAAAAATGCGTGTTACTGACGTTCTTTGTACGGGTCTCCACACGGCTGTTGTTTTCTTTCAGCATATTCGTTCGGTTAGGTACTTGTCTTAATGTCCTGAACGTCAGAGGACTGCGACTGTCAAGTAGATGTCAAACCTACCATCAAATAATACTTTTCTACTTGAATCCAACTCATTATGGCCGCATCCAGAACGACACTCCTATAAATTCGACGGGCAAGCATCGATCTCATTCTATGTCAGGTGACAGTGGCCGGAAAAGCGGGCCACAACCAACAACCGAATCCTTACTGGACCAGGCTCCCATCCCATCAACGTCTCGCAACTGATTTTCATCAACGATTCAACATCCAGATACTCAACAGATGGAACATTGATCAGAAGTTCTCTCAGTCACTCAATACTTGGAAGCGTCTGTCATACCGACCAAGCAACTCCTCCCAGTCCCGAAATGTCTCTCTATCAAGTGGACCCCAGCCCGACAGTAGAGGACGATACCTCAACTGTCAACGGAGGAGTCGTCACGCCACCAGAAACGGTCGCCGACCTTCTTGAAGGTCTAGACCCGATCAAGAGTCCTAATAGTAGTGTACCATGGCCTGGTAATAGCTACATTATACGATCCGCGATTTCCGGACAAGTTCTCACTCTCATTGAGGGGCAGGTTGTCTTGGCAGCACCTGGTATGTTTACATCTCTTTGACCCGAGTCATTGATAGACTGTTTCATTATGCAAGGCTGCGGGCTACTTAAACGCCATGATTGGTACCAATAAGTGTTTGTGTCTTAAATACACAGCAGAAACCTAATGGTATTTTTGTTCGGGTGCTTAGCGCCATCTATTTTACAGTCTTGATACACAATCATACAGAATGAATGTAATACTGACATCCGCACAGGAGGCAAAGGCTCCATACATTGGGCATGCGTCCAAACCAAAGGCTGGCTCGGCTTCAAGAACACCGTCTCCGGGAGGTATCTCGGTCATGGTAAACACGGCAACCTCATCTGTTCAGCAGGCAAACATCAAAGCTGGGAGAACTTCTGTGTACGGATGACTCCAGATGGAGATTACATCCTTCTCATGACGCATTTTGAAAGACTTTGGCATGTAGGGACTAAGAATGAGAATGGGAAGAAAAAACTGGCGAAGATTGGGGAAAATATGGAGGAGGCAATTATTTGGGAGTTCATCAAAGTTTGACCATGGGATCGGGGGAAGCTGGGTATGGATGATAGCATGGGAGTTAGGTGTTCATTTGATGGCTTTACGAGTGCAATGCGATATGTAGGATGGATGAATGAATGAATGTATTGACGTCTCATCAGGTTGTTTTGGCCTCCTGTGCAGCCCTTATCCTAGTTTTCAAAATTAGCTCCATGTCCCGATCCTCCTCTTCGCCTGTTGGACCCTCTCCAGTCGTCCAGCATGGCATTACATATTGTACAGACCTTTTTTTTTTTTTTTGGCTGCAATTCAATAGATGATTACATATTTCACAAGTCCCCTTCCTCCTCGCAAGGAAGAGGGACTTGTCTTGCGCTCTTGAAATCCCCGGCTAGTTCGAGCCACCATGTTAAATCCTTGTCTGCGTAGTATGACTGCATCACGTTCGCATATGTGTCGTTGCTCTCCTTCTTATCTTCATTGCTTGTCGTCTTTTGGCCTGCCGAATTTGTGGTGTGTGTTGTCTGGGAGTCTTGTTCCTGTGTTGGTGGGTTCAATCTGGATGTGGTGTTGGATTGAGCGGAGGCGGTTTGGGTGGGTTTTGAGCTTTTCATGGTGACGGTGGGTCCGATCAATGGATCGAAGGGAGAGCTGGATACTACTTGAGTTCTCTAAGGGCTGGAGTTGGAATAGAAGGGGTGTTGGCTTTTTATAAGGTGAGAAGATCGGTGCCTGAAGCCCATGGACTGCTGCCTGGGTTTGGTGGTTTCGCTTTTGTAGGCTCCAGCCAGAATGATCATTAAGTATTGTTCTGGTTGGATAATATTGGCAGTACAAAATACTAGCCACTATTTAGAGAATCCATTCTCCTTGGATACATTGCGCTTCGCGTGGTAACGATGCCATTAACACAAGTTGCGAGAAAGGCGACATGCCCTTGCTTTAAAGACAGCAAATGACTGGCCAGTCACTCCAAACTTCTTCTTAGCTCAGTGAGTGCCAGTTGCACTTCGCTTGAGACTTACCGATACAGTTGATAGCTTGGATAGTGACCTGACTGGGAAAGGACATGCTTAGAAGGAAGACCACTCCCAAAATCCAAAACTGTGGAACTTGCACTAAAGAAGATGCTATTTCGGCAAGGAAGGTGCGACTAGTTGTAGAATTGATTCATTACTCGCTTTCAAAATGCTATGGTATCTCTCAAAATGCAAACCATAAGAACTCCCGCACCCCAGACCATAAGTCTCGAATCTAACCAGCGACATTAATCCGAAAGGACAACCACATCATCCGCAGCACCGCCATAAGTCAGATGGCTTACTGTAGTCTCCAGATCATCCACCGTCTGTCGAAGCCTGGCAATAGTTTTTCTGTATCCCTTCGCCTCAGCCCTAGTTCTCCTGACTTCTTGTTCTATCTCATGCTCAATCATAATCTCCGTCGATGCCTTCAAGTCCGGATAATCCGCCTTGATCAGAGCGAGGATACTCCTCAACAAATCCGTCTTGCCCTCTGACGGTTCTCTTGCGTCGCCTAGGTTGATCGCAGCATCTAGTTGTATCGGTGTAGGTGAGGCTTCTCGAACGTATGGCTGACGGGTTCCATCGACAGCTCTACCGGTTGTGGCAGGTGTGGGCAACTCATTTCGACCATCCTCCATGTTCTTGTTAACTGGTTGTCCCGGCGTTGTAAATCTGGTGACTTTGGCTGATTTCCTGGATGGGCTACCGTTCCGAGTATTTTCTGGATTGAACACATCCTCAATATCGTTATTTTCAACAATGACGAAGTCATCCTCTTTGTTCTCCACATCCTCTTGAGGATCATCATCTGAGATATCCTGTATGACCCTCTTCTTCCCATTTGTTCCGCTAAGCCACCCATTCATGCACTTCTTCGAGCCGTTATTCGGAGTACGTATCTCGCGAGACTTTGGAGCTGGCTGCTTTGCAGGTGTTGTTGGGTTCAATTCCATCCACTCTATTGCGGTATCCTGCTCATCATCCCACATAAAGAATTGACATGGCTCTGGGTCTCCTGGTTGTTTCGGCTCTCGTACAGGACACATCCAGACTAAATTTCTTGTTAGTTACTACTTCAGAGAAGTGTTAGGGACTCTTACACAATCTGCCCTCATTGCGCGTCTTTCTGGTGACTGGCAATCTTTTTGCTTTCCTATCACATTTGCAATACCACTCATCTGCTTCAAAGCGACCACACCATCCTATACGTTGCTTTTTTGCCCGCGGACTCTCTTCTTCGCTATCCGCTTCCTTCTCAACCACGACCTCTGCTCTATCCTCCTCTTGCTCCAACGTGGTAGCCATATCCAGCTAGAGAGTCTTGCAGGGTTACTATGGTGACAGCGAGGAAGCTGGTTACCCAAGTAATCCTCAGTAAAGAATCGCAATTGAGGAAGGTCGTTGTTTTTAGCCAAAAGACGATTGCTTTATGACTTCACAAGCTGAGTAGCTCAAGATACTTCGTACGAGGTTGAGCTGATTGCGACCGGGTCCAGCAAGGCTGGCGGTTAAATCACACCACCCCAGCCACCGCGATTTTGAAGCTGTACTTGGATGAAGCCAAACTATTGGCTTGGCAGGCGGACTGCGAATTCTCGGGTCTTGAAGTTTGTCAAGCAAGTAGATTATGGTGCTGGATTATTTTCTTGTTGGTGAATTGAAGTAGGGTGTAGATAAAGTGCGAGGTGAAGGTAAACAATTGCTATCTCACCCCACAAATTGGCGGGGTCGGTCCCAAGGACAATTGACCCCGACAGTGCTAAATATGACAGCCGACTCCCGCTGCGGGAGCCCGTCTCGGGAGCATCCGCACGCTAGATTCAGAGGACTTCTAGGATCCAGAGCCTGAAAGTCCAGGTTTCTTCGGGCGATAGTGTTTCCCTTCTCCACTGCTAAATTCACCTGGCTCAATGTTACGAAAGTATCATATTCATGAATTATCAGATGGTGTATCATAGGGGCAGATGGGCGCAGATTTAAGTTGAAGTCAGGCTGCTGCTCTCAGGTCATGGATAACTTAGTTGGGGGTAAACAGAGAGCACCCAATTTGAGTACCAGGCAGCAAGCTATACCTACTTCCACAAGTATTGCACTTATTGGAGCTGTCGAGCAACCTTCGCAAGAGCATGCTAACTTTTTCCCAATGATTCAGCACATGTATGATGAAGCATTCCACCAAAAAACAAAGTAGTTCCAGGGCACACCCACATCGCCAGAGCATCTAATCTCCTGCCCTTCTCCAAAAATCACTATCATTATCAATATCGTAGTCATACTCCTCCTCCTCATCATAATTATAATCCCGATCATCATCATAATCATCAACAGGCGACCTACTGCGGCCCCAATCTTCCTCTTCGTAATATTCTACCTCCCTAACCGTCCATCCATGACTCTCCATCGCTTTCTTCAAATATCCGCTTGGTCCATCGTCATACACCTGAGCCACGATATCCTCGAGCGATGAGATGGCTCTGAGCCGTCCATTTATCAGCTCCAAAGCCTCGATAGCGACTTTGGGGTGGTCGAGTGCTTCAAGCTTCAGCAGCACAGTCGTTGTGCTATCTGGGGGCATCGTGAGAGTCCGCAGATTGGCACAGTTACTTTGAATATTTGCACAGACATCGCTGCTAGCGTCTTCCAGAGTTATATTGCCTGCTTCCAAGTTGCCGAAATCTGGAAAATCGATATATATGTGCTGGATACAGCCCGCATTCGTTCTGCCAATTCTCTCAAGGAAAGAGGCCACTTCCTTGTGGGAGACCCAGGATAGGTCGAAAATGTTCTGAGCGTACATGAATGAGCTAGCTTCTCGATAGATTTGCCGGTTGACTCGGAGAACGCCAGGCGTGAGCCCGGACCCTGGATAGTACTCATCGAAAGGGTTGATCGGTGATTGTTGCAGTAAGCACAGCTCGTATACTGAATTTCGGATCTCGCTGGGAAGATCGAGGAAGCTGGTCATCTTTTGCTTGCTTTAAGGGATTTGATAGAGCGGCTGCAGTGTATAGTTTCGTTGTCTTGGAGTGAATCAACACCTGGTAGAAATTACATTCAAAAAATATCGAACGATATCTGCTTGTTGGGTACAAGGAGGGATTTCTATGTGTCGCTATTTCATTGGACAGCTGTATTGAGTGTTGTGTTGCACGACAGGTGAGAGCCGGGTATTCGCTTCAGCCATTGCTTTGGATGCAGACAAATCGGCCGCGGGGAGGGGGGGGGGGGGGAGAATTAGAGCAAAAATTGGATTAATTCGGCACTTACTAAATTATCAACGTACTGCTTCCTTGCTTCAACGAACATGTGTGCGGACCCGTGGATTTTTGCCTATGCCTCTTTATTACTATATTAGCCCTCTTGGCTTTTAAGTGTTAAGCGAGCCACTATAAACAATAGCAACATGTAGTTAAAACTCTACTATGCTGCCTATTGTTATTTCATATTCTAGAGTCACTATTTTATTAAAATGTTTACGTTGTATTTCACGAGAACTTTTCAATTTCTTTAATTACCTAAGATAGTATTTTTTTATATTCTAAATCAAATTTTTATATGTACTACAGCGCGATGTTATTCAAATCATAACTACTATCCTACCACTTGAAAAATCAAAACCCACTCTCAACCCGCCTATTCTGCGCCCTATTGATCAAGTTACGGGTTTCGGTAATGTGTTTGCAGTCGAATCCCCTAAGTGTCGCTAAGCTTTTAGTTGAGAGTTCTTCTATCGAGGTTCATTTCAATGGCGTAACTATCTACCGAAGTTGACCAATCCTGCCTCTAACCCTTACTGAGAGAGAAGATTGCTTGCTACCCAAGAAACAGAGATCTGCCCACACGATTCGATCAACCGTATCCTTGTCATCTTCGACTTCTGAGCCACCAAACTTATACCAACTGAATCCACTTCCTCCCGACACTCAGTGCCTCGCCGTGCATCCAGCCCTGCAAGTAAGCATCACCCACCAAGTTAAACGCATTCAACTCTTGTGTCTGCCTCAGAACAAAGGGCGTTCGACAGCCAGGAAAGAAGCAGATGGCGTCTCCCTCATGCGTCCCAGGCGGCACCCACGCCATGTAGCCTCCACGAGTGAGGGCAAACTCGTATGCAAACCAATGGAAAGCGCCGGGCTTCGCCGACTTGATGCCACCTTTGGGCCGTAACCGCTTCCGCATCCCACCGTTGTATCCTTTGCCATCGTTCCGAGCCACGGTTCGGAGTTGCTCTACGGTCTGCTTCAGCGCCTCTCCTGCTGCCGGCGGCGCGGGCGACTCGCTCTGAAACCAGTCAAGCAGCATGGTACGCCAATGTGCCTCCCCGCGACTCATACGATAGGGGTTCTGCTCGCAACTGGTGGCCATCTGCAGCGTCTTGTCGTAGACGCCCAGGTAGCCATCAACCGTCTGCTTGCTCTGCGCGTCGCCGTGGACGCCGGGGTTGCCGTGGCCAGACTGTGGCACGCTGTCGCTGGTCGAGGCAACGAAGTCCACGATGATGGCGCAAACGTGGAGCACATTGGTGGCCGTTTGACGCTGTTGGTCCAGACGGCAGACTACGTTGCGGTCCTCTTCTGCCATCCAATTTCCCCTGCGTCTTTGCTTGACGGGTGCAGAGAAGTCGGGAACCCACGACGGTAGGTTAGGCATACTATCTTTATCCCTGTACGCCAGCCCAGCGGCGAGAAGTGGGCGGATCGAGCCTTGTCGAAGATAATAAGCGACAACCTCTGTGTAGATGTTCTGATTGGTGGTTGTGTTTCTGTAATTGGGGCTCAATGCTGGGTCGTGCCAATCTGAACAGAGACCGAGCATGGCGTATATCTGATCGCGTGGATTTGTTGCCGACAATAGATCCCACTTGTCCAACAGCTCGGCAACTGTTGGCCATTGAGAACGATCTGTGTTTGCAAGCTGTTTCTTGAGGAGACCGACGCTCATTGCAAGCTCGGCAATGAGGACGAGAAACACTTCGAAACTGGGCCAAACATTCTCCTCTCGTTCGAAGACGATGAGCTCTTCGGAGAGCTTCATGGCCGTATCGCTGAACTGTTGCCAGGAGAAGGTCCCTGCCGAATTGACGAAAATGAGATTTTTCGAGAGGACAATTTCCTGGATGATCCACGCCCTCATCCAAAATTGGCTCTCGTAGTAGAGCTGTAGCGCTCGCCACTCCTCCGGAGAGCCCAGAGAAGCGAATTGTAGCACGTCATCGCTTGCTTTGTGATTGCAGTAGTCGATGAGGCGCAGAAGAAAGTCCTCCTTAAGTTGGGCAGACTCATCTCCGATGTAGCCTACGGCTTGCGTTGCACCACAGTAGATGTCAGTCATCAACGGAACTTGCGTTTCTTTCTCGGCGTCGTCTTTCTGGTTGATACAGATCGCGTCTATCCAAATATATCGTGGTACATGCGTTAGAGGGACGAGGAGTTTGAGCACAGCAGCGCAATTGAAGTTGACGGGAAGCTGTCGCTTCTCGGAAGAATTTGTACAGGAAAGTACTATTGCGTGTGTTGTCTCGGACGAGCCCCATAAGTACGAGACAGCCCAGTATGCTGGGGCCGTCTTCAGAGACACGGTCTCCAAAGAACAAGATACTCCAAGTTCGGTTTTCTGGATTCTGAGAAGTCGAATGGTCCTAGGGTCTTTGATAGGATGATACTCGTATTGGATCATATGGCATGCCAAATGCGCTTCCTGGATGAAAGACTCAACCTCAGGGTGCTTCCCGCTCGTGACGAGCGCCTCGATTGGTGTCGTCATGACGCGACGGTGGAACGAAAACCCTGAACGAGGAGTTGACCAGAGCAATATAATCTCGAGAGCTGAGTTAATGGTGGTTGATAGGGGGGAGAGTGAATGACCTGGAGTCGGAGCAAGTCTTTGAAGAATAGACTCCGGTCGACTCAACCAGATACGAGCGAAAAGATAGCCCGCAGTCCGAAGAGTGACAAGTGCCCAGCTCCGGGGCTTGGTGAGGTTTGTCCTGTAATTCAGCTTGAGGTTCCTCCTGATTCTTTGCGGTAGCAGCGACGAGCTCAGTGGTCCGCAAGTGATAGCAATCAGCCACAAAAGCCATGGGACGTCGAGAAACCTCGGGCCGGGGGTAAAGGCAGCGGCAACGGCGCTGCAGGTGCCCCAGCCAAATCCATTCAGAATAAACAAGTTGGCTGTTTCGAGAGCTAGATAGAGCTGACGGACGAAGCTTAGATGGTTGGTGTCCATAAGTAGACGAATTCCACACGATGTGGTAATAAGGCTGTGGGATATCATAAAGGAAATGGAGCCTGATCACGAAAGGTGCTGCCTACTCGTACAGTACTGTTCGTGAATGTGCCGAGGGTAACCGATCATATGACTTCCATGCTCTGGATTGGCCAAATTCCGGTACCACCAACATGGGGAGCTGTCTGAGACTCCTGTGATATGATGTATTGTGTGTGGCTACCACAGCAGCTACAGTGCAGAATCGATCAGCCACAATTGAATCATTATTGAATGGGCTGGCGGTGTTGCTCACTAGGTTGGGATCTTGCCTCCAAGGCACGCTGAAGACAAATTAGGGGATGTACCTACCAGCAGGCAAACGATTCGGTTGGTATGATCGCATCCATATGCGCAGATTCAGCGTCGCTTGAGTTCGAAGTACCTACAAGTTGTATCGTTACAGCGTGCGTCTCGCTATGTAGGGACAGACGTTATGTTTCTTCATTATCTTGTCCGCGTTCTTGGCCTGCAAGTGCTAAGCGAGCCATTGTTGACAATGCAAAGCGGCATGTGGTTTGAGATATACTATGCATTCGGAATCCAGAGTCACTGATTCATCATATTACTTACATCACATTTCAATAAAAACTTTGAATTTGGTTTATTACCCCAAAATATTATTTTTTTGTTTTCTAACTTCAAGTTCTTAGTACAGCGCAATATCGTTCATGTCATAACTACTCACTATCTTACCACTCAAACATCAAAACCCACTCTCAGCCCACCTATGCTGCGCCCCACTCATCAATTAGTCCAGCTAAAGAATCAGTGTACCCATCCATGTATGTGCATCTGCTGCTGCCGCTGCTGCATCTCCCACGCCCCCACCTGCAACGGATCTCTTACTGTACCATCCGGGAACAGTCCACGGAGAGCCAGTCTCGCAGCACGCTCCTCGATATCCCGAATCAGATCGTCTTGGATCAAGATCAAATCTAATCGGTTTTTCTCTCGGCGCAAAACTTCGAGAGACTCGGGGGTGGGGTAAGGGGCAGCTGCTGCAGGGGCTGTCATGTTGGATGGTGGTTGTGGGATGTCCTGCTGTGGGTATGTTGGCTCAATGTGCGGGATGCTAAGCATGAGAACTGGACGAACTGGGTGTACTGCTTCCATAGGCGGGGTGGGTAGACCTTGAGGTGTGAGTTCAAAGGGTGAAGTCGATGGGTCTGGCAGTGGATGATTGTGTTCGGGGAAGTAATGTTCAGGCAACAGATTGAAGATATCCTGAACATCTGGCTCCTTCTGAATACGTGGAACAAACGGTTCAGCAGTAGGTGATAGTCGCCAGGTACTCGATGCCGGGCTGGAGACACGGTTATTGTCAATGAAGGCTCCGTTCAGATCACAGAACCACTGCTCATGTTCCTGAATCTCAGAGTCTCTTCTCGTGAAGATTGGACGGGGATTCGAGGATTGTGAAGAATCCGTAATGATCACTGTCTCCACACTCATAATCGAGGAGGCCCGTGATCTAGACGGCGAGCAGGCTGAACCTGCAACGATGATATCTGAACCCTCCTCTGCCTCTGCATTGGTCTCAAGAGACTGTGGCTGAGCCTCGGAGAGTGGAGGAGTTCTGATTGCACTGCGCTCGAACGATCTAGGAGTGACCGGAATGACGGGACTAACTGGTCTCCGTGGAGAAGATGGTGGCAAATTGACCACAACTTTCTCCAGGGTCTGGACTGGAGTCATTGGTCGAACAGTCTCGGCTGCTACTTGCACATTGAACAAGACAGTCTCCTTAGCTGGCTCGACTGGAACCACAACCACTGGCTTAGCGACCGAGGTGACTGGAATAGTTGGCGACCAAACACTTGGCTTGACAGGCCCATCTACAAGGACCGACTCTTCAAGTAGAGCTGTCTGTTTCTCGGCTGCGAATTTTTCAGACTTCGCCTTGCGCTGTTTCTTTCTACGCTCTGTCCTCAGGTTCTCGGGTGCCGGATCGGCTGAGATATGAGAAGCAGGAGCAGAACTGTCTGTGCTCCAGCCCGCTGGTTGTCTCCATGGCTCGCGGTCGCTTGTTTGTCTTCTGGCAACTGGCATTGCAAAGACTTTAGAAGCTTTGAGAAGCTTGGTACTTGCGACAGGCGTAATGGTCTGCTTAGCCAACTCTTCAAGAGTAGGGCCATGCTTTTCAATCTTGGGAGTCGTTGTCTTGGACTTAACAATCTCCTTGCCCTTAAGCTGAGCCGCCGCAGCAGCTTCAGCAGGAGTGGGCTCATCAGCAACTTTTGGTTCACCAACCGCAACAGTTTTGATAGCCATGCCGCGATTGCAAATCGGAGCCACAACATCAGAGTAGCTGAGGGGCAGGGACTTAGCTGCACCAGCCATGTTCATTACCTCAACTTCTGCTTCCTCCTCATCAGCCCAACTACTGTTGGTAGGGGCGAGGAGAGCCTTCAATTCAGCTTCGTCATAGACTTTTGCTGCTGCCTTCTTCGAGTTGGATTTTGGTGATTTCACGACCCAGCGTGCTTCTCCGCAGACGAACTTCGTGGTGCTCGACATACTGAACGATGTAGAGGTTGAGTATGGTGTCTGAGGTAAGGATATCGTATATATGATATGTGATTTGGATTTGAATGCTGGAAGTGTACTAGATAATATCTAGTACTGAGTGTCGCGATAGTGGTGATCGATGATGAGGGAAAAAAGACATCATGCCAGAGAACGAGGTGAGGGATATATACTCGTTGAGCAGTAGTGTTCTAGACATTCTGATACAATGAACAGCAGGTTTCATCAAACCAAACAGTATGGTGTACATGTGAGAACACAGACAATACAATGATATGGGCTCTTCGAGGTTTACCGATAGCTCAAGTAATCGAGTGTTCGGATGAAAGAGGATGTTGAACCCAGTAATTGAACACCAAACTCGCGTACTTTGTTGCAAACAACCGATTGTTGAATCGTAATGAAACGTATTGTTTAGACACTGAGCAGACAAAGAAACCGGAGAACAGAGGTACAATGCTTGACTGTTGCTTCTTTGGCGACATGACAGTCTTTGTTGATTCCGCTAGTGTGGCGCGAAGCGAGGAGAACCGCTGACCCGCCAGCCCGCCTTAAGTCATTTTTTCAGCACATTATGTCACAGGCCATTCAAAATCATAGATGTAAGCAAGCTGGGGTACAAGAGCCGTAACCCTTACTTTCCATTTTTCACGCCTCGTCAATATACAGAGTATGCAAATCATCCACCCACCAGCCAATCCGTCCGTGGGCCAAAACGTCCCCCTCTCCATGACTATGCACAAACCCAGCAATCCTCCACGCCGAACCTACCCTCCAACGTACCATGCATAATCCCACCATCCTCGCCTCATAATCTTGGGTATCATCAAGCTCCCACCAATCCATCCATCCTCATTGCATCATAACGCTTGAAATCTAATTCTTTCATCTCTTTCGTGTCTTTGACTTCGAATCTGCTTGCACGCTTGCATGAAAACAACAACAACGCCGAAGTCTAAAGATTCCTTCTCCCCCTCTCTGCTCCTAAGAATTCAAGACCTCAAGCCTCAATAACCCTCACTCCTCCTCAATCGCCATACACCAAGGATGCTCGAGCACTTTCTCGATAGTGACTCTAGATTCCACGTCTCGGTCGAGCATTGCACGGATAAGGTCGATGCTGTCTTCGCTCATGACATATGGAACCCGAAGATCACGGTCCATGATTTCGTCGATACTGTAAAATGGATTTTCCTTATAGACGATCGTGTAGAGAAGGATGCCGAGTGCCCAGACATCTTGCTCCTTACCACGATAAGGCTTCCCTGCTAGGACTTCAGGAGCCGCGTAATCTTGGCATTGTTAGCATACTTTCAACAACAAGGATAAAGGACTTACCAATAGTGCCCACGAAGACATCAAAAGGACCATTCTTGATGTACGCAGCGCTCCCAAAGTCGATAAGCTTGATGTTACCCTCACCATCCAACACCACATTTTCGTCCTTGATATCTCGATGCACCACTAACGCCTTGGTGTGAAGATGGTGAATAGCCCTAGCAACTTGAACAAAGATACTCCTGCACTCATTCTCTTCCATATTGACTCGGAGCTCAATGTAGTCAAAGAGATCCATGCCAGGGAGGCCATGCGGTATCATCTCAATATAGTAGTTGACATCATCCTCGAAGAAATCTGCCATCTCAACAATGTTTGGATGCTTCAGCCCATCTCTTCGAAAATAGTCAAGGACGTGAATTTCCAATGGCACCGTCCCAAGTCGCCGATCTCGCGTCCAGGTATCGACAAGGATTCGTCGTTTAGTGACATATTTCAGAACCATCTTCTTGTTACCATTTTTCTTGTATCGAGCGAGTTTAACTTGACCGTAGGCGCCTTGTCCCATTTCTTCGAGAATGACAAAGTCATCAATTGTTTTCTTGTGTTCGGGTTCAACAATGGCGGGAACTACTTCCTTCTTCTCTTCGGCACGCGTAGGCGTATCACGTCCTGTGAGCTTAGCAGCTGTCTTTTTGACTACAGCTTTGAGTTGGGAGGTAAGTAAAGATGCATGGGCCCTCGTCTCTTCGTCTGAAGATTCCATCTCCATAGGGGTAGCGATTTCTGTCTGTCCAGGTGATGGTTGGTGGAGAGGAGTTGCAACTCCCGAGAGCAGAGGAGAAGCGGCACCTAAATTCTGCCTCGATGCATGAATATGGCGTGAATACGTGATCCAAAGGGCATAGACAAGTTCAGAAGAACTCTCGGCTTGCGTCTCAGAATGATCTTCTTCTTCGTCACTTCTTTCCTCGATGACATTCTCATCATATGCGGGTACTGGAGGCTTGGAGTCGGATTTGACAACCCTTAATTGTGCATCAATCTTGATCTCTGAACCGTCTCTATGCTTCGCTGGCAGTCCGTCAGGCCTGAGGAAGTATGAAGCAGCATCGGATTTTCCGTCCCGTAGAGCCAAAAATGCTCGTGCGCGGCGAAAGCTGTGTTCGGGAATGACGATGCCATCTCTGAGAATAACACCGTCCTCTTCAATCAAGATCTTAAGCATACGATCGAAATCTGGGATCAATTCCGTGATAAGTCGGCCATCAGGCTTCTCTTGACCAAACAAGGCTGCCGAGAAGACAGAATTCGAGCTTGTAATCGTTAATGTCTTTGCAGATAGGACCATAATCCCGGCAATATGTGGAAAGCTCGAAACTTTCAGATCGGTGCAGCCAGGTACTCGGTCGATAATACAGGGAATGTTCACTCGTCCAGAGTTCCGAGCCGAGAAGTATCTCCGTTTTGCAACTTCTGCATAGTCGATTTCTCCAGTGCCGGAATCGATTCCTTGTCGAGGTATCCTTGGTAACAGTTTGCCAATATCCATCCCGACTCTGGTGATGCTCTCTCCCCAAATTGGTCCAGTAGCACCCGTGATCTTGGTGACCTGTGCGTCTTCGTCTAAGCTCAGAATAGCAATATCCTCATGAATCTCCTCAAGCACCCATATCAGCCCACCACGCTTCTCTTTGACCCACAAACTGGCAGATCCAGTGGCCCCATTTCGCTTCTGAATAGGTACGACATCTCCGCAGAGCAAGACGCCTCTGGACTTGTTACTGGGATGATACAGGCCTCCCTTGACGTTCTTGGATCGGGCCACAAGGCTCGAACCTGCTCCATCATCCGTTTGTGCCCTTCGAGTAGGCTTTGGATTCTGGCGAGAGTTGGGCTTGTTAAGAAGCGCTGCAGTTACTCCACCAGATCTCCCTAAGAGGAATGAGGTTGTTGGGGTTGGACTCGTCTGGGTACTCTGGCTTTCGGGCGGCGAGCGGGGGCCAGGTCTACCAGAATCAGAGCTAGATCCTGGTGCACCTAGTTTATCTTCTAACCAAGCTCTTCGTTCTTGCTGGACGACTTCTAATATGCCCATTTTGCGCACTTCAGCTTTCGTAACTCCGAAAACGAGGCAAGCGAGATCATTTGCAGCCAATATTGTGTATGGAGCAGTACTTGAAGTAGTGAATATCGCTTGGGCAGCTGGAGCCCATCTACTGGAGTGACCATGTACGGCAGGTCCAAGAGGATGAGAAGTCCCGACAAACGATCCTATAGCGGAATGGGGCACGGTGGGGGATAGCATGTGGTCGCTTATATCATTCGCTTGGTAGGGTTGCGCGAGGGCATCCATGAGCTTGGCCTTCAAGGTCAACTGAGCAGTGTCTGTGTATGTTCGCTTCAGACTTTGCCGTCTTGTCGCTGGGGGAGAAGTCTGGGCAGTTGTTCGGCTCTCATTCGTTGGAGTACGAGAGGATGGCTCAGAGTCAGGTACAGTTATTGCCTCTTCTGTCAGTTCACTTTGCTGCCTCGATTTCTCCAATTCTGGACTTGGAAAAGCAGGCTTTCTGCTGCTTCTGGGCGAGGGAAGTGGATCTTCGAGCAATTCTTCAGGGCTCGCCGATCGGGGTAGAAAACTAGCCTCGAATGGATTTCCGGACTCTTCAGCACCAGCTGGCCCAGTTAGAGGGCCGATCAAATGTGTCTGAGAAGAAAACCCTGGGATATTGTTTGCCCCCACGAGCTTTGCTCTCGCCAGCAGCTCCAGCATTCCCTGCATCTCATGATCTCCACTGACACGAGCTTGAGCACTTGCAATTCCAGCATTCGAGTTCCCCCATCCCAGTTTCTGGGACATAAACTCCACAGATCTCTTCAAGACATTCTGTCTGTTATGTATGAATTCTTCAGATTGGTGGGCGAACGAGAAAGAGTGTAGAGACTCGGATGGAAATCTTGTCAAATCTTCCGTGAAATTCAATGTTGGCGACGAAGGACCAGAAGCCAACGCAATGGAGCCTGCCCGAGATGCCGGAAACGAGAGCGTCATGGAACTTGATCGCGGTGTAATGGATGCATTTCGAGATGAGGCTTCGGAGGAGGGGAGGGTAGGTGCTCTAGGAGGCTGTTGTCGAATTCGACGCAGACCTGACGCTCCAAGTCCATGTTCGTGCTCCGTCATGACTGGGGATCTGATAATTGTCTAGTCAGCTTTCCATGACTCTTATTCTCCAGGCATCAGAGACATGGAGAGCCTCATTTGTAACTGCCCTGAGGAGTAAACGTCCGCTGGACTAACCTCGACATTGTATCGTACTCTGCCGCCGCCAACCCCGCGTCAAAGGAGAACCGTATTCGTGCCTTCTCAGTTCCGGCATGTGCGAAATTCGGGGTACTGCGGTTCTTGGGTATCGAAAGCTGCGCAGGTCCTGGCGATGGGCTTCGTCGCCCTCGATCACTCGAGCCTCGTGGTTTATCGACGCCTGAAGAGTGATGGACGTTAGCAATAGCGACTGAGGCCATCAATTCGGATTGCCTGTTTTGAAAAGAGGGGTCCCAAAATTGAGGGCGCAGTGTAGTCTCGCGCTTGCTCGGTACACTGCTCACGCCTCGTCGATCCCCACATCGTCGGATATCCTCAACTCAGGCCAGCGGCGGGGTTTGGAGTCGCAGATCCAAGTGATGCAAAGCATGCTGTGCAGCGCTGCTTACCATGATGGGATTGCCCATTCGGCTCCAGCATAGTTGAACACGATCAAAGGCCAGCTCTGGGATTCTGCGTCTCTGCGATAACCCGGGACGCAGGATGTGACAGGTTGTGGCGGGGTCAGTCTCTGGAGCTAATTCGAAGGGATAGGAATGTTGGCTGTCGTAGTATATAGACGCAAGGCTGCGGCTGGACTGAGGAATGTAGCTACTGGTGATGTCTTCTGCGTGTCCCAAAATAAGCCCCTTATTCCATTGGCATGTGCGGGAGAGGTGCGGTGCCTTGAGTGAAACGCGTCGAGAGGATGGAAGTTGTTGTTCCCGTCAGGAATTTCCAGTTCTCGGTACTTGGGGACGCAATCCCTGCAAAAGTATCCGCAAGGTGGGCACACTTTCCGTCGCTGGAATTCAGGACTTGGGGAAAGAAATTGCCGGTACTAAACTGGCAAACAAGAATTACCTTGGAAGAAGAGTCGGATGTTGAACTTGGGAGAAGTGCCCGGGGTCCTTCGGTACAAGGCTCTCAACACCTTTCTTTTTGCACGTGAAACGAAACAAACTCCACGACATGGAGGGGTAAGAAGGTTAGATGGAAGGTTATTGACGTACGGGGCTGAAAAGTTGTGTATCTCGAGTCCAGTGCGCTCACGGCCGGCAACAATAATAGACTTCAATATTTACTTTCTGAAAGAACGATTCACAAAGCCCGTACCCGTACCGGACTAACAATAGCAATCGAGACAAGAAAAGCACCTAGGTGAGGACGAATACCCATCAATTGTTGACCGCTCAGGTCAAATCATCCGAACGCCAGCTGATGACTAGGAATTGCTGGTCAGCTGCTGAGACTTCCGCAACATCACGTCCGTGCAGTGGGCAATAAAGTCCTTCGAGGTTAATTCTAGAACTCAAAATTGCGATCTCGCAGTATCCTTCGCTCGCACGGCTGATGCCGACAATCATGCGATCGAATCATCATCAACCCATCGTCCCATGTCGATGACTCGAAGCAGGCACTCAGAACCGGCGATGGGCTCCACGATGTGAACAAGAATCTACATCAAAAATTTGACAACTGCTGTATCAAACCTCCTTGGCCGGAATATCATGCTCCTTCGCCCTACTCGTGTCGCGAGTCAGTGTTGTTGTTGCCAAGTTTAGGATGTTCAAAGATCTCTATCCTGTACTTCTTAAATCCGACGACTATCTACTGTCTTAGAATGTTGATTGATTGCTTGTCATTGTGACCTAAAGCTGATGTGAGACAAAGTCCATAGGAAGTGCCTTCAGGAGATCAGCGATCCCCCCCTTCATCGGACCTAGATTCGCGGGTCGCACAATGTCAAACGCTCGCAAGTCGTGATACCCATCATGGCTTCTGAATGGTTTGAGATGTCTTGTGTTGCAACCCTAATATTTGTCTCGAATAGGGATTCATCGCGGTCTCCCCGCTTGGGATGCCTGCGTCAATTTCAACTCCAAGCGTTGACGGATACTTGGATACAAGATACTTGCTATTCCTGATAGCGACAGCTCAAATGCACCCTGATGTATGTATCTGGAGGTGGAACATGCTGAAGTCTCGATTGCAGTGGATGCAGATGCCAAAGAAATTTGTGGAGATTCGGGCTGAAAAGACTTACTATCTCTGCATATATCGCAAGACATCAAGACATGGCTACTCACCAAAAAAGGCAGCTCTCCTTTATTTGGTAGAGCATTCGTGCAACTAGAGTTAGTTGTCTTGAGGAGGAAAGTCCATCATTTGAGCTGAACACATTAACTTCGAAGCGAGATTCTACAGTGAAATAAGCATAAAACAAGACGCAAAATGCAGAAAATGTTGGGCGATGCGCGTTCAGTCACTCTCGTGCTCGGAAATATATAAAGATTTAAGAAGGATACCATGGCAGAGAAGCAAAAGGAAGCAAGATATGGGAGAACATGGAAGGGAGAACAAGGCTGAGCGATCGAGCCTGGACTAGTCCTAATACAGATTAGCTTCAGCTCCAAGTAAGGTTACAGCCTCTCCAGGTCAGAGCTCCAAAGCTTGAACATCAACACCGAAGATGGACCTAATATGTGAGAACAGATGAGGCGCCGGCGACAGTTGATGCTGTTTTTGCGGAGTTAAATGCGAGTTCCACGGCCACGAGCCTTCGTCTCAGCCAATGTCGAGACTCCAACCACGCCTCAAGGCTGTCGCAACTGTTTCCTCTCAGGCCGCGTCTGCGACAAAAGATCCCCCCTCAAGACCAGCGACTCCAGGATCTCGTCCAAATGTCCGACCTCCGCCAGTGGATCCAGTGTCAAATCGCGCGACTTTGTTCTTGATCAGACGAACGCTGTGTTCTCAGTTGGGAGAGAAGGGTCGAAACACACCTGCACCAATCGACCAACTTCTCCCGCCCTTGACGAGCAGTAATGAAGTGGACTTGCAGCTGTACGCACTAATATCTATCATAATTCGAGAATTTGTGCAGACGTGGTATACGAAGATCACCCCGGACCAGGTTTTTGTGGAAGAAGTGGTAAAAATCATAGCCCATTGCACCAGGGCTTTGGAGCAGAGGTTGAGGAAGGTTGACCTGGAGAGCTTGGTATTTGACGAATTGCCAGAGCTACTGGAAGTTCATTTACAAGGTACTCGATCCTTTAGAACTGTCATATCTTGTTACTGACTACCTGCAGCATATCGAGCTTCCCGCGACCCTCTTCACCCGAGTCCGGTCGAATCGAATCCCCGACAGATATATCACTCATTGTGGCCCTTCCCTGCTCTATCACCCGTTCCCGATGGAGAACACGCTACTCTGGAGCGGATGGAGAACGAGTCGGCATACAGACAGCTATTGGTTCAAGGAGTTTTGGCCGTACTATTGCCAACAGAGGACTTGGAAAATGACTGTTTGACTACCCTTGTAGGTCAAATATTTTCTGAGATGATTTTGGGCGATGGTATTGGCGGGAAAGCTTCCGAGCCTTGGCTGCTTTGGGAGGGTATGACGAAGATTGCAGAGGCCATTCAAAGCAAGCTTCCAAATAACAAGGCGCAAGTCCGGGTTGAAAGATCGAATTCGGATCTCATGGACTCTGTTCCGCTGAGCCTTACTGGCAAAAGAACAAAGTCGTGGAAGATTGGCCGGTCATTACACAAGACCTTTTGGCTCGTGCTTCAATACGGATATGTCGCATTTACTGCGATCCGCTTTTTCATCATTACTCTCGCTACTGCATCATCATTACCTTCTCGTATTGCACCTACGACGAAGATTACTGGCTCGAGTTTAGCGAACGATCACATGGGACCGCCGAAATCAGCCAGCTCTGAGACTTCTTCAGCAAAACGACAGGTACCTTCGAAACAGCCTATTGTGAAGATGAAGATATGGTCTTGTGCTGCTAGTCTACTAGATCTAGATGCCCGCATGCCTTGGCTGAACGCCACAATATCTCTCCTTCAATGGGCTTCACTTACCGGGCCTGGAGAAATCGGAAATACGGATGGAATGGTCGACAAGTAAGTGGTTGATTTTCTGAAACCCCTCCAGACGTTTTGCTTTCGTGGTCTGGCGCGTAATTTTCTATGTCACCCCGCATGAGATTTCAATCACTTGACTTCAATTGTCCCAGTGAGCTTGCAGAATACGAAAGTTTCGATTCTGGGCCCAAGCCTCCTATTCCCGTTATCGTTATGCATAACATGCCTGCAAATCTACGGATGTTGAGACGGGAAGGCGGTTCATCTGTCGTTGCGACCAGGTCAGATCGGTATCGTGAGGTCCGTTCCCTCGACACTAGGCACAAAGTATTGATGCTGTGTAACAATGAATCGCTTCTCCATTGAGAATTGGGCCTGGCTTTTCATGCAATGGTGTCATGTTGTATCAGCCCACCCTTCCCACGTTGTCTTATTTCCAATCATGCTCGGAGTGTTTTCTTCGCATGGCTTCAACGTTTTGGGTACCTTGTCCGCATAACTGTTCGTTGCCACCCTTGCAGAACACCCAGCAACAGTGTTGGAAGAGGAGAGCGAGGAAGCCTTACGACAGCCTTCTTTACGCGCCCGGCGCAATTGTTGCAAGGGCCACTTCTCCGGCCCCCTCGCGTCGTACCGCACCCTTCCTCCCGCACCGAGCCAGTGCTGTCAGCCACTCGTTCTCGTCTCGCCTCGTGCCCGCTGTCGAGCTTGCATGCCGCTCCAAGACCAGACCAGACCAGACCTTTGCCAGGCCAGAAAGGCGACCTGCTTTCTGCAAGCCCCACAGTGTCCGTGGGCCTCAATAGTCCCCTTGTAGTAACTAGGATTTGAGGGTAACTTTACTTTGTTGATCATGTCTCTTTTAGCCTCTTGAAACAGACAGCACTGCTGCTAGGGGCTTAGATTTCTCCGTGCATCAATATCTCCTAGTCTTTTGCTACACACAAACCAACTGTTCGGGGCTTAGTTCCCCAGCGGATCTCCTTCTCACTCTCACTGCATCCAACACCATGACAAGCGAAATATCCCATCTTCAACTCTTCCTGCAAGCGGCCGTCACTCCGCCGCACGCGGCTTTTCGCTGCTCACCCAACTCAACCTGCTGATGCAGAATGACGAGAGAAATCCTTCACGTACCTATCAGGACCATTGGCTGACATACGGGGCCTCGCTGCCTTCCCTCTCCTACAGAATCCTCTCCCACGCAATCCAAACCCACGTCCTCGATCCAACACTCCTTCCCCTTCTCCTGCGCACCACACGTTCCGCGCTCTTCCCCAACAACACACTCGCTCCCCCGCGCATCATCCCCTCACCGTCTGAACAACTCCTCATGCGACGCCGATGCGCCGAGACGATCCTCGCGCTCATCCCGGCGAGCATCCAAGACGTATATTTCGGCCCTGGTATAGAGCGCAGAGTCAGGGAGGTGGAGGACGTGTTGAATGTTTTCGATGACAGTTACTGTAATAGGCATTTGCTATATGGCGTCGTCGAGCTGATACTCGTACGTCTTTTGCCGGAGTTGGCGGAGAAGGGGGTCCAGGAGCTTTTGGATGAACGGCTTGGTTAGTCTAGGTAGATTTCCTCATGAAAAATATCAATGGAATGAAATGACAATGATTTCTCGGCCTCACAAATGTCAGTTCACTTCATAAATGTAGAGGAAAGACACAAGGGGGGTTTTTTTTTTTTCAGAAGGGGCCTCCCGAAATATCAGATGGACCGCCTGTAGATTTGATTGCGATAGAGACAGAGACACAGAGAGAAACACGAATATAAACGTCCCTCCAATCCTATCCTAAATCGCTCCTCGCTTCTGTCATCATGTACCGAGACAGCCAGCAACAGTCAAAGTATACCATGGCTAGACCCCCCGTCCTCCTCTCAATCCATATCTTGCGATGTCCCCTCTTCCCTCTCACCAATGCCTTATTCAATCCCGTCCAAGAGAAGTAAGGAGAAGAAAGAATACAATCCAAGCCAACAGTACAAAGATACCCCGACTAGAAAAGAAGCTCCGACTTGCGTACCGTGCCCCAGACTTGAGCCCCAGTCCTCAGGTATCCTGCTCCGCGTCGCTCCCAACCCAACCAAACCAAACCAAACCATCAAACCGCCCGCAAGAAAGGAGCATGAAAAACGCGAGTTATGTAGTGAATAAAAAGGAGAAACAAAACGTGCTAAACCAATCATGAAAGCAGTGCAAAAAGATGTGTAGTCGAGAAAAATGTAAACAAGAGTGCGCAGATTTTCGAATCGAATCGAGGGTCGCGTGAGCGTGGAGAGTGTATTCTTGGGTATATAGAGCTGATGAGAGAGAGATGGATAAGATAGATGGTTCTTTTGGTTGTCCCTGGGTATCTGCGTCCCCTGTTGATGACCCATGGCGGATATTGGTGCCAGCCTACACCCCCCGAACAGTGGTAGTAGTAGAAGAGGAAGGAAGAGGTATCGAATGGAAAAGAACAAGGACATCGGTGTGAAGAGAAAGGCGCTCGCAGATGTTGGACCATGAAGAAGGATGTACGGCGTGGAAAGGAATATGTTGCTTTGCCGACGAAATGGATAGGCAGATGTGTACAGTTGTTGTTATTGTCTCGAAACGTGTAGATGAGATGGATAGATAGTTACGCCGTAGGAATGTGTGTTGATGCAGTTAATAGTGCGGGTAAGGACAGGACTGAAGGGGATATATGTGAGTCCCAATGCAGTATGAGATGTACAAGGTATTCTGTGTGACGGGAAAAAGGGCCTTAGCAGCCTGCGCTCATGGATTGCTCCATCTTTGGCGCCTGTTCGCAGTCCTGCTCTGCGATCCTGTGGAGTCCTCCTGGTAGAGGACCGTTGGTTTGCAAACGTAGCTTTTCGGTCAGCTTCAGAACCGTCAGATATTCGTCCTGATCGACTAATCCGGAAGATTGTCTAATGAACGCCATCAGAGTATCCAAGGCTCTTCGAGCATCGTCCTGTGTTGGAGAGTCTGGGGCTGAAGATCCAGGAGGCGATTGGAGGCCTGTCATCGTCGCTCCATTGGAGGCATTTCTTATCGACCCATTGCTGCTGCGATGATGCAAAGGCTGATGTGGAGGAGAAGAGATAGCAGAATCCAAGCCAAACGGAGGTGGCATTTCTTCCATGGGAGAGTCTAATGTTGACGAAGGTGCTGTTAGCGGAAGATTGTACTTCGGCGGCAGTGGCTCGTTTCCTTGCGTGGAAATGAATGACGGGTCGATTCCAAGCATGGGGAATGTTTGAGATCGCGGCCGTTGGAAGTTGCCCGGAGGAGGCAGTCGAGCTTGTTGTGATGGCAGCCATGAACCGCCATGATCTGGGGAAAAGGCAAATGGCGTCGACGGACTTGTCGGCCCTGTTGAAAAGGAGGAGGGAGCCGTGTCTGTGAAAGCACTCGACAAAGACGTAGTGCTCTGAGAATTCGAATGCCTGTATCCTCCATTCTCCTGGTTAAAGTATCCATTCAGGTGCTCTGAACTGAGATCATCCTCGCTCTTGGTTGCAGACAGTGGTGACGGTGACGGTAAGCCACTTGGCGAGGTTGGAGAGATGCCACTGGGTGTTTGCGACGCCGATTGTCCAGCTGACTTCGGATTCAGCGAACCACGATCTTGAATGTTCGTCTCAGAAGCTCTCCGAGTGAGTTTGGCTCCTCCGATCCCATTTCTGTTCTTGAATTTCTCTAGCCAGCCTGCGCTACTCATCTTCAGATAACTCTCGTTGTTCGGGTGAACGGTCGTTGCAAAGAATCTAGCCTGGTCCTTGATTTGATCGTCGCTCAACAGGTGGCCTTGTTGTTGCATCTTTTTTGCCCATGCGGAAAGAGCTCTTTCGATGTCTGGAAATTTGCTTCCCTTGCGCTTCACTGGAGATGGACATCCATTCTCGGGGCCTAGATACTTTTCCTTATGGCGAACTACTTTTGAGACGGTACTGAATAGAAGTTAGCTGGTCAGTCCACAGCATGGCTGTGCCTATTCGTACCTTCGTTCGACTCCAAACATTGCTATTACAAGTTAGTTGACGGCGATATATTTTGAGAATGATCAGTCCCCTGTTATATTGTTCGACAATGCGAAACAAACTCCAACGGGACTGAACACATATTGATAGAACTCACCTCCAATATCCGACTGCTTGACGGACGGGTTATCTAGATGGTACTGACACATACGCCTTCGATCACTATCTGTAAGTGTTTTCCGAGGCCCAGAAGTCGATGTTGTCCTTGTTCCGTTCCCTCTGATCACAGGAGGGGCTGGTACTGGAATTGTGACAGCTGGTGGGGGATAGCTAGCCGGATGCGTTAACATACTTGGCCATGTTGGATGACTGGGCATGATCAGAGGATGTAGTTGCGTATTAGAGGTATGTGGTGTTGAAGGCTGTAGTATTGGCATTCTTTGCGGTGCGTACGATTGCTCGTTCGGTAATCCGCTGTGAAGTGGCTGTTGGATGAATGTGAATCCATTCTGTTCATACACTGGTGACTGGTGTTGCGAAGTCGAGTTGTAATTAGAATTCATGTCAACTCCCCATCCGGCATTTGCCCCATAAGCCACGTTCTCATGACCCGTATGATGGTTCTCATGGTCCATCCCGAATTGCGATATCATGGGATCGGGCAGCCTCTAGCTCAGTTCACGTCCAAGTTGTAGTGAAAGGCTGGTGGAAGCCGTGTTTTGGAAGAATACTCAGGATAATGTTTCATGCGCAAGCTTATACTGCAATTGTTCCCAGGCACGTCGAGTTGACGAAGCAGATGTTGTTCCTGGCTAAGGCTGTCCCTCAAAATGCATGCATGATAAGCAATGGATGTGGTTCCTGGGTGCTGCGGCGTCAATATATAAACCCTGCCTCCAGCAGCTGCAGCAGCGTTGAAGTCTGGATGTGGGAACAGGTACAAGTCCGTAGTCGAGTAGTGCGAGCGCAGGAGGCTGCTTGTTTAAACGCACAAACAGCATAAAAGCAATCCAAGCATGCAAGATGAAGCAGAAGCAGAAGCAGGTAGTCAGTCTGAGTGCCGGAAGAGTAAGTGCACACAAGCAGATGTATGTACTCGTGCTACGGAACAGAGAAGGTACGGTACGGGGTTTGGTGTGGGTGTAGGTGTGGGAGGAGATGCAGATGATGGCAGGGTTGGGCGAAACTACGCTACATGTGCGGAGAAGCTGTGGCTTTAGTTGCCTACCTAGATGCCGAAACGAATCTCTCTAGGGCAACAAGGGCCACAAGGGCCACAAGGGCCACAAACACCGTCCAGGTTCATGAGCGCGGGTGCGAGGGGAGCTTGTGTCTTGGTGTCCACGGTGCATGGCAACATGGCATGGCATGGCATGGCAGCCAGGCGGTGACCCTGGTGCGTACAAGGGCAGCGGATAGGGCAGCGCAGCGTGGGAGGAAGCGAAGGAGGGTGAAGTTGGGCTTTCGACGGCCACGGCCAGGACGCAGCCACAGAGAAGCTGCGCGGAGTAAGTTATTGTGTCTGTCGACTGAGTCGACTCTCGAGACCATCGCGGGGACAATCGTGGGCTTCCTGAAGTCAAATTTAAGGGCCGCCCTATGCGTCTCTGGCGTCGTCCGAATGAGGGAGAGCACGGCAGCATGCCAACAGGAAATCCGATATCGATCTCCAACCAACACTGAATAATTGCGCCAGGTCCGAGTGGTCTAGCATCTTTCCAGCATATCTTTGATTTTACTTTCGTCATCCACGAATCATTCCAGGAGTTTTGGTTAGCCTGTCGCCGCTACCATCCGCCCAAGCACGTTATTAGCCATGTCTCGCGGCTTGATCGGGGAGAAAGTCCACAACTGGGCACGCGGTCCATCTCGGGCTATGGGCCGTTCCTCTACGTCCCGAGCTTGATTGAGGCTTTCTAGTGAGAGCGCATCACCATAGCCAGGACAGGAGCAGGGGATGAAAACCTGGCTTTTCGCAAGTGCAGTAAAGACCGGTGCAGAGGGGGCTGTTCGTCAGGCGGCCGATGTCGTTCCTCCGGCCTCAGCAATAATAATCAAATCAACCATCGAAGAAGTTGGGGGAGGCGGAGGTTGGGTAGGATTGACCAGGGGAGGCAATTGGATAAGAGATAGGGGAGGATGCAGGGTGGCCCAGGTCCAAGCAAGCGACCACCTGGGCACTCGGGGAAAAGAATGGAATGCTTCCAGTTGGCTCGTCTCGGCTGCTGTGTTGACCTCGCAAATATCACCGTCGTTCGTCTTCAACATTCAGCTGCTTCGAACTTCAAACCTAAGACCGGCACTGCTGTTGCGCATTATGAGATTCGAGACTGTTTGGTTCAGATGCTGAGGGCGATCAAAAGAAAGGGGAAAGGCCTTTCGTCGCTGACTGTCAGTCGCTTGCTCCCAGCCAGATCACGACCCCGGAGCCAATTCCTCTGCTTACTGGTGATCCTCAACGAGCCATCAAAGGTCCCTTGTAGTTTCTTTTTCCTTGGCATTCGCCCATTATCGTAGCATTAAATTGCGCCGTCTTGTGGCACAACTAGAATTGTGTTGGAACGGGATAGAGGATCAGCAAGAGAGACATTTGCAGACTTGTTCTTGGACGCCGTCAGCCTCGCTGCAGAGGCTTGATACTTCTTTTGACACCTCTTACTCAAACCGTCGTCTCAACTTTGTCTCTTCACGCCAGCTCGACAAGTGCCAAACTGCTTTCGGAGCTGGCCAGGGTCAATCTTATCTCAACTTCGGGCGTCCACACGGGTTCTAGACTCGCGCTTTTACTAGAACCGTACCGTTCCGTAGACGATCACCTTCGTACAACGCCAGGCTTTGGAGCTTAAGAGCTCTCCTTTTCTAATTCTCCCCGCGATAGACGATGATCAAAATGCCGGTGAACGATGTTACGACTCAGGTCCCATACCTTGCCGGTCGGCGGTTGGAGAAGCCTTATGAAAGGCCGGTGGTGAGCATGAATCTGTCGAGTTAATTTCAACCATCAATTTCCCCAAACGATTGGCTCAGATAATTCAAAATCTCGGTTGTTTTTTGTGAGTGTTGATAGGACGGATGAAAAGCCCCCAGTTGGCCGTCTCCTCGCCGCTTTACTGCCCATTTGCCAAAGGTTAAGCGCCCACAGGTGTCTGTGCGTAAGCAGTTGATAGGCATGACCCGTTTTGATTAATCGAAAAGGAAAACTTTTCGGTTAAGCAACTCGAGCCTTTGAAGGCTTGTTCTCGGATTGACAGGACGGCTGCATGAATGACGGTGGCTTTCTGGGGCACGGTCAGGATCTGTCATTCATAGTGGGGTTAGTAATGAGTGCTGAGACTGCGATATCCATATTGAAAATTGGAGAGCCAATGCCAAGCTCAACGCCGTAGAAGACCTGATTGTGAAGAGCGTTGTCAGACAGTTGGGATAAATTCATCTATTCGCCTTCCTCATCGGTCAATCAGCAGAACGAGCTCTATCTTCTTTGGAAAATGGACGGTACTAGTCGGGCTGTTCGTGCAAGAGGAGTCTCCTGAGCCATCGCAGTCGTCATCCAAGTCCGTTACGTTTGACCGAGAATCAAGCCGTCGACTTCTGGCAAAAGTGCAGCTATTTACAAAGTCTCAATTCTTTTTCTTCTCTCGAGTATTGATTCCTTCGGCAACTGCAAATCGTAAATAGTGCCGTGTCTTGGCATGCTGATGAGTTCGGTCCTTGAGGCCATTGTTCGTAATAGCCTGATCCGCTTACTTTTTAATGATAGTAACTGCACAAAAAAGTTAGAACCAAAAAGGGGCTTTGAGTCGACGACTTACTGATATCTTCATCAGCCAACTCATGGCTCAGGCCGACGCGTTGAGGTTGATGCTTCACCGATTTTCCATATACAGCAGCGACACGGAAGTCTTCAACAATGGTCTTATGGATGGCATTACACTTTAATGTTCAGCTAGATGCCCAAAAACCATAATCGGAAGTTAGTGATACTCACAAAATCCTCAACTGTACATTTCGTGGAACGCAACACGACTGGTTGTGTATAATCGGGTAATTTTCCTTTAGGCTTTGTGTATACCCTCACAAGGTTGAGTTTTTCCCACCTGCATTGACGTCAGTAACGTTAATTTGTAGACTTCAAGGTCCAGGGTGTCGGGACTGCGGACACCTCCAGGGGATAGAGGCTATAGTGAGAGGCAATTTGAACCTCGCGTGTTTGGGATAGATTGACTGACATTTGTTCTAGCAGTTCGTCAATGTTCCATCCATGCTCCGATGAGATCGGGCATGCGTTCGGGATTCTGTATAGCAAATCCAGCTCTTCAATGGAGATGGCGTCGATTTTGTTGAGTGCATAAATAACGGGAATATAACTTCTGCTCTTAGCCTCCAGAACATCGATAAGATCGTCGATCGTGGCATCGCAACGGATAGCAATATCTGCAGATGATATTTTATACTCCCCCATGACAGCCTTAATTTCGTCATGGTCGATGTGGGATAGAGGAACGGTGTTAGTAATACTGATGCCGCCCTTGTCCTTTTTCTTAAAAACGATATTAGGTGGTTGCTTGTTGATCCGGATTCCGAAACCTTCCAGTTCTGCTTCGATGACCTTCTTGTCGGTGAGGGGCTTGTTCACATCCAGTACAATGAAGATCAAATGACATGTCTTTGCAACGGCAATGACCTGTCGACCTCTACCCTTTCCGTCCTTGGCTCCCTGAATGATACCTGGCAGATCCAGCATTTGTATCTTCGCTCCATTGTATGCAACCTGACCTGGGACCGTCGTCAAGGTTGTGAATTCGTATGCTGCGGCTTCGGAATGCTGGCCAGTGAGTCTGCTCATGAGAGTAGATTTGCCCACGGAAGGGAAGCCAATGAAACCCACACTGGCCACACCAGTTCTTGCGACATCGAATCCTGCCCCTCCACCCCCGCCACTCGTTGTTGGAGTCAGAAGTTCCCGTTTTAACTTGGCAAGCTTTGCCTTAAGTTGTCCCAGATGGAAGGACGTCGCTTTGTTCTTCTGGGTTTTGGCCATCTACAACAGGTTAGCAGGTTACTGGCAAGATAGCGTTTCTGCCATGTGCGGAGCGTGTATGATAACGCCATCATTCTTTGTTGCCAAATCAGATGCGGCGTTGGAGTAGTACATACTTCGGCCTCAATGTCCTTGATCTGTGGCGGGGTGTTAGCTGTGATATCACCAGTAATTCCACTTTGAAATCCATACCTTATCCACGGTAGTCGACATGGCTGCGAGATTCGGGTCCGAAGACTCTTATTACTGATTAGAAATACAAGGTATAAACAGACTGTCGTCTGTTGTGTTGTTGTTGCGAAATGCAGCTGAGGTCGAATTGTCTCGATCCCAATGTGGGGGAGTTTTTCAGGAAAGTCCCGTCGCGACGGAATGGAGCAAAATGTCCGCCCCACTTGAATTTCAACCACCAGGTGGTCGCTTCACCTGCGCGTCACGCAACCTCGATATATACCCTTCTTCAACACCACTTTCGCAATGGATCCCGCCTTTCTATGCAAAGCTTTCTTCTGCTTCGGCACGGCTGTCGATCTCGGCGGTACTTTGTTTCCTTCTTTCAGAGAACGCATCATGAATTACGGATCTCGAGGGACAGATTCACAGCCATCACAAGAAGTGAATAGCACATCATGGAACTTCTTGGACTTTATAGCATCCATTGAAGTGCCTCATACATGGTTCACCCATTACTATGTGGTCTCGGTAGCATCGTCGATATTTTGGGCTATTCAGATGTACAGCCATGGGCCTGTCTTCGAGCTCCTAGCTTCTTACTCTCAGCCAAAGGACTCTATGACCACCAATCAAGTACTTCTTGCTTGGTTGTTAATGGCTTTCCAAGGAACAAGAAGACTTTACGAATCTCTCACACTCACCAAACCTTCCCAATCCAAGATGTGGGCGGGTCTTTGGTTGATTGGAATTGCCTATTATGTTTTCATCGGAATTTCAGTTTTGATTGAAGGTGCTGGTATGTATTTCCTTAGTCACATGTTGTTTTATCCGTACTGATTCTCTAGCTGCCATGAGCCAACATGGACGAGGATCTTCCCTGGAAATAGGATCGCCATCTCTCAAGACTTGCATAGCTGTTCCGATTTTCCTCATCGCGTCCAGCGTCCAACACACATGCCACAAACATCTCGCCAGCCTCAAAAAATACACTCTTCCTCAGCAGTATTGGTTCCAGAAAGTTGTCTGCCCCCATTACGCCAGCGAGTGTATGATTTATGTCGCGATTGCCATCATAGCTGCACCTCCTGGACAATGGCTGAATAAGACCGTTCTAGCAGGCCTTGGATTCGTCGTTTCCAACCTTGGAGTAACAGCAGACTCGACCAGGAAGTGGTATGTGAAGAAATTCGGGGCGGAGAAGCTGGCTGGCAGATGGCGGATGGTTCCATATTTGTATTGAGATTTCAGCGCTTGCCAAATATCCCCAACTGCCCCCCCAACTTGGAGACCTTCAAAACATCACGATATGTAAGGCTAACCCGGGTTTTGCGCTCGTTGTGTCCATCTTTGAATTCATCGGGCGATCGAAGCAACTCCCAGTTGGAGACTGTGTCTGGGTTCAAATCAACGTCATTGGGGACATCCGCAATTCCATGCATGAAATCTGTATACAGTTCTCCGGTCGTTATGAGCAGGCTCCTAGGCTCCTGCAATATTTTCCACCGCGGTTCAATTTCTCTTGTGCCATCCTCGCTGGTCCCATATAAGTCTAGGCAGAGCGAAGACCCAAGACTGACCGTACAGACAACGGGGTAATAAGCCGGCCCATCCTTGTGAGGCATGATTCCCTGTCCGCTCAGGTATTCATTGATGAGTACAAGGTTCGGCCTTTTATGTGGACTGTCGGAGAAGATATGAGTCTGAGGCTTGTCTTTCGAGATAGGGCATGAGAGAAGGCGCGTAATGACAGGGTTGATGAGCCACTCTGGCAGGGGACTATCGAGGAGGGTATTGTTTTTGCTGAGGTCGGAAGGCCATATCTGCAATCGCCGTTTGGACAGCTGTTTCCATCGAGGCTTTGGGGCGTTCTCGATCTACAATTGTCAGCAGCGGTAACCAACCCAAAATCGCTGTACCGACCCTGTGCAACAGCGTCTGTTCCTCTTCCTGGGTGATGAAGTCGGAGATGTAGTAGGCGCTCCGAGGAACCCCTTTGACCTTCACATCCTCCAAACAAACTGGCATGGTTAGCATTGTGTAGCAAAATGACGCTTTTCAGCATCAACGAAAGTTCCAAGCCAGATCTCTGGAATGTGGAGGAATAATCAGCGCGTCAACCTCTCTACAGGCTGCGCTTCTTTTGCCTCTGCTCCCAGATGAATCAATCCAGTCACTCGGGTGTTGACGAAGTCGCTGCTTCTTTTCGAGGCATTGAATTCGAGAAGCCGGGAAGCCGGGCCCAGAGTTAGTCAAAACACGACTGCAGCGGCCTGCAGGAGCCCACCCCGCAGATGTGTTCCGGCAGAAGACCAGTTTGTTTATTCACGGCTGAACCTCCAGGCTTGACCATAATCTTGCTCCCCGAGTGCCGATAATGACTTGCCTTGAAAAGTCTAGTGAGTTGATAGAGTACGATACGAGCCGCTGTTGCTGATGTGGAGAGGAGGAAACCCCTTTTCATCCCTGAAGGGCGAAAAAACAGGTCGTGGTGTGCCCAGTCCGCCACCGTAGACTACGCCCAGATTAGCGAATCCAATGGCTGGAAGTCTGAGCCTCAACCTCGAAGTTGAGCTTCTTCCTTCCAAACCACCACAAACAACCCCCCAAACCACCACTTGGAACGCTCTAGACCCCCTCGCAGTATTGCGCATGCTCAACAGTTCGTGAGATTGAAACTCTACGACGTGCGCCGTTCGTCTCCCCGCAACAGCAAGCCTATCCCCCCACCCGTGATAGGACTCGGATGATCCTCCTGGTCCTCTCTGCCCGACACTGCCAAAGTGTCTCCCAATAAGCCGGCTCACGATGAGGTGCAGGATAGAGAGGCCCACGGGATAGATGCCATGGATGCGCAGGCCATTGTGGACGCCGTCGCCGCGAGACTCAGCGCCGAGCCCGATGCATCTGTGACGGAGCCTGCTGGCACTCGCAGTGCAGCAACGGGGACCCCAAATGGCATCAGGTCATCACCACCGGTACCGGCAAAAGATGAGGCTATGGAGATAGACCGGCCAAATACATCCACAGAGGAGCCTGGAGAGAAGAGCGACTCAGAGGCGGAGACGATAGTGCTGCCCGGTAAGGATGGCCATTCACCGTCGAAAATCCGTAAAACAATCAAGCACGAGGACAAAAGTGACGATGAAGAAATGCGAGATGTCCCAGGTACCACGAATGGGAACAAAAAGCCGACCCCGAGCGATGGTGATGGAGATGCGATGCCAGACAATCCAAGCGAGGCGACCGCGACTTCCACGCTGGGCAAGAGGAAGAGGGCCAAACATGGAACCAGCGCAGATGACACCGCACATCTTGGAAATTCCAGTGGACTTAGTTCCGTCCCAACATCACCGGTGGCGACGACACGCTCTTCACTTTCAAAGCCCGCAGCATCAGATTCCGAAGTATCTAGGTCTCCTTCCCCTCGTTCTCGATCGCGCTCAGCGTTACGGGACAAAGCCAAGTCCGTCGATAGGGCTTTCCCACGAAGAGGACAGTACGCCTCTGTATCCGGCGATGAGGATGAGACGGAGCCTCGCACCTTTGGGAGACAGAGAAGTTCAGGGGCCGATCATAAATCGGGTAGACCCAAGGGTCACAACGATATCAATCCACGGAAACGAACAAGATCCATCTCCCCCCAGCCAAGAAGCCATAAACGTAGCATATCGAGCCAATTACCTTCGAAGTCTTCCCATGGCCTGAGCCACAAGAAGAAGCGTGTACCCGCTCCCCTGCAATCCACCGAGTACCATTCGGACGATTCCTCAGTGAGTGGCAACTCACATCCACGGAGCTCGAGATTGCGAAGCCTTGCGGCGCCAACCACAGGCGAATCTGCAATATCGCCCGCCAAGATGGCACCGCACAAGAAGCACGTGAATTCCTCCGGTCAAACCCTTCTAGCGATTGCGTGTAGCCGGGGTAGGCTGGAGAACGTCAAGCAGCGATATGAAGAACGACCCGAAGACCTGAATCTCGCAGACAATGCTATGAATACCCCGCTCCACACTGCCAGTTTAGGCGGCCACGTGGAGATTGTCAAGTTTTTGCTTGATACTGGAAATTGCGAGCTAGATTGTGTCAATCTTGAACGAGATACTCCGCTACACGATGCTGTTGACAACAAAAATGTGGAGGTGGTTAAATTACTGCTCGAGGCTGGAGCGAATCCCAGCAAGCCAAATCTAATGGGCAACGAACCCCTGGATCTTATTGTTGACATGGAAGGTGAGAGTGGTGATGACTCTGATGACGAGGAAGAGCGTCTGGAAGCTATGCAAAAGGCGACGGAAATGAGAGAGGCTATTGTTGCGGCCAAACTGAAATTCGCTGGACACCGCAGAGGTTCGGAAGATCATCATATGCATGACAATGGAGATGGACGCCTGTCACATCCCAAGGGAAGTCCACGACAGACGCCACCGGCTAACGAAAATCTTGGTCCGACTAATCGTATCGCACGTACGGCACGGTCTTCTATGAAAACCAAGGATCGAAATCTCTGGAAGGGCTATACGATAGAGGAGTTGCAGACGGCTGCGAGTGAAGGCGACCTCGAGACGACTAATCGCATCCTGAATGTCAAGCCTAATGTCAACGACGCCAGAACCCTCTACAATGCTGCACGAGGAGGCCATGACAACGTCATAAATCTACTTTTCGCCCTGGGAAACTTCAGCCCGGATCCACCAGCACTTGAAGGTGTACCGATTGACCAATCTACGCCGATACTCGCTGCTATTGGGAAGGACAATCATCTTGAAGTTATCAAACTGTTCCTTGGTAATGCAGATTTTGATCCAACCCGGCGAATCAAAGGAGAAACATATTACGAGCTGGCTAAGAGACGGGCTGGACCATACTGGCAAGAAGAGGAGCAACTCTTAAAGAACGCTTTCAATTCGTACAAAAAAAGCCATAAAGCTTCTCCTGGAAAGCCTCGGTCTCCTGGACTTCGTCGAGATGCACGGGATGTGGATACCAGGAAAGTGCGGACCGAGGAACAACAACCGTCTAGATCGCACAAGAGGAGCACGTCCAGCCCAAAGACTGGAGAAGCAGAGCCTACGAAGAGCGCGCATAGAAGTACATCGTCCCTTGGACAATCCAAAGATGGACAAAATATCACCAAACGTGGACCAGGTCGGCCCAGAAAGGAGGAACATGCACATGCAGCTTCAGGGGCCGTGTCTGACCGCGACACCAGTCCTCTCGGTCCCCCGAAACAGAAGAATCAATCTCGTCGATCCGAATCAGATGTTGCGGTGCTGTCGGAGAACGAGCCTACTGTGAAGCCCCGCCGCAAACTTGTTTCTGGGAAAGAGTTGAGAGGAGAACGGGAGCTTGAGAAGCAAAGGCGAGCAAGCATTGTCTCTAACGCATCTACCGCATCTGTCAAAGAGAAGCGTGTGCCATCTGACTCTAAGCAAGACAAGTCAGACGGAAAGTCTAGTCCCAATGTCCCGCGAGTGCCCAAAAATTCTGGCTCTGCCCAGTCTGACAGAGATCAGCCTTCCGACAAAGATCGAGCAAGGCCCTTGAAGAGGGACGATTCAAAGGATAGACTCAGTGCCATTCGTGGAGAGAGTCCCGTCAAGCGGCCTCGGAAGAGTGAAACACCTCCTCGGTCGGGTATGCAAGAGGTAACGCCAGCGTACGAAGACGGACCTCATCAAAAGAGACGGAAGCTAGAAGCAGACGCTAGTAGCGGACACAAGACCGATAGTGACTCGCCAGAACATCGGACCTCAATCGTTAAATCCACCCTATCTCGCGATAGTACGGCAGCAAAATCTACTTCAGATAAAGCAAAACACGCTCGTCCCACTCAGAAGAGTACGGCGCCAGAGGTCAAAGATCAAAAGGACTCCAGTACAGAGAAGTCAAGTCGTGCAGCCAAATCAGGACGTTCCGCTCCTACTTCACCATCGGAATCTTCGAAAAAGTCCAAGGTCTCTGAACGAGCATCGAAAGATGCCAAAGATGACTCTGCGGCTTTGGCAAAACTAGAAGAGGAAGAGGCTCAAAAGGAGGCACAACTTCTACGTGAAAAGGAGGATGCGGAGGCAGAAGCTGCTCGTCTGAAGGAGATTGAAGACCAGAAGATAGAGCAAGCAAAGCAAACTCGACTGGCCAGAGAACGAGCTGAACGAGAGGAAGAGGAGAAACGGGAGCAGGAAGAAGCGGAAAGGAAGGAGCAACAACGTCTGGAAGCGGAACAAATCCACAAGAAGATGTTGGAAGAACGGGAGGCTAAGCAAAAAGCGATCTTCCTGGAGCAAGAAAGAGTGAAGAAGGAAGAAGCTGAACGAAGGCGTGCTGCGCAAGAGGAAGCAAAGCGATTGGAGAAGGCAAGGATCGAAAAGGAGAGAAAGGATGCCCGTCTGGCAAAGCTCCCTCTCTTGCTCAAATGGTTTGACTTGACATTCGATCAGCCTAATGGGCACCAATCTCCAGAAATCGTGGATCTATTCAAGAGGATTGTTGGTTATCGATACGATACCATCAAGCCAGAGTACACTGGACAGACTGTGGGCCGGGAGCAGTGGATGCTCAATACTCATGCTGCGATACTTCTTGGCGAGCAGGATCTTCATTTGAGCAGATGTAAGTATTATTCTCTCCTCGCTTATCTCCAGTTGCTAATTTATATCAGTCTCAGCCTGGGATCGCGTCCCTCTAACATATGACCAAAAACGAGCAGTTTGGAGCACCCATAATTCTCAGTACCTGCTTTATGATGGTTGGTCAAGCCTTCGCAAGTTTTTGCCAGCTACAGATGAATGCCATGACGACGTTATCAAGACGAACAGATCACTCTTTTTGGATCTTGATTTGTTCTTTGTCAAGGTATTTCTCCTAAGTCAATGACTTTGGTCACATCTAACCTTTCGCAGGTATCCGAATTCATGTTTATAGTCCCAACCATTGCTCACCTCCGTTCTGTTCAACTTAAAGTTGAGTATCGAGAACTACATGCGCCTCAGACAGATCTTGGACAAGCTTTGAACGTACCGAAATGGAGATCCGATCCAGAGACTGCTCCAGGACAAACTTCCATACCAGAACCGAAATTCTATGTCAATGGAGACTTGGTCAGACAAGGTGGAACTGCAACACGAGTTTTGAAACATCCGCCTCCTTTAGACAGATTTCCCAGACGCGAGGGTGTCACCAGAGTACAGGAGCACGATCCCGACTACGAAGAGCAATGCAGAAAGCAACGTGTCCCAGGATATCAATCATCCCCTATATCGTCGACTAATCCTCATATGAGTGATGTGTTGCACTCAGAGCAGATGAATGGCATAACACCTCCAAGATCCGATCAATCAAAGTCAATAAACGGTGGCAGTCCTCATCGGAGTTCAGGTTCGGGACCGGAGTCAGGCATGTTTCATCAGCTTCCCAACGGCATCAGCACGGGCGGGAGCCCGCCACCAGCGCTCAGCTAGATCTGGATATATTCGTGTATGGAATGTATTTCGGGAGCTCGAACGATTTTCTTTGTCGGAGTTTGAATGTAGGAGGAAGATTCGGGACGTAGCATTACGAGGAAATGATCACGTTATGTTCTTTTTACACGCGAGAGCTGCTTGGCGTATGCTTGCTTCTATACTTGGGGCTTGGTGGGCGGAAGGGTGTTTTCGGCGAAACGATTCAATGCGAAATAAACGTTCCTTGTTTGCTGGGGGTGCGGTGCGGGGGTCGAGCATTTTGTACAGATGCTTTCTTTGTATTGCTTTAAAACCGTGCGGATTGGTGATGTCAATGTACAATACGGGGATGGCACATGAAATAACAGTACATTTGTCGATTTGTCTAGGCATTGCAGATGTGGTACAGATAATAAAGGCCACCCCGTCCCAGCATCGGTATCATTGTCTGATGTTCCACAAGCTGGAAAGTCTGCCAGCTCGTTCGTGGCTTCCACTTCAGATTCTAGGCAAATATCACGAAGCCACTACGGCGTGCAAAGCTGAGTACACTGAAGTCGTCCTGCAGTTGGAGCAGTTGCGTCGCGCCAATGTTGCTACTACTTCTTGACGCTATATTTTGGATTCCAGTATTTTGTTGAAAGTGATTGGATTGTAGAGACGGCCTGTTGTGTCCTTGGGTATGAGTCTTCCTCCGATTTCCTTTGCTCGTTACATTTCTTGCACAACATTTCACTTTGGTAAGAGTTTACAGGCTAGATTTCACCAAGATCTTGCCATGTTTCTGTGCTCCCCTTTAGATTTCCTCTTCGCCAAGGAGTATCTTAATCGTACTAGCAGACAGTCTTAGTAGCATGGCAGTCCAGGTTCTGGGTTTCCTAGAACAAACGAAAATGTGGTCTTGGCTGGTCTGAGTCTTCAGTGATGACATAAGAAATACTACGATGTTCGTGGATTTGAATCGCAGCGTAGGTATTGTTGCTTCCTAGCTACTAAGTATTGTCAAGTATCGCACTTCCGGTTCCCCTTGTCCCTTCCTTCTTTCTATGCATCGTGATCTCAACACACGCAGGCACGAGCCTTCTTCTTTTATCACAGACTCTCACACTGACTTTGACCCCCAAGTCCCAGCTGCACTTCCTTTATCATCATCCAACCCACCATCCGCTCCTTCCCCATCTCTTTCCGTCCCAACCTCTACTTCCGCAATGTCATTCCATGGACTTTCTTGCAAATTCTCGTTCATCCACTCCATCGACAGGCAGGTTAGCAGGCGCTCTCAAGGATCTTTTCATCTTTTTTGTTATAGATGTAGGGACACGCTGAGAGGGATGGTGCATCGAGAGGACGTACGCGTTGCATTGGTGTTGGTTCTGCTGCTGAAGTCTCAGCTGGTGGAGAAGTGCGTTTACTTGAGCTTTTTATAGTATGAGATAGCCATGTTGGCCTGTCTCCTGGGATTGTCGTGGGGTTTCTCGAATTTGTCGTATTTTGCTGATCCTGAATATCGTCAAATTGCATTGCATGACTTGAGATTGTTGTAGGTTATCAGTTACCACAGCAGTTCTCGAATCTAGTCGGAAATCTTCGACCCTTGACAATCTACAAGCTGACTTGAATGGCTTATTTTGGTTCGTTGATTGCTCTGACATGGCTTCCTACGTAAAGTCGAAGTCGGATGTGAGGTAGAAGACTTTGTCACGCTACTCCACATAACAGAGAAAGAGAGTAAAAGGGCGTAATTATTTTCGTCCAGCATTTTCCAATACTACATTCTTCGATGATATATAGGCCTATTCTATCAGTGTAATCTTACTATTTGTCTCCTCATTCCGGTGAGCGAAGAGCCAAAACTGTTGCCGGCGGTCGGGCCTCAGAAGTGGACTTTTGCAAGATATACACACTGGCAATCCGCTCAGAAGGGGACTTTTGGTCGATGTGCATTTGGGGCAGGCTGAGAAAAGGGTGGCTTTCGGGTGTGCAAGCATTGGCAATTGGTCGACTTGTCCAGGCTGTAGTAGTAGTGATTGTACTTTTGCGAAAAGCCATGCAAGGGTTTGGCGCTTTTGGGGCATTCCCCTTGATTTCTGTTTGGGATATGGGACAGTGTCTGCTTTTGTGCTTCGTCCACCGCCTTCTTGACGTATGGTTGACTTCAATACTGTACCGGGCGGCCCTGCCAAGAACTGGACTTTTGTGAAGGCTGCAGGACCTCGACTATATGTTTGCCTCGGGTCCAATCCCCACCGCCTCGACGCCGACGGATGCCGTGCCACCACTCCAGTGGCTGAGCGTGAGACATTCTCACACCGAAGCAGATTCTGTGTCTGTGGTTGAACTCACAGTCTCTGCCTTTCCAGTCCCTGTTCTCATGCTCAACACCAACATACTTCGAACATTTCGACGCAAATGGATTCAACTCCCTCTCCGGTTTCGCGGCCGATGGAACCTCCAGAGATTCCACCGCAGACTAGGAGATACCGCAAAGAGGAATGGGAAGTCCATCGAGGCTTGATAGTCGGCTTGTACCCTATGCAAGGTATGAAGTTGAGAACAATCAAACAAATACTTGAGCACGACCACGGTTTCATTGTTAGTAAGTTCTGACATTCGTAGGGATTTGCCAGGCGAGCTAATTATTGAAGTGAGCGACAGCTGAAGAAGAAGATTGACGACTGGAAAATTGGCAAGAATGTGCAAAGTTCCGAAATGGCATTTATTGTGCAGAAACAGCATAAAAGAATTTTGGCTAGAAAGCCCACTATTTTTCGTGCTCGAGGTCAGCCTGTGGATCCAGACAAGATCTTACGATGGCAAAAGGGGCCTGGAAAGCAGCTGCAGAATATTGGTTCTCGTGGGTATTCCGCTAAGACTACTTATCCTGTAAGACCTTCTGACCCTGTTCAAGCTGTCCCATCAACTCCGTCAGATATAAGCTATAGTCCGCCATCAGCCAAGTCACCATCACCAAAGATGATGGAACCAGAAAGAGATTCAAGCCCGAAAAGTCAGTCCATAACTGACTGGTCAGAAAACCCGAGCCAGCAGCAACCATCTTTGGTTGGAAATTTTCATGGAAATGCCTCAAACCTTGACCCAAATGAACCGAGCCTTGACTCATTCATATCCCAAGACTCTACTCCGTATGAGGGTCGGAGTCCTTCTCCTTTCACTCTTCGTCCGTCGCCTGCACCTTCACCAAGACTTTCATACGTCTCCCAGGGCAACTTCTCGAGTTTTGCTACCCATGGCTCCTCCTATGGTTCATCATTCGACCTGTTGGGAAGTCCATCATTGGGTTTACAAGACCACACAGTCCACTCGCATCAAAATGCGCACCTTACGACGCCATGGAACACGCAAGAGACAACAATCAACCAGACACCTGGGACGTCCGCAATTTCAAAAAAGACGAGATATCGTGAGAATGAAGAACTTGATTTGAGGCAGAGATTGACATCTCTTGAATCGAGGTACGGGCTTAAGCACCCGGCATCCCTTGACGCCATGTCTCGGCTCGCAAATGTGTTGCAAGACCAAGGGAGGCTCGGGTCTGCGGAAGGTTACTACAAACAAGTAGCCAAGTCATATCAAGCCACTCTGGGAGAAGACGACATAGAGACTATCAGTGCCTTTTTGGACCTTGGGATGATCCTACTAAGTCAAAGTCAAGTGACTAGCGCTGAAAAGCTTTGTCGCAACCTTTATTCAAGAGCATCTTCTATCTTATCCAATGAGCATCGTCTAAAGCTCCAGATCCTGAATGAGCTTGGTACCTGTCGGTACAACTTAGGAGATATCAAAGAGGCAGAAGTACTACTCCGTGATTCAATTGATTCTGGGAGACGCATTTTGATGCACGATGATGATCTATTGTTACGCCCGATGGGTACTTTGGCTAAAGTTCTGGTTTCACGAGGTGAACTTGTAGAAGCTGAGAAGCTCCTATTATTCATTCTAGAGGCAAAAAGGTTCTCCTGGAAGCCTGTAGACATCATCCACATGCACGTACGATCATTCCTGGGATATGTATATGGCAGGAAATTAATGTTCCAGCAATCGGAAGCAACCTTGAAACAAGTTCTAGCAGAGCAAATCAGACTGTTAGGGCCAGAGCACAAGGAAACTCTAGTGTCACAGAAATATCTGGCGATCACTATCAGAGCTTGTGGAAGACATGACGAAAGCGATACGATTCTACAAGACACTCTTCAAAAGTTGGAAAAGTCCCTTGGCAAGAGGCATTCTGAAACTTTGCGATGCCGCGGAGATCTTGTAAAGGCAATGAATGGGCGGAGCAAGTTCACAGAAGCGGAAAATTTCGCGAGAGAGCTATCCTCTCTCTTGCAAGAAGGACCAGCTCAAGATAATGACCTGATGAGTTTCATTTCATTTGAGCTCGGTATCTCGTATGAGGGTCAAGGTCGTCTCGACGAAGCTTTGGTCATGTTTGAGAAGTTGCTGGAAGAATCAGCTTGTTCGCTGGGCGATAATCACCTGAAAACGTTGCACTTGGGGAATAATGTTACGAAATTGAAGCAGCACATGGAGCGTCGCTTGGTGGTTCAGCCGTCGATGGATCTCTGCTGGACATGACGTTACTCCAACATCTGCTACGGCGGAGCGTGATGTCATGTCTGGGCCAGGATGAGATACCTGTGATGAAGTAAAACCGATCCCATGATTGCGTTCACTGGTGCTGGAAGCCCCGAATTACGCCATGTATAACACCAAACAAACGGAGGATAGTCGGCTCAAAAGACCATTATAGAAGTTTCTGAGATGCTGTACGATTCAGATCACAAGACAACCCAAATGGTGGGATTTGTGACAGAATCTCATAGTGTGCCACACTTCCGAGAATGTAGCGTTCGAGATGATCTGGACGCGAACGAGCATTCAAGTTATGCTGGTAAGAATGGTATGACAAAGAAGATGAACGAATTGCACTATCATATTGTTTCATGGTAATTCAACCTGGAGCTCGGCTTGTAGCCTAAGACGAGAGCTCTAAAGTCTGGAAGGCCCTACATGCGTGTATTATTGGACGTGGGATGTATAGGAAAGTGCAATCATAATAGGTATCTTTAGTTGACATCCATGAAATTCTTGAAACTCATCATCTCTGGTCCAGCATGGAAAGGTAGCCCTCCTCCTCGCGTCGCTTAGCAATTCCTCTGCTGCATCAACAAAACCTAGATTCCTGAAACCTTCAGCAGTCAACCTACAAGCTCTTGAAAGATTGGAAGCTTCCAATAATAATAAAGGCCATTCGCACCACTTGACAGCATGGTACAGTGCATTAGGATGACTCTCCAACCACCTTGATAGGACCACGACACTCATTCAAGATATTGCCTGGGACTAGTAAGGTGTCTAATATGTCACAGAACGTTTATCTATAACTCGACCTTCCCTCCCTCCCCCTCACCATTACCACAAACCCCATCAAAATCCCCAAACTCCTCCATCCCCCTCCCAATAACCTCCACAAACTCATCAAACGCACAACTCGCCCCGGGTCCACCCTCACACCCGGGAATCGGTCTCGGCGCACTATTAGCAATAATCCGAATATACTCATGATCGTCCTCCGGATCCAGCGATACAGCATTACATGTCAGCTTCTCTATCCCAACGTGGCCGAGGAATGGGATCAGTTCGGCCATCTTCCAGGATCGACTCCAGTTTATTCTGTCGGTGGGGAATTCTTCCGCGTGCGAGTTGGAGCTGTTGAAGAGACCGAGGGCGGTGGCGATGAAGGGGGGGACTTCGCGGTGGGTGAAGGAGAGGAAGAAGCGCTGGCCGTCGTCGTCGGGGATTGAGGGGTTGGGTTTGGGAAATTCAGATTTAGATGTCGGAATGTGGCGAGGTTTATGGAATTTGGACATCAGGTGAGATGTTGTGTTTAGCCATGGGAAGCCTAGGTATGGTGAGAGGGCGTTCCCGTGTCCGACCATATGGGAGTATTTCAGGTCCCAGCAATATTCATATGCCATCCATTCATCGTCTGTGAATACATCACAGATCATGCTCTTCTTGCCGTTAATAGCACTTTCGTAGCCGCAGAGTTGTTGGAGACCCATGATATCGCCGTTGCTCAACTCAACTGGTGCATGGCGCTGCAGACGTGCTACGATAGGAGGCGTGTATTTCGACATGAACGCTGCGAATTCATCGTCTCCTGCTTTCTTTGAGAAGGCATTACATGCTTTGTGTGGATCCTGGGAATGGAATGAGGTGCGATTGAGATCTATCTCGACCACTTCAACCTCCTGTGGAAACACCTTCACAAATGCTTTCGCTGTATCTTGTGTCCTCTTCTTCGTATCCGCATATATCCTCTTAGTAGTAGGAACAAGTTTCGGATATCTCGACATGAGATGTTTCCCGACTTTCTTAGAATCTTTGATCCCCTGCGGCGTGATTTTTTCTAATTGGGTGTCTGGGTCATTGATGGGATTCTGCCATTTGTCGAAGAATGATAATGGACCTTTCCATCCTTGCCGTTTCTTCCCTGAGGAGGTGGAATATGTGGAGTTTAGTTTTGAGAGGAAGGGCTCGATGTAGTCTTCGTAGTCTTTGTCGTTTGCGTAGATGGCTGCGTGGCGGATAAGGTAGGATGCTGCTGTTACTTCGCAGTGTCGTGGTGCTTCGTGGCTGAGGCCGAAGCCGACAGCGTCGAAATAGGGACTTATTCCTGGCAGACTTGGGCATGGAAATAAGCAATTAGCTTTTCAAGGAGTGCTTAGGAGCATAATAATCCAGGGTTGAGAAGAATTTTGGAATCTTGAGAAGACAATCCAAGTACTTACTGAAGGAGAGGATCGAATTGATACCCTTGCGTATGGGATTGTGGTAAGAGAGGAATCTGCGCAGAGATTATGGGAGTAATGGTTTGCGAGAAGGCAATCCACGTCAAAATTGAAGGTAGAGAAACCATACTTCCTGTGGTATTCACAGAGAAGTTGATGGTTGTTTGTGTTGTTTTGGAAGAACGTGAAGTTGGAAAAGTGTATGGCTATGACATCATGCCGTAGCCTTGCAGACCAATGCCAAGAAAGGGGAACTGAGGCTGAGGACAAGAGGCGGCTTGTATGGCAAGGTTGGATTGAAGTGAATGGTGAGATGATAGTAAATAATCTTTCCCAGATGTATGCTGGTGGAGATAGCTTATTCTGATTGTATTTATCCTCGGGGTTGGTCAGGGCTGTTGGGAGAAGCTTGCTTACAGTACAGTATTCAGGGGTACAGTATTGACTTTGAGTGCAGGGGATGTCAGTGTAAGCGAGCATGGTTCAGAGATGCTTATTGGGCATTACGGAGGCAGAAAGGAGGTAATCTATCTATCAAGCCCCATGATTATTATATACAAATCTCTATGTTCCACTAGACTCCTCTAACCAATATTCCATCTACTCCATCTCACCAACAAACCCCTCTGTGGGACCCTCTCTCAACAACCTCCCCTTATCAAGAACAACGCAATGCTTCGCCTCACTAACTGCCTCCACCCGATGCGCAATCGTAACCACCGTACTCTCCTTCATCTCCTCCCTCAAAATCCTCTGAATCCGCATCGCCGTCTCCTTATCAATACTCGCCGTCGCCTCATCCATAACAACAATCGGACTCCTTCTCAATAAGGCTCTTGCCAAGCCCACCAATTGTCGCTGTCCCTGAGAAAGATTCTTCCCGCCAGTGTCGATGTGTGTGTCTAGTGTCCATTCATGACGCGATGCGATCTTGGAGAGCACGGTGGAGCACTCATCGTCGCTGTATTCTTCCAGCGGATCGAGGTTCTGTCGCATACTGCCTGGGAAGAGGACGGGTTCTTGAGCGAGGAATGTTACGCGTTTGCGTAGGGCTTGGAGATCTATTGTCGAGATATCGATGCCGTCGATTAGGATGCGGCCTGTGACGGGGAGGGTGGTGGCGAGTAGCGATAGAGCAAGTGTGCTTTTCCCCGAGCCAGTACGGCCGATGAGTGCGGTTGTAGAGCCACCTTTGATTGAAAGTGAAATATTTGAGAGAGCTGGGTCGAGATGTGGCGCATATTGGATTGTGACGTTTTCGAACACGATATCGCTGCCGTATAATGGCCAGGAAGCAGGAGGCATGACCTTTCCAGGTGGTTCTTGTTCGAGATGGAGGAGTTCAACTACACGCTCTACGGAAACGAAGTCCATTTGAAGTTGTCCGTATTGTCTGCAGAGAGAGTGAGTCGAGCGGACGAATGTGGCTGCGGCGGTGAGTACAAAGGCTGTAAGACCAGCTGATACATCGGTGTAGAGAGCAAGAACTGTGAGAATGAATGTCGAGCCAGCGGAAAGTGTGTCGAATCTGTACATAAGCCAGGCTTGGAGACTCCAGTAGAAATGGTCCATCTTCTGGAAATTATCCGTCACGGCTATAACTCTGTCCTGAAATCGGGATGATGCGGCAAAAGCTCGAATTGTTGTCAGGCCATCTGTTAGAGCTCCAAAATTTGAGATCAGAGGCGTCAGGGATACCATCTCAAGTCGACGAAGACTTTGAGAAGTTGGTAGGAAGTGTCGGAAAATGATTACAAATGCGATTGTGAGCGCGATGGCAAAGATAAGGAATAGTGGCGTGACGGATCCAATGACGACAATGGATGATACCCAAGATATGGATAACAAAGCGACGTTTTGGAATTGAGCGCTGATGTTTCCATCAACGGTGTTAATGTCAGATGTGAGACGATTCATCAATCGTCCCACAGGTGTAACATCGTAAAAGCGGAATTTTGCATGAGTGACTTTCGTCATAACTCTCTCGAACAAATCTTTTCCAGCCTTGTAAATGATGACAATCATGAACCCATTGGTGATTGCATAAGCAACTGATTGAGCCACCGCAATGAGGAAGAATCCCACAAGCCATGGGCGGATGTTTGTCTCAGGGGAAGGCAAATCGTCGAACGGACCAGATGCCTGTTCGATTGGATCACCATATGCTTCTCCCCACTGCTTCAAGAACCAAGTCTGACCAATTTCGACGATTCGGCCAATAACCAAGAGACATATAAGAACGAACCACCATTTGAGCTTTCCGGCTTTGATGTATTCCCAATATACCGATGCTTGGACTCCTCCATGAGCCCTGTATTCGTCCTCGACAAACTTGTCGGGTACTGCAGCTTGATTCTGCTCTTCGTCTCCCTTTGCTTCGTTTGCGGAATCAGAGGATCGAACTCGATGTAATTCTTCGAATGGGATGGTTTCCGGGTCAAGAAGGACCGAGCGACCATTTGTGATCTGGATAGCCTGGGTGGCCATCCCGAGACACAGTTCTGTGCGATGAGTGACCAGAATTGTGGTTCGACCTTCTAGTAATGGACCAGCCAGACACCTTCGTACAATGAACTCGGCAGTCTGATGATCAAGTGCCGATAGAGGATCATCAAGCAGCAGTATATTCGCCTTCGAATACACGGCTCGTGCGAGTGAGACTCGCGCTTTCTGTCCTCCTGATAACCCGATCCCGTTCTCTCCTATTAGAGACAGATCTCCATGTTTAAAGTTGGCCATATCCGGGATCAAAGCACAAGCCTCTAAGACTTGCTTGTATCTAGCTTCCTCATAATGAGCAGAGAACAAAATATTCTCCCTAATACTCATACTCTGTAGCCAAGGCGTTTGGCCACAATAACCCACCATCTCATTCGTACGATGATACTCCCCATCGAGCTGATCAAGCTCGCCAAGCAATGCTTGCAGGAGAGCAGTCTTTCCAGCGCCAACTTCTCCACAGATGACTGTCAAACCAGGAGAGAATGATACGTTAATGTCGTATAACACTGGATCCTTTGCACCCGGCCAAGCGAATGATGCATGTTTCATTTCGATCTTGGTGCTGGGTGTGAAAGTCGTCTCTTCTTTGTCGGGTTCGTTCATGAATTCTTCGAGACGGCCGACGGATACCCTTGCATTCAAGAGTACCTGCTTAAGGTCAGTATCCAGATTTCACTGCTGGGAACGCAGACTTACAGTAATCAGATTCGGCAACTCGCGCAAACTGGACACAAGCATGCCGAAAAGCTGGAGTGCAGGGAAAGCCACGTCGACTCTCAAAGACTTTCCAGCAAGAACAGTATATGCCCAGAATGCCAAAACGGGAAACAATCCACTGGCAAATTCATTGGTGAATGATATCAGAACTGTCCAAAGAGCTGTAATGACCCGCAATTTGAGCTCATGCTGTCTTGCCTCCATAATACGGGCCAACCAGACATCTTGCCAACCGTAATACCGTAAATGGCGGATGGCGTCAACGAGTTGAGAAATCTTGTGTAGTTTTGTGTCTGTTGATATCCTGCGTTGTCTTTCATAATATAGGACTGCTTTTGCGATCAGGACGTTGACTGCTTGAGCTACTAACACAGCTGTTACTCCAATCAGGCATGCCCAGCCTAGGATGCGCCAGATGAGAATAACTGCGAAGACTAATCCTAGAGGCTGTGAAACGAGAGATGAGAATTCCCAGAATCTAAAGATGTTAGTCACTGATTGGGGTACGGAGGGGAGACACTTACCGCTGTGCAACCTCGTACGCATCAAATCTACTACCTGTTAGCATCAAAACACCGGTACACACGTGGCTAAACCAACCTCATCAGATTCATAATCTTCCCCATTGAAGCAAGATCTTTTGGTTTCTGCGCCTTCTTAGATCCCTTCAGCCATCGGAGCGGCGCCATGATGACATCCTTCAGCTTCTCCATCTGAGATCGATCTTCATATTTTGTGTGACCGTTCGGAATGCTCCCAGGCTCGATTTCAATCACGGCCTTACTACTGACACTGACGACCTTTCTAGAAAGTGTCTTCTCATACAGCATCGTGATCAACTCTCCTCTAGATCGCTCATACGCACGTCTTCCATACCAGAGCGAGAACACACCGGACTGGCTTGAAACTAGACGCACGATGAGAGACAGCAGAGCGTACTTCAATGCGGCCTGTTTCGGAGCTCTATGATCCTCCATACTCTGAAGAATCTTCTGCAATAGCACTGGTGCGGAGAAATCTAAGATCTGTTAGCAAAATCCTACTTTTGAAGAAATGGGCCACATACTCGCAACCAGTTCGATAATACTCAACAACGAAATGATGAACAGATCCAGCCCATTCGCCTCCAACAATCTCCTCAGCACCGAGCCCTTCAACTCTCTAAACTCATCATGCAACCCACGATGCTTAAACTCATACCCCAAGCTCCAAACATCCTCATCATTTAACTGCCTCTCATTCCCCATCTTAATCAGCGGCGCCATCCACGACACACTCATAAACTGCCACAACGTCAAATTATCCTCCGGACTGCGCATCTCAAATGCGGGTTTCGCAAACGCCGGACTGATCTCCTCGTTTCCGCGGAGAGGATGCCGAAGTGGCATGAGGAGAATAGTGAGGATTGCTCCGACCGCTGCAGTGATCGCTAGGATCGACGGGACATCGTGTTTCCATGCGGAGGAAGATCCATCGACGAGAACGATGAGCTGAGAAGTAGCTATGCAGCTATACAGCACCAACAACACCTTTGGAGTCTTTGCTGGCCTATGCACAGCTACCAGGATCGTGCCCACTGCCCATGCTGTACATGGATAGACCATCAGGAGACTGTACCGTGGCCAGAAGACACTCCATATCTGGAAGCTCAGTCCAGCAACGGAGAAAGCGAAGAGGATGATGGTGTTCCATCCTAGAAACCGCTTCCTGATGAAAGTCACGCGCTGGGAAAGCAGTTCTGGCTCCTGCGCGAAACTTCGAAGCCATCGCGGCGTGAGGCGACGGAGTGAGAGGAATGAGAGGATGGTGAAGAGGAGGATGAGTATTGCTGCTACGGCGGGGAGAGCTGAGATATGTGGTAGTGCACAGGGAGAGAATTGTGCGTTGATTGGGTCCTGGAGGAAAGTGTAAGTGGTGATGAATACACGTGATGGGTATGACTGGGGAGGAGGGGTCGAACCCAGATGCGTCTGCAGGTCCCTAATCCCCCACTTTGTGATTCTATCTCGGCATTGATTGGGAGGGCTGGGAATAGAGGATAGCCCTCTATGCTTTGGATTTTAAATACATCCATTTTTGGGGAGAGGACAATGGCTGAGGTGGTGATATCCAAGGCGTAATTGACCGCCTGTTGCCCTCGGTTCGTGCTTCACCGAGGTGTGTCCGTCAGGGCCATTGGGATGTATCTTCGTTCGCCGATTGATTAGAGGTTTGGAAAGAACGATTATTTGAACAATTGAAGATCTCTCGAGAGAACAAAGAGAAACGTTACGTCTGGATTTTCTTGATCCTGCTTGGCTGCAGGTGGTTGCTCTTACGGGACCTGCCCCTCGTATGCCCCACTTTTGGACTACTACTTTGATGTCATGTGACAGTTTTTATATGGGCCTCCCTTTCCTTGTGACCGTGTCTGAATAAGTTGCAGTGATGGCAAGCTCTTACCTTGGAAGTGAGATATGGTATTGTTACATAGTGTGGGTTTGACGATTGTGCCGAGAAATTTTACAAGAGGTAGACATTTATTTCAATAATGCTCAACCATGTTAGGATTTCTCAATCACATCACAACATTCCACGATTCTAGGTTGTTATATTGAAGGTCAACTGCATCTTGTGTTGGGATGTATTATTTCATATACGATGCCGCTAATAACTACAAAATACTGCACATATTTCCCATCCTACAACTCTCCGTGTCCAGCCGTCTTCTTCCCTTGACCAGCCAAACTATTCTTTCGACTAGCAGCCGGCGTCCTATTTGGGGTCCTATTCGGCGTAGCCTGTCCAGCATAACTCTGCTGACGACTTCCCAACGCATGTCTCGTTCTGAGATCCTGCTGCGATCTAACATAAGAGTTGGCTCTCACAGCACTCGCTCTTCTCTGACTCTCAGACGGAATCTTGGACAGCCGACGGCCGAGAGTCTCTTGATCGTTGCGAGCATCGGACAGCTGTTGGGCGAAGGGTGAACGTTTGCGAAGAACAGGTCCTTTCCAGTAGATAACGTAGACTGCCAGGACGAGGAGGAAAGAGATACAGGCGAGGATTGTGGATGCGTAGGCGAGGGGATTGCTGCCGATGTTTTGGAAGAATGGTGTTGCTGGGATAGTGAGGACACCAGCGAGGAAATCTCTGGACCAGCCGTTTCCTCCTGTTGCTGAGGCGGAGTATGGGCCATATGCACAGATCATGTAATCGATAGTTGCCATGTAGATGCTGTAGTTAGCAATACCAACAATAGCTGCGAAGACCATGGTTCCTATCCAGTGGATTGGTGGGCCAGTTGATGTCCAAGCAAATCCAATCAAGCCGATCGGGAGACATGGAGCAGTGTACAAGAGCCACCAGAGGCGAGACTCGTACTGTACTCTCTCATCATCTGGCTTTTCTTGTCGCTCTTTGATATTCCGTTTGATGACTGGGATGAACGAGAGCCATGCAAGGACATATCCAATTCCGATAGGAATGAAAGCCAAACCAAGGGCAACAGTGCTGAAATGCCATTGGTCGTACACCAAGGAGAAAGATTGGATGAACATGAAGATCAGAGCGTCACTGAAACCACTGAGAAGCGACAGTGTGAGGACAATAGGCTCAGTCAAGAACATCTTGAATGGTCGGATCCATGTGACCAGGATTTCCTTGGCGGAGAATCGATCTTTGAATGGTACGAGCTCGTTGGGTCCATAGATATTCGTCTCGACGCCATTCTTGCGTCTCTTCTTGGCAATTCTGTCCATCATTATAGTTGATCTGGTTTCGGGGACGAAGAAGAAGTGAAGTGCTTGAACGAATCCTCCGAAAATAAGTTGGATCCAGATGGACCATCGCCAGCCAAGATACTCTTCACTGAATCCACCAACGATGGGACCTAAAATGGAACCACCGACGGAGGAGAATACAACGAATGCGACTGCGTATTGTTGGTTGTCGGCTTCCCACATGTCTGCAATCATTCCAAGTGTGACTGATCCACCAGCAGAGGAAATACCACCAAGAGCTCTGCCAACCAAGATGGTACCGAAATTTGGTGCCAGAGCCACAGGAAGCTGCCAGATATTAACGAGCAGCAAACTGAGCTGGAGGATAGGCCATCGTCCGAGTTCCTCACTCCAGGGAGCCCAAAGCTCGCATCCAAAGGCATAAAGGACCAAGAAGATCATAGCACCACATCTTGCTGCTTGAGAGCTAACATTAAACTTCTCCGTTATTCCTGGGATGGCATTGGAGTAGAGACTGGTATTGAAGTTCATGGATACTTGGACGAGGAAGATGATGGTAAGGATAGTCCTGAGATTTGTTAGTACAAGCCTTGAGTCTCTGCGACAAGAATGCTTACCATTTCTTTCTCTCCGTGAATGAGTATCCGAGCTCATCATAGCACATGTCCTCCGTAAGCTCTATCTTGTCGTATGTGCCAACCTTTTTGGCATTTGGAAGGTCGTCTGCACCACCGGAACCGTTTGTTGGTGGCATGAACACTTGATTCTCTCCAAATCGAGGGTGATGAGATTCACGGGGTGCAACATCTTCGGCTTTCTCTGTAGGTGGTGTGTCTTGCTCCGCTCTGGTTGTGGATGAAGTTTCCGATTCGTTAATTCTCTTTTCGTTCATCGTTTCGCCGTGTGGGTCGTGAATTGGTGCTGCTTGAGCGCTCTTCTCTCCAGGATTCTCCATGGTGTGTGAACTGAAGATCTCGAGACAAGATTATCTCTGTTAGCAAACTTTCAGAATAAATCGAAATACATGTGGGATCCACCACAAAAAAATCTTTCAATTTTCGACTAACACCACGCCGGCTGGTACTCAAAAAAGACTATGTGGAGAGTAAATAGGGTAGATGGTAAAAGGAAATGGGATTCTTTAAAGATAAGGCTGTTGGTGGGAAGCTCGCTCATGACATTTGAGCCCACAGCAACCGAGGAGTCCACAACTGTGGTACCAACACCTCGGAATACGTCATATAACGAACGAGAGGGTGTAGGCCTCCCTTGGAGATCGAGGAAGCTTTGGTCAAGGCCGGCCGGAAATGCTTAGTAGCCTTGCTAGAAGCTTAGTTCGTCTTCGAAGTGACGGGTTCAACGGCACAGCAACGCCGCCTGAAGCCGGTCGCGTGCCATTTGATGGACTGACTTGAGCGGTTTGAAGATTTATATTATGACATCTAGAAAGATCGAAATGATCGAATCTTCTGCTCTGTCATTATTGAATGGATTTGAGCTTCATTGCCAGTGAAAAGTACCAGTTAGATACTAAAATTGATGGTATCATGATCGGTGGGGCGAGATCCGCATAATCCGAAGATTGAAGTCCAACAACCCCAATCTACTTGATTTGACGTGAGAGATCTGCAAAGTAAATCTGCAGCCTACTTAGCTTTGATTTGAATGTCATGTACTCGCAGATTTCGTGCAGTAGATAGCTTTTTGCTCCGGGTACGTCAAAAATCGGCGGGGCGATGGGAAAATGTTATGACGTATGTCTCAGCAACTCCATAAATGCCCATTCCAATCCCACACCAAACATTCGCATGCAGGTGAGATGTGGATGCGGAGTACGCTCCTGGAGGCGACATATATGTATGATGAGGTAGCCTCGGCGGTATTTTCTGTGGGTGGGTGCTGCCTTTGTGAGTGATTTGATGTTGACCTTGCACCTCGTAACGAATAGTCCGGCTGGGCTGCTTTGAGCCTCAGATCTGCGATGCTTGTAAATTAAGTAGCCAATCATAGATGTGCTTTTTCCGGAATGCGTCGTGAAAGAGTTGGCAGGGACCAAGAAAGGCGCGCAGCTCGTGATGCTTCCCTTTTCGATATCTGAGGACCTGGATAAGGTCCCTCTCAGTCGCCCCATCAATCGAGTTACTTGACACACGAGATCAAGTTAACACTCATCTTCACGGTCATAGTGACACTCTATAGCTGATACTCATGGGCTGGTGGGCCGCAGACCACCGATTTTCTAATCATAATACGAATCGATGTGTCCTGAGGGTGATGCATGGGCTATTGCACTCCAGCACTCTCAAAAGCGGCAGCCTTCGGCCCCCCGCGTTTTGACATCTGAAATGTTATGAACGAATGCGATGTGATGATGTGAGATGGATGAAGTGGTTGCAGAAGTGCGGGGTGCTGGGGTGTTGGTTTCGTTGCGTGGTGACGTCGATGAAGCTGAAATGTGGAGGAAGTTCACGTTGTAGAACCGGGGATGAGGTCACATGAGGTACACATGACGAGATTTGGTCCTCAATGCACCTTATCATTCAGGGAGAATATGACACATGTAGCTGCCACTGTTAACTGAATGCCTTGACTTGGGCAGGTTCTTCACGAACAACATCGCACTGCAATCTCAGGCTACCTTCGTGGAAGTGTAGTAAGCGAGCTGAAGTCCCATGTTGTAAACAAGCAGAGTTACTTGGCCCGGAGCCACGAACATATGATAGGATCAGATAGGCTTGAGCGCATATGTATCAGATGAAACTTCGTACTCTTATTTATTCTTGCATGTGTTGAAGGTAAAACGATCAGCCCTGAAGCTCGCCTAATCCACCCCACATTGCAGTGCTGAAAATGAATACTCACAAATGTTGGCCAAAAGAATAGCCTTGAGATTATTCTTGGCCAGTCCTCTACATTACCTAGTTAGAGATAAGAAGACAGGCTCCAAAGAGCTGATGGCGCTGCCTACCTACGAAGAACACAAATCCAAAAAAAAAAATCCAAAAGAAGATTTTGTCCTCGGAGAGACTCGAACTCTCGACCTTTGGATGGCCCTGACTGTAAACAATCAGATCATATTTAGCATATGAGACCAACGCTCTAACCAACTGAGCCACGAAGACTTGTGTTTTTGACGTGTGATATCGAAAAAGCCCTTATTCAACTACCTACCACTAAGAAGGGTCTGAGGTGCGACGTTTTTACCCCGCTGCATGACTAATGACTAGCCCTGCCCGTGAGTTGCCGGGGTCACGAAGCCGAGAGCAGTGGCCCACAAGGTCTTGTTGTTGGAAGATCAATGAGAGAAGATTCTGAGTGTAATAAATCGTATGGACTACGGCTTCCGTTTTCTTTGCTTCAAGTCATGTTTCTCCTATGTTCTGATAAGTTACTGAAGTCAAATCTGATCATGTGCCTTTCTTATTACTGAAAATGCTCTGCAAGACGTCATCTTGCGGGAAGCGTGGGATACGAGCTCATACGATCATCCCTGGGTACAACACGAGCAGTATATCGTAACGCCAGAAGCTGAAGCGGTGGGAAAGCTTGCACATCATTCCTCAGAATGGATATCGAGTCTTACATGCAAATCTGAATTCGGCTTCTTCGGAGCAGTTGACTCACCAGAAACCAAGGGCGAACTATCTCATCTCTGTGAAAGTTTTAAAGCATGCCACTTCGTCACCTCATTCGATCCTTACAGTCTGACATCATAAAAGACAAATCCTGCATTTACAGTTCAAATTACTCGTCGTGAAAGGAGAACCTTGACATCTCTTGGGCAGAAACAATTCTTTGTGGTACCCTTCAAATCCATGAGATACCTTAAAAAAGCCAGCGATTCGCTCACATGCAGCAAATCAAAGGCCACTTCTAGAACTCTGCAGTCGTCGACGGTGTCATCGACGGCGTCCTCACCCGAATTTAAGCTTCCGACTGTAGATGGAGTCACCTGTTGGACGAGCAGGTTGGCCTCATCTGAAACTCCAGTGGAGCTCTATATATATCTGCATCTAAGGTTTCATAGAGAACTGTCAGGAGCCCCCAGACCTCCCTCCACCGGATGCCGGGACGATGCTTAGGGCCAGAATCGAGCGCTTGGTGAGGATGAAGCATTGCCACTTGATCGTGTTTCCGCGCGCTGGAAACTCACCCTTCTTCTTTTTGCCGCGTCAGACTTTAGCCAAAACGGAGAGAGAGAAAGAGTTTCATCCACAGAAGATGGTGGCTTAGACCAACTGACACGCCGTCGATGGCCGCCGTGGAGTGAGACGGGAACGATTGGGTAGCGTGAGCGATCAGGGTCTGGGTTCCTGACTTGACTTGCTTGGAGCTTAGAGTGATTTTCCTGAGGCACGAGGAGAGAGCGAGGGCGTTAGGGGGTTGGAGGGAACTATTTGTAGCGGCAGAGAGGAGAGAGAAGATAGGTCAGGACAGGGGCAGCAGGGGCAGCAGTGGCAGGCAAGTAATGCAAAATGCAGGCAAATATGCAGGTCTGGTGGCGGGTCTTGGCAGAGATATCGAATCACGCCAGGAGAGGTGAGGATAGCTACGGGATAACCAATACCTTACCAGGTCAACCAGACTAAAGTCTACGGAGTAGAGGCCAACAAAATAACAATAATACTACCCCCAAGCCTCCCCGGCTTTCTGAGGACATTATTGTTTGTGTCTATTGAAACACATTACAATAATTCATATTCGCACTGTATTGAACTACTTCACACCGTCCTCTTCTTCTTATCCGCATCTCCTGCACAACCCACCAACTTTTTCTGCAGGGCACCTTCCAACTACATGAATTGATACGACTCGACTCGACTCAACACGTCCTGTCCATCTCATCCCACGTTCGACGACGCTGTTATCTCCTTCCCAACCCAACCCAACGCTCACTTGCTCCTGTCAACCCGGGCCAGGAACCCACTCCCTTCCTAATCCACTCTTTCTCCGGCCCTCCCTCCCACTGATCTTCCTCGACGGGACAGGACTCGTCGACCACCAGTCGCTCATCCACAAACCAGGATCACCTCATTCTCTCGCGGCCTTAAATTCCCAGTAGCATTGGGTTTCCCGGGTTCTGCTGTTTCTGATCTGCTGTCTACAAACAACTGTCGCTACTGTCACAAGTGACATTACTCGGTCCAAGAAGGTTACCATCCCTTGGATAAACTCACAAATTGCGTGGCTTGCTGATCTCTCGGCGACAATAACAACAACAACACCAACCCCGCAAACTCTCTGAATCTCTTCCTCTTCGAATCGTACACTCACCAACAACTGGATCCATAAACCGCAAACATGAATATCAACAAGAAGCTCGACAGGGTCAAGCAATGGGCAGGGGAGAAGATGGGACAGGAGTCCAAGACTGGCGTGTCTGAAGAATTCAAGGCTCTGGAGATGGAAATGGCCTTGAGACACGAAGGTACGTTTGCTCGATCTGCGAGAATGGCACATGCTGACAGTACACAGGTATGGAGAAACTGCAAAAGTCCATGACCGTCTACGTCAAATCTCTCTCGAGACGCAACGAAGTCGAAGATAAAGAAAAGGTTCTGCCAGTCGGGTATCTTGGTCAGACGATGATACACCATGGAGAGGATTTCGAGCCGGATTCAGAATTTGGAAATTGTCTCATAAGTGCGTATATCTGGCCAGACGGCAGAGAGGTTTATACTGACTGGCACAGGCATGGGAAGAGCAAATGAGAGGATTGCCCGGACACAGGAGACTTACGTGGCCAATGCCACAACAGGATGGTTGGAGTCTCTAGAACGGTCTTTGGCGATGATGAAGGAATATCAGGTATGAAGCTGCGGTTGTTCTGTCCACAATTACTGACGTCTGCAGGCTGCACGAAAGAAGCTTGAACAGCGTCGACTGGCATATGATGCATCCCTTTCGAAGATGCAGAAGGCGAAGAGAGAGGACTTCCGGGTTGAAGAGGAACTCCGCTCTCAAAAGGCCAAATACGAAGAGTCCAACGAGGATGTTTTCAGACGTATGCAGGATATCAAGGAAGCCGAAGCAGAGAGTGTTGCAGATCTGGGCGCATTCTTGGAGTCCGAATTGGAGTATTATGACAGATGTCGTGACGAGCTTCTTCGGTTGAAGAGAGATTGGCCTGCTGGGTAAGTCTCAATACCGCCTTGAGCGTACGTCACTAACACGAATAGACAAACCTCCCCTCAACGAGATTCTAGACGACCAAACCCCAGATCTCGATCCAACACAGCTCATTCCTACAGCGACAGATACCAAGAGGAGGCTCCACCAATGCCAGAACCAGAAGTTAGACCTACCATCAGATCTCAGGGCCGCGTTCCATCCTCTTCCCGCCTCGAGACCCGTCTCGATACCCATGACGAATATCTTCAAGCCGAATCTCCGTCTAGGCCAAACTATGGTCGCGCTTCTACTTTCCAAGGTCCAATTTCCATATACCGTGAATCCACACCAGTTTCAGGTTACCGCAAGCAGTCTGGCCCACAAGATCCAGGATCTCTTCGGGCACAGCTGCGGCCTTCCAACAGAGTCAACACAAACGGTCCTGATGTTTTCGGTGATCCTTCCGATGATTCTACTTTGAACAGCGCCAGCCCCGATCGATCTTACAGTGCTAGGTCTGTCAGTCCAGCAACTTCTCATGGAAGCGTAGGAAGCAGAACCGCCAGCTACTCAGCCTTGAACAATGCTACAAACGGTCGAAAGGCACCTCCTCCACCACCCAGCAGAGCAAAGAAGCCACCGCCACCTCCACCAATGAAGCGAGCCGAAATCAGCTCTGGCAGTATCAATAGATACTAGACGACATTCATCTTTTCATCCTCTCGATTCCGTACGGAAAATGAGCGCCAGATCCCAGCGCATTTCTCTTTCTCTTTTCCAAAGCGCTGGGCACTCATGAAAAATCGCTCTTTTAATGCACATATTTTCTTGCGATTCTGGAGGAGAACATTTATACAAAGGGATGGATGGACAGCGATACCCACGACGGCATTTTGCAAGCTGTCCTTGTTTTTCATCTGCCTGTACTATCCCTGCATCGGGAGGGGATTTCTTTTGTGAATCGGATTGGTGTGGATATCAGGATTATTAAATTGGTATTGCAAACTCTTTTTTGAAGCATTTTTGATGGCGTTATTTCTTGATGGATCGATTATCCGATTTTATCTGCTTCTGTCTGCCTGCCTGCTTGCGTACAGACTTGTTCTTTGGAGGAAGCTTTTGAGCTTGGAAGAAATAGACTGTGCCGGCTGGTCTTCTTGCATGGTTAGGGGAGCAAGGGCGGGTTCTCGTGAGGATTGAGTTTAGTTGAACAGTGATTGGGAGAGTTAGTTGGCATGCATGTGATTAGGTCAGAGATCGTTGATACAGGACTAATACAAATGTATCTTTTGTAGCCTGATTCTGTGTTTTGTGCCTGGATTGTGTATGTCTTTTCGATCAGTGATATATATGTATACATAGGGCAAGGGCCCTCGTGACTAGTTATCTACGACGATTGCTGGCAGAATGGCTACAGCGGACTTAGCTCCGATCATTTTACCTTTAATCATCCCTCTCTCTCTTTCTGATGGACAAAGAACAAATAGTCGTCCTTCAGCGGAATTGACTAACCTCTATTCTCCTCTGCAGAAGTCTTCTATTTGGATGAAGCAAGATTCCGTGACATTCCAACTCTCCGCTTCTCGTACCGTGGTGAGATAGCCACACTATCTCCGATCATTCCAGCTATTTCTGCACGCGCTTCCAGGAGAGCAGACTCTGAAGGAACCAGCTCCTTCTTCTCATTGAGCATGAATTTCTGGTTTTTTGCGTTATTGACCATGCCGTTACTGATCGAAGGACGCTGCGTATCGTCAAGTGTGGTTGAACTCGTTAAAGCGACTCGGTAGGCGTTTTCGTCGACCACCAAAGCTGCTGAACGGATGACACAGGTTCCTATGATAGCTTTGTCGAGATCAGAGTCTCCGCTTTCAGATAGACGGTAGGTAGCAGAAGAAGAAAGCGTCTAGACGGTTGAGACCTCCAAGTTCGTCGAAAATCACCTCACCTCACTATCGATAAATTCAGCTCCCAATTTCGAAAATATTTCAACACTGGTGGCACAAACTAGATCGTCTCAGTCTGGGCAGTTCCCGCTGAGGCACCAAGAAGTTTATCCAGGATGATCTCAGTCAAACCACAGAACGCTGCCTCGAAATCACCATCGATTAGCTTACTGGTGACGTTTCTGGCAAATGTGCTGATATCGTTGGTAGTGCCTTGGAAGACGTCGATTTAGGTTCGGCGGCTTAGAATGTGGCTGATCTGTATTGTTTTGCGGTCATCGCTCATGCTTCTTTAATGCAGTTATTAGTTGTGTATGGAAGAGCCAATCCAGGGAGAAAATTTGAACTTACTCGACGTCAGAGATGAAATTCTCTAGTTTTTCTTGGGCCTATTGGGAGGCGACGGGTATTGTATCTTCTTCATGCTTAAAGGAACGCTCTTCTGCTGCTTTGAGGCTGTTTCGGAGGATTTGTGTTTCATGGCCTATTGTGAATGGAACGTATGACCGTTGGAAAATGACCTATAGGTGTTGAAGCTACTTGTAAGCAATGATTGCTGGCATCTTATACAAACATTTGATTGGCAATTTCCTATTTCAAGGCTGAATGTCATGAATTGTTCCGAATCAGGTCAAAAGCATATAATGTCCGTTGCTCTCGATTCGGCTATCTGCATGCCACGGCAACGACTTCAAGCAAGCGCAAGGTCCAGATCTGGTGCAAGAGTTGCCATTTACGACATGATAGTGATGAGATACTGCTTTTGCAGGGGTGAGAAGCTCAGAGTAGTAGTGTAAATATTTGTTTTCGTGGAGCTCCAATATTTCGGCGCAAGCCACATTTGCTCCACTCGCTAAGGATATCTGATCTGACGTCGGTCGTCGCCAAAGAAATGGACGAAGTTCTGCTGTGTTGAAACAATGGTGTGTTCTTTTTGACGAGTTAGATGAACGGCCAATGGTTTGGATTATTAGAGTTTGTTTGCCGTTACATGCTGTTAGAGAAGATATAGATGACACTTATGAAGGGTGCAGAAAGCACTTGAAGCTATAATCTCCGTGTAGAGCAACCATTGAGCATTTCTCACGGTCTATCAGATTTATTGAATAGAAAGATGGTAAGAAGTATACAAAATAATCGTGCTCTTCGGGTCATGTACAATGTATTGTGCCAACCTATCCAACCAAAGCCTATATTTATACAAAGCGATCTCTATCATATATCATCAATCATCCTGTGTGTAAAGCGGATCGCAGCCCATTCCAGTATTCATACAGTCATCCCCCTCCATTCCTCACTCCTGACATTGTATCAGCACCTCCTACCCCTCCTCCCACCATAATTGCCGCCTCCAAACATTCCTCCTCCACCACCCATCATAGGCGGCCCTCTCCGTCTCCCATATCCTCCACCTCCCATTCCCATTCCTCCACCACCATGATGATGAACAACCTTAACCGGACCTGCCCCGTAACCCCCCCTCCTCCTTCCCGACGACATGCACATTCCCATTTTGCGATTGCGAGATCTGCTCTGTCTTCTCTTGTGGTGTTGGCTTCTCTAACTCTGGTTTATCCTGAACAGAACTTCGTCGGCTAGTACCCTCGGATTGAGATGGAGTGCTGCTGCTTGGGCGGCGTGTGTAGGGGTCTCTCTTGTTCTCTTCGTTCAGGAAGAGAGCGTGGAGGAGCTTGGTGTTCTGTTGGGCCGTTGGTCTCAGACTCGGTGACTTCGCAGGCGATTTTGAGCGGAACATATGTGTTTTGGTTGTGTTTTTTGTTTTGCGTGAAGCAGTTTTTGTGTTTGTTTGTGTGGTTTGGATGTTTGATGATCTTTTCTGGAGGATCTTTGAGGAGTATATATACATTTGTGATTTGATTCTTCTGCCAGCCAAGATATATAACATAGCCTCTTCAACGTCAGCCATGAAGGCTGTCTTCTTGGGAGAGGGAAGTTAGCACGTGCTTCGCTTGGCCATCGTCACAGGGTCCACGGAAAGGGGGAAGTTCCAGCCTCCGGAACCCTAACTCCAAGAACTAAGTGAGATTGGAGAACTCTACTATCCCCCCCTGGGAATAATGTTAAATGTGAAGTTTTGTGGGTCAGAAGCCTACAACTGAGTTTTTGAGTGGCTAAAAGGCCTGCTTGAGCTTAAAGCACAAGCCAAAATCTGGTCTGTAACAAAGGCAAGGGCAGCTTTAGAAGGTTCTAGTGACCTCTAAGGGCTGAAAGTAGCCTAATTTATTGGGTAGACACCCTAGAAAGCTACTCACACTGACTCCAGTTTTCGAGAGATTTAACATTATTCCCAGGGGGGGGATAGTATGAGGACTGCGCCATGCCTTGAGTTCGACTGGTATGCTTGCAGAGCCTCTTGATGTCGTGTGTGGTGACATAACCGTCCTTGGCGCTAAGAATGATGTGAGCTTGGCAGTGGCAACCCTGATCTCGACCACAATCTGGACGTCTTGGGATGAACATCTTGGCCGGCATTTCAGGTTTGTAAATCCTGGGGACATGTCATGGAGTTTGATGAGTGTATGATTGCAATCGCCCCAGGTCATCCGGAACCTGGAATAATGGTGGTGGTGGAGTGAAGAAGGTTTGATTCCTGGGAACGAGATACCGAAAGCTTAAGCCGTGGTGGAACTGCAACTTCAGCCGAGTTCGGCTCCGGTTGAACAACAGAAGTAATTCGTGATCTCAATGTGCCCGGAAGTTTCTCGAAAATACTAAGTAAACTTGCTCTAAGCTCCCCTTTTCGTCTCAAGCGAATCTCGGCAAACTCGGAAGTGGGTGTTTACACCCCTCGGCCTTCAGGCGTCAACAAAAGCGCCACCGAGAAGCCACGAGAAACATCTGAGGCATTGAAGAAGATTGTGCGTAAGCTTCATACTGACCTGATCAGGGTGGTCTTAAGGAAGTTTGAGATCTGCTAACCGTTATCCCTGGAAAGCGCATTGAGGAGGCAAAAGTGTCGGTAGGTGACAGCTTGGGTCAGCTGTACAGCATATTGCATGGAATCTTCCAGGGCTATAGATACCATTTAAGCCTTCAGATTCAACAGAGTTTCATGGCACAGTGCTGACCAGGTGCCGAAATCTGCTTGGTCCGTGACATTCACTGCCATAATTGTCAAATCATGTAATGTTTCTTCTACTCACTGGGGTTTGCAGCACCGAGCCCGACTATGAACATGAGTGATCAAGAAGGGATCTGTGTTTCCAGAATATTCATGTGTGAGAATCGGAGAAAATCTTCTCGAAAGGTTCCATAGTAGCACTGGTGGCATCTCAACAATCATGGGTAATAATGCGGCTGTCGTAGAGAATGCGAGGGAAGAGGAGGTGCAAGAGTGTGGACTTATGTCCTGAACGAATCTCTGTACCGGCAAGAGAATGTACACAGGTACTAGAACACGATAGGTTCTTTCCATTCGAGCATTGGCTGATTGAGAGGAGCTGTTGACATTGGGGGCTAGATCTCACCTTTTTAAACAATTGGCTAGTTGGAGTTATTGTGCTTCTTAGAATCTGCTCTCCTACTGCTACGCTCATTTCAGCAAATCTAAGACTCCGAATGCATATTGAGTATAGCCACCAGTAAAATTCTTCGCATCTTGATCCACCAGATCATAGAGTGTCTACAATGACTTGCCGTGAATCGCTCCAGCCAGGCGATCATCAACAACAATACCTTGCAACATGACCGCAAACCCCAAACAAAACCAGCACTCTTCATCTCTGATCCCCTCATTACCTCCAATAAGAGTAGTTTCGCATCAAACTCCCAGAGCATTGTCCTTGCGTACCGTGCAGCGCACTACAATACCACTCCGGCCTCAAGCCATCCTTATCACGTGATCAGGCTTTCTCCCACACATCTAATCTCCCGAAAACGTCGCGACCCTTCCTCCAACCACAAATCCACTCCATCCATACCACCAAGATTCCTTCCATCTACCACCAAAACCCACACTACCCATTCTCTGTTGGTTCGAACTTTCCCGAGTCACGCGTTCGAAGTTCGAACGCCAAAGTTCGAACCTCGCTTAAAGTTCGAACCACGCTAAAAAGTTCGAACGCCATGGTTCGAACCTCGCTTACATGTTCGAACCACGCTAAATTGTTCGAACCTTGGCGTTCGAACTTCCAAGCGAGGTTCGAAGTCACGCGTTCGAACTTTTTAGCGTGAGCTGGGTGGTTCGCAGTGCGATGCGATGCGGATGCGGTGCGCAGCTACGAGTTTTTGGATCGAAGCAAGATCGTAACAAAGCGCATTAGCAAGCTGTTGGAATCATGTCTTGAGAATGGCAAATTGGTGACGATGCCTAGTGGTCGTAGACACAGTCGTCTTCAGCAAATACAAGATCTCATTGATTGAACAATAACCAAGCCAAGCCAATAGAACAAAAAAGTAAATACACTTCCAAACAGTACAGTAGTCAATGCTATGCGCAGAAACACAACGCTATAGAACGCAATGTAATGCAGCATTAATGTACATCCAATCCAAAACGCCTCCGCAGCAGCAGCAGCAAAAACAACTTTCGCCTGTCTAGGCACGCACGCACACATGGGTATTCCAATCCTCCTTCCTTTCCTTCCTTCCTTCCTCTTCCCCTCTCTTCTGATTATATATATATTACAAGGAAATATGTTCGTGGGAAGTATGTAGGTATTAACAACGACCAATGTCGTTTGAGTGCAGCCGTGTGAACCGATTATTGGGTATTATGTGAAAGCCCAGTGCCGGTTCGATCATCAGCAGGATTCGAGACTGGGTAGGAGACTTCTGGGTCAGGGACTTGGATGTCGAGCTGTGATTGTTAGTATTTGACCCGCAAGAGGGGAAGGAGAAACATACATTCATATACCCCGTCCTCCTCAACGGCACGACCCTCGGCGCACTACCGAGACCCTCCTTACTCCTCCCTTCCATCTCCCTATTCCACTCCTCCAAGTATCTTTCCACATTATTCAACCGGCTTTTCACAGCCGTGAAACCCATATCATCCCATATCCAGCCAGTCAGAAGTCCCAGTACACCATCAACCAAGTTCCTCACACTCCAAGGACTGAAAGCGGGTATCAGTTCATTATTGACCCTCTCAACCAATATGCGGAATTCCTGCTCAGAGACACCCGCAGGATCCAGAATCTCGGGGTACAGGTTCGAGAAAGTCGGTGCAAGATCCCCTTCAATCATCCAGTCTCGACGGATTCGAATAATACGGGTCGTCTGATACAGAGGCGACGAAAGTGGCACATGAGGATTCATGTGTGGAAAACAAGGGTGCTGAGGGCCCCATTCCTCAGCAGGATTTCCAGGCGGTCCATCAGATCCTATAATCGAACTAGTATCCGACATAGCAGCCCCAATTCCCGACTGAAAAGAAGTACGTGAGCCATTATTCGGCAGATTCGAAGTTCCCCCTTCCTCGTAAGACCCAAGGGCATCAGGCCCACGTTCAATATCTCCCGACATATTTTCCCTGCCCTTCCCTTTCTCAAAAGAAATTCCCGACGTCTCCTGCGCAACGACACTCGAAATGGTTTGGCCTCGCTTCCTATATCCCGTAATCGGCCTCTGTTCCAACTGCTTCAGCGTATCCTCTCGTTCGTCATCAACAGCCTTTCCCTTCCCTTTATCAGCCCTCGGCGAATTCTCACCGCTCCTATTCTGCGAAATATCAATACTAACACTCCTAGGTAGCGAAACCCTATTCGTCCCAGTCGAGCTCCCACTCCTCTCAACCTGCAAACTCGCCCTCGTTGATCCCGAATGCCTCTTCTGTCTCTGCTCCGGCAGCGTCAGAAGCGGATACTCTCCCCCAGCAGCAGCGCCCTCTCGCGGCGAGTTGAGATCCGGATGTTGTAGCGGGATGGCTATGACCCTGTCCTCGCCCTGCTGTGTCCGACGCGTTGACGACGGCCCTCGCGGTGTAGAGTTACTCGGATTCCAGAGTCGCGCAGCACTAGGACGACGAGGCCGTCCGCGAGCAATGCTACTTCCTCCCGTGCCTGAGCGGCTTCGAAACGGCGATGCGAAGGCGTTGTTCAGGTCCGGATTCCCGCCGCCGATCAGAGCGTTCCGCAGACTCCAGCGTGTCGGGCTGGTGACGCGGACCTGGGGTTGAGGGCTCGGTTGCTCGATGGGTGATGGTGTTGGGTAGGGCGGTTGGAAGCTGGGAGAGGGGATGCGTGGATTTGTGTTGGTGGTTATGGCGGATGTTGCGGTACCAGGTGCAGAAGACGGACCTGCCTGCGACGCCGTTTCAACGGTGCCTTGACGGCAGTGGGGACTTCCCGGCGGGAAGAAGCGTTTCTGTTGTACGACGACGGTCGTCGACGTCGTTCACGAAGAATTGTCGCGGGTGGTTGGGTGGTGGTGGTCGTCGTTGTCGTGGTCGTGATGTTGATGCTAATTGGAGTGTCGTCTTGCTGCAGGAGAAAATTGGCGCTAATCGTTCGCGAAGGGTCCTCTTCTCTAACGGAATTCATGCTGGGAGCATGTCGTATGCACGCAAGCAATACAAGTCCACCCCAAACCAAACAGTAATACAACCAGTGAAGAAGTTAAACAGAAAAGCGTCTCTCATTCAACCGTAAAACAATACAGAAGAGAACAGAATCTGGTAAGAGATGGAATGGACCAAGTGTTTAGAGCGATCTCAGGTCTCACAGTCGTCGGAGACCCGGACTGAATACCATGGCCGGCCATGCAGGTACTGTATATATCATACCAGGGCCAGGCATGGCATCAATAAGCACCAGCCAGCGCACGCCTCGTTCGTCGCGTCTCAGTCAATTAAAGCAAAGCAAGGCACGTCCTTGAGGCCGATACGTAGATAAATTTTTCGCGTTCCTGGATCCTGTTCCTGTTCCTGATCTAAAATCAGACCCGAAGTCCCGACATCAATTTCCCTGCTGGACGGGCTGCCCACGCGGGGCGAAAAACTGAAGACACTAACTGCAAATAAAACGGTAGAATTCCAGGGACGATGGCGCACTCAGCCGGTGTAGGGTAGTGGATCGCCACTTGGTACTTGTGCCCTCCGTTACGAGGAGTATCCCAGGGGTTCGGTCATGTTCAGCCGAATACATCAGTGGCTTCATTAATATATTTGTACTACAAGCCAGACTACTGGCTTAGAAAGGATCACAAGATCATTATTTTGCCCTTTGCAGAACACCAATAAGTTAGCAGTACCAGATATACGATATCTAGTACTTTCTCCTTACCGTATCCGAGAAAGCAGGAGAAAGGGGATCCGTTCACTACGTGAACTGTACTCTTGTCTGCTTTGAAAAAGAACGGATTCAGGAGGTTCTCCCAACTGAGCTGCAGCTGCTCCAAGCCTCCAAACCCACGGCACTACTGACTGATGCACTGCATTGCTGACAGGAAAAGTCAAAGCGCACGAACCGGATTGTTTGTGATTAACATGATATGCCGCTCCATGCCTTCTCTGCGGCTCCAAGTGTATCACCCCCCTCTGGGCCGCCTCTCCATCATCTGCTTGTCCTGTCCTCGTATCTCTCCGGAGTCCGAATGTATTTTACGCAAGCATGCAGGGTCATGGAGGCGTTGTACCAAACCGCAGGGACTGATATGCGGTCATCATCAGTTCTAGGTTGGTTACTGACTGATATTACAGGAGTATCGCAGGTATCACCACAATTGGTATAAAGTATATTCCTGTCCCACGACTGCTTCCAAAGAAGCATCCAGAGTCCTTCTTGTCTTCCAATTAACCAAGTCAAAAAGGAGAGACCCGTCTTCCAGCTGGGTGCTCAACAAACTCTCATTCTCATTCCACACCCCTCACCCCAGCACTAATATTTAAAATTTACCTACATACCTTCAGCCCTGTCCAGTAACCCCTCCTCTCAGCCCAACTCCCTAAAAAATGAAGTGGGCTTTTCGTGGCGTACCGGTTCTGCATGAATATTGGTAATATGACAGGCGTGCAGTGATCGAGCAGGAGTCTGTGCTGCTCGTCTTGCTTTTTTAGCGATCGGAGAATGGCGCCGGTCATATGCGAAAGATTGCGAGGATGATGCCTGAATTTTTGTTGTTCAGCTTTGTAGTTGAGCAGTAGTTCCCTACAGGGTGTATTGTTCGGGAAGGTCAAGAATTACTAAACGGCGGTAGACACACAAGAATGAAAGATAAATAGGATCAGAAGGTAGATATAAATAGATGAAATGGTATGTCTTCGTGTTCATTCCATTCTCGATCCTCTTGTGTTTGCGAGGACGCTCTCAGTTCCTAAATAAGTGTTGGAGGAGCAGACCTAATAGTCCTGTTTTCCTTCCCTCCGATTTCCTGAACTCCTTCAATCCTATGTTACCAGCCAGAAGCGAACACCACATACTCCGTGTATTCATCCAACCAACCAACCAACCAACATTCCGGTCCGACAATGCGGTTCCTCCCCATTCATTACCTAAACCCATCTTGATTTCTTCACATACCAGTAAAAACACCCCTCCCCTCCCTCCTCAAATCATCTAACATTCCCCTCAAAGCCTTCATTGGCACAGGCTTCGTCAAAAATAAATCAACACCACTACTAAACGCCTCTTGTCTGGTGCTCGGGTTCGCCGCACCAGTAAGCGCAATCAGTGCAACAGGTTGTAGACCATTCTCCTTCTCGAATCGTCGAATGTGCCGCGTGGATTCGATGCCAGACATCACGGGCATGGAAATATCTAGTGAGTATTAGTACGGATATCGAGAGCCTAACAAGGGAGGTGTCAGCGGAGAACGTACCCATGAATATAACATCGAATTTGCCATCGCATTCTTTATACGAGTTGAATGCTTCAAGTCCATTAACAGCTGTTGCATGATCAAGTTTTAGCTTCCGCATTGTGGCAATGAGAAGCTTGAGATTGATCTCATTGTCTTCCACTAAAAGGACTCGAAGACCCTTGTCAGTCTCAGGAGTCTCCCCGTTTGTTGGCGGCACTTTTGTGTTTTCTTGTTCTGACGACTTCACCTGCAAAGGAGAGTTCGATTCTACAGCCGCATTCTCGTTGACTTGGATCTGTACTTCCTTGAGAGGAGCACGATGAGCAAAGTCTAATGTTGCGGATGTAGGCGGACTGATAGGGAATTCGGGTGCAGGAGCGACGATGGGTGTTACGGGCTCGCTTTCTGTAGGTGACATGATTGACGTCTCGTGAGGCATGCCGTTTGACATCATACAGAATGCTTGGTGAAGAATTTTTCCAATCTTATGTGGTCCAGATCTAATCAACAGGTTAGTATTTGAAGTGGAACTGCAGGAGAGTACTTACGGTTGCTGTAGATAGAAGATCCGGAAATGGTTATGAGAATCAATCTTTGGTCCAGAATGGTAAGAGCTTGTAAGAACAACAGCAACTGACTTCCCCTCCTTTTTCGGATAAGCGTCGTAATGTGCTTGCAATATCTCATCCAGTGATTTGTCGCCCATTCCAGATTCCATAACGACAACCACATCTGCAACATGAGCTTCTGACGCTGTGCTTGCATCTTCCATGCCAAACCAGTCAACCAGTGTATCTTGCACTGTCGACTTTAACATCATCGCAGCCTCGAATTCAGCCGAGAGAATGCCAGTAGGAGTTTCCGCGATGTCCGGGTACCGGTCAAAACACTCCAGTCGGAATTTGTATCCTTGAACATGCTCCTTGACCTCATTCACAATCTTCAGACTGTCGGGTTTCGGCAATCGTTCCGTGAGCGGGATACGAACAGTAGCCTCTGTGCCACATCCAGGTTCGCTCTGAAATTCGATCCTACCTCCTAAATCCTGTATGATTGCTTTGACAATACTCAATCCAAGACCCGCTCCGGTTGCGAGAGTGTCTTCCTGGGTGAAAGGTTTGTAAAGTTGGTGCTTCAAGAATTCTTGCGAAATGCCCTTTCCGGAATCTTTAACCTTCAGAACAATGTTCGCTCTTGATCTTCTGCTGTAAGACGCTACATCCTCTTCGATCTCAATGGCGATATTGACAAACCCAGCTTTGGTGTACTTCATCGCATTACTGAAGAGATTCATAATAATCCTTCTCCAAGCTCCAGCGTCGATTTCGAATGTCCAATTAGGTCGCCACTGAATGTCCACAATGACAGTGACAGGAGATTCCGAATTGCCTACAGATGCATGTCGACGATGTCCAGCTAATCCCAAGGCTTTCTTGCTGACACTCTGGCCAGCATAGATACTCTCGATAACCTCTTCGGACAATATGCAAATATCGGCCTTCTCTTCTCCTCCTTCGTCGACACTTTCCCGTCTGCCAAACTTCTTCGGCTTTCTCTTCGGCATCCTCTTCTTGTTCTTCGTCTTCCGATTGACTTTCGAGAAGTCCAGAACATGATTGATAGTATCCAGAAGTACCTTTCCGGAAGCATGAATATTGCTGACCATATCGGATTGTATTTCTGACATTTGAGTCTCCTGGAGAAACTCCACGCTGGCCAAAACGCCATGAAGTGGAGATCGCAGCTCGTGAGAAATGCTAGAAATGAAGTCTGTCTTCATTTTCGATAGAACCTGGGCTGAGAGTCTGGCAATCTCAGCCATAGTGCTGTTGCCAAAAGCAGCGAGGTAAGTGATATCCTCAACCGGGCACAGGGTACGGGTAGAGCTGGAAGACCAAACAAATGATCCACTAAACCACCGTTCGCGAGACGCATCCCAAAGAGGAAACCTGTGTACAGTTAGTACAAAATCAATAAATACCCTAGCAGGTTGAAATTACCAAAAGACACTCCTCGCTCCAGGAAGAACCTTTAAAATCGCAGCAGCTTCTGACTCCTTCGAACTCCGGTTCCTCCGTTTCGCGTTATCCGACAACTGCTTCCTCTCAGGTTTCCCTTGCGCATCCTTCACGTTATCAGCCGGAGTATGATCCGATTCGCTCGAAGAATAAGTGCCATCCTCATCAAAGTTGAAAACCTTGCCATGCGGATATCTCTTCAGTAATTTCCTCAATACAGTCTCCGGTAAACGCTTTCGCTCTTCAAAAGCATCGTGCCCCTTTAAGCTCGACCTTCGACGTGTACTGAAGCCAAGGATATTGCAGAATTTATCTGATGATGCATCGGGTGCTGGGTTATCGAGTTTGTGCTCCGCGTCTGTGCCAGAGGATTGTCGGCCATAGTCGTCTTCGCTTGTCGTGACCATGTTGTCAATCAATTGGTCTGAGCTGAAGGCTCCTGGTGCCTTCTCGTTCATGACTTCCTTATTGGAACTACCGCCGAAGGAACCTACACTTGCATCATAGTAAATGACTCCTTCGACTCCAATGGCTTCTCGGATTAGATTACTGGCTCGAGCAAATACCCCTTTCACATCAGATGACAGAACAGCATTCTGTAAGTCTTTTGACTCATCTTGCGCTGTGGGCTCGGGCGGCAGGTCAAACTGAACAGAGTTGTGTTTCTCTGGATCTGGAGTTGGCTCCGTCATTGTATCGTCAAAAGTTGTCACTGAACTGTGGCGGTCTTGATGAGATTCGGAGGCCAAAGCTGAAGGAGTGGTATCGGTCGTGGAAGCTAATGTATCTCTTCTCGCTGCTTGTGAGCTTCCATCCGCACTGAGTGGTACTGAAGTAGGTGTTAGATTCCCAGAAAGGACGGTATCGTTCCTAGGTATTGGTGGTCTTCCATCACCAACATGCATTCGTTCTCCGTGATCTGTCGTAGATAGAGAGACAGACGAAGGGGATTTCGCCAGAGCGCTTCTATAACTACGGTCCGTCAGTCCATTTAAGCCGTTCCGCGAGAAGTAATCCGTCGTTTCCTGGACACCAAACTCGATATCCGCTTGTCGGTCGAGAGGTGTGCTATCCCTAACTCGTTTCTTCAACGCCGCATGCTGGTACTTATGTCCGGTCTCCAGCCACCATTCCCGCAGAGTAGACTTTCCCTCAATAAACAACCCAATCGCCTTGATCATCCTCTCCGCCCGGTATTGTTGTCGCTTCACCCGTGTAGCCTCCAGATAATCCATAACCGTCAAAGCCATATCAACCAAAAACTGTTGCTCCGCATCACTCAACCCCTCCCTCGGTTTGTCATCCACCACAATGTAGTTCCCAACGTGGATATTGTGTGATGGTGAGACGAGGGGTACGCATGCAAACGCTCGTAAATGTGGTGGGTTCACAACAGGATATGCATCCTTGAATCGGTCGTCTGCCGCGAGGTCGCCGCAGAGGAAAATAGCTGGCGAATCTGGTCCATCGAACACCTTCCTGATCTCTGCTCCTAGCCCTTGCTTCCCAGGCAGAAGTGCTCCTTCGCCATGCCACAGGTTGTCCGTCTCGTCATCGTCTTTCTGCAGAGATAGCTCCTGGGTTGCTTCAGCAAGTACATATTCTGTGTCCTTCGAAGAAAGTGTGATTATGCCGCGCTTGCAGTTGATCCGCAGACATCCTAGCTGTGCAAATGCTGTCAAGGTCGGATCGCTGGAAGCTCTCTTCGAGGCGCCAGCTTCCTTATCGGGGAGACTTGACGAGGGGAGATAGTATCTAGGTGCAAGATCAGTATTTTGCAGCCTTCAACACATACGAAGAGCGGTCCTACCTAAAGACCTCACGATCGCGAGCAGAAGCCGAGCATTTCGAGATTGAACACCCGGTCATCTTGAAAGAAATGGGATATCACCGGAACAAACGCACGGAGGTCTGCACTCCAGGAACCGCAGTCAGGCACTGGTCGTTCAATCAGAAAGCAAAATCATGTCCATCGCAGCTGTACAGCTGTCACAAGTGAATGTCAAAAGTCAGAAAGTAGGGACGAGCGAAAGAGGGCAGAAGGATTGGAACGGAGAAAGTCACAACGCCGCAGTGCTGCTGGCTGGCTGGCTGTTTAGAGCCGAGATCCGCAGCTGTTGGTGCTGTGCACTGCATGTGGTGGTTCTTGATAAACTTTCGGGGTCTAGGTGCTTACGAAGTTACCCCCCCCCCCCCCCCCCCCCCCGGTCCCCTAATGTGGCAGGATGAGTAAGGGAGCGAAACCCGAGGATGACTGAACGAGCTCCTGGCGGAACTTTCTTACTTAACTTTGGCTGAAACCCGTTTTGGGGACACCTTTTGTCTGGAGAAAGACGATTGTTGGTGTGTAGAAAGTAAAGACAAAGCGGTCTGGGCAAAGAAACAAGTTTTGGGCGAAGAATTCAGCCAAGTGACTAAGTCACGTGTATGTTTATACTTTGGACTTCGTCCATCGTCCATTCCGTGGCAACAATGTGAGGGACGACAGAGTAAGAATTGGAATGGTATTTGTCCGAGACCGGCAGTTAAAGAAGCAAACCAGCCTCTACATGTCCTCAAACAAAATATTATTGATGTTCATTGTCCACCTCCTTTGAGCAATCCTTTCCTCCGCAAGCACCTATGCCGTAAATGATCGACAATGCTGACGGGCGCTGAACATCTTATCTTCCAGAGAGTTGCCCAGACCCGGCCGGTAATATTAGCCTGTACCAGTTTCCAAAAGAAGGTTGTGAGAAGCAACCCTCTCAAGCGTTTCAGAATGTACCAGGATCCTGCTTGTGCTGACTTATTGCATGCATTCAAACGCATATAGCTATCCTTCCCCTCCCGTTCACTTTCCTATCAAGGGTAGAGAGAGGGGTCAGCATTGCCGGGATAGGTTACTCAGCAGAATGAAAAACAGACGAAGCGAGATGACTCTCATCTGAAAACTTTTTTAGCAGATTTTTTTATCGCCGAAAGTAGAAATTTTGATTGAGCTCGGAGTCAAAGTTAATAAGTAATATGTTTTTAGCATTGATTTATCTACCTTCGCCGATTTCATCATGGCAATACAGCGTGAGCCGTGACAAGGTACCAACCTTCTATGTACAGAACTCCCAGCATTCCAATACCCATCTCCAAGCCTCTTATATCCAATCCGATCCTATCCTGTTTTGCCCACCGTTCCAGAACAGATCCTCTCACCCCAACTCCTTTTCCGAAACTGCCTATATATACATTACCTCGGGTCATACATGTCATAACGTGACGTTACCATGGTCTCCCAAGGTTCAAACTCCTCTTCCTCGAAATTAGATATTAAGAAATAATTATGTTGTATGTATGTGGGAATCGATCCGATGCAGCTCTAAGCATGCTTGTTTGCACTGGCCTGCATCCTTCGTAACGCTTCGCGATGAGCATCCAGCATATCGCCTCTTCGCATCCTCTCGTCGAACTTGCTATCCCGCTCGCCCTTCTTCCTCTCCTCCATCATCCTCTTCTGCTCTTCGGCTTGTCTCTCCTGCCACAAAGCGCTTCTTGACCGCTCAATCGTGTTCTTTGGAACCACCGTACTCTTCAAATCCTGCTGCACGCTGGCTCTCCAAGACGCGAGTTGCTGTTCTCTAACCATTGGGTGAGGAGCCGAGGACTGTCGTTTCGGTTGGTGGGAATCATAGAGCACGGGTTGGGCGGGAGGTTGCTCGGCTTGGATAGATGACCGCCGTATCATATTTCTTCGGACGGACAAAGGCATCTCGTCATCATCAACGATGGCATTACTGTTGGGGTAGTTGTATAGGGACCCAGCTTCACTAGTGGCGCGGGATGCAGACTGAGTAGTCGGGGGGAACTCGGGAGTTGATGCGAGCGCAGCATGATTAGCGGAGTATGAGGTCTTGTTTCTCAACATTGAATCCCGCTTCCCAAGGAGGGTGGTTGATGGTCCGAATGGAATGGCATTTTGAAATTTGCCATTTGACTGCATGCCAGGAGAGCGTGAAGGGAGGTCCTCTTCGATTGGGGACTCGACAATCTGCTCAGGAATGAGAGCTCCTGAGGGCGAACGGAATCCTCTAGGGACATTTTGCGACTTGAGTGACAATTGCGAGGCGCTACGATTGAGATTATTGTCTTGTGTCTGTGGTGGGAAATGATTGTCTCGCGGAGGTCCAACTTGCGGTGGCGCTCTCGATAGTGAGGATGTTGACCTCGTCAAAACTGGTGGGCCGTAGTTGGACATTTGAGATGCAGATCTTGATGCAGGGCGAGGTACCGCAATTTCCGCGGTCTGCTGAAGTTCTTCAACATTCACTGGTGCAGCCAGCTCCGCCTTTGTCTCTTCTTCAACAGGATATTCTGCCAGTTTCAACTCGTCCATCTCAGGTGCATCAGCACTACTGAGATGTTTCGCCCACTCGTTGGTCCGGTATGACATGACAACCTTAGAGAGTTGCGGGGGAAGTCTATCCTTTGTGATGCTTGCCGGCTTCGACTCGACAGCAGAGATTACGGAAGGTACCACGGCTGGTTTCTCGATATTGTCCAGCTCCTTGTCAGGGACTGACTGAGGATCTGGTTTTGGATTAGTGCTCGATGTCAACGACCTTCGTTTTGCCGCAATTTGATCCTCTGAAATCTCTTGCGGCCCTGTCGCTGGCTCCAAAATGTCAGTAGCTACTGTCGCTGCTGAAACTGGTCTCGTTGTACTCTTGTCTTCTGGCGTGGCTAGCCCCTGATCTTTCATAACGGGTGTCTCGTCTTCGGCTGGAGATAGTACTGGCGAATCCTCTAGTCGAGCAGAATCAGTCGTATCTGGCCCATTGTCAAATGACGATCGAACACTTCTCATATCATCATCGCTCAAACCATCCATGGTAGCTGCAATGGAACTTGCCCTGTCATCTTCAATTCCACGAGGAATCACTAAATCATCCGTACTCATACCTTCCCCTGAAGTAAAACTCTTCGAGTTCCTGTTTGATTTGGCCGATTTGGCCGACTTTCCAGAAAGTTTTCGCATGAGCATAGAACCGACCGACAAATGCTTTGATCGTCTCTTTTGAAACCCCTCTTCATCATCGGCGAATGTAGCAACTGATGACCGGTCATCCTCGACGTCACCCTCGGGGACCTTGAATGGTAAAGGTACGACCTCTGGTGCCACAGAACCTGACACACGTTTTGAATCTCGCTTAGATGGTCGCCTTTCGAGTCGGGCTTCGCCGTCAGCACCAACCACCCATATCTTATCTGAATCAAGGCTCATTTGTGTCGAACCTGGGACCGACGAGTAACTTCGTCCATTGGGATCCGAATCGATGGGATTGCCATTCTCGTCCAGTAATTGGGGAGTTTCCGGATCTCGAGCCACCCGTACGGTAATCTGCCCGCCTTCCTGGCCTTGGCTTGGCATAACGAGCCCGGGTGGCGCGGGTGTAGGCATATCAGACATCTCAATCTCTTCATCGGATCTCCTCACGGACGTGACTTCGCTTCTTGGACCCTTCTTTTGACTATCCATGTCACCGACTCCAGAGTCCCGAATGGATCGGCCAACTGCTTTCTCTCCTTCCTTGTTGCCATAGACAGCTTCCCATTGACTGCGGTCCTCTGCTGTGGCATGCTCGACCCGTCGTCCGACGTTTTCTTCCTCCTGTTCCATAGTTCGCTCATCTTGTAATCGTTCAGAGGCTCGTTGTTCACGACGCTCCTTGATAACCTTCCAGAGCTTCATCTGGGAAACGATTCCAGCGAGGAAGATGATGATGATGGCGGCAATTTCGACCTTCATCCCTCTGGTGAGTGGGTATGTGGTAGCTCCAAGGGGGAAAAGATTAGAATTAAGATCCCAGAGGTAGGCCCAGAACTCTTTCAAGCCAGCTCGACTAAAGCAATCAATACCAATCACAACTGCAGTAGCTCCACCGAACGAGATTCCTCCAATCACTCCATATGGTCGTGTATAATGGCTGAATGACGTGGAAAAAGCTGCAACAGTGAAAGCTGCGATGAAGATGGCCTTGCTGCTCGTTGAAGTGAGAAGTCCGCCCGGCTTCAAGACCAGAAGCCACATGCTGAAACAGAATCCTCCAAGAAGAGAGCCCAGCCCCTCGGTCATCTCTGTAAACACAATAGCGGCTCCACCAAGAATCAGCCCTGTCATGACTATGGCCACAAGATATGCTCCTTGAATTGCATCGCTGACTGGTGGATTCATCACATAAAGAATGAGTACTGTGACTGCCAAGCTCGAGAGATATGCGGCCGAAAGGTAAACATGGAGAAAGGTATTCTTCATCCCAATCAGCGTGTAGACTACACCGCTAAGCATCAAGATAACTCCAGCAACTCCAAAAGCTGGAGTGACCTCAGGCGTGAGAGGCAACTTGTTGGGCGTGAGCGTAGCTGAAGATAGTTAGTATCGCCATCTCCCACAATATACAAGCCTTCTCCAATAGTCGCAATTCCCTTTCTATAATCCACAGCAGATGCAAAACATTTCATTTGAACTTACAATTATAGGTCGAAGGGTTGAGTGAACTTGTTGGAGAAGCTCCATTGATATTCGAGATCACCGCAGTGGTAGCAGCTGAGGTAGCTGTGGCCGAGGTAGATGAAGAAGTCGAGTTCGCAGTTGGGGTCAAAGTTGCAAATGTTGATTTGGAGCGATCTATTGAGATGCTTTCCTTGCCATCTCTTCCACTGCTCTCTGTTTGACTGCTTTCTGTTTGTTCTGGTTGATTCGACGATGTGGTCGCGCTAGGCGAATCCGTTGTTGGTGGATTTGTAGGCCTATCCTGCCTGTGTATGATATTGCCCACACATGCTTCAAAGCAGAAGCAAAGTAGCAGAAGTAAGAGAACCTTAGACCGCATCGTGTATACCATTGTGACGGGAAATCGTGTGCACGGTAGAACGATGAGGAAAGGTTCTCATGAGGGTAAAGAGCGTGAGGGGCGGAGGTGTCTTCAACGTGTAACGACTGTGAGCTGCATTGGCGCAGAAACCGGCCGGCGTTGCTCCAAGCAGGAAGATGCAATGCAGCACGAAAGGATGAGGTTGGTGAAAGTTTTCTGACGTGAAAACCAAGGTCTGAATGAGAAAGCAGTAGACTAGCTTGGTAGGTAGTGTCGATCCGGTAGAGAGGCGAGGTCCACAAGGAGGATGAGGGGGTCTAGCTCACGGACCGTGTAAACTTACTCTTGACATCGGCGAATGAACGTGAGGTGGATGCAGATTAGATGAGGGGCGTGCCGAAGCTTTAGACGCCTGAGACAAGAACGGAAAGAACAGAGGTCACGAAAAATAGAAATGTCTGGACCCCAAGTTGCAAGGCGAGAGGCGCAAAAGAAAATTAAGATGTCCCCGAACGCCTCCAGTCAGATATTCGCGGCATTGGTCCGATCCATGACTGCCATGGCTTCTCAACCCAGAGCAAGCCAGTCAAGTCACAAGTGCTCCAGGGCCTGGTGATCTGCTGCAAGGTAGAGCAGCCTTGGATTTCCCGGGTATTTCGAGAACCAATGGGGCCGTAGTAGGTCCAGGTTTATGAACTGGTTAGTCCAATTCGGAGCTCATCCCGCGCTGTCTTGCAACACCACATCTTCCGATCAACAGTGATGACAGCCTTCAAGTGCTGGCAGACCACCCACACCAAAAAAATGGCGTCAATGTGTTTGGATCGATTCTGACAATTGGAGCATTGCATTGTACGGAGCAGTGCCACGAATCTCATAGTGATAGGGGATGTCCCAGCCACCAGGTTTTGAGGAATCAGCTCTTGGGGACGGAACAAATGATAGGAGAATTTGCATCCTGATTTTCCTCTTCAAGAAGTCCTGACATGAGGCCACTGCCTCAAAGCTAGGATTGGTCAAGGTTTGGATCCGAGAAGGGGCATGTCCGCTTTGCTTGTGGGAGGGTTTGCGAGCTGTTGAGAGGAGGGGTCTGCCGCTTCGAGAGATGATGTTGTCAAGCGAGATTGCAGCTTGCATGGGTTGCATGAACCGGGCTGTGGCTGTGGGCGTTTCCAGTTGGTGATAGATAAGTGGCTCTCTGCCGTCCAGTCTGGCAGATGCCTCTTTTTTCGTGTTGCTCAGCCACGAGGGGAGCGAATTGTTGCTTTTCGTAGTTGTCTCAGTAGACTGGTAATACAACAATGCTTCTTCCTCCCCCTGAACCCCTAATGCGTCTCTCCTGCTGTGCACTTCAAAAATCAGCTGGACGCGACGCGACAAATTGCGGGGATTGATCCCAATTTCAGCTTTCAGGGACCAAATCGCGGACCAACTCGATTAGGTGTGTAACCGGGCCCAACATAGTCAAGCGCCAGGCACGACAAGAAATCTCCGACAACGATATTCCGCATCTGCTGCTGCGATTGTGGATTCGGTCCACGGCCGACGATGTGCTCAGACCATCAGCTGGACAATTTCCCCCGGCCAGCCTACCAGCCTTGTGGTGCCGAAGGATTGAAAGGATTTTAAATCGTGGCTATCGATATCCGATTGTTCCGATAGAAGTCTTGGGAGATGGGACGAACAGTTCGTCCACACCATCTGAATTTCCAGCTTTTCATGAACTACCGATGCTCCACTGTGCGGCAACTCCACATTGCATCTGAGCTGTGCAGTGTGCACGACAAGGTATGGATCTTCCAAAGCTCTGCTGGGCTCTCCTCTATTGTGTGACGTCGCGGAAGCCTTGTCCGGGTTGAACTGCATCTCTCCCCATCCAGGCTGTGTGAAACTCTGTACTTCATGCGTTGGAGCTCCGCCGAGATGATGTTGTTAACCGCACCATTGTTGCAATTCGTCCCCCGATTGTCTCAGTTGGCCGAGGGGCAATTGTTCTTCGCGCTGCGGGTCTGCGAATGATCGTTGAATGGTCGTCCTCGCCATGTCGATTGGTGGAGAGCAGCGAAGAAAGGAGGTCTCTTTAAACGTGTCGCTTAGCTGATGCCAAGACATTCTGTCTGAGTTGACCTTATGGGAACTCCTGGTGAACGACTTCAACATGTTCGAGAAGGAAACAAAATAGTACGCGAAGCTGAAGTCTGTAAACTTCTGTCCTTTTCTGGCTGTATCCCGGATGCAGTGCGCTGACAGGGCTTGATAGCCGAAAGTTACACACTTCTAAATGTCAACGTTATTTTGCGATCATCTCCTCTATCCGGTCGTTTTCACGACATATGATACTTAGTCAGGTGTCATAGCTCTTGTGTGGTTACCTTTCTTTGCCATTGTTCGTCCGTTAGCTTTTTTCAAAATGTTGATATTTGGCAATCCCTAACCTTCACGTTCTTCCTCTTATTTCCGCTCATGCCACTCTGTACAACTCCTGCCCACGTTGGCCGGAAGTTGCATTCTCCGTATCACATCATGATCCGGCCTGTTTTGCTACGTTTGCTGATGGCAGCGCAATCCGTGCCTTTCAGGTTACTTGTAGCCTGCTCCATACTTCCGGAACCTGCACTCCACTCTCAGCTGTCAAAAGGCTCACCGCTGAATCTTCGTCTACCCTCAGGGGACAATCTGCTGCACGTTGCCGGGATTGACAGCTCATGGTTTGCAATACGTCTTGTACTGCCACCATTTATGTGTACCAGTTGGGAATCAGTTTTCCTCCACTACCAGCCCTTCTTGCATCATCCAACGTCTAGAATCTGCCTCTTACTCTTCGAGAACTTCAACGGCCACCCGTCCACAAGAATAGGTGGCACTCTAGTCTCCGTTCCTCTCTCCAACTCTTAAGCGCAGAGGAACACCTCCCTTCGAAATACCACCCGTTACACAACATCTATATCCTCAAACCTCGTCAATCTCCTGCACCCACCCGACCCTGACAGCTCGTGACAACAAAGCGCCTCGTCTCACCACCATCTTTCCCCTCCCATTCACTTACTTCTCTTCCATTCCTTGGCAGGTCACACCACATTTTCTACCATGCTCCCGGGTTCCCTCCCAAGCATAGAGACCCTTAGGAGTCAAGAGCAATGGAGAAAATTGACAGGTCATGTCGGAGCTGAGAGAGCACAAACCGGTCTCTACGAGATAAGTGCGTGTGAAGGTAATCTCCGCCTTGGTATGACGGAGTCAAAAACATTCTAGGTGCTGGATTTTAGAGCGCCGTGAATGTAATTGTTGACCGTCATCATACGTTTTTTTAGTGGATGAATGGGGAATCCGGGGCTTTAGCATCAGAGCGTAGAAGCTGGGGTGGACGATCGACTCGGAAAAGTGTCGGTTGTGCTTTCTGCCACATGTGAGTGTGTCACTGAAGTTGGCCAGTTACTGCCCGTACTGGCATCTTGCGGTCTGCTGCCACTGATGGCTACTGTCATGGAGATGTTTCTCGTCCTTGATCTCGGCCGAGATATGGTTCCAAGGCCATGAAGTTGTAGCATCTTAAGAGATGCTTAGAGCGCTGCACAGTCTCACCTGTTGCCTTAAAGGTTCTAAGCGAATGTTTCCGCTAGACATTCAAACGGGTTCAGGGGGACAAATATCGTCCTCATATTCTAGGACGCTGACTGGTACGGCAATGTTACCACCTATTTGGCGAACAGAAAATACTTGAAGGCTGCAAAATGATATCTAGATCCCAGATGGGATCTCCCCTCACACGCATCAACACCCGAACTTCACCCCTCCTCCCAAACCAACTTCACTCTCTCCGGATGATTCATCCTCAAAGTCATCCCCAACTTCGAATCCTCAACCGTATCAAAGACTCTCCTCTTCACTTCACCTTCCAACTCCCCATCTTCCACCACTACGCCAGCACGATGCTTCCGAAACAGTCTCGCCATAACAGCCACAAACTCAACCTGCGCAAACTTCTTCCCAGGGCAAACCCGTGGTCCCGATGCCCAAGGAATGAATCTTCCTTTTGGCGGCTGCATAATCCCTTCGTCTTGGATACCCGTGGAGTTACCTTTTGTCTCGATCCAGCGATCGGGTCTCCAAGTCAGAGCGTCAGGTCCCCAATAGTCTGAACAAGTGTTGAGAGCTGTGACATTAACGAGGATAGTTGCTTTGGCTGGAAGGGTGTATGTTTTGCCATTGTAGTCGATTGTTTTGGAAGTGGATCCTGTGGTTTTTGGGATGATGACTACTGGACCATAGAGACGGAGAGTTTCGTACTGCGGTTGTGAGCATGGAAGTGTCGGTGGATCGGTCACTTACCATGACTGCCAGGCATCTTTTGAGCTTTGGGAAAGCATTCTCATAATCGTCTTCTTCAACACCGCTCTTTCCACCGAAAACAAAGTCAAGCTCTTCTCGTATCCATGTCTGCCAGTGTGATTCAGAGGCCATGAGGTATACGGCATATCCGATTGTGTTCGCCGTCGTATCATGGCCTGCTACATTGTAAATGAAGAGATTACCCAGCATCTCATCCTTTGTCAAACCACCCCTCTCATCTCCTCGATTCTCGGAGTCAGACGCATGAACCAGTACACTCATCAACTTATCATTCGCTGGAGAACTGCCGAGTTTCGCTTTCTCTTCATCAATCATCTCCTCCATATATTGTTCGAATTCAATCAAAGCAATATCAACTTCCTCAACCGTGCTCTTGGGGAGGTACGAAGGCACTTGCTTCGACTTAACCATATACGAGACGAAGATATTGCTGATAATGATCCGCAAGGAATCCTTATAGGATAACTTATGATCGCAACTGAGTTTCGACACGCCTCCCTCGAAAGCGTATGATTTCCCAAATCCAGCAGCTGAGAGAACGTGAAGCGCCAGTGTCATCGTATCGCCGGTAGTTCCAATGACACCATCCCGCCCCTTCGACATCCAAGATTCAATCATACCGTTCGCTTGGATGATGGATTCCCGCCAGACAAGACTGCTGTTTCGCTCATTGAATGGCGGAGTTGTGAGGCGACGATGTCGTTGCCAAGCTTCTCCATTTAGGGTGTCTACGTTGGGACCGAACAGCTCTAAGGCCCTGAACATCGACTTGCGCTTGATGAAGTCCTTTCGCCGAGCGAGAACATCATCTGCAACATCGGGGTCCGCAATAACGATTCTACGAGAAGGGGAGTCAGTTCGTTACTTGCACAACCCCAGCTGTGCTTCAAGCGAGCCGCCAAGATAGGAGGTGGATCTTCAGTTCCTGGAATGGGGGAAAGTTGGACTGACGTTGTTCCTCCAGGGGCAACGATAGTGTATACAGGCCCTAGCCATTCATGTATTCTATATCTATCGTGGAAGAAATGCCCGTATCCTATAAACCACCCCAGTCCGAATGGTAAGTACCTCAGCAGGGGTATGAGGCGATCTCCAAACAGATTCATTATTCGACTGGACTGGGCGATGGGGCTGACGACAACGGTAAAGCCAATCTTCCGTGCATTGTAGTATCTTCTACCTAGCTTAACGCCTGGAAGTAGTATAACTGCAAACAAGATGCAACCGATGGATAGTAGAATAGCCATTGCGGGGAATCTCCAGGGAGAAGATTGTGCAATCAAATCCAATAAGCAAATAAAAAGGAGTCTTTTGAGGTCAATGAAATGGGATAATTAAAAAGAAACTGTATGGAAAAGAATTTGGCCAAAAGACCACATTGCATTGGCTGACGGAGTACACACCCAGGGAGCATCACGGTGTACGAGGTTATACGACGGCGAGGGTCTCGTTGTACGAGACCGAGTCGATCACCCGCAATCGAGAAAAGCGCCGTCCAATCGGCCATTTCCAGTCCTTGCACAGTATTGCCCATTTCGGAGTCTGTGTTTCTGGTCGTGCTCGAAGTCGTTCGACCCCGAAACGGGACTTCTTCATCGAAAACGTGAAGACATATGAGAAGAATCCTGCCCGCTTCGCAAAACCTTCTGCCAAAGAGAGGGTCATCACTTTTGTCTGGCTATTCATACTGCTTATTACAGAGCTGTCTACTACAGTCTCTCCTCCAGATGATCATGAAAATATGGCCAAGCAGGTCCAAGATTGCGGAGCCCTTAGAGGGATGAGATGATTCTTGGCTGATGCTTGGAGATGGAGGGTCTTCTTGAAACATAGTAACTATGTTACTACTGATGTATTTGAAGGCGGCAGCATGTCAATCAATTTCCTATGGAGGTATTTCTGTTGTGACAATTTTGCAGAAGTTGTGTGAGGAGGGTGGCGATGACGTTTAACGCAGTCGTTCTATCAAAGACAGAAAGGACAGCGAATTCTGGGGACACAAATGAATGAGCTACATCTTTGTCTAATGTTTCTAGCAAATATATCTTCTGTATATCAGTCAGAAGGACTAATACGTCCTGTTTTGCATGTCCTGCCGTGATTTGGTTTGGGCCATAACCGAGCCCCTTTCGAACCGAGTGATTGTTGACATCGGCGCCAGTACTGGGCCTGAAAAGTTTGTTCGGTCAGATTCCTTCTCTGTCTCCCACAACACAAAAAAGCAGACCTCCACTCGAATAGCAAATCAACATGCCTCCTTATATCTGCCAGACCCACATGGAGAATTTCTTCTGTACTGGATCGTTTGTAAAGCACCTGAAGAGACAACACGGCCTACATCGCCTGCGACTTCCAGTTACATGCACCCAGATGGGCTGCGCCGAGACCTTTAGCACTCTTTACAACATGAGCACGTGAACAGCGTACACCTTGGTCTGCGTCCTCTCCAGTGCCGTCAACAAGGATGCAACCGTTGGTTTACAAGCAAGCGTTCCTCTGCGGCACACAGCCGTCGTGCTCACTAGACTCAAACCCTCAATCCAGCTACGGTAAGTTTGAATCTACTCATAGAGCTTTGCGCTCAATCTCAGCCTTATCTCCATACGGCTGACTGGTGAAAGACTTGACGGATATGCCTTCAAGATACACCCGGAAATCAGTTTCATACAATGGATAGAAGGATGGATATTTGGATGTGCAAGATGGAGAGCGTGGATGAAAAAGGGTTGAGATACTTGATGGAACTTGACCACTGGATTAATACAGGCCGATAGGTTCACATTGGGCGCTGGAGTTGGTTAGATGGACTGAAGATTGAGGATACTGTGGGAGCTCGACAGCTTCTCCAAGATCTATCTTTCGAGACTAATTGAACAAATCTTCAGCCAATTTCAATTGCTATATTGCTCTACGTGAAGCTAAGTGCTCCAAACAAGCAAGAGAACTGCGTGTTATGTTACATAATTGCAATGCTGCATGGACTTCGATCCGAGGTAGACGCGCCGCGTTTTAGTCAATTGCATCTCTGCACTGTGCCATCTATTTTTAAAATACTGCTATTGAGTTCTCTGGATATATCATCTGTATTGATCAGACAAGCCTCGACGAGGCAGCTTGTGCGAGTGAAACTGTGGAGATGAGAATGGAAATGGGGTCTGATACAGGCGGTCTGATTAATGCGTAAGTAGCAGCATTTTTCAGCACTGAGGCTGCCGACCAATACATTCTGCCTGCTCTCACCGAGGGAGGAACGAACCTCAGCTGAGATCCCATCCCAACCTCAATCCAGCGCTGGAACTCATCATGTTCATATAATCCTGTATCGCCACCGCAGCTGGCGAGTGACTCCGGTTTCCAACGTCTTTCCCACTGCTCAGAGCAATTTCGTCCCTTGTGTTCTCTAATTCTGGCATCGCAATGACAGAACCCTTCTACGAGTTTGTGCTCGGCTACCAGCGTCTCTTCGGTGCATATGTTGCCAAATACTTCATCCTCAGACACAAGAAAGGCGATATCTTCCAAGACATCTCATATATTTCTACCCAGCAGTTCTACTCTGAGTACATTACTCGACCACTAGTTTTCTCGGTAGTCAATCTGGTTCTTGTTTACTCATTTCTGTCCTTCCGATACTCCGAAATCGCCAGCTTCGCCTTATGCATCTTCATTCAATTTGGGTCAAGATTCTTCAAATGGATCAGTAAATTTAGCGTCTATTTCTCCGCAAAACTAGATCATGGAGCATTCCTCGAAACATCGAAAAAGCCTCGCAAGATCATCGACATTGAGACAGTCGAATCGTACGAACACACATTCAAGCTCGACCAAACTGGCTTCCGATGTCTTGTTCTGAAAAGTTCAACAGATGAAAGCAGTGTTATCGAGTGCAGTCTTTTCGCAATCTCTATCACAACTCCACCTTACTACGAAGCACTCTCCTACACCTGGGGACCACCACCGCCACCGTCAGAGCAACAATACGTCCTTTGCGACGGTAAGAAGCTGCCAGTTACCGAGAACTGCATCTCGGCTTTGTATCACCTACGTAAGAAGTACAGCAATCGTCTTCTCTGGATAGATGCCATCTGTATCGACCAAACGAACGTCGAAGAGGCGAGTCAACAAGTACAGATCATGGGCCAAATATACCAGAACGCAGCAAGAGTTATCGTGTGGCTAGGACCAAGCTCACCAGAGCGAAGATTGGCTTTCAGGTATATTGGACTCCTTTTACAGCTGTCGTGGCTGCCTCAGTCTATGCGGGAGTGGTTTCGGGACCATTTGTGGGAAAAGATCGAAAGTGAGTTACCACAAAATACCTATGGAAGATCTGTAGCTGATTTCAGCTAGAAAGAGGACACGAGTCCGCGATTGCAGAATTGAGTGATATGTCATGGTTCTCTCGCGTCTGGACAATTCAAGTAGGATCTTCTCCTCATGATTGGGCAATTTGTGGACTTCTCGCAGGGCTTCTTGCCTACATTATACTCAATTCGATTGCGAATAGATTTTGGTACTAACTCGTACCTTCTCTCGTCTAGGAAATCGGTCTCGCACAACAAGGAGTCTGTACCATCCACTGTGGAGACGACACTGAAAATTACGACTTCGCAAACGCGGAGTTACTGTCATTGACCATAGCAATTAACATCCGCAGCGGTTACCCTCTTAACGACACGCTCTATCACCAGTCAACTCACATCTTTCGGGCTGAGATACGGAGCAGAGTGTTAACTGACAAATCACCGAGTCGAGGTACCATCGGCAGATTACTTCGTAATCTCGCCGTATATGACGCTACCAATCCTAGGGACAAAATCTACGGTCTCTATGGCATTCTGAGCAAAATTGGCTTCATCATGCCCAAACCTGACTACACGCTTTCTCTTGACGATGTGTACTGGCAATCCATGCTCGCAATAATCCAGAAAGAGCCGGATCTTTCATTCCTGTCGCTGGCGTCGGGCATGGATAGCCACATCCCAGATGCTCCGTCCTGGGTTCCCGATTTCAGGAAGACAAGCTCATTGATGTGTCTTGACGGTAGCCACCACGCCACGAAAGAGAGTCTATCAGTCGTTGCCATCCAGAATCGCGGTGCAGAACTTCACGTCTCAGGAATCATCATCGACAAATTATTACACCACGTCCGACTAAAAGTCTGGGAACCACCATTCGGAACCCGTCAAGTCTGCGATGGTCCATTCTTCGGCCTCTATAACCCAGAGATGTTCTTCTTTACAATCAAGACATTACAGGAATGGCTAACGTTAGCGCTAAGGACAGGATCTCGCGTATCTGAAAAATACAGTAACTTTTACACGGCGACCCAAAAAGTTGCTACACAAGGCCATTTGCCCCTTATGAGCTGCAGCGGCCAGGATTTCGCAGGTTTCATGGATCTGCTCTACTGGAAAACCGACTGGTACCAGCCTGGGAACCCCTCCGAAGTGCAAAAGTATCTGGAAAATGCCGAGAATGACCCTGAAATGAGAAGCCGTTTCTTCGATGACCCGGCATATGAGGGGTATGTAGAGAATACGGAGTGGAAGATAATGTGTGCGATGAAAGTCCATCCTAGAATATCCAAAGTCTTGCATTTGGTATGGGCTGTTGCAAGGGGTAATACGATTTTCGAAACTTCAACGGGATGGCTAGGTGTTGCTGCCAACACATTGAAGAAGGATGATGTGTTGGCTCTGATCAGTGGGATAAGGATGCCAGTAGTCTTGCGGCCAGTGTCTGGGACTGGGGAGAGAAAGTTCATGGTAGTCGGAACAGCTTATGTCTATGGAATGATGGATGGAGAGATGTGGGATGAGGGAGAAACGAACTTGGAGAAGTTAATCTTAGCTTAGACTTGACCTATCGCATCCATCGCTAATAAGGACAGAACGAAGAGTATAATGACGATGTAAAGACTGCATGGCAGGAGTTCTTCTGTAACTAACGACGGCTTTACACAACATGAACTGCCGAAAGAACAAGGGATGATGATATACACCACTCGGACAAAATGTCAACATCGCATTCGGACTCGCTTGAACCCCTTCCCGACTCGCCTAGCGTTGCGGAAAACCAGCCCAAAAGTACAGGCTGCATGCGCTAAAGTGAGGTACTGTCCGGAGTATGACAGGCCTCTGCCCACCGAAGTTCTAGGCTTCCACAGGGCACACATCCACGGAATCCGAAATCGTCCCGAGGGCACACGCTAAACCCAATCAAGAAGCGATGGTTGGCAGCATCTCGCTTCACGATGAAACATCAAGACGTGCTTTTCAACCTCACATGAAGACCTTAAATACTACGTTCAGCACCCGAGCGTTTATTTCAGATAACATCGTGTGTTCCAAGCAATAAGTGTATCACTGTCTCATTGAGAGACTAAAACTACCATCATGGCCGATACCAAGGACGATGGTCCACCAGCTACGATGCGAGCTTGTAAGTAACACTGTCCCTGAGATATCTATCAGAACGTCTTCAATGAACACCTGATCCGTCACCACAGAGCCCTCTTCCTCCTCCTCCCTTCACTTCTATTCCCACCCAACCCAAACCCTCCCCCAAAACAAAAACTAACCCCTTCATCCAGGGCAATACACAACCACCATCCCCGGCGGCATCTCCCAAACCATGCACCTCAACCCCACCACCCCAATTCCCACCCCCCTCCCAAACCAACACCTAATCCGCATCCTCGCCACAGCACTCAACCCAGTAGACTACAAACCCAGCGAACTCCCCCTCCTCGGGCGCCTGCTAGTCACCCACCCCGCCACCCCCGGCCTCGACTTCGCCGGCCTGATCACCACCCCAGCATCCGGTTCCCCTTTCTCACCCGGGCAACTCGTATTCGGCGTAGCAGGCACCTCACCCCTCGCAGGCGGCGCACTGGCCGAGTACGCCCTCGTGAAAGAGCACAACGCCATCGCCGTCCCCTCGGGGGTGGATGTATTAGACGTAGCAGTGCTCGGCGTAGCGGGGTTGACAGCCTACCAGTCTATCGTTCCGAGAGTTAAAGAAGGAGATCGGATCTTTATTAATGGTGGGTCGGGGGGGACTGGGACGCTGGGGATCCAGTTCGCGAAGGCGGTAGGGTGTCATGTGACGACTACGTGTTCGACGGGGAATGTAGAATTGTGTAAACGGCTCGGCGCAGACGTGGTGATTGATTACAAAGCTGGGAACGTGCTTACGGCGTTACTAGCTAGTGGGGAGAAGTTCGACCATGCGGTTGATAATGTGGGGCATATTGAAGACAGGGAGTTGTGGTGGAGGTGGCATGAGTATGCGAAGCCTGGGGCGTCGTATGTTTTGGTTGCGGGGGAGTTGTCGGTTAGGAGTGTGGTTGATATGGTTAAGAGGGCGGTGGTGCCGAGGTTTTTGGGGGGGTTGAAGGGGAAGATTGATGGGTTTTGGCCGGCGCCTAGGCCGGAGGATCTTGAGAGGGTGGCGGGGTGGATTAAGGATGGGAAGGTGAAGCCGGTGATTGATCAGAAGTTTGCGTTAGAGGATGGGGCGAAGGCGATGGCGAAGTTGAAGACTGGGAGGGCGAAGGGGAAGATTGTGATTGATGTTGCGTTGGATAGTTATAAGCCTTAGCTGTAGTAGATATTCACACTGCAAAGAAAGAAATAATTAATATCATCTATGCGACCACATAAGCTCTAATCGCTCTATCGCTCCGGACAAGAGGAGCAGTTGAATTGGCAGAGGCCTGATAAACTAACTGAAAAGAGAGAACTTTCAACAGACCCTTCAACAAGTCAAACTAAAACCAACACCCTTAGCTTGACTCGTCTCGCTCGCCTAATCTTCACCCCCCAACTACCACCAACACCCAAAGCCATCACACCCAGCAAAATCTCAACACAACACCACAATCCCACAATCTCACAATCTCACAATCCCAAGAACTGCACACAAAGATCATCAATGCACCATGCATATAATACAATACAGCCATGCTATCTCATCCCCCTTCATCTCCCACCTTCATCTCCCACCTTCATCTCCCACCTTCATCTTCCTTAATCACCCCTATCACTATCCCAACGCCACACCCGCCCCACGAAGTCAGCCAGCCAGCAAGCCAAACACTCTCCTCACCTCCCCTCCTATCCACAGCCCCCCCCCCCCCCCCCCCCCCCCCCCTTCCCCTCCCCTCCCTGTGTGTGTGTATATGCATGTTAATCAAACAAAAGCCAAACGAGAAATCTAGGTAACATAAAAGCTCCATATCATCGGAGCACTTTTTTTTGCCCTGTTGCAGCACCTGTATACTGTCCGTATCTGAGTCCGTACTTCTCTGTATCTGTATCTCTACTCTGACTGACTGACTGACTGACAATAAATAATATGCCAGCTCAACGTCAAACGCTTCCCTTTTGGCTCCCAGCATGAAAAAGAATAAAAGTAAAGTAGGAAGAAGGAACACATGTGGGTGTTGGCGCGCGCGCACGCACGCAAGTTCTACTAAAGTACACATCCCATCCCATCCCATCCTATCCTACCAATCCATGCATGCAATCATTCAGTGTATCAACCAGCCATATCCACATCCCCATCCGCCATAGCAAGTCTCTGCTTGGCAGTCTTCGCCTTCTTAGCGCTCTGCTTGCGAGGTTTCTTTCCCTTATGACCGACCGGAGTGCCGTCACCGGGAACAGGCGTAGCAGCACCAGAAGGACGATTCGATCCATCATCAAAATGACCTTCGCCTATAAAATTTGTTAGCCCAATTCCACTTGGAAAGCTGGTGTGAAAGTGAAGCTTACCCTCATGATACAAATCCTCCAAACTCCCACCCGCCTCCGCCTTTCTCTTCTTTCCTCTCTTCTTCGCCTTCTCAGGTGGCGCACTTGCCTCCTGCGCAGCAAGTTCAGCCTCCTTACGCTCAATCTCCGCAGCTTCATCATCGTCAACGAGCCACATGGCGATATCCTTGGTACGGTTCTCCTTGGATCTGGTGTTGAAATCAACACCGCCGCCTGAACCACCAGTCATGACGACCTTCTGGACTTCTTCCTTCTGTAAGGCGCGCTTGCGGATACGTTCTTCGATTGTGCCGCGCGTGATCATGCGGTAGACTGTGACTTGGCGTGTTTGGCCGAGACGATGGGCTCGGTCCATGGCTTGAGAGTCGATGGTGGGGTTCCAGTCGGAGTCGTAGAAGATGACAGTGTCAGCACTGGTCAAGTTGATACCAAGACCACCGGCACGCGTACTGAGAAGGAAGATGAAGATCTCTGGTCTCGTCTGGAAATCGTGAACCGTATCTCTTCTGTCTTCAAGCTTGGTCGAACCATCGAGACGGCAGTATTTGTAATTGCGGTACGTGAGGTACTCCTCCATGAGATCGATCATTCGAGTCATTTGGAAGTAGAGCAATACACGATGTCCACCTTCCTTGAGCTTGAACAGTAACTCATCGAGCTTGGCAAGTTTTCCAGAATCAGTGACAAAGCGACGCATGGAAGGGACGCGAATGTTTGTGAAGCGCTGCTTTTCAGAAGTTGGAGCAGGCAGCATCTTCGTAGTAGGCCAGAACGGAACGGGAATCTTCGAAGTGATCAAAGCCTTCTCCTCAACAGGTGACGGACCATACAGAGCGCGACGGACAGGAACGTTGAAAAGCACATTCTCCTTCTCCATCACAGCTCCACGACTGGCACAGAAGACTTCAATCGGTGGCGCAGTAACGGCTGGTCGACCACACTGCTCAACACGACTCAGACCAGAATCAGCAAAGACATCCTTCGCGACATTGAACAGCTTGTTGAGATATCCCTCGTTGCTAACTTCAGCCAATGGCTTTCGATCATTTCTCTCGACAATCTGAAGCATTGCTTGAGCGGGAGTGAAGTTCTTCTCTTCCTCCTCATCGTACACGATACCCAGTGGCGCAAGTCGGCGAGGCTTCTTTGCAAGATCTACAGCTCGAGAGAAGATATCCTTTCGCGAGGCGTCGGAAGCTTCCTCGACTGAAGAATCAGCAAATCGCAAGAACGAGAAGGCCTCGCTACCGTTTGCACTGTTGCGAATATTCTCTGGCGTAAAGACATTCATCAACTGGTCCAGATATCTGCCTTTGAACCCAGCCTTTTCATTGTCCCGTCCTGGCATATCCAGTCTGCCACCATGGCGCCAGACAAGTCGAGGAAGTTCGTATTCAATCAAGTTTCGACTCGAGTATGCAACATTGATCAGAGGACCCTCACGCATGAATGAAGCAGTCTCGGCGAAATGTCCAAATGAAAATGGTGATGTCGTCTCCGCACGCTGGAACAGATCAGGATGATTACAGACCTTTCGGAACTGCATAACCAAATTCATCAAAGTCCCCGTATCTTGGTCGTCGCCCATGGTTGCCTTCTCAATCAGATCCATGATACTGATCTGGTTTCGAAGGTTACCATAGTATGCACGTTGGCGATAGGTGAGGTCGCAGAAGATGTCAAGTTCAATCTTGTCACCCAACTCCTTCTGGACGTGCTTCTTAACACGACGAAGCATGAAAGGCTTCAGAATCATATGTAGACGCTTCAGTTGATCCTCATTGAGCTTCGTATTACTCTGGGCGTGACTTTCGATGTCCTTGGAGAACCATTCGCTGAACTCGTCGTGAGAATCGAACAAACTAGGCATGATGAAATGTAGAAGAGCCCACAATTCTTGCATGTTGTTCTGAATTGGAGTACCGGTAAGCAGGAGTCGATTCCTGCAGTGGAAACCCAACAGACTCTTCCATCTCGAACTAGAAGAGCTCTTGATAGCTTGAGCTTCATCCAAAATCATGTACTGCCACTTCATCTTTTGGAAGTAGGCGACATCGGAGACCACCAGTTGGTAAGAGGTGATCAGAACATGGAACGGAGCGTCCTGTGTGTATGTCACGTGCTTGCGATCCCAGAACTTTCGAAGAACCTTTCGATCCGCTGCTGTACCCCAATAAGGTAGGACCTTGAGAGTAGGGACGAACTTTGTGATTTCTTGTTGCCAGTTGTGGAGGGTAGAAGCAGGTGCAACGACCAAGAAAGGACCCCAGATGCCATGCTTCTCAGCCAAGTAAGCCATGACGGAAATCGACTGAACGGTCTTTCCAAGACCCATTTCGTCGGCCAAGATACCGTTGATACCTTGCTCGTAGAGATTGACCAGCCAATTGAGACCCTTGAGTTGGTACTCTTTGAGCTGAGCATTGAGCATCTTCGGCTGTTCGATATCAACATCGCCCATTCCAGCAGGATTTTGGAAGTTCATCTCTCCCTCCTCGTCCATTGCTGGGCCATCATCTTGCTTGTTGAAGGCTCGGGCCTTGTTCTGAGCTTCTTGGATAGCGTTCTGCGCGTTGGCCATAGCAGCAGCCTTGAGAGCCGAATCATCTTCTGCATCGAAGTCCAGGTCCTCGAAGTTTGTTACCTTTGGAGCAGCTGTGATGCCATCATGGTCAGGTACATCGACTGTGGGAGCATTTGGATCCTTGTCGGTTGGAGCAACATCAGGATGATCAGTCGATCGCTCAACCTCATCAGTCTTGATCTTCTTGCCGATGAAATGTGAGTACAATTCAGTCTGCGAGATCAAGAAGTTGAGCTTGCGTTTCTGTCTGTTGGCTTCTCGATCAGCTTCTGCCTTCTTCGCGCTCTCAATCTCGGCCTTCTCTGCTGCCTTTCGGAGGTCACGCTCTTCTCGCTCGTTGCGCTTCCAGAAGGACATCATCTCACGCATGACACGCTTTGCTCTGGCCTGAAGGTCTTTGGTACCCTTATTCGTACGGAGTTGCCATCTCTTTGCTTCTTTTGACGCCAGGATCGCCGTCTTCTTCAAGTTGGATGCTCTGACGGCGTAAGATTCGACTGCGACCTTGTATGTCTTGTTCACATCCTTTCTTGCCAGATCTCTCCAAATCTGATCATAGATCTGGTTATATCCCTTGGAGACATATGGTTCGAATGATGCTGGCGATTCTTCCCGGCTTTCCTTGAGCTCTTTGGTATTGAACTTCAGCTTGATCTTCGGTTCCTCTCTGATCACCGGTAGTGGCGCAAGCTCCTCTCCAGCATCAATTGCAGCTTGAGCAGCTTCGGCAGAGTCCTTCTCTGCTTGCTTCTGCTCCTTGGACTTCTTTGGTCTGGCACCGCCGCGCTTACCCTTGGCTTTCGCAGGTTCGTCGGCAGTTGGGAATGTAGACATAACACCGCCCACAAGATTTGGCTCAAGTGGTGAGACTGCTCTAAGATCTGAGCCCTTGTCACCACGAGCCAGCATCAACTTCGTTTGTTGGGCCTTCTTCTCTGCTCGTTGTGCCTCTCTGATGAACTTCCGTCGCTCGTTTTCATCCTCCGCAGCCTGGGCTTTGGCAATAGCAATCTCCTTTTGCTCGATGTTCGTAGCCACAGTCTTCTCGCGACGACGCTTCCGCTGCATATCCTTCTTCCGCTCCTTCTCGGCCTGGACCTCCTTTTCTTGTACTGACGTGACTGCAGCATCAAGGTGGATGTCTCGATATCGCATCTCACCATAATCTGCATGTCGTCCAAGCTTTGCAACCATCTTGTCCCCAAAGACAGTTCTTCGCTGCTTGGTCTTTGAAGTCTCTAAAACCTCAGTGTCGAGCTTGCGCTTCAGATGGCGTGCCTTATATGTCGCTCTCTCGTTGTCGACATCGTCTAGTTCCATATTCCCAGCCTCTGCCTCAATCTTCGCCATCGTTGCCTGAATGTCCTTTTCTTGCTCCTTTGTCAACTGCTTCGCCTTGGGAGATACCTTCTTTGGTTCTCCGTTTGCTTTTCGCTTCGCCGGAACCCGTGAGGCAGGTGTGGGAGCAGGGGCAGCAGATGACTGGCGCGAGCTGTCTCTGGAGATGGGCCGGGGGAAGGCTGCGTGGGTGTCGATATGTCGTGATGTCTTGCGAGGTTGCTTTGTTACGGAGGGAGGTGGTGTTGGTTTGGGGGTTGGATCCGCGTTGGAGAGGATACTTGAGAAAGCCATGGGGTCTGCTGGGCGACTTGGTGTCTGATGAAATAAATTAGCTTGCGTTGTAGAACATGATAAATTATCTTGACGTACAGTTGCGACAGGTGGTGGTTCATTCACGGGAGTCCCCATCACGACTACTCCATTATGCCGCAGAGTTGGTGAAGCCATCGTGGCCATCCTTGGTGATTGTGTTATTGACGACCGGCGAGGGTGCGCATGTGAGACAGGTGATCGAGGAGGATATGATGGCGCGGCAGGGGATGTGTATGTTCCGTTGTAATATTTCGATGGGTCGACGGAAGATGGAGGATAGGAGTAGGGTTCTCGAGTCTGGATAGAATGACGTTAGCAATTGGGTCGATAATTTCTAGCCGTAGCGGCGGCTCTTATTCAGTGCGACTGCACGTACTTGTGGTGTTTGGGCCTGGCTTTCTTTCCAAGCAGGTGTTTCCGACGGCTTCCTCTCGCTCGAATCTGATGTTGGGTCGTAGTAATTGCTCGTAGGTTTGTCTCGGGGCGCGGGCGCAGTCTGATAATCCCTTTCCTTGTCGCTTTGATAGGTTGAAGGGGCTGTCAAAGCTCTGGGAGAAGCTGGCGGGCCCGGAATGTGAGATGCTGTTAACGGCGCCGGCGTGTACGGGTTGTTGAATTGGTGGTGAGGAGGTTTCGGGGGTGAATAGGAGTCCACCTCACCCTCACGTCTCGCGCTTTCCTCGTGTCGATACATCACAGCCTTCGCAAATTCAACTGTACCGGCGCTCCATAGATAGTCTGATGCTCGCAGATGTCGGCAATACGGCGAATGGCAAATGCGATGGATAGAATTACAAGTGAAGCATCACGAGCGACAATGAAGGCTGGCAGAAGGTGTGAATTGGCGTTGATGGAGGGATGATTGATTGATTGATTGTTGGCCGGTAGAATAGAATCTGTTCTGGGGACGGACAGGATGGGAAAGCCAGACGGAGTGGATTCGATGCAATGCGAATGAAGCTTGGTTTTGATTCAGCCCGCCTACAAATGAAGAATGGATGGATGAATTGGAAAGTGTGCGAATGGGCGGGCGTTGGGTGTGAGGGCGCGCAGATGATACTTGGATGTCAGAGGCGAACTAAATTATCACACGGCACAAGCCAGGCTGCTTGCTGGCTTTGCCTCTCGGTGGAAGTTGGAGATGTCGCTCCAATATTTCGCGACTTGACGCGGCGGCGCGGATGAGGATACCGGAATTCAGTACAGCAGAATGGCAATGAATAGCAGGACACAGATTATTAATGGGGGCTGCTGGTAGACAATTATTAGTTCTGGCCTTCACGTCCTGTCCTGTCTTATTGCTTTGCCGAACGCAGCGCGCGAGTCCGCCCCATCTTATGGTTTTCGCTCTCCCTCAGGTCCTGCTCTCTCTCTCTCTCTCGCTCTTCTCCACGCATCGCATCTCAAGATTGGTGACGATAAGTTGCTTACAGCCATTGGCTGAGCGCTTACCCCTGCATACGCGCATCATAGAGAGTAAGCACGTACAGCATCATCTTCTTCATTTCGGTTTATTGTATTTCTCTTGTGCATCTATTTCCGTGTCTATGTGTGGTCCTGCGACCAACTCGGGGAGTCGGACTTACGTTTTGCATTGTTGGCTGTCTCGTTCCATTCTTGTTTCTCGCAATCATTCCAGTCCCAGTCCCAGTCCCGTCCAGCTCCAGCCCCATGAGGCAGATGTGGGACCCCCGTCGATGGAAGCGAGGGATGTTTGCCTCCACTAGGATCCGTCCAAGAGGCTAGACCGTACAGAGTATGGGCGTGGTCTGGGGTTCCAAGAGCCAATATTCGGATTTCTGAGCCGTGAAGGGGAAGGTAAGTTGGAAGAGTTTTCAGGAGAGAAAGGTAAATGGGTGGTATCGAGTCAAGGGGTAATATAGAAAATCCAGTGTCATTATTACATTCTGCACTTACTGAAGAACTGTGGGAAAGTCCCAAAGGTAGAGGACTAAGAGAAACTCGGCTCATATCCTGAAATCCATTTCTCCAACAGAATATGGGCTGATCGCTGCTGGCACAATTCGCATGAAGGATGCAGGATCAATGGTACGGAGCTTCTAAAGTTTGCATCCGCGAAACACAAAGCAAATAACTGACCTCCAGTTACAACAAGCGATTGCACTTCAATATCTGCCGTCACGTGGTTGTCACGATGTTACTCTGGAAGTGGATGCTGTTGGATGCAAAAATTGGAGCTGTGACCCAATTCACAAACAGTATCCTCATCTCAATTCAACGATAATCAATTCAACAGGACGCCTCTAAAGCACAACATTCTATCCCCGCCATCGGCGTATCCAGCTCTCATGTATCGTAAGGTAGTTGGTAGTAATGCTTCCTTCCCATGCTAATGAGAGACCCAGCATCCAAATGCAAACCCAACCTACCTACTACAAGAGCTAAGCTATGTGACTGACTGAAGGTCGCCGAAATGCAGCATCAACTTTTGTTTGGCTATTTCCGAACAGGAATGCCAATTTAGACGGCACCAGCAGCCATCATCTTCTTTCGCAAGTGGTTCTTGTACTCTCCGATCGATCCTGGCCATTTGCGAATGGTCTGGTTCTCGCACACCATGATGTCCTTTGCAATCTTGTCGAGCAATCTATTACAATTAGCGTTTGTGTCAATGTGAGCGCTACATGGAAGCCTACCTGAAATCGTGAGAAACAACGACAACACCACCAGTGAAAGCATTGATAGCATCCGCCAGACTGTCAATGGTAGGAATATCGAGACCGTTGGTAGGCTCGTCCAACAACAACATATTTGGTCCATCAATAGCCAAAAGAGCAAACACAATTCTGGACTTCTGTCCCTCGGACAAGGTACCCATCAAGGCAGTCTGAGACTCACCACTGAGACCGTACTTTCCGAGTTGTTGTCTCCAGTATTGGTAATCTTGGGACTTATCGGCATACTTATCACGAACGAAGTCAAGAGCGGACTTGGTAAGATCCAACTGTTCGGACGAATGTTGACTGTAGACACCCATCTTCAAGTGAGTGTGACGGGACACAACACCACCGGTAGGCGAGAGTTTTCCGGTCATGAGGCGGAGAAGAGTAGACTTTCCAACACCGTTAGGTCCGACCAAGGCTGTTCTGGAGTCCATATCAACACCGAGATCGAGATGCTTGTAGAGATCGTCCTTAGCATTGCCAGAGTATGAAAAGGTAACATCGTCGAAAGAAAGAACTGGGGGTGGGAGCTTCTCGACATCGGCGAAACGGAAAGTGAAAACACGGTCCTCCTCGACTTTCTGGATCAGACCATCTGCCTCCATCTTGTCCAAAATCTTTTGTCGGGACTTGGCCTGTCTGACCAAATTGGCATAGGTACCAGCAGAAGCAATGAACTTCTTGATGTGGACAATTTCATCTTGTTGCTTGGTGTAGGCCTTCATTTGGTTGACTTCCTGCTCAGATCGTGTCTTCGAGTAAGAGTCGTAGTTACCACCATAGTAGATCAGTTGCTTTTGACGCATATCGATCATGTTGGTGCAGACACCGTTGAGGAAATCCATGGAGTGGGAAACAAGGACGAGGGTTCGGTCCCATTTCTTGAGGTATTCTTCCAACCACACACAGGCTTCCAAATCCAAATGTGCTGTTGGGTCATCGAGGAGGAGGAGAGAAGGCTTGACGAAGAGAGCCTTGGCCAAGGCCACTCGCATACGCCATCCACCAGACATATCCTTCGTCTTCTTCTTGATGGTAACCTTGTTGAATCCGAGACCGGTGAGAATCTGCGAAGCACGGGTGGCGAAGGTAGAGGGGTCCATGGTTTCCATACGCTGACAATATTAGCAAAAATAAAATTGTTGGTGGGGTAATTGCCTACCTCATAAAGATCCATGAGAAGAGGTGACTCTGGTCCATCATCTTCCAAGATCTGCTCGGCCAACTTGTCCAGTCTTTCCATCTCATTCTCTGCCTCCTTCACGACCCACTCGAGGGCACCAAGATCACTTGGTGGTGCACCCTCATTGAGCAGGTAGATATCGACGTGGTCTGGGACAGGGTATTCGCGCTTATCGATAGCCTTGAGGAGAGTTGACTTTCCGCAACCGTTCTCACCAAGGAGACCATATCGGCGACCATATGTGAGTTCCATAGTAGTATCGGTGAGGAGGACACGGCCGTGGAAAACGAGGGAGACGGAAGTAATCTTAACATCTCTACTCTGCTTCAGCGAGCTGAGAACACCAGTTGTGACACGGTCGGAGAGACCATGCTTGTCCATCTGGGCTGCCAGTCTCTTGACTTCGTCCATCTTCTTTCCGGAAGTTGCAGGCTGGTCATCATCTGGGAGGGGGTTTCCCTCATCATCGAGAAGTGGAGGGGTTTCGTCACCGGCGACAGAGGAGGCACCAGAAGCAGTCTTTGACCCCGCCTTGGAGCGGCTGGCGACCGTCTTCTTCGCAGGCTTTCCCTCTGCGGCCCTCTTGGCGTCACGGGCGGCTTTGGATGCTGAAACCATGATGTCGAGTTTTGAGGGATGAAGATGGGTAAGAGGAGGAAGTTGTGGTTGTGGTTGGGAGGGTCGAGATTTTGTTAGTTAACCTAGTTTATCGGTGCGGGATGGAGGGGTTTTCAATGTGGCGCAGGATAACGACCACTAAACAACGTGAATGCTATGATTGGCTGAGGGGCAGTGGTGGCAATACAGCCTTATAAAGATTGAAGAAAATTAGACCAAATAGTGAAGTGCAAGTACAAATGACTTAAATGTTAGATTCTCTGTCTGTATTATAAAATTGATCTTTGGAAATTTCAAACAGACTTTTTTTCTGGTGAGGAACAGCGTCTCGCTAACGGCAACTTGGTGTGCCACTCAGCCACTCTGATGTAATGGGTCACATGACCCTTAATTATCACTTGTGAAGCTCGAGACCTCGAGATATTGTAACTTGAGCCCCAACTGCTCTTCAAGTTTTTGTATATTATTGTTCATTTGTGGAAGGTTTTGCTGCTTGTTTGTTGCTTTGATTTTGTTTTGTTTGCATCTAATTCCCGCTCTATATGTCACCATTCTCTTTCGTGGATTTGCATCTTTTACTCAAGTATTAGGATAATCCTTCAGCGGCACAGACGGCAGGATACTTTCCTCTGAAGGATTGAGAAGCCCAGCCGAGACCATGTTCTGTGTGTATCATCATAAGTTCTAGGCAGCTGAATTCCCATTTCCTCAATTGCACAATTTGTCCAACCACCTCAATCCAAGATTCAGGCTGCAACATTTGGTACTACCTTTAGCCGGCCAAATACTTACCTGACCCTCAATTTATCTCTACTATCAGATGTTTATATCATCTCCATTCATTCATACTATTCTCTCATAGTATTCTCTGTTTCACCTTTTGCGACATCATCATGCCGCGCACAGTAGGCCAACAAATGGCCCGAGGGATCGGCCTCTTCCAAGCTCTCGTCGCTCTCCCAGCAATGGTAATCCTAGGAGAATGGGCTCTAGAGGCTCTCTTCTACACCAACATGCCAATCTACGAATTCATGTAACTGTTCCTCGAAAGCGATCTTTTTTTCCCCCCAAACCTACCACACTAACATCCCACCCCCCAGCACATCCACATTCAACGCCCTCTTCGCCGCCGCCATAATATTCATCGTCTTCGTCCAGCTCAACACCAGCACTTCACCCCTCATAACCCTCTACTTCGAGATCGCAAAATCGAGTCTCGCGACTGCACTCTGGCTATGGTTATTACTTGATGCTATTTTCGACCCAGAACAATGGAATAGACCATATCAAAGGCCGCCGAAGGGACCGAGGATTGCGAGAGCTGGAATAAGTGTTGTAGTTTTATTGTGAGTTTGGTATTCATTTACGGTATTTTTTGGTTTGAATCGAGCTGGTGGATGCTGAGAGCAGGGACGTGGAAGTGGTTGAAAATCCATGAGAGATCTGCATTCGGAATAGGGTGAAGAATGTTAAAGGTTATTTACTGACTTAGCTCCTACTGCAGGACTTTGTTCTATCCCATATTGATCTATGCGACGATAGAAGAGAAGCGTTCTAGGAATGTTGAGGTGGACTCAGAAGCAGGACAGGGTCAAGGACAAGCGCAAGAAGAGCACCATGGGGAAAGAGAACCATTGCTCGGGTGAAGTGACACTTCACAGCCCTTTCCTTGGGCATTTGGGGATTCGGAGTTGACAGGCCACGTGCGGTATTACATTGTATGACCCCTCGTATTACTGTCTCCGGTGTTCTATCATACAACTTATCGTATACATATCCTCGGGGTATCAAAAAGCCTCTCCACACCTTTGCGCCGCCTAATAGCAACACCAACCATTAAAGTCCCCCGTCTACCAGTGGAGAAGTACGACATCAGCCATCCTTCCTTTCCAGCGCGAGCCATCTACCCCAAAGTGTCATAGCTCTGCACACTCCTCACACTCCTCGCATCCTCCCAACTCACCTCGCTCCCTCCACTCTGCAACCCCTTACTATCCTTGCCATCCCTCTGCGCTGTCTCCATCGGCACCTGCAAATCATCTACCGTAATCGTAACCTCGCCCTTAACACCAATCTCACCCAAGCCATACAACATCTCCTGACTCCCATTAATGTCCTCGTCCACACCAACCCCTCTCCCAAACCGATTCTTAAAACTCCCCTTCCCACTCTTGCTCCTCTGCGGCAAACCCGCCTCAATAGTCGTAATTGTCCCCATCCCTTTTCCTCCTTTCCCAAGAAAAGCAAAAGTATCCAACCCTGTGTTCTCGCCCGGTGGGTCCTCGCTAAACACAATATCCGACCTCGTGCTCGCGTAAAGCAAGACATCAAGCCATCCATTGCACGCGATCATCGAACCAGCCACAACGAAGAAACCAAGCGGAACTTCATGTCCAGCAATGGCGTAGATGCGACCGGCTGCAAGGGGTGCAGTGCACACGGTATAGATAAGCGGGTAGAGGATCATGAGTGGTGTTGCGCCGTGATTGACGTGTTCAGTGCGGTGTTTGAGTATTGCGCACGAGTTCGGTGCAGTGTGAAGGAAGATGAAGATACAGAGGTAGATGACGATTGTGAGGAACATGGCGACGAAGATCCAGAAGTAGTGCAGCCAGAGACGTTCCAAGGAGTAGGCTTCATTGATCCAGCACTTCGAAGGGAAATCAGCATTGGACGAACAGAGGAGAGAACAGACTTACCCATGCGTTTGCACGGACATAGAAATCGGCGCCCTGGAGAAGGGGGCCTACAGCTCCCATGGTATATACGAAGATCCAGGCCCCGGCGATGCAACAGTAGAAAGTACGAGCTGGCAGTCTGTATTCCTTGATGACGCTGAAGAACGTATGCACTGCAATTGCGCAGATGCCATCGTTTCGTAAAGAGCTGATATTGAGGACAAAGGCTATTGCTTGCTGGATATCTGCCAAGAGGAGGTTGTAAATTAAGAGCAGGAATTGATTTGGTGACGACTTGACTTCAGCACGAACATGCCACGAGATCAGGCGGTAAGTAAGGTAGAAGAAGAGGGAAGTAGAGCAGAAGAATGAAAGGAGACCGAACGTCGATACCGCCACCAAACCATGGGAGAGGACGTATGGAAGGGGTGAGAGGGTCGATGAGGCTTCAGTGAGCGTCATCTTGGCGTCGAAGATTGGCTACGCCAGGAGAAAGGAACGACACTCATCGGTAGGCGATAGGAAAAGGAACGGTAATCTAGTATATTCTAGTATATATTGTGGAGGTGCAGATCTGGACAACGAAACGCCAAAGCTCCTGCCACCACTTGACTGGTAACGAACCATAGTGCTGATAATATGAATACAGGGGTGTGTTTATTTGAAGCCGAGGATGAAATCGGGATCCAATTCTTATTTGACTCCGGAGTGGTGAGATATTCGGTAGTACAAGCGTGACGCAAATAGGGTTGAATGTGAGTTTGATGCCATGGCCTCCGGCGGTTTGAAGTTTGAAGCTTGCAGGTGTCCGTGGCCCCGAATTGATCAGCAGAGTTGTGTAGCGAACTCTCGTCACTGGGCTAACTGCCCTTGAAACGCATTTGTTTGGATGAGCTTTGACGTGCATCTGAGACAAAGGCTAAAGAGTATTTAAAAGTTCCTAAGATTTGCATCAGGGAAAAGGACAAGGCATGAGGTTGTGGCCTTCCAGTGTTGCATAACAACCACATCTAATGATGTACCTCCAGATGTTGGTCCAAAAAGGTGGAGTCCACGAAACAAAACTAAAAACCAAGCAGTTGCGAATTGAAGACGGGAAAGCCAATTATTTTGTGGCCTGCAGACATCTTTGGAAGAAGCTCTGAGGCATTACCGTGTTCTCTACGAAGACTCTGACAGAAACGCCTTTTGCTGTTCTTTAGTCTAGAACTGTCTGACATGAAGAACGTATTCGTAACGACATTGAAGGATGTTCGCTGAGAAGCTCGACGTCTCTTTCACGTTAGGTTTGATTCTCATACAACGAGCACATCGCAACTCTAAGTCCTCTTGAGGAGATACCCTGACAATGAAAAGAGGAGAAGTTCATCGCACAGCTCTGAATGTGCGGGATCATGCCACCAACACATGGCTAGGACTTTCGATTGTACGACGTTGAAGCCAACAGGAATGTGCAAATTCCGCGTCTCACTTCGTTTAGTGCTGTATAGATGAGACGTGTCAACAGCTAGTGTACATCCAGAACCATAACTATAACGAGGTATGGTCTGCAGCTGGAGATATTGATAGTTGGATCCCAGCGCCACTATCGGATCCGATGATGATCATATGGCACGAGGCAGGGAAGTATGGCTGCGATCTCTTTCTCATCGCCAAACGGGAGATCAACAGAGGACCGCAGCCGGTAAGCAAGTCATTACATCGGCCGATGACATTCCCTGCGACATACGACGACCACGAATCGCGTCACTTACACAAGTAGCTTGCTGTATCGACGTTACGTGACTCAACAGCAAAGCTTGTTAGCTACAGCTCAGGCAGGCAGAAAAGTCTCCAGAAGCCCGATGTCCGAATAGGCTACAGCCAGGCCAAGAGATATGCTTTCATAGCTCACATCATTTTTCAGTATGAATCTTGCAGCACCTCCGGGCTCTCATCCTGGCGAGTAATGTAGAACGCGAAGGTTCCCTATTCCACTCTTATCGACCGAAATGTGTCGACAAATAACAATATTCTTATGCAGTTGACTCATTCGCAACCAGTCGTCGGACACTATCCACCCCTTCCCTGAATCGATATGAACTTCCTTGATCGGGGGTTGGATTATCAGCATTCTCCGCCAACTTGCCTCTCCTCTTTCTACGGCTTCTTTCCTAGCAGACGATGCAGTGCTTCGATTGTAGGGCTTAAGAGCGGTATCATTTAACCATTCGTTTCGATATTCCGTCTTGCCTTGCATCTTAAGATCTCGTTGTACCTGGTCCCAATCCTGTACCCTTCTGTCCACAAATCTTGTGGCGCTCGAGGCGCGCAGCAAGGGACATGGCCGAGGATCAACCTGGGAAGTAGCAGGTAGGAAGAATAGCGCTTTTTGAATGGATTGTGATCTGCTTATGACAGCGTTGAATGTTCGATTGACCCGCAGCGCAGACACGAGTAGGTCGCAGAAGGGGAGGTGCGAGAGAATAATTTCGAGAAGTTCGGGGGTAAAGAGGACTTGCTGAGCAGCAGATTGAATTTGCTTTTGGAAAGAAGAATTAGAAGTCTCCATGCTTTCTTGCGGCTGCGTGTTTCTGCGGGATGCGATACTTGGTGAAGTTGGAATGTGAGGCAAGCCAAGCACTGAATGATGACTAATCATGACCAGGGAGATGCCAGGAGACTTGCAACCTCCAATTTGCTGCCCTTCTTCACTTCTTCCAGCTGTTTTCCGTCACGCCGAAACGAAGCTTTACGATTCAGCAGAGGAGTCCTACTCTACAGTGCTTGTGGACTGATCAAAGCATCCTCAGTCGTATCCTCGGACACTCAACTCCCAATAGCCTTGCGATGAAATTGAAGAGCATAACAAGAACTACAGGATGAGTCCGTTCGGTGCTCTTGCAGGGCAAACTTCTCTAGCGAACTCTTCAAACTTATTTGAACAGTTTTTGCAATTATTCGGAAAGGATCCAACCGAAACATCTGTCATTGTCACTTGAAAATCACCTTTCTCCTGTGACTTCAAGCGATCTCGGCAAGACATTTGTTTACTCCAGGTTCTGGAACTACCGATCAGTGCTACGGGCCCTGGAGTCTCGGGAATTCGAGAACATAATTCGCTTGTTACAATGTTCTTTTCGCTATGAAAATGACGGGAAATTATGATAAAGCACCCATTGAGAAGTCGACATAGAGATGCATGCGCAGGTACCAACAAATCTCTAAGGAAGAGTCATTATTCTCCCAAACTTTTCTGATAGCTCCTCCATTCAATCGAGCCTGAAATATAGCCTGAACATCAGCGCCCGACAGTAGATCGAAGCTGCATCGAAGCCAAAACGCCCAAGAAGCAAAGGAAATACTATGATACGCGAGTATTCGATGTGGATTAGCCTCCGGAGCAGACCTGCGATCTATGCATTTTCCATCGAAAGTGGCTTTTCAGCTTCAATTCAGTCCGAATTTGGAAAGTGGTCCTTGTTGAGATACAAGGGCTGAATCCAATGAAAGTCAACGAAATTCCTTGTACGACTATGCCCTGGTCAAGCCCACGGTGCTTACCGACATTTGCAGCAACTCATCGGGCCGCGACCCCAGAATTTCCTGCATAAAGTCCAGTAATCCTTTTAATCTTCAAACTTGCATCGCCAAAAAGTCAAGATGGAGAAAACAACTTTCACAGTTGCAGCGGCGGCTGTTGCAGCTCACTTCATTTTGTTTCCAATCCACGAGGTGTCAACCACGAAAGTCTTGAGTACATACTCGATCGCTAACACAATTGTTTTCGGCTTTATCTTCACCACTCATGATTATCTTCCATCCTTGTTCTCTCGCTTCGCTGCAGTGAACTTCACTTTCCTATTGATCTTTTTCTTCTTGACTATAATCCGTCGTGTCTACTTTTCCCCATTGTCTCACTTCCCTGGACCAAAAGCAGCGGCTATATCAAACATCTATTTAGCCAACGAATTCCGTACGGGACGAGGATCTCACACTGTGCTAAAATTACACAAACAATACAACAGTGACTTCATTCGCATCGGCCCTAGAGAGCTCAGTATTAGAAATGTTGAGGCTATCGAAGCAATCTATCGCGGTAAATACCCGAGAGGGACATTCTATGAGGTTGGAGCCATGAACGGAGAATTCAATCTCAACACTCAAAGGAACTACAAACTACACACGCCATGGAGACGAATCTGGTATGCTTAGACCTTTGATTATGTGAACACTTGTATTTACATTCGTGACAGGGAACGAGCTTTCGCGAGCAGCGAATTTCAGCACTACAATCCACGAGTTGAGAAACACGTTGCTGATCTCCTAGGAGCAATCAATTTTTCTAGCGGCGAAGATATAAATTGCTCTAAGCTTATGGAAGACTTCTCGTTTGATGTGTAAGACACCCTGCTCAATAGTTATGACCACCGCTAACCTCGACATCCAGGATGGCCGACTTATCCTTCGCCCACGACGCAGGTATGCTAAGCGGCACTGGCGACAACACTTACATGCATTTCATTCATAAATACATGTCTGCACTTGGAGTGCGTCCTCCTCCCATCCCCCTATTCTCAGCAATCGAAACTAACTCTTCAGGTCATCTCCATATTCCGGAACCTCTCCCAGCTCATGATCTACCTCCCCGAACCGGCAGACGTGAAATCCTTCCGCCTCCGGGGCGAAGCTCTCCTCTCAGCACGTCAAAAACTCGGAACTACGCGGAAAGACATCTTCTCCCACCTCCTAGGTACAGATACGGAGACTAGCACTCCAATCAAGTTTTCTCAAGCACAGCTGAATTCGAACGCGAATTTGATCATCATTGCTGGGTCGGACACGGTCTCTACTACGCTGACGCAGACATTTCGTCTCTTGGCTAAGCAGCCTTCGATCTTGAAGAAACTACAAACGGAAGTGGACGAGCACTTGAAAGGAAGCGAAAAGACTGTGGATAGCGTACGAAGCTTGCCATACTTGAATGCTGTCGTGAACGAAAGTCTTCGTCTCTTCAACCCAGTTCCGTAAGTCCTCAACCCCAAAAAGATGAGCTTGAAGATTGCCACTCATCACTATCTACAAGAATGGGTGCTCACGCCGCCACACCTCCGTCCGGAGTCCATATCGACAACACATTCATCCCTGGCAACATCCAAGTCAGCGTCCCACCGGTCGCACTCATGACAGATCCTCGCTACTTCACCAAACCTGATGAGTTCATCCCCGAGAGGTGGTTAGATTGGAATGAGGGTATCAAAGACAGAAGAGCGTTCTTTCCTTTCGGGTACGGCGTGCACAGTTGCGTGGGACGACAACTCGCTCTGAATGAGATGCGAGCAGTCCTCGCTGGAGTGGTGCAGAAGTGGTATATCGTCCTCGGAGAGAAGTATAATGAAGTGGAATGGCAAGCTGGTGTGAGAGATCATGCAGTGCTACAAGTTGGTGAGCTTTGGGTCAAGTTCTTACCACGCTCTCATTAAGTCACGCGAAAGGCAGGAAGGGCACGGGGAAGCAACCACATCACGAAGTCACGAATTGAAGCATAGGAGTTGTTGCTGAATACTTTCATTCAATCAACAAAGCCCGTCAAAGCAGTAACATGAAGCCTCACAACCCAAGGCGAATCCATGAAACCAATGACAAAGGAAGTCCTCCCACCTCGAGGCACCGGTAAAACCCCTGTGGGGAAAAAGGTTTACCTCTCACCTGTCCACCGGACACACCTATCTCCAAGTACCCTTCATCATGAGGATAAGAACAAAATGATTGTGCCCGCCCAAGAATCAACTCACTCCTTTGTGTGTGTTGCTTTTCTCTTCCTTCCCTTGCCGTCCCCCAACCCCCATTTTTTTTTTGTTTTTTGTTTTTTGTGTGTTTTGTTTCCCCTTCCCCCCTTCTCCCTCCTCCATCTCTCCCCGTCCTTGTATGTCTTTTTTTTGTGGTGTGGTGTGGTGTTTTTTTTTGGTATGTCGCTCATTCCCTCCCTCTCTCTCCTTCCCTCATTCCCTCACTCTTCCCCTTCCCTTCCCTTCTTCTTCTTCTTCCTCTCTCTCTCTTTTTTTTTTTTTTTTTTTTTTTTTTTTTTTGGGTGAAGTGACGATGGCCATTCGGGCTTTTTGATTTGTTTGTACTAGAAAACACCTGAGGTGTTGTACTTCCAAGCTTGTTGCTTGTACTTTCTTCAGTCTCTCATCCTCTCCAAGATGATTGCAAGCCAGGCGTTTCAAAATTGCCATGGACTGTGTGAATGTGTGGGGGGGGGTTTTTTTTGGTGTCAGTTTTTGATGCTAAGTTGGGTTTTCAAAGCTGTCAAAGGTCGACGTGTTTGGCAAACCTCGCTCATGGGAAGTGAAGCGAGGCCTTGGAGGGAATCGCGGCGCTCAGTGATGTGATGGCAGCCAGCTTGATTCCGTTTTTGTATGGGTGTTGGATGGCGCGCAGTCGGTGGACGCAGCAGCTCGATCCGGGTGGTGGTTGTTGGTTCCGAAGGTGCACAGTTGAAGAACGTGGCACCTTGATTCGGACTGGTGTTTGTTGGTTGGATGGATGGATGGTGGTTTTTTTTTGTTTTTTTTTGGGTCCGAAGGTGCGCGGTCAGTAGACGCAGCAACGCGATTCGGACTTTTGTTTCTGGAGATGTGTTGTTGGAGAGAGACTGGTTGACAGAAGTTGTTGAGATCAGGGCGTCCCATCCGAAGGACTTTGACCGGTACCGAAGTAGAGGTCCTTACTCCAGACAGAAGTCATACTTTGTGTGTATGTTATTAAGAAGAGGCTCAGCGACATGGCCATCAGATTGATGGTTTGCATATCTTTCTTCTTCTTCCATCTGACGCCTTGCGGCGGAGCGCGTATCGCTGCTCAGAGAGTTTTTTGTGGGTGAGGTTATTTGTTGGTTTGCTGCATCAAATTGTATGATGAGCTTGAATTCTTCAACGACATTGACATCATGTCTAGACATGATGAAAGAGTTGTTCGTTTGAGCCCTGAGGCTCGGAAGAATGCCGGAGGATGGGACTATCGTTTCGAAGATCCTCTGCTGAGCGACCAGTGTGGTGCTGTTTGATGGTGGGAGGGGTTTTTTTGGTTGCATGAGGTCTCCTAGACTATGGGTGACAAGACCATCATGTGATCATGGTGTTGTCGGATATCTTCTTGGACTTGAGGCTCTTGGATGTGATGCGTTCAAGTCATGTTGGAGCTGTTGCTCAGAAGATGGCTCTCCGAGAGCATGATTGGAATGCTCGAGCAATGCAGGTTGCATTCGCTGTTTCCCGGAGAGATAGTTGGCTTGTGCTAGGCACAGATGACCAACCCTTGTTTTGGTGCTGATGGATATCGAAATGAAATCTTCATCTGCTGATATTCGGCTGAAGGTTCGATGTTGGACATGCGTTGACATTCCTCGGAAGGCCATTGTGCATGTCATCGATTCAATCTCACACCTGACGTGGTGAAGAGATTGTTGCTGAATGTCGGATCCGCTGACGGAGATCTTCGTCGGCGGTGTTGAAGGACTGAGTTGTCGTTCTGGAATGTTGTTGTTGTCGCAAAGAAAATACCAGACGTGGTACCTTCTCGTTGACTTTCACCTGATGTGGTGGAGTCGGAAACTCTTGAAACATTCCTTAGACAGATGACCTGAGCGTTGTACATCTGCTTTGAGAAAGCATTTGATCTCATTTCTCAAATGAAGTCGTTGGGAATAGCAAAGACGGCATCCCGTGGACTGGCGAATGAAGCATGTTACCGGAAGTGGTAACACATAGACCCATTGTGGGTAGTTCCAATCGTACTTTGTGTTTTTGGTTGTAGACTTACTCGTACCAATGGCACGTTGCTCAACCTTTGGTTGTCTTCAAGAATATATCATCGTGAGTCTGTCTTCTCAGGCGATGTCTTGACATAGACACGAATGTTATGGAGCAAAGCTCAAAGACGGGTTTTTTTTTGGTGATCTCTTCTGTCTTGTTGTCGGTGGCGCACGGTGGATGTGTTTTGGTGGCTGCCGGTCGACATCGGTCGTCCCTTCTTTTGGTGGGTGGTTTTTTTTTCTGGGACATGACTGTGGTTTCTGGGTTGCAATTGACGTCAGACAATTCAAGTTGAAATGCCCAAGTTGCTGTTCTGGAAGTTTCCGTGTCGATGGCGTGTTGACGGCTCCTCGATCGGTTGAATCCTCCAAACTTTGTGCTTTACTTCTGGTAGCGCTTGAGTGCTGTTGCGAGCTCAACCAAGATGTAATTTGCCGGTTCCATCTTGTTTTTCGTGAGGTCATGCAAGAGTTCACAAAGCCTGAATTGACCAGTCAGCAATGCAGTTTGTTGAAATGGTCAAGGTAAGAGCATAGATCGTGGCTGTTGACGAGGGGGTGCAGAGAGGTCGATTACTTACTTGCCGCGAATGGCCATGTACACTTCTTGCTTGTCTCCGCCATAGAGCTGAAATTCTAGGTGACTTGTTAGTGATGTGTGCAAAAAATTGACGTAGTCCCAAAATGATACTAGTCTTAGGTTGGGAGAGTAGCGTCACGGGAGGGGTTCATACCTTCAAAGCCCTCTGGGATTTCACCAGAGTGTAATTTGTCCCACAATGAGCGGAGACGGCGGAGCTCAACGTTCTGAAGATGAATGCACTTCAAAATCAAGCCTTTCTTTCTTTCGAGTTCGGCGATTTTGCGAGAGTGCTTGGACTGACGACGTCGCTGCTGCTTAGCTTCTGTTGCTTGCTGAGCTTCCCATGCAGCTTTGAGATGAGAAAGGTTCGAGTCGTAATGAGCGCGAGCCTTGTCGTCTTTGAGGATGTCATGAGCGTTGGAAATCTTGTTCAAAGTTAGTTTTAGCCGCAATTTCTCAAATCAAATAATGTGCAACGATGCTGGGCAAAAATGAGGTGCATTCAGCGAGTTTGGGTCACGAATAGCAGCCCAAGAATCACATGACGCACTCCAGACATGGAAATTACGCGACGGGTTGGGGGGAATTGTTCGTACCTTTTGAAATCTTTGAGTCGCTGTGGGATCCTCCTTGTTCTTGTCCGGGTGGTGCTTAAGTGCGAGCTTGCGATACGCAATGGTGATCTGTTTGACAGAAGCACTTCGCTCAACACCCAAGATCTCGTAATGGGACTCGAAAGTAGCCATTTTGAGAATGATATCAACTACTGTAACAACAAATAAATCTGTTGGACAAGAGGTCAATATCGGTATAGTATCACCTCGTTGACAAAAGTTGTTTAATCACTTAAGCCAAGAGATGAATACTGTTCTGAGGGGAAAAAGAAAAGAAGAAGGAAGGAAAGAGGAGCATGGGACTGGCCTTATAAACCTTCGTGAGTGCGCACTAGAAAATAGTTTCTGAGTCACACCGAGACTGTTGGGCTACTCTCATGATGTTGAGGGTACTCGATCACTTGAAGCGGACGCGCCAAGTGCCAGAACCAAAGTTGAAGCTTCGCCGGACAGAACCTAATCGTTAACACGTCACTCCACACCTCAAGTGGAAAGAAGAAATGCGCTTAATATTCATGATTAGAGTACCTTTGGTATTTTCTTGAGTTTTGATTAGACTAAACTGCGCGATTACCAAAGTGTTGACGATCAACAGGCGTCATTGTGGTATCGTGAACTAGCACACAGACGGATGTGCGTTCATTGGGACTCGTCCATTCAGCACATGGTACTCATAACTAGCTCAAGATCGAGCGTTCAAGGTCCCAACACATTTTGAACTGTTTCTTAGAGCAAGCCTCCTGGATAGGTCGTCATGCATTCGGTCTTGTTGCTGCGATGGCGTACAGGACGGTTTTGAAGCTATTCAGATAGAACTGTACATGACGAGTTGAACAAGCAACCATTTACGAAACCTGTCTTGTACCGTTGAGTTACATTACGATGGAAGCTTTCAAATGGATAGTTTTCGGTGCATGCACAGTGTGACGGTCAATATTGGAGAGGTAATGGAAGGTGCAAGATGCCTCCCGAATGGCGCTAGGACTAACGTCACTCCATACCTAGTTGAACCGGGGGATGTAACAACACTAAGTAATTGTACATGAATTATTATAACTTGGTACTGATGTTAGCTAGATTGTTGAGCTAGAAATTGAAAGAACAGAAAATCATGAGTAGAATCTAGTGGTACGAATTCTCATGTGGTTTGACGAGAAAGGAGTTACGCTGTGGAGTTGAGGCACGTGAAAACGCAATACTATGATGCTTTCGAGTGAGATAGAGCATTGGAAACAATGATTTCGGGAAATCCGGGAGCAAAAGGACGGCCGCATTGCATACATACGTCGCAGACACGATCGAAGCAAGGCTGGGTGGAAGATACGATGGAACACACCCAATTTCGAATGATTACAATTCCAATATAATTCTGAGAGACATCGGGCACAGTAGGGCAACAATGACTACATCGAAACATGAAGAAAGACCAAGTTGTTTCTAGTCCAAGACTGTCTTTGCATATCCGCCTGCATCAATCTATCTCTCCCGTCTGAGACATCAGTAACTTTTTCGACAGGGGTATTGATTGAGACAAATAGCCAGAGGTCTGACGGATGGTGAGAAGACGTCTTACCTTATTGTCTTATGCTTCTAACATATTGAATGGTGCCTAGCAGACAGAGTCTGGCTTCGTGGGGTCTGTTTGTCGCAGATCAATGACTCCTCCAGAAACCCATTTCATCGTCTTGTCACTCAATTCTCGGCTACCTATGGAACCCGAAATCAAGTGTACCTATATCAGAGAGAAAATCTGTATTTACCTTAGGTAGGTAGGTACCTTTATCTGCTCAATACATCACGTGTCTTATTTGGCACATGTGACAGGGCTTCTGGTTCGCGAAGACTCTGACAAAGGCGGCGCGAGGACGCGTCGTTTCAAACGTCGACTTATCTCCACACAAGGAAAACAAGACAACTCGACCACGTACGAAACAATGTTCCCTCAACCCGCTGGGGAGATTCAGAAAAGTTCTTTCAGTTTCCGAGACTTATCCAGCGTTGTCGACGGGTATCGACCTGGTGCCAAATCAGACTCTTCCTCAGACAATGAACCTCAACCAACCTCTCGCATCCCTCCAGCTACATATAAGAATGTACCACAATCGTCATTCAGCATGAAAAATCTCATCTCTCCTCAATCTACTTTCAAAGCGGGTCCATTTACAACTGCTCTGTTCACCCCGGCTTTTACGCCTCAACCCACGCCGCACCTCACGTCCCAATCAGCGACCACGATGCCTTCTGCGGCCCTGCCATCTCGTGCCCAGGCGAACAAGACCGACAAACAGCCTATGGAAGGTGACAAAGCCTATCAGCGTGAGCTTTCAGTACATCTTTCCATGTTAACGTCTGCTGGAGGTGCGCAAGAGCAACGAAATGAGCTGGCTGGCTCGCCCATCTTCACTACTTCGATCCTTCGACACTCCCAGTCAAGCTTCTCTCAGTTCGGACTTTTGGCTGGGTATGCAGATATCTTGGAAGAGATTGCTTCTTCAGGCAGAGACACAGCTTCTCTTCCGGCAGCTCTGGATCCTCGAATCTACTTCAACATCTCTGCCCCGTCAAGCGTGTTCATTTGTGGGTCTCAAGGTTCCGGCAAAAGCCACACACTTTCCTGTCTACTTGAGAATTGCTTGTTGAAGTCCTCAGTCAGCAAACTCGACAATCCTCTCTCCGGACTCGTTTTCCATTATGATTCCTTCATGTCGGACAGCCGCGGTACTCCATGTGAAGCCGCTCATCTATCGTCAAATTTCAACATCAAAGTCCGCATTCTATGCTCCCCTTCAAACGTTCAGACCATCAAGGTGAGCACATCATTGCTTTTGAAGTTCCTCTCTGATCTTTCTCACAAGCGTACCTACTCCGGATTGAATGTCGAGATCGAGCCATTGATGATTAACCAAAATGATCTCAACACCAAGCGAATGCTGGATCTGATGGCTGTCAACACTGAGGATGGCAGAATGCCACTCTACTTGCACGAGATCACGCGAATTCTACGAGAAATGCGGATCGCTCAACAGAACAGCAATGGCTCATTCAACTACGCTGAGTTCAAGCGACAGGTCGAGCTCTCACCGATGACCCCTGCACAGCAAGCCCCATTAACACAACGTCTGGATACTCTTGAGTCATTCATGCCTAAATCGCAGACTGGTGCCATACCCAAGAAGACCAAGAAGTCAAACCATCCAAGTGGTAATGATTGGAGCGTCAAGGTATGTTTATGGAGCTACGTACAATTCTCAGCTGACACGATCAGGCCGGAATGCTTACAATTGTCGATCTCTCATGCCCATGTGTCACCGCTGAAGGTGCATGCGCATTGTTCAATATGTGTCTGAGCCTGTTTTTGGAGCAGAAGACGACGATTGGCAGAGTTGTTGCTCTCGATGAGGCACATAAAGTAAGCATCACTCGGTTGGTTCCATTTTAATGAAGATCGATCTGAACAATACACAGTACATGAACGCTGGCTCTGAAGCTTCTACTTTGACGAATACACTCCTGTCCTCCATCCGTCTTCAGCGTCATCTTGGTGCAAGAGTCTTCATCTCAACCCAAGAGCCATCCATCTCACCAAAGCTTCTGGATCTTTGCTCCATCACAGTCGTGCATCGCTTCACGTCCCCGGACTGGTTACGCTGCCTGCGATCCCATTTGGCCGCACTCGACAATGATGAGGAGGTCTTGGGAAATCCAAAGGCGAAGCTAGACAACGTTTTCAATCAGATCGTCAGATTGAAAGTCGGACAAGCTCTACTCTTTGCACCAAGCGCGATCGTCGATGTCAAGAAGGCAGAGGTGGAGTCAGGAATCGGAAAGGACGAGATTCAACGATTGGGGATCGGATATCTCCGAGTCAAGATCCGTGATCGGGTTACCGCCGACGGAGGAAGAAGTGTTCTGGCACTGGGACCCAATACGACATTAGGCACGAAGGGTTTGGGCGTCGCCACGGGTGCTTCGATATTTGGTGGAGAGGCAGCTCCATCCAATGGTTTCGCATCTAACGCTCTCCCAACAACCTCAATGTTTGGGGTCCCTGCAAGAGGTGCAACATTCGGTGGAAAGTCTGCTGGGGCTTCCGGCAAGAAATTAAATGGTTTGTCGTCTTCGAATTCAATTACTGTTCCTGTCACGGCGTTTGGTGCAGCAGCCACATCGACTTCAACCGGAGCATCCAACACCGCTACGACATCCTCTCTTTCTGGTAATACATTTGGAGGCTTTTCAGCTAACCCAAATACCAATAGCTTGAGTTTCAGCACAGCAACATTCGGAAGCCAGGCAACCTCAAATGTACCTATAGTCAGCACGAATGGCATTGGCAGCATGAACCAGAATCTTATCAAAACTGAACACGGTAGCCTCCCTCTTTCTACAATCAGTGGAAACCACAGCATCGATCGCAATTCTTCTGCGCATTCTCCCGCAGTCTTTCATGGTGTTTTCTCGAAGTCTGTAACGGCACTCCCAAAAACACCAAGCACCTGGCAATTCAATCCACATATTGAGAAAGAGTTGTTGGATTCCAAACAATTCGTTGCTTTCCAAACAATCACGTCTGAAACTCCCTGGAGTACATATTCTTTTGAGGAGTTGCGATTAGGGGATTACGGTCGTGGGGATATGATGGCATAGAGGCTGAGCTTTGCTTTGGTTTTTTCCTTGTGGCTTTTTTGGCGTTTGTTTTGATTTAGTCTGGTTTGGTTTGGTTCCCCATGCGATGATGGGGGTTTGGCATATCTGGAAGTTTTGTCTCTGAAGGTTTTATCTTGGAATGCAGAAGGGATGTGGTGGGAAGATATCGATTTTTATTAGAGGACACGAGTATTTGGGTACGGATCGAACTAGATGATGAGGGAGTGGAGAGTCTTCAGACAGATTTGCTTTCATTAGATGATAGAGGTCTCACAGCCAATGGAAAATGTACAAGTAGTAGCGTTCATCCTCAAGATACCTACAATTTCAGCCAAGTCTTTCTCAGCACCTCAAGCCTTGTTCTAACAGGAAGAAAAGTTTCACATCACGAATCTTACGGAATCTCTAAGTTTTTACACTCTCCCTGGATTTCACTTGGTATCTAAAACTGTTCGCGTCCCCCCCCTCTCTATCTTCCAGCGCATGAATCATCGATATGTCTTCCAGAAGGCTCTCATTTTCGCCAAGATCTGTTTGTAAAACTATTAATCCTCCGAACAGTAACCCGAGAGCATTTCTTACCATAGCGATATTCGGCCATCCCATTTTCTATTTGAGATCCATTCAAGTCTTCCCCACCTACCGATCGACTTCAACCTTGACTGTGTGCTTGTGAATGTGAGTATTAAAATCTGTTAGCTTGTTTTGTAATGTAGAACGGGCTGATCTTGGGCGTCTTTGAAAGAGCTGCAAGTTCTTGGTTAACCGCACAAGGTGGAAGGCGAGGCGGGAGATCACTTGCCAAGATTTGGCCCCACAGCCCTCTATCACAAGACTGACACCCAAGAATAAGTTCTATTTCGGAGAAAATTTCAGATACTGAGTGATATCGAGTAGATTTTGAGACACACCGTGTCAACGGCCAGACTGGCTGGTTTGTTTACAACTGAATATGCGGCTCGCTTCATCTTATGTAGTTACCCATAATTCCTTGGCAAGGAACTGTCAGCAAATTGATTTGAAGCAGCTTCCCTACCTGATCAAACTTCGAAGAGACTTAAAGATATCCAATAAGAACTTTCTTCCTCGAAATTAAGGGCACACTAGTGCCCTTGTTTTTCTTTTTCCTCCTATTACCGCCGATCACAAAAGTCATGCGGTCAACGCGACTTAAATCTTGCACTGGCTACTACTTACAAAAGCCCTCAAATAGATCATTGTCTCCAGCACCACACTTCATCTGTACAGATTCTGGACGGATCTCAGGTTCCAAATATGGAAGCTGCTCAATATCCAGGGATGAAAGGGGAGAAGGAGCTCGCACGCCTTAGCGAGCTGAAGAGACGACTCCGTATGGTTGAGAAGGAGGAAACAGAGCGAGAAGATATGATAAAGGGAAAGAAAAAGATTGAAATAAGAGCTGAGGATGAAGAACAACCTCCATCCAAAAGGTCTCGCATCGATTGGTATGCGATGTCCTGCTGATCAAAGTCTACGATGCCTTGGCTGACAATGCGGAGCAGTGACAAAGCACAAGATAGCAGCACAGAAGTTGATGCGCAACCCGAAGTTCTCTTCGTCTCTATACCCATACTTCTCGACTTCCCTACGGCGTCCAACACTCTCCAACTCCATCCGCACAAGATACCAACAATCGGCCCCTCATCCTCCGACTCTACGGCGCACCCTCCGCTCCGCAACCATCCAATCGTTCAAGCACTCCTCCTAGCTCTCGCGCCCGCATACCAACAACTCTACCACCATCCAGCCATCCTGAACCCCACGCACCGCCCGGCTCACCATTCGTTCCTCCCGACGCCGTCCGAGGCGTTGCAACCCTCAGCTTCCCATGTATATGGATCAACTGTAACAAGCACTGCGGCACAATCGAGCGAGCCAAGCGGCATATCAAGACCACGCATATGAAGGGACGGAATTGGATCTGTCAGCAGTGTGGACATTTTGCGAGTGCGAAGGAGGAGAAATTGACGGATCATCAGAGGAAGTTGGGGCATAAGGATGAAATGTGGCCGGGATTTGAGTTCTGGAAGTGGGTGTGAATTGGAGGGGTGGGATGTTAATAGGGACAGGGTACTGGGGGCTGCAAAGAGGAGAATCGTGTACATGATTATTGGAGTTGTCGGTAGGATTTCTGGACGTATGGGAGAATTGTTACGCTCTGTCGTGCCACAGTGTCTGAGACATTATTTTGACTCAAGATACTTCTTGAATCCTGCGTGCTGAAATCTTATGCAGTTTTGTAATTCTGTTCAAGCCTTGGAGAGCTTGATAGATTTCAACTAGATGATGGTTCGATTAAATGTACAAATACCTTGAGTCTTTCCTAGACCCCATATGATGTCATTTGAGTTGAGATGGAATGTAGAACTCGAGCTTAGAGACCTTCCAAGCTGTGAAAAGTCACGATTTTATCTGCATTCGCAGGAAGTCAACATTGCAATACCTACAAAATCGAAGAGACAAGAGTGAAAGGGATTCAGACAATAACAAACGTCTTCCCCATTCCATGAAAGCATCATCGCAACATATTCCCAATAGACTTTCTCATTCCCTTGTTTTCTTTCTTAAGCGAGCCTTGGCAAAATCGCCACCCAATCCACTTTTCTCTTCACTAGCAGAAACTTCGTCCACCTCCATTCCATGTACATCAAACCTTAATCACGTCACCATCCCGGATCTCGGAATATCGTCCCAAAACAGTTGTACATATATTGTAAATTCTCCCTCAATCTACTATCCATCTCCTTCTCAAACTTCCAAAAAATACAGGAATACTACTACAGCAAAAACATGGCGGCACCATCCCCGCCAACAATGCGCGCCTGGCAATACAGCACTTCCTCGGCACCCCTCTCCCAAACCATCCACCTCAACCCCTCCGCTCCCCAACCACCATTTTCCTCAGATAAACCCCAAATGCTCATCTCCGTAACAAGCATGAGCTTCAATCCTGCCGACTACAAAATCGCCGAAATGCCACCCCTCATTAACGGCCTCATGGTCACCAAGCCCGCAACACCGGGCTTAGATTTCAGCGGGCGTATCGTCAAACTCGGTTCCCCAACAAATGTCTTTAAAGTCGGGGATCGAGTCTTTGGTCGATTGGATCCAGGACGATTTGGATCACTATGGGAGTTTGTCGTTACGGGTTATGAAGCGTGTGCGGTTCTTCCCGAGAAGGGATTGGATGAGGATCTTGCTGCGGGGGTAGGCACCGCGGGCTTGACTGCGTATCAGTGTATCGTGCCGAATGTAAAGGAGGGGGATAAAGTGTTTATTAATGGGGGGTCAGGGTCTGTGGGAGGGTTTGGCGTGCAGATTGCTAAGGCGGTGGGATGCCACGTTACGGTGTCTTGTTCGACGAAGAATGTGGAACTGTGTAAAGAGTATGGAGCAGACGAGGTGATTGATTATACGACTACGGATGTTACCAAGAATTTGGTTGAGGACGGGCTTGTTTACTCTCTCGTTGTTGATAATGTTGGGACTTCTCCGGCGGATTTGTACAGGCAGGCGGATAAGTTTCTCTTGCCTGGAGGTAAATTCATGCAAGTGGGCGGTAGCGCATCGCTTGAGACCGTTAGGGTCTTTATGAGCAGAATGTTGCTGCCCAAGATCCTAGGTGGTGGCGTTAGAAAGATCGAGGCGTATGTTACGAAGAATATTAGGGAGGATTTGGAACAGATCACTCAGTGGATTGTTGATGGGAAGGTCAAGGTGCCCCTTGAGCAGGTCTTTGAGTATGAAGATGTACCGAAAGCTATTGAGCTTTTGAAAAAGGGTGGTTGTAAGGGGAAAATCATTGTACATGTAGGGAAGTGAGGCTGTCAGAATTTAGTTGATACAGTACAAGATCACCGCGTTGAGGAAACGTCTGGCTCGATGAGGTATATTCTATCGCAATTTTTGCTCCGTATCAGAACAACAAATGTCCTCCTATGGATACCTCCCTACCATCGTTAAACAAAGCGAACTCGACAAACCGCAAGGCATCTAGCTTCAATACCTTTCCGGAGGCAGATAAAGCTCACCCGCCTCCATTAAACCGCTCTCACATCCTCCATCACTATCGCTACCAAGATGTCCATCACTGCTACAAAAAAAGTACTTATCACTATCCCCATCCCAATTTCCTTCTTCATCCTCCTCTTCATTGTATTCGTCGTCGTCAGTGTCCTCATAATCTGTATCACCATAGTACCCACCATGCTCCACATCCATGTGAGCGTAAATACTCTCTTTACTGAACTTTCCCCCGCAGTTCCAGCACCAATGCGCTCCACATTCCGGCACGGTACAAATTATGTGATCACACCCTCCAATCTTCTCCGTCATCGTCTCACACCCAGGACACTTCTTCACGCGCAATGCCGATTCCTCTCCCTCAGTGTCCGGCTCTCTACACTCATCACACGACCAATTCGTGACCTCAGCTGGAGCACCACCCATACAAACTCGTTCCATGTACCGCTTTGCATGACCACACTGGATACACCACGCAGAGATTCATTCACTGTTTTCCTCCACCGCAGTCTGTAGATTCCCAACTGCGTGAATACCCTTGCCATATTTGGCGAGCGTCGTCGCCATCGGATCACCCCGACAGTACGGACATGACAGAGCGGCGGTATTGATGATTTTGCCAGCAGCGTTCATGCCATACCAGCCACTCAAGCAACCCTTGCAGATCTTCTGTAGACATTCGGGTTGGACACATGCCCAGCGGAGATCGATCTCTATGAAATCGGAGAAGCAGAGGGGGCAGGTCTCGGATTTCAATTTTTGGGCGCTGAGCCATTGCTGCAGGTTGCTGATTAGACGGCCAGAAGATTTCATTTGGAAGAGGTTGGATTTTTGCAAAAGCGTTCTGTCCAGCTGCGGAAATTGTGTGGAACAGAGAGAGGGTGAGGTTTCTGCGGTTTTTTCGTTGTCGTTGCGCTATAGCCTTTCTCGACGCAAAGTGACTGAGATATTCTAAACCGACAAAGGACGGCCAGCTCGGAATTATAGTGAAAATTGAAGCTAAAATCCTGGAAACGACTCACAGCCCGGGTTGTGAGCAGACATTCCTGGTGATAGCCAAGGTGAATGTGTATTATGTATGGTGAATGCTCATACTGCTATGGCGTAGTCACTTGAAGTCGAACATATGACTCTGGCGGAGAATCTGATGTTCATTAACGCAACTGAAACTTGAGAAAGGGACCAGTTACTCACATTCATCCTTCCCATCCTTGTGAACTTAACCTATGATATCAAATTAGTACTCGCTGTAGGAATTAAGTAAAGTCTCGCACGCTTTGCAACATGTCAAGACCCATTCCAGACAATGTTTCTGTGTCATCGTGCAGATCCGATACGCTCGGCTTGATAGTAACTTGATAGTAGGAGACGAATTTCATTCCCAAAGTGTTGCTTCCGATTGCAACTCCTTTCATGTCGCACCAATCTGGGTCTTAAGAGATTTCCAGACTCATCTGCCTCTCCTGGGAAAACTCGCTTGTTCGGTTCTCGGATACATGATATGTCAACATCAGGCGGCGCACCACCGAGTAAGATTTCGGAAGAGATCCGAATTGACGAGTCTGGAAATGAAGTTTCCACAAACCCTGAGCACTTCGAAGGAGGGGGATCATCACCGCTAAGAACGGTACCTGGCACGTGACAGCACTTCCTCGGCGCATTGGTTGCCGAGAGCTTGATTTCGCTTGATCTCTCAAACTCTGGGGTAATTTTCTCCTTCCCTATTCATCCCTGACCCCCTCATATGTCTCCATCTCCGCATCCATCCATCCTGTGCAGTTCATCCGGTATGCGCGCCAACCATATTCAGGCACGGCCGGACTCTCTTGACCGTCTGATTGCTGGAAGAAATGCAATTATACTTCCCAAGTGGCAAGGAAGTGGGGTGAAGCATCACGTACATTACATTGACTTAGGGAGATGCTCGTCATGAAATGTCCCTCTAATGTAACCTTTGCTATACAGTTTAATTGCTATAAAACTAATGTTATGCTCACGAAAAAGCACAATGCAGTACCTCATCCAATTTGGGCACTTCCAAGCACTTGAGAATGCGTTTCTTGCACCTTCTTACTGTCCTTTCATCCCTTCTCTGGGGCGGAATCGCAACAGATAATGGTCTGACGAAAGCAGTAACATGGGATCCATACAGTTTGACCATCAATGGCAGCAGAGTCTTTATCTTGTTAGTCGCCAAGACCCAATTTTAGTAGTGATACTTACCGCTTTCAGCTCTGGGGAAGTCCACTATCAGCGCATGCCTGTGCCTGAGATGTGGTTAGACATCTTCCATAAGTTCAAAGCCAATGGTCTCAATACCATAAGGTACGTTGCTCTGCGAAGTCCGTAACTCCGCTAATATATGCAGTGTCTACTTCTTCTGGTCATACCATTCCCCATCGAAAGGCGTCTACGATTTCGAAACCTCGGGAAAGAACGTCCAAAAGCTATTCGACTATGCGAAAGAAGCAGGGCTTTGGGTGATCGCCAGAGCAGGGCCATACTGTAATGCCGAAACAAATGGTGGAGGATTGGCCCTCTGGGGATCTGACGGAAGCTTGGGGAACCTGCGGACCGGCGATGCAACATACCACGATGCTTGGTTGCCATGGATTACACAGATTGGAGAGATCATTGCCAGGAACGAAATTACAAAAGGAGGACCTGTGATCTTGAATCAGCACGAGAACGAGCTTCAGGAAACATCCCATGTAGCGACAAACACGCTGGTTATTTATATGGAGCAGATTAAGAAGGCATTCTTGGATGCTGGTATTACGGTGCCGTCAACACATAATGAGAAGGGCATGCGTTCGCAGTCGTGGAGTACGGATTATCAGGTACGTGCAATTTTCAAACACGAATGACTATCTGGATTGGAGGGAGAATTCCGAACTTCTGGTTGTTGTCCCTGGTAGGCAACACATACTGATTTTGTTGAAGAATGTCGGAGGGGCAGTAAATATCTATGCCCTCGATTCATATCCTGGAGGATTCTCATGCACAAACATCAACACTGGCTTCAACCTTGTCAGGAACTACTACCAATGGTTCCAAAACTACTCTTATACTCAGCCAGAATATTTGGCAGAGTTCGAAGCCGGGTACTTTACTCCTTGGGGCGGAAGTTTTTACGATGATTGTGCTGCAGAACATGATCCGGTATTTGCGGACGTATACTACAAGAATAATATAGGGCAGCGTATAACACTTTTGAGTCTGTATATGGCTTGGGGAGGAACAAATTGGGGTCATTGTGAGTATTTTCTTATCTAGGATACCGCCATTACTGACAAGTTTAGCCGCCGCTCCTGTAGTGTACACTTCCTACGACTACTCTGCCCCTCTTCGGGAAACTCGCCAGATTCAGGATAAGTTCTACCAAACCAAACTGATCAGTCTGTTCACGCGCGTATCAACGGACCTCCTGAAGACTGACATGATTGGCAACGGAACTGGATATGCAGTAAGTATTGGAATATCGGCCTGTGTGATGTCGCTAACAGTTCAGGTGTCTACACCATTAATCTGGACATGGGAGCTTCGAAATCCCGATACTGGTGCCGGGTTCTATACCGTACAGCAAGCAACATCCAAATCCAGAGACTCGACAACCTTCTCCGCGAATCTCAATACATCCGAAGGCGTCATCACCGTGCCAAATATCAATCTGGATGGTCGCCAAAGCAAGATCCTCGTTACCGACTATGTCTTTGGCAAGAACACCCTTCTTTACTCCTCAGCGGACGTTTTGACGTACGGTATCTTCGACGTCGATGTGCTTGCTCTTTACCTCAAGCCTGGTCAGGCAGGCCAATTTGCGATCAAGACTAGCACTGTAGACACCACACACAGCACTGAAGGAACCACTAAAGTCGCAGTCGAGTCAGTAAATAGCACGGTAACTTTCACTTATACTCAAGGCACTGGAAAGACTGTTGTCAAGTTTGGGAATGTGCTGATCTACCTTCTTGACCAACAAACGGCCTGGAAGTTCTGGGCTCCTCCAACAACACTCAACCCGGATGTCAAACCTGACGAGCAAATCTTTGTTTTGGGTCCCTACCTCGTCCGTAGTGCATCTGTATCTCATGGTGTTGTACATGTATCTGGCGACAATGACAACGCGACAACGATCGAAGTCTACACTGGAAATTCTGACATCCAAACGATCGACTGGAACGGGAAACGCCTACCCGCGACGAAGACATCCTATGGTTCAGTCACAGCACAAATCCCAGGGGCTAAAGATCGAACAATTTCTCTTCCAGCCCTTACAAACTGGCGCTCTAAGGATACTCTACCGGAAAAATTGGCATCGTACGATGACTCGAAGTGGGCTGTGTGCAATAAAAGTACGACTCTCAGTCCAGTCGCCCCTCTGACGAAGCCAGTGCTCTTTTCGAGTGACTATGGATTCTACACAGGCGCCAAGATTTATCGCGGGTATTTCACAGGCACAAACTTCACGTCCGTGGACATCACTTGTTCCGGAGGTCTTGCCTTTGGCTGGTCGGCGTGGTTAGATGGCAACCTCATCGGCGGCAACGTAGGAAACGCTTCGCTTACGACCACATCATCCATCCTCACCCTCCCCAAGGCGTCCCTCAAGTCTGGCGAAAATCTCCTCACAGTCGTCGTAGATTACCACGGCCACGACCAAACCTCCACCGCAAAAGGAGTCGAGAATCCCCGCGGAATCCTCGGCGCATCTCTCCTCCCCAACGCCACCAGCTCAACCGGCTTCACCCAATGGAAAATCCAAGGCAACGCCGGCGGATCAAAGAACCTAGATCCCGTCCGTGGACCCATGAATGAAGGTGGTCTGTACGCAGAACGTCTAGGCTGGCATCTCCCAGGCTTCACGCCGGACTCTTCGTGGGACCGTTCAGGCCCATCAACCGGTCTCAGTACCTCGGGAATCCGTTTCTACACCACTACATTCCACCTCAACATCGATTCTGATCTGGACGTTCCACTTGGTATCGAGCTCGGCGCTCCAGCTGGTACAGTAGCCAGAGTTATGATATGGGTGAATGGATACCAGTATGGGAAATATGTCCCTCATATTGGACCGCAGACCAGGTTCCCTGTTCCACCTGGTGTGATTAATAATAGGGGGTTGAATACTGTTGCCCTGAGTCTTTGGGCTATGACAGATGAGGGCGCGAAGCTGGATACGGTGAAGTTGATATCTTATGGTGCGTATCAGACGGACTTTGTGTTTAATAAGGATTGGAGTGCTTTGCAGCCGGGGTGGGATGAGAGTCGTTTGCAGTATGCTTAGACTTTGACGACGAGTGAGAAATAGATATACATAGAATCACTCAGCTTCTTCACTTAGACTGTATCCATGAGCGAGCGGCAGCCCCTCAAGCCCCTCTCGCTTATCTTGTTTACCTGCACACCGGAGAGTAATACTCAAACGGGAATTAGCATTGGGAAACACTTCGCTCTCAAAATCTGCTTGCAAACTCATGAACTTCAGATTTAATTCCCAAGTCTGTGAATTCAGTGCATTCCAACTCAAATCCAATATCAAAAACCTCCCACCGTCTCACCTCCCGCTCAAAAAAGCGGTGTCCGTCCGTCCAACCCACTACCCACTCGCTTACACCCCCCTAAAACTCTTCCCTCAAAAAATTTTCACCACCCGCATCCACCTCCCCCCCTTTCCCATCCACATCCATCCACATCCACACCAGGTTCTCCACCCCAATCCAAGCCACCCCACTCCGAAACCACACTTCCTGTAATCTACCCAAATAAGCACTTTCCCTCCATCAAATCACAAAAACATCTACCCTGCCCGGGTAGCTCAATCGGTAGAGCGTGTGGCTCTTATGAGATATACATCATCATCTGGACACCTCAAGGTCGTGGGTTCGAGCCCCACCTCGGGCTCAATTCCCGAGGTTCTTCGTTGAGAAGAGCTTCTATTCTTTTTTTTTAATTTTTGTGATTATTTTTGTCGTGGGTGTGGGAGAAGTGGGACGAAATTTGGTCCAGCGAGACCTCTGGTTTTGGTTCTATATTTTCCCCTGAAGATATGTGTATTTTGGTATATCTGACATCATTGCTTATGCGTTCTCCCGTCCGAGGCTGAGTTGTGGTTGGTAGACACTGTGCGAGTGTTTTTATTTTTCTTCTCTCCCGAAGTAGTGCGTGCGTTTGTCCTCTGGTAAGCGAGGAAGAATAAATACGGGGCCGAAGTGCCACTTCCACTTCCTACGAGCTACCCAACTCACTTACCTTACATCTTTCTTCCACTACAAGTCTCTAATCGTCTCAAGTGCTAGGTATTTAGAACTCACTCCCTCAATCTAGGAACTATCCAAGTTCTTTTCTCATTCTTCTGCATTTTCTGCCATAGCAATTTACAGCTAGCAAACTAATTGGTCATTTGAATGACTGATTAGCTTGATGATGTAAGACGTGAAAAAAGTGTTAGGAAGAAAAAGGAGGAGCACCTAACTCTCCTCTTTACATGAATTTGGAGAGCTTGGATTATCCAAAAATAAGTAAAACAAGGGTCAGTTTTTGAGTGGTGCTCGTCTTCATCGTGCCATGAGAAACCCACCATAGCTATATGCACATCCAGGAGAAATCGCTAGACGGATCATGGCAAAGTCGTAACAGCCAGAGTCGTCTGTCTCATTGCACATGCGAACAGGTGAAAGATTGATTGAGCAAAAGCTAGTAAATCATCATCTGTGATGTATTACGATCCTCTCTAGAATACAAGTTCCACGAAGAGAAGTAATCGCTCTATCCTCCATTCCATCCATCTACCACATGCTCCCTTACAAGTACAATCCCTCCGGCTCGCCCTCAGTCTTCGTCTTCAAGACACGCTCTCTAGCAGCTCTGAAATCCGCCATCTGGACACGCATTCTGCGCTCTCTCAAAGCCATCAGACCAGCCTCAGAGCAAATAGCCTTGATATCCGCACCGGAGAGATCGTCCTTTTGGTTGATGAACTCCTCCAAATCAACATCTTCGTTCAGAGACATCTTGGATGTGTGTAGAGTGAAAATCTTGCGCTTGGTGACTTGATCCGGGTTCTCGAAGAGGATCTTTCGGTCGATACGTCCGGGACGGATGAGCGCAGGGTCGAGAGTGTCGATCTTGTTTGTGGCCATAATCACCTTCACGTCTCCTCGGTCATCGAAACCATCCAGTTGATTCAAAAGCTCCAACATGGTTCTTTGAACCTCCTTCTCTCCTCCAGATGTAGACTCGTATCGCTTGGTACCAATTGCATCGATTTCGTCAATGAATACAATCGAAGGAGCGTTCTCTGCAGCGACCTGTTCTGGGTTAGTGGCGAATATAGTAGAATCCGTAGATGCATACCTGGAAGAGTTGTCTGACAAGCCGTGGCCCATCACCCAAGTACTTCTGAATCAACTCACTACCCACGATACGCAAGAAAGTCGCACTTGTTTGGTTTGCAACTGCCTTTGCGAGCAGAGTCTTTCCTGTACCAGGCGCTCCGTAGAGAATAACACCCTTCGGAGGCTTGATACCCATCTCCTCATACAGCTCTGGGTGTAGAAGTGGTAATTCGACCGACTCCCGGACTTCCTGAATCTGCGACTCCAGACCACCGATATCCGCATACGACTCGGTTGGGGCCTTATCCAGCTTCATCACCGTAACCAGAGGATCCGCATCATCGGTAAGAACACCAACGATGGACACAGACTTGTGATGAAGTAAGACGCTCGCACCGGGTTCCAACAGATCCTTATCGACGAAAGACATGATGGACACGTAGTATTCGGGGCCGGTTGTGCTGGAGACAATCGCATGATCATCATCAATCATTTCCTCCAAGGTTCCTACACCCATCGGACTACCTCTCATATCATCAACTCTGCCACGCTCATCGGCATTTCTGTCCTGAGCCTCCGGATCACTGGCGGCAGATACTGGGGCTCCTCCTTCCTTCGCAGCTTTTGCCTTTCGTAACCGTTCTTGATTCTCAACGTATTCTTCTTCCAGAAGCAGATGATCGTGAATTCGTTGCATTCGAAGATATCTCAGCTTGCATCGTGAGGTAGGATAGACGGCAGGGAGTTTGGCAGAGGCATTTGGGCCAGCCGCCTTGCGCTTCTTGCGACCGATTCTAGTTGTTGGCCGTGGTGGTGGCTCGTACTTGGGCTTCTCCTTCTACAGCGAATGATTAGTATCATTGGGTCTATCATGCCAAGCAGTAATCCTCTACCTTCTTGTCCTTCTCATCTTTGTTGTCTCCGCCTTGACCAGCTCCTCCGAGCCCGGACTGTTGATTTCCCTATGATATTGTCAATAATGATCTTCGGCCCAATGTTTGAGAAGCCTACCATCGTACCTGCAGCTGTTTCTAACGCTGCTATGACAGGAAGTGAAGGCTTGATGTATCGAAGAGACTCGTCTGGTCTAATCGATGAGTTGAGGTTGTTGGAAGGAAAGGTGTATGGTAATTCGGTGTTTGTAATGGAAGGGGCGCCAGCTTGTAGCTCAGCAGGCGACAGAGACGCGAATGGCAGCTCGGATCTGCGCTAAAAGTGCAGCCTTGTTGCCAGCCTTAGGAGTAAGGCATAATATCGGGACTGTGAGGCATCCAGCCCCAGCCGGGATCGATAAATCACAGCCTCGAATTACTGAGGAGCTGCAACATTCACTGGAACCACGTTGAGACATCGCCCACCTTCGGCCATTTCCAAGAAAGAGAAGGGGTTTGACATATGTCTGGTAATACAACAGTCTCATTCTAGAGCCGCCACAAAAGATTACAACTTCTCAACCTGTTCTTCAAAGCTACTCGAATTGCCCAGAGTACCCCGCCAGCACAACCCGCCCCACGGTAAGGCTTCCTACAGACTGCCTTGCCAGCACCTTTCCCTATTTCCTCACTCTGCGATACTATATACTTCCTTCGCTTTGTTCTCAAGTTGTTCTGACATATCGCAGAATTTGAAAGTTTGCTCTGCTAAAGTTTTGTCCTGTCGATTGCCCGTTCCATTCCCGACCCTCTGGACTTCCCGACCCACCATCTTGGGGTTTCCTTCGAGCTTTATTCGAGTAAGACCTAGTCTTAAGAATAACATTAGACACCTCAAACCGACACTTGAACCAGATTGCCTTCCAAAGTCGCTTCACAACCCACTATGGCATCCAACAGACTTCGAAGAGTGGCCAAGGAGTTGGCAGACATCCAGAATGATACCCAATCCAAGATATTCTGCGAGGCTGCAGACGGAGATCTTTCACATCTACACGCGTCCTTCCCAGGCCCTCCAGATACTCCATATGAAGGTGGGACTTACGTCGTGGACATTACAATCCCCAATGAATACCCATTCAGGCCTCCAGTCATGAAGTTCCAAACGAAGCTGTGGCACCCCAATGTTAGCAGTCAGACAGTGCGTATAACTTGATCCTTTGGAAGATTGGGGAACTAAGAACAATGTAGGGCGCCATCTGTCTCGACACTTTGGGAACAGCTTGGTCACCAGTCCTCACAATCAAATCCGCCCTTCTTTCCCTCCAATCTCTCCTCAGCACACCCGAGCCCAAGGACCCACAAGATGCAGAAGTAGCGAGCATGCTCATGAAGAACCCAGAACAATTCCAGAAGGTTGCAAGAGAGTGGGCAATCAAGCATGCTTCAGCACCGAAGACTACACAATGGGAGGTTACAGCAGCTTCGCAGCCTGCTTCATCCAAGCCAAAAACACAAAAGGTTCTGTCTCGGGAGGAGGAGGAGAGGATCCTTATTGCCCGGTACGAGTCCATGCCGAAGTTTAAAGACTCCGCTAATATATGTGTAGATATCAAGGATACAACCGAGATCTGATCGACAGATTTGTAGCCATGGGGTTCGAATTAGACCGTGTCGTTGACGCATTCAATTTCGTCAGCATTGACCGGAATAACGGCGAGGACTACGAGCTTGAGGAAGCATACATGGGAGACATCACAGCCAGACTCTTGGGCGAACCATGATTTGTTATGAAAGGAACCTTGACTTGTGTGGCACGAATGACCGTAATGAAATCACTGGCAGGTATGCATGCATCGGCTCTGGAGTCTGGAGATTGTTGCTACTGGAAAGCAGCATGTGGAATTGGCAAAGGCGTACGGTATGGACGACGAAGGTCTGAATTAGGCGTAATTCCAACTCGTCGAATTCGTTGTGTTTAGATGCATGTCTTCATTATTAGCACACCTCGATTTCTTGCAAATCTTACAACCGTCAGCTGACAAGTGCTTCACCCTTGCGGAACGTTCAAGTCCAAAGACAACCAAAAATATTCATATACCATACCATCTACGCAGCTAAGGGTTCCAATAGTGTAAGCTTCAAGTACAGTGTTGCCCGTCTGCCAAATAACCACCCAATTTCCACTCCTCCTCATACTGAAAATGACATCACTTGCCCCCCATACTTGACGATTCCCAAGATCCCAGATTGGACGTGCAGTACAAATACGTCAGTTTCTGGAGTGCAGTGGGAAGAACAGGGCCTAGGAAGGACCTCGAGTGGTGGAGAGGTGTAGATACACATTTCCACGGAAATGCGTGAATAAGACATAGCGTCAGCCTGCCATTTTCCCTTTTTATTTTGTGAATGTTTTTGGTATTTGTGGTTAGTTTCGGCTTTGTTTTGATGTTGAAGCTAGAGCTGTTAATGGTAATTTTCGGCTAAGCATAATGGTCTGCTATAGATAATTGATGACCAAGGTAACGGAGACAATGAGTGTCAGATATATTCTCCCTTTACGATCTCCTCTCATTTATTTCACTATAGCTAATTATCTTCTGAGGTGATGGAAGCATCATAGAATTTATTTCCAAGTCTTCGCTGCATATCTAGTGATTGATTGAGTCTTATTTACTTCAGAACTCATCTGTTAGATCTTCCCTGGTGCCTCCCTTTGAGATTAGTCTGAGCAGTCTCCAATCTATGGGGACGCTCAAAAAGAAAACGAGACGCGCAAATGACTGGTAGTTGGGTCTGTCCTTGATAGTTTGTTCCTGTCACTGAACCTGTCATGCCACAAGAGAGCTTCCACCAACTGGCCAAGTCAACAGGAAATCGCTTTTTTGATTGGCTTACTTGAAAGAATAGAGTATAAGAACACATACCTTATCTATATAAAACCTTGTACTTTCACAGAAAAGCTTCATCATCCCCCACAGCCACCACCAACCAAAATCCAAAAGTGAATTAATTCCTCCTCACCTCCACCATATAAACACCTCAGCAACACAACACAACTCATTCCCAAATTCACGGTTCCAACCCAAGCCCCCTCAAGTAGCGAGATAAGTTACTCTCCGCCATCAATTCCATGACGTCACAGTGGTCGGCTCACCGACTGCTTGGCCAGAATTGTGAAGACGTAGTAGGTCCGGTTTTCCGGACTTTGCGAACTTCAAAGGTATGCGGAGGGCTGTTTATATCGATTCGTCGGTATACTCAGTCGCCGGAATATATTTTGGGTTTCATTCTAACATTCTTCCCTTTTTCTTTGGCTTTGAAGTTGGACAGCAAGACTTGAGTCTCCAAGTAATTTTGGATGTGAGAGGCTAGAAGGCCTTGTTGTTATTCTTTTGTCTTTCTTTTTGGCATCTGCTTGTTGCTGATGTGTTTGTTTTATTACCGAGATGAATTAAGCGAGAGGCGGCGGTGTTGATTCTTCCAGTGTCTCATTACCTGGACTACTGCTGATTACTAGATCGATACCTCCACTTCTATCAATGAAACTCACCCCGAATTCACCAGTCAGACACGTGAGCAAGTGTATGCTGAAGATAACAGCGGAACTCTCATCAACATATCCCACCAACGGAAGCATTATTTTATCTATTTTAATAGGCACCAGCTTTGCAACCTGTTTCCGATTGCCATCATGAACCAAGACAAAAAGATTTGTCGTAAAATACAGTCTCATGCGTAGTATACGGAGGTAGTCGCATATCTGACGTGCGAAGACAGAGTATTCGTAAAAGCGAGGAAGCTCTACAAATTTTGTAAGCTTGATGAGCGGGACGACTAATGGTACGTCCGTCATCATCCAGGGCCACGACTACTTCTTTTAGGCTCTCTAGACTGTGAGAGTTGACTGAAGAACCGTTCGACATCTATCCCACACATCAGTTCAACTCTGTGGGAATCATAACACAGAGAAACTTCAGCTTGGACATACAACTGAATGTCTTGAATATCAACAAGTAAGCTCTTAGCCTTGTTACAAATGCTGGTAATGTCGCCCGGCCCTTGCGCCGATGACAAGCATTGGTGTCGAAGCAGTCGTCAGGATCTGAGTTGAGATGTATAGAGAACAAGGAACTGAATGCTAGGAAGTCAAAGAAGAAGCAAAGCTAGGATCGGGCGTGAAGGTCGAGATATCGTGAGCTGTGTCGGCCTGTTACATCGCAGCTGCAGAGCCTTGGCGCCCGACTGCATGCTGGATGCACGTCACAATATACATTAGGCGGACTTACATCGCACTCGACAACTCACGAGGCTGCGTCTTCCAAGGGGGAAAACACACTCGAGAAAGATCAAACGGAATGAGCTGTCATCGCGAATGACTCGATAAGTACTTGGAGAGGATGGGGAAAGGAGAGGATGGAGAAAAGAAACGAGCTCGAAACCCGCCTGGAAACGGAAGGAAGGAAGGAAAGAGCAGGAGCAGTACACGCAATGTCAAGAATGAAGAAAGAACTACCTATCCCAGCTGTATACAACACTCTGGCTGATCAGTCCTGCCAATGGTTAACAAACATGTCCGCCCCATCCACATTCAACCCATGGACCCGACTTGAGAGCGCAACTCAACGTACTAAACGCGTATGCTCAAATTAACACATGCGCATCGCATCGCATCGCATCGCATAGGAAAGCACAACAAACTCCTATCTCAAGCACAAATCATAACAGTGCGTCGTTGTTCACGTTGTTGTTGATCCCCATTCCCACCACCCCTCAAAAAACGATGTCCCTCCTGAATTCTAACCATCCCCAATTTTAAGCGAGCCGGTGTAAAGGTGAACTGAATGCGACATGCAACAAAATCTCGTACCCCCCCTGTCTTCACCCTCACACCCCTGCCCTACCCACCCAATCTAAGCGTCTTTGGGACCTAGCGCCGGGAAGAGGTGGGGCTATCCGCTTGCCCCGCCTTTTTGAGGGTTCCATCCCGTCCCTCGCACTGGAGTCGAGCTGAAGGCGAGTGTGAAGCCGGTTCAGGTTTGGCGTAGGGAATGCAAGAAGAGTAGAGTTCTTGAGACAAAACAAAAAAAGGAAAGAAAGAGAGCATTTGAGATGTGAGATGATGGGTTGTGATATTTCGATTTCACAGCGAGCGCTCAATGCTACCTAGCTACTAGGTTGGGTAGGTACATAAACTTAGTTAAACAAAGCAAACCTCGATCTCCCCAGCAATGTACGAAATTCCAAAACAGAACAGAACATTTACCTCCTCGAAACGCAGAATATAAGACATCTTATCTTGTCTTATCTTGATTGATTGAATGATTGATCCACCCATCCCTCCCCTCTATCCTTCGTTGAAATACTCTGGTCTGGTATAGCATGGTAGAGTCTGGTATGGTGTGGTATGGTGTAGTAAGTGTAGTATGATATGATATGGTATGGTATGGCTATAATACAAAGTTACAGACTCTCGGTCGTACACTTTTCCCTTTTTTCACTTTCCCTTTTCCTCTCGCATGCCCTCATTCCCAAAGCCGTGCATGCATGCATGAATGAATGCCCCCCCCGCTAGAACTCACCACCCACCCCGTCCGCCGCCCTTGAAGCATGCATGCAAGCGAAATCCGTAAATGCAAAATGCAGATATAGTTGCCTCCGGATCATATCAATGAATCAATCGCTAGCCACCCCCACCCCCACCCCCACCCCACCCCTTGGGTCACCGACTTGAGATGCCCGTCTCCATGCTTTGCTTTTGCCCTTGGCCTTGGTGTACTTCCTCTGCACCATCCATAGCCATATCAACATCATACCCAGCACCATTCCCATTCCCATTCCCATTCCCATTAACCGCCTCCCCCCACCCCTCCCTCTCCCCCTTCCCCTCCTCATTACCACGCACCGCCATCTCCAGCGCCATCGCCTCCTCATTCTCCCTCATAAGGTCCTCTTCCTGCCTCCTCAACTCCCTCTGCTCCTCACTTTCCTCCATCACAACATTGCCATTCCCATCCAACCCCTCCTCATCTCCACCCATCACAGCATCAAGCTCCCCCTCAACATCCAACAGTGGTATTCCCCCCGCAGGAGGTGGCGGCGGCGGCGGAGGCGGGCTCTCCTCCTCCTTTAAACGTTTATTCGAGTCTGAGAACGAGTCATCACCAGCACCAGTCCCAGTCCCTCCTGGAGTCTCATCACCATCGCCATTCTCGTCGTCGCGTTTACGTTTGAGATCTGAGTTTGAGCCAGAAGCTGAAATGGAAGGCGTAGCAGGGAGAGATGAAGGCGGTGCATCGAGCACGGTAGGCGATAAATCACCAACTGGGTCCGGATCTTGGTCCTGATCCTGATCGTCCTCTTCATCACCCGCTTTCCCGTTCGTTCCAGATGCAGAAGCAGACGCCGATCCATTAACTCCCGATCCATTCAAAGCAGCCTTCTCAGCCTTCTTTTTATCAAGAATCTTCTTCTTCTCCACCGCCTTCTCGAAGAAATCACGAACATAGCTTTTGACTTTCTTTTCTTGTTTCTCCGAGATCTTAGTTGGGTCTTCGACGCGGTTGTTTTTGAAGTCGGAGGCGACGAGTTTCTTGGCGACTTCTTTGGCGAACTTCTTGAGGTCTTCTCGGGGGAGTTGTTTGGAGAATTTTTGCATTACGTGTTTGATATGTGGGAAGAGCTGGTATTGTGTCAGTTTGAATTCAGCTAACATGGGCGAGAGAGCTTACGGTATTTTCATAAAGCTTCATCTGTTTTTCTTGAGGAAGTGCACGCCATTTCTCAGTCGGCTTCTTTTCTTTTGGAGTTGAATCGCCAGTGGGTATTGACTGGGTTGGAGTTTTTGGATCGGGTTTCGTGATGCTATCAATAATATCTTGAATGGCTCTCGCAGTTTGAACACTTTTCGGGGGAGCTTTGGGTGGTGGAGGTGGCTCAGGAGCTGGGAAATTAGGCCTTACCCAGGTTGTTTGACCGGATTTGCTATAATAATATGCATTTCCTTTCTCATCCTGGGCCTGAAACCACCCTAGGGGTAATGCATTGGGTGGTCGTCGGAATGGAGGTCGTGCAGCGGCAAAATTAAGGTTCCTCTGAGGAAGATTACTTCGTGGTCCAGTAGGAGCGACGATTGCTGGGGTCGCAGGCGATTTGGTGACATCCTCTGATCGTTTTGTATTTCGACGTTCAAAGATCGGTACAGCGTTCGGGTCGAACTTTTTTCTAGGTATGCGGTAGGCGACCTCCAGCTTGCTCCAGTCTTCCAAGAGTCGCTTAGCTTCGAATGCTACATCCTCATGTTCCGAATCCACAAGGGTCTCAATCGTCGCCTCGATTTTGGAGTCGCTGATCTTGTTGCGAGTGAGCCGGGGGAATTTATAAAGAATGTCGAGGATTTGTAGGATGACATTGTTGTCGTCTTTCCACGTGGTCAGGGTGGTTCGTAGAATCTGGTAGCCGTGCATCTGCACCACTCGGTTCCGAACTCGATCGTCATCGCAGCGCTGGATACGGCTGAGCAATTTGACGGCAATCCACTTCTCCTTACACTGCATGAGCGTGGCCATGACTTTCCGGACACCCTCTTCATCGAGACCTTTAGGCTGGACATTATTAACGTATTCCTCGTCGTCTTCGCCAGTCTTCTTCTTTCGGGGCTTCTTGGCGACCGCTGTATCCCATCCATCTCCATCATCAATTCCCAGCGCTTCGATCGTGGCATGAGGCAATTTCGTGGCACGATCAGTCTGCGTCTTGCCACCGATGAAGCCTGTACAGTTTGGCTCACCGCAATAGCAGGGTTGAGGGTCAGCACCGTATCGGTCCACATTGTAGTTGAAGACCAGCTCCTCGCCGGCTTTGATGTGTCGCTCGGCAAAAATGCCCATGCGCAACTTCTCCCCGACAACCCATTTGTCCACGTAGCAATTTGGATTGCAGGAATGGTTGCAGAACCGCCCGAGATTGCCCTTTTTTGTCGCATCGACGAATTCGTGCTTCGTGAGGGACATGAAATAAAAATGCTTGATGCCTTCATCGTTGTATTGTTGGGTTCGCCTTCGAAATGTCGGTTCGTTGATGACTTCGCCGAGATACTCAAAAATAAATGTGTCAGCGTTGAGATCAACGTTTGCACGCAAACCGTAGCCCTTCTTCTCAGTCTTGAAGACCGAGACGTTGGCGTATTCTCTCTGCTGAAACCGCTGGTTTTGGCACCCCGAGCCACAATTACAATCTCCGTCCACACACTCCATTTTAGTCGCACGGTTGATGCAGTCCGAATCTTCGCCACATGCCTGATTTTTGCCATTGCCTGACCCCATCAGTACAGCGCCGATTTGGGGGAATGAAAACACTCACTCCATTGTTCTGAGCAGTCACAATCCAGAGCATCATGTTCAGAGGATCCCATATGCTTAGATCCATAAATACAGTCCTTGATTACCTGAAATACCGTACATGCTTCCTCTGTAGAATCTGGCACGTCATCGAAGAGAATTGGTGGTCGAGATATTACCTTCTGTGACGATTTCCTTGACAATTTTGGTGCCTTCCCAGGCTCAACCGTAACTGTGATGTCGCCAGAAATAGTCTCTTCCTCCTCCTCATCTTGCGATTTCGGTGTTTGGCTTGCGCTCCCTTTCTGTGACGGAGATTGTGATGTAGATTGCTCTATGGCCGGAGTCGACGAGCGTGACCTCTTCAGGTAGCTTGGTGTGGAAGACTCCTCATGCTTGCCATTAACCATGATTGTATCTTCCTGGTCCTCTGGTGACCCGTCTCCATGGAGCTTCATCTCCCCAAGCGCAGCGTCTACCGCTGCTGGTTTTACGTCTCGAGTGTCGTCTGCCATTATTGTGATGCTTCTCAGCGGACGTCCGTGGATCTGCAGGAGTGGTTGCTCTTGAGTATGCCCTCACTTCGTTCTAGCTTGATGTTGGGTGCCGCAATGGATTCCCCCACAATTGTCCACGGCTGGCCAGATGCTATTTGTAATACTGGTAATATGTGCAGTGGGCTCTGTCAATCGCGAGGACCTTTCTGTTGCTAGGAGGATGCGAAATCAAAAGAGTGGTTGCGCCTCGCTGTGTTGTGCCGTTGAAGGGATGGTGGAGACAACGAACGGCGCGATTTGCGACGGAGAGTGTATTCGTGGTAGTCGAGGGAGCGGAGCTGCTGGCAGACGCACACATGAAGCGCAACCTCGAAGTGAATGACTTGGGAGAGTTTCGGGGACGAACAGCGGAGGACGAAACAAGATGGTCGCGAAATGATGCAGTAGAAATGGACGAAGAATACAGTAGCGCGCCTCTTTACCTCGTCCACATTCTCTCGTCTCCAAGCCTCGGATTGCCTTTTGCTCGGTTGTCCCGCGCTCACATATTACTTTTCACTAGGATGCCCTCTCGCCCGTGCCAGTCGTTCAGAATATCAATTGCTATGAAGAAAGATGAAGATTGTAGGTAGATACAGTTTGGAGAAGCAAGCGCCGGAGTTTACCGAGCTTTCCCCATGCGACAAAAGTGCGCTTTCCACAATCTGACAGATATCTGGCTTGTAAGTGGTTTTGTAGCAATTCTGGAGAAAAAAATATCCTCTGGACTCTGGTGGTCGTTTCCAGACTATGTTCTTAACAGCTTGACCATGCGACAGCAGTGTTTACTGAGTAAGAAAGAGCCTCGGCGTCCAACATCCCTGCCTCCATCCCTCCCGATACATGTATCCCAAGATAAATACCACTTACATTAATTGCAGTATGATGAGTACTCCATGGCAGGTTTCGGCATAGCTGATGTATGTTCGTGTTCGTGGCTCTCGTGTATGTTTTGCGGTGGCCATATGGCATTCCAGCCAGTCCATCTGACTGTGCTCCGCCTTCACGATCGCCTTGAACTGGCAGCACCGTCTCGGCTTGTTCTCGTCGAGGAGGACATCATGAATGCTTCAGAAAGAAGTGGTATGATCCGCAACTTCGATAAATCGATTTGAGCAAACCCTTTGTCCTAGCCAACATGCCTCCGAAAATGTTGACTGTGCCCGCAAGCAGTATTCGAATAAAGAGGATCAGGCTTCCAGTCCGTATTCCATGTAGATTGTAGTTGCCAACACAGATTTTGGCCACATCGCATAGACCTTTCGAAATCATTTGGTGTGAAGTGTCGTGGTTTCTGGCTTGCATCCTGTAGCCCAACAGTACCTGACCGCTTCTTGCCAACAGGCGACCATCTGCATACTATCTTTCCAAAACTACACACTTATGGCTGATCGGGTAAAGGGAACGAGTAACTGCATACATTCCGCCTGTCGGTAACGTCAGCGATGAGAATGGTGATGATCGGGTGGAGGCATAGGCATATTTCCTCCCTATGAAAGATTGACAGCGCATTCTGCAGAATTGGCGCGAACTTTGCTTGCCCCACTGATTTCTAGTATATGAAGGCCAGGACCGCGACGAAGAATAGATTGCGGGCGGGGCTGTCCATTGTTTGAGATTCTGCGCTTCTTTGAAGTTTGTTGCGATGTTGCCAGTCTGCGAAGTCGGGGTCTGGCATCTGGTCGCATATGTTTTGCGCTGATGCGCTTCTGTTTGCTCTGCATCCCCTACCACCCCGCCATAGCCAACGGAGTTGCTGCTGTCGAAGTCTTCGGTGACCATGCAGCGATTCCTTTCTCTGATGTCTCGATGATATTGCGGCTCAAAGGCGGATTGCGCGAGCGGACGAACTGCCAGCCTTATGGAGTTGATCAGTGGCCGAACGATTGGAGATGGCACGGTAGTTTGCGATCTCTCAAGGTCCGCTAAGGGCTTCCACGGCACTTCTGGGTGGTGATTGGCCTGTCGCCAGCCGAACCTGTCCAATCCTCAGTGGTGGAAATGCTTGTACGGGCTGCCAGCGAAGCAAACAGTGGCGGCCAATGGAGAAAGCGACCGACTCCCCTGGATCCAAATTCGACGACACTCGTGCTTCTCACGGGACCATCGTGGGGGAAAAAGGGAGGAAATGGAGGGCAGAACGAGAAGGTTGGCGAAATTGGAGCTGCAGGGCGAAATGAGGATGAGTGAGAGTTGCAGTTGCAGTTGCAGTGGCAGCTGCTGCCGGGCGGGACAGGATAGGGTGGGACCGTGGGAGTCTGGGAATTGCCGCCGGCGAGACGAGCAGCAGGCTTGGGCTTGTGCTTGTGCTTGTGCTTGTGCTTGTGCTTGTGCTTGTGCTTGTGCTTCTGGAGCTGGAGCTTGAGCTTGAGCTTGAACTTGTCGAGCTTCTGGTTAGCCGTTCGCTTCTCCCAGTCCAGTCCCAGGCATATCATCTGGTCTGTCGGCCCCCGTTTGCACTCGCTGGATTGGACGTCCAGCAGGCAGTATGCACCTGGTGCAGCGTGCATCATGCACGTCTTCAGCGTAATTTACTGCTGCACTACAGCATGCCGACCCGACTTTCAGTGGATTCCAGTCTGGTTTGGGCTTGGTTTGGGTTTTTGATCTGGTCTGGTCTGGTCTGGTCTGGTCTGCACCCTGATCGTTGCTGAGCTTCTTTCCTGTTCTGCGATTTTGCACTACCACTCCCACTCCCACTCCCACTCCCACTCACTCACTACCTCCCCTTCCCTTCCCTTATCCTGCCATCGGGGCTTCTTCCTCGCCCGCTTCCTCCCCCATGGTACACCTCCTACCTAGTACCTACTCTCCCCCTCTCTAGCCGACCTTCCTACCTACCTTACTTACCCGCTCCTTTGACGCTGGTTTGACGCTCCAGGCGACCTGTCAACCGGTCCGAACCTGCCATTTTACTTTGTACTGGTACAGTACCTGTTCTGTCCTACTCAGTCTACACTATCCTGCTCTGGTTCAGGTTCAGGTTCAGGTTCAGGTTCTGGCCCACCTACTACCCAGGTATCCTTCTCGCAACCTCCCTCGTCAAGTCCTTGCGCCTTCGCTCTCCTTTTCACCCCTCTGTCCCTCACCCAGTGGCCCATTTCGAGGCCCATGCCACTATCTCTTCTACCTTCCTTCGTACAGAACATTGCCTACTTAGTTGCATGTCCTGCTACCCGACCCTCTTTTGACCTCCCCGCCGGCCTCACTCTTTCCCACGGCGACCCGTAACGACATCAGACGATCACTCGACCGACTCCACGCTCCCTACAGTGCTTCGAGAGTGATAGAGACCCAGAAAGATACTTAATGCCCTATAATTCGCCTCTCCCGCCGACCCTCCTCCCACCCCCTCTCTCCTTCAATATCGTGCGCCAGTTGCTCCACTCCTCCTCTACGCATCTTTCTCTTCGAGTCCTATCAGTATCAGGCCAACAAGATGGACAACCAACCGTTTTCAGACGAAGAAAAGGTACGTGGATGATTTGGTGCGGTCTATACTACAGGAGTTATGGAGTCGTCGCTGTCTGATACTCCAGGCGCAATCGTTCCCTATCTTTGCGCCTAAAACTAATATGCCCCCGTCTATAGCGCTTTGTCCTCGCAGAAGCCATCAGGACCAGTCAAATTCCACTGGAGAGACTCTTCGCCTTTCTGAATGACAATTCCTCAGTCCCAGCGTGGGACGATATGCTGGTTCCTCGTGGTAAGTTTGTCGTTGATTTTCAGCAAAACTTCCGAAGCAAGGTTCCCCAGATCGCGAATCGATATCGCGGAACAACACACAGACATTGTCGGGACTTTGACCTATATATCGGACCATTTATTAGATTGCTGACTTCTAGAACAGGACGAAACCTAAAACAATGTAAAGACGCGTTCGAAAGTCTTCGCTTTAGTCCTTCGGCGCCAATGTTCCAGCCCCATATCCAGAGTCAGAGTCATGGTCAAAGCCAAAGCCATAATCTTGCTGTCCCGAATTTAAGTGCGACGAGCTCTGGTATCAAGCGCAAGTCAGCTCCTGGAGCGATGGAACCCTTTTTTCCTGCCGCCGGCCCTCCAGCAAAGCGACGACAATCTAGTGGTGATCCTGTTTCAATTGCGCGCGATATACGTCCCAAGCCTTCCAATGGTTCTCCTCTGTCCACGACGTCCTTTCCGACTCAAGAACCAAAAAAGCGCGGTCGACCGTCTAAGAAAGATGTTGAGCGCAAACAACAGGAAGCTATTGCACGAGGGGATATTCTGCCGCCGGCGACTTCTATGGGATACCAAATGCAAGGAGAGGAAGTTAGTGTTCCTGGTTATGCGCCAATCCGTCCAGCGGTAACTCCGACTCCCCAGTATGCGCCGAGTCCAGGAATACCAATTGAGAGAGAACTTCCCGAGCGTGCAGGATCACCAGGGGAAAAAAGACGACCGAAAGCCACTCCAAAAGCTTCTAAGGTATGTCATGAAGTTGTAGTGGTGGAAAATGCTAATTTCCTGAAGGCTACTCCCAAACAACCAGGAGAAGGTAGTTTTAAGGTCAACCCAACCATTGGTTCCATGATAGAACATGAAGAACCGGTTGCGCCGACTTCAATAGCAACTTCAGCTGCTATTCCGGTAACAGGTCCGGTCGAGGTTGCTACTTCAGCCCCAATTAGTTCACTGGTTGCGACAGCAGCACCTCCACCTCCACCTCCAACATCAACAACACAACCACCACCCGATACATAATTCATTTTCTTAGAAGAAACTTAAACGCCGTCCACGTTAATTCATTCTTCTTGCCCTTCAATATACTTAACGAACCTGTTTTCTTACGACGGGACTCGATCCATTAGACGCTTCTTAGAGTTTACGCCTTCAACGATCGCATTAATGGACGCCTATATACGCCATCGACGACGACCAATTCTATATAATAACGCCTCGAATTCTGCATTCTATACTTTTGACGCCTTCATGTTCTCCTTAATGCGATCGAATACTATCGGACTTTCTTCGACTGACGCAACCACTTAATACACCACCCACGCGAGTAAAACACCACGGAAATTCCTTTGCATTCGACCTTCAGGGCCCTTGAAATTCTACGCAAGCGGATGATACCCTTGATCTCATGAGCAAGCAGCAAACAAGCATTGGTGCGCAAGTACTGTAATGTGCATGGTGCATTGTTTTAGTGGCATTTACACAACTTTGGAGCTTTTCTTAACATTTTATATGATTTCTTTCGGTTTCAATGGTATACAGGCGACATTGATTTTGGGGTTTCTACATGCTGTGGAAATGGCCGGAACGGAGGGTGGACATTTGCTTGATTTGCTCTGGGCGGATTTTTGCTTGTTGATTTGTTTGTTTGATTAGTTGGCTGGAGAGCAATACCACATGGCGCGATGGAGACAGGAGCACGAGCAGGGGAGACGGATCTAGAACCGTGGTATGGATTCGGGCTCGGATTCGGATTTGATGAGATGCAGGCAGATGCAGATGCAGAAGCATGGCATGCCTGCGTGCGTGCGTCGGATGTACTATAGAGTGATGAGGAGGCGAGCGACTGTAACAACACGCAGGTACGGACGGCGAGACGAGCCGGGAAGGACCGAAAACCAACGAAGTCTTATGTACAGTACAGTATAGTAGGTGCAGCAAGAAAAACACAATACCAATACCAAAACAATCGAAAACGAGCCGGCCGTCGACATGGGCATAATATGGAATGGAGACTTGGCTACCATCTGAGCAATAACTTAGGTACCTATACAGGCACAATATCGAAAGGAGACTTGGCTACATCTAGGACGTCTCAAAGAAGTAAGCACCAACTCGACATAATGTACGTACATGCTTTTCGTACAGGACCAATTTCACTAGTCCAGCCACCTCCTTTTCGCGGCAAAATACAGAGTCACAGACAGACAGAGTACGGAAAAGTTCGAGGGAGGTCGATAGACGAGCGAAGAGGCGTCGCCAAGGAAGTGCTCGATCACGGTGGAGCTGGGGACTATCTGGCTGGGCACTGGAGACAGGATCTATCCTTGCAACTATGCTGGACTGTGATTGACAATCGTCGACGTCCCACGCAATATTTTGCCCCTTCTTGGTCATGGCTCTCTGTTCTAGGGTCCATTGAGCACTCGAAAATCGAGTTCAGACGGCAGAGACGCGTCGTCTATTTTAATTTGATTGTTTGTTTGTCTGTTACCCGCCGCCCAGCCGGGCATTCGTGGTTCGTCCTTCAGGCGCGTGTGGTGCGCGCAGTAAGTCAGTATTTTGACCTTATTATATGACTTGGATGGATGGATGGGTGGGTGAAGAGAGCAAGCGGGTAGTCCCGCCGACCGATTGATTACCTTCCCTTTCTTCCATATGGAAAATTGAAATTGACGATACTTACTTACGCGAGGTTGGAATGGTGAAGGGTAGTGGTGTAGTGTAGTGTAGTGGTGAAAGCTGTAAGTCAAAGGAGGTGGATGGGGGATGTGGAGGGGGATGGAGAGGGGGGATGGGGAGGGGGAAGAGGGGAGGGGATGGTGCTATACAAGCCGTGTGCTTGGGGAGTTGGGAGTTGGAGAAATCGAGAGGTAGCTAGCTGGCTGGCCGGCCATACTTTCGTCCGTCCCTCCACAAGAAGAATAAGAGGAGGTGACGACACACGGAGAGGAATGGAGGGTCTGATAGATACAGATACAGATACTCACTTCACTTCTCTTCTCCTGGTTTTTGTGTTGGCTTGTTTTGTCACTTTGTTACTTTCCCCCTTCACTAAGTCACTCTGCAACGTATATATCCCTTAAGAATATAGGCTTGCTAGCTGCTTTCTGAAGACTGGAAGAGCTATTACTTGTGAAGGAAGGTTGGTATCTGTGCAAAGCCAACGTCGAGTTTATAAGACGGTGCTGTCTCGGGATGGAGAGGAGGAGAAGTAGTTTCCTATATATAGTTTTCATTTTCTATATTTTGTTTTAATCAAGGGAAGATTCCAAACGACAGTCGTGTTGGGCTTTTCAATTCCTCTTCTTCTCTCATTTTGCAGTATATGCCAGTCATCGTTATTATCATATCCATCTAGCCACTCTCTTGCTGATCCGATTGGACACAGTAAGTAGGGAGAAGAAAAACCGCAACGGGGCTCAACACAAACTGTCATACATCCCACTTTCCCCCTCCCTTCCACTTACTGATATCATTTTCCAGCTTTCCAGTCTATCCTTCTCCCAAAAACAGAAACACACCGCAAACGCGATTTTTTCAAATTGAAGATTGGGTGTTTTAGTAAATTAGGTCCGTCCATCTACTCCTTTACCTTTACCGAGTAAGTTAACTTAGTCTAGCCTCCCGCTTCCTGCCTCCTGCACGCTTGCTGCAGCATGCATGCATGCACTCTGCACTCGTGCATTAACCCTAGCTCCTAGCTGCAGTAGCAAGCCCGGAGCCGCTCCGGCTGAGCCGTTTTGTTTCGTTAGGATGTTAGGACTTTAGGAGGTTAGGATGATGCCGTTGACTTGCAGTAGGTGTGCAGTAGTGGTTATGTACTTTCGGTTATGAAGAATGGTGTTGGTGAGTATGGAAGGGAAGGGGAGGGGAGGCCAGACAAGCGAGATGAGATGAGATGAGATGAGATTTCTTGGATTTTGCCATGCTTTTTGTGAGATTGAGTTTATCTGTCTGTGCCGAGGGGAAGGGAAAATGACTTTGTGGAAAAGGGGAGGAAAGAAGTTAGAGTTGGGACAAGCTCGGTTGGAGCGAGCGGTTGAAGATGATGGTGTTGGTCTTGATGTCCTAGCTGCAAGAATAACCCAAAGGAGGACGAAAACAGAAACTGCGATGGGGAGCATCATCGAAGTGCAGATTTATGTCTTACATTTACTTTCACACCCTCAACTTCCTTGAAAATGCATTCTTTCTAGATCTGTCTCACTTCTCCTCTTAATCTGTCTGTTTAAGTTTGTGTGGCCCTTGGAAGAAGACTTTGTACTCACAAGTATGTTATGCAGAAACATCGCACCGCATAAGTATAAGTACGGAAGATATGCAATATGCAACGGGTCGGGATGTATGCACATGGGTTGGTGGGTACTGTATGCAGCTGTCTCCGTCTTCGGTGGGGAATCGGGATGAAAGGCTCGGTACGATGCGATACGGAGGCACGGTATTATTACGTCGGAGGTAGATCGGTACCGTGTACCGAGGATACTGGTGCTGATGCTGTGGCGGTGGGTTTATGGTTTTGGAGGTCGGAGAACTGATTGTTGGAGCCGGAATAGGACAAGGAGTGAGGTAGTTGTTTGGTGTTGGCAGGTGAGGATAAGGCTCTTTGCACGGCAGGCTATCTAGAGAAGAGAATGCTGATATGCCATGCTTGGAAGTTTGTTGACATCGAGTTGTTTGCGTCGCAGTTTCGTTTACTGTACCGTACTGGGCCAGAATCTATATTGACTTCTCGGGTGTGTGGTTCAGTCCATGAAGTACTTCACTATTTCTCAGCCAGCGTTCCTTTATTTTCAACATCCACTAGAAGATATTAAATGGATAAGAGTATATAAACAGCGAAAGGAAACGACTTCAAGGCACGAATTCGCCAAAGAGCGCAAGTATGAACACTAATCCATGGAGTCTGCCTTACAGAGAACCCATAGGTTCACCAAGAGCTGGTTTTTGTCTCGATCTGTGAGTAAGGCATATCAGAAATTGAGAACCAAGCCTACAGCAATCTGCCGAGTCCGTGCTACTATCATGTGATGACTTCAGAGCAACTGCGATGTACTTCACTGTTGTCATGTCCAACACCATTGTCATTCATCCATACTGTCTCCAGGATAAGCCAGCTTCAACACAATCATCCAAGTCCTCACAAGCTGTTTTACGTCTATATCTCTTCCAATAGCTCACAGGAAGTAGTGAGAACTTCTTCTTCGAAACCGCATGAAGGAATCAGAGACCGGTCGGTCCCAACTTCACACGTCAGGTGGGTGCTCATCCCTGTGTTTCCCTGTTGTTCAAACCTCCACTTGGACATATTTTAATGCATTTCCTACCACACTTGCCGTGCTTATCACAGGCTTGGTAGTATAGGTGAATCTGATGAAAACTATAGCAAAGAAGTGATGCGTGATGTGAATTGTTTCAGGTATACAAACTCCTTGATCTTTGAGACAGCGAAAGACGTAACAGACTTGGAGATACTCGCTACCAACATGTGCTTCTTGCTGAGACTTACCTTCCCTGTATCGTTGCTCAAATATAGCTGGCTTCTTTGTGTCAGGCATTTTCAAGAATCGACTTGCCTGGACTGATTTGGCTTGCTGTTTACGGCGCTGAACTGTGGGCCTGGGGGTACAAATTGTTGCCATTCGCCTTCTCACTGTCGAATTTAGGACACTGTCCAGAACCAACACCAGAGATAGCTTCGGGACAATGACAGCTGGCCTGATAAAACTGCTCAGTCGGTCGTGGTAGGTATGAGATGAGATGGCTAGATGGTTAATGGCGATGTAACACCCGCCGCATGTTGACTCGCCTTCTATCGGTATATTTTTCTTTTGGTATGTAGCATGAACGCCGAGAACGCATTCCCCGAGGATATATAGCGATTAAGTGATTTCTCCATGCTAGACGGGTGGAATGAGACCTATTGATTTGCTCAGGAAGGAGATTCACAACCAATAAATGCAAAGATAACCGCAAATCTTAATAAGCAGACAAATCTTCACTCTGTCGAGGAGTCAGCAATGCCATGCTGGAAAGACTTCGATAGACTCATTTCTCGACTGGACAATTTGGCTGCTACTTTTCATGTAACGGCACTTCTGTTGAAGCCGAAACTTCAGAACATTGCAGAACAGTCATTAACTTGTCTAATGTCCACAAACCTTCAATCATTAGCACAGTAACCTACAGGACGATTCAAGATGTATATTGCATGTGACTAACACGTGCCATGACTGTGGCCTGTACGTGAGCAGGTCCTCGCCACTCGCTTCGCGGGAGCAATCACCCAGCCGAAAGTCAACAAAGCAACAGAGCTGTGAAACCAACAGGTTCATAAAGAAGCTGACGATAAAAGGGGAACGAAAGGATTGTCGGGCAACGGCCCGTCGGCGTTCCCCCTTTTCGTTACCGACTTCCAAGATCTCCAAGAAAACACGCGAATCAGGAAAGTGGGCTGCCAAGCAGCTGTCATGACGCGGCTGGCTTTCTGCAACTCTTCGCATCTGCAGCGACCCAGGACACTCCCAGTCCCCACGCAGTTTTTCAATGGCATATGTCACCCCAACTGAAATACGCGGTAGCTACGAGTATCCCACTCACATCCCTTGGCATATTGCACTGCCCCATTATTGCGAATAATGGGATGGGGTTGTGATGGCATCGGGTGGGAACAGGGTAGCACTATCAGAGGGAAATGTTATCTCTTCTCGGAACTCCGGCTCTCCTCTTTTCCTCTCTATTCCTCGAATGCCGGCAACGAGCATTTGTTGATTCAATCCGACGATGAGGTCCTCCTTCGCCCTCCTGATAGCTCTCCCGGCAGCAGTTAGAGCTTGGTCGTTGAATGCGTACAATCTGGGTCTTCATGGGGTTTATCCGACACAGAACTTTGTCTCTCTTGGCCAACCAACACCGTGGGCGCAGATTTCGCAATGGGATCCTCGATGCGACCAAGATGGAGGACTCATTCTACTGAGTCCTCGAGGCATCAATGTTCCCAATCCTGGGCCGGTAATACTCGATCCTAGGGGGAATCTGGTTTGGTCCGAAGGGAAGTTTGGACAAGCTATGAATCTGCAGGTACAAAGGTACAAGGAAGAAGATTTCTTGACATTCTGGTCGGGAACAAGCCACGGACCGCACTCCAATGGCTCTTACTACATGGTAAAGCTATTAATTGGCACTGTGAATGAGCAAGACTAATTTTGGATAGCTTGATTCCTCGTATGAAGTTGCCCACACAATAACCTCGGTCGGCATAGACATGGGAGGCGATCTCCACGAATTCGAGATTACGGATAATGGAACTGCACTGTTTACAATATACGAGGACAAGCAGGTGGACTGTTCGGATGTTGGACATGACGGGCTCTGCTGGATCGACGACTGCCTTTTTCAAGAAGTTGACATAGTCACTGGTGAATTGCTCTTCCAATGGCGGGCTTCTGATCACGTACCACTCAGCCATTCATATAAGCTCCGACACAAGGACGGAATGACGAAGAAGAAGGCGTGGGATTTCTTCCACCTGAATAGCGTTGAGAAGGACGATTTGGGGAACTACCTTATTTCATCCAGGCATATGCGCGCCATATACTATCTGGACTCGAAGGGAAACATACTTTGGAGTCTTGGGGGAAAGCACAGTGACTTTACTGACCTGTCCGATGGATATGCTTCGAACTTCAAATGGCAGCATCATGCGAGATGGAGGGGTAACAACACCATGTCGTTCTACGATAACCATGCAAAGAATGTCTTCCACCCTCTCTCTGAATTCAGTCGCGGTATGTTGGTTCAATTTGACTTCGAAAACATGACCGTCAAACTGCTCCAGACATACAAGCACCCAGATAATGTCCTATCGATATCGCAAGGGTCCATGCAGGTGATTCCAGAGTCTGGAAACGTGATGATTGGATGGGGAAACACACCAGCGTACACGGAATTCACAGCCGATGGCGAGGTTCTGTGTAATACACATTTCGGCGCTCCCCTGTTCTTCATGATCCTCGATTTCGGATGGGTGAAGTCATACCGTACATTCAAGAGCCCCTGGGTCGGCAAGCCAAAGACACCACCCACGATCAAGATCTATGCCGGCCAAATTTTCGCAAGCTGGAATGGAGCAACTGAAGTTGCGAAGTGGAGGCTCGAGAGCGCGAAATCCCTGAAAGCCACTGATGACGAGTTTTCCGTCGTTGAGGAAATAGACAAGAATGGCTTTGAGGGCGTGTTCTTGCGTGGTAGCTGGGAACGTCGATTTGTTCGAGTTGCTGCTCTCGATAGAGAGGGCGAGGTACTGGGATATACGGAGGTGGTTGATAGTACCTTTGAGGAATACGTAAGCATCCAACTAATCAGGTATCAATGATGAAAGCTAACACGTGTCTAGGTCTCCATATCGCTGTTCCAGATCTTCGTGTCACTTTGTTTCTTCCTAGTAGTTGGTTTCTTCGTATGGAGATATCGTGAGATGCTCACCAAACAATCTTCGAAGATCTTTGCGCTTCGACGCCAGCAGAAGAGCACGCAGCAATATGAATTACTCGACTCGAGGGAGAATCTCGATGATGCAGTTTGAAAGAAACGACCACGATATCAAAAAATATGACTCAAGGCTTGTCTGGGAACACTTGTAGCCCGTGAAAGGACCAAGAACGGCAAGAAGTTGTCGGCGCTGGCGGTGGAAGCCAAGATCCGCTGGATAGGCCGTCTCATGTCGAGAATAGCCACGGTGATTACCTAGGGAGGGAGCATTAGATACCCAGATTGTAAGAAATAATGAATTCATGTGATCAAAGCCCTCGGGTCCGTCGTCTTAGTTGTCAGTTGGGTTGAGCTATTAAATCATACTTTTGTTTCGTTGTTCGATATTGGGCGTTCGAATGTTGGTATCCATTGATTGATCTTTGATCCTGGGAAAAGATTCGGTTTCTTATATCCTTACCGCGGAGTTTCCTCGATGTCGTCAAGAAAGGCATCAGAGATCATGGCCTTATGGCCGCGAGTCCTTGTGTCGCTGCTCCCTGGATTTCTTGTGAAGCGCGTCGGAGGCAGAGTTGATGGATTGTCTATTCACCCTTATTCACTTTATCCCTGTCAGGTTGAGTGATGGTCTTCCTCGCCCCCTCAACTTGCTGAGGATTGAGAAGAACTGGTGTTATCGACGGGGAGGTCGAGTGTCCTGGCTTGAGAGCGAAACCGAGATTCGCGAATTGCTGGAAATATCGCGAGTCTCAACAGAAGGCAGCTGCTCAGGATCCGCTCCCACCAAATGCAGTTTTATCTTGGAGAAATGTAAACAAAAGAACATGGTAAAATGCCCATCGCGCAGTGCGTGTAGCACTGTCTCGAAATTACTAGTGGTCACTTCTATGTTCGGTAGCGGTCTGATATTCATCACACAAAAGCGAGGGCTAACTCGTCACCGCTACATTACTGTCGCTACCTCCCATTCCGTCCCGGCGCATCCATCACCAGCTTCAAAGCCGAAAACCCAGCAAAGCACAACCCACAATATGTAACGAAATAAGCAACTTTCCTGCAACACTTCAGTGATGGAGCAACAACTCCGTCTCTCCTCTCCCTCTTCAGATAAGATCATCTTCACTAGCAGGCTATGCTCAAAAGAATCTCTGGATGGCCCAGGAGGCTACTCTACCTTGCTCTAGGCCCTTCTTTGGAATTTTCTTTACCGACTACCTGGTTCGAAGAAGGAAGATCTCAGCTGGGAAACCGTGCTCTACGGATCCGTGAGGTAGCTATTGTACATCATTAGACAATATTGGAAGACATACGCGTGAGTTATTATGGTTGTTGTTTTGCCTACCCCCATACTTGCTTGTTGTGGTGGCTAGACGTGACTTGCCGCTTGCTTGGCTGCATGAGAATTTACAAATTAGATACAAAGTTTATCAGCAGTGTTTTGTATTTTCTCCGTTTTCTGCACTTTTCTCAACAATATCGTGCGGAAAGCGTGGGCTAAACAGTCCAGAGAGGCGCGGGTTTGAGACACGTTGAGGTCTGATGATCTTTGGGGAGCTGTGTCCGCAGTCAGAGCTAGGAATGCGAAGTGATGCAAATAGAAAAGATAGAGTTTCGACACTAAATAGTCATTTTGGGCTTAAATTGAAGGTTCAGATAAGCCTGAGGTGTCGGCATGGAAGAAGGATTGATAGTTGGAACAAACCGTGGTGGGTCTTGGTGTTGAGCCACGCGATTGTTTGTGTCCACATTCTCGCTTAAATATGGGAATGCACCTGGGCATTTACCGACTCATGGGCGAGGAGTGTGGATTAGAAAAATCGCATCCACAGAACGCGTCATGTTGTTCACTTGCGTAACGACGACAACATATGTCAATAACCGAATTTTGGAAAGGAGTCAATTTGCGAATCTTTGACTATTTGGTCTTGGTCAATGTCTAGGTGAATCCCAGAAACAACTCAAAATGCCCTGGCCTCAAAGGGAGGCGAGAAAGAAAAGAATGATATGTACAAGTATCAAACTCAGTCTAGAATATACTGAAATCTATCCAGATCATATCCAGTGATCGCCTTTTTCTTAAAGCCGTGATGCGTCCCATATACATTTTCCAATCTAAATGCGCCGGGTGTAAAAAGTATGGTAATCTTATGTGCAAGAATAGATACACCATCTAGAATTTTTGATGAAAAGCACTCCGCACAGTCTTCTTTCGCAGCCTCTTTCCGAAAATTTACAACGGGGGCGAGAAGCTAGAAACGGTGAGTTTCGTATTCGCAACAACGTTGAAGACTGATTTGGGTCCGACTTGCTCAAACCATCCATTGACAAAGTGGCTCATAACAAGAGATAGCAGGGCTTTGATAAAGTTCATCGTCACGAATGCTTGTGCTGCGTGTGTTGTATGGCAATCCATACCATATGTGAACATTGAACTCGTGGCGAAAGGGACGGCGGCCGCTAGTATACCGAGGAAAGCAATGGGGATGTACATCAAGAGATAGAAAAGAGGAGAAAGAAAGATTTGGCTGAAAAAAGAAATAGTGTAAGGAGAGGGCATCCCGATAGAATGGCGAACACCCAGATACATAACTCGACTGCCAACTGCCATAAAAGTGGAAAGTAGACGGCTTTGTGGTACACCCCTCCCTTCGGGCTGCTCGAGCTCATTCCCACTGGACCCTCAATATGAGAGAAGGGGCTGTTAGGTTTGGTTTCGCAACAAATACAGTAGTACTCGTACTTCCACTCAGCAAGGCGAGGGAGGTATGCGTACGCAGTAGATTGACGATGGTGGGTCGCTGGACCCATTTTTGCATTCTCACTTCCGGGGTCTGGGAAGATCTCCAGAATCTGGACGAGGGAATGAGGCTTGCGGCAGTCATATCGAGATACCATATGGGTCTCTCATCCAAGTGCAGCCAGCCATTGGGTAGGTAAATCCACATATTTGAGGCTCTTGCAAGCATAATCTAAGGGAGACCGGAGCCTCGAGCACGGAGCAGTAGTCGAACATGCGCCGACTAATTTGAGTGTAGCGACAGAGAGGCATGAGAAGGCTGTGGTGGCTGGAGTTATGAAGACTTGGGATGAAACATTGCACATCGAAACATCAGATCTTGAGCAGTGAGCTCTCGTTGAGCCACGAGTGATCCGCATTTGAAGTCTGATGGCTGCGATCTGAGGAGCATTGCACATTGCAAGTTCCTGAATCTTAAATCCACGCGGTTCGATTTCCTCGACATACAGGGAACAGCAAGTGGTGACGAGTCCTCGTGCGCTTCACCAATGGCTCCGTCGTCTGAAGAATCGCCATGAGGTTGGCAAAGAAGGTTATTATTGCTAAGCCACGCCATGCCTGTCTGAAATATCAATGCCTCCGCACAATGTCAAGAAATAATCAGCAGCAAACATCAGACATCAGGGCGAGCACGGTTGCGAGACTAAGCGAGGAGAGAAATTGGTAAGGCTGACCCAGCAAACAAACCTGCGACAGATTAGGTCCACAATGGGATTCAACCCCAAAATGAGGCTGTAATCCGGAGGCTGAGGAATGAAAGTAGCAGAATTGCAATTGTAGAGTGGGCTCAGAACAGGCTTGCGCTGCGGTCGGTTAGACATGGTATTTTGCCTGAGTAGGATCCACAGACGGGAAGGGAGACCGATACAGCTGGCATCTCAGGCTTGGAAACCGGCCTCGAAGCCGGGATATTTGGTGTGCAGGTATTGCCCGATGTAACTTTTGGGTCTAAAATTGGGGTTGTGATATCGAGAAATAACTGAATTGACCCAAGATAAGACGATCAATAAATGAAGATGGTTTGAGGAAAGAAATATCCTTCAATCTGCCATTACTCGAGGTGAGGCGAATAGCAAATGAAAGAGCTTGGAGGAATGAATGCGAATCGTTAAATCATTACATTAATACTATTGAAGCGGTTTCTGGGCGTAAACAACTTTGATCTCGTAGTATGAATGTGTGCCTCGGTCACGGGCTGCCAGTCGTAATTGTGCCCTAGAATAGAGTTAGTTATGCCGTCTCTGGGCCGGAGCTTCGAGTTTGGTACTGACAAGAAAACATGAACTTGAGTCGGTGTCCACTGTGCTGTTATCAGTATCTTGTCTCAGAGACTTATGAGCTCCATGTCACTCACGCTCAAAACTCTGGTCAGAGTGGCTAGTGCGTAGCCCTCGAGCCCGGTATCAAAAGTCAAGAGAGCCCACTGGCCCAGTTCTCGCAATTTAGCATCGGCAGGCCAACCTCCTAGTGGTGTCTTATAAACTTGTTCGACGACGTTCACGAAGCCTGCTTCAGTAATCTTCTGCTTCATGATATCTGTTACGTTGAAAATCTGGCCTGTTGATGCTCCTGCTTCCGCAAAAAGCTAGTCCACGTCAGTTGGGAGCCCTTAAGGATCCACCCCCATTCATCAGCAGTGGAGCTTGGAGTCCGGCGGGCTTACACTTGTGAATGTTTTTAAAGGACTGTTGTCGGCCAATGTGCCGTCGTCAGATTTGATCTGCACATTTATAGGTCAGTATTTGAAGATGCAGTAACATCCTTGGGGCCTCAACCCGCCGAAGAATCGAGTAAGAACCGCTAGTAGAGATTGAGGATATTCATACCTCGATTGATCCTTCCACATGCTCTATCCAGCCACCGGGTTTGAGATGCCTAGAGTCGTGAGTAAGGCGATCCTCCACCATTCTCATCCACGAGGTACGACTTACCTGAATACTTGCCCGTATAAAGCATCCCAATCCTCAATAGATCCAAATAATGCTCTGATATGAATGAAGTCGAAGTAATTCGTCGGGTAAGTCCATTCGTCGCTGGCATCATCGATTTCGAACCTGCAGTTTGGTGGGCTGGCAAATGGATGTTAGCAAGAACCATGAGACTGGAGTACGAGGACAAACACTAAGGATGGTTGAATAGGTGACAAATCAGTTCCTATAACATCGGTATTGGGGTGCTCATCCGCAAAATCTATTGCCTGTCTCATGGCATTAGTTTGTCTATCAATCCGGATGGTGAGGTACAAACCCAAATGCCGGTCCCAGTTCCAATGTCCAAAGCCCTCTGCATCAATTCTAGTAAGCTTCCATAATTCTCAATAAAACGACATGGAACATTTCTCACCTCGATATCATCTTCAATAGGTGCAAGAACTAACTTGTGGTCGAGACATAGCAGGTACTTGTGATGGCTAGTGATCTTGAGTCAGTCGAGTAATACTGACCTAATCGAGATTACTAACCTAATATCAAGATTTTCATTCTGTCTTTCGTCGTTTGGCGCCCTATTTACCGTGAGTCTGGGTTTTCATCGTCATGTTAAGCCAGTATCGTACCAGTACAAGCCGTCTTTGTAGGCATGGTAGCGTCGTCCGTTCTCGATGCGATACTGTGTGATACTGGAATCTACCGAGAAAGTATCTCCCCTAAATGCACCTGAAATGAGCCGCTGGTCCGGCAGATGGATCAAGAATGCAGCTGGAATACGCACATTTCATATTCAGAAGACCGTGACGACGAGGCCACATTCGCGCGCTTTTTAGAATATGTCAGCTGCACTTCCCCACATATTGCATATGCTGTCTTACCACCTCGATCTGCTCATCGGCGTCTGCCATGTCGTGATACTGAGCCAGCAGCGGGAAGTTGTCGTCGTGCTCGTGATTGCAGTCGTGTCTCGCCCCCAAGGCAACGGTTTTCTTGAGGTTACTCAGGTTTCTCAGAGACGAGGATGGGTTTCCCAGCGCTCGGAATCCCGACGACCTCTTCCTCGGGTCGATCCTGGCTTTTAATGGGATCAGACTAGACTGTAAATTGGATACGGGGCCCGCTTCTTGCGCAAATCAGCAGCAAAGATTGACATGGTACAGGGGCTACAGGCCCTGCATCGAATGAGGGCATCCAAATATTCCCAAGAATTCCTGCCATGGGGCCGCGATTGGATCCAGCAATGTGGATGAACCGTTTGCTCGGAGCTTTGATGGTCACACATCAGCCATTCGCCGGGTCGCTGGTACAGGTTCGGGAAGATACCCCAGCTTGACGGGACGGCACAGTTTTCTGTCTGACTATCAATTGCGTCCTGCGAGCTGCAGGAGGCTTACATGCGGAGGGCATGGCACTTTTCCACGCACGCCCGCCATGGCCAAAGCGATGTTTTGATGCCCGTTCCTTGGTGGTGGAATGTCTTATGCTCAAGGTTTCTGGGCCTCACGCGATATCGCCACGGTTTGTCCGGTCAGAACGAGATTGGAAAGCCGAGCAGCTCGGACAACTGAGTGATGACCGTAAGAACTAGGTAATGAATAATGCCATGGCTAACACAAAGTGCAAATTCGAACAAGAGTATATAATCCGCCACCTATTTACTTGCCGTGAAAAAGGCACAACTATATCAGCCAGCGACGACAAAGACAAGCCGTGAAGATATGACCACATATTCCGCTACTCGCTAAACTTTCGAGCGGAAGGCTGGAACAGGAAAGTGTTTGTGGCTTGGGCTGAGAGCATGCCTTACTTCAGGAGTCAATGCCAAGAAAATCAAAACTATATGAGAGGTAGTACAGCCTATATTACAGGACATATCTGCATGAAAACCGGTAACACGCCTGCAAATAAGCCCCACAAACTGACCGAGCAACTTCATTGCGTCCCGAAGAGAAGCATCAGGGGTATTGATAGATGATAAGGGCGTCGACACGCCAATCAGTCGAGGGCGAGTTGGTTACTTGACGTGTCGAATGTTTGTCCATACCCGGGGTCACACACGGATGTCCAACAAAATACTCTAGATTCTGCCAAAAGAGCCCCACGAAATTGGTATTGCCAACAGAAAACCGGGGGAAGAGGAGCAGGGAATGATGCACCGACATGGAGGCTGAACGAATCTGAGATGTAACTTCACAAACGAAAACTGGCTGCCAAAATCCTGAGTTCGAAGCTACCCAACCCATGGATCAATTTGGGCATTTCATTTCAAGATAACAGACAGGAAATATAAGAAGAAAGTAACTGTACGCCCCTATCTAAATTCCCAAAACCGCAGCTCAAATATACAGTAGAAATAAACGTTTCGTAAGAGCGTCATCAAGTAGCCAAGTCAGTCGTATCTTCCCAACAGCAATACCCAAGCGATAGCCAGCCGCGACCACATGCGCAAGCAAATGAAAACTTTCGGGTGTGTTGAAGCCAGTTCTACCAGCTTCTGTATTGTATCCAATGTTTCATCAAACATCCTTTACTGCTGCAAACCGTACCTGGATGCGGCTATCCTGCTTCTGCACGTTCTCCTTCTGCACCGACCCGAGCAGCTCATCACGAGACTTGTCACCTGGAGCAGGACAGCTTTCATCTTTTTCTATTGAAGGAAGCATGGCACTCGTGGCTGTCGGCGACATGGGTTCTGCTTCTGGTTCGGGTGTGTGCTGCTGAGTGAGAGGCGACGAGGGTCGTGCAGATTTCTACCAAAAACGTCAGCAAAGACATACAGTTCATGTGGACAGACGACTTACCCTGGAATCAGGTCGTGGATGAAAGTGCGAGCGGAACTTTTTAGGCTGGGTGTTTGTGTTAGATCACGACGGAGGGCTGAGCGGCGAGTTATGGACTCACCATTGCTTTCCTCATAATACTGCTTTTACTGCCGCCGCTTGCAAAGCGGTAGTTCGCAAGACTGGACGCGACATCGGTTTTCCTGCATTCATCACTCTATCAGCACAAATTCCCGGAGTCGGACTCCACAATCGTGAGTATGGAAAAGAGTCAAACAAACCTCGACAAAATCTCCAAATGCATAGCCTGCAACCCACGACTAAGTTCTTTCCTCCTCTCCAATCCCTCCATCGCCTTGCCCCTCATCAACCCAATCACATACCGTCCATGACTCTTCCTCCTTTCCCTCAGCCTCCTCTCCACCTTCCTCCCCATACTCCCCATCCCACCAACGGCAGCCTCCTCATCCAACGCATCGCCCTCATCGGGCTGCATGATATCCTCCCACGCGCTCAGCGCGATTCTGATCCCGCAGTCTAGGTCCTCCGCTGCCTTGGTATGCTCCATGTTCGCGATTCTGACGGACTCCTCGGAAGTGAAGGAGTCACATAATATGTCTTTGCGGATTATGTCTGTCTCTTGGGCGAGGTGGCGGGCTTCTTTCGATAAGCGTTCGAAATCGGTGAGGTGGAATCCGCGGGTTGTGTACAGCCGGTAGAACCATATGCTGCCGAGCACGAGAATGATCAAGCTGAGGATGCCAACAATAGAGAAAAGTACAGGCCTTGTGGAGCCTTGGATAGAGGCTCCCATGATGTCGGAGGAGGGCTGTTCGCTCGCTGTTTAGTCGGATTTGAGCGAGGATGGGATTCTGGTTTGTCGATAGTCGATTTCCGTTTGGTGATGATTAAAAAATACGTGTCGAAAAGAGCTGAAATACGGAGCCTATTAGGTACGTGCCAAATCTATATGTTTAATATCGTATGTTGTGATGTTCGCTTGGCGTTTTTCGCGAGGAATGGAGTGGCGTTTGAATGCCACCGTGTGGTGGATTTGTGTTGTGACTTGAGAATGGATGCAAGACATCCTCGAGGCTGGAGATACCGAAAATTTCTTTTCGTACTGTTGAGTTGTAAGATTGTTGGATAAAAATATTTCGCATTTGCTTGATGCAAGGTCAACATGTTTGTTGGTTGGAAGCGTACCATAAATATCAGGGCGATGTCAACAATGGTATCAAGGGATGGAGACATGAATTGTTGGAATTCAAAAATAGAGAAAAACTTTAAACCTATCTTTAGAATTCTACGAAATCCAGCCATCAAGCACCAATCACTCCACATCTACCGAGGAGATGTGCTGCCGCAAAATTTATCCCAGTCCCTGGGTTTTGAGCGTCATCCCTTCCCATCTCGGGGTCGGCTATTTCGACGATCTACATATTTTCACTTCGCCGAGCATTTAATCTCTCTGTTATCGTACCACGGTAGAGCCTCACACGTTCTTTCAGATAACTGGACAAAGGATCGCACTTGAGTAAGTCTGATACGTTACTTTCCATGCTCATCGAGTCATTACCTACCTACCTTATGGCATGCTATTCTACTAACATCACGTGATAGCATAAGAAGAGAAAGAATGAGGTGGTTTCGGCAGTCCGACGCTCTTCAACGGGCTCACGGAGTTACTGAGTGGATAGGAAGAAGACGCCTGCGATAAATACTGCTTCGAGAAGATGAAATTTCATACGGTACGTAGATAGTAGATCTGCGTTCCCCCTTGCTTTGCCATCACGGCAAGTCCAGGCGACTTCTCTAAGCGAGATCCAAACATCCCGAAACAAGGACATCGGTGCGCCCGGCAGCAGAGATAATGCTCACCTGCCTTCGTTTAGAAGCCTTTCAGATAAGAAGATACTAAAATAATAGCGAGTGCATGCCTACAGACTCGATCCGCTTTGTAGCGAATCGAGTATTTGAAGTGTAAATGAACACCGCTTCCCCTTTCTGCGAATATCTAGATTGCACGAGAAAAGGAGCTTCTCACTCTCTTCATGAGCCGTCAAAGTGGTGCCAATATCTCATCATGTCATTTTATCCTCCTATCACGTACAATTTGTACGCAGCAGAACATGCCAGTGTAATCTTGCAGCGCTGTTTGAATGCTGATCCGTCGTTGACTTTAATGTCGAGGGCATGAAAAACTGTTGGCGGCGCCTGGATCTTTGAACAAAAGTACTGCTCCATGGAACTGTGCTCAAAATGAAACACGCGCCAACGTCCTTAACAGGAGATACTTCCGCCTTCTACAACCGTGATCGACCAGTTCCCGATAAGAAAGCTTGAGAACGAGAGGATGAGCATCTCAAAACAGTCATGCGTGGTTAGGAGACAGAAAGGCGATTCAGGAATAGTGTGAATTCCTGGTTGGCAGGAGAAGAGACCTGACGTGGGATCGTAGTAGCGCAGAGCGTTGGAAAGCGTATGGAGTGATATGTCCGATCTATCATCCAATTAATCTTATTACTTGATAGTCTGCTACCTGTGACAAATTTTCTTATGGATGGTCATGTGGATCTACTTCGCGCATGTTGGCTTGAGGACTTCTCATTTCGCAGTGCTTTCCTCATGGGCGGTTTCCATAATCTGTGTTCTCGAGTGACAGTTGACAATGCTCATGGAAGTAAGTTTTGAGAGATCGATTAAAATTTCATTATCTTTAACCTTAGCCTCCGCGACGCCCATGCTATGCACGCTCCTCCCAAACGCCACGAAGAAGAATTAAAATCTAAGAAGATTAGCAATCATACACCAGAACTTGGAACAAGAAAAAGCTTACCGTATCTCGTAAGATCCTGCTCTTGTCATATACCTCACCCACTTGACCGAGGAGTAATTACTCTTCTCAAACACCTTCAAATATCTTACAAGTAACCCTGAACTCGTGAACATCAGGAGACTGAAATTCAAGCTCAATGGCGGCCTCGACCAGGCCTTTTGATTCGTCATACTCGTCAGGGTCGCCTCCGCACTCAAGACAAACTCATTCTGTCCAGTAAATCTGGGGATCTTCCACACGATGTTATTCTCACTTGGCTCGTACTTTGCCTTTCCTTGTGTACATCTCTCTGTGATTTTCGCTGTGTTCAGTGGTGTAGGTACTCGCACGACAACGTTCGTTGCAAATAGCTTGCTTCCGTAATTGGCGCGAATCGCTATGCTGTATTCCACTTTTGTCTTCCCGACCTCATTGACAATGGCATGGACCTTGAATGGCAAGTTGACATTTTCTGTTGCTCGGTACCGCATCAACTCGAACTCTCCATCCGGAGGAATGAAGGAGATGATCCTGTCTGTATCAAATTTCCCAAGCTTGACGCACTGATGGAACTGGCAGTCCTCCAAAGTAACACTCCCAGCCGCAGCTTTGGTCGCTTTTGTACCCAGTCGATTTCCAGACTCCAAAGAAGAAAGGTTGTCTCCGTCCAGCAGTAATCGATCATTGAGTCCGAATTTGCATTCTGGTGTTCCTGTCAGATATGCGCGCATAACGATTTGTCCGTTGACATCTGCGCGGAGGACAGTGCCGGTAGCAGACATAAGGAGATTAACGTCTTCGATCACATCGACAAATGCTTCGTTTTTGCGGTATTTGACGTCTGCTTTCCGCCACGATAGTGCGCCGGTTGCTTGCATAGTGATCTTGGCCGAATCCTCCATCGTTCGCTCTGACTTGACTCCTTCGGTGGTAATGTACATCTTGAGGGTATCTGTTTCGGTGTTTTGAGGGTACCCAAAGTCCAGAATCTCTGTACAATATTGTCAGAACCTATACCTTCATGTTCGGATTCATACTGACCATCTAAAAGCTCGTAGACCAGTACGAAATTATTCTTAACTGCCTCTTCATCGAACTTCCCAAAATATCCCTTTCCCAGCGCAATCAGCCTGTACAGGAATTCGAAAACCAGCGCTGCGTTCGCATTGCTCTTGGTGATTGCAACCAGGTAGATATTCTCGTGCTTGACATGGCTGAAGGTTGTGCTTCCTAATGTGAGGATTGGAGACCGAACTTGGGCATTGGAGATGACTTGGATTCGAAACACGTCTGCGAGGCGTGGTCTGCAGTCATTGCGGAAGGCACGGAATATCAAATTCTCTCCCTTCTGATTGAAGATCAATATGCCGGAAAGCATCTTGAATTTGAGGTTGAGGGAGCTGTGGTCGGGATGTGCTTGTTGATTTGGAGGTTCCAATGTGGGGGAGCTTTGAAATGTCCCAGCCGGGAGATGCCAAGCTCTCCTGGAACCAGACCTGTCAGGGGCAAGACAGTGCAGGCTACGATACGAGGCTGACACTTTTCGATTCAACCTCTACTATGGATCAGATCATTACGTCCTGTTGCTGACACACGTTAATGATGTGGAATAATCTATACACAACTCAATCGGGGATTGCAATCAATACATTCGGGTCTGGCTGCCTTGTCCTCACCTCACTCATTGAAAAGAAATCTATGGCATATCAGGGGTTATTTACTAGCTGTACAGGAACGAGGTATTGTCCATAAAACACATGAAAGAAAATGCATTAACGCTCCATGTGCCTTCCCCATCATCTAATTCACAAGGTATCCTTAAATCAAGTCACGTCGTACAAACTCTCCATGCAGGGTCTTTCCAAGCATTGCTGGGCTTCGCTCAACAATAACACCAGCAGCCTCAAGGGCAGCAATCTTGGAATCAGCTCCTCCCTTACCACCGCTGACAATGGCACCTACGAGAAGTCAATATAACAGAAATAGAAAGACACAATCGAGCTGAACTTACCAGCGTGACCCATTCTTCGTCCGGGTGGTGCAGAGATACCAGCAATAAAACTGACAACAGGCTTGTTGGCAGTGTTGTACTCCTTCAAGAACTCGGCAGCATCCTCCTCAGCAGATCCTCCAATCTCACCAATCATAATGATACCATCAGTCTCCTCGTCCTCCAAGAACACCTTCAAGCAATCGATGAAGTTGGTTCCAGAGAATGGATCACCACCAATTCCAACGACGAGCGATTGTCCCAGGCCAGTTTGTGTAGTTTGATTGACAGCCTCGTATGTCAAAGTCCCGGAACGAGACACGATACCGATACGACCGCGCTTGTGGATGAATCCTGGCATGATACCAATTTTGCATTGCCCTGGAGCAATAAGACCTGGGCAGTTAGGTCCTACCAAACGTGTCTTTCCTTGTGTCTTCAAGATGTCTGTGATTCGGACCATGTCTGCATACTCGTTAGCCCAGGAGGATTTTCAAGGAGAAAATCAATGCATACCATGCTGGGGAATACCCTCCGTGATGCTAAAAGTGCGGTTAGAACGTCCTTTCACATGCCGAGAAGGATACCTACCAAACGACCAGAGGAATCTCGGCAGCAATGGCCTCTTCGATACCGGCAGCTGCAAGAGGAGGTCTGTCTAATGTTAGCCAGATTGAAGCTTGAATTGATGTTTGTTGACTTGGGAGCTTTTACGGGACGAAGATGGCTGAAGCAGTAGCTCCAGCTTGCTTCACAGCATCTGCAACATTTGCAAAGACAGGGAGACCCAGATGTGTTTGTCCAGCCTTCTTAGGATTTGTTCCACCAACCACTTGTGTGCCTAATTCCTCTATCAGATATGCTCTAGCTGTTCTCGAGTGTTTCCGAACACGTACCGTACTCAATTGCTTGTTGCGCGTGGAATCTGCAGCATCTCAATCAGCATCAAATCCAATAGCACTCTCCATCACCTGTCCAGTACTCACGTTCCCTGCTTTCCTGTGAAGCCCTGGTAAATGACCTTGGTGTCGCTGTTAATGCGAAGGTTCTCAGCAGTCGCAGCGTATGCAGAGGTCGAGGTGGAATAGCCCTGTCTTCGCACAGCAGCTTGCAGAGCCGGTCTGGCACATCTGGAGAAAGCCTGCATCTTGCCTGGGACAATTGATGTCAGGAAATAAAGCGCAGAGTAAATGGAAAGAATTGGTTTGGAGTTGGAATAACTTCAAGGGAAGAGCCGGAGCTTGGCCTGGCAGGGCCGCGAGAAGAAAGCTACACCGGGATTTACCGACAAGATCCCTGAAATTATTTTGAGAACCAAGAGAGAACCAAGAACCCCACCATCAGTCCTTGCTGGCTCGCAGAGCACAACACAAATAGCATAACAACTTCACGACGACGACGACGACGTCTGATCTTCGCTCACAGCGAATTCGACATCTCTGGTCGGTAGGAAGGGGAGAGCATACTTGGAGATATGGCGACCGAAACGTGGACGATGACCCTTTCTGAGAGGCAGAGAAAACCCAATGACCCCAACCTGCCTCCAGAGAACGAACGAGCATTACGAGCTTGTTCGGATATTGTCAGCTTTCTAGTACAAGATCATGAAGCTCAACAAGATCCGTCTGCTCCTAGGAAAGATGTCAATCTCAATAGTCTGCGCGCAAAGATGTCCAAGAAGCACAGATTAAGCAACATGCCACCACTAACTGCTATTATTGCTGCTATCCCAGAGCATTACAAGAAGTACATTTTGCCAAAACTGATAGCAAAGCCCATTCGTAAGTATTTGCCCTCCATAAACACGCTTTCTGCTGACCATTCTCAGGGAGTGCATCAGGTATTGCGGTAGTGGCAGTAATGTGCAAGCCCCACAGATGTCCTCATATTGCCTACACTGGAAATATTTGTGTCTATTGCCCTGGTGGACCAGATTCCGATTTCGAATACTCCACCCAATCATACACGGGTTACGAACCTACGTCCATGAGAGCTATTCGAGCACGATACGATCCATTTGAGCAGGCAAGGGGACGGGTAGATCAGATTAAGTCCTTGGGACATAGTGTGGACAAGGTTGAATATATTATTATGGGAGGCACTTTCATGTCTCTGGCGCAGAGCTACCGAGAGAGCTTTATCTCACAGTTGCACAATGCTCTTAGTGGATACCAGGGCAATAACGTGGACGAAGCAGTGGAGGCTGGAGAGATGAGCAATATCAAATGCGTTGGAATCACAATCGAAACTCGGCCTGACTATTGTTTGGCAACCCATCTGACGGACATGCTGCGATACGGATGCACTCGTTTGGAAATTGGTGTACAGTCTCTGTACGAGGATGTTGCTCGTGACACGAACAGAGGCCATACAGTAGCATCTGTGGCGGAGACTTTCTGTCTTTCAAAGGATGCTGGATTCAAAGTTGTCAGCCATATGATGCCAGATTTACCGAATGTGGGCATGGAGCGAGACTTGGACCAGTTCAGGGAATATTTCGAGAACCCAGCTTTCCGAACAGATGGACTGAAGATCTACCCGACCCTCGTTATTCGGGGTACTGGACTGTACGAGCTATGGAGAACAGGAAGATACAAGAATTATACACCCAATGCTCTCATTGACATTGTAGCCCGAATTCTGGCCCTTGTTCCGCCCTGGACTCGTATTTACCGAGTACAGAGAGATATTCCTATGCCTCTAGTCACGTCAGGTGTCGAGAATGGAAATTTGAGAGAACTGGCACTGAGCAGGATGAAGGATTTCGGAACAACTTGCCGAGATGTCAGAACCCGCGAAGTCGGTATCAATGAAGTCAAGAATAAAATCCGGCCATCGCAAGTCGAACTGGTCCGCCGAGACTACACTGCAAATGGTGGTTGGGAGACATTCTTAGCTTACGAAGACCCCAAGCAAGATATTCTCATTGGACTTCTTCGTCTCAGAAAATGTTCCAAGAAGTACACCTTCCGCCCGGAGCTCGTTGATCAGCCAACTAGTCTCGTTCGCGAGCTGCACGTTTATGGCTCTGCTGTGCCCGTCCATGCTCGCGATCCACGGAAGTTCCAGCATCAAGGATATGGTACTTTGCTCATGGAGGAAGCCGAGAGAATCGCAAGAGATGAGCACGGCAGTACTAAGATCAGTGTTATCTCGGGAGTGGGGACGAGAGACTACTATAGAAGGCTTGGATACTGGCTCGATGGTGCGTAAATTTTTTGAAGTTTTGATAAGTATGCTAACAGTCCCTAGGCCCTTACATGAGCAAAATTATTAAGCCAAGGGATGAGGGCGATAGCGACGATGACTTTTGAGCTAGGAATTATACCCAGAAGAGCTACGATATAACGTCTACTCACCATTTTAATGGCCCAACACTGACGAGTAAATGGTCAGTGGTGCTGAGGCAAGTCCAGACTCAAGGCAGCTGCCTATCATGATGCACTATGGCAAGCTCGTATGGCTGTCAATCCCAGGAAACGCCATGGAGCCTTCGCTCTTACACAGTGTCACCACTAGAGGCCTCGAGATCTTCTTCGCTCCGCAGATGGACCTGTGGCTGAACCCAGAGAACTCTCAAGCCAAGCCTCTCTACAGCTCAATGCTAGATGCCCACGTTGTAGGATTCAATCCACATACTCACATCTTTCAGGACCGTGAGGGCTAGGATCACAGACCAATACATTTTGCATTTTAGCATTGATCTCTCTACCTTCTTTGCTGTCACATATTGCTATTTCTTAATGACGAGTTTCAACACGTCCGTGATCGGTACCGAGAAAAATTCCGCTGTTGAAGGAGTTGGCCAAGCGGCCGTCCATTCTCAATCCTATCTTGAAAGATCACCAGTGTATAAAAGTCTCCTCTGTTGATTGAAGAAATAAGAGTTTGGTTTTGGCACAACGAAATGGAATGTACTGGTGAGGCTCGACCAATACCTAGTAAAGTATCTCTTTATAACTACACGTGCCAGTATTGACCAGGAGATTTCCCCGTAGCAGCCTCTTTCTTCCATCTTCAGCAAACCACACAGGCGCTATCCTTTCGATATTGCTAGTCGCTGACCGGGTAGCAGGAACCGGGTCATCACGAATTATATTACTCTCGCAGTTCAGGGCCGTTGATCAATTTATCGCGATTGAATAAGCCCCTACGAAGGATTTTCATCTCACGGAAATGTCTTATTCCACCATTCGCCATCCATTTTTCTACACCCACCTTCAGATATATTACAAAGCTCGCGCGCTTCAAGTACCGAGGCGTGCACGATGCGAGGAAGGGCTAAACTTAGTTTTCTGGAAATCGGATCTTGGCTGTTACGGATAAAATCGTCGGCTGAAGCAGCCGGAACGACATCAATCAGGACACTTCTCAACCCCAATATGTCAGATCACGCGGAAGCTTTCTCAGACGCTGAAGCCAATAGGAAATACATCGTGCCTCAAGCCCTAGTTCGGTACGGACCGAGAAGTCCCGTTGTGTTGAGCCAGAGCACGGAAAGGCGAATTTAATGGCCGTTTCTACCCCAGATTTGGCGACAAAGCCGCAAAGTCGTGAGCAATGCGGGGTGCCTTGCAGTATTCCGTCCAGTACTCGATGGTAGATCGGGCAAGGAACAGGGCACAAAAGGATGCAGATGCTTTCCAGCTAGGGTTCACGTCCCTGTGTTCCTTAAATGAGTTAAGATGAGTTGGTAAACTAAATTCTCGGATCCAGATTGAGAAACGGGGAGAATATATTATATATGTCTCATTGTATCTTGAAGGCGTAAGCTTTCTTTCTCTCCTGGTTGTGGCCACCGTTTCTCCATTTCTCCCATCATGTTTCTCTTTCAAGGTGCGGCCTTGCTGGCTGCCAGTTTGCTTTCGAGCTCTGTTGAGGCTGTCGCCTCTCAAGCTTTCACCTGGAAGAATGTCAAAATTGGAGGTATGAAATCCAGTCTGTATTTCGGTGACATCATTGACACGTCGATCTAGGTGGCGGTGGCTTTGTTCCAGGAATTGTCTTTAATCCCACCACCAAGGGCCTGGCTTATGCTCGAACTGATATTGGAGGGGCATATCGTCTCAATGCCGATGATTCATGGACTCCATTGATGGACTCTGTAAACACCTCCAACTGGTCAGTCGAAGTCCAATGAATACCTGCCACCAAACTTACCGAAGTAGGCACAACTGGGGCATCGATGCACTTGCAACTGATCCTGTCGAAACCAACCGCCTGTATGTTGCTGTTGGGATGTACACCAACGAATGGGATCCGAATTTGGGATCTATACTTCGCTCCACTGATCAAGGAAATACTTGGGTGGAAACAAAACTTCCGTTCAAAGTTGGCGGGAACATGCCCGGACGTGGCATAGGCGAGGTGAGCATGCAATTCCAGCAGTGTTGGCTACTAGCTAAATCATTAAGCGTCTCGCTGTTGATCCGAAAAGTAACAACATCATCTACTATGGAGCAAGAAGCGGCAATGGTCTCTACAAGAGCACAGATTTTGGTGCTACATTCTCGAAAGTCACTGCTTTCAAATGGCCTGGTAAGTTGTAATCTCGAGTTGAGAAGATGTGAATTAAGCTTTCCAAGGCACGTACTTTCAGAATTCGTCCAGCTCGTACACCTCTGACCCTGTTGGCATTGCCTGGATCACATTTGATACGACAACCGGAACCAAGGGATCTGCCACCCCGAGGATCTTTGTCGGTATGTTCCCCATAGTCTTCCACATACCACAGTCAATCTAATAATCCAGGCGTTGTTGATGCTGGACAATCCGTATTCAAATCTGAGGATGGTGGTGTCACATGTAAGTTGCTCCAATGTATCTCTATTTTCCAAGAGCTGATCAATATAGGGGATTGGGTTTCTGGAGAGCCTCAATTGGGATTCATCCCACATAAAGGTGTTCTCTCGCCCGCGGAGAAGGTATTGTATGTATCATATGCCAACGGTGTTGGACCATACGATGGAACCAATGGCACAGTACATAAGTACAACATCACTTCCGGAGCGTGGACCGACATTAGCCCAACTTCTCTTGCCTCGACGTACTATGGATATGGTGGTTTAACTGTTGACCTACAACGACCTGGGACTCTGATGGTTGCGGCACTCAATTGCTGGTGGCCAGATGAGCTTATCTGGAGAAGTACGAACGGTGGAGCAACTTGGTCGCCAATCTGGGAGTGGAACGGATACCCCGCCATCAATTAGTACGTTTTGCAGCAATGGTAATGTTAGCCACCCATGTACTGACATGAAACAGCTACTACGGCTTTGACATCTCTCAGGCTCCATGGTTAGTTGACAGAACTTCAACGGCAGAGTTTGTTGCCAAAGTAGGATGGATGGTAGAAGCGCTTGTGATAGACCCATTTGATTCAAACCACTGTGAGTATATCTTGTCGTTGTTGGATGCATGATCTGAGATATCTAGGGTTGTACGGGACTGGAGCGACGATTTATGGAAGCCGAGATCTCTTGAGGTGGGACAGTGTCCATAATGTGACCGTGAAGTCTCTCGCCAACGGCATCGAGGAGACAGCAGTCCTTGCCCTTCTCGTTGTACCTGGTGGCCCTCCTCTGCTGTCAGCGGTGGGAGATATTGGAGGCTTCACTCACACCAGCTTGGATGTCGCTCCGGATCAAGCATGGCATACCCCAACTTATGGTACAACTCGAGATATTGATTATGCCGGTAACAAGCCCGCAAACTTGGTCAGATCTGGAGAAAGTGATACCTCGATCAACGTGGCCGTCTCATTCAACTACGCATCAACTTGGAACCCATACTACGGCGCATCTCAAAGCACTGGTCCTGGAAAAGTTGCCATTTCAGCTGATGCTGATAGCATCTTGTTGATGTCCTCCGCGAATGGACCCCTCATTTCGAAGAACACGGCTACGTTCAGCGCTATTCCAACTCTGCCGTCGGGAGCAGCAATTGCATCTGATAAGAGAAACAATTCCTACTTCTATGGAGGTTCAGCTGGCAGGTGAGTTGTTCATCCTCTTCTTCCCTCCTCTCGCTTACCAAGAACAGTGTTTACGTTTCATCAAACGCCGGTGTGACATTTGCTAAGACCGCCACCCTGGGTGCCTCAACTGCGGTCAACCAGATCCGAGTTCATCCAACTATTGCAGGTGACGTGTGGGTAAGCACTGATACTGGACTCTTCCACTCCACCAATTTTGGAAGTACCTTTACCCAAGTCGGAAGCGGCGTGACTGCTGGGTGGAGCTTTGGTAAGGCTGATAACAATCATGAATGCCTCTTCATACTAATACAATCCAACAGCTTTCGGCGCTGGCGCAACCGCATCAGCCTATCCCACAGCTTACGGATTCTTCACCATCTCCGGCACAACCGCTCTCTTCAAAACCGAAGATGCAGGACTCAACTGGGCTATGATAAGTGATGCCGCCCATGGCTTTGGCGCTGCATCTGCAAATGTTGTCGGTGCTGATATGGCTACCTACGGTAAGGTGTATGTGGGTACCAACGGTCGTGGAATTTTGTACGGAATCGCTTCAGGCAAACTCCCTCCATCGACAGCGACAGCTTCGGCTACATCGACAAGCAAGGCTACATCTGGATCGAGCAGTGTCCCAACCACTGTCCCTACATCGGCAACTTCTAGCAAGTCTGCTACAGTCATTACTACTACCAGTTCGAAAACTTCGACAACATCGAAGACCAGTACAGCGGCCACAGCAACGACTTCGTGAGTATATCATTTGGACGCGAGAGACGCGGCTGACAAATAAGCAGTTCAACCATTGCACCAGCTGGGCCATACGGACAGTGTAAGTGAAACTGCAACTTTTGTTTGAACATAACTGACAAACAATAGGCGGTGGAGGACCAGGTTACACTGGACCAACTACTTGTGTCGCTGGCTGGACATGCAAGTACTCTAACGATTTCTACTCGCAGTGTAAGCAATTCATGAAAATCTTCACACAATCGCCATGGATGATATTGACTTGACATAGGCCTGCAATGAGCAATCGCATAGTGTGATTCAGTAAGAACAGGGTACGCTAGCTGTATATAGCGGAGATGTGAGTGAGGAATTGTATATACGGGGTTTGAGGACGATCAAAGTCAAATTTGTTTCAGCTGTGCATATTTACCATATCTACTCATTCACATCTATTTAGATTTTCCCCTTCCTCCACCCATGTTATCATCTCTATCTTTCCAAAGCAAACCGACCAAGCGGTCAAATAGCCTGATGCTCGCTACCACAATCACTCGGTGTTCATTGCAAGCACCTTGGTTATCTAAAGCTTTTGCGGTACTCAGCTTATGACCGGAAAGAGACTTCTGATGGAACAAAGATATTTATCTAGAGGCATCTGAATGCAAATGTGTACCGCCGCACATTCCTCGATATCCTTCCTTTGTTTCTCTCCCCAAGTTCGCAATCTCGAACCATTCGTGAGCTCCCATCGTCTTCCATGACATACAGTAGCCATAACTGCTCAGGATGAATATGCTGTCTTTCCAGACATTTCCTGCAGAGGTTCTGTTCAAGATAGCCAGGAATGTGGGCGGCGACTACCTCCGAGCTCGAGTCGACAGAGTTCTACTTTGTAAATCATGGTGAGATGTTCAAGTACAAGAATACCCGGAAAATATTAGACTGATAAGACCCAGGTACAGCGTCACTCAATCAGTCGTTTGGGACGACGTTGATCTCTCAATCAAGTGCTTCGAGCGATATTTTCAAGCCCCTACCAGCACCCAATCTTTCATCCAGTCCCGAGTCAAATCTCTCTCGATTTCGGACGTCTACGACAACAACAGTACCACACTTCCTCAGCTCGCAGAGAAAGGAATCATTAGCCTGGAAAGCTACCTCCTCGCCAAACAACGCACTCTTCTCCTTTCCCGCAACATCACTCTGGGTAATGCCGTAGCAGCCTTTTCCACCAGCCTCCGCCAGATGCACAAACTGCAAACCTTCACTCTAAGATTATCTTCCGGATCAACCATCTACATCGAGCCAGACAATCAAACATGGATAGACACCATAAGATGTCTAATCACATCCCTACCAAAAACACTCACAAGTCTCACAATCGACAAGCTAAGCCAAACCTCAGCATTCATTGCTGGCCTTAAAAATCCCCACGGAGTCTGCAACGTTGTGCTAGCCAAAGACTCACTCCCCTCTCTCAAACACCTGCGGCTCCGAATACACAGCATATGCCCCTCTCTCTTCTCTCCTGAAACCATCGACTCACACAGTCATCTTGAAACTCTCGTCATAGCTCTCGAGACATACTCCCCGCAGCTCGTAGCGGTGCATCATGCTCATCAATGTACACCGCCACACCGGTCAGGCCGAGATCTGTTTGTTGATATGGTGGAGGCTGCGAAGAAGGCGGTGGAAGCGAAGTGTTTTCCGGATCTGAAGACGTTGAGGATTCTGGGATTTGATTTGCAGGCGATGGCGTTCGTTTCGTGTGATGTTGTGATAGGCAATGAGGTTAATGTTCCGGAGGGGGTGGACTGGGATGATGTGGATTGGGAGGGTCGAGGCAGGGTGGAAAATGATTTAGAGTTGACTAATTCGGATACGAATGGTTTGTTGGAAAGTTAGGAGATGGCCGAGGCACTGGGGGCAATACCATAGCACTGACGGATCAACTAGCTCTTTATGGTTGAGAAGCGCACTGGTTGTATTTGACCAAGTCATCTTATGATTCTTTTTTTTTCTTTTTTTCTTTACAGATATCTGTCTCCAGTCAGTATGCCATAATCCATATACGTCTACTCTACTCTGTATGGATCGGTGCATTTCTGTAAAACTCCACAAAGTCCCTAAACCTCGCTCTACTCCCATATATCTGCTGCATGACCAGTCGTACATCTGTCAAAGCCCTCGAGTGATGACTATAATGACAACTGTAAATGATCTCCCACCTCGGTGTTCCAATCAAATCCGAGATCAACGGCATCTCCACATCCCTCCTCCCCTTAATCTCCCTCTTCCTCAACCCATCTTTCAGCGCCTGTCGAAAGTTTCCTATCCTAGTTGTCACTTCATGACTCGCACCAAGAAACATCGCAATCTCAGGCATGACCGTGAATCTCTCAACCGGCACAGTTTGCACCTTCGACCAGTCGATTATCCCCGTGATGTTGAGATCCGCATCTACGAGAATGTGCTCAAAATGCAGATCAACATGGCAAAGTGGGAATGGACCATGACTGAACTCAGGGACAACCATCGCAGGGACCGCTTGTTCGAGTATCCATGCTGCAGTCGCCCAGTCATCGTCGCCTTCGTGGTCAGATTTGATCAGTTGTGTGTGGTTTTGCCGGTGGGTGTAGAAGTATTCGAGAGAAGTGGTGACTGGTTCTCCGCCACCGATAGGGGAGATGTATTCTTCCAAGTGGGTTTTATCGGCACCGAGTAGACGACCAATGGTTGAGAAACGAAGCTTACTCAACTGGTACATGTATTCCGCCAGTTGATCCGCAAGAGCAGCCCATTTCTTTGTCGGAATCGAGTTCTTCGAATCATGATCAATGATCCTACCGGGTAACATTTCCATCAAGACATATCGGAACCCAAATGCATTCGAGGGAGATACATCGTAGCCATACACTTCGGGTACTGGGATGTTTGTGTTGACACGGATGTATGTCATTGTTGCGACTTCGCTGAGTATAGATTCCTCAACCTCATCGCGACTGTCACTATCGTTGGGAAATCGTATGCGAACGATCCAAGATATTCCATCTGAGAATTTCACTTCCAAGACGAGATTTTGCATACCGCCTGCAAATCGAGTGGGATCGATGGTGCATTTCAAAGAACTGGAGGTATTCTTGTTGTCAGTCTCTGCGCGGAGTTTGAGTGCAGTGCTACAAAGGATAGGGAAGTTGGCCGCCGCAAGTAGCTTTGCAATGCTTTTGGTGTGTTCTTCATTATCTTCCCACTTCTGGAATGATTTCCAGTGATCGACAGAGCTTGCCATTGACGCTGGCTGGTGCCTGGATGTAGGTATCTGATCCCTGATACAAAGCGCTGGAGTACGAACTTGCAGTTCAATGGCGGAAGAGAATGAAAGGAGGGTTTCTCAACAGATATGTTCCGCTATTTCAGTTGTTCGCCTCGTGAACGGTTGGTTTCGGAAGCTGCAGCAGGCCACATGAGCGAGTATTGGAGACAGAGGTTTCTTTATGACTGCGAACAAGGACTGTCGTACCGTGAAGAGTGAAGTCTCGAACTCCAGAGTTCTTTTAGACTTTGGGTTTGTGCACGAATACAAATTGATGATCGCATGATCCGAGTCATGGTGTTCAATTAAGGACTTGGCTTGAAGAAAGACATGAAAACAAAGCAAGTTATGTTCAGCGTATTGAGGGAAAAATTGCTGCTGAGTTCCGACAAAAGCAGGGTGCTAACAACTCCCCGAGATGTTCTATTACTTGCAATGGAAACTATTAAGAACATGAAAAATTCGGTTCAAAGCAGACCAGAGACTGCCACCATAATGTTTCAAGATGTATACCCTCAGAAGCACCCAGAGAGTGCCAAGAGAAAATGCCTCATTGTGTTAGAGATATATGTGGACGATGCAAACTCATGTTCATCTGTTCATTAAGCTTCGTTCTGCCTAACCAACCCCAGAAAATTCAGTTCTCACAAAAACCCAAGGGCCACCACGGAACGGTCCGAGCAGAAAAAGCCAGCAGCCATAAGATATAATGGCGTGAGCAAAAGTGGAGATGACACGACCGAAAAGCCGACGACCAAGGTGTAAAAAACTTCGCAACAATTGAAATTGCTCTTGGAAGCGTCGAAAGCTCCCTCCATGCATTTGCTCGAACCCATCTTGCAGACTTCCGAATTAAAGGACTACAAAAGTCAAAAGCACCGGTATGTCTGTCTCCATTGCCACAACCACATCTTTTACCACATTGTTTTATCTGATCGCTGACCAAATGACACTGTCAACAGAAGTGGGGAATGGAGGGCAACGGAAATGGCTGCATGTAATTGACAACTTCGCTCTGGGTAGGTGCGGCGTTGTACATGCATCAAATGAAAGCATTTGAAGACTAGGAAAACAACTGAAAACCATGACCCATTATACGGTCCCCTTTCCAGATAAGGAAGGAAACCATATCTCGTGTTGATCTGATTCTAGTCTCAGCTCGTTCTCCACGGCAGTATTACTAGCATCAAATGTAATCCAATAGCTCTCTGACTAATAATTTTACTTTTATTCCTCTCTCTTTCCTTCTCGAGCGTCTCTCCTACTCCAGGTCTCCCGTCAAGGTCTCTTGTAAGGTCAGGTCTCCCCCCTCCAGGTAGGTCTCCCTTCCCTTTCTCTTTGCCGAGTGTTCCGAAAGTATATATAGTGTCATGAGTAGAAGAGGGTCTGTGTTTTACTTTGCGTTTAACTCGAACCATAGAAGGTCTGAGCTACTTAAGCCCTCCTACATGCCCCTGACACGCCAGTCTGTCTGCATTTTTCTTGACAAAATTACTGCAGGCTTTGTCTGAATTTTGTCTACAGTTTACTCCTACAGAAAATACAGCCAAAATGCAGACAAACTACAGTAGCTATCTGTATAAAGAACCCCGTACGGTGAATGAGTGTCGGCAGAGGGTATTCTCTGGTTTGGTTCCGGTTGCTAGAGAAAGCCAGCTTGTGATGACCATCAGATACAGCTCCTTGTCAAAACGAAAGGCAACCAAGAATGGACAACTTTGGCAATGATCAATCGCGACACAGTCTGGGAAGATCATTGCTATGAGCTTTTTGGGTAACGTTCACAGCCATGGTGTTGGTTTGGTTCTTGAGGAGACTTGATGCTTGCCAAGTGCAGTTGTTGATGAAGCTTTGTTGAATTTGTTGGACGAGGTCTATTTAAAGCCGGACTTCTTTCTTGTACCAAGATTAGCTCTCTCAGTGTTTTTGGTACCATATAACACAACTATATTCATAACTTTGGAAGTTTTTGGGCGTTCGTCTTAACATTGCTGCTCTTCTTGCTCAAAGTGTCCAGTGGTGGGGTCGGTGGATCAGCCGTACTGCCATGGTTGGAAGGAGCCCTGATGATGTTCTGTGCAATAATTATGCCCAGAAGTGAAATTCCGGCTTTGAGTTTTGGAGATGTTGCGACCTCGAATTCTCGTAGGATTTCGAGGTGCATACATGTCTGTCGAAGATGTAGCCGAGAAGTATGCTTTTGAACACGAAAATGCGATATACGATCAACTTCGGCTGTATATTTTGGAACGGTCTGATGAATCGAAAGATGGCATGACTGGTGCTTTCAGCGAATAGCTTATCCTCCGCCTTCGTAGGTGCAATCTCTGCTTTAATGGGTCTACATGCACAGCTCACCTATTTTCTAGCTTTGATACTATCTTCTAGGATCGAGTCCTGCGCACTTTGACTATCAGACACAAGATCCAGCTTCTTAGATTGTATAAGCGCAGCGCAAGCCGTGTCGGCGACAGTTTTGCTTCTTCCCTAAGGCGGTTCTCCATTGAAATTTGTAGCATACACTTCACTCGATTAAGCTCCTTGTTCTATTCTGTACCAAAGTGAGATGAGATCCTCTATTTCCATCAGTTTCGGAGTATCTTTCGAGTATGCGATGTACGTACATTCAACGCTATGTTGGACATCATTTCTAGCACGTGTCTATCTTCGATGCCGAATTCCCGGGTACTAGTATTCACTTCCGCAATCTTTCATTCTGAAACTGGCTTGGCATCTGTAATAAAACAATCTGTTGATGTGAGCGAAGCTTTCTGTACTTTGGACTTGGAGCTTCTGGGTTTCTGGTTGAGCAACTCTAGAAATTTATATGTCAATCGCTCAATGCTGATTGCCGTGCTAGCTCAGGCATTAGTATCTTCATTCTTTTCTTGCTGCGTTAACCTCCAACTAAGCTTTGTCGCATTCATCATGCATTTTCTAGACCATCATTGTGTCCTGTGTGGTCTTTGTTTTGATTTGCATTCACCTCTCGCTTAATTATAGCCTAGTTTTCTTTCCCACCTCCTCTCCACGTCTATATCAAGAGCATCTCCACCCTCCACGAAACTTTCTTCCAGAACAACAGCAAAAGACAAACAACAGTCAAGATGGCTACCCAACTCCCAGAAATGGAGAACGAGATCTCCTCCACCACCCTCAAAGGCCCCGATCTGAGGTTCCGACGCACTACGTTCTTCAAAGCCAGCCTCCACGAACTCACTATCACCACCTCAACCCTCACCTCCTGCATCCTAACCAACAGTACGATCTCAAGCTCCACCATCAAGGACTGTACCATCTCCAACTGCAACATCGCAAACTCCACGCTGGTCGACTGCAAGCTCACCAATTGCAACCTGCAAGAAAGCCCCTTCGTCAAATCCAAGTTGTCAGGATGCCAGGTTACGACTTCATCTTTGACATTGAGGAAATTTCCGTTTGAGCTGAGAGGCATGATATTCAAGGATTGTCTGAAGATTGAGGGTGGGAAGAGTCCACAGTTGATCGTTGCGTTGAGAGGCGACAAGGAACTTTATGAGCAGGCATTGGAGGTTTACTACAAGGTGAACTACCTCACCCTGCCGAACGATAACCAAATCGAATATCTTGAGAGAATATCTGCAAAAGCTCTCTCTAGGGTGAGCATGCTTAGAGTTAAGTAAGGAACTGTGATCGAAGCTCTTCTCAAAACAAGAAGTCTAACAGTCTTACAGCACGCCTCCCGAATACGAAGCAATTAAACTCCTGTCAAAAAAGTCCTCCGTTCGAACAGCTCTCGTGGTTAAATGTGAACATTTTCGTTCTCTGTGGACGGTCAGTCGCCTTATCGTATTCTTGGGAACCATAACGAAGCTTGTTCTAGAACTTGACACAAGCTGGCTGGGAGAGTATTACCGGGATGAATGGCACACAAGACTTGGCGTTAAAGGGAATCCCATCGATGGTGAGATAGATGGTTTACGCAATCTTTGGTGCTGGCAGGCCGAGGAAGGGAAAATCCTTGAACTGCACCTGATAGGTATGTTATCGTAGATAGGTGACTACATTTCTACACAGTTTTTGGTTGGCTATCGCCAAAGATTCAAGCACTGGCATGATTCAGGAAAGCCTCTAAGGAATCCAACGGTTGAGATCTCTCGCAACGCACCAGTTAAATCATCAAATTTCCCACGACACAAATACTCAAACTAAACTCAACTCCCTGTTTGATCCCCAATGATGACGCTGTGCTAGATCTCTCACTCTCAATCCCAATTTCTACTTTATCAAAGCACATGCCCGGAGGTTCCAAGTACTGATCCTGTGAGAGATGAAGTGGAGCAGAGAGCTGGACAGCGGAAAGACTCTGCTGATTTTTCAGAAAGAGATTTTAAGGAGAGGAGTTAGATGGTAGAGGAGCAAGGTTCTTAACACAGATAACAAGCATAAACAGACTCCTCTCTTTCCCTTTCTCTTTCATCTCCTCACATCTTAACTTCTATCACTAATCATCCACCAATTATCACTGACCTACAATTAGATTCACGAACCTCACCCACCTATTATTTCAAACAGTCCTAATTCTAACAGCTCACTGGTATTTACAAGATAATCCGAGTTAAAGACTCCCCGCCTGGTACAGCAAAGCTGCGACGACAATCCATAGTTATACTTGCCGACTGCGGTCTACGATTGGATTTTAAAAACGCAGGATTGAGCTGTACGATGTTTTCATGCCCCTGGTAAAGGAACAGAGTGCTTGCATATGGAATTTTTCTTGAAGTATAGAGAGAAGTGATGAGAAGACACTCTCTGTCAACTCTATACCTCGCCTGTCTATTCAAATCCTCCTCTCATCCTATCCCTTTCAATTACTCCCTAACAGTGCTCACCTTCATGGTTACCTCCCTCGTCTTCCGCATCTCCCTCCCTCATCTCCCTTCCACCCACTCAACTTACCCCAACCCAACCCAACCCAAGCCAAACCAAACCGAAGATTCCGCATCATCCTCACAGTTCTGCTGAGATGAGATGATCAGCACCTCCCTAAATGCCCGCCTGTAAATATGTATCACAGACTAAACCAACCCACCCTAAACTATACCAGACCAAGCCATTTCTCTCAAATCATCTCACCACATCATCTCCACCACTCAACTCAAAAATACGAACCCCTCCCTTCCACCTTCCACCTTCCCCACTCCCCCTCCTCCCATCTGTCTACATCTATCCAACCTATATATCCCACCCAAAACCAAAACCAAAACGAACAGTAATCCTCCCCTCCCACCTATCTACATCAAGTTCCATCCCATCCAAAAACAAAACAAAACAAAACGGTAATCCAATCGAGTCCAATCCATCCAAAACAGTCCAATCCAACCGAATCCATCCCAACCAACCCAGCCCCCCCCCCCCCCCCCCCCCCCCCCCCCCCCCACCCTCTCTCTCTCTCTCTCTCTCTCTCACTTACACCCACACACTTACACCCACACCCACAGCAGAGCATCCTTAAAGCAAGGATATGAATTCCAGTTCCTCTACATTCATATCATCATAATTAATATAATACTAGCTTCCTATTCTCAGAGACACAGGAGCTACTTCTCACAGACAAAAGGGGCTAGCTAACTTAGCTTTGCAGCAGAGCAGAGCAGAGCAGAGCAGCACAGATGAGTTCCAGCCCGAGTGCGAGTCGAACTCGTGATAAACCAGGGCTGCTAGGCTGGCTGGCTGGCTGGCGGGTGGGTTGAGATATGTTGGGTTGAGTTGGGGTGCGTTGGGTTGGAGTTGAGTCTGACTTAAATCTGGCATGTCTGTACAGTAAGTCCTACGGCTTGGTCACAAGGTAGACTTGGATTCTGTTGTAGCGAGTTTGTTCGAGGAGGTTGAAGACATTTTATAGATACGCAGCAGAAATGATCAGGTTGGCAAGGCCTGCCTAGCTAGATTTAGTTTCAATTTTTGTATATTTTTTGGTCTTCTAGCTTTTGTGTCGCTCTCTGTGTCAAGCGGAGATTTTCAATTCTCATAATTTCACACTTTCACTTTCCACTTCCAGTCTTCTTTTTTCCCTATCTCTTCCCTCTCTCTCTATCTCTCTCTCTAACATACACCCACCCAACCAACCCAACCACACACAACCACAAAACTACCAAAAAAAAATTTGAGCTGAGTTAGCTCCCCCATCTCTGATCTATCCCACCCCCACCTGTAAACTGACAAAAGAACAAACAAAGATCGTCGACTCCTGGACGCCACCTATTATGGGAGGAAGAAAAACTGTATACATGTACGCAAGTCCAGTGCCAAACGTGGCGTTCTCATACATACGTCAAGGTATGTAGGTATGTATGTATGCCGCGCGTACATGAGTAAAAAAAACATCCACCAACACCATCGCCATGCCAAACAAGCAAGCAAGCAAGCCAAGCAAGCAAGCAGAAAAAGAACTCTCAACTCCCACCCCCACATCTCACAGCCCCCACTCTAATGCGACTTCCCCAGACTCTGCAAATTCACCAACTCAGAGTACCTCCCCCCCTTCCCCATCAACTCATTATGCGTCCCACTCTCCACAATAACGCCCTGATCAAAAACATAGATAATATCCGCCTTCTGAATGGTACTCAACCGATGCGCAACCGCAATCGTCGTCCTCCCCTTCGCAGCCTCATCCAGCGCCGCCTGCACGACGTGTTCCGATTCGGAATCCAGCGCCGAAGTAGCTTCATCCAGTAAGAGAATCTTAGGGTCGCGGAGGAGCGCACGCGCGATGGCGATACGCTGCTTTTGACCGCCTGACAGCATGGATCCCTTGGAGCCGACGACGGTGGCGAAGCCGTCGGGGAGGGACATGATGAAGTCGTAGATGTTTGCTTCGCGACAGGCGAACTCGATAGCTTCGTCTGGGACGTCTTCGCGGTCGGCGCCGAGGAGGACGTTCTCGCGGATGGTACCTTGGTAGAGGGTTGGTTCTTGGGAGACGAGCGCGATGTAGGAGCGGTAGTCGTTGAGGTTTAGGCTGGAGATTTCTTTGCCGTCGACGTAGATGCCGCCGACTAGGGGGTCGTAGAACCGTTCTAGGAGTTGGATGGTGGTTGATTTACCGCAGCCGGATGCACCGACCAAGGCGATGTATTGGCCGGGGGCGACGGTGAGGTTCAGACCGCGGAGGACGGGTTGTTCTGGTCGAGTGGGGTAGCGGAAGTGGACGTCGCGGAACTCGATGTTACCCTCGACATGATCGAGGCGTGCTCCATCTTCAGACCAGGAATCAATTGTAGGCTTTCGGTCAAAGAGAATCTTGAGTTCTTGTGCTGCTTGCTTCGCCTTGCCCATATCCGCTGCTTGAAGTTAGTACTGAACGAGGAAGTCGTGAAGAGAAAACTTACGTGCGAAGGAGAAAATGGTACCAGCAGACTGGGCACCGAAGATGACGGCAGAGAAACAGACAAAGAATTGAAACAGGTTGTACTCTCTATCAGCGATACGTTGTCCTCCGTACCTAAAAATCGTGAGCCACGTTCAACAAATATGTACGATGAACTTACCAGAAGCCAAGGGCAACGCAAGCAAACATGAGTGATTGCGATGCGGCATACAGAAGCGAAGACTTCAACACGGAGTTCAAACTCTTCTTGGACTGAGCATTGATAGAATCGATGTAAATCTTGAGCACATCCTCCTCCCTTGTCAAAGAAGCAACGGTTCGGATAGCGCTGGTAGCTTCACATGCGAAGCTGGCACTGGTTTCGTATGCCTTCTTTGCTCTAGACTGGAACTGTGCCAACATCCAGAAACGGAAGAAACCACATCCAAGAAGAACAGGAATGGTAGCGGTACAGACGAGGGCGAGCTTCCAGCCGATGGCCGTACTAACAGCAATAGCCGCGATTAGGGTAGTGATAACTGTAAGAAGCGTGCCAAGGGTAACACCGGAAAGACCAGCCACATGAGTTGTCTGTGTGCTAAGGAAGGAAGTCAATGCTCCGGCGGTGTTCTCCTCCTTGTCGAAGAAAGCAATGTCCTGTCTCAGCATAGTTCTGAAAGCTCGGTCCCGAACTCGGTGGATGAGTCTCTCGGAACAGTATGCAAAGGCAACACCTTGGCCACAGAATGCAATGAACTGAACGATAGCAAGCATGAGGTACATGAGAGACCAGAAGTCGACATCATCGCGTAGACGGCGACGAGCTCCAGGAATCTCTGCACCAGTAAGAGAGTTCTCAAGTGGAATGGATAGCGAGATAATTTCCTTGGCGAAGAAGACTGCTTGGACAGGGTTGCCTCCACCACAGATGATGGAGAAGAAGAGACCAATTAACATGAGTCCAATTTCGGTCTTGTTGAAAGAGGCAATGAGTTTCAATAATGTCCAGAGAGAATCGTGCTGTTCGCCAGGTGTAGCGCGGCCTTGTAGTGCCAAGGATGACTGTGATTGCCGTGTGCCGCTACGATTCAACTTATCACCGATGTTCTTGTCATCTGGATCCTCCTCGTATCCTAGACTCTTGTTGGACTTCTGTCGGACAAGGGCATCGTCTCTGGCATCAAGTTCGGCTTGCTCCTCAGGTGTCATTTCTTGTGTTGCGGCGATCTTCTGAGCTTCGACCAAGTTGTAGTAAGCACCTTGTTTTAACAGCAATTCGTCATGGCTTCCCTGCTCAACAATGCGGCCTTCAGTCATGACAACGATATTGTCAGCATCCTTGATAGTCGAGAGACGATGAGCGATTGTGATGGTTGTACGTCCGGCAGCAGCAACTTCGAGAGCAGCTTGTACCACACCCTCGGATTTTGTATCCAATGCAGAGGTAGCCTCGTCGAGAAGCAAGATCTTTGGATCGCTGACCATAGCTCTTGCAATTGCAATACGTTGCTTCTGTCCTCCAGACAAGAGGAATCCACGTTCTCCAACATTGGTTTCGTAGCCTTCAGGAAGTGCGGTAATGAAATCATGGGCATTGGCCATCTTGGCAGCTTCATAAATGAGCTCCTTGCATCGCTCCTCATTTTCATTCTCATACTTGGTTCCGATCAATCCGTGGGCAATGTTCTTATAAATCGTGGTACCGAAAAGTGTAGGTTCTTGGCTGACCAACGAGATCTGTTGGCGCAACCAGCGGAGGTTGAGAGTGCTGACATCGTGTCCATCCAAGAAAACTTGTCCACCAACTGGGTCGTAGAAACGTTCAACCAATCCAACAATTGTACTCTTTCCACTTCCAGAAGCACCGACCAAAGCAGTCTTCTTGCCAGCTGGAACCAGGAGGCTGACATCCTTCATGACAGTAACTTCTGGTCTGGATGGGTAGATGTGCTTAATGTTTCGCAACTCGATCGTGCCCTCTACGTGGTCCAGAACCTTGCCAGCAGTTGAAGTAGGATCCAATGGGGAGACACGATCGATGGTGTTGAAGATCTTTGCTGCAGCAGAGATGGCCGTGGTGAAAGCTTGAGCATTGGGGGCGACGTTTCCAAGGGCGAATGCTCCAATCATGATGGACATCAAAATGGTCAGAATAGCAGCAAGACCAATCTCTCCACCGACCAAGAATCTGCTTCCCATCCAGAAAGCAAGGCCATAATTCAGGTAAATAACCATAAACATGCCACCAACCATGATAGCCAGTGCAAATTTGACCTTGTAGCCATACTTCTCAGCATTCGCCAGATGGGCATCATACTGACGAGCAAGCTTGTCCTGGGTTCCAAAGGCAGTAGCATTTCGAATGGAGGAAATGACCTCCTCAGCAATAGTTCCTCCCTCTGCATACGAAGCCAAAGATTGCTTGCTGTACTTGACAATGAAGCTGGATCCACCACCCATGATAACCACAATCGCGAAGACCGTAGAGGAGAGAATCAAGGTCAATTTCCAGGACTTGATGAAACCAATAACGAAAGCCGTAATGAACGTCGCCAGCGCATTAAGTGACAATCCAACTTTCTCGGAAATACCATCTTGTACGAGATTCGTATCGGCCGTGATTCTCGTCGTAATCTCTCCAGAACCAAGTTTGTCGAAGAAACCAATATTCTGCCTCATGCAAGCCTCGAGGTAATGCCCTCTGATCTTGCCACTGATATGCTCTCCGGTATAGATGAATCCAACAGTCGAAATATAGATAGTGACAAACTCCGCGATTCCAATGTACACGAAATACAGGACACTGGTTACGATCGTATCGTTGAACTCCTTCCTCGACGTCGTACCAGCAAAATACCCATTGAACTGCCCAGCCAAGTTTCCAAAAACGACCGTCATAAGAGGCAGCGCCGCACCCGCGGCAATCGAGCATATAGCGCTGATAACCATGATTATGATATCGTTGGTGGTCGAGTACCGGTACAGGGTCTTCCAGCCCGACTTGACGACTGGAATGTTGATTTGTCTCTTGAGGATCTCTGCCTCTGCGGGCGGCAGATGCGCGTAGATGTCCTCCTCATCTTTGACGTCGACGTTTAAGCTGGAGTCGATCTTGGTGAGAGTTGCTGGGTCGGAGGGAGGAGAGGGGACCTGCGAGGTCTGGCCGGCGGTTTCTTGTTTTCGTGTCGAGTCGTGGCCGTCTGTGGAATCTCCATCGCCTCGACTTGAGGCCTGGTATGATTCGACCGCGGCTTTCTCTGGGTCGCCAGCCATGGAAGGCGGCTTGGGATTGAGGACTGGCTTCTGTGGTGTTTTGCTGATTGATTGTCTGCGAGAATGAAGTCGTGAGAGCTATGGAGTTTCTGTTATCTGTGCAAGCAAGATATCGTGGAGTTTGGTTGGTTTCTTGAATGCGAATGCGAATGGAATGTCAACAGGGCGAGGCTGTTAACAAAGCAGGTGGAAGGTGGGGCTGAATGAACAGTGCACCAAGGGATAGTAGTAAGTAAGTAAAGAGAGGGAGGGGTGCAGCTCAGTAGACGAGAAAACAGAAATGGTGAAATAGAGCAAAAAAGATGGGAGAGGGAGGGCCAGGCAGATGTAATGTAGTTGACCACGAAACGAGGGTCGCAGTTTAGATTTCCCCATTAGATTAGTTTGTCGCCTTCCGCTTTGCGCTGCTGCGTAGGCAGAAAAGGTGGAGTGGTGCTTGCGGTGTGTGTGTGTGTGTGTGTGTGTGTGTGTGTGTGTGTGTGTGTGTTCGAGTTATCCACCGCTCGGGAAGAAACAAGTCCGCTTGTGCAGAGGAAGAACAAGCACTCGTCAAAATGACGCCGCCGACGCCACAAAGACCCTCGGAAGGGGAAGAGGAAGGGGAAGGGGAAGGGGAAGGGAAGACGTTGCGCGTATTCGTGTGATTGAGTTTCGGATCCATTCCGACGCAAATATTAATCTGTAAGCCAATCTGGCGAGTCTGGCTCACTAAGTACTGTACTGTACTACTGTACTGTACTACTGTACTACTGAGTAGCGTCTCGGTCTCGTTCCCCCTGCGAGACCCTTACTTTACCTACTTTGACTGTAAATTACGTTACAGATCCTGGGCATACAAAAACATGAGCACGGCATGGCAAAGGAACGACTCCACCATGCATGCACAAGTGTACTTGTAACTTCTCGCCACACCACGCTCCTGAATGAATCTCTCACCGCATCTTATTTTTTACGAAGGTTACTACATGAAAAGGTAATGTAACAATACACTATAACGACAGGAGCAGCAGGTACGGGGTGAGTCAAGCAAATCTTTTCTGAGATCTTACATTGTTGCGCCCTGTTGATCCTACATGTGGCTTGCCGGTGCGGTGTGATTTGGCTGAATGGGGAATACGATTCAGAACCCGAGAACGCGAAGAACCTGGACGCAAACAATGACTGAGAACATTACCCCTTTTCAAGAAGAGATAGAGCGGAAGGCAGCTTCGAATGACGATTGATGAGGATGAGTAGCCAATACAGTCCTTTGACTCAATTAGTTGGACTTCGGGGACTTAGAACTTGGGACCGGACAGTTCTGGTGCCCGTCTGTCTCCTGATTCTGACAGTGACAGCAAGGCAACAAACACCCCAAGACTACAGTACTCCTACCACTTGCTTCCTTCCAAGATTCAACCAACAATGGAATCCACCATATCGTATCATATCCACCCTACCTAGACTTCCAAGTTCCAAGCAACCACCCAACACTCCCTCCCTCTCATCTCTGTAATCTCCCAAAGCAGTAATCACGAAGTTGCCAATATCAGACCCAGGCCTCTGCCTCCACTCCACATCCGTCCACCTCCAATACCTACGCGCATCCAATCCTATCCAATTCAACAATCCAATCCAAAATTCCCCCATCCCCTCAAGTCTCCGTACCTTAGCCAACAGTCAAAAAACATCCTGTATACAGGCCCAACCGATTGGCCGACCTCCCCTCCCCAACTCCTCACCCATCCCCAACTCCCTCCCATTCATTGGTTCCCCACCTCACAAGCAAACCCCTACCTACCTTACCTACTGTAGGAATGGAATTATGCATATCCCCGGATATTTTATGCAAGGGAAACCAACCCCCCCCCCTTCCTCCCACCTCCCCCACCACCCGCACCCACCACTTAATTGGATCGGGTGTCAAAACCCGTCTGCTTACATAAGGTAATGCGGTTCTGGGAGGGGAGCGAGGGGAGGTCAGAGGGCAGGGCAGGTTCGGAGACTAGATTTCCCCGTGATGGGTGTTTGTTGGAGTCCGAGGTTGTTTTTTTTGGGGGGGGTGGGGGAGTTGTGGATTTCTTTTTTTTCGGTGGGTGTACGGTACTGGACTGGACTCGTAAGATTTACTCGGTATGAAGATGTCCTAGGTGAGGTATGAGATTTGAGACGCGTGACGTTGCTGTTGCTGGGTTTGGGGTTTTGGGGGGTGTGAGAGCAGGTTGTTGTTGTTGTGTCGTCGTAATCTCGGGGGGGGGGTGCGAGAGAGAACTTGACTCGTACTACTGTACTGTACTGTACCTACGAAGCGTACTGCACGCAGGTTGATGGAGATTTTGGTGGGGTTTGGACTTGGACTTGGACTTGGACTTGGATTTTGGAGAATCTTCTAAATCTGGAGTTATCGGGGTTGATGGAGTTATCGGTGAAGTGTAAGTACTCTTGTATTGGAGTGCATTGAAGCGTGGTTGGAGTGTAGATGTCTGTGAGGAGGGGTAAAAGGTAAAAGGTATACTATGTTTGGGAGAATTAAGCTTGAATTCTTGCTTGGTCACTGCAAGATACATGTGTTTTTCTCTAGCTAGTGGATCATAATCCCTTCATAAGTAGATGTAGACTTGGAGTGTCAAAAGCAGAAGAAGGCCCTCTAAGAATTCGCCAATTCAGAAGAAGGACCTCTAGTAAGGGATATCCTGGGGACAATTGAATGGATCGGTCTTCTCCCGTCCGATCAATTACGCCTGGAAAATCCAGGTGAAAGATATTGAAGTCGGTTATCTCCTAATATAGAACTTCTCCTCGACCACTTCTTCATTTTATTTCATTATGGTGGCTCTTGTTGGGTTGTTTGCTTGCTCGGATATTGTCGATGAGAAACACTTCATGGACTTGCATCTCCGAGAAGTCTTAGAAGCGGAATTTATTCATAGAGTCAAGGTCTTCTGTCTCCTTAATTTTTAATCATAGACTCAACCAATGCCTTTGCAAGTAGACATTGAGGGCATGTGTGCATTTATGTACAGTCACCTGACCTTTAACTCCCAAATGGGACATATCTGTCGGCGCTTTAACAGCCCTCACTCTCGAGCCACAACCCTGTAAAGCAGCGCTTTGAACATGGATTCGGTTCAGCCTCGCGTTGTTCCCTTGACATCTTGGATATTTTGATTTTGGGAAGCTCCAGGACTCAAACATCATTTCACAAACCACAGCCCAAACCTTGACTCTGTTCGAAGTCGGTCTTATCTTGAAAGCTCCTACCCCATACACTCCCTTTCGAATCCGACAAGATGGTGGGCAAGAAATCGGGGAAGGCGCTCTTGCGCGAGGAAGGTACGACCAGCTTACCCAGATCAAAACCCTCAGAACTGACCTGCGCAACCCTCCAGGACTCCAACGTACAGACAACAACATGAAGCAATCGAGTTGGCCAGAAGTGCCAATGATCAACCAGAAGAATTACTACACGTACGTCTCTGTAGCGACTGTGATTTCAACGAAGCCGATTCCCTCAACCCCAACACGCCCTAGCTTCAATTCCTTTCCATATCCAGCGCAAAGCTTCTCTATGCATCTTCTAACTATTTCTTAGGGAGTACATGAAGCGGGATGATCAGATCCTCCCATTCCGCCTCCAAAATGACGCCAATCGGGATAGAATGATCCGCAACGCCAAAGACAGAGACCGAGAACTCGCACGCACAGGAACCACCGACGTCCCAATCCCCACCAACGCCGACGGCGACGAAGATGGAGATGAGGCAGGCGACGGGGCGGACTTCTCCAAGATCATTGTCATCCACCCTGGCAGTCAGAACCTCAGGATAGGTCTCGCGAGCGATGCCCTGCCCAAGAGCATTCCTATGAACATAGCCTGTAAATGGAAGGAAAGCGAGTCGCAGGAGTACGAAGCGCGGCCAAAACGCCAGAAGTTAGATGGTACGCCAGAACAGCTCTTTGGAGAGGAGTTCTCGAAGAGGATTACGAAGATGGCGAATGCGCTGAAGGTTGACATGCGCGCAAATAAGTTCAAGGTTCTGCCGAACTCGAAGGAACTGGTTATCAACTTCAATCGACGGGCTGTGCCTGAGAAGATTCCGGAACATAATGATCCTATTCGGATTGAGTGGACGGATGTCGCGAAGGATGATAAGAGTACGGCTTCGTACTTTACTGGTATGGAGGCTCTGAGGATTCCGGACGACTCCGATCCTCCTTACAAGATGTTTTGGCCAATCCAGCAAGGATGGTTTCACGAAAACGATTACCTGACCAAAGAGCACTTGTTTGATGACTTTGAAGCTGTCGTAGAATCAGCCATACGGAAGGAGCTCGGCTTGACACATAGCTTGGAGTGGGAGCAAATGAGTTGCGTTATTGTCATACCGGACCTATACGACAAACGATATGTTGAACAAATTCTGGAGATGTGTATGACTGGATTTGGATTTAAGCAAGTTGCTTTCGTCCAGGAAAGTTTAGCCGGGACCTACGGTGCTGGTTATACCAGTGCTTGTATTGTTGATATTGGGGCTCAGAAGACTTCCATATGCTGTGTCGAGGATGGCATGTGCATTGAAGATTCGAGAATCAACCTGAAGCAGGGTGGCGCCGATGTCACGGACACCTTCATAAAAATGATGCTACACGATCACTTCCCATACTCCGATATCAATCTCAAGCGCAGATATGATTTCTTGCTTGCCGAGGAGCTCAAAATAAGTTACTGCACACTTAACTATTCCGAAATTGCAGGTCGAACGCACGACTTCCATCTTCGGGTTCCGAATCAGCCAACACACAAGTACCAATTTAAGACGTATGACGAAGTCATCATGGCTCCCATGGGTTTCTGGGATCCATCCCTGTTCGATAATAGCCATAAACTGGTTGGTCGTCGAAAGTTCATTGACCGTTCATACAATGCGTATGATGTCGACATTCCAGATGACCCTTCATCTGCAGCCCAGCTTGCCATATTGACTAGCATCAAGCCCTCAATCGCCACGACAGCAAACGGATTCTCCATGAATGGCAATGCTGAACTAGCCACTCCATCCAAGGAGAAGCCCAATCCGTTTCTCTCCCGTATGGAGAGCGAAACCAACGGCTATTCCCGTGTCACCTCAGCAGCCGGATCCCCAGCACCAGAAGGAGCAAATACTCCCATCCCATCCGGCCCGGTCGTATTCGGCGGGAACGGTACAAACGGCGGCTCTCCAGGGCCAAGCGGTAATCCCTATCAATTTGGGAACGGAACTCACAACAGCGGTACTCCAATCCCCCCTGGAATGTTCGTCGACCAACACGCTCGCACTCAAAAAGATCTCGCCATCGAGCGTGACTCAATCCTTCCCATCGCCCCTCTCGACCAAGCCATCCTTACAAGCATCACGCACGCCGCTCGTGGCGACGAGAAGAAACTGCGTGACTTCGCTGGCGGTATTATGGTTATTGGCGGCGGATCCAAAACACCTGGCTTCGGACCATTCCTCGAGGAGAAACTCAAAGCTAAGAGACCTGATCTCGCTGAGAAGCTGCTCGTGGGCTCGGCACCTAGGGATATGGATGGGCAGGTTGTGGTCTGGAAGGGAGCTAGTGTTTATGCGAGGATGACGACGCATGAGAGTTGGATGGGAAGGTTGGAGTATGAGAGGTTGGGGAGTCGGGTCTTGCATCATAAGGTTCTGTGGAACTACTGATGGAGATGCAAAAACTTGATGTTTGGACTGATGGGAGGATGTGAGGTTCTCTTGGGATCTAGGCGTTGGTTAGTTGGTATGAATCACATACATGCATGCATGGCGTTTTAGGGCGAAAAGCGGTATCTTTGATAAGGATGGGTGGATCAGGCGTTTGGAGCTGGAATGGGAAATTCAAATCAGATGTAGGGACTGGACTGTTGGATGGACATGTAAAATTTATCATTGGCGGAAAAGTTTGGGGCGAGAGAAACAAGTTTAGATGTGTGGATCGAGATGAAAAGTTAGGAATAGCTACAGCATTGTCTAAGTAACAGAGTCTAGGTAGTTAGCAGAAGCAATGAATAGACATGAGATATCTCCAGCCTACTCAATCGCTCACTCGAATTCAATTTGAAAGACCTACTCAATCACGAAATTGGAATTTGTGATTAAATTCCCCTCTCTTCCTCTTCCCCTTCCTCTCCCCTCCCTAGCTTAACTTAACTTCTCCGGTAAATATACCCCCAACCCTCAATCCCCCAGTCCTAATTAAGTTCGTCTTCAAGAGTCAAGACACTTTCTCGCTGCCTGCTCTACTACACACGGATACTATCCTACCTACCCCACTCACCATGTGAGGTGGAAGAAGAAGAAGAAGAAGAAGAAGAAGAAGAAGAAGAAGAAGAAGAAGAAGAGTCGGGGAGGGATGAGATGAGATGAGCTGAGATGGTTGTGAATGTAGTGTGCACCTTGGGGAAGTGTAAGATATAAATTCGGGTGGGTGAGTTAGTGATCAAGTGCGTGAGTAGATTCCACTTTTGTCAGGAGTGAGCTGAGGTGTATAGTGACAAGGAATTAATAGGTTGGTTGATAGTGAAGTGGAAGATGACAGTGCGTACTCTTAGTCAGATGATACATACTATTATTTAGCGTCCTCATATCACTCTCTTGGATCAATCTAACTTGACTTGAATACTGAGGAAAGCAGTTCTGTGAGAAATAGGAGGATTACTATTGGGGTGCTTGGGCCTGCTCAAGAGGGGGGATGGGAGGAAGGCTATTTCGCAGCCATGGCAGCTTGAGATTCAGGTCGTTATCAAAACCATCGTATTGCTTGGTGTTTGATCTGTAGAGGGAGGAGGGGAATATATACTATTTATCAGGGAGTAGAATGTAGGCGTGGTTAATTTGGGGTTTGACAAGTGTGGTGAATAAATACGAGAAGTCAATTATGTTTGTTGATTCGAGGTCCACAACCCACGCCCCCCCATCTGCTTCTCCAAATACAGCGCCTAAACATCATTTTTGGTTTCAATAAGTTCTTCATTCACTCCCCGAAGCTCTCAGAGTTGAAACTTCCCTGTCCCAAGGCATGAAGAACTCAGGATAAATACCTCTCTCTCGTTAGCAAAGCTGTCTCAACAAAAGACGCAAATTCTGCTCCTCCACACCATTGTGTGAGCTTAAGTTCGAAGCAGAGCTCGTCAGGTAGATTTTGAAGACTGAGGGTGGAATTGATAGCTCTTGTCATGTTTGAGATATACGAGTGAGGGTTATTCGAATTTTTGTGGTCAATTTTTGCTTGCTGTGGGGGTTTTGATATCCTGGTTGTAAATCGGACGGAAAATAGGGGAGATTGACGATGGAGAGTTCATTGACGACAAATAAAACTGGACCTAAAAGTCAAGGGTTGAGTCCACGAGAGTCAGGAAAGAATCTCTGGAAATAAGAGAAGACTGAAGTTGCCGCTTACAGGGCGCAATCGAGGACAGGGAAGTTGAAGATGACCGCAGCGGTAGTCCTTCATCACTCTCCAAGACATGGCAAACTACCATGATGGAAGTTTCTGTCCAGTTCTTAGTTTGCCTATGTTCTGGCTGTGTATCGCCAAGTCTTCAATTTATACCTATCGTCCACAAATCTAGAGCTTCACCATATACGAATGCAGATTCTTGAATGGTGAATCGTATAATTGAAACATTCACCGCAATAGGAAACTTTCCTTGTTTCTTTGGCGAATTGTTTACAGAGAGAAAGTTCTCGGATTGGGAAGGACATATATAAAGTCCTTCAACTGCGGCTCTGAACCTGCATGCAAACCGAGACATAAATGACTGGGATTACATGTGGATCGTCACAGAGAATGAATATTCGAGTAAACTTAGGTTTTTGGGGTAATTCATAGATTTTTTTGCGACATCTTTTAGGATGAGTTGGCCAATTTGAGTTGTTGAGGAAGATCTTTGCTCTTTTGATTAGCGTTCCTTCTGTGGGGAGAATTGGCGAGTGATGAAGGTGAGATTTTGACAGCGAAAAGGTAGTTAACAGTGATCTCAGGAAACCCGAATTTTTATCAGGGAGAGTTTATTGTCCCAATGTCTGATTTTTGAGCCTTAAATCAGAACCGTGTAAATCAGTTCAGATCAAAGTAAGGGTTTAAACAAGAATCAAAACTATCAGAGAATCGAGGCTGCTAGGGATCAACCAGCTCCGTCCTTAGGACTTTGACGACTGTCATCCGGTTTCCTTACCTCCCTCTCCGTACATAGAAGAGCCTTATTTATACCTTTCTGAGAATCGGCCCATCAGCTGCCTATCGAGTGCATGGGTAGATAACGAACGCAGCAGATTTTCTGGTTTGAAGAGCTGAAGCATCCTTAGAACGCTGTCTCGATAATTGATACTGTTCGCAGTGACAGTTTGTCAAGAGTGTTCATTAAGTGATATAACTAAGAGCTACACAAGGCAAGGCAGGCAAGTCGATTATCCATTGTTTGTTTACTCAAATATGTAAGCGAGAAGCGAGGCTGAACCAACCAGAGCCTGAATTCACCCCTGACTCCAAGTGATTGATGCCCTGAAAAACATGATTCCGATTTCGTGTGACACTTGATACGATTGAGGTAAGAAATGCAGTCAGACCTGGTAAATTATCATTTCTTGCATCTTTCCAATTCGCTGCCCAGCTAACCCGCGGCCACCAAACGTCATCACACCACGAACAAATCTCTCCCTCTTCTCGAAATCGACACCACTCCACTTAAAATATGAAAATAGAAATTCAGCCATAATGACCCATTTCCAAAGCTTATCGGCAGCTCTTTAGCAATAGATGCAACAACACATGCATTAAATAGAACAGTTTAGTGCCGGCACGGGCGCAGGCTATTCCTTCAACAACTCAAGCGCTGAAGTCGACTTTCAGATAATCGGTCAAGCTCCGACTCAATTTGTCATGAATCAGATGCTATAGATTCTCCAGGTTGTGGTGAGCTCGACGAATGGGTACTCGGCGTTCATGACCAGTGGACATGCAGGGGCAAGTGTTTTATTGACAGTCTGTGTGAATGGTGGGTGTATCTGGCAGTTTGTTAGTGCTCAGGGAGGAAGAGATGAATCATATAGCTCATGGACTGGTTGAGGACTCTAGATATCGTTTAGATAGGAACGATAGAAAAGTATAACACCACGTTCATTCGCATATTCTTAGCTCTGTACCCAGCAACCGGGTGCCATGATACACTCCTCTATGCGGCGCCTCAGCTATGCTGAAACTTTCCATGTCATATCCTTCGCTTTTGGTCGGAGACTTAAATAATTCTGAACGTTCCACGAGACTAGTCACTACTAAGAAGTTGCAAAGATGACTGGAGACAGTAATCATTCACAACACGGACATCTAACCTATGATTTCAGGGTTGGTCAATACTCAATGAGATATATGCATATTTAAGTCGTCTCTCCCTGCTCCTTTATCTCGCACTTTTCGACATCCCAAAATATTGACCGCTCGGTCCGTTCCAACAAAAAACTCATCAAACCTCTGGTGGTCGCATAGCTAACTCTCCAAACAAAGGTCCTGTACACCGAGACACAGAACTCTTGAACCAGCCTACCATCATGAACGCGCCTTTTTTGAATATGCTGCGACAGCAGGCAGGTATGCAGCCTGGAAATAACCAGAACCCCGCTCTCAACCAATACAACGCAAACAACGCAAACGCGACAGGGGGCGGTGGTCCCATGGGCGGCGGTGGTATGGGTGGTGCCCAACCTCCTCAGATCCCAGGGATGGCGAATGCAGCAGGTGGTGGCATGGGTCAGATGCCTCAACTTCCAGGACTGGGAAATATGGCCGGTGGGGGTGGTATGGCTGGTTTTCAACCTGGCGTACCCCCAGGAGGAATAGCAAACATAGGAGGTGTTGGCGCCTACCTTCTTGGTACCCCTTATCCTGTAAATCGTTCTCAAATCATGAATCGAATGACTGGCGGAGGTATGCCTGGGCTCGGAGGCATGCGTGGGCTCGGAGGTGGAGGAGTTATGCGCAATATCCATGGCCCACCAACCTCAGGAGGTTCCAGAACGAGAAATCCACTTCGGAACAGGAGGTCAGGAAGATCATCAGGAAGATCATCAGGAAGATCATCAGGAAATCGAAGTGGAGATAGTGGAAACTGGGGAAGACTTGGACCTAATCAAGGTATTGAACAAGAACCAAAGCAAGAATGGTTGGTTATCTGTCATAACAGGAAGTGCAAGGCTAGGAAGAAGTACTGGACACGGTATTTCGATCATGAGCGTATTCCATGTCATAAGTGTAAGAAGGGGTTGCTGGCTCCGGCTTGTCTGGTGGAAGATGAGTTCTAAGTAGAAGCTGGCATGAATGGAGGTAGGGGTTTTTTTACGTGGTTTTAAGAGAAAAATATAATTGTTGATCCCCATGACATTTACGACCTGAAATGTTACTTGTGGACAGTCAACATCCAACTGGAATGTGTGGTCGGCCAGTTCAATCGTGAGGCGTCCCGCGGCGAGGCGTTGTTAGAAATTCCAAACCAGGGTTGAGGGCTTTGAAGAGACTTGAGTCCAGACTTGACTCGAACCTGAACGGACTTGGTTCGCGTTCAGAATATCTCGGCTCGCAATCGCAAGTGGAGTTAATCCTGTATCAATCAAATGATAGAATATCACATCTACGGTGTAACAAATGTAAATAATATTCAAAAGTGACCTTTGACTTGACTTAGCTTTTATGTTACTAGACTTCATTTACTAGCTTTGAGCCTCTGAAAGCTCTACTCGAAGTCTTTACTTAGCTAGATATGATACAAACTCGAGTCGAACTCGGGAGCGTCCCGAAACTATCCAAGATCAGTAGTTACAAGAGAAATACCATAGAATTATCCGCTGTCTTCAACTTCTTATGACTGAAACAAGTTATCGTTCTCTTCTGCACTAAATGGGGTTTCGAAAAAATAGGTCTCAGAGAGGTACTTGAACTTTACGCCAACATTCTGGAATACTGCCTTGAGATCGTCCATATCGGAAAGCGGTCCATAGCAAGATCCGTCGTTAGACCAGAGCTCGGTCGGCTGATACCACACGATGACTCTTCTCAAAGCAGTGAAACGGGTCTCTTTGGTAGTCGCTAATTGATGTAATCTGTCAAGCCGCAGTAATCTGTTCACATCTTTTCCTGGCGGCGTTGCCAGCATCGTAAATTGAAGTTGTAGCTCTTCTAGACTCGCCGGCAAGACATCGACCAGAGTTGCATGCTTATCGCTAATAGTGAACAGTAAGTCGTCTGGTATGGCTAATTTCTTCAATCTGGGATATCCTGCCAGGCCACCAAGTAGGGATGTTTGACAAAACTCAGCAGTGTCGCTCGAGGCGATTTCCAAACGTACCAAGCTTTCAGCATGTATGCCAATTGCCTGACCCAACATAGCAGGTTCTATACCCTTGGAACAGCGATATGAAATTTTCCATGGAGTGTGTATCTCGAGAGCAAATCGCTCCAATGCCTTTATGCAGTTAAGCATGTTCGGAAGACAGCCAAGTTGTTGTTGATCGCAATCGCGAAATTGAAGGTCAGTAATGAGCGATGACCTCGATGGATACATGCCGAACTTTTGACTGAAAGCAGAATCAAAGGTTACCCCTTCTACGAGCAGTCTTCGCAGCTGAGGGGCCCAGAATACATGCTCGATTATGTCGAGTGGACCTGGGACTTGTGCATTGCCATCATGGTCTCTGCCGTTGGAAAAGTTCAAATGCAATGTCTGTAGAATTGGAGATGCCAACATGGATAGCCCAAAGTCATACGGTGGAGGTTGAAGAGATAGTATTTGGAGGTTCGGAAGCAGTCCAAGGAGGTTCGCATGGTCCCCAAATCGGCTTTCCCCAAATCGATACCGCAAATCTATGGTAAGTCGCAACACGTAAGGTTGGAGATGCGGTTTTCTAGTGAGTGTATCTACAAGCCGCTCGAGTCTATGGAGACTGTTGTCCTGCCCGCTTAAAGGTCGCAGCTGCAGACTGATGGATCGGTATAAAAGGCGGTTTGCAGAGCCAGAGAGGTGACTCGAAACAAGTGCGACATTGTAAAGATCTTCCTCCGACAATGGAGTCAACACATCTAGGATGATATCGATGGGTAATATCGATAGTGTTGATTCCATCTTCAGAGATCGTGGATGTCGGCAGCTGGAGGGACGGCTGAGGAATGATAATATGCAAGATGACGGATGACTCATTTGGTGGTATTCCTTCACCGCTTGGCATTGTCACGGGAAACCAGGGTGGTACAAGGTGCAGTACCGTAACAATCAAATTGTTCCACCGATTGGAATCGTGAATGTTGAGAGATGATAATTCTTGCAACTTCCTTAATACCGAGGCGTGGAAAATTGTGTCAGTCATTCGAAAATTCAAGTTTCGTTGTATGCCATCAGCCTGCGTTTTGAATAATCCGAGCCTTCTTATTCTTATCAACAACAAACAAGACTCTAGAAATTCTGCATTTGACCAACCAAAATTAGTACGCCAAATTCTTGAAAATCTTGATTTCATTCAGAGTCTTGAAGGAGAAGAATACGAAGCCCCTCTTGCCCTCGACCACTTAAGCGAGAACAAAACAAACAACTTGGGAATGCGACATATCATTTCCAACACTAAACATAACTTCTAAAGAGAACCTCTTATTCCCACTCAGAGAAACATAGAAGAGAATACCAGAAATAATATGCAGCGTATATGATACCCATTTTGTAAACTTGCGACTGTATTTTGCCGCCTCTGATCTGGTGGGGAAAGGTTCACAAGATGCTCTGTAAATCATTGGGACGAGAAAATTCCAACGGGTTATTGCAGTGGTTTCCAACCGCCTATAGATATATGATCGCTGTCACAATTGCCATGCTAATTATCCTCCACTTTACTCCACTCCACCCATGCTATTCCAATCCTTCTCTCTCCCTAGTCACAACAGATACGCCAGTCACCCTTCAGACCCTCCACCTAGTATTCCCCCCAGTAGACAATTTATCATTCTCCTCCACTTCTTTAAGAAAGGACAACCAGCCCTCTACACCCCCTCCTCCCCGTTTCCCCCCACCATTCCCTCTCCAACTCCCCCTTAAAACCCTCATACCTCTCCTTCCCCAAGCCGACACCATCAAACCACACTTTCGGTGCCCAAACTTGTTGCCACCCTTCATTCGGCAGCCCCCTTTTCCCATTGAAAGGCGACTCGATTCTCAAGTCACCAGTATGGGACTTCAGTATAGGTATGATGAGTTTAGTGGGTAGGATTGTATTCAATCCCTGTCCTGTTCCCTTACACTCTGCATTGCTATCGTCGTTGTTTTCGCTCGGGCTATTGCTGAGACCTTTGGAATTAGGGTTGACGATTAGAATAGCCTTAATCTCAACACAAGGACCTTTTTGATTTCGGCCGTCATATAGCTTTTTCGCTTCCGCTGACATTCGGCGTCGAGGCTTGCATCCAGCTGGTGCGAGATTGGGATATACGGCGTAGTAATCGTCTGGTGTGTAGACGTCTTCGAAACCTAGAGAATGTGCGAACTCTCGAGCTTTCTCCCTCTCATCATCATTCTCATCTTTCCCAGCACCATCATTCTTATCCGTCATATGTGAGCCCGAGTCTCTACTCGTTTCAGACCTAGGTCTTGATGGGACGCCAATAACAAGAACAGCCCTCCGTCTACACTTCAACACATGCTTCCTAAACGGCGTAGGGCACTGAACAAGCTGCCTCTTCTCAAAACCCTGCACACCAAGCATATTCCGGAGATCGGTAACGGCATCATCCAGTTCCTCTGGATCGTATTGATAGTTCGTACTTATCTCATACGGGATTCTTTCACTTTGGAGATCTGTGAGTCTTTCTTTTGCCCCTGGGAGGAGAATGACTGGATTGTTGTCGCTGGTTTCAAATTCTTGTCGGATCTTCTCCTTTTGCTCATCTTCACTTAAGGTCTGTACAATCTCATCATTCTTGAGCTCTCTCAACCTGCGTTCCGAGAATGCGGCGAATGATGAGCGGAATTGGCGGTGTGGATGTAGATGAATGGGATTTTGTGATGTTGAGTTGGGACGTGCGGAGATGAGTGTATCGAAGGAGATAGTGAGTGGTGTGATTGCTGGAGAGTCCATCTCTGGAGAGGGAGGTGATGACTCTTGGCTGGCGTTGTTGTGTTCTGAGAGGTCCATTTTGCTGTCCACTCTCGGGAGATTGACTTCCTGGTTCCTGTTGGTGGATGCTGTGATGTGGTCTGGAGTCATGGTTGTGCGTTGCTTGATTCGCGACATATTGACTATTTGTTTTCTCGGTGTGTATGTAGAGTGGTGTGTATTTCCTGGACGTCTGAAGGTTCTGATTGAAGAAGTAATTTGTGTGTGAAGTTTGGTCCTTTGTGTTTTGATCAAGTGTTATATTATTGGGAGGAAATGTTAAGTGATGAGGAAACGCAAGGAAAACTGATGCATGTATTCAATGGTACTTGTGATTTGGACTAGAATTGTGAACTGGACTGAGAGTCACAACTTTCCCTAAATCGTCATGGCTCTGTTAAGTACTACCACTTCTCGCGAAACTTGGTTGCCATTATTTCAACTAGATAGCTTTAGTCTCTGATAAAAATTCGTTTATTTGACACCCTGAATTCTCCTTGAGAATTATTAGGTACTGCTGTCATGCGTAGGTAGAAGATGGTTCGGGCTCCTAGGCACGGATCAGGTGACTTGGTGTGCCTCTAAGCAACCTGGAAGTATGAGTGGAGCGCCATCCTAGATAGTCCAGCTCTAAAGTTCTAGTCTACCAAGTTTACTTATACGACAGTGAAATCCACAAACTTCTCTTTGAGAAGCGAAACTCACTTGTGTGGCATTGCTAGCATGTGAATAATCCGAGCAAGAAGTAAAATAGCTCGTCTAGCAAGCAGACAAAAGAAAATGACAGAAATATTTGGCTGCCAGTTGGCTGAGGAAGAAGAGCTGTCATTGCTCTTTTTATTTGTGACTTACAGGCTTTTCAGGACCGGGATCGAAACAGCTACGTCGCTCACGCCATTCATTGAAGTTACTCGCTAGTTCGCTCGGTGCAATGAGCCTCTCCAAACTGCTACCATTCAATTACCCAGCGGGTATAAAAAGCGCTAATGATATGTAATGGATGACAGGATCCTGCAAACTCCAAGGTCATTATGCGCTTCCCGTAGATTGTGCAAGGAACCGTGATCCGATAACCATGCTCCAACCAAATTTTATGCCCTTTCATTAATCATCTCATCGTAATAGCCGGAAAGTATCTCGGGCCAGCAAAACCCCTAGCAACAACGCTCTGGATATCAATATTTCCAGTCGAACTATGATGTGGACTCCACATTTTCAAAAGTATGAAGCGTCCACTAACAGGCGGGTCGAATCGGATTGTACATTTGCTCTTGTCTCGCTCGATGAAGAATCTCGCGTGCGGTGCCATGAGCTCTCCTCCTACGGCGCGAACAGCTTCTTGCGTTGCTGCTTGGGACGCTTCTGCAGCTTCTGCCAATGTGATGTTGCTTGCAGTTTCTCGTCGTCTGAGACGAGGTGGTCTGCCGATACCGAGGAGGTAGTCTTCATGCCATGGCCCAGATGGGTCTGCGTTATCGTCTTCGCTGCTATCTGAATCTTCAAATCGAATGGAGCTCATTACGCGATGGAGTGTTCGATGCCGAGAGGATTGTGCTGGAGGTTCATCACCTTCGGAATCGCTGCATTCGGTCGTGACTTGAAATGCTGGCGCATTTTCTGTGAACTCGGATGGTATTTGCGCCGTCCGATAATCACAATCTTCGTCTTCAAGACCAATGTTGTATAGTCTTCGTGCTCGAGCTTGAGCAGTCGACATGCTCCCATCTTCGTTATGTCGAACGGACATTATTGGTGGTAACTCATTAGCTCGCTGGGATGCAGAGCGTCTTGGCCGAGCTGGCGAGTATTGTATTTGATATTGAGCTGTGCGAGTCAAAAGATCGTCGGATGTCATAGATATAAAAACCATGCCTTCCTGAACACTGGGAGCTATAAGTCAAAGTCTTGGCAAGTGAGGGGCAAACTTACGGAGCAGTATAACCAGAATGGGGAGCCTTGATAACCAGTTCTTTTAGACTGAATACCGTGGCTCCTTGATGTCGGAGGACCAGGTTGCACCGATTGCTCTTGGTACAATATACTGTAGAATCATTTTTCAACACATTCTCGGCAGCATAGTTCCCTCCATGCTCCGAGAAAATTCCTCCATCACAGCTAACAATTTCCATCTTGAGTTTACCAGGCTCTACCTGGCCATATCTTCCGTAACTGAAGCCCGTAAATCCCGAGTCCAACTTATCCGATTCAATCTTCCTCCGTTTGGCTCGTCGGTTCTGCTCGCTCTCGGGGGAATAATCGTGAGGCTCAAGAGCTGGAGGCGAAATATTGGGGACAGGGTCATCCAAAAGTGCTCTCAACGTAGAGCTAGCCTGCTCCAATTGTCTCCCAGCATGTTGTAAATCGGCCAGGCCATTACTCGCAGTCATCTCTCTGTCCCGCTGTGCCTGATTCCTCTCCGAGAACCTTTCACTTATTGATACTCGAGTCCTCCCGCGCCTAGCAGGCTGCCTAGCACTGATCCCAAATCTCGAGGGTGAGGCTCGATCCCGGGGGGACGGTTCGGCTTGCGGGGGGTTTGGTGGCAATACAAAGAGGGGCGAGACCTCGACATCTTCACGTCGTATGCGTCGCCTTCTATCCGGATCCTGCTCTAAAGACATGCTTGGTCCGCTCACCAGTTGCGATCCGGGTAAAGCTGGTGTCCCTCTTCTCCGATGAGCACGTTCTATGGCTCTGTATAACTCTCCAGACGGACTGATGTCATCGGGCGATTGGGTGTTGTTTAAGATCTCTCTTACAATCCGGTCTGCCGTCTCACTATAGGAGTCGGAGGCGGGAGGGTCATCAAAGTTTCCAGACTGCATAGTGGAAATGTCAGTATGGGGGTTGTAGAAAACAAAGTCCAGGAGAGGGTTCGCAGACCATTAATGCTAATGGTCTCGGCATGGAGATGGCAACAAGGCCAGGTGTGAAATTTGTTCACAGTCGACGTTCGAGGCTGGGAGAGTCGAGCAGGAGTTGCTGTTAATAATAGGGCCAGTACTGAATGTTTTGGAGGGTCGACGAGGCTCTGCGTCTGGTGGATTTGCCGCTTCTTTGATGAGGTGAGGTTGTCTTTGGGGCTCTGTGGCTGTTCCGGTGACTTGTGCTTTGTGGGGTTGTGCCCCTGTAATTGGATGGATAATCAGCTTCTGATAGACGTGCCAAGATCAGGAACCGAGAAGCAGCCGCGTTGATAATTTTGGCGCGCGTTTGTATTCTTGAATCTTGGTGAGCTTCACTTTCAAGCGACAGTCAATACGATATCAGGCAGGCAGGAAGATTATAATATTGGGCCGGTCAGTGGCAGCTTCTGACCCTCTGGACGCGACTACGATTCTTCAAAGGAAACGACAATAGGCTTCTCTTGACCTGAATTCTCCTGGGACTATTCCTTCCAAGCTGTCCAGCGCAACAAGCAAATATGGAAGGAATCACAGCACCACCACCAACATTCCCAGCTCAAGATCTTCCAATCTTGGGCGATGCGCCAACTTCTGCCCCCGTACAAATACCGGCTACAACTGGAATCAGCGCTGGTAAGACAGCCTAGCCCTCCTCCGTCGCAAGCCATCAACTAACCAGTCGCAGATGAAATCGCCCTCTATGACCGACAAATCCGACTTTGGGGCGTCCAGGCGCAAGAGAAGATCCGCAATGCTAACATCTTACTCATAACCATGAAAGCTCTCGCCAACGAAATAGCCAAGAACCTTGTTCTAGCAGGCATCCACTCCCTCACAATCGTCGACCACGAGCTCATCACCCCCAGCGATCTAGGCTCCCAATTCTTCATATCCGAATCCGACATTGGTACGAATCGAGCAGAGGCTGCTGCGCCGCAGATTAGAAAGCTGAATCTGAGAGTCAGTGTGATTGTCGATCAGACGGATATTAGATTGAGGGGCCCAGATTACTTTGGCGCATTCGATGTGGTTATTGCGACGGACTTGCACCCGGATTCGTTAAACATTATCAATACGGCTACGAGGATCAATCATAGACCTTTCTATGCGGCGGGTGTACATGGTTTCTACGGATTCATATTCTCGGATCTGATTCAGCATGACTATGTTGTTGAGCGGGAGAAGAGCAACCGGGCCACGGTACTTGGACCAGAGACACGAACACGCAGTGTGGTTGATGTGAAGGTCAAGAAAGAGGGTGGAAAGAATGTCGAGATGGTCACAAAGCGGGAGCTCTATTCTACGTGGTTTTTGGCTAGCGATGCTGCAAGTCTACCTGCCGAGTTCCTCAAGAGCAGACGTCGACTGAAGGCTGTCACACCAATTCTGTCCTGTCTTCGTGCTCTATGGGAGTTCTTACAATTCAACGATGGTCGGATGCCAAGCACAACCGAGGATCTCAAGATGTTTACCGTCCTAGCCACACAAAAGCACAAGGCTCTAGGTCTACCAGACGAAACACTTAGGTCGGAAGTTCTTCGCAAGTTTTTGCAGAACCTAGGAAGCGAGATCGCCCCAGTCACAGCTGTTCTCGGTGGTCAACTCGCACAGGATGTGATTAATGTTCTTGGTGCTCGGCAACAGCCAATCCAGAACATGGTGATCTTCGATGGCGACACGATGGAAGCACCAAGCTATCCTCTACATCCAGAAGGTCTTCTTGGTGAAGCTTTGCTGCCTCTTTCCGTTGGAGCTGAGAATGGTGCTATTATGGATGGTATCTTGCCGCTGAATGGTGGTTTCCAACCAGACATCATTCCCGTCTGAGATGCCATGATATAACTGAGTGTAAGATAGTGGGTTCTGACATGCCATTTTGCTATTTGCGATGGATCTCAGGGCATAAAGTGGCTGGTTATGGTCGCAGATATGCCAAGAAATCAGGGCTGGCGTTACCCGGAAGGAGTTTGAGGTGCCCATTAGATGATAGCCAGGGCTACCGTAGCGGCCTGTAAATGTCATCGACCACCGTCGTCATATCGTCTTGACCCCAAGAATGTGATTTTGACCCATCGTTTCAATCTTCAGCCGAGTCTTCCTCCCCACCAGATCCACTCTCAAGATCCTCCATACCCTCGTCCGTACTCCCCAATCCATCTCCACCATCTTGCGCCTCCTCCGCCTCACTCTCCTCCTCATCACTACTCTTCCCGCTCTTCTTTCCCTTCCCGGGACCCATAACAACCCCCTCCCCCTTCCTCACAAAAACATAACTCCTCGCACTCCTCTCTTCACCCCTCCACCCACCTCCCTCCTTCCCACCCTTCCCCTTCACCACCCCAAGCGTCCTAGCATGCTTATATCCCGGATACGCACTCGCTTGGAACTTAAAGCTCTGCGCAACTTCCAGTCCAGAATGTCGCGCCAGGTCGCGGATGTTCCAGAGCGTGTAGGGCTCCCCTTCAAAGAGCGTGACGATTATAGATGAGCCGTGGCGGGGTGACAGCGAGGGGAGAGCGCGGGCGAAGAAGGAGACGAGGAGTTCTGGAAATCTGTCAGTCCAGTTCGCAAGGAATGGGAAGTCAATTGAGAGTCAATTTCAAGATGTGCATACCTTGATTATACCTCACCTGCCTATTAACATCCGTACTCTTCCCACCCACATGCGGAAAATTAAAGAATATCCTATCCATACCACTCCCTCTCCCCGCCTTTCCCTCCACCCCAGTCCCAACCCAAGGCTTCATCTTCCCCGCATCGACACCATATCTCACGCACCCGCCTCCTTCCTCCACAATTCGTATATTCTCTTCCACATGCGGATATTTTTCTTTTAGTTCTGTGGGACTCTCGAGGACTGTTGCTGTGAGGGAAGTGCAGCCGTGGTGGGTTATTAGGGAGCTGGCGAAGGAGAGGTCGCCTTCGCCGATCAGGAGGATGGTGTCGGATGGGGAGAAGGGGATGGTTGGTTTGATTTGGTATTTGGGTTTTGGTGCGGAATTGGGAGCTGGTTTTGATGTGTTTGAGGAATTGGGGTGTTTTTGCGATTGTGGTTTTGATTTTGCGATTCCGGATGGACGAGTGAGTTTTGTGGGTTTGTGTTTCTTGGGTCGTCCACCATTGACTTTTAAGCGTTTATTTTTACCCATTGTGAGGTCAGTGAGATGTCTATCATCTGCACAGGACCGATATTGTATGGTTTATGGTTGGATGGGAGTAAGGATGGAGAAGGCTGGGATTTTGCCGACTCGAAAATATGGAGCGGGCCGAACCTTTGTCAGCCTTGTTTGCCGAGTCTCGTCAATGACATTCTTATCTCTACATCGTTTGATGCAGAAGTCTACATTATTGTTTCACAACAATCGTTTCCATGAAGAACCCTATGTAAACATCAATTTCTATTATTATCTGTACCTGAGCTCGCTACCATGTTTCTTTTCTTCATCTCAAAGTGCTCCTACACTAAAGACGCCCCCAAACGTTATCCAGCGGCGTAAGCCTTGGCGTGGTGCAAAAAGGAATAGATCTGAGCAGGAGCAAGGATTTCGGACTTTCAGGACTTTCAGAGCACAGCTACTGCTTATTATCAAGGCTTCAGTGGAGCAAACTACCAGAGAAAGTAGAATTACTGGGTTATCACAGCCCCCTGCAGGGCAGAATCTACTGTGATTCAAGAGAATACCAAGCCCTTCCTCCTGCCATGGCAAGGACTAGGGAGTTGATTGGTTAAGATTACGATTGGTAGATGAAGCGACACGAGATGGATATGTAGGAGGCACTCCCCCAGTCTGGTTATGACGTCTACCTGCTTATTTATCGTTTGCTTCATGCGAATTGGTTGTTACTTGTTTCCTACTTTGTTATTTTTCTGTTCTATCATCTAGAGTCTAGGATACCGTTGACGACTTCCCCAAATCAACATGTCTGCAACAGCAAGTGCAAGTACTTGCGTGGAAACGAGCTACTCTTCTCCCAAGGGCCTCCAATTCTCCCTCTACTGCGATCAAGATCGAACAAGTGTTGGAGACATTGACAATGCCGGGGCAGACAACGTCGAAGACTGCCTGAATCAATGCTCAATGCACTCGGGGAAAGCCTGCGGAGCAGCAGCGTTCGACTCTACTGCTAGGAAATGTTACTTCAAAAACAGCACCATCACAGAGGTCGGTGCCGTGAGACGAGAAGGATGGACCCTCGGCATTGCGAACAGAACGCTGTACCAACCTCTGTCAATGGAATGTACAAACAACGGCGCCAACCAGAAGGTCCAGAATGGATTGAATTTCACGGTTTATTGTGACCAGACTGTCGTCGGCTTCGATACATGTCCTGACAACTCACCGGATTGCAGAGCCCACACAGAAAGTCTGGATGAATGTCTGGAAATCTGCTCGACATTACATCCGCTCTGCACAGGCGTAGCCTGGGATCCATCTCTCACATTCGGATACCTTAATTGCTACCCGAAGAACGCAACTTCTCGAGTCTTCGACAACGCAAGGGTCTCATCAGGCGATGGCTTGCGTTGTGCCAAAGCTCTTCTCGAAGTCCCGGTCGACGATTGTCCCACTGCTATGAATGGGACCGTTATAGCGAGCAATAAAGACCCGTTCAAGCTCTCATGCGGAGAAGATCGTCCTGGGAATAACATCACGGCTCAACATGCCGGCTCGCTTGGAGACTGTGTTGATGCGTGCGCCACTGACACCCAAGCAAATTGTCTTGGAGCTGTCTTCGATACAAATATGGTCAATGGCTACGAGAATTGCTACCTCAAGTCAGCAGTTGGGTTCACGACAGTTCAGAGTGGATTCACGTTCGCCTTGCGACAGACTACGTCGAACAACACTTCTTCTGACAACCTAACCCCACCCTCTCCCGACAAATCAAGTAATAAAGCCTGGATCGCCGGCCTTGTCGTCGGCGTCGTCGTTGCCATCGCCCTAATTATAGCAGCTATCTGGTGGTTTCGAAAGAGGAAAGTGAGTAAGAAAGAGGTTGAGAGTACAGAGATTGCGAGCACGCAGAACCGATGGCTTGGTCATGAAGAAAGTAACGCGAATGCATTGAAGTATGGGCCTGCTATAACGGAACTGGACGATGCGAGCGCAGCGCCGAAGTATGAGATGGGTTCAGGTGGGCACAATGCGGACGCACCAAAGTATGAGCTTGATGCTGAGAGTAGGCCGATGGAGATGGACTGCACAAAAATGAACGGGTATGTGGACGGGAGAGATGTGGATAGACGATAGTCTCTGTGAATGAGCAGTAAGATGAAAAGGTTACGATAATCTTAATGCCGCGAAGCTCATTTTGCCACTTCAAAATCACTTCAGTCATGTTCCAGAATTTTAAGAGGAGTTGGATTTTGTTTACTGTGTGCATACTTTGGCGTTGTTAGGCGAATATCGATCCCCTTCTTAGGCGAGTGTGCCTTGAGTCCCCATGGAATTTATCGATGCCAGCAATCCCATCAAAATTACTCATGGGCATAGACTGCAGGCTGTGCAGCTGAAACAATGCAGAAGTACACCAATAGACTTGGGCCCAGTTTCGCCCTATCAGAGTGCTGCACCTGTGTCTGCGTCCAGCCTCACTTTATGTGGAGGCGGTGCTGCAGGTGCCCAACGAGGCTGGCATTTTCTGTACCAAGTTGTCAACTCATCGCATCTTCTCATCCTCCTTCATTCACATTTCATTTTTCTCTATCACTTAATTTTTAAAAGGTAACACAACCTCACTATCATGTTATCCTTATTGCTTCTCTCCTGCCTTTCCACCCACTTTGCATCAGCTACACCGATCTCAGACACCACAAAACCAGTAAATGCGACCACGCCATCAAACACCACAGCCTCGTCTCAACAGATCGCTCCACCGTGGGTCTCCGAACCTCAAGGTCGCGGAACATGGAATCTCCTATACAGTTGCGTGTTGACGCTCGTCCTCTGCGTCTGGACATCCGTTCATCTAAATGTTCCCGGCTACGGTGAAAGCGCCTGGCAGATGTACCGGCGCAAGGCGAAATGGGTTGCCATCGCCCTCTTCGCACCCGAGTTCGTCGTTTATTGTGCTTTCCAGCAGTGGTACACGGCGAGGGTGTTTTTGAAAGAGTTGCAGAAGTTGCACGACTGGGTACCTCCGGGATCAGAGGTCAGTGTTGTATTCGGTGGACTGTGCTTGGGAAAATACTGCAAAGCTAATAGCCAGCCAGGGTAAAGGCAACGGTCGAAGGTCGCATAAGTTTGATATGACTTATGCCATGTTTGTCGTCATGGGAGGCATTGTCGTGGATATCGAGCACCTTCACAACCGGCTGAAGCGTGCAACTCTCACAACCAACGGGCTCTTGTTACTCGGACAACATGGGCATTTCTTTTATGTCGAGCCAGATGCCATCGCCGACAAGAGTAAAGCCAACTTACTCGCCAAAGGATTGGTATGTGTCCAGGTGCTGTGGGTGGCTAGGCAAACGATCGAGAGGAAAGTCGCGGGGCTGCCAATTAGCCTTCTAGAGTACCACACCCTGGTACATGTCGTATGTGCTCTGGTTATGTACGTCCTTTGGTTCCAGAAACCGTACGATATCCAGTACCCGACCATGGTTGCAACAGACAATTTCCCTGAGGCGCTGGCTTTTATTGTTGCGAGCTCGAAGTGGAAGGGGTACAGTGGATTTAGATTTACGAGTCACGGGTTAGATCGCCGAAATTTGTCTATACATCTTGAAGAAGATCCAGAATTCACTTGGTTCGGAACTCCGACCAGTTCCGCAAGTATTTCCACATCTCAGGCTTCCGGGACCTCCCCTCTACTAGCTCCACAGGACCAAACATCCGAAGATCATTGGTATCAAGCTCTTCAAGATGACGAACGCTTAGTCCAGGATAAGACCAACCTGGTAATTATTCCTGCACAAGAAACATCGCTTAATTTTTCATTGTCGTATGGTCAAGCTCTTCGGTCTGGGCTTGGACCTGACAGACACGCATTCTGCGACAAACTCGAAATATCGTACAAGGACAAGATGCGTCTTGACTTAGCCGGCAATTTCATCTCAACAACCATCGACGCTCTAGATAAGTCGCAGCCCTTGCCATCGACTACATTCAATGATCCTCGAGCATCACGCCAGAAACGATGGAGGAAAACTCCCCTTCTTTCCACGTTTCGACCCGGAGTAATTCGGGCCTTTGGAGAGAACCTCATCGCATATCGAGCAGAAAACACAGCAGGTTGGACTGACCTAGAACAGCGCATTGGCGCTGGTGCTGCTAGGATTGTTTTATTCATGGCTCTATTCCTCGTCTTATCTGCATATGCAGTAATTCATCTCGTAGCTGGTCACACGGTATTTCCCACTTCAATCGAAGCGATACTCTGGAAGAATTCTTGTTATACTCTTCTCGGTGGTATAGGACTTGCCGCTTTGTTCTATGTCGGTGATGTCACTGGTTTCCTTGACTTCATTATCAACGTTGATTTTCCAAATTGGTTGAAAAGGAGAACGCCGTATATTCTATTCTTTGGGCTTTTGCCCGTGGTAGTACTTCTGTATACGTCTGCGCGGATGTTCATCGTTGTGGAGTCCTTCATTTCGTTGAGGCATGTGCCAGGAGGGTGTATCGAACACCGGAACAGAGTATCACGAGTTGTATACCACATCTTTGAGAAACTAATGAAAGAGAGAGTTCGAACTATGAATATAATATGTCGCCAGACAGATTTGAAACTGCTCAGACGAGGGATTATAGAGACCGACAAATTCTAGACGAAGTAAACTACATTATTCTTCTATTGCACCACTCCTCAGACTCCGATTACAAGAATCAACCCTATTAGTCGACATGTCAATCAACTACTTCACGATAAAGAAGCGTAGGCGTCACTTATATGTAACTTCAATATCTACTTTCTTATCTCAAATCCCACGCCATCCTCTCTCCAGGCCTCTCTTCCCACCACTCATCACCACATCAGTACAAAATCCTACTCCATCTTCTCTCCAAAGCTCTCCCCCTTATACTGAACCGCCCCATCCAACGGCATCTCCCAAGCCTGTCTATTTCCACAAAAAGACTCCCATTCCGGCGTTGGGATCTTAGGGAAGATCCCCAGTTTCAGTACCGTTTTGCCTTCATACAGCGGGGTCACGGATTTGATTGGGCTGGAGGTTTGTCAGTACTTCGTATGCATCATCTAAGCCTAGAAAATTCATTTTGAAGGATAGGGCATGACTTTACATCGGAAGGGGTGGGAGTCGAAAGACTGTACAGGGAAATTGGGGAAAGGAATGAGGAGGATAGACATACTTCCCACAAGTCCCACAGAAATACCTCCCCAATGGTGTTCCACTCAATGTATTCTTATCCTCGTACCGCTTGAGATTTTCTTCGCCTATAATTTCAAACTTTTCGTTCTCGATAATGAGATTTGTTGCTAAAGCTACATAGATTTCGTCAACCTAAGTATCTCTATGACTTCAATGCATCGGATCGAGAAAAATGGGGAGATCATATGAAATTGGGGAGGAGTCTTACCAGATCCGGCAGTTTTCTTACAATTCGCACATCTGCATATGTGACCTCTTCGTTTGGTGAAGAGTTCGGAGTCGTTGACGCGCACAGTTATGGCGCCGCAGAGACAGGTGCCTTCCATTTCGGCTATTTTTATTTCGTGATATGAATAATATATGAAATTTGTTTACTGGTGAATGTAGAGAATCAAGGTTTCAAAGCGCTTTGACGGGCTGAAATTGGACGTAATAGTGGGCGTTTAGCCACACCCCTATCTCGCTACCTCGATAGTGGGGGAAAGCGAGTTGTCCGGGGCAAGCGAGTTGTCCGCGCTTACACTAAAATTAGGTAGTAATTTAGATAAGTCTACTGCTAGGATATATAGAATTACTAAATATATTTTTTAAAAAAAACTGAGAATACATTATCTGACTACTGATTCTACTGAAATCTAACGTAATCTATGTTACTTATAACTAAATCGAGTGATATAATTAATATTAGAGGCGACGAAGGTATATCAGTATTAGCTTTATTACTACTACTTTTAAGCTTAAGGCGTTTAAGTAAAGAGGACGGAGTAATATTATCGAATTCGTTAGCTTAATTATTATCTTCGCTATTAATTTATATAGCTATTAATAGAATCCGCTTAATTTTAAATACACGCTCTTACTTAAGAACCTTAGGGTTAATACTTACGCTAAGAGAAGTAAATACTATAATATCTCGAGCTTAAACCTCTATAAAAGTAGCCTCTTCGTGAGCTAGTTTATCGCAGAGTAGAAGAAGTCGAATCTCGAAGGCTTTATTCTCTTTATCTATAGGCTCCTTTTAATAGTCTTAAATAAGAGTAAGATATTAAGAAAGAACCGGTTAACTAAGGCGTTAATTATCCTCTACTAGCTTCTTCTGTTCTCTCTTTGCTTTTTAGTCTATAATACTAATATCTTAGAGCTTATTCTTAATTCGATTACTCTTAATTTGAAGGTCGCGGTAAGCTTTTTTAATATAAGCCTTGTAACGGTCCGGTATTTACTCGCTATAAATATAGAAGGCTGTAGTTAATCTCTAATAATCGAGAGGTAGGTGTATCACGTAGATAAGAAGATAGTTACTAAGTATTAGAATACTATTTAAAGTTAAGCACGAAGCTCTTATCTAATAGTAGACGTACTAGTCTTATATAGAACCTTTATTCACCTTAGATCCCTTAGGATACTAGATCCTTAGATCCTTAGATCTGTTTTCCTATAAAAGGATCTAGGGATCTAGGGATTTATCACGTGACCTATCGTCTACTATAATCTAAGTAACTATTACTACTAAAGCGTGAGTATATAGTAGTACTACTCGCTTATCCTATATTATTCCCTAGCTAGTACTACCCTATTAATAGTACTGCTCCCTTATTAGTACTAATACTCCTATAGTACTACTAATAGTTTTATTATTATATAGGTGCTAACTGAACTATAGCGCTAAGAGGTCCGTAATACTATCCCTCTCTTAGCCTAGCGTAATCCTCACGCTTAAGTATAACCTTAAGAAATATTAATAGTTACTAACAACTATCTTCCTTATCTATTATATCTAGTATTATAAAGAAATCAAGTGTCGCCTAGATAAAGAAAAAACAGAGTATCTAGCTCGTGCTCTATATTAAGCGTACTGTGTAACTCGTAAAGCCTTATTTCTTCTGCTATAGCTTTTCCTATACTTACTTCTTAGATTTATCTATTTTGAAATAATACTCTAAGTGTATTCGCTTAAAGTGTTATAATTATAATACCTCGGGGTATATTAAGAGGTTTACTCTTAAACGACTTATATATCGGTTTAAGATAGGAAAAACTATGACCTCTACTTATCTTCCGACACTTTTCTCTAGGCTTATTAAGGATAATCCTACTTCTTAGTTCCCTGCCTTTAAACTTAACGCTTACCTAGTGTCCTTCTTTAAGGGCCCGGTCCCTGACCTTAGGTCCCCTTCTTTCTAAGTAAACCTGGATTTCTTTAATAGAATTCCCGTAGAAGCCTAGGGCAGTAGAGGTTAGATTTAGGTTCCTAAGTGTTTTCTGATTATAGGTACCTTTTCTATTTAATTAAATATTTTAGTTTACTATAGAAATACTAATAGTTGAGAATAGCCTCTACTTCGTATTCGGCGTTCAGATTAATCGGTTATATTTCGGTAATAGGAGCGGGCGGTGCTTCTAGCGGTGCTAGTTCGAGGAGAGATATATAGAATACTAAGTGGATATTTATTATTTTTAGCAGAGCTAGTTAATAATTAACTAGTCCCTTAACTTTAGTAATCCTAAATAGTCCTAGCTTTTTATAATCTAATTTATAACTTAGTTGTTTAGTTATAATATTCTTTCTAAGTAAGTAGACTTTATCTCTCTCCTTAAGCGTTAGTCCTATACTACGCTTTTTGTTATAGTAGATCGCAGATCTCTATGTGATAAAGAGAATATCAGCTGATAATTCTTTATAGAGTTATTTAAGCTCACCTGCCTGTAGTATAGCTTCTTACGCGGTACCCTAACTAGCTATTAGTAGGTTATATACCGTGGGATTATACCTATAATTCGCGTAGAATAGTGATACTCTAATAGTCTCTTAATCCGTGCTGTTATATATAAACTGAGTAAGTGGGAGTAGTTACACTTAGTTATCCTACTTATAGTTTATATAATACTAAAGATAAGTCTCTATTATCTAGTTGATTTATTCTATCTATATATCGGTCTAAGGATAGAATATAGTTAATATTTTCTACTTTATTCCTAAGAGCGTGATAAGAGTTTTCTAGAACTTTAAGGTAAAGAGCTTATCTCTATCTAAGATAATCTTATCTAGTATTCCGTAGCTTACGAAGATTATTCTAAGAAATACTTGCGCTATTATAGGCGTGTCCTATGTTCTAAGTACTAGTACTATATACGCGTACTTTATGAACCTATCTGTTATTATATAGATCAAGTCGTATATAATTCCTATAACTAGGTCTTTCGAGGGTAGTAGCTCGACTACGAAATCTAAAGCGATTGATTTCTATAGGTAAGGTAGTATTATTAGTGACTTCATAAGCCTATATAGAGTATAGTATGATACCTTATTCCGGATATATATATCGTATAACGCTACCACGTCTTTAACTACCTTCCTTATTCCTAGGAAGTAGTATTCCCTAGATAGCCTAGATAGCGTCTTAGCTACCCCCTAGTGTCTATAAGTAAGCAGCCCATACTAGTACGTAACGAATTTAATCCTATCCCTAGTAGGTATATAGATTCGTCCTTAGTATAAGAGTATGCTACCTATAGTGAAAGAGAATCCTTCGCTTAGCTGCTTCTTCTATTTAGTTATAACTAGGTCGTTAGTATAGCTCTTCTAGATTTTCTTAGTGACCTAGCCCGTTAAGGCTAGCTATTAGTAATTAACTATTAGCGAATCGCTATCCTTCCGCAGTATAGTATAGGATTCGTAAGTTTTATTTGCGAGATATTCCGGTTTCCTACTTAGAGCGTTAGCCTTAGCGTTTTCTGTTCCCTTAATATAAGAAATTCGAAGTTTTATAGTAGAGAGTATTTCGTACTAATAAACCTGCCGTTAGTTCAGTTCCTTAGTAGTTATAAAGTAAATAAGATTCTTATAGTCCGTTAGGATCTATACTTTATAAGCAGCGCCCTTGAGGTAGACCTTCTATTCACATACTACATCTATAATTACTAGTAACTCTTTATCGTATATATTATAGTTGAGTTCTACTAGTGATAGTTTCCGCGAATAGTAAGCGACTAGTTATTATCTTCTATCCTCGCCCGGCTAGCTAAGTATAGCTCTAATAGCGTAGTCCGAAGAATCTATCTTTATACGTATTTCTTTATTAGGGGTAAAGGAAGTAAGCACTAGTTCCGCGATAAAAGCCGCTTTAAGTGCCTTAAACGCTTTTCATACACTATTAGACTAGTAGAATTCCTTATTCTTATAAGTTAACTCCGTAAGTAGCCCAGCGATTTTCAAGTAATCTTTAATAAATCGCCTATAGAAGTTAGTAAATCCGAGGAATAATTATACTTCCTTAATATTCGTGGGCCCTATCTACTCGATAATTACTTTAATCTTTTTAAGATCTATAGCTAATCCTGCGGTAGTAACTATATAGCCTAGGAAAATAACCTCGTCTATATAGAAGTTATACTTCTCTAGTTTAAGTAATAGGTAGGCGTCCTCTAGCCTCTGAAGAATAGCTATAACGTCCTTCATATATTACTCCTCTGATTTAGAGTAGACTAGTATATCGTCTAAATAGTATATATACGTTATATCTAAGTAAAGCCGTAAAACGTTATTAATTAGACGCTGAAATATAGCTAGTGCGTTAGTTAAGCTAAAGGGCATAACTATATACTTATAGTAACTGAAATAAGTGCGAAATACTATCTTTTCTTCTTCTCCCTTAGCTATCCTAACGAGGTTATACACTCCTCGTAGGTTAAGCTAAGTGAAAATCTTAGCTCTAACAAGTCTATCCTATAGCTCCTTAGCTAATAGTAGTATATAACGATCCTTCTTTATAACGTTATTTAATTAACAGTAGTCGATATATATTCGTTATCTACCGTCTTTCTTTTCTGCGAATAAGATATTACTCCCCTACGGAGATTTAGACTCTTAGATAAATCCTTTTACTAAGTTTTCATTGATATATTACTTAATCGTTATTAAGTCTATCGCCGAATATTCCCTAAGTAGTTAGAATATCGGTTTAGTACCTAGTTCTAACTCGATCCGATAATCGTAGTCCTAGTGTTTTAGTAAGGCCTTAATACCTTGTTCCTCCTTAAATAGTACTATAAACTTCTTATATACTAATAGTATATCCTTTATTAGTAGACCCTTATCTTAATATCCGAGCTCTTCCTTAGAGGTAGCGCTAATCTCTCGAATACTCACTACTTCTGTTCCTAGTAAATAACAGCAGTCTTAGTAACAACTAAACTCAAGTTTTCCTATCTACTAATCGATAACAGGATTATACTTTTCTATCTATAGTAATCCTAGGATAATATTATGCCTTCTAATCCTAACGATATCGAATTAGATTATTTCGAAGTATCTAGCGATACCTATATAGACTGAAGTAGTCTAGACCTCGATTAGTCTATTAGAGGTAACCTTACTATCCGCTAGTACTAGGTAGTATCCCTTATCCTTTACTTCAGTTAATAAGTAATACTCGAGTATAACAGTAGGAGATATAAAGTTCCCTT